TACAAAATTGTGGCCGTTAATTTTAGTACATACGTCGTACATGCAAATTGCCAACTCATGTTTTGTTAACCCAAATTATTATGTCATTCATGAGCTCATGAGTCAAACCATCAAGAGGTTTATCACCTACTATTATTATTACCCCCCCCCCCCCCCCTCCCAAAAGCCTTATCTGCTACACTGTAATAAAAATGTATTAGCGAAAATAATTATTTTATAATATAAATAATTATAAATTAAAATTAAGATAACTAATTAATTTAATTAAAATTAAAAAAAATTAAAAATTTAAAATGAGATTAAAGTGTATAATCATTTCCCAGAAAAAGGAAAGTGACATGATATGTGGGACGAACAGAAATTACAACGTAGACATGGTATCTGGGACGGAGGGAGTACTATATTTTGGGATTATTAAAAATAATTACAATCAATAAGGGCCTTTTTTATTTATTTTTTTTTTCGAATTCTGAGCCAAAAATAAATTGTAGGTCTTGTAAAAATATAATAATATATGTATTTTTAAAATAATATCACCGATATTGATGTCGATTGGATAAAAGATTGAACATAGCGATTTGATGGTGTCGATTCGAAAGAAGAAGATAGAAGGCGAACCAGCGATACTTCACAGTAGTGTTCTAAGGTTCAGAAAGAGAAAAATGATCAAGGAAGGGAGAAAGAGATAAAAGAGAGAGGGTGAGGCGAATTTGATATGAATGGGTGGGTTGGTGCAGTGCAGCAAAGCATAAAGAGATGACGTGTAGGCCACAATTGAATTTTAAAAAGTAAAATGCAGTATAATTAAGAATAAGATATAAAAATGTATATATAATTATGGTTTAAAATTTAATTTTAAACTTAAAATTGAATTGAATAATTACGAAAGAATAAAAATATAAATTAAAATTTAAAATTTAATTTAATATTTTAATATTTAATAATAATATACTAATATTTATAAATGTGAGCCTTTTTTTAATTATGAGCTCTAACCGATTGCTGGTATAGACCCTGCTAAGAACCGGTTGTACAATCAATCGTATTTGACAAAATAAACAATATAGATAAATTTTAATTAAAAATGATATGTATTTATTTATATTTGTATTTAAACCGTAATATATATTTTAATAGGAAGCAATGGTGATGGCAAATACAAATAAATAAAAGAGATAGTGACACTAATTTTTTAGTTATGATTTAAAATTGAGATAGTAATTTAAATTTTGATTTAAATAATATTTTAATATGATATTTGTAAAATAAAATATTTGTTTTTTTATTAGAAATTATGTTAAATGAATACTATGATTTTTTATTTCGAGCAAAAGACAAACACACTATTTTTGTCTATTTTTTTAAATACCAGACAATTCATTTAGTTCGTCTCATTTTTTATACTTTCCAATTGAATTCTATATTTTACTATTTTCTAATATTTTTTCGGTTCACTTCTAACGGTTATACTTACATTTTATATAATTGTATTTAACATTAAAAATATCTTTATATATGTATAATTTTTTATACAAATATCATTATATTAGTATTATAAGACAACTAATAAAATGCATCTGTATTTGATTCAAAACTGTCATTGGCTATTAAAAAAAAAAGTCCTACTTGACATTTTAGTCACATCGACAAATAATTATACTTCAAAATAATATAACCATAATATAATTTATACATTATTTTTTGATTCAAAACTGTCATTGGCTATTAAAAAAAAAAGTCCTACTTGACATTTTAGTCACATCGACAAATAATTATACTTCAAAATAATATAACCATAATATAATTTATACATTATTTTTCTCCTCCATAAAAAAGATCTACATTCAAAAATAAAATCCAACTAAATACTTGCATGGAAAATATATAACTAAAAACTTCTATGGAAAATATATAACTAGAGTTTGATTGCATGGTTTGGGTTTATGTTTAAATTTTTAATTTAGATTTTGACTTATATAATATTTTAATACAATGTTTTATAAATTTTAATATATTTTTATAGAAATTGAATAACTACCGATTGAATTTAAAGTACAAACCAAACATGTTATATATATATATATATATATATTCTTCCGAATAATTTAATTAATATTCTTTCATCTACATGAAAAGTCATTACTAGAAAAAAAATTGATAATTGTAAAAATTTGTCGCAGATTTTCATTCGCGATAATTAAAAGTCACAGAAAGTAATTTCGTAACAAATTTATGTCAAAACTTTGTATTTTGACTGTTCGGTGGGTAATATTTGTAAAAAAATTTACAAATAACTTTTCGTAACTATTTAAAATAACAACTTAAGTAACAAAAATGTCAAAGATATTTCTATTTCGTATATTTTGACTATTTCGTCATAAAAATTGTCACAATTTTTTCGTGACTATTTTAAGTTGCAGCAAAAATAATCGAAATACTTGCAACATTTTAAATTATTAACGATGTTGTCATGATATAATTTCCGTAACTTTTTTAAGTCAAAAGTCACTACATAAGTAACAAAAACAACCATAATTTATTTATTTTTTATTATTATTGTTCGTAACTATTCAAAGTAATAACAAAATAATAAAATCATCTTCAATATCTTTATATTTTTACTTGAATTGTAATTGAATAATTTTTTCTAATTATTCATGATTATTTAAAATCATAACATAAGTACCGAAATATTTGCAAAATTTTCAATTTAATTGTCACTGGTTCGAATCTTGCCAATAACATCCCACTTGCAGATTAAATTAAAAAATAGTGTGATAGTTGTTAGCTTACGAGTTTCAGGTTCGAAGGTAGTCACTATAACAGAATTGTTGCACTTCTGTTAATATAAATTACGGAAGTGTAATTTTATTATTCTGTAACTTATTGTCACGAAAATGTCATAAAAGATTCACGAAATTTTATTGTAACTTCCGTTACTATATTAAATCAGGGATATGTCATAATATTATTATGTAAATATCACCAATTTAAAAAAAGTCATTAACGAAATTTAACGGAAATGGTACAGTATATTTTTTTTTGTAATTTTTTAGTAAAATATCACCAATTTGTATTAAAACTGTAATTTTTTATTTTTACCGCGACTATAGTTAATTTTTTGTCTGTAAATTATATTTTGCCATTTTCAATGGTTCGAACATAAAGTTCTCATATTTTTAAATATGTATATAACCCATATACAAATTATAAATACTTTTATATATATACTGATTTACATCTATATATCCCCACATTAATTTTACAGAGATAAAATAATATTTACATATTAAAACTATCACATATTATCGTAAATTAAATACTTATTAATTAAACTCTTAGATAAAAACAAACATTTATTTTTTAGATAAACGAAAAAGAATAATATTCTCTCTGTTCCAAAATTATAATTTTAATTGAATTTGACACTAAATTTAAAGAATATTGATATTATATTGGTAGTTGATAAAAAGTATAGATAAAAGCCTTTTTACTTTGTGAATGTATTAGTGTAAAAAGTAGTGGCACTTGTGTATAAAAATAAAAAAGTAGAAATAGTGTTATAGTGATATGGTTATTTATATAAAAATAGAACTATTGTTTTGAAATAAACAAAAATAATAAATAAAAATATTGTATTGGGACGGAAGTAGTAATAATTTTGCTAGAAACAATAGGAACTTAATAAAGAAGAATTGGGTTTGAAACAGAAACCAAAAACACTAGTTACTTCCGAGCTTAACAACTTAATGCGCATCAATTATCATGGTTACTCAGTCATTTGGAGTGGTCCACCTGAAAAGCCCAACACTAATAATGGGGGAGCCCAACTAATGCGGACCGTCCACGTCAGCATATGACAACAATGTAACCAATTATTTATAGCTCCGCCGTCCAACGTGCAACAGCCAGCTGAGCTTTCCTAACCCTCTCCGGCATTCGACACGTGTCCCTTCATTTTTTCCCCGATAATTTGTTGCGAAAAGATTGTCCGAATATACTCTCTCAGTCACACCACAATTGATATATATATATTTTTTTCTGATTATAACAATTGATGTATTTCTATTTTGAATTAAAAAAATTATTAAATTAAAATATACAATATAAATAAATTTAATTAACTACTTAACGTATAACATTACGATTTTTTATTTCTAATTTTCTTTTATAAGGAATAACTATTTATATTTATATTTAAAATTATATATTTTTTATAAAATTAATTTATATTACTTATAAATTTTTTTATTTATTTGTATTATGAATTTTTTTTATTATTTATAAAATAATATTTATATTTTATATATTCTTTTACTGTTATATAATTTTTAAATATTTAAATATATATTTTAATTTTTTATTTATATATTAAATTTATTTTAAAAATATAAATATTATTAATTATATAAAAAAATAATATCATAATTCATTATTATTAATTAAATATTTTTATATTTAAATACGGTTTGATTCAATTTTGGTAGGACGAGACGGAGTACAACCCTATGTTCGAGTCGGACAATCCTTTCCAATTAAGGAATGGGATACACGTCAAACTCACTCCAGGTGTGTGTTTGTTAATACAATCCATCTCACTACCTGAAAGAGACTACCTTAACAATTTTTATTTTTATTTAAAAAAAAAAAACTGTAAAGGCAAGGAATCAGGCGATGAGGTTTCTGACAGAAAAACTGATGGCAACCTTGTACGGTGAACAGCACAGCCTCAACTTCGTCCGAGCGTCTCCTGTCCGTCCATCTGGCGGATTGTTCCTTCCCAGAGAATCTCGTCCGTCCATTCATCGACCACCCCGGATTCCCTCAGAGTGGAAATCCAGCAGTGTAAACGCATCTATTCGACCGCACGTAATTTGTAACGGACCTACAAAAACGCGACTTTAATTTTTTCCGTTCCGTTTTTGTAATAGCGTTTTCTTCAGCTGTTTCAAAGCAGACCACCCCGCCCCTGTTACTATAAATAAGTACACCCCCTCTTTAGAATCCATGCATATTCCTACATCGATCCCTTCTCTCTCCCAACAGAAACCTAATTTCCCTCGAAATAAATCAAAATCCCAATTTCCAGCCATGGTGGTTTTATCCCAGCCCATTCTCGACAGTTTATCCAACCAGTTCAAAACATGCAAGCCTGTTGCTTCAGACACCTTAGCAGAAATCCCTGTTATCGACCTCTCAAGCCCTAATTCGAAAACCGACATAGTCGCTGCCTGCAGCGAGCTCGGATTCTTCAAAGTTGTTAATCATGGCGTGTCAATGGAGTCCCTGAACCTTCTGGAATCCGAGGTTGTCAAGTTCTTCGAATTGCCCCAAACCCACAAGGACAGGTCCGGCCCGCCCAACCCCTTCGGGTACGGTAACAAACGGATCGGGTCGAATGGCGATACGGGTTGGGTCGAGTACCTCCTCTTCTGCACCAATCCAGAACTCATCTCACACAGCCCCGCCGCCACTCTCCCAGAAATCCCACAAACTCTCAGGTACAAACATTAATTATTATTATTTTTTAATTTAATTTAATTTAATTATATTATTTAATTATCAGGCGTCTGGTGTACGAATACGTGGGGGTGGTGAGGAGGCTGGTCTGCGAGGTCCTGGAAATGATCGCGGACGAGCTGAGAATCGAGCCGAGGGATGCTCTGAGCCGGCTGATCCGGGACCACACGAGCGACTCGTGTTTCAGGCTGAACCACTACCCGCCATGTACGGACCACCAGGCATTGCTGTCCGGTCGGGACGTCGTCGGGTTCGGCGAGCACACGGACCCACAATTAATGTCGGTGGTCCGGTCCAACACCACCTCAGGCCTCCAAATCTGTCTCAGGGACGGCTCATGGCTCCCTGTTCCATCCGATCCCACCTCCTTCTACCTCAACGTCGGCGATTCCTTACAGGTAGGGTACGCCCGCCGCGTGTCGTCGGAAAATCGATTTCTATGATCATCGAAACTATTAATTAACTAATTAATTTATTACAGGTGATGACGAATGGGAGGTTCAGGAGCGTGAAGCACAGGGTGATGGCGGGGGGTCTGAAATCGAGGGTTTCGATGATATACTTCGGGGGGCCTCCTCTGAGTGAAAAGATCAGACCTTTGACCTCGTTAATGGCGGATGGTGAAGACAGCTTGTACGAGGAGTTTACGTGGTCGGAGTACAAGAAATCGGCTTACAATACGAGGTTGGGCGATGACAGGCTGGCACTGTTCCAGAAATCCAAATCCAATCCATCGTATTAGGTTCGACTGATCAGTTATGTAATGTGTATTAACGAGAATAATAATCTCGGCGCGGCTGCGCTGCTCATCGGAGTAAGACACGTGTCGTATCTGTGTTAAGATAGAATTAAGAATAGTGTGTGCGTTTGTTTCTGTTTTTTGGTTTTATATATATGTAGCCCTATGGTAATACGTTTCTTGATTTTGTGTGATTTGTTTTGAGTGTAATTTGTGTAATACGAGTAAAATACATGCACATGCTATGTGTATGTTTTGTGTAATAATAATAATAATAATAATAATAATAATAGTTTTGTGTATGTCTGATACGATGATGTTTCTGTTAAGATTTGGTAACCAACTGCTGTCACCTTCATTAATGGCAAGTCAAAGGTTTTCACATGTATAGATAAATAAATACATGTACATAAACAATTTATTTCTTCATTCATTGATATACACAGCAACTTCCTTTTCAAAAAAAGAAATCGAAATTTAATATTTAATATAATATTTTTCGAGAATTATCACAAAATTATAATTGATGTGATGCTTTAAAAAAATTAAATAGTTATAAAAAAATTTTAAAATTGTTATGTAAACAGAACATGGGCGGCAAATAAATTTTTTTGTAATAAAAAATTATTATTAATGATGAATAATATTAAAACTCCAAAAAATATTTATATGAATATATATCGTGTTAACTGTTAATTCAACCAGCACATGTATATTTGAGTAGGTAGCTCTAAGAGTGCTGATTTTCAAAAATAAATAAATAAATAAATAAATCCACACAACACTAATAGTACATTGTAAATAGACAAACAGTATGCTATATGAATCTAAAATTATATAAAAATATTAAATAATTTACTTGGAGATTATGCTGAAATTAAGGTTGTGTTTATTCTGTGAAATTATTTGAATGAATAAATTTTTATGTAAATATAAAAAATTGTGTAGATAATATAAAATAATTAATGTGTATAACATAAGTATTATAATTTTGAAAAAAATATGTTTAACTTTTTTTGTTAAAGTAACACACCACCGTGAGTATAATATGTGCTATTTGTTTTTATGTTAACATAATACTCCCTCCGTCCCGAAACTAAATATTTATTTATTTTTTGCACGTAGTTTTAGAAATATTAGTATTATAATGGGATATAGTAGGAATAAAGTAGAAATGACTAAAATAACTTTATTAGTACGTGTGATATAAAGGTAATGACATTTGTGTAATATATTATAAGTTGTGAGGGTATTTGTAATGTTAGGTAGATAGTACGGTTACTAAAAAAAGAAAATAGATACTTTGTTATGAGACAGACTAAAATGGAAAAATGGATACTTTGTTATGGAACGGAGAGAGTATAATGCAACAATGAACTAACAACACATTATATAATTATACTTAGAACATAATATATGTGCTGATAAAAAACACTATATGAACAAAAAAATACATAAAATATTAAATAAAAACTCATCGATGTATTGTATAAATATATATATAGTGTGCTGAAATCAATTATAGATATAATATTCTTTTTACTATATTGTGTGTTGTTTGTTCTATGTTTAACATAATACATGCAAGACAGGAACTAACAACACTTGGGTATTAAAATTTGTGCTCGAATATTTGAACACACAATTGAATTACGAGATAAATATATTTCTCCCGTCCCATTGAAAGGTTACCATTTTTTATTTTCGTCCGTCCCAAAACAAGGTTACTATTTCCTAATTTAGCAATTGTACTACCTACCTAACATAATAAATACACTTTCAACTTATATTATACTCTCTCCCGTCCATTTACAAGGTTTACATTTATTTTTGGCGCGGTGTTTAAAAAATAATAGTATTTTAATTATAGTGAGCAGTTAAAAATAGTGTAATGACATTTTTGCCCTTAATTTTTTGTGTAAAAGTAATGATGTGATGTAAAGTAAGGGTATTTGTGAAAAAAAGTAGGATATTTAATGAAATATTAATTTTGTAATTGGACGTCCCAAAATAGAAATACGTAAAAATTGTAAGCAGACGGAGGGAGTATTATACAAATATCATTACTTTTATATTACACCATACTAATATTATGGGTATTTTTGTCTTTTCTACCACAATCCAATATAAATACTAATATTAAAAAATTTACGTGAAAAAAACAAATGTCACTCTTCCAATGAGACGCAAGGAGTATTTTTATTGAAAATCATACATAAAGTATAAAATTGAATTTGAAATTTTAAAGAAAAAATAATAATAAAAAATAAAAAATTCCATAGTTTTATACAGTATATTTATTTATGCAATGATAAATTTGGGCTGCGTATTTAAATTTGCATGTGCATATTTGGAACACTTTTGATGTAACGTCATTGTCATCTCCGGACTCATTTCTCCCATGCCATCATCAATCTTGACGCATGTCAATTGAATCGCTCATTCAATTATGACTTACCCAGATAATTCATTTATTCACAAATGGGTGGAAATGAATAGTAAAAATATATATATGGAAATTCCATAGTAGTAAAATTTTGGATGTATTTAACCCGTGTTTTAAATAAAAATTAATACTATTATTTAATTTTGATTTTCAACAAAAATAAATGGTACAATAATTGTCTTATAAAATTATCAAATCAATTCGAATATCTAAGCTCAAATCAAAATCAAACAATAAACTTAAATAGGTTTGAGTTGACGGGAATAAATGTTTAAGGAAATATTTTTAATTAAATTTATTTATTCGTATAATATAATAAATAAAAATTAAATATTTAATTGAGTAATTTAAAAAAATATATTTACACTAAAAGTTATAAATCAACTCTGTATTTTGTAAAAATATATTTTTAGGTGGCGTAGAAAGAATTGTATAGATAATTTAAACATAATTAATATATGTAGTATATTATTATTATTATTATTATTATTATTATTATTATTTGTTTTTTGAGAAATGTGTAATTTGTGTTTGGCAAGAAGAACACATCCTACAAGTATTTTGGAGTTTAAAACAAAAATTAAAAAATTAAAAATTGAATAAAAATAAATATACATTGAATATGATATTTCCCCGTTTCATTCACAAATTATATATATTTTTATTTTAAATTATCTAATTACAAAGTAAATATTTTAAAATATTTTACTTTTGTTTTTATACAAATATATCTATTTCACTATCATATTAGTATTATTTTTGCATTTAAAATCAATGACAAAATTATTTTGATACTATATTTTTAATTACTCAATATAATTAAAATACTATTATATTTTTAAATTCCGTATAAAAAATACATATATACTTTCAAATTGAAAAAAAATATATATTTTATATAAATAAAATTTCAATATGTATTTAAATTAAATATTCCCTCCGTCCCTAATGGTCCCATTTAGTTTAGGCGCAGAAGTTTAGGTATAGTATAATTAGCAAATAATTAAAAAATGTATTAATAGAAATAATTATAATTTAATAAAATAATTATAGATTAGATTAAAATTATTAAATAGTTTAATTAAAATAAAAAACTATAAATAATAAATTTTAAAATGTGATTAAAATATATAATTATATTTTCGGAAAAAAAAAGAACAAATTATATGAGACAGACGAAAATAGAAATATAAAACAAATTAAGTGGAACGTAGAAAGTATAACATAAATATTTAACACTCCTCAATCCAAATCATATATAACTATTTTGTTACTTTTATTTGTCCAATTTAAATTTATATATTTTCTTTAGTAAAAGTAATTTACTTTAATGAAAAATATTTATACACTTCTTATGCAATATTACAAACAATATCATTAACAAATAAATTAATTTAAAGATAAAATTATCTTTTACTTTTTTATTGTATTGTTACTTATAAGTTATTAATATACTAAATATATATATATATATATATAGCCAATGAATATATAATCTAATATTTTTTCTCAAAAAAAAATTATATGAATAGATTATACTCTATAAAATTTAAAAAAATAAAATAAAATAAAATACACGTATGCATAGCCTTGCTTATTTACCCACCGGCCAATTAAATGCTTAACTTATTCAATCAATGGATCATTTCAATCACCAATAAATAAAGATGAGGTAATTGGACAACAAGAGCATGTCATGGCCCACGTGGCAAGGCTTTTAATGACATGATTGTTAGTCCAATACAGAATATAGATTGAACTCAAAGTTACGGCTCGGATTACCTTTAAGAATTTATGTCTGATTTTATTATTCTATTTTTTATTTTTCTCTAAAAATATTAAATTAAATATTAAATTTTTTATTTATTTTATTACGCTAAAATATAATTTTATATTCAAAATATCACATTAATATATATATCTATATCACACCAAATAACTATTTTTATTAAAAATCAAAATTCAAAATCAAAACATCACACCTAAACACACCCAAAGTGACTTTTGTGAATTCATTGAATCTGCTCTATGACGGTGTATTGGACCATCCACACGTTTCCCATCTCATCTACATCTAATAATTCGCATGTAGGCCTGGGCCTGCCCGCCCAAACATTTGCTTCATATAGTTACAAAATGTTTCTGTTATTAGAAAGTGAAATACTTTGAATGATTTTTATTTTTTTTAATATTTTAAATTATAAAAAATTATATAGATAATATAAAATAATAAATATGTATAATATATTAATCTCTTTGCTTTTTAAGTAAATGATAGCTTATTTTTTTATACGAAGTTTAAAGTATATTAATATTCTCTTAGTACTCGATACTATGTCCATTTTACGGTAGACGCAAAAATTTATAATGAATATAATTAGTAAATAATTAATAATGTATTATTGAAAATAATTATTGTATAATAAAAATAATCATAAATAAATTAAAATAACTAATTAGTCTAATTAAAATATTAAAAAATTAAAATAATACACTCAGATTTGTTTTTATTTTTTATTTTTATTAACCAAAATAATTAATATATATATTGCACCATACTATTATTACAAAAAGTTTTATTACAGATAAAAGTTTTGAAAAAAATTTTGTGCTATGTTTTGTAGAATTTTTACTATTTTTTAAAACATTAAATAAAGTATTTAGTTTTTATCTTTTAATATTATAGAAAAATTAATTGAATTCAAAATATCACATTGTATTTATTTTTATTACATAAAATATTATTTAAACTTAAAATTTTATTATTAAAATCTAAATTCCAAACACCAATCAAACACATATTGAGTTTTAGAAATATTAAAAAAATAATAATATATATTTAATGTGGTTTTATATATATATATAAAAGTACATTTCTAATACAATATTTTAAATAAAAAAATTATATTTAATATAATGATTTTTTATTACTATTAATAAATAGTATAAAATCTTTTAAAATTTAATATGTTTAAAATTTACATTGCTTAATATGTTTTGATATGATATGTTAAATATAAAATTAAAATTTAATATAATATAATAAATAAAAACTATGTGTTTTGATTTAATTTTTTTTTTAGTAAAAAAATTAGAACAGAATATCCAATCCAAAATCCCGACAAAGCAAGACCTGAAGTTGTCGAAGATTGAATCAATGACCTCATAGTTACGAGTCCACCGACATGACTATATATTATATGTATATTATTATTATTATTTTATTTTATTTTTTCTTAAAGGGAATTATGTAACTGAAAAACACTTCCAATACGCTCTAAGAATGTGGTTGGTTAGTGTTTATAATTTGACATTTTTTATAGATACGAAAAATTGTAAAAAGTAATATACTCCATAAGAAATGAAGTTTAATAATTTTTTATTAAACTTATATATTTTTATTAACTGTTAATTGTTATGTACATACATAGAACTATATTATATATTGTATTTTATACAATTTTTTTTTTTTAAATCTTTGTGTATCTTTAAAACAATAAATTAATTTACACTATAATTAATTACTCAAATTATAATTCAAAGAAGTGTAGGAGTAGTTCGCCTATTGTGACTTTTCCGTCGAGCTTGGTTTGCAGGTATTAGGATAGTGTATTTTATTGTGTTTTAAGGACTTGTTTGGTACAAGTAAAAACCACAATAAAATTAATATAATGTATTTTTTCTTGTTTGTTTAAATTTGAAAATTCAAGATAGATAATTAAATTAGTTCTTATTTTCTAATTTTAACTTTCATTTATAGGTAGAGAAATTTTTACTATTTTTTCTTTTCTAATACATATGACTTATCTTTCTACTATTTTTATTCAGTGCAAAAAAAACCATCTTCAATAATTTCTTCTTTCAAATCTTTTTCCTTTTTAATCTAAACTTGTGTTGGTTTGTTTTTTTCATCAAATCTTTTGCATAGTTGATGTTGTCATCACACCATCCGTCGTCCATTTCTTCACTATCCTCTAAAGGTTTTTAATTCATTCTTCTTAAAAAAAAATGTTTTGAATTTCTTGTCGTATATAAAAAGAACATAATGTATTAAATAAATAAACAATTTTGAAAGCCAAAACACTTCCTTTTATATATAATAAACAATTTTAAATAAATGAAAATTTTATAAAACACGTATAAGATAAAATAAGTATGTTTCTTTTGAGTTTGAATTGAAAATATATAATATATATATATATATTTTTTAAATAATATTTTATATAACGTCATAGAAAAAAATATAACATATCATATCATATCATTATCATATATTATATATATATATTTGAACTCATTGTGGCCCCCACCACAATGTAAAGCAATAATTTTTACGGACAATTGGGCAAAAATCCCTCTGTCCATTTATCATTTGGGATTCAGTCCCTAATGATAAAAACTTGCTCTGCACTCCCCCCTTTTTCCTTCTTCCTTCTTCTTCCTCCCTAATCGTATTTCTCTTCATTCTGTTTCTCTTCGCGCAAAAAATTCTTGTGAAGCCGTTGTCCTCTTCCGTGAGCTCGAAAGCCACATCCCGCACAGGTAAGCTTCTTGTCTGGTTCGATTGAAAAATTTCCTAGGGCACTCTCCGAATCCTGTTCCGGTTCCCTGTCGTCGGCGGTCGGTTGATTCGGTCGAAGAACTACCGAAGGCTGTCACCGGTTCCGTGGCCCGTATTTCTTGGTCTCCGGTGAAATTAGATGTACCAAGTGTGTTTTTGTGTCGATTGATTCGGTCGAAGAACTACCGAAGGCTGTCACCGGTTCCCTGGCCCGTCTTTCTTGTTCTCCGGCGAAATTAGATGTACCAGGTGTGTTTTTGTATCGATATCTTAGTTGGAAAATTATTATCTGGAAGAAAATGTTTGGGTATTATTTTGGGTGATTTTGATAATATATTTTGTTGCTATTTAGGGTTTAAGGGTAATATTTATTTTGTGAAATGAGTAATTTGTTGCTATTGAGGATCAAGACATTACTAGAATTCCGTAAGAACATATGATTTTAGTGTATTTTGTGTAAGATTATCTAATCGCCCATACGACCTAATATAGTTCATACGTTCATCGATTGGATCGCTAGGTTCCGATGGACATGGAGCAAAGTAGTCTGAAATTATTAATTATATGTTCCTACGAAGGTGAGCATCATGTAATTCGTTTAGAAGAGGGCACCACGCTGGAGGATCTTTACCGGAATATATCGAAAAGATGGAATAAAGTGAGTATTGAGGCGGTAAAACTCCAATATATTGCACCTATTCAGAAAAGCTACGTGACGTTATTGTGTGACGATGATGTCGCAAATATGTGGAGAATGCATATCTTGTTAAAGGTAATGTTTGTGGATATGATTGCACGGTGCAGAAGCGAGCACCAGAGCGTGCCTCTCAGAAGCACGGTTGGACGCAGGTACGTTACTCATCATTTGTAATTAAGTAGTCTTTATTAAACTTTGTTATAGAATGCAGTCACAATTGTTCCTTATGAAAGAATGCAGTCTGTAAGCACTTATAATGCAGTATGTAAGAATGCAGTCTGTAAGCGCTTATAATGTCATGTTCAACACATCTAAAAACATATTGTTTATAGGTTACGTTAGTAATAATTCTTTCATGATATTGGCATACAACAATACCGTGGTATATTGTTGCGATGTTGTTTGTAGGTAGTAAGTATCCACCTCCGCGATTTTGTAGTAGCGCGGTGCAGAACGAACCACTGAAGAGATTGTAAAGATATGTAGTGGGGATATAACGTCTTGAAGGTATTTAACGATTTTCACTCCTTCTTCACACGCCACTGTCAATATCCTCTAGCAATCCGGTTTAGGTAGGTGTACCATGATCGATGCGTTGAAATTTCTGTAGCCCATGGCATTTACTGCATCACGTAGCCTGCTGCGGTGAATAGATGCAGTTGTTCTTTTAAATACCCTGGATGACACGGTAGGTAACCATAGACACCGTGGACATACTCGGTTGAGTAAGATGGGTACCCATGTTTTTCCATTTACTCTGAAAATATCTATTACCATATAAAATTAGAACTACTTACATCTGATATAATTTTCATTCTTATTATTGTATTTGTAATGTAGGGGTGAGGCCGAATGTTCTGGATTGAACGAAGATTGCGCCGATGGTATCTTTATTCCCGACGAAAGTACTAGTCTAATTGCAATGCAGAGATGCATTGTCGGGGAAGGGCAGACATTCAAGGGACCGCAGGAGTTTAGAAAGTTACTGAAGAATTATTCTATTGCCACTCAGAAACACTTCAGGTACCAAAAGAATGATTCGAGCAAAATTATTGCGGTGTGCATCGACAAAGGCTGTGGTTGGCGTATTTATGCATCCTTCCATGCTCGTGATGCATCATTCAGCATTCGTAAGTGCAATTTACATCACACATGTACTATGAGTCTATTGCAATCAAGAGATCATCCAGCAGCCGATGCGAACTGGATTTCTGAGGTCTACAAAGATAAGATACGTTCTATGCCAGCGTATAAGGCATCCGACATCCGGGAGCATATCCAAACAGATTATGGGATTGACGTGAAATATCATAAAGCATGGCGTGGCAAAGAGAATGCGATAAGGGCAATTAATGGTGGAGGTAGAGACAGTTTCTCACAACTTCCGTGGTACTGTCATGCACTTCGGGAGTCAAATCCGGGAAGTATTATAGACTGCGAAGTTGAGCAGGCAACCAAACGTTTCCAACGCCTTTTTGTTTGTTTAGGTGCATGCCGGCTGGGTTTTTTGAGGGGTTGCAGGCCCCTACTCTTTCTTGATGGGACACATATAAAAAACAAACACAAAGGGTGTCTGCTAAGTGCAATTGCAGTGGATGGGGATGATGGGATGTTTACTTTAGCATTTTCTGGTACGTAATTTGATATTAGCTACAGTTGTCATTTTGTTAGAATGCTGGGTATAGCTGTTCGTGTATGCTGTTTTCCATGCTCTCTTTAGGCACGTATGTACCCTTAAACGTTGGAAACCTTTGTAGTTATTTGTGTTCTTATTTGTTGACTTGCAGCTGTGTCTACGGAAAATGATGAAAATTGGGAGTGGTTTTGCTGGAAGCTGCGATCTGTTTTAGAATGTGAGGGACGCACGGATTGGAAACAGTACACATTCTTCTCGGATCGGCACTCGGGTTTACTAAAGTCAATCTCGTGCGTCTTTCCCGGAGCACATCATGCGTACTGTCTCCGACACTTAGTGGACAACTTCCGTACCCAGGTATATGTACGTCAATAGTAATTTGTAATGAACATCACTGGTTATGATCAGCCATAAAATGTCTTTTTTTTAGGTTATGCGGAGATACCCAATGCATAATAAGAAGCGATGGACCGCTGTCTTCAATAAGGCCGCCTATGCTCCGTTGAGGAGAGATTTCGAAAACCACATTAGTTCTGTGGTCGAATCAATGCCATTGGCCAGGGACTTCATTACCCAATCACACCCAGAATGTTGGGCAAATTCACTATTCAGAGGCACTCGTTGGGGAATAATAAATAATAACATTGCTGAGTCATGGAATAGTTGGGTGAGGTCCGCGAGGTCAATGCCATTCGTTGGGATGTTGGATACCATTAGAAGGCAAGTGATGGTAATGATGAATGAACGCCGCGAAAAGTCGGAGATAATGCACGGAAGGCTCTGTCCAAAACAGGAGAGCAAGTTGGCACTATCGTACATGGCGTCTCGACGGCTACAGTGCAGTTCATCCTCTAGAACTGTATTCGAGGTAACAGATTGTAATGAAAGATACGCAGTCGATTTGGAGGCGCGCAAATGCTCTTGTCGAGAATGGCAAATGTTCCGATTGCCCTGCAAGCATGCCTGCGCTTGCATTGAAAAATGCAGTATGTCAATTTATGATTTTTGCGATCTTTACTATAGCATTGAATGCTACAGAAAAACGTACCAGGAGCCAATAAATCCCGTACCGACGCATGATATGGACGTGATTGTTGAAATTGAGGCGGACCAAATTCACCCTCCTCCGTCGTCTGTCCAACCAGGCCGGCCAAAGAAGCGAAGGTTCGAGTCCCAGCAGGTAAAGAATGCACGAAAATGTGGTCGTTGTGGGCGTCTTGGACATAATAGAAGAAGTTGCAAGCAACGAATAGATTAGCGAACCTTTTTTTCATTGTACATCTTTTTGGCTTCCAGGAGTATATATTAAGACAGTAGGTACATATTCAATAGCTATATTGTAATTGTTTTTTGTGTCTCTAGGATGTAACCGGTTGGATCCATCGACTTATTTGCAGTAGTAAGTGGTATGTAGCCCTCTCACGCAGGTATATGATGAAGTTGTGAAGGTTCATAGTTATATTCTGCAGGTATATTTTTCATGTACTGAGGCATTTGATTATGTAGCTCTGTAGGGACGGATGGTTAATGTAATATCTAATTGTTTTGAAAGTACATGCTATCCTATTTTTGGGTTATTACTAGGAGGTATAGTTGTTGTATTAAACTCGTCATACTAACCAACTGCATGTGTCATACAACTTAAGTATTTGTTGATGCCTTCTTTAACCATCAGCAGTAAATACATGCTATTTGAAGAAAAGAAAAAAAAAGACCGTTTCCCCAGCCACAGGTAACCAGGGCATACATAATTGCAACTGAAGTATAATGTCACGGTTGTTTTAAGTACGCAATAGCTTACAGAGGGTATATGAATAATGATTCCAACATATAGGGTTGCGGTCCGAGTAGTAACCATATTTTATTTTGTTTATACAGTATTCAAATTGTATTACCGTGTAATAACTTGGAGGCGTAGTATTGATTAAAATTCAGCACACAGCTACGTACCAGACTTCCATATGCCACACAACTATATTGTGGTTATATTATCGTGTCTATTCTATTGTGTTCTAATTCAATTAACGGGTAAGCGATGTAAGTATAATCTGTGGCCTAAAACACGTATGTCAAGATTATGGGGTTGACGAGAAACGCTACCATGGTTAAGCCAATACACTCTTACCATCAGTTCATGAATATTTTAAGAGAAAAGGCCGAGTCCCCACCCGCAGGGCACCAGAGCATTTGAAATGGTAACGGAAGTATAAAGGCTATTTCCGTAGGTACATAATAGATACTATAGGGTATTTTTAGTAATGACTCCGTTACTTATGCATCTGAGCTAAGTACCAGACTCGCTGAACGGGGTACACAGATTGCGTATGCGGGCATCTGTGTTGTAGTTGTAGGTATCGTAGTTGTAGGTATAGTAGCACTTATCTGTAACCACGTGTTGCTTAGCATTCCGCAGGAAATAGTTGATTGTAATCTAGACGTTGGCCCACACGCAATTACCAGACACCTATGTCCCGCACAAATATTTTGTTGTAATATTATCATGTTTTTTTAGTATTGTTTGTTTTAAATTAACGAGTAAGCCCTTGCAGTATCTCCGGTCGATTAAAACATGGCGTCCAGTAGGGTTTTATGAGACGCCGACACGGTTGAACTGATTCAAAGTGAACGCTATTTCAGTGATCAGTGCAAAATAAATGACCAGTCCCACAAACGCAAATGACTGGAGCATGTAATATATAAATGGAAGTACATACTAGTTTTCCGTAGGCACATAAAAGCTATCAACGGGTATCACCACACAACGCAGGTATATAATGAAGATGACAAATCAATCCACATAAAAGACATTTACCAATTCCATCACCTCGATACACAATGCAATAACTTCCCAGATCAATCCAAATTGAAGACATTAAACAAATCCATCACCTCCACACAACACAATAACTTCCCAGATCAATCCAAACTGAAGACATTCAACAAATCCATCACCTCGCCACACAACGCAAAAACTTCCCAAATCAATCCAAATTCATTACATGTGTTAACCTGCCCTATTTTTCCATCGGGGTCTACGTTTCAGAAGGGGGGACCTTTCAATATCCTCGCCGCAATCGTGCCTCGGTAGCTCTTGACATCGCCGAAGTCCTCGCCGAGGACACCAACGACATTGACATCTGGACCTGCCCGCGCATAACACTCTGCGAACATGCAGACTAAAGGTCCACAGTCCAACGTTTCACCCTGGTGTCGGCATCTAATGTACTCGGGCATGTCGCTGACCATAGGCCATAGTCGTGACGCGTTCATATACAACGATAAAAATCGCGTCTGCACAAATAACGTTACTCTTTCGTTAAGGCATTCACCCTACCCATAGGCAATTAATTATGATCATTCGAAAGACGTACCAATTTCTTTGCATTCCCCTGCCCGAAGGGGTCGCGCATTGAGTTACACTCCAACACAACACGTTTGACGGTATCCAGTATGCAGAGATGCCAGTGGAACCGGGTGTGTACGGGTAGAAATATGTACCGGCACCCAGACCGGATTTTGTCCATGATTCCGGCAATCTCTTGGCCTACGGTCACTTGCAGCGAGTTGGCAAACGCGAGTACATTACCCTTATTGATGCTCGGCTTTTTCGCTCCCCTGCTTGGTCGTGATAGCGCGTCGTTCACGGCTTTCTGAAAATCGAACACAGCAATCAACGCAATAATAACAATGTGATTTGTAATACTAACCGTATAAATTCCAAACAGGATACTCACCGCTACGAACCATGGCACACAACCACACCGCACCTGCGGATTGTGTTGGAGCTGATATTCATTGCTGCATAGATGATATAGGTACGCGTCGATGACTTCGCCTTTCACAGCTTCGTCAAACAGTAGTTCTAAAACGGCATCGGCCGAGACAGACACGACGCCCTGCTGCCATACAGTGTCCCTACAACATGATAGTCGCAAACGGATAAATACATTGATTGAGAAAAATATATAAAGCCGTAAGAGTGAATAGCAATACCGGACAGCGAATGACGCGAGAAAATGTTCAATGGTGTTCGTCTCATCCTCAGATAAGGAACCCTTTCCACAGTAGCTGTCGTTATTGCGATATCCCTCCCACTTTTGTGCTCCAGGGTCTGCTACAACCTTAGCATCCGAGTCCCCGTCGTCGCCGACGACAAATGGTTCCTGAACCAACAATTAAGATAATCATGTTTCCGTAGGTATCTGTATTTATTGTACAGGTATTGACGCAGAAACACTAGGTATTTATGAATCTATCTGAAGTATTTTGAGCCAGACGACTTATATTTGTATGGAACTACGTACCTGCTCATTATTGACGTCGACCGCTGACTTTCCTTTCGCCCTCCGTGTTCTTCTCGCTTTCTCAATTCGCGGTGTCGACACGGGTGTCACGAATTCAGGCTTCTTCTTTCTCTTCCGATCCTTACGTGCCATTACACCACGTACAATCGATGAATCTGCGGCCCTGCTACAAGTCTCACGGTCGGAGTCATCGCCCTGCTACAATTTCAACAAAGCAAATAATCATTCAACAGATAGACAACTACGACCGGACAAATTGTAATTACTATATTAATTAGCTTACCTTGACATCTATCGGTGCAACATAAGGAACAATGGCCATCAATTGGTTAAACTCTAGCAGGCTACCAACCCCTTCGTCATCTGACTCGTTTATCGGATCAACTTCGGCCAAAAGGATGTCCATTTTTTTTTGCTTCGGCGCTCGGTATTCGCTTGCTCTTCCGCTGCCTCCTCGGGATCCTCCTCAGTCTGCCTCTCCTCCTCCCCAGTTTTTTCCTCCTTCTCCTCCTCCTCCTCCTCTTCACCCTGACTCTCCTCCTCCTGACCTTGCTTCTCCTCCATGTCGGCCTGCTTCTCTTTCCTCTCAGACTCCACAGCCATCCGGTCTGCTGTCTCTTCATCCCCATAGTTTGCATCACCCTCCTCGCCATCGCTCTCGTCCTCACCCTCACCTTCACTGTCGTCATCGACAACACCGGCTCTAGATCTTTGTAATTTATGAGCAAGTCTGGCAATTGCAGTGTCTTTCTTCCGCAGCTCCACCTTCAAAGCCGCAATTTCCTGCGCTGCTTCCTGCAACATATGTTAATAATGTCATATAAGAAATTATTTTATCCATTTACAACGGTAGCAACATTGAATAATGCATTTACCTCTGAAGCATGACAAATAGCACGAACGAACTTTTCTTCCGTGCCTATCCGATAGAATTCTTGAACATCGGACCGCTTTATGGAAGTCAGTTCATCAACTGCATGAACCCTGGACATTGGACCGAGGCTATTCAGCCACCGAAAGAGACGCGGTACCTTCGGAAGGCACCGTGCCTTGTCCAGAGTTGGGACCCTCTCATTGAACCAGGCCTGCACATATTGTAATAGACATTACTGCCAACAATAATACATATTGTGCAATATACCAAAATAAGTAGAAAAAATTAACAAATCCGATATTACATTGCTTACCAACAAACCCGCGGTGCAGCCTGTCAAATATTTTTTCCCGGACTTGAAGTCGCTTATAGACTTCAACAGATAACGGTGACTCGCGGGTCCCCACGCGTAGTCACCAATCGCACTCAGGTCTTCCACATACGGTAACAAAAAAAGGGGTACAGAATAATTCGCAGAACAAAATAAAATATTTGCAAAAACAAACATAATAAAAAGACGAGCAACATCCGCAACAGAAAGAGGCTCCAGCCCCTGCAACAGAGCCTCACGCAGCTTCTGCAACACCTGCCCGCGGGTTACAGAACGTGGCTTGCTCCCAAAAATTCGAACAAACCATTCGCTTTCGACCGATGTATTTTCGGTCACGTAGACTCCTTTCGCGTGTAGTCCTAAGACTACAGAATATTCTTCAACTTCAAACGGAAGCTCAATGTCACTTCCAATCTTGAAGGACATAGATTCCGAACTGAAGCTATTGACGAGGGCAACAAGTCGGTGCCATGGAAACTTCATTTTCGGGCAATCCAGAAAATGCCCGAATGGTGTCATGTTTATAGCTGCGATGTGTTGGTCTCTCATGTGTTGCTTCAGTTTGGCCAGCTCATTATGAAAAAAAGGTAATGCAAATCGGCTGATCACCGATTTGTGCTCCTTGCCTGGCCTGTAAGTAAAAACCATAAGTCCACGTTACCCAAATCTCTAATTTAGTTAAAAGTTTTTCACAATTTAGCAGGAGTAAAAACGCATTCCGAGTATACAACAGTGCCGTTCAGGTATATTAATTGGCAAATTAGACCAAACAAATGAAACTCCTGGTGCCTAATATTACCGCATTTATCAACCCACAAATATGACTACTTACCGAACAATCCACCAAAAAACCTAAAATATGCAACTTCGAGTAACTAAACAAAATATACATCTCCAAAATTAACAAAATCAAAGATAAAAACAGATCAAATCACCCAAAATCGGCCGAACCGGGTTTCCTGGCCAAAAATTCGAACAATTTCAAACCACCCGTTGAACTAACACAACACCGAACACCCAGGGCTCCTCATCACTAAACCGAGGCATACAAACACGGGACCAAGGCTTCTACCCCAAACAATCGAGTAAACTACGATATAAAATTCGATTGTCAACAAAATCATAAAACGAAAAGGGTTTCGACCAGACACTTACTTTTTTGAACTCCTCGTGGGGGATCGCGGCGGATTCGCGGTTTTTCTCACCATTTCGCTGAACAAAATGTCTTACTGCTGATCGTCGAGTTCGCGAGGGACGATTTCCTTCTCGAAGAACTAGGGCTTGAACGGAGAGTGAGTGAGGGGAGTTAGGGAATGTTTCAGTTTTTATATCGTGCATATTTTCTGTGATTTTTTTTTTAAAAAAAATCACAAAATAAGGTACGCAGTATTTAAATGGAATTATCTAATCGTATACTGGGGGTAGAGCGGGAGGTAATGTAGGTATATATTATAAAATTGGGAGTATTTATTAATCAATCGTAAGTATATGTTGCATATACAATGGTGATTGAGTAGAAAATACAAGAAGGGAGTTATAACATATCTAATCAATAAAGTAGGGACTGCAGATCAATTAATTTACAATGGGGACTGAATTGCAAGCAAAATACACTGACAGGGATTTTAGTCCAAGTCTCCCTAATTTTTAGGGGTTTTGAATTTTTTTTAAAAAAATTTGATTGAGTGAAATATTTGATTAATTAGAAATTTTGAACAATTTTGAATTATTTTTGTTAAATTTCTATTAATTGTTGAATCTGATTAGTTATTATATAAATGTAGGCCAATATATTTTTTTATGTCATATAATATAATATATGTATATGTTTTATATTTTTATTTTAATATATATAAACACACACACACGAAGGATTTATAATAGGAGTATAATAATTATTGTTTAATAATTATTTCTTATTATTGATTATTTGATAGAATTATTTTTTATTAATAAACTTAAATATTTTTAAAATTAAATTTATTATTTATTTTGAATTTTTTTAATTTTTAAAAATTTTGTATTTTTTTTATTAATTCATCATTCATATATGTTAAGATATATTATTATTAATATTTCTCATTATATGGTACTCCCTCCGTCCACACACAAAATAAATATTTATTTTTGGCGTGGTGTTTAAAAATTAATAATATTTTAATTTTAGAGGGTAGTTAAAAGTAGTGTAATGACATTTTTGTCATTTGTTTTTCTTGTTTAAAAGTAATTATGTGATGTAAAGTAAGGGTATTTGTGGAAAAAAAAGTGAGGTATTTAATAAAATATTTACTTTATAATTGGACGTTCCAAAATCAAAATAGAGTATTATTGTTTCTCATTCTAATTTTCTTTTGTCTATTTATCATATATATTATATATATATATATCTATATATTTGAACTCGATGTGAAGTCCATCATAATCTAAAGCTTTGAATTTTTAGTATTTTTGTTTTTTTTTTTTTTTTTGCTAATTTTCATTGCGTTAGCTATCATACTTTTTGTTTTTCATTTTTTATCTTTCAATGTGCATCAGCAGTGACCATTCATCTCCCCAATGTAACGTTTATTCTCCCAATATACATTTCTTCAAATTACAACATTCCTTTTCTATTTAACATAATTGTTAGTCCGTTAAAAAAAAATTTGACTTCAAACTACAATTTTCCTCTTCAATTTGTTAGTTAACACATTCTTCTCCTACCAACTCATTTTTCTTCCACTAATTTATTACTAATAATTTATTTGTTCTTTCGCAACAGTTATAACAGTATACAAAATCGCCCGCAACAACGAAATAGAAGAAGGAATGGAAGGAAAATAAGGAAATTCAAGACTAATGATGACGATGGCGCCGGAAGTAGAAAAAACAATTAACAAACATGTTGTTTGTAAGACTTTCACAAACAAACGTATGTTTTGCACAACTTTACTGTTTGCGAGTACTTGAAAACGATTTTGGAAGAAGCTGCAAACTAAAAAAATAAAAAATTAAAGAAAAAAAGAAAAGAATAAAGTAAAAATAAAAACCTACCGATACTTTAACGGCTGGCAGCGGACGTCATCTATGGGAGAAATGCGGCGGTGGCGCAACTTACAAGAGGAAGGTGAAAAAATTGAGATGAGTGAGAAGAAGGAATCGAAAAGTAAAGGAATAAACGGAGAAGAAAAACGAAGAAACAAGAAGAAGAAACGGTGAAGAAAGTAGAATCTGGGGGAAATTGTGGAAAGTGTTTGGGGTAGAGTTTGTTTATTTATTGATGTATTTAGAATCAATAGTCCTATTACATTATTATACTAATTATATTATTAATTTTTTGTGTTTGTACTTATTTTTATTAATTGTATTATTAAATTTATTTTTTTGTAGTAATATTATTTATATAGTTTTTTTTAATTTTTTAGACATATATGTGTGAAATAATAATCTACGAGGATAAATTAAGAATAAAAAATAATAATATACTGATATGAGAAAGCATTTTAGAAAATTAATTTTGAAATTCAATAAAATTCTTTTAAATACTAATTTATTAAATATTTAAAATAATTGTTTGACAATAAACTAAATATTATTGAATAAACTAATTATTGAACACTTTAAATAATTTTTTATTTGTTTGTTTTGATTTAATCTTAATTTTGAAATTTGAATAAAATTGAAATTGTCAATAAAATTTATATTGTAATATTATATTTAATTTTTTTTATTTAAAACTGAAATAAACATTTGTTTAATTATACATTATATTTATGAATAAAATAAATTGTTGCACTTTTTATTTAGATATATTTATATTCAATAATGATAATTTTATATTTTAAAATATAAGAAAAGATGAAAGATAGGATGAAGTTGAATAAAAAGAAAATATCATCACTATTTCTTCATAAATTGTTTAAGCATCAACGGTAGAATAAGAAAAAAATGATAATAGAATAAGAGGAAAATGAAAAATGACTAAAAAAAATAAAACAAAAGAAAAAAGAGGACAGAAATAGGGTCTCGAGTTGATTTAGGATTATTATTAATTTTTGTATAAATATTTTTGAAAAATTATAAAAAATATATTATGTAAAAATATATTTAAAAAATAAACAGTTATATAAATTGTATTTTGTTTTTGCATATAAATATTTATCAGTAACAGTTGTACGCTATTTTAAATAATAATAAAATTATATATTTTAATATTTATATTTACTTTTGATATAATTTTTAAATACAACTTTGGAACTTGGATGTCGTAAATTGCACAATAACCAAACAAACGAGGAATATATATACACAGTGTATATTGTTTCATTTACGAATTATTTGTATTTTGATGTTTTTATGATATATAGTATATAGTTTATTTTAAAATGATTTGAAATGCATTATAGCTATATATATTGGGTATGTATTTTTTTCAATAAAAAATTTCTTCATAAATATTATTAAAAAAATAAAAATATACATGCACATTAATATAATATATATTATCCTGTCATAAAAAGTAAGTTAATAATTTAACATAAAATATTACTCTTTCCGTCCAACTTAAATTGTCTTATTTTGCTTAGGCATGAAGTTTTAGATATTGGATAATTTATAGTTAATTAAGAAATATATTAGTAAAAATTATTATAGATTAAAATTAAAATGACTAAATAATTTATTAAAAATAAAAATAAATTATGAATTTTAAAATGTGATTAAAATGTATAATTATATTTTTTTTAAAAAAATGATAAATTATGCTGAATATTTTTTCATATTATCAACACAGTTTTCCATTACACACAAAAAATCAATTAGTGAAAGTGTGATTGTATCTCAATTATTTATTTATTTTTTAAAAGAACAAGTAAAATAATTTTAGACTATCAAAGTAGATAAATTAATTACGGAAGAAGGGATAGTATAACAAGTCCGTGCGTAGCATCGCTAACGACTAGTATTTTATATACAAATTCAAACAGGAAATTTCAAAAATAGAAAGTACTCTCTTATTATAATAAAATATATATACTAAAATTAAAATTCGAAGATAGGAAACAATATCTGTACTGACCCAATAAAAGGCCCATGATCGGAAGGCCATTTTAGCTATAGTCCTGGTCCTCGACCGTCACCATCAAATGAGGACCGGATGGCGAAAATCTAGCATGTTCTAAGAGAGTTCTGATTGGTCGTTCACGTACCGACGTAGTAACTCTAGCAATCTCCCTAATTAATTTAAGTTAAATACCCTGATTTTTTTGTAGTTGTTTTCTCACGTGTCCCTGCATCGCGAGTGATTTTGCACAGCTGGAATATCGGCAGGGAGATTCTGTGTGTGTGTGTTCGACGGATCCTTCTCGCGGATTCAATTGAGTTGAGTTCACAATTTTTGGTTGATTCTGTGTTCTTTACTCACCATTTTTTCAGTAACCATTAAAAACTGAATGGGGAGCTAATGCTCGATCTCTACAGTGATTTGTAGCATCGTGAGCTTCACCACGCATCCGGATTGGTGTGTGTGTCGGCGAAGGGGAGGGCCGAGTGGTAGTCAGGGGGATTGATTTTCTCTGCATTTGGCGATGGCTGATGAACCCTTGCCCACTCGGTGGTCTTTCCAGGTGCCTTTCGATTTTATTTGTCGCTGTTTTTTTTTTTTATATTTTCGTTTTTTTGGTGGCTCGCGTTGACTGTTCGACTGTTATGTATCGAATCTGTGATTCTGCCGATTTGTTGCGTTTATTATTATTAGTTTTTTGTTGGATGTCGATGTTGCTATTAGGAGTAAGCATTAATCTTGGATTCATCGAACTTTGCAATGCTCTAGCGTTTCCATTCCTCGAACATTGGATTCCCTTGTGTTCACTCTTCATTCATTCCACGTTTACGATATTTTTAAGCTATGTAGCGATTGGGACCAATTTGTTGGTGTATTGATAAGCTATTATGATCTATTACTTATTATTTATGAATGGCCAGACTCTAGAGAGTTTGGCCTTCCTATATGTTTTCATTTGTAGACAAGTAGGTTTAGGTGAATCTACTCTAACTAATGAAGAAAATATGAAAATTAGTACAGTGTCTCAATTTTCAGTGCATGGTTCAGGAGTTTAAGTTGTATTACGATTCGAAGTTCGGGCGAAAGAAGTTGGAGGAGGAAAAGGATGAGGCTTCAAATGGTCAAACTGTGATGAATGGAAATTATTCTAGTGCCATGGGCAATGGAAATGGATATGCAAACACATCTGATTTGGCTGTATATGAACAGTATCGGCTCCAGGTACTGTTCTTTCAATAGATAATTCATTCATGTTTGGTTTAATTTGTTGTTGATGCATTTTTTGGCATGGTTGTTGTCTTCAGGATAACGGGAGCTCGGTACATTCTAATGGAATCTCAAGTGTGGGAGTGCATCAAAAGCCGTATGGTCTTTGTCAGCCTTAATTTATTGTTTTTTCTTACTGTCTTAACGACTATCAATACTGTTTAGAATAATTCTGATATTTGGTTATCTTTTTTCCTTCCTAATACTTTGGGATGTATGGATTCCATTCACTATATTAAGGTGTTTGACAGAAGAATTTTATCAAGTTTAAATATCTCAGAATTGTTATATATTTCTTTGGGCCATTCTTGACAACTGGATTCTAGCCATTGTAGTATTTTTTCTCATATTGAATACTTAGCAATTACATTTTGTTTTACAGTTAATTTTCCCATGTTTGCTGTGCTGTGTGAGAGCTTATGATGCATTGAATGGTTGCTCAGATTATTTTTTGTTAAACTAACAAACTAATTTGATGGAGCATGCTAATGTTTCTGTGAGGCTCCTCAGTTTCATTCCTGGATTTAGACCATTAAATTTGTGATCCTTCAATATTCAACTTTATTAACATACTTCAAGTCTAAGTGCTGGATGTCTTTTTGAGAGTCTACTGCCAGTTAGTCTTCTAACATGTAATTTTCACTTTCAGGCAGAAGTCTTTACTTCCACCTTTTGAGTCTGCTGAAGTCCGTGCTTTGGCTGAGAGTTTAAGTAGGTAAACCATGGAATTGCTGGATCACAGCTATGACAACCTGTTATTAAGGCAAATATCCTGTTTCATATTGATCATCTTATTATGGCTTCTTAACTGTGAACATCCTGCGCAGAGATATCATCCGTGGAAGCCCAGATGTTACATGGGAAAGCATAAAAGGGCTAGAGAGTGCCAAAAGGCTACTCAAAGAGGCTGTTGTTATGCCAATAAAATATCCAAAGCACGTTTTCTAGATTTCCTCATTTCATGCAGAATAATGAAATTCTGCTTTTCCAAAACTGATAGAATATCGTCCAATTCTCTGTTTCAGGTACTTTACTGGTCTTCTAACACCATGGAAAGGTATTCTGCTTTTTGGGCCCCCTGGAACTGGAAAGGTTTGTGCTCCACCATTTTTATATCTTCGTAATATTTGCTAGTTGCCATTGATTGTTTCACATGGATTTTGGAGATTGGTTTTATTCCAAATGATTTGAGATGTTCCTGGTAATACAAGGCACTTTTCCCTTGTCATTTGCAATTCATACCTCAGCTCTGATGGTTGTAGTACAATATATTTCTCTTGTTGCTTCGTTTGAATTTCTTTCCCTGCTGTTATGTCTTGGGGTAAATGGTCAACTTTGGCTTGGTTTAACACAAACATCTAAAAGAAAACAAATATGATTTGTCATTATAGCACACGTTGTATCTGCCTTATTTTAACTTTAAACCTGCAGACATTGCTGGCCAAAGCAGTTGCAACTGAGTGCAAGACTACTTTCTTCAACATTTCTGCATCATCGATTGTGAGCAAATGGAGAGGTACTCTTACTGGATTATGCTTCATTATTCCTTGTATGATAACCCAAGTCCGGGTATTGCATTTGCTTGTATCAACTTCTGGTTGACTCGGTTTCATGCCAAGAGTTTTTACGTATACCTCACATTTATGCTCTGGTCAAGATCATGTTGAACTAATATTTTTGAGATAAAATTCCTGGCTTATATATGGTCACTTCCCTGAACGGAATATAGATATTATTTCTCGTCAATTAAATGTTTGAGGTTGGTTTTACTATCCCAAAAACATCTTTTTCCCCTAAAACATCAATACATGTTTATATGACATCAAACAATTACTTTAATTCAAAATTTTACTATTCAAAATCAAAACTCAAAACCTCACAAGTAAACACACCAAACATATTCCAGGTTGAAAATATGGAGTCTAGATTTAACTATATATTGGACTCTTGGTGGATGTAAAAACCTTAGGCATCGGTTTATCATGCTCACGTTGAAAATATTTGGATTATCCTACCTTGCAGGTGATTCGGAAAAATTGGTGAAAGTGCTATTTGAGCTTGCTAGACATCATGCACCATCAACTATATTTCTGGATGAAATTGATGCCATTATCAGTCAACGTGGTGAAGGGCGCAGTGAACATGAAGCTAGCAGACGCCTGAAAACTGAGTTGCTTGTACAGGTGATATATTATAAGTGACACAGCTATAAAACCCTGTAAACTGCTGTCTCAGTCATGATTCAACCAAGTAATGTTAAAACAAATACATCGACAAAGGTAATCAGTAATAATTTGTCTGTGTAGCATTAAGTAGTTCTTCCAATTTCCAGCTGGCAAACCGTGCCTAAAATTGTCGTATTTTGTTCTGACATATCCAAACCTTCAAATAAGATGTAACCATCTGTGGTACCATTTGTTTAGGTATTTTCAACATTTAACAGTTTTAGTGAATGCTCATTCAATGACTACCAACTATGTTGCACCATATTGTCATGTTGACTTTGATCAATTTATCTGACCCACCATAGTGGAATAAAGATGTTGCTACTAATTATGAGCTAACGGGGAAATGAAATTTCAATCCTAGAACTGGTAATATTGAGAAAAAACAAAATCATTCTAATATGTTTACTGGGACGATTAAACCAATATATTGTTTCATTCATTTGCTTATCTGTAAATGCAGTATTCTGTTCAAATTTAGTTTCTGAATCTTTAATGGCTATGGACTGAACTGCAGATGGATGGTTTGACTCGGACAGATGAACTTGTTTTTGTTCTGGCAGCAACTAATCTCCCTTGGGAACTAGATGCAGCCATGCTTAGGCGTCTTGAAAAGCGGGTTAGTTTCGGACTCTTTTAGTACAATTCATTTTGTAGTGTAATAACAACATTTTCTGACAACTTCGTGTTATAAACATTTAACTTTATTGAACATCCAAAGACATTTGTTATATGCTGATCAGAGTTCAGACCTAATGTGATAACAATAAACAGCTGCATCAGTTCTCTACTAGAAGTCCATTTTAATTCTTTTCGTGTTTGTTGCAGATTCTTGTACCCCTCCCTGATCCACCAGCAAGAAGAGCAATGTTTGAGGAACTTCTGCCCTCAATACCTGACCAAGAACTTTCTTATGATTTATTCGTGGAGAGGACGGAAGGCTATTCAGGCTCCGATATTCGTCTTTTATGCAAAGAGGCTGCGATGCAACCCCTGCGACGGTTAATGACAATTCTTGAGGAGAAACAAGAGCTCGTACCTGAGGAAGGTATGTCTTCTTACACATCATCAAATATAGGATAGCCGGAATTGCAATAATTGGTTACTACTAACAATTTTGGCGCCGTGCAGAGCTGCCAAAGGTTGGGCCAATTACAGTCGGCGACATTGAGACAGCGCTGAGGAACACTAGACCTTCTGCTCATCTCCATGCACATCGTTACCATCAATTTAACGAGGACTATGGCAGCCAAATACTCCAGTGAAGGCTTGCGCATGTTTCTGTCTTGAGCTGTTGAAAATTATCTCGAGGTACCTATGCCTAAGATTTTACGTTCTTATCATTATCGTATTCATTGAGCCCAGTCGATAAATGGCATAAAGCTCTACCTAGCTAGCTGTTTGGATTTGATCTGTTGTTATTTGTGTTGTTGTCGACAGTTTGTGCCGTTTTATTTATATCGACACCGGCCTTAGTCAATTATATGGGAAGTATTAGGCCATTGTGTTCGGGAATGACTTTGAGTCAATATATATTTCAGTCTTATTGTTCCTATTCAGTGCTAGTAATAGATACATTTTGTTGTTTAAGACGTTTGCTAATAGGACGTGTTTTATTACTCAATTGAAATGGATTTTATAATATTAATGAAATAGTACTTTATTGTTTTGTGTAGAAATATCAAAATATTTTGTCTGTCTAAGCCAAAAGTATTGAGATGATCGAAAATGAAATAAATAGATACATTTGATTTGGCTGCTATTTTCAACATATTTGTAATTAGATGTTTGGTATTTTAGTTTTGTCTGTGTGGCGGAAGGAATTATATATAAGAAGTTAGGAGGACATTCCTGTGATTAGAATTATATGTAAGAAGTTAGGAGGACATTCCTGTGATTATTTTATTATTATATCCGATCTTAGAGTTGACTGAATTATTGGGATCCAATCTTAATTATTACTCCATATCCGATCTTAGCCATCTCTATGCATCACAGGTACTGGTGAGCAAAAAAAAATCGAACCGAATCGTCGAACCGTATAACCGAATTGAATCGAACCGAATTTTCGGTTAACCGATCAAATTCGGTTCGAATAACGGAGCAAATTCGGTTCGAATACAAATATTGCATATTTGATATTTGTTCGGTTCGGTTCGATTTTGGTTTTTCATATTTATTTTGGTTCGGTTAACCGAACCGAATATATTTATATATTTATATTATTATATTTTAAAATTTATATTAATAATTATATACGATTCGGTTTCGGTTCGAATATTTTAAAATATTTGCAAATATTTTTTATTTAATAAGAATTTTAATTTTTTTTTATATATTTTTTCTTAATTTCGGTTCGGTTCTACAAATATTTTCGGTTCGAATACGATTCGCGGTTTCGGGTATTTGTTCGGTTTGGTTCGGTTATCAAATACCTGCATATTTGCAAATAATCGAACCATGCCCACTCCTAATCTCAGGTCACCTGCGATGTGATCTGCTTAGTGTGATTTACCAATTGATTTAGTTTGCAGAATATTATGTTGGACAGAAGGTTTACCCAATGCCAATTTTTGAGCAACTGCTGGTTCCACGTCATTAAAAAAAATAGAGAGACTCAGCCATTTACATTATTATTATTTATAAAATAGCTCAAAACTTCTATTTTTTTTTAAAAAAATTAAAATTAAAAGTCAAATTAATATTTTATTTTAAATTACAATAAAATATATTTCTCATGACTTAATTTTTTAATAATATTTTATAAAAAAAAATTAATTTTATATAAAATATTACTCATTCATTGAAAATTATGTTCGGTATGATTGAATGTGCTGTGTAAGGGTGTAATTAATAAATAATTAAAAATATATTATTAAAAATAATTATTTTATATTATAAATAATTATAAAATTAATTAATTTAATTAAAATTAACAAAAGAATATACAGTACTCTCTTCGTTTCAGTATTTGGTGTGCTTATTTTGTGAATTATTTTGAAGTAATAATTTTTACTTGAGTTACAGAGATTTATGATAAATTATATTTTTTGAAAAAATATATTAAAAAAATGTATAAAGAGAACAACACACCCTTTATATTTATTTTATTATATACTCCTTCTATGTATTGTATCAATATTGTTGTTTCTGAGCCTCCATATTTTGTCATTTTTTTTTATATAAAAAATGTATACATTTTACTTATATTTTACAAATTTTAAATCTTAATTAGATTATTAGTTATATTAATTTTAATTTATAATTATTTATATTGTATTTTATTAATATAATTTAATTATTTACTAATTATATCTAAAGTGTCGGTGTCATATCTGAGACAAAAAAAATAGTATTTATATTTTTAATAAAAATATAATATTATTATATAATATTATTTATTTTTATAAAATATGTATCTGATTTTAATTTCAAATTGTAATTAATAAAAACATACTTCTTCCGTCCATTTTCTATATTTATATGTTTTTCTACGCAATTAGTTTGTTGTTATAAAATAACAAATTTGTCATTTATTTTGTGTTTAGAAAATAAAAGAATAAATAAAATAAAAATAAAAGAATAAATTATGTATATAAAAATAAAAATAGAACAATAATGATTGAACATTTCAAATAAAAAAGTAAAACCTTTGTAGACAGGAGAGTATTATTTTTATTAATAAAATATTATATCAATATATTATTTAAATAAATTTCAAATAAACATTATATTCCAATTAATTTCAAATTACAACTAAACAAAATATTTTACTTTGCACATTCATTTTAATATATATATATTATATACAGTACAATAGATAGTGAATAGTCAATTTAAAATAAATGATGTGACTATTGTAATAATAATAATCAAAATATAGGAAAAATTTTAGTAAAAATGGCAAAACAAGTATATTGATTTCATAGGGACATATTTACTTGTAATGTTTTTATTTTGATTTTACATTTTTCAATTTCTTTTTTTAAATATTAAATTAAATACTTAATTTTCATTTATTGTATTACATATAAATATATTTTTACATTTAAAATCAAAATTTTACAAGAAAACAAAATTATCTTTATATTTCAAATTCAGTCGTAATACCAAATAATTGTACAATATTCATGCTAATAAAATATCATATCTAATAAATTACTATCCAAATTAAAAAAAATTAATTAAATCAAAATTCTAAAAAAACAATAAATCCAAAATTTTATTTTATCTTTTAATTTTAATTTTAATTTTAATTTCTATTTATATAGTATTATAGTAATATTCTATTTCAATTCCAGATTTGATTCTTGAAGCTTTTACTGTATGGGTGTGTGTCTGTAATTCCGCATTTCTGTATTTCCTTTTTGCTCCTCGGCTTGGCTGGGCTTGGCTTCATTTCGTTTCGTATCGTTTCCTAATTCTTCCTACTCCTACAATGAGGAGCTCTCTGTCTCTCTGAGATTTCATTGCTCTTCTATGTCTCAATCCAATTCCCCTTCCCAAGCCTCTACCAATCCCACCAAGCGCTCATCGCCGCCTTCCTCCTCCTCGCCCCACGCCGCCGCCTCCGCCGGGCCCCCAATTATTCCTGCAATGAAGAAAGCCAAGTCGCAGGCGGTTACCGGCTCGCTCGACGGCCAGCACCCAACTTCACCTCGCGTTCACTTCGCCGACCCCCCTGCTCGCTCTCCGATGACTGAAGATGATCCCACCGACGTCGGCCTGGATACCTCCTTTCGGCCCGACGCTTGTGAACGCACTGTTGATATTCCTGTCAGAAGCTTCACCTCCAATTTGGCTCGGAAGAAGGCCACGCTTCCGCAGCCTAAAAAGCTTGTAATTAAGCTTGTTAAAGGTTCAATTTTACTTTGCTTTGAAGCTATGCTTATTTTCCGAAATACGCGATTATTTTTTTATGAATTGAGCTGCAATCGTTAGGGCTTTTTTTTCTAATGTGTTTGATTGGCTGATTTGGTATTGAAGCTTTGCCCGTCATTGGGTGAGACGTTGGATGTTTTTGTCCGTTTGGCCTTTATTTAGGTTTGTAATAATCGGGGATCTCGGTTTTGCTGCTGTTATAGAGACTGCACTTTGTTACATCTGAACTGTATGAAATTGGATAGTCCTTTAAGCTATCAGCTGACACTTGTTCTGATTATTGTTAACTTGAGCTGATTTACACATTTTGGCAAACTCTAGGTTACACTGCCACTGTTACTTATTACTGTACCAATTACCATCCCATTCTTTAGGCCTCAGATATTAAACTTAATGTGCAATTTGAATATAGTAATTGGGGTGAGTTAGTTATAAGTCAGATGGTCCTTTATAACAGTGGCTTGGATTCAATATAACTGAATGAGAATAAGAAAACCAAATCACGATGCATTCATTTTGTTAACTGAAGAATCTATGTGTCTTTGTTGCTACACATGGATTAATATACTCTGTATAAGTCTGATTTCTTGTGTTGGATTAGCATTTTGAATATGATAACCATGCTGTTTACAGAATAATGGATAAAGGAGTGATGTATCTAGAATGTTAGTTATTTAAAGTTTGCAAATTGGAAGTAGACTTGCTCAAAATGTTTGTCTGTGTTTATTATGTGCAGCATCCATTATTTCATTAGCTTTGTGATATGATGTGCCTATAGCATGATTTGTGACTATGTCATGGTACATTGTAAATCATTGGCTGATATTAAAATCTTCTGCGAATTGTGTTGGTTAAACCATCACGTGATCGGAATTTTAATGTACTAAATAAGTGTTGTTCTCTGATATACTGTGATTTGTGTCTTAGCCAAACCGACACTGCCAAATAATTTTGAGGAAGATACATGGGCAACACTCAAGGCAGCTATCAGTGCCATATTTTTGAAGCAACCTGACCCATGTGATTTGGAGAAGCTTTATCAGGTGAGCAAAGATGTTGTGTTTTGCTTTCATTAATCTTTGGAAACTTCTGACTGGAAAACTGTTTATCTTAAGGTGGTCAATGACCTTTGTCTGCATAAGATGGGAGGGAGCCTCTACCTAAGAATTGAAAAGGAGTGTGAAACTTACATATCTGCGGCTCTACAATCTTTGGTTGGCCAAAGCGATGATTTGGTGGTTTTCTTATCTCATGTCGAAAAGTGCTGGCAGGATTTTTGTGACCAGATGTTAATGATCCGGGGTATAGCATTGTATCTTGACAGAACATATGTGAAGCAATCACAAAATGCGCTCTCATTATGGGACATGGGCTTGCACCTCTTCCGCAAACATCTTTCTCTAGCTTCTGAAGTGGAGCACAAAACTGTATTTGGTCTTCTGAAAATGATCGAGAGTGAGAGGTAATGTATAGCTTTACAAATCTGGCTATTTGCCTACATACTCAATCCATTAATAAGGTTTAGAATTATGCAGTTTACACCCTGCACTGGAAAACTAAGGTTAAATAAAACCTATGTCTGCCTTCAGAATACTCTTATCATTTGCTGTTGTCAATATCGGCTACTTTTGGAATTGAAAAGGCATAGTGGTTTGTCCAGAGATACAATAGTGGCACATTCTAATAATATTTTTTTCAAGAGCTGCAGGCTAGCTGAAGCAGTTGATAGAACTCTTCTTAATCATCTTTTGAAGATGTTCACTTCATTGGGAATTTACTCAGAAAGCTTTGAGAAACCATTCCTTGAGGCTACATCTGAATTTTATGGAGCTGAAGGTGTCAAATATATGCAACAGGCAGATGTTCCAGATTATCTGAAGCATGTAGAGGTGGGAATTAATGCTGCAATTTTTCTGTTGCTAACTTCATATTAAAATCTTGATCTTCATTCTACTACATCGTTGAAGTTTTGGTAATCACCGCCTTATCATTTTTGCAATCTCTGCATTCCAGATGAGGTTGCAGGAAGAACATGAAAGATGCTTACTTTACCTGGATATAAGCACCAGAAAGCCACTGATAGCCACTGCAGAAAAGCAACTTCTTGAGTGCCATATATCTGCAATTTTGGATAAGGTTGCTTTCATCTGTGCTGTACTGTAAATATAACCGCCTTATCCATTCTCCATCCTGTGCCTCTGCACTCTGTTGATATGCTTATGATCTACATGTCCAGGGTTTCACGTTGCTGATGGATGGGAAGCGTATTGAAGACCTTCAGAGAACATATAAACTTCTCTCCAGAGTTAATGCCCTTGAACCACTGAGACAAGCACTTAGTAATTATATCCGTAAAACTGGCCAGAGTATTGTCATGGATGAAGAAAAAGACAAAGATATGGTGTCCAACTTACTGGAATTCAAGGCGAATCTTGATATGATATGGGAAGAAAGCTTTTCTAGAAATGAAGCATTTGGCAATACCATCAAGGAATCATTTGAGCATCTCATTAATATCCGCCAGGTACTATCACAGTGTTTGGTTAGTTTTTCTAAAAAAGCTCCCTCCATACTTGAAATATACACTTTAAAAATGATTGGTTACATTTAGTAATTAGAACCAACCATAGTATATAATTAGTGTTGATATAGTTGGTTCTCTTTGGTTTTATACCAGACTGGCTATTTCTTGGACACATAGTATCAGCTTCTTAATTTGGTTTAGTATCATTCATGGATATTACATGTAATCAGGTGTTGTAATAATCATGTATATTCTGTTCCCTTCCAGAACCGACCTGCTGAGCTAATTGCCAAGTTTGTGGATGAGAAACTTCGTGCTGGAAATAAGGGTACATCGGAGGAGGAACTAGAGGGTACACTTGATAAAGTTCTGGTGTTGTTTAGATATATACAGGTGAATGGACATTAGTAGGCTTCAAAATTTCATATCTTGCATATATCTGGCCTTTCTGAGTTTGGCTGGGTAACATGTTTCCATCCTCTTCATATAGGGTAAGGATGTATTTGAAGCATTTTATAAGAAAGATCTTGCTAAAAGGCTCTTGTTGGGTAAAAGTGCTTCTATTGATGCTGAGAAGTCGATGATTACAAAGGTGATACCCCATTTTAGTTTTTCTGTTATGTTGCTTTTATATTTAGTTACCCCAGGGTCTCTGGTCTGTCTGAATATATACTAGAGTAAGAAAATTTGGAATTTGTTATTGCAGTTAAAAACTGAGTGTGGCAGTCAGTTCACCAACAAACTTGAAGGAATGTTCAAGGTGTGTTACTTTTTTTAATTTTTAATTTTTATTTTTAAGCCTTAGGTAGTTACATTTATAATTCTATATGGTAAAGTTTATTGTTACACTGAGTTTTAAAAAGAATATACCAATTTTGCTGATTTATCTTGTGTTCATGTGATCTGTCGATCTTCTGCTTATTTATCAAGAACTCTTGTTATTACTTCAATTCTAGTTGGGAGCTTCTTATCGAGAGGTAGCCGTGTTGTTGATACATACATCCTTGTTAGAGTAATAATAGTTGCTAGAAATATATTTGATGACTATACAGACAATTCATGTTGATCCTGATTCAAGTCATTTATCTGATCATAGTGGGAAAAGATGGTTATACATGATCTGATATTGGACCCTAGCAAGACTTAAATGCTGAAATTCTTGAAACAACTTTGTCTTAGGTATATTAGTGAGAGAAACTTATTGGGAAGAACTGTAATGCCATAATAGTGATAAAAAGGCAAATTTGTTTTCTCAGTATAGTAGAAAAGGATTCCATTGGTTCCAGTGCTTAGTTGAAATTGATCAAATCCTGTTTCAGAGATTGCAACAACAGACAGATTTTGGAACTAGTTTAGGACTTATGTACATCGTAGTTGGACTAGATATATAGAGCATCCAGCCATCCAGTTCCTTCATAATCCAGAACATTGTTGAGCAGTAGCCATCTGAGAGATCTTCACTAGGTCTTAGTTACTTCTTTCTTTAGACATCCTAAGTGTATTCTAACATTTAATATGATGAACTTTAAATTATTTGAAGCAGAAGTTTAAATAAAATGCCTCAACCCCCCCTCCCCACCCAACCACCCACACATCAAACTGTTCATTAAACCTGTTGTGATTCTCTGATATATTGTCCAGTAAAATTCAGTAACTGTAATTGAAAAACCTGTTTTCAGGACATTGAATTGTCAAAAGAAATTAATGAATCATTCAAGCAGTCATCCCAAGCTCGAACAAAACTCCCATCTGGAATTGAGATGAGTGTGCACGTCTTAACAACTGGGTAAGTTGTTGTGGTCAATCACATTTTTATTCTCAGTTTTTATTGAATATTCACATGGTTTGAGCCTTTCTTGCAAAGGAACCCATGTATGTTTGAAATTTTGCAGGTATTGGCCAACCTACTCTCCTATGGATGTTAGGCTGCCCCATGAATTGAATGTTTACCAGGTATCACACGCTGACAAATCTTGGAGATTTTTTTGTCAAGTTTAAAAGCAGAGAGTACTATTAGAATAAGCATTATTTTAATGTAATCCAAATCGTCTTCCAGGATATCTTCAAGGAGTTTTACTTAAGCAAGTATAATGGAAGGCGACTAATGTGGCAAAATTCCTTAGGTCACTGTGTTTTGAAAGCAGAATTTCCAAAAGGTAAAAAGGAGTTGGCAGTGTCTCTATTCCAGGTTCGTCATGTTCATAAGTTTCTCCATGTTCATAAGTTTCGCCATGTTCATGTTTGATATTGCTTGCATTGGTCTCTAACCAACAATATTTGTTCCCTATGTGGGGTTTCCAGACTGTCGTTTTGATGCTGTTCAATCATACACAAAACCTTAGTTTTCAAGATATCAAAGAATCAACTGGTATTGATGATAAAGAGCTGAGGAGGACTTTGCAGTCACTGGCATGTGGAAAATTTCGTGTTCTTCAGAAAGTAAGTGCACACAGCTGAAGCGGGGTATATATTACTTTATTTTATTGTTACAGAAACTTCTCAATTATAGGATACAATTTTGTAGAATCCTAAGGGCAGAGACGTCGAAGATGATGATTCCTTTGCCTTCAATGACCAATTCACTGCTCCTCTATACCGTATAAAGGTATGTTGCATATTTTTCCCATGGTAATTTGTAAATGGTTTTTGAATCAAGAATTCCATTTTGATTTGGGATTGACCAAAAAATATCCAAAAACCAAATCCGACTTCTATAGATTTTGAATATTGAGGAATCGGAAACACTCTCTATGTTATTGTTACTAACTGATCTTCTGTATGGGCGCAGGTAAATGCCATTCAAATGAAGGAAACAGTCGAGGAAAATGCTAGCACCACAGAAAGAGTGTTCCAAGACCGCCAATACCAGGTCGAAGAAATCCTGCAAATCTCTCTTGAAAAGTCTTACGAGTTCCTCCCCTCCCCCACTACTTGATTTTGCAGAGAAAATTAATGCTGTTTTGGCTGCACATATCATACAGGTCGACGCTGCCATCGTCCGTATAATGAAGACAAGGAAAGTTCTGAGCCACACTCTATTGATTACTGAACTCTTTCAGCAGGTAATTAACCATTGCCATAAAGTCATCTATCAATTATAGCTTCTTGAAAGTATAGACACATATAGCTTTAACTCGACTCTCTTTTGCCTCTGTTGTTTTCTTCGGTGCAGCTCAAGTTCCCCATAAAACCAGCTGATTTGAAGAAAAGAATCGAGAGCCTGATCGACCGAGAGTACCTTGAGCGCGACAAAACCAACCCGCAAGTATACAACTACCTTGCATGAACAACAATTTTCCTCGGAGACGACTTCCCCAGTGAAAATTTGTGTACAGGACTCATTGCTGTTATTTTTTTCCCTTCCCCTTTTGGTGTTCATGATGTCCTCCTAGTGTAATTCACCATTTCCCCATATATTTTGAACTAAGATCTCTGCCCCTATTAAACAGATTTGTGTTCTCCTTTCACTCTTTCTTGCTACTGCTGCTTCTATAATACATCTAAGATTGATATCCCACATCCTCATCACTAAGTCTATATATGTATGTATAGGCATTGGTTAGGATGTTGATTAATTTATGGATTAAATTATTCAATTCTAATATGGTTATGGTTCGATAATTGTCGTACAGGGTTTGTGTTGATCATTTTATTATCGTTATATATAATTAAGTCAATTATTATTTGTGATGTTGCAGGTGTACCGTAAACAATGAAATAGTTTAATTATTTAAAATTAAACTTAATTATTAAATTATAATTATTTTACATATATAATAAATATATTGTAATCAGAACCCCGATCCGTTTATTACCCAAATCCAATTATTTTTTCGTCCAATTCGTATTGTCACGTCAGTTTTTGACTGGCTCTAGTTTGTTGTCCTTATATTATTCTCTTCTCTCTCTCAAGACATTAGCACCTAAAATGGTTTCACACTGTATACAACAACAAAGGGCAACAAAGCACAAAACATCCGATCAAAAAAAACCAAAGCACAAAACATAACCAAAAGTAAGTTCTAAGCAAACAGAACCTGTGCACTTGATGGTACAAGGTCTAACATTGATGCAGGTCCATCCACAACCTCCCATTTCACACCAAATCTCCATTTCCCCTCACCCAGATCAACCTTCGACACATCCCCGACGACGACGCCGAAGCTCCGCCCGACGACATACATCCTCCGCCCCGACGAGCTGACGCAGAACGGCTTGCGTATCCGCTCCGGCAAAGGCGTCCCCTCCACGATGTCCCACGAATCATTCCCCGCGTCATAGACCTTCACTTTCGCCCTTTCGTGCTCCGGCACCACAAACAAGTGCCCGTCTATTACGACGCTCGATCCCGTCCACCCTTCCCGCAGTCCGGCCGCCATACTCTCCCACTTATCCGTCGACGGATCGTACACCCGCCCCCTCGGGACTGCGTAGAACGGCCATAGCCACCCCTCCGTCATCAGAAGCCTCCCGTCGAGAACTGCTGCGTCGTACGACATCATGTTTGCTCCCATGTCGGCAATTGGTTTCCACGCCCCGTTCTTCGGATCCAACGCTTCGCCCGAATCGAGCTCAAACAAATCCGCACTGTTCCCTCCAGCCACATAAACCATCCCGTCGATAACTCCGCTCGCGAAATACGACCTCCCCGTGATCATCTTCTTCATCGCCGTCCACCGGTTCTTACAAGCCTCGTATTTCAGGACCAAGTTTAGGGGACAATCGACGTCGGAGACAACGCCTCCGCATACATATAGAGCCCCGTCGTGAGGGATCGAAACGCATCGAAATCCCTGCGGACAGACCTTGTCCTTACATGGCATTGCCGCGATCGAATGCCATGTGAATTTCTTGAGATCGAGAACCTTCCACTCGATCTTCCCGGTGTATCTGTGGCTAGCAAACACAAATAGCCAAGGATCATGGAAGCTCAACTCCTTCCTTAGTGTGAAAAAATGATCTTTTGTGCCAAATATCGAATGCCAACGCCGGCACACGGCCTTGCACGTCGCGTGCTTATCGACGCTGACGCGGAGGAGGCAGAGCAGCCCAATGTCGTCGGGAAGCCCCGGAATCAATGGCTCTCCGCCGCCGGCAGCTGATTGATTCGATTCTAGTGAAGCAGCATTCAATGTAGGGAACTTGAATTTTGGGGATAAAGTCATTTGGGAATCTCCTAACTGAGAAACACGAACTCTCTGCATAACTTATGGATTGAAATTCAATGTACAGAACTGAGAAATAGAACCCTAATCCACTCAATTGATAAACCCTTTCTTCCAATATGACCAAATGTTCATCAAAGCAAAGATTCGACAATGATCAAGTTCTAGAAACTAAAATCAACTCGGTTTTTTTGTTTGTTTGTTTGTTAATTCAGCTTTCTTTCTTTCTTTGTTTCTATGTTCAGCAAAAGGAATAACAAAAAAAGTAACTTCTCGTTGTCCTGTATTTGCATCACCACTTTCTTCTAAGTCTGGACAAAAGCAGAGATTTCTTATAAGCATCCAAAAGTAAAAAAAAAAAAAAAAAAAAAAAAAAGGAAAGCAACCTACTGATTCAAAAATTATCCTCACCACTTCCAACAGAGAAGAAATTCGAGAACAATTGAAGATCCTGCTCGCAAAAACCAATCGCAGGAGGAACGAAGCCTTATTTAGGGCTAAAAAATCAACCAAATTTGAAACTTACAAAATTCGACGACGAATAATTGAATGGCGAGGAAGGAGTGGTGATTTTCGTCCACAAAAATTGGATTCGATTTAGATGTGAAATCACAATCGTTGGTGGAATCGTACTGTGATCTGTGTGTGTGTGGCTTTGAAGAGTGTGTTGAGTGTAACGCAGGCAATGATATTTTCCCCCGCTGGTCGGTTGTTTGGTTCGGTTCAATCCCTTCCATTCCATATATACATTACATACCCCAAAAAATGTTTTTTTTCTTAAAAAAATAAAATAAAATAGAAATACAGTGATCCACTCAAAGACTACACGTGGATTGATAACTCACAACTCCAATCAATGAACAAATTAGTGCGTCTAATTATCTGTTCAATTTTAAGTTCAGAGTTAGATTGAAATCAATTTATTTAATTTATAATATATACTAATATTTTAAAAGTTTTTAATTGTATATGTATTTTTTTATTTGTTCAAATTAAAAAGTTTACTCACTATTTCTTTAATTTATTTACAACCACTCAACCTATTCTAATATAAGTTATATTGACAATTCTATTAAATTTTAGTTTTATTCCTACAATTCTTTTTTAAAAAAAAAACATACAAAAGTGATACTCCATTAAAATATTATTTTTCTTAATATTCATATTCAAAACTTTAAAAGCACATTTTAATGAATAAAGAGAATATGATTGAAAAAAAATATTATTTTTATTTAAAATATTATAGTATTACATTAAATACTATTTCAGCTCAAATAGTTACTTTTTATTTCCTTTCTTCCATGAAAATAACAAATTAAAAATGAGTTTGAAAAGTGAATTTACATGCGGTGCGTGCATACCAAATAAAATTAATAATAATAATAATAATAATAATAATAATAATAATAAGTTAAAAATAATAATTTTGACACCGCGTGCGTTAAGAAATAAATATAAATAGATAAATAAATTGTGGGTTCAAAAAGTTGGAGCTGAACTAATTAAATACTCAGTAATCTGCGGCTCCTTTTTCTTTCACTCACCAATTTTCATTTTCCTACGAAAAGACGTCGTTCTGTTTGTCCTATTTGGATTGGATCTTTGTTTTTATTTTTATTTTTATTTTTAAATATTAGTCTCTCCGCCCCATATTTATATATTTATTTATTTTTTTATACGGAGTTATATAAATATTAGTATTATATTGAGATAAAATAAAAATAAAGGTAAAAAGATTAAATTGACCTATTAGTATTGTATGATATAAATATAATGACATTTGTGTAATATATTATAAATTGGAATGGTATTTGTAATGTTAGACCGACAGTACAATTAATTAAAAAAAAAAATAAAATTGATACTTTGTTATCAAACAGACCAAAATAGAAAAATAGATTAATGTAAAATTTTGGACTCTATTTATATTTTAAAAATTTTGAAAATTTATTTTGTTTTAATTTTTAAATATTTATCATATCAATCCTATAAATTATATTATTTTTAACATTAAAATTTTCTATCTAAAGTTATAAACAAAACTATAGTGGGTGTGTTCACACGATTTTTATCAGATTGGTACGGTTTTTTTTAATGACAATTACAAATAAATATAATAGATTGTAAATACTATAAGACAATTTATAATATATATATTTTGGATTCGTATTTATTGTGGTTTAAATTTTGAAATGAAATATTGATTTGAAATTTTTATATAAATAAGTGTTTTGATTTGAACTAAGTTGGGTGAATACTGTTAATTTAAATTTGGAATGATAAAATAATTTAACAATTCGATATAAAATACTACTACCGTCTAACCAGAAACTATATGATTATTTTTTTGTTTTGATCTTTAAATATTAGTTATTATATCAAAATAATATTAGTACAAAATAACAAAATTATTTCTACTAATCTTTTATAATACAAAGACAATGATATTAGGTTTGACTGGAGGTTTAACCAGTGAAGGCAGACACCTAATATTTTATACTAATTTAATGTGTGGAAAAAATAAAATATTATGATTTATAAAATAAATAATAGTAGTATGAATAATAAATTGGAAACGTAAACAATCACACCCCAGAATTCTTGAATGGTGGCGGCTTGATCGACGACCCCGCCCGGTCACTATAAAGACAAAAAGCAACCAGTAAGACTATGTTCCATGATTAGTTGGAACATCGATATGCTTTTAATTTTATTTATTTCAACTATTTTTCTTTAAAATTTTTTAAAGCTACTTGTATTTTTCTATTTTTTATAATCTCCTAAATATACAAAAAATATTATATTTATTTATTATTATAAATTAATTTAGATTAATTATATATGAATATATATTTTTTAGTATGTATTTAAATAATAAAAGATATTCTTTACCATATAAAACATGTTGCAAGATCGAAATCAGATCTCAATCAAACAGCCAATTTATTTATTTATTTATTATTAATATTTTTATAACGTAAAAATCCGCAAACGCTATCCGAAAGTGTGTATTTGATAAATTTTCAATGAATTTAATACTCTTGCAAACTAAATTTGACCAATGGTGTTATCCTCTTTGAGACTTGTAATACGAGTTCAAACCCGGACAGTTTTTTTTTTTTTTTTTTCAAAAATGTCAACAAAAAAATAAATTTAGAATTAAAAAAAAAAAAGAAGAAAAAGATAGGAACATTAGGGCCCAATTGTGATATAAAGATAACGTATATTGGGCTTTAGTGCTTTATCAGTTATTTTAGGGGCCTCAGTATATATATATATATATATATATTTATTTATTTTTATTAAAATTTATTATACCAAAAAATACTTCTTCAGTCCACCACAATGGACACTATTTTCATTTTTGTTTGTGCATAACCATAGACACTTTTCTATTTTTGATAAAAATTATTAGATCAAAATATATTTAACAAATATAAATCAGCTTAATTAACTACGTTACAACGTAAGATCCACTCAAAATCTCTTAATTTATATCTCTCTCCTAAAAAAAATAAATATTTTTATCTATATTTAAAACTACACATCTTTTATAAAACTAATTTATGTTAATTATAAATAAACAAAAATATTTTTTTATTTACTTGTATTATAGAAAATTTTATTCTCTACAAAATGATATTCATATTACATATATTTTTTAATTGCTATATAATTTTTAAATATTTAAACATATACTTTGATTTTTTTAATCATTGTATTAAATTTACTTTAAAACTATAAATATTATTAATTATATAAAAAATAATATCATAACTAATTATTATTAACTAATTAAACATTCTTACCTTAAATACGATGTCCTTAATCAAAGAGTTCAATTTCGATGCGGCGAAGGGAATATATTTTTATTGAAAATGTTTTTTATATTATATTTTGTGAATTAAAATAATATGATATTTTTAGTATATTTTTATTGAAAATGTTTTTTATATTATATTTTGTGAATTAAAATAATATGATATTTTTAGTAAAACTGTATGATAATGTAGTAAAAATACCGGTTTGGAGAGCTAATAAAAGAACCAAAGTAACACACGTTATAGGATGTGGAGAAGGGAGAATATATATATATATATATATAATATGTTTTTTCCGTGAGATGGTTGTGTCGCTTTTAATTTGCAACCAAAAACTTATAATATAAAAATGTATTATTATATTTAGAATAAAGTAAAAAAAAAAAAAAAAAAAAAAAAAAAAAAAAAAAAAAAAAAAGTGATACCCCACAAAACGTGGTACACAATAAATACGTCCAGTTGAAGGAAAAATTGGCATACATTCCACGTTTTTTAAGAGCATTAAGAAAAATTTGCAACTTTTTCTATTTTACAGCACGTGCGTGGGCAGATATATATTCATTTGATTTCTGTAAAAAGTATCCTCTTTATCTGTCTATATTTATAGCATTAAATTAGGCCAGCAGTATTTCAGTTGATTCCTGTAGTGTCTTTTCAAAATGGCATTATACCCACCCCCACTTAATTCCCAATAATTTTTAAATATAATATTTATTCACTATACTTGTGACGACTAATTAAGATCAGATATAATCAATTGATTTAATTTAATTTAATTTGGTGAAAAGCATATATCTACTTAATTCAAGCCATTAATCCTATAATAACAGCCAGGTTGAAATATTGTTGTGTGTCAGTGGGTGGGTGGGTGAGGATAGAAAATTCTAAAGGAAGTTGAGGCAAAGAAGAGAAATATATATGTCAAAATAGGATAAATTAAAGTCGATAATTTATATTATTATATTAAAGGGGAATGAATGCATTGAAATCGTGGCGGTCCATCGCACATGCAGAACTTTCTGTTGTTATTTATTTATTTTTTTAAATTTTTATTGAATAATATTTTAGAACAAATGCAATATTTTTATTTTTTATTTAAAAAAAAAAATTAATTATTATATTGGAGTAGTCACAAATGACGAATCACCAACCAAACAAAATTAAGTCAATGACAAGTCCCTTCTTATTAATTGTTGGCCGAGGAAGTTGATACTGACCCTACAAAATCTAAATCTCTCTTAACTCTTAATCAGTCAAATAACGGATGCCTTTGAATTTGTTATTATTATTATTATTATTATTATTATTAAAAAATGTTTTTGCAAGATAATTTCATCACTTGAAGAAGATCAAATTTCAATGACAAATAATATCACACGTGTCTTTTGTCAATAGAATAAGCACGTGGTTAATACGTTTTCTCCATGCTTTATATTTTCCTTTTCCTCCCCTTCTTTTTCCTTTTTCTATTTCTGTTTAATTATACCCATTTCCCTCCTTTTATTATTAATTCAAGAAAAACCCACGTTCCCCTTTTTTATATCAACCACTTTTCCTCCTGCATTTTATTCTTTTCAAATTTCAATTTAATCCCTGAATAAAACATACATACATACATATATATAATATATATATATATAAAGTGTAATTGAAGTGGCAGTGGATCATGAATTGACGAGAAGAAAATTAAAGAAGATGAGGAGAAACTGCAACCTGGAGCTTCGTCTTCTGACGCCATGTGTTTATTCGCCTTCCTCCATGTAATTAATATTTACATTTCTTAATTGTTCTGTAATCGTGTTTCTGCAAAGGCGCTTTTTAAAATCTTGCTATAAGTCGCATTTTCACTTAGAGCGGAAGAAAAGCAGCAGCAGCAGCAGCAGAAGACTAGTAGCGTTTTCTACAATGGACGGATGGATGTGTTCGATGCTACTGAGCTTCAGGTCTGAGCGTGCGTGCGTGCGTCGCACGTGCGTGTGTTTGTATATAATATATATATATAGATATAGATATATGAATTGAATATATAGGTGATGGGTGGTGGCGCAGGCTCGGGCGATTCTGTGGCTGGCGAGCGGCAGCGGCGGAGAAGGGAAGTCCGGCGGGCGGAGTCCGGTGTACAGCCCGACGTGGGCGGCGTCGCTGAAGAGCTTCCTTGAGAAAAGAAAGAGTAGGGCTCAAGCAACCTCTCCTTATCATCATCATCAATAATTAATTATTTACTTTTTGCTGAATTATTATTTTTAATATAAAACATCTTTAAATTTTGAAATTACTAATATTGGGCTTGGTTAAATTGTTGAACTTAATTAATCAATATTGTCCTGATATTCCATAATCTTAACTGAATATTGGTTAAATGTGCTGTCAATTTAAAGATTTTGTTTTTATATATTTTATATGCAATTATAATAGTTTTGTACTACTATATATTATTGTTATACAATTAATTTATATTATACCAAATATATATATACTATACTCAATACTACGCCCTTTGTTCTGTTTTATTAGTCCGATTTTTTGTAAATACGATAATTTATGAAAATTATAATTAGTAAGTAATTAAAATGTATTATCCAAATGAGATTAAAATGTAATTTCGCCGTAGGTGCTCAAATTAGTGAAATTTTAATTTCACCATTTGATTTGATCAGTCTTTTAAATATTATCTAACGTGCATTTAATATCTTATCAAAGCATTATTTTGCTAAATAAAAACATAAAATAAAAGATGCCTATAAGCACATGCTTTCTTTACATTTTGGGCTATTAATATATATTTTCAAGTAAGTAAAAACACTTTTTTTTTTTTATATTATATTAAATAATTATATAAATTTAAAATTTCTTATTTAAAACTCAAAACACAAACAAATACTCCTGTCCAATCGATGGTTTTTAATTTATTTGTATTTTCTTTGGATTATTCTTTTGGTAAAGTTTTTGTTGTTAGGATATATTAAAAAAAATAATAATTTTTACTTTAAATAATTATTTAATATTATATAAATATATTTATAATATTTTAAATAAAAATAAAAATAATATATAATATATTAGCTAACAAATATATATATATATATAGTTGTCTGCTGTCTTTTAAGATTTATTTATTTATTTTTGGTGAAAATGTAAAATAAGTATATATATATATATATAACTAAACAATTTGATTATATTTTGAGGTGAAAATTAGTGTAAATATATGTTTGTATATAGATTTCAAGTATATTTAATTAATAATACATTTAAATCTATAGAAATAAATTTGAAAACACATAAAATAAAGTATGGGCTTCTGCAGCTACGGCTATCTCTATATATGACAATATATCGTCATGCATGGATCGAGCTTGCTTGCATTGGGCTGCATACATGTATTATTCCATTTATTTTATTTTATTATTTTCTTATGATGCGAAAAACTAGACATATTTAAAGTTTGAATTATGATTTCAAAACTAGCATTGTCCGCTTTTGGGGTGAGCCTGTATGGATTTATTTTTGAATATTATTCAAAAGCCTCGTACTAGTGGAGTTCACTTAGGACTTATAAGGTGTGTAATTTTCTTCACAACTTTCGATGTGGGACTTGGGTTTGCAACCCCAGCAATAGTATCAGAGCCCGGTTAGATGGTGAAGTAGACTGGGTGGCATTGGTTGTGGTGGTGGGCTCGCCCTTGTGACCTGCGGATGTGTCTTGTGTCGAAAGTCTCCTGACGGTATTGGGTCGGTTCCGATTGAGGTGGTCAGACAACGGGTCTCTTTGTGATAGACGGTACAAGGTGGGCAGTGAAGGTCCATTGGTCTTTGGTTTGAGAAGAGGATTGTTGGGATGTAAACCCAAATCTCGTATCGAAAGTTGTGAAGAAAATTACACATCTTATAAATTCCAAGTCAACTCCACTAGTATAAGACCTTTTGGAAAATATCCAAAAACAAACCCGTGGGTTTTTGTCATTATCTATTAAACTAAGAAAAATAATTGATTTTCATTAGAAATAATATGCAGTGTTAATTTTTGTGAAAGTGAAGAAACATATTTTCAAAATTAGGGGTGTATTCTTCCTTGTTTTGTTTTTATTTTGTATTTAAAAAAAAATAAAAATTTAGGCAATTTCAATTATTTTTAAAGAATATTTTTAACTATATAATCTTCAATAAGTCATTAAGAACAGCAGTACGTTTATATACCTAATGGTAGACGTGGCGCAAAGCTAACGGCTACTGAAGTATGATTGGGCATGGAAATTAATCCACGTGGAAAGTGGAAAAAAACAAAACATTGAGCTACACTTGTAATTAAGGGTAATTGATTTAACACAATAATTATAAGTGAAATGATTGAAGAACTTGTATTGCCGCCTACCTTCATAATTCATTTCATTTCATATCCATGCCTCTTACCATTATTATTATTATTATTATTATTATTATTATTATTATTTTAAATAATGTGAGAATTTGCAATATATATTTTACATAAATAATGGTGCAATAGGAGGGCTTCCTAAATGATAGCTCATTCTAGTACTCTCCCCGTCCCAAACATTGTGCAACATTTGTGTTTGATACAGGAATTTAGGTGGGAAGTATTAAGTATGGTAATTTGAATATTAAGTGATGTGATTGGAGAGAGAAATGATTATTTAGTTTTTTATTTGAGTGATGTGACGAGATAAAGTGAAGTATATAGATATTATTAATTATTTCTAAATTTAGAAATATTACAGTGAATTTGAAACAAACAAAAAAGAAAATATTGCAGAATGTTTGGGACAGAGAGACTACTATTTTTTCTTAAACATAGTTAATTTAAAAAAATTTCGAAATTAATTATAGACTAATGAATTTTTCGCTCTCAACTCAACCAATCTCTAAGGGACACTTCTTTGCATCCATGGTAATATAACATGAAATATGTATATATATAATATGAGAACCTGCTATAGTTATTTTTCGAATGTGCTCTGAGTATTAAAATCAATTTATTCTTAACTATTCAACAATGCATTTTTTTTATTCTCTTTGACACAACAAAATATGAGAAATAAGAAAATAGGACTAAAAAAAATATGATAAACTTTAAATTTTACACTAAAAAATAATAAAAATAAAACAAAATTGGGTGTTGTTTCACCCAAAGCCCCCGTGTAAATCCGGCCTAATTACGTATTAAGTTAATTGTATATGTTATGCGAATTATCATCGTATTTTGTCAATTTATATATTGTATTTGTATTATATTAATTTATATATTGTAACTTTACATCTATTATATATATATATATTATATGTGTGTGTGTCGGTTTACATCTCATGTGATACTTAATAGTATAATATTTTACTTGGCTATAATGAAACTCATCCATGTTTACATATATATATTTGGTTGATAATCAAAATATTATTTTTTAAATATGATAAACCTGGTCTTCACACAAATAACAAAATAATATTATATGTGTTTTTTTTTTTTGTAAAATTACAATCATAGATTTTGTTTAATTTTTTTACAATCTGTCGATAATATATTTCAAATATTGTATTTGAATCAATATAGACTTACACATTAATTAGGTATGTAGACAGAGGGGCCTATGCCGATGCGTGTATACATGTAGAAACAATAATAAGTAGCGAAATCTCGTGGAATTTTGTGTCTGAAAATCTTCAAATTAAGGTGGAAGAAGCAAATAACAATAATAAATGTCCTCATGATCCGTTGGTGTGGAGGTTGGACGTATGACCGTAAGGTCATGATTTCACATCTCCGACGCCTCAGGTCGCTTGCCTGTCGGACCTGCCGGGGATTTATCCAGTGCCCATTTTCGGATAGTGACTGAGGATTCCTACATCATAATTAAATATTTGATAACTACAAATTTTGTAAGAATAAATAACTATTTGACATAATATTTTTTTTTTAAAATAATTTATTGTCATAAATAATATCAAAATATTAAAAGATATTCATGTAAACAGAGCCCAATTATATATACTTCCTAGATACTATAGTCTTCAGATTAATTGGATATTATAATTAAAAATATAAAAACTAGCTAGCTCGATCATACTAATTCAAGAGCTAGCTAAGAGCTATAAGTCTATATATTTTAAAATATTATATTAAATATTTTTATTTCTTATGTTTCAAAACCCTCATCAAACCTAAAATATTTCTATTTAAAAGACTCTAATTTGTGGAGAACAGATCACTGTGCAAAAATACAGATCACTGTGCAAAAATTAAATACTAAGAAGGGATTCAGACATCCAATCTAAAACCAATTAGTTGATATATAGAGTAGCCTTCACTCTTATATATTATAGGAGATTCCACACATTTAGCAATATTCAAATGAAAGATGTGTATATACATGCATACATATATATATATATATTTTATATATATATATGATAGTTGAATAAAATCTCCCCAAAAAACTCAAATTGACCCAGAAATTCTTGCGGGCAGCTGTACACATATGCTGCCCAGCTTCACCTATTCAAGATTCTTCTTCTTCACGTGACCTAAATTCTTGGAAGCTCCCGGATCACAACTCCAAACCAATCCACATCACTCATCCAACACCATCAGGTAGCGGGTGGCGTCCCAGTCCCGGTTCTGTCATAGATAATTACAGACTCCCATGCATCCCCATATAAATTATAGAAATAATATATATACATATAGGGGCATTTAAGTCATTTCCTATACCTCGCTCCACGCACTATAAATTCATTCCTAACTACGCTCATAAAGTCGAAGAAATAGATATAATTATATGCAATAAAATGGTAATCCAAATTTTGGATGATGATCGTAAGGTTAATTATTATTATTATTATTCCGTTTGGGGCTTTTTACTGTTGGCCATTTTGGCTATATATCTTTTTTACCTTTTTACCCTCTTCCCTAATTTGGGTGATGTTTTGTGTACAACTAAATTCTGGTTTTTGGTATCCAACGCCATACTTCTCATCGTTGCTGCTGATTTTCACGGCGCTTTCGCCTCCGAATTCTGCTTTTACCGCCACCAGCAATTCTCGAGAACAGTAATTGACTGCGGTGATAACGATTTCACCATTACAGCAGATTATCATACCAGCAGAAGCAGTTCTGCAGTTGGATTCGAATACTGCCAATTGAGCGAGGAAATAGCCGGCGGCCGGAGCGATCATCGTCGGGAAGAAGAGGTAATGATTCCGGAGAAGATGATACATGTCGATTTTGTGGTGAATTTGAAGGATCGAAGTAATTTTGGGGAGAATGTTGGTCATGCTGTTGAGGAGGGAAACCCTAATTTTGAGAAGTTGGAGAGAGAGGACGAAATTGCCGTCGCCGGCGTACCTGAAGAAGGGGGAAAATTGGAGAGATGCGTAGGGAAGGAATCCGACAAGGCGGCGGAGGTGGAGGCGGACGGCGGCGATGAGGATGAAGATGAGTTCTCGAGGATGTCGGACGAAGAACTGAATAGAAGAGTTGAGGAGTTCATACGGAGGTTCAACATGCAGATGAGGCTTCAAAGCTAGCTCCCGGGACCCGCCACAAGTCGGAGCTCCAGATGATCAATGAAGATATATCAGAAAAACCAACGATCTACCATATTGATATATATACATATATATATGTATGTGTGTGTGGGTAATGATGCATGCATGCAATATTTGATGTTATTTTACACCATCATCCCAAATAATATACTTTTTCCGTCCATTTTCTATTGTCCTAAAGTATATTTACACAGTTTTTTTAGGTGATTGTCTTTTTGTTATGAATTGACAAATTTGCTCTTAAGTGTACCGTAGAGATTAAAAGTAATAAATGAATGAAGGGTAAAAATGTAAAATTTGTGTTTAAAAAAGAAAATATGACCATAGTAGTTCGACGTCCCAAATAGGAAAATAGGACATTAATTTGTGGACCGAGGGAGTACGATAGAAGATATTTATATACACAAACAAATTTGTAGTGTCACGAGACTTATAATAATAAATTTTCAGCCCAATATTATATAAGAATAATTAAAAAAAAAAATACAATGGATAAATGATAATAATAATAATAATAATAATTTATTTACATAAGTCTAACGAAAGTAAATTAAACTATAACATAAACAAGAGGAAAGTAAAGTCACAACTACCTAAATTTGGTTCATTTAGATTTGTGTAAAAGTAAATATATTGATTCATTGTGGGTTTGTTCATGCTAGATTTATCGAATAATTTTCTATAAATATTATTTTAAAAAATATAATATATACACGTACTAATACAATACATATAATATATACCTTTCGTTCACTTAAAAAATTAATTTTTTAATACAAAATATTATTCTTTATATTTCAACATAATTTTTCATACATAACATGTAAAATATATTCATCCAAAAAACACAAAATCAAATAATGTATTTTTTTTATTATTATTAGAAATAAAAAAAACCTAAATAAAAAACACTCATATCTAACCATCATTAATTAATGAGCAGTATATTATTTCACAAAGCAATGATGAGTGTGGAATAAATTAAATTGAATACAAGGTGGTGGTGGGGGTAATAATTTGATATTATAATATATATATATACATATCATTTGATATTATTGTCTGCTACCAATCACTCTATATATGTTCTTTTTTATTTTTAATATTTGCTCATCAATAATATTCCTCCGTCCACTTACAATATTTACATTTAGTTTTGGCGCGGTGTTTAAAAAACAATAATATTTTAATTATAGTGAGTAGTTAAAAGTAGTGTAATGACATTTTTGTCCTTACTTTTTTTGTGTAAATGTAATGATGTGATGTAAAGTAAAAGTATTCGTGGAAAAAAATAGGGTATTTAATGAAATATTAACTTTGCAATTGGACGTTCCAAAATAAAAATATGTAAACATTGTAAGTAGACGGAGGGAGTATAATATAATACAGTATAATATAATACTCCCTCCGTCCATAAACTAATGTCCTACTTTCCTATTTGAGACGTCCAACGGCTATTGTCCTACTTCCTTTTTTTTTAAACACAAATTTTACATTTTTACCCTTAATTCATTTATTACTTTTAATCTTTACTATACAGTTAAGGACACATTTGTCCATTCATAACAAAAAGATAATCACCTAAAAAACACGACGAAATAGTTTAATCATTCGTCCAAGAGTTAGATGTCATTCAAATCTTAATAATAATAATAATTATTATTATTAATATTATATTGTCCAGATTTGAGCATGCATAGACAATATTAATGTAGAATTATATTGCATATATGCAGAGGTGTGAGTTGGCCCAATCACTCATTTTCATCTTCATTGCTTATCTGTTTGCCACTCTATTATTCATCTTCTGTTTCTTTGGCTTCTACTCGCTTCAACTTTGTAATGTGCTCTTATATATTGGTATTTATTATTTTTTTTTTAAAAAAAGAAATAAATTAAATATTAATTGTCAAAAATAATTACTTGTATTTTTTATTATATTTATTTTTTAAATGTACATATTTTCACATACATTCAAAATTCTATATATGCTTACGTGTTTGCTTGTGATGTTTTGGTTTTGATTTTTTATTTTGAATAGTAAAATTTTGAATTGAAATAGTTGTTTGATGTGATATAAATATGTAATGATGTGATATTCTGAATATAAAATTAGATTTTAGTGTAATAAAATAAATAAAAATTGAATGTTAAATTTGATATTTTGGAAAGAAAAAAAAAAAATTGAAGTAATAAAATCTTGCTTAAAATCTTACAAAGTAAACAGTTTATTAATTTTGATTTATATTGATAGTAATACCTATTTGTATTATATATAATAATATTTTAATGAGATAATATATTTATTAATTATATTTTATTAAGATATGATTTTTAAAATATTCAAATATATTTTAAATTTATTTTGATAAAAATATAGTACATCATTAAACATACAAGTTAACATTTCAAAATTTCAATACAACCAAACTTTCAATTCTGGTGTATTCAATGTAGGGTTTCTAGAATTTTGTTGAATTTTTAAAATTTGAGTGTATTTAATCAAGAGTTTTTTAAAATTCGGAGGTATTTAATAAAAAAATGGTTTTTTAAAATGTTGAGATATTCAACAAACTTTTAATGGATTTTAATGAAAAATTGTAAAAATTTTGTATAGAATAGAATCTCCTGATTAGTAGAGATTTTGATGAATTTTTAAAATTATTATTATTGTTGTTGTTGTTGTTCTTATGATAAATAATATGGTAATATTTATTAATATTATTATGATTTTTTAAAAAAAATATTTAAAACTAAAATATATTAGCAAATTATTATAATTTTTTTAAAAATATATATTTTTATATTATAATATAATTTTAAAAAATATTATTATCATAATAAATATGTATTATTGTCATTTTTTCTTTTCGAAATACATATTTTAAAAATATATTTTTTGTTGAACCGTTAGTTTATATTTATTTATTTTAATATTTTTTTAAAAAAATAGTAAATTATATTTTTTATTTTATTTATATACGTATTTATTTTTTTAAAAAAATTATATAGTTATATATTATTTTTTAATATTAAATTTTATTTTATTAATAATTATATATTATATTTATAAAATTTGTGTTGGATATATATTTATATAATTAATATTTAGTAGACTCTATCAATTTTCTAAATTCACATAAATTTATAAAATTTTTAAAATCCAAATAAATCCATTAAAATCCCTAAATAAACCTTTCTATATCGCTCACCAGTCACCATACAAACACACTCTCGTTATTCCATTTGAAATTAAAACAATTAATTAGTAATCATAATTTATGTTCTATCCACGCTAATGGGCCTAAGCCCAAACATAATACGGGACCCATTAATTATAGCCACTCCAAATATTTTCCTGATTTTATTATTATTATTATAATTATTTTAAAATACGAGTACTTACCTTCTGCACTACAGGCTACAGCTCAGTTCGGTTCAGTTCAAAGACACAGCAATGGAGGAAGACAGCACGAAAACGGCGTTCCACGTTGTCGTTTTGTACAAACAGCTCTTAGCCGTCATGTGCGCTGCCGCTGCTCTCAATTACCAATGATGGTGACCTGCTCAGAACACCGGCTGTTCGCATTCCGATGACCTGCAAACGGGAATCGAGGAGGAGGATTTGTATTGTATTGCAGTCATTGTTTTGTACCTGAATTAAGGTTTTTATGGTATTTTCCGCATCTGAATTTCTGATTTGTCCGTCGGATCTTGCTTTGCTTCACTTCGCGGCTGTGTTGGTTGAGGAATTGGTGAGTTCCTGCACAGATGAACTCGATGTGTCCCGATCTGAGGGGCAGACTTCATCCGGAGACGATTGATTACTTCGACCGGCTTCCGGACGCCTTGGTCCTCTCGGTGTTCAACAGAATCGGCGACGTCAAAGCCTTGGGCAGATGCTGCGTCGTTTCGAGGAGGTTCAGGTCTCTCGTTTCGCAAGTAGAAGACGTAGTCGTCCACGTTGATTGCGTCGTCTCCGACGACGCCGCACCTTCCACCTCGTCCGCCGCAGCAACGGACGATTCACGGAATCCGTTTACAGCCTTCTTCCGCATCTTCTTCTCCGGACTCTCCCAACCTTTTCAATCTCTCGCGCAGCTGATTGCTCCTACCGCTTTTCATCTCTCGTCTCTCGCGAAACATTTGGATGACCAAAACGACGTCGTCACTCACCACTCACCGGCTCAGGTCTTGAAGAACTTCAACGGTATAAAGTTCCTCAGAATTGAACTTCCTGGCGGAGAGCTCGGTGTTGATGATGGTACTTTGCTGAAATGGATGGCCAATTTTGGATCTACACTTGATAATTGCGTTGTTCTCGGGGCTTCCAGCATCATTCAGAACACAATCGATGGCCGCGACCAGAGTCTAGAAGCTTCCAATGTCATCACCGCTGGAAACGGCAATGAGGATTTTGTCAATGGATTGGAAGACGACGGAAGCATACCGGAATCATTCTACACTAACGGAGACTTGCGATTGCGCGTAGTCTGGACAATTAGTTCGCTAATAGCAGCCTCGGCAAGGCATTATCTACTGCAGCCGATAATAGCAGAGCATAGGATGCTCGATAATTTAGTTTTGACAGACGCAGATGGGCAGGGAATGTTGTGTATGAACAGAGAGCAATTAGAGGAGCTTCGAGTAAAGCCTCTGTCAGTTTCATTGGTGTCGAACAGGACTCTTGTTCCTGATCTGAGCATGAGGTTGTGGTACGCCCCACACTTGGAGCTGCCGAATGGTGTGGTGTTGAAAGGGGCATCTTTAGTAGCAATCAGGCCTAAAGAGACGGTGGTGACGGGCTTGGAAGGAATCGGGGCTGCATCAGCATTCGAAGAGCCTTTCGCGGCTGCTGCTATGATGTTGGTGAAGAGGAGGACTTATTGCTTGGAGATGAACTCATTTTGAGTGAGGTAATTTCCATTTTGCAGTTTAGATTGGTTGTGCATTGTGCTTATTACATCTGGAAATGAATCTATAGAAGCCCTGGAGAAATGGGAATTGAAAAATCACTGGGATATGATGTCTTTATGTTACATATTGCTACATCTTGTTGATGATAAGTGAATAAGTTCACTCACACTTTATTCGTACATGATAAAGGCTAAAATCGAACTATTTTAGTGTCATTTTTCATCTTGTTTTCCATATTTGATTGTGTGTTTTGGTCCAAGAACGTGTGAATTTGTGAATATCAATAGTTGTAGTCTCTAGTTTGATGCATAATATTACAATTATTGTTCATTCTTTGTTTTCAATCCTATATGTTGGGCTAAAATATTTTCATGTTGTCCATAACATAAAGACAACTGGTAAGATTGCATCCTATTAATTCTGATCTGATCTCATGATCACAAGCCCCTTTATATATGATGACTGTATGTTTATATGGATTGTTGAGCTTTGAAATCTAGAGTGTGCTCTAATGAAGTGCTAAGGTTTGCTCATGCACAATTGTACTTGTTTGTGTCTGTGCTCAGTTTGGACAGCCATATCTCATAGTTTATCTATGTATCTGTCTATCTACATTTGTCTTTGGTAATGGTACCTACTAACTATGTGGATGGATCTTTGTGCTTTCAGGTTCTCTCTGTTTAGTTCTTGAAATGAGGTTTTACAAGAAGCTCATGGATACAGTTTTGAAATGAGCTGAGTTAACAAAAGCCAACACAGGAGGGTTTAGGGCAAACAAACAAGGCATGTAAATATTGTTACATGTGAATTGTGATGGTGATGGAAGTGAGGGAAACAGCTTATTAGTTAATCAACACCACATTATGCTTATTAATATACTCAGTTGTTGAAATATATGACCAAATATTGGTGCTGCACATGTTTTAACAAAAATAAGTAATAATTATTATTTTATTTGTTATTTATGCTTATTTTTTTATTCTCATAAAAGGATATTTATGTTTTTTTTTTTAATTACAAAAATAATTCATTCTGTAATGGAAATGGAAACAAAATTAAATCAAATCTATGGCCGGTCAAACAGACATATGTTTTCCAAGATTGAGAGAGTATTTTCTATCTTCTATAGTTACAAATGTACAAAATTCAAATATGATTTTTACTAAAAAGAAAAAACATAGTAATATTTATTATGACAGCAAAAAAAAGAGATGAACATTAGATTTGGATGGTAGGAAGTACTATCATATATTTATATACGTGGTTGTAACTCATAATATGGTTCTTGAACTGCATGCATATAGTAGGTAGCTGTAATTAAGTAGTAGGAGATGAAGAAGAAGAAACATCTGTATAATAATAATAATAATAGAATCATTCAAAGTTTGTCTTGAAACGAGATTGATATCAACACTTACTAATTGTCTGGCAGTGGCAGCAGAAATTAGTCTTACACGCGCGCATCGACCCGACCGGTCCGGTCCAGCCCATAATTAACTTAATTACGGTAAAACAGTCTAGAATGTGTGGACGAGACGACGGCAACAACGTGGAAAATTCAGAGGGAGGCTGGCTACCAATCGCAAAATTAAAACACACAGTTTAATTTGGCCTGCTTCACATCTGCACAGCACAACACAACACATGATCCCATGGAAGGAATGCTAGTAGTTAGAAATTTATTTTCTGCTTTCTCAGTCTGAACTAGATTCAATCATTCAATGGAAATAATCAATTACTGTATAAAATCACTACGCACCATACAAAATGCCAATCCTATTCCTAACCATGCTTTTAATTATTAAGTTTTTATACATATATAATTTATTCTATTAATTTGGTTGAGTTTGCGATTGCAACTTTAAAGCTATTGGAAAATAATACAGTCGGCATCGATTACTGTATAATTATTACAGTATGACAGTACTAAGAGCGACGATTAGCATGCGATATAACAACAGTCCAGTCCGTATTGATATAATAATATAAATACAATATAAAACTCATTTTACAAGAAAATTATGTATATATAGACATTAATTTTCAATTTATATACACTGTGTTAATTGAAACTAGTGTTTTATTTGCCTATCTTTTAAGTAAAACAGTATGTCGATTTGCCACATTTAGCACCTAACCTCTCTAGAAAGACCTAACATTATTTAACTCAAGGAGAAGTAATATACAGTATAGTGTGTTTCAAGAATAGCCTCTAACAGTAAAAACATGCATGGTTCAATACTGCAGATAAAACGGCAATATCAAATGACACTAGATTAATTATTATTATTATTATTATTATTATCGTGTCAAAGCAACAAAACAACATAACTAAATGTCAACAGACAGTAATGTTTCCAATTCAGTGTTCTTTCTCATATCCCAGGGCTGGTGTGCGTATAATTATGAGCTCAGTTGCATAAATGTAATATTAATTCGTAATTGATTTCAAAAACTTAACCATTTGAAGTTTAGTAAAGATCACTACATCCAAATTTGGGTAACAAAAAGGCACCTCAACTAGTCTAAATGTTCTATTGAGTCAGTCTATCTTGATATTAGGTTAGTGATGATACATGACTTAGCATCGATCAATTGATGCACAATGCCAAAAATTAGCAACTCGACATAACAAATATTTTTTCAACTATATATGCTAGCAAATTTAAATTTGTTAAAACCTAAATTCAAATATTTTCTTGCAGCACATAAGGTATAGACATACATACACTAACAAGGTAAGTCATCCTTAGATTTTCATCTATATATAATAACACACATTGGAGTCCTCACTTCTAAATACTCTTAAGTCAGTTCTTAGAAATAGTTCTCCACAGTAGAACTGAATCCTAAAATGCTAGGTTCTTCATGTAATGGGGGGGTGTTCATATCTCATCAATGTCCCTTACAGCAGCAATAAGTGTTCAGTTCTTTGTAACAATAGATAATCCACATTACAATAAAAAGGCCAGGTGTAAATGGATTACCCACTGGTTAGATAAGCACTCTCTTAAAAGTTTTCTAAGCCACAGAAAAAGATGTAAGATTTACTACACTGTCTGTCATCTAATTACAAAGTGAAATGGTAGGATAGTTCAAGTAATAAATACTGGGTAAAGGATAAGGTTCTGAGGCATTTTTAACTGTATAAAGGTTAACTGTCTGGAGATGACAGATGCATATAATTACATATATTCAAGATCCCATATGGAGACTCAAACCCTAAGTAAGTACTACTGCTAATTAAATATATAAATAATTGGACAGATAATGGTTGCATTGACAGGTGTTGAACTCCAGCAAGAAGTTCCCCTCCTGCAAATGACTGACTCTTGGTGGGACAGCAACAATAAAGGCTGACAGGTAATTTTTGTGGAATTACATAAGATTATAAAAGAGCTGTAGGTTCCCATCTAATCAAACAAAAAAGAGCCCTCACATGTTTGCTATAGAGTGAACTATTCAGTCACCCATCAACACCTGGCTTCGCCATAGACATGCTATAAAGAAAGGGAACCAAACAAAGGTTAAGGGACAGCCAGCCGATCCGTATTCACTGTTATCTATGCAAGTTTCTTAAAAACAGGACACTGTGCACTATGTCTTTGCTCCCAATGCTCGTGCCTTTTAATGAAACCAAGAAAATTAGGAAAACAACTATTCATAGTCAGCCAATCCCACTTAACGAAGCATAGATACTGTTGCTAGGAGATAATCAATTAAAAACCCTCGAAACTCAAATCCATACGAAGAAGACAGACAAGAATGAATGAAATGTATGCAGTAAAACTCAAATAATCACAGTAACGAGAACGAAATCAAGTTGAATGAATGCAAATAGATTAATCTTGTAGATCGAGAAATTGAAAATTACCTGCAGGAACTCTTGATTCAGTTCTTTCGTTTCTCCTTCTGGAGACCGCCATAGAAGAGCTGCAGGCGGGCATCGTACCCAGAGAGGAATTGGTGATGGCTCTCCGGAGGTGCTGCGGCACCGATAAAGAAGCTTGGAGGAGATCCTCCTCCTCCCTCAACAGGAGGAAACCTCTGATTCCGAACAGGAGGTAACATAGAGGAAGACGACGATGTATTGGACTGAAGGGTCCCCCTATCAAAACCGGCAAGGCCGGATGAAGAAGATATTGTGAAGTTGAGATTGTATTCGCCGCTGCTGTTGTGGTGATTACTGTTACTGTCGCTGTTCCCTCCGGCAACTGAGAAATGGTCCGCCGGAGCAAAGGAGAAGGCCTGAATCTCTGAATGGTGGTCCCCTGCTACAGTAAACATCGGCCTAACCGTATTCAGTAACTGCATTTGTCCCGGACGGGTTGCCGGAGGTCCTAGAAGCCCGCCATTGAAGTAACCTACTGACGTTGATGAAGACCACTGTCTGCTTGGAGATTTGAGGAAGAAATTCGATTCATGAGAATTGCCGGAAGACCTATGGGGCGTTTGATGAACTGAAGAATTAGGGCTAACGGAGTTGTGATTATCGATTTCACTGACATTGTGAAGACCGCCGCTCAATAGCTCCGTAAACGAGGTGGTTTGGGAGATAGGGTTCATCAATGAGTCGACAGGAGAAGGCTCCTCAATCTGGTCTTTCTCCTTCTCTAATTTCTCGGCGACTCGTTCTTTGGCTCGCGCCCTGGCTTTAATCCGGCTTTCAGATCTGGACAGCGAGACGCCTGAATTCTTACTAGTTTCGGAATTGCTGCTGCAAGCGGAGGATTTCACGGCCGGATGCTGCCGGAGGTAGCACGGATCTTCGAATCCGAGCTGATCAGATCCCCCGGTGCTCGATCTCTTCTCGTCGCTCACCTGCTTCGGCGTGGCCGGAAATGGAGTGTTCATCGGCGGCAGTTCCGCGATTGAACTGGACGCAGCTTTGAGCAGCCACTCCACCGCCTTGCTCGGCTGGTCGTAGCCCAATCGATCCTGCAAATCGTAGAACTGAATTGCGGTGTTAACCGATAGCCTCACCCGCCGGTCTCTCAGACCTTTGGAAGTGAGAACTTTGCTGTGCCGATCCTTTCCACCGGAAGCTCGAGAAACCCTAACTATCCGAGAAGAAGGCCATCCGTAAAACCTACCGACGGTTCCTCCGATATCCACCGGTCCGCCGCAGGTGGAGGTGAGCTTCTTGCGCTCTCCGTCTTCGCCTTCGTCTTCGTGCTGGTCATCCATGGCCTGCTCTTGTTCTATTTTATTTCTGCCATTAATACGATTGCTGCTGTTTCTGGAAAACTTGAACTGCATCTGATCATCCACCTCCATAAAACTATAATTTCCACTCTCATGCCGTTCTCCGAATTCCGCGGCAGCAGCTACCTCATCTGCAGCATCGAACTTCTTCTTCTTCAATTTATGCAGGCAGCCTTAAAGCGAAAATTGTTAAAATCGAGGAAAAACTTGAGAAATCAAAATTGAGGCTAGGTAGATGATGAGAATCCAAAATTGATTTGAGCTAGGGTTCAGAATTTAAGGGGGAAAATAATGGGCGAGCGATGGTGGATTTTGGGGAAACCGTGCTGTGCTGTGCTGTGCTGTTCCATCATTATTGATGACAATTACGCAGCAAGCACTAGTTTGGCTTTTGCTATTGCTACACAAACACACAATTAATATATATAAGTATATGTATATCCTTTACACAAAACATCACCTTCACAACAGAGAAAGGTGATGAGGCTGCAGCCTCCATCTGCATCGCCATTATAATGGCTTCAATATTTGAAGCTCTTTTTTCTTTTGTGTATTTTTTTACTTACTGCTGCTGCTGCTGCTGGTTTCAGTGCCTCAGTATCATTTATTAATTGGCTTCCTCACCTCACCACCTCTGCGTGCCTGCCTGCCTGCACCCTAATATATATATATATATATATATCTCTGTGTATGTAATTTGTATCCAAGCAACCAACCCCACATTTAAAAAAATAAATAAATAAATAATAAAATTAATTAATTAAGCATTACGTAGTGATTTAGATGACCTAAGAGTTAAGTTCAGGGGAAAAATATATCCTTTACTATCACATCTTTTCTATTTAATTATTATGCAATATATATATACACAATATTCTCTCTTATAAAATCCCTTTCACTCGATACATATTTTTATTTTTGTACATCTAATTATAAAATTAAAATAAATATTTTATTAAATATCTGATTTTTTTCGCAAATGTTCTCATTTTATATCGTATCATTACTTTTACGAAAAAAAATAAATGACAAAATGTCATTACATTACTTATAATTGCTCCATCTCAACCCAAATGTAGGGTTTGTTTGTTTGAAGCATTGGGAAATAATTACACTATTCATATAAATTTTTTCCTCCAAAAAATCAAATCAGAACACTTATTTTTTATTTTTTTATATTATACTAAAATCAATTTTACATTCAAAATATTAACACTTTATATCAAGTACTACTATTCCAATTTAAATTTTTTACTATTTAAATTCCAACTCAAAATCTAAACTCCTCTAGGTTTGAATAGTAAAAAAATTAAATTTGAATAGTAATATAATGTGATATAAATAAGTGTTGATGATGTTTTGAATGTAACATTGATTTTTAGTATAATATAAAAAATAAAAAATAGGTTCTTGATTTGATATTTTTAGAGAAAAAAATGAGAAGGACAATGTATTTCAAAATCCAATCCCCAGATAAATACACCCTTAAATTTTTAATCTCTCATTTCCATATATTTTTTAAATAAATAAATATATTTACATATATTTTTATTTTTTTTTATAAAAAAAAAAACAAAGAGTTGTGTTTTATAAGCTAATTTATGCGGCATTAATTTATAAGCATATAGGAAAAGGGTAGCCTAGAGGGGCATTAGGCGTACATATATGCATGTGATGTTTATGTATCCAACACTGATTTATTTTTTTATTATTTTTCAGAAATTATTAATTGAAACAGACACAAATAACTATTCAGCATCTCATCCAATCACGGACATTTTGTGTCTTATATATACACACACGTATATGCATTATTTATCAAATTTTGTCTCCTAAATATTTATGTTTTATTAAAAATATATTATTAAATAATCAATCTCAAACTGAATATGTGTATATATAAAGTATACCTAAGCCGTGTGCTATTCTATATTGGCACTCGTACTACTATAATATTAATAACAAATTATATTAACCATGCATATAAGATTTTTATTTTAATTTTATTGTTAGTTATTAAAAAAAAAAAAGTACGGACGAGGAAGGTTCTGATAGAGTGGGATATGCCACGTGTACAATGTCGTATGAAAGTAGATTTTACGAGACTTATTATGTCTAATTCACTAGATTTTTTAATATTAGTATTAGATTGGATTGTAGTAAAAAAAATAAAAATATTTTTATTATTAGTACGGTGTAACATAAAAGTAATGGTATTTGTGTAATATAATGTAAATTGAAAAAGTATTTATTATGTTAGGTAAATAGTATAATTACTAAATTAAAAAATAATAACTTTTGTTTCGGACCGACAAAAAAAGAAAAATAGTATTATATTTATATTATTTATTTATACTTTATGTGCTACAAAGTTACAATTAGTCTATCAATCAATTTAATATATTGGTGATTGAGGATTTGGCAAGCTGAATGAAAATAAATAAATAAAACCTTGAATTCAATTTAGACAACTACTTTAATCTTAATTCATTTTTTTAATAGTACCATTCGTTTCATCCAAATTTATCTCTAGATTTTATTATTTTTTTTATATATATATTATAATTTTTTTCCTTTTTCAAGCAATTTTTTTTTTAATTTTAATTTCTTAAAATTTAGAATTATTTAATATACAGTTACCTGAGTATATGCATAAACATGATGCTGAGTTGAATTAGGCCCATTAGCTAACTATGGGCTGAAAAGGCCCATTCTGAAGAGTCGTGTTACATAGAATAACGACTTTAGTTAGATTGAGTGATTAAGCAACTTCCTCAATTCCCAGTTCATTCTAGAACACCACCTAGTAAAGTCGCCGGAAAATCAAAATACCAGCTGCCGCCGCCAACGATTTTGTTGTTGTTCTCTTTTCCTTTGCGTGTTCAAATGAATCCCCACATTCAGAGCTTCCTTTAAACATTCAGTCAACATCCTCGAAAATTATTTTCCACTCACATAGTGATGGTGAAATCCACTGATCAACAGAAAAGACGCGGAAGCCAATGGAGTTGGATTTTGATCGGCGCAATCATTGTTGTCCTGCTTGCTGTTGCATTGGTTCCAAGGAATTTTCCAGTTAGTTTGCTCATTCATCGCGTCGGGAGTTGTTTCGGCGGCTGGAAGGTATATGTTGGTTTTGAGATTTCATTATATCTCAAATTTAGGTCTCGAGACTCGAGAGTCGAGAATCAAGCGGAGTCACTATTCTAATTGGAAATCTTTTGAGGAATAACTAATGAAGCTTGTATACTCTTCGAATTTAGTGGAAATGATTCTGTGTTTGATGCTAATTTATGTGCATGGACATGTATAATTGGATGTAGGAAGGGCTCAAATACCATGGACTTGTGGAGGATTGCTGTTGTGATTATGAGACTGTGGATCGTATCAATGAAGAGGTGTTGCATCCAATGCTCCAACGTCTTGTTAAGTATCCATTCTTCCGGTACTTTAAGGTATGTGCATTTGTAAACATGTAATTGATCCACTTTTAATGATAATACTTTCCATCTTTGATTCCTTATTACTTTCTAATAAAAAATTGAAATATGAAATCCTTTAAGCATCTGCTTAAAATTTTCATCAATGTTCCATGCTGTATAGTTAGAGTGCTACTACCATCATTCTGGTGCCTTATAGTATGTATTTCAATAGGTCAAATTATGGTGTGATTGTCCTTTCTGGCCTGATGACGGTATGTGCCATTTGAGGGACTGCAGCGTCTGTGAGTGCCCCGAAAATGAGTTTCCTGAAACATTTAGAAAGCCTCTTGGCAAAAGTCTCTCATCAGATGATCTTCTCTGCCAAGAGGGAAAGCCAGAGGCTATTGTTGATCGTACCATAGATACTAAAGCTTTCAAAGGCTGGATGGCAGTAGATAATCCTTGGACAAATGATGATGAAACCGACAATGGTACATGTTACTTCCACAAATTTAAAGCTCTTCCATGGTGCTATGATCTTACTCTGTAATTGATTACATTTGTGCAAAACTATTGTTCATCTAGTATGTTGAGCTGTTTTTCTCGACTAAGTTTATTCTTGTTCCCCCACCTTGTCAGCTTTTAATACTTAAACTTTACATGGTATTGATTGCAGCCGAAATGACATATGTTAACTTACAATTGAACCCTGAGCGCTACACTGGCTACAGCGGTCCATCTGCAAGAAGAATATGGAATGCTATTTACATGGAAAATTGCAACAAATGTAAGTACCTGTTCGAATCAAAAGTGACTTTCAAAAGCTTGTATTATTAGGGAGAGATAGCCTTCATCTGTTTCTAAAGTCACTTCCTTTGTTAATTAATTAACATTGCCCTCTTGTTTTTTTTAGCTTAATTTTGATGCTTGATCATGAGCATTCTCTGCAGATCCGTCCGAAGAGTGCCAAGAAAAAAGGATATTGTACAAGTTGATTTCTGGTCTTCACTCCTCCATCTCAGTTCACATAGCTGCTGATTACCTGCTCGATGAAAAAAAAAGCACGGTATAATCTTGAAATCTTGCACTTCTCGAAGCAGGGTTCTTGAATTGTTTATCTTGCAGTTCCTTTAGAATTTGATTTACAACTCCAGTTCATATAGCTACATAACCACATCCTTACTAGAACTTGTTGATGTAGTTTGTGTGCATAACTCTGAGCTCGTCTTGAAAATGATCAACAATTTTCAACCTTTGCATTGCAGTGGGGCCAAAATCTGTCCTTATTATACGATCGTGTCGTGAAATATCCAGACCGTGTCAGAAACTTGTATTTCACTTTCCTCTTCGTTCTCCGATCAGTGACAAAAGTGAGTAGGCTTCTTCCAATTTCATCTGTTTAATTGCTTTTACAACTGTAAATTTTTTTGATCGGTTAATCTGTAGGCCGCAGATTACTTGGAAGAAGCTGACTACGATACTAACAATCCCGTGGATGACCAAAACACCCGTTTCTTAATGAAGCAGCTGCTCTACGATCACAAGCTACAATCTGCATGCCCTAAGCCATTCGACGAGGCCAAATTGTGGAAAGGCCAAAGCGGACCAGAACTTATGAAGCAAACACAGCGTCAATTCAGAAATATAAGGTGTTCTTCATATATATATATGTGTGTATATACCGAATGCAACTAGACTGCCTTATCCTTTTATAGTATTTGTTGGAGTTTTTGACTATTCTTGCATTAGCAGTGCCCTGATGGATTGTGTGGGGTGCGAAAAGTGCCGTCTGTGGGGTAAGTTGCAGGTATTAGGCCTCGGCACTGCATTGAAAATCCTATTTTCGATTGATGGCCCGACTCAGCTGCAGCTGCAGACAAATGAAGTAATAGCTTTGATGAATCTGCTGAATAGGCTATCGGAGTCGGTTAAATTTGTGCGTGAAATGGGGCCTTCAGCTGAAAGAATGTTTGGGAAGATCATTGGAGGACAGAATGATCAAGTAACTCATCACTTTTGAATTTTTGATACCTTAATTTTCAGTATTATTGCATGCTGTATATGTATATGTATATGTATGTGAGTTTTTGAAGTATACAAAAGTAAAGCTGGCTGAGATCTTTCCTGATTGGTAAGAGACTATTGCATTAAAAATATGTCTATATTTATATATTTTAACTCATTTTCAAATTATCCTTAAACAATTCAAATTACCAGGGATTCGTTAGATAATGTGACATGGAGGTTACAAACTACTTATATATTTATGTATTAGGTATAAAAAAAACTATCAACAATGATACGTTTGGCGTTTATTTATTTATTTTTTGAATTGTTAATTTTTTTGTTTAGCGTAGTTGTTGAGTGTGTATATATATTAGTATTTTATTATATTATTATTTGAAAATTGTGTCTAAATTTGGGGTGGGTTTTTTTAACAAAAAAAAAAACAAAAATATATTTTCCAAAAATCTTAATATATCGTTTATTATTTATACTCCCTCCGTTCCAATACAATAATATTGTTTACCATTTTTTGTCCGTACCAAAATAATAATCTTATTTTCATACATAATCATGTCACTGTAAATTATCTTTACTTTTTCATTTTCATTGTTCATTATAATTACACAATTGTCATTCTTTGTCAAACTCAGACTATAGTTTATGGGAGGACGAAAAGAGTATATTTTATTCATTATTTATATATTTTCTACACAATTTTATATATATTTTTACATAAAAAAAAACTAATATTATTAAATAAAATAAAGAAATAAAAATACAGTAATTTTGAAATTACTATAAATTATAATTAAAAATATTTTTTGTATTATATTTAGTTGCCGAGAATTTAAACCAGGACCCCACCCCACCAAGCCATCACAGACCAATTTTTTTTTACAAATACTACAATCATTTTAATAAAATATTTAATTTTTACTTTAAAAAGGCAAAAATATAAAAACTATATAACGTTAATACAGTAAAACATAACCAAACAAACTTTTATCACCAACCTGAAATCGCGTTTGCTTTCTCAAAAACTGAAAAGAAAAATCGCACTACAGACAGCTCGCTCCCGTTGATTCATTCATGTATCATTACCCGAGCTGAACCATACAGACCTCAATAATCGATTTCTGTGTGATCTGCATCTTCCTCTGCTCTCCCTTGCGTTTCAATTTCGTCGTCATGACTTGAGCAACTGCTAGCGCAAGGTATAAAATGTTTTTCCATTTTAGATTCTTTTTATTGTTCTTTTTTAACGATTTGTTAACACTTTTGATGCCTCAAATCACATTTGATGTTGAAGTCGCCTGCGTGTGTCTGTCTGTGCATCCAATTGAACGCAGTTAAACTTTTTCAGATTGTCAAGCTGTTGGGGGCTTGAGAGACTAGGTTTTATCGAATACTCGATTTAATAGAAATGGATGAAAGGAGTTCATCCTCTCCAGCTGGAACAGAAACTGATTTAGTGTCTCTTCGGCAGCGCCGCTCCAAAGGCAAGTTTTCGTTAAGCTCACCGGAAAACATTTTTGTTTCTTCGTTTCATATATAGTTTAAATTACGCATTGCGTGAATATCTTTGATAAGATGATATGATGTTGGTGAAATTTTGTTGTTTGTGGATAGGGAGATTGAATTACGGTAGAGCTAATAGAATCCTATAATATTTTGAAGAAATTGATAGTTCTATTTGATTGGCTGTGATTCTATTACTTGCAGTTATATACCAGTTTACACAACAAAATCTTCCTGCTTGTAAACCTGTACTATCTCCGGCATGGGTAAGCTAATGGTTGTCCTTTTATTTGTGAGTGATCCGAGAATGTGCTTATGGTTTTTTACAGTTCATATAGTTCTCTGTCGGATTTGATATTTGTGCTCGACAGGTCATCTCAATGTTTTTTGTGGTGGGTGTGGTGTTCATACCGATTGGTATTGTGTCTCTACATGCTTCACGAAGTGTATGTTTTTTTTCATTAACCTTCATTAGTATGGGCGACTCGGTTTGAAAATATATGATTGATGTATAAATTTGGTTCAGATTTCTGTATATTTGTTGGTGTGATATTGTAGGTTGTTGAAGTTGTGTATAGATATGACGGGGAATGTATACCGGAATCATTTAGGAGCAACAAGTTGGCGTACATTATGGATAGTTCGATACACAAAAATTGCACCATATACCTGAAGGTGCTATATAAATTATCTGAATCTCTGATACCATTTGCTTTCTCTCAAATTATTTAATATAACTGAGACATTGTATTTATCAATATTTAGTTTTTATTGTACTTAATTGATTATGAAATCAGTAATTCCATCATAGAGGAGATATTTAATCCATATCACTGGTCTTTAGACTTTTTCTTCCTATACTGATAGATTTTTTGACTGAATGGCAGATGTCTAAATTCTATGAGAAGTCACTGTGTCTTTGGGTGTTTTCTTTGAAAACTAGTTTGTTATTGCCCTTTTGGAATAGATTTTGCATTCATTTATTCTATTTGGCACCTAGGATAAATGAAATTTCGAACATTGTTAATAGCTGCTTAGAAACTGGCAGGATTTTCGAAGTCTCAATTCCTAGTAGCAGGGAAGTCATTTGGATAATGTTAAAATATGATGAACTTCTCTTCTGCTATTTACATTTGTGCGTCCTCTAGCGTTTAATGTCAAACATATTGAATAAGTTACATTGAATAAATTGTCCTCACTAGCTTGTCTGCAGATTCCCAATCATATGAAAGCTCCAATAGATATCTACTACCAGCTCGATAACTACTACCAGAACCACAGGCGGTAAAAATCATACTTATCTCATGTGTGAATATGTAGATAAATGTCTATTATTCATCTCAACTTTTCACCCCAATTATTTGTTGTTACAGCAGTTGTTTTGTATGGTGTATTGATTCAATTTCCTTGTTCTGATGAAGGTATGTTAAGAGTCGATGTGATCAACAACTCTTGCACGGACTGAGATACCGAGATATAAGTTTGTGTGCACCTAAAGATGTTGAACATGGTCTCCCAATAGTCCCTTGTGGTCTGATTTCCTGGAGTTTGTTTAATGATACATACACTTTTTTCCGAGGAATGGATAAATTGGATGTCAACAGGAAGAACATTGCATGGAAGAGTGATCGTGATCATAAATTTGGGAAGCAAGTTTATCCCTTCAATTTTCAAAACGGCAGCCTAATTGGTGGTGCAAGTCTCGATCCCAATATTCCTGTGAGTTATTCCTTTGCATTCTGTACTTCTATGTTTTACTGTTCTAAGTTTGCATTATCGAATCCTTTTTTGCTTAGTTACTTACGGCTTTTGTCCTTTGGTTTTTTCTGTGTGCATTTCAATAAATTTGATGGATTAGCTAAGTGATCAAGAGGATCTTATTGTATGGATGAGAACTTCTGCTCTCCCAACCTTCCGAAAGTTGTATGGAAGAATCGAAGAGGATTTATATCCTGATGATATCATCACAGTTAAAGTTCTAAACAATTACAACACCTACAGTTTCAGTGGTAGCAAAAAGATTGTTCTCTCAACATCAAGTTGGTTAGGAGGCCATAATAATTTCCTGGGAACGGCTTTCATTTCCGTCGGCATTTCTTTTATCTTTCTTGCCATTGTCTTCCTGTTGCTTCATTTAAGAAATCCAAGGTAAAACTTGAAGTGTAACTGCTTTCTTGCAGAAAATTTTCTGTATTTTTACACAGCTGAGTTTTTTATCTTTTCCTTTTTGTCATAGAAATAGATCGAAAGATGCCATAGTAGCAAAATGACTTCCTTGATTTAGAGGCATTCAACGACACGTATCTTGTTTAATATGGAGTGAAAAATATTTCTATAATTGCAATTTGTGACGAAGTGAATAAGATCAATGGGATAAGATGCCAATGTATGCTGTTGTATACTATGGTGATGAAAAATGTATTCTCCCAAGTATATGTATTTCCGAGATTAGAATATCCCTTTTCCTTTGTCAATATTGATTGTAGTCAGGCATCTATAATATACCATTATTGTGAAGTGGTTTGCAGGTCAAAAAATCTTAAATAAATACGTTTCTGGAAAGAGTTTTTGCACACTATGCCTTTTAAGCTTGTTTACAAGTTTACATCACACTCCAATTTGGTGAACTGTTCTGAAATTTAACAGGGAATTCCTGTTAGTAAGATGATAGTAAAACTTGTAGCCATCATGTATGAACTTGATTTCTTTGATGCTTATTTGCATTTCCATGTTTCAGACAATTTGGTGATACAAGTAACTTATCACGGAATTAAAAAAGCTGGTTTCAGGTGAAAGGTAAAACAATGGTTTCATTTCTGGATTTTGTTGTCTCAATCTAAGTATAATGTGGTTTTCTAAGTTCTGGACAACATTTAAAGGTTCCAGTTTTGTAAATTTAGCTGCTTCCAAATGTTGCTACGTTTGGAATTAAATGTTAGTTAATCATCCTGTTCCATTTTAGTTCTATTATTTTAATATTTATGTCAAGAGACATGTTGGTTCAACAGATAGAAGTAAACAAATCATCTGAATTCACAGGGCCATTAATCCCTTTACTACTGATATTGATAAGTGTCCCTTAATGTCACAAATGCATAAAAAAATTGTCATTTTAGTTATTTCTGTGGAGAACTTATAGCAAGGGGTGGGATTGGCCACTTGTTCTGTAGGCTTTCTATATTATACTGGTAAAATTGAAAATTGTAACTGTTTGTATTTAGAACAGCTTGTATTGTGTGAATCCATCCTAAAGTAGACAGTTTTTTTGTGTATGAAATTTTTCATAGCCTCACTTTTTCAAGAGAACGGCATATTATGTCACAAACTAATAACATCCCATACAAAATGGATATGAAGTTCATGAACAGTAATTATTTAGTTAGCTAGGAGAACTTTAATGTTAGAATACAGAAACAAGAAACATAAATAAAAGAGGGATACATCACAAAAATTGGTACCTAGTACCTCTCAGACGAAGTAATCCATAATCTCTTTAATTTTCAAGTTCTTCAATGTTTTCATTCATTAAAATCACCCATCTCCCTTGAAGAAAATGGGCAGGAAATTAGGAGTGAGTCACTAATTGCCCTTTCCTCTGTATCATAGACTATACATACGAAAATCCTTCATCATCAAATGATGTTCTAAATCCCTTTTGTACAATCAATATATATGGTCTTTATTTGCCTCTGAACTTTTGACTGCTGCTCTTTGAAGAGCTTTGGGGTATGGAAGAGATCAACAGGTGGAAGATCTTAGGGAGATAGAAGCAATAGCAGTATCCTCATGAACACAAAAATACCCTTTACTATAAATGTAGATTACAGAGGTTTGCTATAGAATCATGAAAAATATGTTTATCAGCATATAGGAAGCTAAGGAAAGGACAAGAGGAACCAAACAGAGGGCCTTGTTATTGCCAGCACCATCATTCTCCAACACTTCTTCCATAATAGTCTCAAGCTTTGGCTTATTGGATGCTTTTCTGTGGGAGATCAGGGGCGAAGATGCCGACTCTACCCAGGTATTGATGTAGCTTATTTGCTTTCTCATGATGAATATTTCTGACCACAGAAAATTGATCTGTTTGTTGTAAGATTTTATGTGATTGGAGTAGAGTATATTGTTGGCTATGATACAGCAAATCTGATGATGCATCTATTCATATATATATGTGAAATGACGAGGGTGAAATTAAATGGGAGAAAATTAATGGCTGGAGGAATTGGTCAGGTGTTTGGTTTTCTAGTTGGTTTAAAAGTCTAAAAGAACCCTCTGAAGAGGAACCAACCTTAGATGCTTCTAATTTCCTATAAATTCCACGCTAATTTAGGCAATGAATGAGTTGATCTGATCTGATCTGATTTGATACCATGGTTGAATATACTGACTGACAGACTTTTGAGGAACCTTCCCCCTCTAGAAAGTATGACTACTAATAAATTACTCCCTCAGTTTCTCAGTGAAAATATCTAATAATTAAATAATATGATTAATATTATGAAAATTATAAATTAAACAAATTATAGGTACAAACTAAAATGATAAAAATAGATACTTCACCTGGGACGAAGAGAGTATTTTATGGGACATGGGTTGAGGGATAGTTCTTTTTGTTACCTGTGTTTATAACTTTGTATCTATATTTAGATTTTGAGCTAAATAATTATTGGATGATTTGGTATGACAAATAATATGCCGTCCGTCCAAGAGAAAGTATATGTTTTGTTTTATTCGGTTATATGCCATTTTATTCATTTCTTATAAATAATACTCATACAATTCAAATATATTAACAATAATACCACTCGATAAAATAAGAGATAAGAACCTGTTTGTCCTTGTATTTAATACATTTACTTTTACATATTGAATACTATTATTCATTTATCTTAATGTAAAAAGTAGAGGGATATTTCTCTCCTGGAGGGATGGAATATATTGTTATAGAAAATCATTGTATAGTGTAAAAAATACTTGAGCAGAGCCTCTCCCCAAAGAATAGGATGAAAAGAAATATGAAACAACACAGCAATTTCCAGATACTGGCTAAATAAAAAGATGGTCTAAACTGTACTTGAGAAACCCACTAAAGGACTGTTCTTTCTATGGTAGGAATACTTAATTTCAAATTGAATTGACTAGGTGGTACTAACATTTGAATAAATCCCATGTGAAAAATAATCCTACCCAAGAAAAAGCCACGTGTCATTGTTAGTTCAATAGTGAAGAAACTAACCCTTTTTTGAGCAAACCTAAATCCTCTGCCTTTGCCAAAACGGCATCCAGAGAGACCATTCATTCATCCCTGAAAATGCATCAGAACAACTTTCGGTGGTCAATCAAAGCTGTGTCAAATGAATCCTAAAATTACTTGGCAGCCATGCCAATTTTGGATGTGATATATACATATCCCTCTTTTTACATGATTGCAACTTAACAAATTCAGGATTCAAGCCAAGAATCAAATTTTCCTATGACAAAAAAATGTGATCTAAAACCAAGATTTCAATCAAGGGCTTATGTTGAGACACATAGCATCATTTTCTTCTTGCCCCAATAATGAAGTCAAGTGATTCATGCTTTCCTCTATGGTCCCATCTCATCTATCCCAATCAAATAAATGAAAAAAGTTATAGACGGCAGAAACTGCTAAAAACATTTAATTCTCCGGGATAACGACTGCCGACTCAATTCAAGTCTTAAACAAACCTCATCCAGTGTCTCCCTGTGTATGTATAAATTCAATCCAACCCAAGCTCATCTCCAAATCATACCATTCTCTTGTCTTTCTTCTCCCACGTACCATAGCTTTCCCATCACTTAAAAAAAATGGCGAATGCCCGTGTTGCTAGATTCATTACAGAAGTGGCGCCTCCTCAGTTTGTAAGCGTCATGAGGCACAGAACATCCAAGATGATGGACACAATTCATGAAGAGGATAAAGAAGCTAGCACCATTGATTCCAAGGCTCTGTCTCCATATCCTATGCTGCCTGCTTCATCTCAGAATGCTTATAATCTATCCCTTGGTGAAAGAAAGACTATTTATTATCTTAGGGCCCTGTCAATCTATCATGAGTAAAACCTAAATGTTTTTTGTATGGGTTTTACTGATATGAGTTGCAAGCTTTTAGGCATCTTGTATATAGAGTTACCTAACTAGTTTTTGCGCTCTGTGTCCTATGGTTTCTCCATCTTTTTTCCAATTTTGCATCATGCTATATTGGATCAATATTATTGCATCTAATTTATAAACATAATTTAGAAAGAAATGCAAGCCACCTTCATCACACAAGCAGCAAGAATTTATATGAAAAGAAACAAAATGAAGATAGTAAACTAAACCAGCAAATTATAGATATTGAACAATGCAGTGGACAAAGCAGGGCTCACAGTACTGGCCTTGCCAATTTGATGATCTTTTAGATGATGAAATTCCTGGAGCCTCTGCCCTGTTGTAAAATCAAACAGAAATTATTAGTACACACAACCATCTTCACAAGATTTAAACTGCAACAAAAAAACTGCTCACAGAATCCAATCCCCATTTCCAGTATTTTTGAAAAGGTATGCTGGTGCTGCCACGGTGGGTTATTCCTGTAATTTAGGAGTGGAGGCTGAGATTTTCTAATCCAAACTACTGTAGTATCATCGCTTATCCAATGAGTTTGGACCAAAACGCCACGTGTCGTTGCAAGAATCAGATAAGAATGGAGAAGAGGTTTGATCATGGAGCTAGTAGAAACTTCAACCTGTTACCTCCTGACCCACCCCACCGCCGACGGCTGAGCCACCATGCGGACAGCGGCGGCGACACCATTCTATTACTGGACGTGCTTCTCTTCTCAAAAACCAATTGCTGCAGATCCAGAGCAACCGACCAACGTCTTCGCTGTAAAACCGAAGATTAGCCTTCAAAAACATACAGATAACCAACAAACCAAAGCAGGAATCTCCCAGCAATTCAAGGAAAAAATCCTCTGCCTCGAAATCATGGGCGTCGATTCAGGCCAGGCTCTGGCCCGAAATCCTTCTCTCCGCGAAGCTCCAGTTGATTCCATCAACTCCGTCATCTCCTTCCTTCAATCCAAAGGCGTACACATTAAGGATTTAGGCAGAATCTTCGGTATGTGCCCTAGAATTCTGACTTCTAACATAAAATCCGACCTCGATCCGGTTTTCAGTTTCCTATCCTCCGATCTCGGAGTTCCTGATCGGAATTTCAGAATGGTGATCAGCAAATGCCCGAGACTATTAATTTCCAGCGTCGGAGATCAACTGAAGCCGGCTCTATCCTACCTTCGCAAGCTAGGGTTCAGAGATTTGAAAGCACTAGCGTATCGAGACTCGATTTTACTGGTCTCGAATGTGGAGAGAACGCTGGTTCCCAAACTGGATTATCTTGTCAGTTTGGGGATTTCCAAGCCCGACGCCGTACGGATGGTCCTGCGATGCCCTGGATTGTTCACATTCAGCATCGAGAACAACTTGAAGCCGAAATTCAACTACTTTGCTGAAGAAATGAAAGGGAAATTGGGGGAAGTGAAGGAATTTCCGCAGTACTTCACGTTTAGTTTGGAGAAGAGGATAAAGCCGCGGCATATGGAGGTTGTACGAACAGGAGTGAAGATTGTGCTCCCGTTGATGCTGAAGACCAGTGATCAGGCTTTCAGAGAATTGCTCACGCTAAAAATGAGCTCGGAGTTAGAGGCAAACAATGAAACGCTGTAGCTGCCTCTGGAGATCGCCGGCCGGAGAAGACTGAATATCTCCTGCAGTATCATTCACGGCGACTAGCTCCGGCATGTCGTACCAATCCGTCGCCGTCGTCCTCCGTTAAAGGAAATTGTTGGCGGGAGAGAATCGTGTAGTAATTATTAATTATGTTATGAATTAAGGTTTGTACAGTTGGGCATTAGAGTAGTAGATATTAAGGCTTAAATTTTTTTTGGAGTTTTAAAAGTTTAAAATCGTTTTTAATAATAATTATTAAAAATATAATACTCATTTTCTTTAGTCATATATTTGGTTTAAATTTGATATTAAAATTTATATAGGATAAAATATTTAGTAAAAAAAGAAAAATATACTCCTCTGTGGTCACAAATAACTATATATCCTATAAAATATATTTATTTATATTTTAAGTAAATTTATTTATGTTAAATATATATAATCAAAATTTAAAGATGATCTACAATTTTACTTGTAGGGTTTGTTTGTTTGGGGGTTTGGATTTTGAGTTAGATTTGAATAGTAAAAAATTTGAATTTGAATACCTGTATGATGGGATATAAATAGGTGTTTGATGTGATGTTTTGAATGTAAAATTGATTTTTAGTATAATATAAAAAATAAAAATTAGGTGTTTGATTTGATATTTTTAGGCGGAAAAAATGAGATCAACAGTAAATTTAAAATCGAATCCTCCAAACAAACACACCAGTAATGTATTTGAAGTAGTAAAATCTAATCTGAATTCTTATCAATAGAGTAAGAGTGTATTTGTATTATGTGATATAAATAAATATTATATATATTATATTTTAAATATAAAATTAATTTTTATTATAAAATAAAAATAGTTTGATTTAAGATGTTAAAAAATAAAAATAAAAAATAAAAATGAATGGATAGTAAAATTGGGGCAAAATCCCCAAACAACTTAGTTTTTATAATAAAAATGAATAAACAAACTTATGTGGTACACTTGCATTCCATTTAAATTTTATTTAAAGTAAAATTATACTATATCTGTCCCATATAATTTGTTCCACGTAATTTGTTTTTTTATTTTTATTTTTTAAAAATTAATTATACACTTTAATCATATCTTAAAATTTTTTTAATTTATTTAGTTATCTTAATCTTAATTTATAATTTTTTTTAGGCAAATTATAATTATTTTTACTAATATATTTTTTAATTAATTACTAATTATACTTTTAGCTAATAGGTACATTATTTAGGATAGAGGGAGTAACAGTTTCATTTCATAATGAAAAAAATATACTCTTTCAAATCTTTTTTTTAAGTAGAAAAATATTATTCCCTCCGTTCCTTAACAATTTATCTATTTTTTCATTTTGGTCCGTCTCATAACAAAGTATTCGTTTCCTTGTACTATCTACCTAACATTACAAATACCCTTCTAATTTACAATATGTTACACAAGTCATTACATTTGTATCATACAATATTAATAAAGTTAATTTAGTATTTTTACCTTTATTTATACTTTATCCCAATATAATACTAATATTCCTAAAATTTTGTCGATAAACAAAATGAATAGATAGATTGGAAACGGATGGAGTATTTTATTTTATTTTTTCACCAAAAAATAAAAATTTATATTTTTACCTTTTTCTTCTTAAAATTCGTGTTTGGTGGACGATGGAGTATAATAATATATCTAATTTATATTTTTTTACTATAGAAATTTTATCGAATTTTTAATAAAAATATATTTTATTAAGAGTTTTTTTATATTAATATATAATTATTTTTTAAATAAAAAAAATACTTTTAAATATATAAAAAATGGTAAACATATAGTTTCAATTGAGACGGATAGCAATTAAAAAATATCATTTAAATTTAAATTTGAATAAAAAATCAATCTCATTATAGCAATTCAATCACATTGGTTCGGATATTATTGTTATCAATATTGTCTTATTAAAATAGTAAATGTGAATCTATATATATAATTATAATAATCTAAATGAACTATATATAAAGGGCAGGGCAGGGGGGTGAGTGGCGACCGACCGGCCCAACCCAAATTCCGAACCCTAAAATTCCGAAGCTTTGGATGGCATCGTCGTCCAGTGCGGCCGCGGAGGCAACACCGCCGTGGCTCGATTTGCCGCGAGACATCACAGCCGCGATTTTGCACAGATTGGGGGCATTCGAGATACTCACATCCGCGCAGAATGTTTGTAAGTCATGGCGGAGCGTGTGCCAGGACCCGGCCTTGTGGCGCTCAATCGACATGCAAAATCCCGGCGATCCTTGGGAAACTCAATACAACTTGGATAAAATGTGCTGCCACGCAGTGGATCGTAGCCAGGGTCAACTGACTGATATTAGTATAGAGTATTTTGGCAGCGATGATTTGCTTCTATGCATTTCTCACAGGTAATGTTTATGAGCGTATGTATTGCGTTTGTCTGTCCTGTGTATGATAATATCTCAATTTCATATGATTTCACTTAAATATGCTGCTTCTATTCGTTTTTTTATCTTGATGTCAATGTTCCAGACTGGTAGCTTGTGGTACCTGCGTTTTTGGATAAAAAATCGAACTTGTTAGTTTGAAGATTGTGTAATAGACTTGTTTTTCACTCATCAGTATGCTGTTTTATTTGCCTTAGATCAAATAATTGGGATTTCGTATTGCTATATCTGAACTGTGAAGTCATTGCTTTGGGTTTTCATTTGTCTGAACGTTCAGAATGTTCTTATACCTAAGTACTAGTAGTAGTTGTCTTTTTATTGGAGATTGTTGTTTCCATATCTGCATTTGTGAGTTACTTCGGGAATTGTAATTAAGAAAAACGAAAAGAAGGGAATCTGTGGGAACAGATCCATAAAGAATCTTCTAATATCTGGTGCTTTCTTTCCATCTGTAAATAGAGAAGTTGAAGGGGTAAATCGTTTTGTCTTGATTTTCTTGAGGTCTTCTTTTCATTAGTTGCTAACAGTTGGTGAGTAGCTTTTGTGGCTCCCTAGCTTTGTTGTTTATGGCCGCCAATCGATGTACTTATTTAAATGTTTCTCTAATGTGTTTGCATCCAAAGAGTTTGGGTATGCTTATATTATATTTGATCTTGTTTTCACATTTTATAAAACGGAAAATACTTTTTCTCCCTAAAACAAATTTGTTTGCATCACACATCCAACACCTATTTTTTATTTTTAACTATACATCCAAAACAAATTTTTTTTTTTTTTGTTTTTCCTTGTAAAAAAATTCAAATGAAAAAACATTCCAGGACACAAACACCCACCCTTTAATCAATTGTAAAGTGTCATTTATACATTTTTTTACAATATTACTTGGATCAAATTTCTTCATTTTTGTATTTATAATTGTAGAAGTCAATGCTTATGTAATCTTAATCTGGGTTCAGTATCTGGGTAAGAAGAACTTCCCTGTGGATTTGTTGATGGAAGAATAATGGCAGTGTTAGTATGTTTCGGATGCCAAATGAACCCAATTGGCCACTAATCTCTATATGATTTCAAAAATTGTTTTTAATTTATGCGACATTATAAATAAACTCAAACTTTATATGATTTCAAAAGCCAATCTGCAAAAGTTTCATCAACTGGCTGAAATGCCATTGGTTGGCAATAGACTTGTTAGAATAATACTTTCTAATTTGAGCAACAGCTTTTGTTTTCTCCATTGTGATCATCAAATTATCATTTTCTTGTAGCTTCTTATCTTAGTTCATGTCGATCACATTTCTTTAGTTCAACACTATTCTTATATTAACAATGTTCATTTCTGTTTGATCTTGGCCGCCACTTTTTCAGGTGCACTCAGCTCCGATGTCTTGAACTTGTGTACTCCTTCGGCGTAACCGGTGATGGTTTGGCCGCAGCCGTAAAAAATTTCCCGATGCTCGAGGCGCTGCATCTCTACTACACCTCAATCGAAGCCGAAAGTATCAAAGCTATCGGAAACTCTTGCCCACTGCTAAAGTCCTTCAAATTGAACGCCCGTTGGTACAAAGAGCCACATGTTATCTGTGATCTGGAGGCGCTAGCAATTGCAGAAACCATGCCTGAGTTACGGGACCTTCAGTTATTTGGAAATAAAATGACGAACGAAGGCCTGCAGGCCATCCTCGACGGCTGTCCTAATCTCGAATACCTTGATCTAAGACAGTGCTTCAACGTTCATTTTGGCGAGAAGCTGGGGAGATTATGTTCTCAGAGGATCGAAGATCTCAGGCGTCCTTACGACCCCACAGATGACTATGAATTTGATGCTGAAATATATGACTGTGAGTCGTCCGATGATGTTTCTATAACGGGGTTTTCTGACATGGACACAGTTTCGGATGATCTTGATGATGATTATCTGGAATTCTCGGACGGGAGCGAGCCGTCGTCGCATGATTCGTTTGAAGATCCATATGACATTTGAAGATTGGAGAAGAGTTGGAGTCATTTGTTGTGGTGCAAGATGTCCTTGGTCGTGTGTTTCGGTGTCTGAAGTTCTTCTTCTGCTACCTCTTTGTAAGCAAATGCACCTCTCTTTGTTTGTTTGTTATATATATATATATATACACATAATATATATGGAAGAAATCTTAATTCATAATATGAATGATATAAATCATGAATGCAATGCAATGGCATCGATTTTTAAATATAGAATAGGTAGTGAGAGACTTGTGCTGTGTTTAGATATATTTTTATAGTGAATTTAAATTTTGAAAAAATTAATACTATATTTTTATAACAAACTTAATAAAATTGTATAATAGTTTTATTTATTTATCTTAAAGCAATCTTTATTCTTTTCTTTAACATAGAGGAATAAATATGGGGGAGGGTGTAGGAGTTTAGGACTCGAGCTACGTTGTTTTAGCAAATTTCTTTTTTATTTTGTTACTAAATTGTATTCTTTAAAAAATTATTATTTTCTATAAAAAAAAATTATATTAAACCACTGAATAAACACAAAATATAGATGCCAAACATAACATACACCCGAACTAAACACGTCCTTAATATACACTGGTATTTTTTGTCCTATCTATAAATGCAAATGAACTATTTTTATTATTATTATTTAATAATTTATCTTAAAACAAAATAAAAAATCATGAATATCTGGTCCTTTCTTGTAGTATGGTCCTTTTTTCCTTGTCCTGCAAAAACTAGTTTGCTTTGTGTCTTTGAGATATGAAAATAAATATTACTTCTGTCTCGTATAATTGGTTTTTATTTTCTATTTTCTTCCGTCTTATATAACTTGTCATTTTTATTTTTGTAAATATAATTATGCCTTTTAATCGCATTTTAAATTTTAAATTTTATAATTTTTTTTTAATTTTAATTAAACTATTTACTTATTTTAATCTTAATCTATAATTGTTTTTACTAAATAATAATTATTTTTACTAATACATTTCTTAATTACTTAGTAATTATACTTTACCTAAATTCTCGTGTCTACAGTAATACACCCATATTACATGTAACTAGTACAATATTTTTGTTACTTAGAAACTAAAAAATATTATGGTAATATAAAATTGTAAAAAATAAGTAAATGAGAAACCTGTACTATAGTTGGGAGTACTATACAAGCAAGAAAGATTATTGGAACAATATTCTTGGCATGTGTGTGTTGAGAAAAAGGTCGAGAAAAAAAAATAAAACCCTAAATAAAAGGGTACCTCATTTTGGGATTTCCAGACACACACAGGCCCAGGGGTCCCTTTACCCCTCTGTTGCTTTTAACTTTTCTACACTTCACTTGTCTATTTATGCAACAAACATCATCTCATCTCATCATCTCAGATTTCCTTTTGGATACAACAAATCCCTTTTCCTTTCATTTTTTGTTGTTATCTTACATTCTTCTGTTTATTACTACACTGCCACTCCATTCTTACCACATTATTATTAGCTAAAAGTGTTTTTTATTTGGAAGATGGTTGCTTGATTTGGGCAAGATTTTCCACACCTTTTCAGGAGTCAGCATGAGTCAGAAGAGCTGAGTGCACTACACTACACTACACTACCCTCCTCTCTCTCATGTCTCATCCACTCTTTCACCTCCAATTCAACCAATTATTGGTTGTTTCTTACAAATCCAACACCCCTTTTGCCAATTTTAAATTCTACACATATTTATATTTACCTTGTTCATTCACCAATAAGATCTTGTAGTGTCAACTTAGCAACACAAAATTAATTAATTATATTATACTATGTTGATTGTTTTATTAATTACATACATTCATATATTGCCAACCAAACACTCAGTACACGTTGAACGGCGCCGTTCTATCAGGCAACGGCGCCCGAATACCCGCCCCTGATGGCGGCGTCACGGACCGGATCAGCGCGAAATTCAACCCCTTGAAAAACGGGTGGGTCTTCACATCCGCCGACCCGCGCCGAGACCCGACCCTCCTACTCGGGTCCTTGTTCAGCAGCCCCGCGATCAGGCTGCGCGCGTGCGCCTCACTCGCCCCGCAAGGCGCGTCGGGTGGGAACGTAACGGGGTTTTCTACAATGTTCCGCAGCGTAGCTTCGTTCGTCGAACCAGCAAATGGCGTCCGTCCATATATCATCTCATATATAAAAATCCCCAGGGCCCACCAGTCCACGGCGTTCCCGTGGGGCCCACCCGATGCCACCTCAGGTGCCACGTATTCATGAGTCCCCACGAACGAGCACGACCGGGCCGCCACCGGCTCGGCCACAAAGACCCGGTTCTCCGCCGCCCGTATTCGTTTTTTTTTCTTCGACCGGAAAAAGCGGTTCAAGAGACCGGGAAAAGTGGCTACCGTCGCCGCGCTGTGACCTGCTCTCGACGACGGCGGCGGAACACCCGCCGGAGATTCGACGGACGGAATTGCGTCGGAGCAGAGGGAGAGATCGAAGTCGGTGAGCATTATGTGACCGTCCGACCTAACCAAAACGTTCTCCGGCTTCAAATCTCTGTAGATTATTCCCAACATGTGAAGGTACTCCAGCGCCACCAGAACCTCCGCCGCGTAGAACCTGGAAACGTCCGAGCTCCGTTAATGGCGGTTACATAAATAAAGCTGCAGTTACTTTTTAATCACAAACCTTCAAATTTTTTAAAAAATGGCGAAGAGAAGAGTACGATCCATACCGAGCGGAGGCGACGGAGAATCGCTTCTGCGGCTGTTTATGGCGGAGAGAATGCAAATCGCCGCCGGAGCAGTATTCCATCACGACGCCGGAGAAATTCGAAGCTTCGAATTCAGCGTAAAGCGTGGGCAAAAACGGGTGATCCAACAGCCTCATGATCTTCCGCTCGGTCTCTGCTCGTTGAGTCTTCTTCTTCAAGCTCAGCACCTGATTGTCCACCACTTTCATGGCGTAAAACCGGCCGTCCTCCGGCGAGCCGCGGAGGCGGCAGAGGTAAACGCGGCCGATGTCTCCGCTGCCGATCTGGCGCACCAAGCTGAAGTCGCGGAAGCTGAGATTCGATTTCAATAAAATCGGTTGAAAAGAGGAGTCCGACGAGCGGTGCGGCTTCATCGACGGCGGCGGCGGCTGCTCCGGCGAGCCGGTGGGAAGCTCAAATGAGAGGCGGCTGAAACTGGTGCAGTGGCTTACAGTGGTGTCGCTGCTCATGGAACTAAATCCTTCGGAAATGAGCTCCTCGGAATTCCAAATTAGGGTTTCGTCGGCCTGCATTTTTTCCATGGACGAGGATCGGAGCTCACTCATGTACACAATGCAATGGTGGAGCAGGAGCAGGAGCAGCTTTTATGTTATTAGGTGGTCGGTCAATGGAAGAATCAGATACGAATAATAATACTGTGATTAATGGAATGTTGTATGCCTGGTCTGGTGACGAATGAACAGTGCAAGTGCAAGAGTTGAAACTGTGAATGAAGAAGAAGAAGAAGAAGAAACGAGTCTAAAGTAGTTGGCAATCACCCAGAAAAAGAGATTACCAGCACAACCGAACCGAACTGGATATCCATTTATATATACATACTATAATCATCAGAATTCAGAATCTACATGTTGACAATATTAATATATATATATATATACAAAGAATAATATATACAATAAATAATACATAAGCTATATTCTCGTACAACATACACCAATTGATTTTAGCATATTATATGCTTATATATATATATACACACTTGTCATTGTTAAAAAACATCAGTACATTTATTATTCACAACATATGTGTTATTTGTATATATAACGTGTTGATGTCCTTATTTTTTAAAATCATAACCATAACCATAACTATATATATATATTTAGTTTAAAGAATTTTATTACACTATTTATTTTAATTAATTATTTAATTTATTTCCATTAATTATTTAATTATCATTAATTCTAACAAAATTAAATTTTCAAATATTTAATTTTTATCATTCTTTTACCACTTATTTATTATGATTTTCATATTCTCTTTTTATCATCATTAATCATTAATCAAATTTTTAAAAATCTTCGTAATTATCTTTTACTTTTATTATTTTTAATAAAATATTTATTTTTTAACTTGAAGGAATATACATGAAGAAAAAATGCGAGAGAAAGGACAAATATGCAGGCAGAGAGGGACGCAACATTTAGCCATTAAGTCTTAATATTATTTAATTAATACTCTTTTCCTTTCAAAATTTATGTTCGAATTTTTTGTGCATGAGTTTTAACAAGTAGGATTTTAATTTATACTTTTTTATTATTTTTTTACAGTAAAAATTTTTTAAAAAATAAAAATAATTTTTTACTAAACGAATAAATATAAATATTTTTAAGAGAGAAAAAGATAAACATCTCTAACGATAGATGGAATAGTTTTTTAAAATATATTTATTTTCTCTTATAAAATAGTAACAAATCAAATATTAAATAGTTTTATTATATTAATTTTTTTTTTAAAATTTCAAAATCCTCTATTAATTAGATCCTTACGTACTGATGACTGGTATTATAGTGGAGTGCATGGAGGTCATCATTATTATTATTATTATTATTATTATTTTCACCTAAATTATTTTATTTTATTTTTCTTTAATTTAGTTTTTTCAAGGTGTTGTTAAATTATAATTTATCTCACTCGTGTATAAAGTAAAAATATTTTAATTAATCTTATAATTCTTATATAGAGTTCAGATACGATTATATAAGTAAATATGGTTATTATAATTTCAAATAACTTATAATGTGAGCTAAATATTATATCACTCGAGGCAGCGAAATTACGCATGAGAGTTTACACTGGTGTTTGGCACGTGAGGAGCCCCTGCAAGTCACGTGCGTATCGATGCGCCATCGGGATGCTCTTGACTTTGCTTCGTGACGTAAGGTTGGTCTTACTGGTGGGGCTGGGTGGTGGGGTGTGTAGATGCATCTTAGCCGTTCATTTGCAGAAACGAACGGCAGAGATTTACTTGGACTTACCAGTCCCGGAGCTGCTGCCTGTGGTATCCGTTTCTGTTCCTCCTGATAGACAGAGACAGAGGCAGAGTGTACAGTAGGCGTGGGTTGGACTTTGGAAAGGACCTTCCCCACTTTTTGATAGTGAAAAGTCGAGAGTGCCCTTGTCGTGGTTCCTGAAACGCCCCACACTGACCGTGCTGTTTTGTAATATCGCAGGTGTCCAAGGACATGACAAAAAAGAAGCAAATTAGGACCGCATAAAGTTGGGTCCAGCTGGTCCGATTTATTTCGGGTCTATTTCAGTTTATTTGTACATTGATTTAAGTTTATATTTCCTGCATTAAAAAAAGTATAGTTTATTAAATTATAATATTATTTTATTAATTTTTTTTAAAATATAAATTGTGTTATTGATATTTTAAAATAAAAATTAAAAAATATATTTTAAATATTGTATTCCAATAAAAAAAATACGTCTCATTCTAGTTAATTTTATTTAATATGTATTGTGTAAGAAAAAATAATTGAATATATTTTTATTAAAAATAAGTACATATAAAGGGTTTGTTTTTTTTAAAAAAAATATTTTTACATATTTTTTCAAAAAATTTAATAATCTCTCCGTCCGACTTAATTTGTTCATTATATCTATTTATATTTGTTCCACATAATTTTTTTTTTTTTAAAATATAATTATACACTTTAAATCACACTTTAAAATTCATCATTTATAATTTTCTTATCTTAGTTAAATATTCAGTATTTTAATCTTAATATATAATTATTTATTTAAATTATAATTATTTTTATTAATAAACTTTTTAATTAATTACTAATTGCACAATACTTAAAACTCTGTGTTAAAACTAAATGAGACAAATTAGTTGGGACGGGAAATATATTATATACATTTATTATTTTTATATTATTTGTATAATTATCTATTTTTGACAATAATTTTTTTTTTTTCTTGGAACCAAAACACAAAATAAACCATCATGAATAGTTGTAATTTTGATTTTAAAAGTTAAACACAAACCAAACACATCCGTTGGGTTATTACTACTCATTATTATTATTATTATTATTATTATTATTATTGATATAATTAATTATTGTTTGTAAAATTTACTCACTCCTTTTTATGGAAGAGGCCCTTGATTTTATAATATAATAAAAAATAATAGTATTTTATTAGCATGTGTAAAAATATTTTAATATTTTTGTCTTTGATTTTATGTAAAAATTAAGTGTACGTGTAATGATATATTTGTAATTTAAATAAAAATTAATAATATTTTGATATTCGTATATTATTATTTTTACTAAAAAATAAATATTATAAAATAAGACAAAATTACTTTGAAATAAGAGGGGAAGAGTATTATTTTGAGTATTTTTATGTTTATTTAAAAGTTTTTATCAAACTTTTATTTATACTTAAAATATTATATTCAATAATGTTTTTATTTAATTTTTATTATTTTTAAAATAGTGAAAAAAACACCACTTTCAAAACAACAAATCTTGTTTGGGTGTAGATTGAAATTTATTTAAATTGAATTTTAATTTAATTTTTTGTAAAATGAAATATTGTATTTTTATTAAAAAGGGTAATGTGAATAATTGTGATTTTAAATTTAAAGCACAATCAAAGAGATCCTTCAGGTTGTGTGTTTGTTTGTAAGTTTATGTGATTCCTATTATATATATTAAATATTAATTTATTATATAAATAAAATAGTATTTTTTCATTCTAATTTAAATTATTTAATTTTTATTTAAATTATAAACATATTGTTATGTATCCAATTAATTTATACATAAAATCAAAATCAAAATAAAAAAGCAAAAATATAAAAAAATTATACACACTTCTTTAACTAATAAAATAATATTATTTTTTAATATATTACAAAACTCCAAATGATCATTTTTCATTTGGACGAGGAAAGTAATTTTTGTAGTCTAACATATTAAACAAATAATTATTTTAATATTTATGAACTCCGAAAGGCATCCAAAATACAATATAGGTCTTCTACATTGATGACATTATTCATGGAGGGGATCACGTGCAAAAATTAATCATCCTAATTTATTATAATTAAATATTATAATTAATACAATTATATATCAATCATTAATTTTTTAATCATTCCATGTTGTGTTATTCATCTTATCAATTTTCTTTAACCTTATAGTACCTTACCCTCCCCAGTTCAAAACTTTATTCTCATTTTTTATACACATAAATTTTGATTTATTAAATTATTTGATGATTGATTTTGTTCCTACTGAAACAAGTATATATATATATATATATATACACATTCAATTATATAAAAATAAAAAAAAATTAAAATAAATGGTACTTTATGAAAAAAAATGGTAAAGGGTCAGACCCATTTTGGACCACATGTTTATAACGGTTGTGAGCCCAAATTATGGCCCGGCCCGAACATATTGATATGGGCTTGGCCCAAGAAAACCCACCAGACAATCCAAATATTACGAAAATATCTTCCTCGTAGTTTCAGAGCCTTCTGTTGACTTCTTCGGCTTGTTCATTTTCCCACACTAACCGCCGTACGGGGCGCCTGTGTCATCCTGCCCCTGACTGAGGAGTGCGCTTCTCCTTTTCAAGGTATACGAAGTTGTGGTCCAATTCTTTTTCTTTCGGTTCCTTCTTTACTTTTTCTTTCTGAATTCCTTTTTTCATTTGGTGTTGGGACTTGGGAATTTATTGCATCAAGAACATTCGATCGTGTTATCACTCTATTCGTGGGATTTCGGGCTTCTTTATTTGTTATGTAGGATTATCTAGGGCTTAATTTTGGTTGTTTGAGTCATTCTGCCTACAGCTTTGTTGGTTTTCGTATTTAGTCACTTGGACTTGAGTAAATGTGTTGCCCCTGCTTTTGATTTATTTCCTAACTTGTACCTGTTACGTTCGTCGTGTTGATCGGTTTTAGGTATTGACGTGCATCTTGAGATCGAAGTTCTTGAATTGTATATATTCTTTGAGATAATTGCTCTCAAAGATTCAAGAATCTTGACAAATGGTGGAGTTCTCCAGCTGCCGTAACTGAACTGAACTATCTTCAGATTCCTCAAGCTGTTTCTGTATCCCATTATGTGTGATCTTTTCGTGGTGGGGGGTGCTTATGAGCCTAAGGTTTACTTTTCTTCTATATTTAAATATGATTCAATGCTTTCGATTACCTTGAGTAAAATTCTCATTGGAAGATTTAGTCACATGCTCACATTCAACTGTAGTTCTAAATTGGGTTGTTGCCGAGCTCATGAGTTATTCGAGTTTGTACACTGAGGACTATTAGGAATTTGTGTCGTTGGAATGCCTCCCAAGCTATTTGAGTGGTATTGCAAGCCAGCAGGCAGGGGGGTTTTGGCTGTGGAAAATGCATTTGGTGGTTATACACTCTGTATTTTTGACTCATTGGTGATTGGTCTCTCGGAACTTGTACTATTGGGCCTGTGCTTAAACCGGATATGGCGATTAATGAAAGATTTGTCAGTTCAGAGATTCCGATTGAGGTCAAATTTCTACAGTTACATCTTAGGATTATTGGCTCTTTGTTGCACTGTAGAGATTTTCTTTAGATTGTTCGTGGGAATTTCCGCATTCAATGTGGATGGTCAACCCGGTGTTGCTCCAAATGAGGTAGGTTTATCATTTCTAGTATCAAATTTTTATGAAAAATGCTATGGTTTGTTATCATTCATCTTTTCTTTTATTTTTTCCCCTTTTGTTTTGAAACTTCTATAAGATATAGAGATTAAGGAAATTGGTAACTTGACTCTGGAATACAAATAAGTACTAGCGCCATGTTAATTATTCTGCCACCTTTTTTGTTTACTGGGAGAATGAAAATAATTGACGAGAAAAACTTATTTTCACAGTACTAGTAGATTAACATTGACTAAAAACGATTACAGTACTTGTTTCCAATTATATACATACAGGAAACCATTATTGGACCTGCACCTGTATCCTTTTTTTCTTTGAAAGTTAGTTCATTCATCTTCTTGTGGATAGTATATTAACTTTTATACTTTTATGTCATAGATGGTTTCTCTTGTCATTGAGGCTTTGGCATGGTGCTCGGTGCTTGTAATGCTTGCAGTTGAAACGAAGGTCTATATTTTTGAATCCCGGTGGTCTGTTAGATTTGGGGTTGTGTATTCACTGGTGGGGCAGGCTGTGATGCTGAATCTTGCTCTCTCTGTCAGAGATTGTTATGGAAGGTTATCTTTATTTTTTTTTAAATTGCTTGATGAGCTGAGATTAACGATTATTGTGTGGTTGCCTGCACACAAACTTTTGGTGCTTTCTAAATTCTATTGTTTGTGGCATATGAGCTGTGCAACTTAATTTTTTGACGATCCATGGGAATTGGAGAATTTCAAAATGCGAAACTAGGTTTGAATACTGAGTTCAACATTGTTTTGTTGTATGGAATTCCTTAACATATGGAAAAAGCAGAAAATGTAACTCATATTGCTGTGAAGTTATTGAGAATGGTAGCGTTTGTTACTTTCAATTAGGGAAGATGACCTACTTTTCTTTGGCTGGCTGGTTGCTATATTTGATTGGTTGTTGAATAGCCATTAGAGAGATCATTGCACCTATATCTCTAGATTTTAATTATTTATTATTTTTTTCTGATTAGACTTTTTAAATTATGGATTCTTCAGTATATTAATAAAGATGCTTCAAAGATGGCTTCCCCTGAATCCTGCCTGAAAACTGAAGTAGCATCTTCAATTCTCATGGGAATTTGGATAATGCTCTTTTTTTTTTGCCCCTTATATATATAAGTGAATTATAAAAAGTACGTGTTGATCCAGTAGAATTTTGCATTATGATATTTTATTTGCAATTTGTATACTAAATTTATATATACATCTTACATTTGCAGGCATGGTTTGTATCTATATATCAGTGAAGTTATTTTACAGGTTTGTTACACACCTACTTTTCATTATTCTTAATGAAAACTTATTGTGATGGAGTGGGTTATTTGTAGTTAATTGTGGTTTTATTGGAACCTCAATAAAGCTGAGTAGCTCCTAAACTTCTTATGTGGCTAGTGGTTGCAGCAGGCATAAAATTTTTTATTGCATCTATGCCAGATCCGAAACTGAATTGAAAGAGGATCAAATTTGAAGACAACAAACCTGAAGTTGTAATTGGTTCACACTTTTGATCCGCTTTTCTTTGCAGAATCTAATGAATATCATTTTATACTTGTTTTGATCTTGTAGGTTGTTTTTGGTGTTATGCTGCTTGTGCATATACCTGAATTGGATCCTTATCTGGGATATTCTCCCATGCAAGTGGAATTTGCTGATGGTAATGCCTATGAAGAACTTTCAGGCGGAGAGCAAGTATGTCCAGAGAGGCATGTCAACATGTTTTCTAGTATGCAATTGCGTCCTTCAAATATTGCCTCGATGACATACTTTACTATTATACGGATGGCATGCTGTCAATTATCCATTGTGTGTGGCTAATTGTTGCAATACGTATTGACTTCCCGAAATTTTCCTAGCTGTTGCTATAGGTCCTTCTACTAATGATTGATTTCTTCCTTCCTTAGAGCTCACATTTGCATGGGTGAGTTCAGTCATGCGGCTGGGGTCCAAAAGGCCTCTCAATGAGAAGGATATCTGGAAACTTGATATTTGGGATAGAACACAAGTGCTCAATGACTCGTACGTCAGCATTCATAGTCATTCTTTCTTCGTTCCCTAACTTTTTCATAATTTGGATGCCACCGAGTTTCATGCTCCTTTCCTCAAAAGAAGTTATCTCCAGGACAAGATATAATATTGGATAAGTTGTGTAGGTTTCAGAGCTGCTGGGAGGAGGAGATTCAAAAGCCTAAGCCATGCCTCTTAAGAGCTTTAAATCGTAGTCTTGGTGAAAGGTAACATCGGGAAATGTGATTTTTTCTTAGTTTTATATTACATGCTTGTTCAAACTTCAAGGTGGTTTTATTTCCGACTCTTGGAAGACATTGACAAACCTTCTTGTGCTATTTTGTAGGTTTTGGTGGGGAGGCATTTGGAAGGTATTAATCCATTATGGTTGGTTGTTTATGGTCCATTTCATTTATTATTTGTATTTACATATTGTAGCTTGCAGTAACACCTTTGTAGTTTAGTCCCAATTCTCCCTTTTCAACTGAGATAGATTGATGTATGAACATGAAGGATTTATATATGGGGTTGAATCACAATCATATATGTACTGTCATTTGATTCTATTAGCTATAATACATTGGTTTTTTACTTTTAAATATCTGGTCAAACCTCAAAGAGCACTAATTGCACTAAGAATGAGTAACTCCTCTATAATTTCCTTTGGGGATGCTCCATTTCAAGTTGAGGAATTATAGGATGGGAGTGCTTCTACTTCTGAATTTTGGTGGCAATTTTTCGTAACAGTTTGAAGCATGTCACCATGGTTTCTGTGGCTGTTGTGTCATTTATTTGTAATTCCTGTGCTACAACATGGTTGTGATTCGTCTTCAATTGTAGATAGGAAATGATGTCTCACAATTTATTGGCCCCATCATACTGGACAGACTTTTACAGGTTAGTTGTATTGCATAACATAGTTAAAATATTCATATTCTCATTATTGAAAATATATTATCCTTAAAGTGAATGTCTTCTCTAAAACTTTACTTGTCACAGTCCATGCAACGAGGGGATCCTGCTTGGATTGGACATTTATATGCGTTCTCAATTTTTGTAGGAGTGGTATGCAATAATTCTTCTCTTTTACTTTCATATATATGATGGTGCTATTGTTTGTATATTTTAGTACTTCAAAATCATGCCTTTTGGTAAGTTTTCTGTACTTCCAAGTTCAAATAAATCCATACCAAGAGTTGATCATCTTTTTTTGACTGCTATGCTGTCTGTGTTGATGACCATGGTAGAAATTAGTGACATAGCTGTTGTAAAACATAGAGAATGTAATAGGAGATGCCATTGAGGTTAAAATTTGGCAATTAACTTGCAGAAGCTAAATAAATGACACAGAACATTCAGGAAACCTAGTATCCATCTTAAAGCAGATACATCCCAATGTTGGAGTAGACATTTTTAGATTAGCATCAAGGTTCTCTTTGTTCTTTTCTTTTGAATTGCATTGAATAGTACTTAGCAAGCTATTGCAGCAAACTTCCTGGAATTGCATCTTTAGGATTAAGGTGATATTTCAGTTGTTTTTAGATTCCAAACTCATACAATTACTACATGCCAATTTGTGCTCCTAATGGCTCGTTTATTTCCTCTCCTCTCTTCAGGTTTTTGGTGTTGTATGTGAAGCTCAATATTTTCAAAATGTTATGCGTGTTGGCTATCGCCTAAGATCAACTCTTGTAAGCAGATATTCTGTATTGTGTAGTTATCTAATCTGATCTTTCTTGTACCTTTATAGTAATGTCCTGATTCGTTGTGGATCTAGAAAAAATTATAAGTGGCGGCACAAAGTTATCCGTAACATATTTTCATATGTTGGAAGTGATTACTCACATCATTATATATAACGCATCTAAGCAAGTTTAAAGAAAAGGGTATATATATGTAGTAGATTAGGGGGGGTATAAACTTGCGTTTCATTAGTTTTGTTTTATTCTTTGGGTTTTGATAACTTTTACGGGAAAATAGTTATTTTGATGCGATATTATAAATTAAAAATAAGTTGTAGTTGTAACGTTCTTAAGAGAAAATTGTAGATTAAATAGTAAAAGAACCAGGGTGTGTTGTTTTGTATTTTTTGGTTTAATACTTTTGAGATAAAAATATTTATTTGGCATGATGTTTTGAACAGAAAATGCTTGTTGAATGTGATATTTTTGGAGAAAAACTAAAAGAATGAATAGTAGAAAAGTGGGTTTGAAAACACAAAAGAACAAACCCTTTAAAAAAGTACGAATATATCTTTTTAACAATTATTATTTTATTTTATTTTTAAATCAAGTTGGGTCACTGGACCCACCTTCCTCTTAGGTGGACCCGCCACTTGTCTTGACCGATAGGACTCCTATGTCTATCAGAACCAGAGGTGTATGGTTGTTTCGTGCTTCACTAATATGTACTCTTGACATTCTGTTTAAGCAAATTCACAATTTCTAGTCTTTGTCAAATTTGAGGGGTTGTTTATAAGAGCTACAACTCAGTCAAAATATATTTTAGCATGTATCTTCAGGGGAGGAGTATCTTTTCTTTTATGTACCTTAGAACATTCACCAATTTAAGCGAAGTGTTGTTTTTTTGTTGGTAATGCACAAGTTCCAAAAATAAAGAGTAAGCTGCCTTTGCTATGAAAGGTTTTATGCTTCTTGAGACTATTTGGGTGTATGTTTTTGTAGGTTTCTGCAATTTTACGCAAATCTTTTAAACTCACTCCTGTGAGTCACAAAAAGTTTACAGCTGGTAAAATTATGAATTTAATGACGACAGATGCTGAAGCTCTTCAGGTATGATTATATAGATGATCGCAAGTGTTTCTTTACTTCACTGCTATTGAGTTTGCTGATCAACGCCCTAGTACCATCATGATACCTGTGCTTTCATCTCATTCTGTTTGCTTCCATGCTTTACTGTCGTAATGGTGGTGCAGATTAAGGGTGTGTTTATTTGAGGAATTTTGCCAAAATTTCACTATTCATCCAAAATTTTCCCTCCAAAAACATCACATCAAACATCTATTTTTCATTTTTTATATTATTCTAATAATCAATTTTACATTTAAAACATCACATCAACACCTATTTATATCATATCATACAACTATTCCAATTCAAAATTTTTACTATTCAAATCTCAACTCAAAATCCAAACCTTCAAACAAACACACCCTAAATCTCTTTTTAAAGATAGATGGGTAATTCAATCGAATTGAGAGAGTGACTGCCATATGCACCAATGTTTGTATTTTCTATATATTTTGAGTCTTACAAATAGTGTGTAGTATTTGCTGTTGGACAATTGCCTGTAAACTTCTGGAAGATTTTGACATTTGCTGGGGCAAGATCTATGCTGACGACCATTGATTAGATAAGATATAAATGAAGGCAGTTCCTACTATCCATACATAATGCTTTGATTTAAGATTCCAATTTTTCCATTTTGTTTAAGTTCTTAAATTCTCACTGCCTGTAGGATGATTCTGATATTTAACTGGTGGTGAAACTTATCTATGTATTCTGAAGGCGTTGACCATTTAGTTTTTTGGCAACCTGAAATGTATATTGCTACTTGTGTTGAAGTTTTGGATGATGATCCTTTGAATAATCTTCATTGCATGTTATGCTTTAATTTGTGTGGTAATTACAGTTGCCTTGTACAAGTACTTGATGAGATGCACTATTTTCAGTTCAGATCATATTATATGTACAAATATAGAGCAGCTAAAAACGAAGTTGTATAAGCAGTTGAATTATATTTTCTACGGTTTGTTGACACTCTTTCATCTCTCTATGCAGTTGGTATGCCAATCCTTGCACATTTTATGGTCAGCTCCTTTCAGGATAATAGGTGCTCTTGCTCTTCTTTACCTGCAACTCGGTGTTGCTTCCCTTCTTGGTGCACTGGTTCTTGTGCTTCTATTCCCTGTACAAGTATGGTTGCCCTCATACTAAAGTTTAATGTACTTATTTTGGTGTATTCAATATGATTTGTTTTTAGCTTTTAGAAGTATGTTATTATCTTTTCTTGGATTCCTCTAGCAGTTGGTAGACGTTCTACCTTGATGATTCTGATTTTTTGCCTTCGCATTACATGGGTTGTTTTTGAAATCTGTATGTAACATATATGATGGTAAATATAGTTTTAATAACTTTGATTTAATAGTTAACACCTTATCGAACAGACATTTATAATAAGCAAGATGCAAAAATTGACAAGAGAAGGAGTGCAATGCACAGACAAGAGAATTGGTCTTATGAATGAAATTTTGGCTTCTATGGATACTGTCAAGTAAGATCTATGTATTGAAGTCCATAATAAATGCACTTACATAATGTGTGTCTGATTTTAAGTAATTTTGTAAACCAATATTATTACAGGTGCTACACTTGGGAAGATAGCTTCCAGATAAAAGTTCAAAATGTCCGAAAGGAGGAGCTATCCTGGTACCAAGGAGCTCAAATGCTGGGAGCTGTAAGGCAGTCCACCGAAAAGATAACTTGATTCCGTATTATATATGATCACAATATTCATTTCATGTTCATATTGTTCTTGAGATCAAGTACTGACCTTTTCTTTTCTGTTCTGGTAAAAGGGATTGCATGAAGGAACACAATTAAAATTTATCTGATCCTTTGGTGATTGGGGATTATTCAAACAAAACTAATTGAATAAATCTATGAATTTTTTGACTGGAGGCAACCTATTTTGTTGCCATAGAATTATAAGCAATATATTGTTCTTCATTGTCCATGATATGTTTGTAACAATCTTTCTTGACCAAAGCATAATGATGGGCATATACAGTTACGCTTGCAATTTTTTCCTTTTTTTTCCTCTTCTCATTATAAGTTTCCTTTCCCATGTTGGGTAGACCATTGGATGATGTTACTTTGGTTTATTTGCAGCTGAGTACCTTCATACTTAACAGTGTTCCAGTTGTGGTGACTGTGCTATCATTTGGGTTGTTCACTTTGTTTGGAGGGAATCTGACACCAGCAAGGGCATTTACTTCTCTTTCACTGTTTGCAGTGCTGCGTCTCCCACTTTACTATATTGCCACTGCAATAACACAGGTATCTCTCTAGTTAATTTTATTCAGAAAATATGGCTAGCTGAGACGATATAGGTCATGAATTGATACGCCTATGCTTTTTGGAAGTTGCTGCTCAGTTCTCGTCAGCTTTCAATTGTGATTATTCAATGTCATCCTCAAAGATGTCAGTTTTATTTGCAAATTAGGCATGCAGGTTGTCTTCTTGACTGAATTTTTCATGACCAGTCTTTTCTTCTTGATTGAATTTGTCACGATCTGTCTTCTCTTATTGACTAAATTTGTCACTGTATTTCTCCACTTTCTAACTAAAATCACAATGAAGGGACTATATATCCACTAGTTGTTAGGACCAGAAACTTTGAAATTCTCGTTTTTGATACTGTGACTTCTTTAGCCTTTGTTCTTTTTACACTTTTTTTACTATTCAACTCTCATAATTTCCAATAAAAACACATAATTTATTCTAACATAAACATCACATCAAAATATTATTTAAATAGTAATAACTCAAATCCAACACACACACACACAAAAAGTTTGAAGAGAACACACCATTATGGGAAGAAATGATGAGTCTGTTTGGATGCCTTCTCATTAATGGTTTGCACCAGGCTTTCAACTTTTTCTTTTTTTCTCTAAATATTTACCAAGGTGGGACACTTTAAATCTTTTAATTTTATCTGACCTCAATAAAATCTATTCATATACATTCAAAATTTCCAGTTTTTTAAAAATAAAATTATTTTATGTTAATAATGTATAAATATATATAATTTAATTGTATTATATAAAATTTTATACATATTGAGTATATTTTATTTTGATATTGCTTTTAAAATACTTAATAAAGATATTTTAAATTAATTTTCATCATATATATTACATTATAAATTGTATATTAATTAAATATATCTCATCCAACCAACTTCCAACCACAAATACAACCATCAACCAAACACATCTGATATTTTCTTTGTTTTTATGGGTAGTAGAATGCATTATTATGCCTTTTATGATGAAAATAGTTTTGTACAATTTTTTTTATTAACTATACATATAGGTGGACCGATTGCATGTGTGTGTGTAGCTTCCTGTTCTTACTCTCATGCAGAAAAAGAATACAACGATTTTACATCTTTCCTATGGGTTTTGATTTTGTGATCACCAGGCTGTAAATGCAAATGTTTCACTGAAACGTGTGAAGGAACTTCTCTTAGCTGAAGAGCAAAATCTTTTCCCTAACCCACCCATTGAACCAGGGTTACCAGCTATTTTAATCAAGAATGGAGATTTTGCCTGGGATCCAAAGGTTTGTTATTATTTTCTGCTGATAAATTACAATTATTCTTCAATATGCTTGGTTGAGATCATTTTTAATGTTGTGACTATTGTTATCCAGTCCTCCTGAATGGTTACCACTTGCTGCTTTACGGTCTTTTGACCTTGAAAATATTATAAGATTCAAGTAAAATACTGAGTAAACCGGTGAAATTTTCTGAACCTCTACTGTTATTTTTGGTTACACATAAAATCAAGGAACTCTGGTCGTCTGGTAATATGTACATGTGCATTATTTAAGATTCAGTTTTCATCAGAGGCTTATGAATCTAGTCTTTTATGATAGCTCCATTGTATGTGCTCTCCTTTTTTCATACTTTGTATCATTTGATTGCACCTTCTTGGTAAACTATCAGCCACTAGCATTTATTGATCCCTGGATATAATGTTAGAAAGCAAATGCATTTGAATTTGATATTACACAGCTATCTTTTGCCTTTTCTCTTTCAATTTTTTTTTTTTTTTTTAAAGTCTAATGTAATTGTTTTACCTCAATTTTATTTTTGTAAAGTGTAGCCACTTCTCATATTTGTTGGAAGTGATTGATAAATCTTATCTTATTCATAGCAGGAAGAAAGGCCAACACTATCAAATATCAACGTGGATATACCAGTTGGTAGCCTAGTAGCAATTGTTGGTAGCACCGGGGAAGGAAAAACATCACTTTTATCTGCAATGCTGGGGGAGCTTCCTCCTATAACAGATGCAACAGTTGTCATAAGGGGGAAGGTTGCCTATGTACCCCAAGTTTCATGGATCTTTAATGCGACAGTGAGTCAAATAGTGTTGTCTGTGTTGCTATTGATGTATTATCAGAATTTCCCTTTCTTAAACTTGTTGTAGTAACTTGCTTATTGAATTGCTGGATGTAATAGTATTACTTTCTATGTTCTTGTAATTGTTGATATAATGAGACTTTTTTTTTTAGGTACGGGAGAACATATTGTTTGGTTCTCCATTTGAACCTGCTAAATATGAAAAAGCAATAAATGTGACTTCCCTGCAGCATGACCTTGCACTCTTACCTGTGAGAATACTATTACTATCATTTGGTAGTGAGCTGGTTATTCTAGACTTACAGCTGCATGTTACCTGAATAATTTCTTGTAGGGTGGTGATTTTACTGAAATTGGAGAACGTGGGATCAATATTAGTGGCGGCCAGAAGCAGAGAATTTCCATAGCTCGGGCTGTATATTCCAATTCTGATGTTTACATTTTTGATGATCCCTTGAGTGCTCTAGATGCTCATGTTGGGCGAGAGGCAAGTGCTTTAGTAATAAAATGTGAACTTTAAACGGTTTCAACATCTGAAAGTTGGTGAATTGAAACTAAGTATCAGTGGTGCTTGTATTTTATCCTTTTGTGTTTCTTTTCCTTTTTATTTATTTATTTTTTTTAAAATCTAATTTTGTTTCTTTGAATTTGAAAAGTATATCTTTGTTTCAGAAGGTTATCTGAGTTTTACTATGTTCAAATTTTAGTGTAATAACAAAATATGTGACAAGTACTGTAATAATGTTCTTTTGGATGTCATAGGTTTTTGAGAAATGCATCAAAGAAGAGCTAAGAGGAAGAACGAGAATTCTAGTCACAAACCAGCTGCACTTTCTACCACAAGTAGATAAAATTCTCGTGGTGCATAATGGTATGATTAAGGAAGAAGGAAATTTTGAAGAGCTCTCAAAGAATGGCACCTTATTCCAAAGATTGATGGAAAGTATTGGAAACACGGAAAGGAAGGATGAAAATGAAGATGTTGAAAAATCTGAAAATATAACAGTTGGCCTCAGCAATGGGTTGTTTGAGGATATTGAACAAACCAAAGTTAATGATAAAAAATCTGTTCTCATCAAGCAGGAAGAAAGAGAAACTGGTGTTGTCAACTGGCATGTCTTGATGAGGTACTGATCTCACATTTCTTTTTTCTATGATGTTGATGGAGTTTCCTTTGGTATTTGATACGGAATAAGTTTTCTGCTACATTTTTCTTATTATCGATACTTAATCTGTGGCTTTGAGATTGCAAGGACAACCTTAGCTCCATTCGTTTATGTATGTATTGAATCTTTCTGATTCCTTAAGCCCAAAATATGCCGTTCTGCATTTATAATTAATCTGTACCAAGAAGCAGAGCTGCTTAAAATATTGGCGACCTTACCTAGCACCCAATATTTTTGTCAGACCCCACCCGAACCCCTCACCTAATTAATGATGCATTCTATGTCTTATTGTTGAAAACACTTGAGCAGAAAATGTATGAATCTTCATTATCCGAAAATGGGTTACTTCACATTGGTCTGGCACCGACATATTTTTGGCACTGGTCCATGTTTTTGCCACTGCCTATAATAAGTTTGTATAATCTACCTTGCATCATTATGAATTCCTACCACAAGATCAATTAATTCGCTTCATGTATGTATGTCTCCTGGATAATTAAGGTGTTTTGGTTTAAATGCATGTTCTTAGAAATATTAATTGATGTTCTCTATTATGAATGATGTGACTGTAAAGACCCTTTTTATCAGCATGTGGTACATGTGGAGCATGCATAATTTGTAATACTAAATAGAAACAACAGTTTTATTGCTAATCATTTTTTGGGAGCTATTGCAGATACAAAAATGCTTTGGGAGGTGCATGGGTTGTTATTATTCTGTTTACATGTTATGTCCTGACAGAAGTTCTGCGAGTTTCATGTTCGATTTGGATAAGTTACTGGACAGATCAAAGCAGCTCAGATCAACATGGACCAATATTCTACAATTTGGTCTATTTTATCCTTTCACTTGGACAAGTAAGATTGGTTAATTTGTCTCAACTGTACCCAAAACAGGCAAACAGCTATTAGCTTCCCCTTGCTAATGGTCCCCTTTATCTCATCCCCTTACCTTTCCAGTTGACTTGTTATCGCAAGAGGCTATACGTAGCAACATTAATACATACAATCTTTTTTAATTTCAGGTTTTGGTGACATTAGCAAGTTCATTTTGGTTGATAGTCTCAAGCATTTATGCTGCAAGAAGATTGCACAATGCTATGCTCAATTCTATCCTTAGAGCTCCAATGATCTTCTTTCACACAAATCCACTTGGACGTATTATCAACAGATTGGCTAAAGATCTTGGTGATATTGACCGAATTCTTGCTCCTTATGCAAACATGTTTCTGAATCAAATTTCACAACTTATTTCGACTTTTGTCCTGATTGGAATTGTGAGCACAATTTCATTATGGGCTATTACTCCCCTTCTAGTAATCTTTTATTGTGCCTATCTCTATTACCAGGTATGCATAATTCGATATTCTCCTTGCCTTCTCCTTTTTAATCTATTGAGTGGGAACACTTCATAATTACAGTTGAAGCTCATTTTTTATATGGTTGAATCTTGACATAGCATTCTGACACACGCAGAGCACTGCTCGTGAAACAAAACGCTTGGATTCCATTACCAGATCTCCTGTTTATGCACAGTTTGGTGAAGTGCTAAATGGCCTTTCGACTATTCGTGCCTATAAAGCATATGATCACATGGCCCAGATCAATGGACAATCCATGGATAACAATGTTAGATTCACTCTTCTCACCATAAGTGGAAATCGTTGGCTTGCTATTCGATTGGAGGCATTGGGAGGCCTGATGATTTGGTTTACTGCAGCTTTTGCGGTGTTGCAGAATGGAAATTCAGAAGATCAAAAGGCATTTGTCTCTATGATGGGTTTACTTCTCAGTTACACGTTAAATATTACGAGCCTCTTGACTGGTGTGCTAAGACTTGGTAGTCAGGCTGAAAATAGTTTTAATGCTGTTGAGCGGGTGGGCACATATATAGACTTGCCTTCTGAAGGTCCAGACATTATTGAGAACAATCGTCCACCTCCTGGTTGGCCTTCAAAAGGATCTATTCAGTTTGATGATGTTCTTTTAAGATACAGACCGGAACTTCCTCCTGTTCTGCATGGAATATCCTTCACCATTCCTCCAACTAACAAGGTTGGGATTGTTGGAAGGACGGGGGCAGGGAAATCAAGCATGCTTTCTGCCTTATTCCGACTTGTTGAGCTGGAAAGGGGGAAAATATTGATTGATGATCGTGACATTTCAAAGTATGGACTAATGGACCTTCGAAGGGTTCTTGGTATCATACCCCAAACACCTGTTCTTTTCTCAGGTTCGCATTTTTATTTTAGTCCGGCGAATAATATTATATATTTCTCAGCACATATCTGATTTATTTTCATATGATAATAACTTTATCTTTGATCAGGAACTGTTAGGTTTAATCTCGATCCATTGAATGAACACAATGATGCTGATCTATGGGAGGCTCTAGACCGAGCACATTTGAAGGATGTCGTCAGAAGGGATTCTTTGGGTTTGGACTCAGAGGTAAACTCTATATCTAAGCCTTTGACTATGTTTACCTTTTCTCGATGCTGGAAACTGAAATTTCTTTTCATCTGCTTGTTTACAATGTTAACATTCTGATGTATTTCTAATGCAAAAACAGGGGCTTTGGGGATAAGTTCTGATCGTTTGCTGTCTTTCTGTATCGTAGGTATCAGAATCCGGTGAGAATTTTAGTGTTGGTCAGCGACAGTTACTAAGTCTTTCGCGAGTATTACTACGCAGATCAAAAATTCTCATTCTAGACGAAGCAACAGCTGCAGTTGATGTTAGGACAGATGCTCTGATTCAAAGAACTATTCACGAAGAATTCAAATCGTGCACAATGTTAATTGTCTCCCATCGTTTGGACACTATTATGGACTGCGACTCCATCCTTCTTCTCGATGCTGGTCTTGTACGGAACTGATAATTGATTCTCTTCAAATTCTATTTCATCTTATTTTCTGAAATCCACTTTTCAAGTGATGTCAATTTCCATTTCTCAGGTTGTGGAATACGATTCCCCCAAAACATTACTGCAAAATGAAGAAGGTGCATTTTCAAGGATGGTGCAGAGCACAGGAGCAGCGAATGCTACTCATCTTCGAAGCCTTGTACACAGGCGGAGCAAAAACCACAGATTAGCAACGGACCACCACGCAGCTGCCCGGCGTGCAGTCACTAATAGTCTCGACCATCTTTTAAGGTCAGAAATATCAGATAAAGATGGCAATATCCTCTCAAGAACAAGGGATGCTGTAGTGACTCTCCTGGAAGTCCTGGAGGGAAAGCACGACAGGGAGATCGAGGAAAACCTCAGAATGTACGGTGTTTCTTCAGACGGGTGGTGGGCTACGCTGTACCAAGTGATCGAAGGTCAGTCTTATTATTGATCTCCATCTTTAGCAATGCATATCAGTTGAGTTGTTTCATTTGTGTTTTTCTTTTACTTTTCCCAGGTTTAGCTGCCATGAATGCACATGCTCAAAATGCCTTTCATCAGTCCTCTAGTTTTGGGGGTGAAATTGAGTGGAGCCAGGATGTAGGATATAATTGATTATTTTCGTAGGATTTCAGAAAATAGAAAGTGATTGATGGAAACCACAGGAAGCAGTTTAATCAAGCGACAGGGATGATGTATCCATACGATACAGATACGTACATTCATTCATACGGTACGCATACATAAGCTAAAGCTAATCTAATTATTCAGACTGTGGGATCAAAATTTGTGCATGAATTTAGCTGCTCTTCTTTTTGGGTTATTTTGTTTGCGCAGCTTTTAGGGAACTTCGAAAGAATACATTTGGGTATTTGAATTATTTTGATGATAGTAAAACATTTAAGTGTTTACCTGTAAAATTATTTTACTATTTTAACTTTTTGTTTCTCCCTCAAAATCATCAAATCAAACATTCAAATTTTATTTATTTTATTACTCTAAAATTTAATTTTATATTCAAAACTATCGCATTAAATAACTATTTTAATTTAAAATTTTATTTAAAATCAAAACTTTACAATAATTGTTTAATGTGACATGACGAAGAAAGTAGTTTTATTAATGTGTAGTAATTTAATATAAAAAATAGGAAAATTGCATAAAATTTACATATAATTTTACAAAATTGCATTATATTCTTGATATATATATATTTTTTTTCATGATTTCCATACTTTTAAACTCATGCCCAAACTACAAATAACAAACACCGAATGATTTAAATAAAAGATGATGCAATTTTGTGATGTTTTGTATGATTTTGTCTAATTTTTTTTTATATATACACAATAATTGTTTTTATTGTAAGCTAAAGTGCATTTTTTGCTCAAAAATGACTACCTCCGTCCTGTCTTCTATTAGTGCCAATATTATGAGACAAAATAAATGAGACTGATAGAGCAGATGTTGATCGAAATAATATTTTATAAATAAAAATAAATTATTGCTCTATTTCAAATAAGGTGCAATATTTACTTTTGATACGGATTTTTAGGTGGATAGTAATTCAAAAATTAGGTGATGTGACTGGAGAAATATATATTTTATTTTTTTATTTGAATGATGTGATGAGATAAAGTATGGAGTAGAGATTAAGTATAATTAATTATTTTTTATTTTAAAAATATTATCTGTATTAAGAAATTGTATATATATAAATAAAAAATAACAAACTCAAAATACAAAATTACAAATATGTGTGTAGTAAATTTGAGGGAGGACTGGTTTGGTTCGTAATCATATGATCATATGGGCCTGGTAAGCGCTGCTGATTTACATTATACACACATCTTTGTACTGCAGTTAGTCCGTACGCACAACCTCGTCTCTGCGCTGTGCTTCGCCTTTGGATCGTCCGACAATATGCTCGGCGGGCTCTACGGCGACCTTCCGCCGCCGTCCTCCTCCGCGGATGAGAATTCCACCACCACATCCACCTCCAATGTCTGGTCGAGCAGCGCCAAGATGGCTCCGCCCACCCTTCGCAAGCCTTTTCCCCCTCCCCAAACCATCCTCCGCCCCCAACATGCCAAGCCCAGGCCCGCAACGGCGCAACCGACCACCGTCACTAAAACTACCGTCACAAGTCATTCAATCGCAGACGAGAACAGAAACCCTAACCCAACTCCCGCGTCGTTTCAGCCTGCCCTAGTCGGAGTCACCAGCTCCGTCGTTGAAGAATACGATCCCTCGCGGCCGAACGATTACGAGGAATACCGTCGGGAGAAGAAGCGCAAACAAGCTGAAGCAGATTTGAGAAGAGAATTGGAGGAGAGGGAGAGGAGGGAGAAGGAAAGGGAAGAGAGGGAGCGCGAGAGGGAGAGAGATCGAGATCGGGAGAAAGAATTGAGCATATCTGGAGAAGAAGCCTGGCGGAGGAGGGCGGCTATGAGCGGCGGCGGCGGCGTGCCGAGATCCCCTTCTCCGCCCCCATCCGTGAACGTCGGAGACGAAGGATTCAGCATCGGGAAATCGGAGAGCGGAGGGTTGGGATTAGGAGCAGAAGGAAAAATGACTGCTGCACAGAGGATGATGGCGAAGATGGGGTGGAAGGAAGGCCAGGGTTTGGGGAAGCAGGAGCAAGGGATTACGACTCCATTGATGGCAAAGAAGACGGATAAGAGAGGTGGTGTGATTGTGAATGCCAGTGAGTCCAACAAGAAGGTTAAGAGTGTCAATTTTAATGGACCTCCCACCAGAGTTGTGCTACTCAGAAACATGGTATGGATTGTTATGTGCTTGAAGACACTCAAATTATATGATTCTTGCTCAATTGGTTGTCATATCCATGTGGTTTCATCTCAAGTTTCATATTTTGCTATAATTTGTTACTGATCTGTGAGTTTTCTGCTATTTGCTTCTGTTTTAGGAACTGTATGCAAAATTGCCTGTTGAGAATATAAGTTTATAGTATGGAGCTTAATTTGAATGAATAAGATGCTGTGAATGTAATTATTTCTTCTTCATCAGTTTTGAAATGAAGATTCCTTGTAATGATAGACTAGGGGTATGAATTTGAACTCAAACTTCAGTTTGAAGAAAGCATCAATGCTTCGAGTCATTCTTTCTAAATGTGGGGTGTCTTCTTTGGTGTTGCTGACTCTTGGATAGTTTGTTATGGCTCCAATTATATTTTTGAAGTGCTGGATTAACATGTTCTATAAGGATTAGTTGATTGATTTAAAAGGTTTTGGAAGAAATGGATAATGTGAGGCCAAAATCAAACCTAAAAGAAATGGATCCTAAAGGCTTTTGTAGGGCTTTTGCATCCTTTTTAGATTAAAAAATAACTATCGTAAATGGAATTTTTTTTCCTTTCTACTATTTTAATTCAATAGGTGTCTGTTAAGTCTTATGTCCTATTTATTCTCATTGGTTCGTATTGCCCTGCACTGCACATCATCAACATTTAGTTGATAAATGTATAGCCTCATCTTCTATATGGTCTCAACGAACATGCATTGCTTCGAGACCTTCTTGTGTTAAATACACTGTCTATCTTAGCTGTCTGGCTCTCAGTTGTTGTGAATGGTAACAGTTTTGTGTAATTGAGATCAAGAGTGTGCTAAATTTGTGATTTACATACATACAATCGATTGTCTGTGAAGGTTGGACCAGGTGAGGTTGATGATGACTTAGAAGGCGAGGTAGCAGAGGAGTGCACCAAATTTGGCACTGTGACTCGGGTGCTGATATTTGAGATTACGGAACAAAACTTCCCTCACGATGAAGCTGTCAGAATATTTATCCAATTTGAGAGAGCAGAGCAAGCAACGAAAGCCCTGATAGAGCTGGAAGGTCGCTTTTTTGGGGGAAGGGTAGTTCGAGCTGGTTTTTACGACGAGGAGAGGTTTAATAACAACGAATTGGCCCCTCTGCCGGGAGAAATCCCTGGCTTCTTTTGAGCAGTTTGGGGCATCATTCATAGGTATGATGGTTTCGGACTTTCTTAAAATGGGGCTTGTCTGGGTTGATCTGAGTTTCTTTGTTTTTGTTAACGTTAACGTTAACGTGTGCCTTATCGTATCTTGTTCACATTGTCATTGTCTTGTCTTGTAATGATATGAAGTAATCACACTTATACCTTGCCCAGCCAGTTCTGTTTTTCCTTTTTATCGGAAAATTGATCGACGCATATGTTGAAAACATTTGCTGGTTTATATGTTGTATTTTTATTATATGATCGTAATATTATGTGTTGTCTATGCTCAATTACTATAGCCTTAGCTCATGATTCAAATATTATGTGTTGTCTATGCTCAATTACTATAGCCTTAGCTCATGATTCAAGTTAAGTTTAATTATAGTTTTCGTGCATCTGGATGGATTTGGGACAGAAAATGCTAATGTGAGATCAATTTTGTGATATACAGGCTTTAGGTGTGCTTGGGTTGTGTTTTAGTATAAATTTGTTTTTATTATTTTTAAATGAAATAATAGTTAATGTAATATTTTGTATAGAAAATGAGTTTTTTTTTCCTTTTTTCTTTTTTTTTTTTTTCCTTTTTTCTTTTTTAATATTCTACAGGGTGTTTATATAAATGTGTACAGATGGCATATTTTAGTAGCAACATAGGGAGTATAATATTTTTTAGAAAAATAAAAAATTGAAGAAGCAATATTTTGGGTGTTTTTGTTTTATTTATTTATTTATTTATGAATACAACATCAAACAAATATATATATTTATATATGATTAATTGTAAAAAGAAAAAATGTTTGTATATTGTTTATTGAAAAGAAATATAAAAGTAAAGTATTTTCAATGTCTCATTTTGAAAATATTTATGAAAAAAATTGGAATAATATTAACCAAAAATGAAAATTAAAGGTTTGTTTTGGTTGTGATTTGAGTTTACGTTATTCACTCCTTAGCAATAAAATACTTTTTTTATATAGAATATTATTTAAACATATTATTTTATTCCAATTTGATTTCAAATTACGACTAAACAAAATTTTAATTTGCAATGTTCAATGCATCATTTGTCAGCAAAAATAATTATATCTGCCATCAAATTTACATTTATTATATCACATCTGTTGTCAAATACCTAGCAAAATCATAACTCAATAAATGGGAAAAAATAATAATAAAAAACAAGTGGCCAATTCATTTCACAAAAATTAACGAATGATACTACAATTGATCGAAGAAACAAAATTGGGCATTGACAAAAAAAAATAAAAAAATAAAATTGTGCATTGAGAAGAGAAACCCAATTACGTCGAGTCGTGTCCACTGTCTACTCGGCGGCTGTATTGTATTGTATGGAGTTGGTGAGTGTACTGTCTGACCTTTTGTCCTTTGCCACTGCCCAAGGGCTCCTCTCACAAGCCACACCAGCGGCCATTGTTGCTGCTCTATTTGCTAATATAATATTCCTACTACTATTAATAATGGATCATCAATAGCGATCGGAAGAACCCTGCTCCGGTCACTCCCTCCTTCCCAACCTTGTTTGATCCGATCATGGCCGCCGCCGTCGCCGCTCCAATCACTCAGGTCAGTTTTACTCTCAGACTCTTCGATTTTTCGATGTTTATTCGCACCATTTTTTCCCTTTCTCTTGAGTATGGAAATCATTTTGACAAGTTTTCGGCTAATCTCGGGTTTTGTGATTGTCGCAGGTTCCAGCTGCTGTCTCTTTCAGCTCCGATGGCCGTCGTCCTAAATCAGTTTTTAAGGTATTTTTCGCTACTCTTTTGTTTATTCGATGAATCGATCTCACTCCATGCTCCCTTGCTTGGTAGTTTGATCTGTCTAGTGTGACTCTTACACAATTACGTTATTCATGCCTCGTTTAACTCTATTGGCTTTGATTCTATTCCAAAACCTTTCATGAGTCATGACCAATGAAGACTTCAAACTTTTAACCCTTGGAAGCGTGTTAAGAACTAATTTAAGATATACATGATGGTTTGAATACCCAATCTAATTTTTTTGTGAAATAGCACTTATGTTTTGCTTGTCAGTGATTGCGATCTAAGAGAATGCGACTTCCACTGCTAGCTCTTGTACTTAGGGTGTGTTTGTTTGGGGGTTTGGATTTTGAGTTGAGATTTGAATAGTAATAATTTTGAATTTGAATAGTGGTACGATGTGATATAGGTGTTGACGTGATGTTTTGAATGTAAAATTGATTTTTAGTATAATATAAAATATGAAAACTAGGTGTTTGATTTGATGTTTTTGGGGGAAAAAAATTGGATGAATAGTGTAAATCCAATTCAATCCCCCAAACAAACACACCCTTAGTGTTTTCTTCCTCCTTCAAGGAATGTTAATGGTGATGCTTTATTATGATTTTGTGGGGGTTTATTGCCTTATTATTTGCTGTTATGTGTTATGATAATCACTATGAAGTGTTACTTTAATGTAATGGATGATGCGGATCTAAGTTCACACAGACCTTTTTCGGAGCTTTGGAGATTTGGAAAATTCTGTGCATAGTAAATTGTTGATTATATGATGTGATGAATTACAAGAGGAAATAGAAATTTGAGGCAATGGTTAAAAAAAAAATAAACAAAACAAATTAAGTTGATGCATAGTGTCAAAACTTTCAAAAATATGCATGTAAATTGATAGTAATAAAGATTTCATTTTCTATAAACTACTAAACTAGCTGATAATGATTTCATATTTCTTGTTGGTTATTCACTGTCACTGTCTTCCAGGGCCACAATGTGTCGTTTGATGACAAATCATGGACTTCTCGCTTATCTTTCAACTTCAAAATGGGAAAGACACACTCAGTGAGTCGACCTGTATTTTGCATGTCTGTGCAACAAGCTAGCAAAGCTAAGGTTGGAATTTCACCTTTAAGTTTAGAAGATGCAAAGGAACCACCACTACATGTGTACAAAAATAAGGCACCGTATACCGGAACTATAGTGTCAGTTGAAAGGGTTGTGGGTCCAAATGCTCCGGGAGAGACATGTCACATTGTGATTGATCATGGAGGCAATGTTCCCTACTGGGAAGGACAGAGTTATGGAATCATTCCCCCTGTATGTTTTCTAAATCTATGCTTATTTCCTCTCCAAATCGTTCTTGCATCTATCCCCCCTTTACTTATGTGGTGTCTGATTCGTAATTTGTTTGCTTTTATCAAGGGTGAAAATCCTAAAAAGCCCGGCAACCCCCATAATGTTAGGCTGTATTCAATAGCATCTACTAGGTATGGTGACTTCTTTGATGGCAAGACAGCAAGTTTCTGCGTTAGGCGCGCTGTATATTATGATCCTGAGACTGGAAAAGAAGACCCATCCAAGAAAGGGGTGTGCAGCAATTTTTTATGCGATTCGAAGCCAGGGGACAAGGTTCAGATCACAGGTACGATTTCAATTGGTGTAATTAACATGACACTCCAAATTTAGTAGTGACCTGTGAATGAGCAAGCATTTGATGTTTTACTGCTGTTAACACTTGTGCCATGAAAGAGGTTTTCTTATGTATATCATTTTTATTTGTTGCCGAACTAAGAACAATGAATGCCTTTAGATCACATAGGGTACATTTGGTCTGTGTTTGTGTTTGCATAGTGGTTTTGTGAGGCGGAATAATGTATTTTTCTCTAGGAGTATGAGTATACTATTACATAGTGACGAAAAGTCTCTAAAAAAAGATAATTTCTTGTCTTGTTATACTCATCCCATCATGTATTTTGATCCCATCAATGTGTTGTTATACTTTTCAGAACTCCCGATTTCTTTTCTTGTGACTTAAAGCATAATTTCCAGGTCCTTCTGGCAAGATAATGCTTCTACCCGAAGACGATCCAAATGCCACCCACATTATGATTGCGACAGGCACCGGCATAGCTCCTTACAGAGGCTATCTCCGGCGCATGTTCATGGAGGATGTACCCACATACCGATTCACCGGCCTAGCCTGGCTCTTCCTAGGCGTAGCTAACAGCGACAGTCTTCTCTACGATGATGAATTCTCCAAGTATCTCCAGGATTACCCCGACAATTTCAGGTATGACATCGCTCTTAGCAGAGAACAAAAGAACCAAAGAGGCGGCAAAATGTACGTGCAGGACAAAATCGAAGAGTACAGTGATGAAGTGTTCAAACTTCTGGATGGAGGAGCACACATTTACTTCTGTGGGCTCAAGGGCATGATGCCCGGGATACAAGAAACGTTGAAGAAGGTTGCCGAGCAGAGAGGGGAGAACTGGGACGAGAAGCTCTCGCAGCTTAAAAAGAACAAGCAGTGGCACGTCGAAGTCTATTGATCGTCGGAATTGTCGCTGTCGGGATTCATTTCCTTATTGGTATGGAATGTTTCAATTTGTTGTTAACAGCATGTTCTTGGGTAGAGCAGTGATGATCAAATACTTGTTATGTGTTTTGTTTCTACTGTTTTTGGATGATCCATTTGCATGCAGTAGGAATTAATTCATCATTTTCACAAGGTCGTGGTTGTTTGTGTATTTCTCTTAGTTTAATTAGTATTTCTCTTTGGAGTTTTGTAGTATGTTAAAAAATAATATTATTTTTTTTTTATGTGAAGACGAAAATGTTAAAAAAAATATTTTGGATTGGGATATCAAATAATGAGCTTATTTTTCTTTTCAAAGCCGTATCAGTTTGTTGTCTTTATGATTTTCAAAGCATGCTGTGTGAAGTTTCCTGAAGTTCTTGGCAAAGGAATTTAACACATTAAATTTTAAAAAATATATATACATATATATTTCAAAATCAGTATGATAAATATCGAAAATTAATAAAGTATAAAAGAAACAAAAATTTTAATTTTTAAAACTAAATATAGATTATTTAATTCACTCTCTCTTATAATTAGTGCTAAAAATAAATAAAAGTTTTGTTATTATGATCCAAAGATATACTGCTATTTCTTTTTAATAATTTACTTAGTTAAAAAAATTGTCATGCAGTGGATTTAAACACGTGCGCTCCAAAATTGATGTTGTGTAATTTAAAGCAATGTAAATTGCAAGGAATGAGTGTGGCGGTTGAATTTCAAGATCAAATATACGGTTCCATTTTTTCTCCATTTTAGCATCATCATCGTCATCCCAATTTACCAAAGAGACAACACAACAATGCTCTCCTCCTCCTCCTCCTCCTCCTCCTTCATCTCCGCTCACGATTCCTATTGAGCCAGCAGAATATCAGAAGGCTAATGCAAAGAAGGTGAAGCTTCCTTCGGATCATCTTTCAATCATTTCTCCCTTTCCGTTTTTACGAATGATATGCTATTGATTCGTGTTGCATCCGACCTGATTCAGACGGCAGCTATTTGCAATTGATGAGTCTTTTGTGGCGGTTTGCCGATATCAATGGCTGCTGCAAGCCTTTTTGTAATGCAACGCATTCGCATTTTTCAACGTCTTTAATTCCTTCATTTCGTGGTTTTCAGTTATCGCTGGAATTGCCCGTTTCTGGAAATGGGTTTGATGCCAGAATTTTGAATCTCCAGGTTCCTTGCTATTAGCATTCTTTTCTGTCGTGTAATTTTTGGTTCCGATCCCATCGCCGGATTTCATGTTGGATGATGATGAATGATTCTTATGTTCAAATTTCAGGCATACACGAATTTTGATTTTCTGCTTGCTGAATATAATTTGATCAGATAGCTCCTGTTTGATTAAGTAATTGACAAATGTAGCATAATTCATTCGAGAAGGAACATGGTTCCGTTTAATACATACATACACATACCCTGACAAGGATTGCCTCTTATTATATAACCTTATGTATGGTATAGTGACAAAGTGCAAACTCCATTCCTTTGGGGACAACATCTGAGGAAACAGAACAATGAGCCACGCACTCGGAAAGCCATCTTCAGGTCTGCCTTTACTGTTCTCATGTTTGGAAAGATAATTCGGCATAAGTTTTATTGGTTTCACTGGAATTCTCAACTTAATGTGTGTGGGCATCTCATTACTATTGTCTCGTTTTTCTTAGTCGTAGAAGTTTCAAGTCATTGTGTTTGTCTATATCGGACATGTAGAAGACAGAAGTTACTTGATCAATGAAGAATAGCTAGATTTTACTCAATGTTGGGAATCTTTGTTTCAAAGCAATATGCTTTCCATTAGACATGTTTCTGTTTGAGAAAATGCTAGTAGTATGCTTTTCCAATCGGGTGCACTTCATGTCTGCATCGGAATGATGGGATCAGCATTTAGCACCACATTATATTATCCCAATATGCAGAAATTCGCTATCCCTCTGGCTCATCTTTCCCTCATCACTATGTTAATTTTAAGCCAATCGCTTAGAATACCAATACTGATCTGAAACCTGTACAGGTAAAAGGAAATTGAGAGATCTTCTGCTTCAAAGCGATAATCGAATATGTGCAGATTGTGGCGCTCCAGACCCAAAATGGGCGTAAGCATTAAAACATGTTTCTTCTCTCCTCTCTTTTGGATAAATTACAAAATGCAATGCTAAACATATCGTGTGTACAAATATTAGTATGAGGAAACAAGTAAAACCGTTCTGAGTTCTAACATTGCAGAAACCTTTACAGTTGCTTGAAGCCTTGAATGTAGGCTTGTGGGCAAGCATGCTGCCTGTGAAAACTGGTTGAGGGTAAAACAGCAATTCTTATTGGTTTCACTCAATATGGAATAAATTTTCAGAAGAAGATAGTACAGAGAGATGCTGCTGATAACAACTTACAGAACGATCTTTAATTGATGATTAAACTACTCATTCCGTATTATTAGCGCTATTACAAGTTTGTTGGAAATTGATCACATTTTCAATAAGCTATTCAGGGTATAGGAGGACTGGGGAGAGTGAATGTCAGGCATCTATGGCTCTAATTTAGAATAAAAACTAGATTGCCAAAGTTCTACGGAACATATCTTTTCTATTAGCATTTTTCCAGATATGGTTACTGCTTTTGCTTTCCTTCATGCTAATTTTAAGAAACTTATTTCCCTTCTCAGCTCAGCAACTATTGGAGTATTTATTTGCTTAAAGTGCTGTGGCGTCCACAGAAACCTTGGCCTGCATATTTCAAAGGTGATTGCTTCAGGAATTCTCTTCGCCATCTGCAGTCCTCCAATGCAGTTCTGGTTTTCAATTTTCAAAGTCATCCGTTCTTGTTTTATTGTCTCAAGATGCCCTGCCCTTCAGGTTTTGTCTGTTACATTAGATGAGTGGACTGATGAAGAGATTGACGGAGTTATTGAGGTTGGCGGAAATGATGCTGCAAATAAAATCTACGAGGCTCATTTTCCTGAAGGTGTGACAAAGCCGAGCAGAAATGCTTCTCATGAAGAGCGTTCGAAATATATCAGGTGAGCTCCAATGTCAGCTCCTATTACTTTTGTGATATGGGATGCTGTACTTGTCGACTTTCACTTTCATAACTCACCTTCACAGAGTTTGTGCATTTACTGGCCCCAATTTGCATTGATCAACATGACAACATGTTAGGTTTTTTAAGTTATCTTCCTTTTTTTATTTTTCAGTAGCCGTAATTCACTCTTTCAACTTGCCTGCATGTTCTGCCCATTGCTTATATCTCCAATTCACAAGTGATCTTTGTTATCCCATGATTGATTCATTGTAGGTCTAAGTACGAGCTTCAAGAGTTTTTGAAACCTGGGATGCGCGTTCAGACTGGTTCTTCCAGAAAAGAAGGCAAAGTTGTACGCAAATCTGTATGCGAGAAGACTTTGGAAAGCATAGCCCAGAGTACAGGCTTGAATATCGCAGTATGTCTTCCATACTTGTCTGCTATAACTTCTTTTGACATGGAGATGTTGCAAGTTGCTATCATGCATAGTTATATACAGCTGATAAATTCTTCTACAACCGTCATAATTATGATATTGATCTATCTATGTCCGCTTAGTTCTGTCGACTGATTAAAATTCTTGTAGAACCTAAGAAGTAAATGATTCGGAATATGGTTGTAGGACCATCTGGATGAATATCTTGGAGTGTTGAAAATTAAAGTACTTAAAGGCTCAAACTTGGCTGTCCGGGACATGCTATCAAGTGATCCATACATTGTCCTCTCTCTTGGGGAGCAGGTCACTCTCTTTTCTTGATCAAGTCACAGATATGAACACCTTCTTCTCTAGCTCTAGCTAAGTAGTAATGAAATTTCTATATATATGTACTTTAAACTGTAATACTTCTTCTGGTGCGATATGTAGAAAGTTCAAACGACTGTGGTGCCGAGCAATCTGAACCCGGTGTGGAATCAAGAACTGAATATGGTAGTTCCAAAAGATTATGGTCCAATAAAGCTGGTAAAGCCTTCCCTTTGTTCTTTGATTCCTTGCTGGTGTGGGGTGGGTGTGTCTCTGTTTAATTGTGTGAGTGTGCAGCAAGTATACGACCACGACACGTTCTCGGCGGACGATATAATGGGGGAGGCAGAGATAGACGTGCAGCCGATGATCACATCAGCTTTGGCATTTGGGGATGCATCCATGTACGGGGACAGGCAGATTGGGAAGTGGCTGCAGTCGTATGACAATGCCCTGATAGAAGACAGCCCAGTGAACATTGTGGATGGCAAGGTGAGGCAGGAGCTCTGGCTCAGGCTCCAGAATGTCGAATCTGGTGAGGTAGAGCTTGAACTCGAGTGGGTTCCTCTCACTCTATAATATACATAATTATATATATAATACACACACAAAGACAGCAGCACAAGTCAGTCTGTAGTAGTAGTAGGAGAAATCTTATTGTTTGTTGTTGGTTGATTGAGTATATATATATTAGTAGTATTGTTTTTGGTTTTAGGATGATATGGGATGGGTACAATACAATACAATACAACCAAACTGCTACTGTTTTTTTTTTTTTTTTTTTTTTCTGGACACATTCATCATATATTTGGATAAATTAATTTGAAATAAGATTAATTTTACACACACACACAAATATGTATACTGGACTAAAAATGTATTATTTTGATTTTTTAATAAATTGGAGACTGTCTGCCTCTGCTATTGCTCTGTCAGAGTGGTATAAGTACAAAATAAATATACGCCGCCTGAATATTGGGTGTGACTGTGAGGTGACCCACATTTGCATTTCAGCAAGAAAGTCAAGTCAACTCAAAATCATGGCGTCTGCCCTGCACCTCCCCCTCCGCCATAAACTTCGCAATTTTAACTACCCCCCTCTCCCTCCTTTATCGCATCAAATTCATTCGCTTCCGCTCTCTCTCCGTCCCCAAATTTCTCTCTGTCAACGAACCCTAGCCACCCACCCACTCCTCCTTTTTCAAAATTTGAATTTATTTTAGATTTGTTCTAGCTGCGGAGGCTGGAGCTGGTTTACTAAGCTGCGGAGGCTGGAGCTGGTTTACTAAGCTGCTTCTCTCCGGAATCTATTGGGTTCCGTTCAACTCGGTAAGCGTTATTTACTTGGAAGTGAACTGTATCTGTATGTACCTCTCGTTTCGGGCATTATAAGCTCTGCGGGCTATTTAGTATGGGTCTTGCTTCGAGTTTATGAATATTTGTTCCGGACGAATTCACTTCCAGGTATTCTTGTTACTGCTAATTTTCGCTGTATGTGACATGGAGAGCCAAGAGGTCATGGCGAATGGTTGGAGGGGTGATTCTGCTTTGCACGGGGACGCCCTTGAGTTTGTTAATAGTGAGAATGGTTTCTCTCATGTTGCTGGCGATGACGAAGAGAAGGGGAATTTAGCAGAGGAGGTTTTGGGGGATTTGGAGGAATATTGGGAAGATATCAATGACAGGTTAATGATTTCAAGAATGGTCAGTGATTCTGTTATCAAGGGTATGGTGACTGCTGTGGAGCAAGAGGCAGCCGAGAAGGAACTGGAAGTAGCCAGTTTGAAGGAGTTGCTGTACTCTGATCGAGTAGGAAGTGGAAGATTTGAGCAAGAACTTAAATCTCGAGGTTTTGGGAGGTTTTCGAACCTCCCGACTCTGTGTGTAAAAATTGAAAATAGTAGAGAGGAATTAAATGCTGTAAGGAATCTTACAATAGAACAGTTGGTTAGCGTTAAGAAGGATATTGGATCTGTGAGTGCATCTAATTCGTTGTGGAAGATTGGATCAGGACTCGAATGGCTGGGGTTGGGTGGTGGGAGTTTACCCGAAAAGCAGTGTGCAAGGTTGGTGCATATTGATGAGATACTGCAGAACCTTGAAAAAACAGTGGATATTGTGTGCACGAAGGCCGACGATGTGTTGCATTCTTCTAAGGTTTCACTTTGTGAGTTGCAACAGGAACAAGATATATTAGCCAGCCTTGAGGGTATAGTGATAGAAAGTGTGTTTAAAAGACTTAAAGATGAATTTGAGGAGAAATTGTTGGAACAGTTACAGAATACACAATTTGGTAGAATTCAGAGTATGAATTGGCTTGGAAAGTTCCATGAGCTATCTAATTTAGGTGGTCAGTTGGATGCTATTCTTAAGTCACTCTCCATACATGACTCGGGGTTAGTTTCTCATGGATCACATGATTTAGATCAGTTACATCAAAAGATCTTCACCAATCATGTTACTCCATCATGCGGGGAAAATGGAACACTAGATGCATCAAGTATTCATGTTGCTGAGATCTATGATATTCAGCAGCTGCAACACCTGTCGAAGGAGGGAATGGTAGACTATTTTAATGACATTATAATTAAGATGAAGAGAGAACATGAATCGGCTTTGCATCAGAAGACTGAACAGTATTTCCGTTTAAAACGAGAATACCTGAAAGAGAGGAGTTCCTTTGTGACGCACAGGGACGAAGAATTTGATGTTCTAAGGAAAAAGATTCCTGAAGTTATATCAAAGCTGGAGAACTTCCTCTTGGAAAATGAAAGATTCCCTGCACTGATACACACTTCTGAAAGTATTGGGAACATGAAGCAAAGACTTGAGATCCTTCACTCTGAAAATCAGGAACTGAGAGACTGTCTTGCTGAAAAGCAAAAGGAGGTGAAGCATCTAGAAATGCAGGTTGCAGACTCTGCTGCTCAGCAGTTGCAGCATTCCTTGTCCAAAGAAATGATGCCAAAACTGACAGAAAACCGCAGCTCAGCAGTGGAAGAGTCGCATATGGAAGCTTTGCTGAATGAACTAGTGTTTAATTGTGCTATCAGGAATCAGATTGCTCAGACAAGAAGTGATTCTAATGATAAACACTTGGAGGTCCCCACTGAACAACCAGAAGCTGTTGTTTCTGCCGAAGCAGAAGATAAATATGAAAATGAAGATTCAGAGGTTGAATCATTGATAGCTGAAGGGTTCTGTGGATTGGTATATGCTGAAGCTGTAAAGGATGCAGAGCATAAATTCAGTGACTTGAATAGGGAACTTCTGGTGAATAAAAATATCATAAACTGTCTGGAGGTGAAAGCAGGTGAAAAGGAGAATGAATTAAGCCAGGTGGTTGAAGAGACAAATAAATTAAAACGAGAAATACTTGATATGGGAACTGCAATGGAACAGAAGGAGAAATTAGCAGCTGATTTATCAGTTTCACTATCAAAACAGAGGGAGCAGTTTGAGCAAGCTTCTCAAGAACTAGAGAATATACGGCAACATGCAGCTCAACAACAAACGCTAGTTATTGAAAGCAACCAGGAGTTGCAATTACTGAAGTCTGAACATTTGAAAGCATTGAAACAGATTCAGATTGATAAAATTGAAATGCATAAGCTGAATCAAACGACAGAGATGTTAATGGTTGCCAATAAAAGGGAACTGGAAATGGCTGTTAGTGGGATCTCAAAAATGTTTGATGATTTTGAATGCAGAGCGTCAGGTGTCATAAAGAAAAATAATTTAAGGTATATCAAGCATCTCACACTCTTATGCTTTAATTATTCATGTCATCTTACCCATATAAAGATGTTTCCGTGGGCGAGTGTTGGTGTTTATATGTTTAATTTGGTATTGGGGGTAATTGAAAGTGGAGGCAAGAGCAAAAAAATGGCATTTCTTCTTCAGTTCAGTAGACTCTTGTCAGCATCCTTGTAATAGAATTAAGGGTAGGAAATCCTCTTACAATCTCTATGTTTCCTAAACAGATTTTCAGTGTTATGCTATACAATTTGACTATGATTTGATATGACCTAATTTTATTTTATTTTACTTTTTTATGCACATTGGTCTTCAGTTCTATGATCTTTCTGTGTCATATGTTAGTATATAATTTTTTTAGGTCTCTACTCATCTTTGATTGAAACAATACCATACTATTGTAGCCTCTCTGACACCCAAATTTGGTTTTAGTCAGAATTATGTGAATAGTGAGCTAATTTTTGCTTGACTCTGTATATTGGTTTTTTATGTCAGGTTGGAAAATACAAAAACTCACTTGAAAGATCTTAACGAGATGGCTTATGCACTTAAAAGAAAAGAGCTGACGTATAAACAGAGATTGGAACGAAAATTTGCTGATCTCCAAATGGCTGAGTCTGAGGTAATTAAAAAACTTATGGTAGAAGGCAGGACTGCTAGGTGTTATGTTGTCTTGTGCTACTTATTATCTATATTATGAAGTATAATATACAGTATGGGCCTGGTTATTTCCCAATGCCCCTTTTGACGTGTAAATAAGATGCTATTAATAAATTCTGTTCATAATGGCATAAATCTTCGCTGAAAATTTCTGGGTTTCTACTATAGATCTATCATCTGAAATCTAATGAGAAGCTATGGGTTTGGGAAAGCAGCCTATCTGATCATATTTCTACTGTATTGTTTTGTCTGAACCCATGGTCCATCCTACTTCTGATCACATTCATAATGTAATATTAGGTTCTTTTTTTTCCGTCTGAGGGAATCTTTTAGCAAAGATCATATACATTGGTTGGTATAGTCACAGTTAAAATTGCTAGAGTCACTGCAAAATGAACAGCTGAAGGATGTAGTTGTGGGATCACAGTGTCGGATTGAATAGGATATGGTGTTCTATGTCTGGATCTTTGGAAATGCTTGATATTAATAATGAGGAAGCTTTTGGTTTGTAATTTTTTTCCTTTGATTTGTTGTGCACATAAACATCATTAAGCGATAACAATTGTTTTTCACTGCATTACAGTTGTGCCTGTATTTCCTGTTTCAGGTTGACCTTTTAGGAGACGAGGTTGATGCTTTGTTGAGATTGCTTGAGAAAATATATATCGCACTTGATCACTACTCTCCTATTTTAAAGCATTATCCTGGGGTAAGTGAGATCAACCGACAACTGCTGTAAGATTGTCAAATGGTGTTGATGTGCATGTGTCATGTGGTATGTTTATATCTATCTATATATGCATTCGGTTGCTCGGAAGGACCAGTAAAACTGAGTAGTATTTCATGTTTGCACTTAAAAAATTCTCCTAAGCCTCGTTTTTTATGCACCATTGATTATCATTATTGCCACAAGAATATGAGATCTACAATCAACATTTTATATATCTACTTCCAAACATCAGTGTGACAAATATGGTTTCCTCCAACAGATTATTGAGATCCTGAAACTGGTCAGAAGGGAATTGAGTGGAGAAGCTACTCGGATACATGATTAACTTTTTGGTAAGGTAGGAATACCTTTGACTAAATACTTTCCATTACAATTTTAAGCATGCTCTAGAATGCAAACATAATGCTCTCTATTGTACTGACAAGTATGTCACTGTTTTTTCCCATTTTATTGCTTTTTAATAGTTTCCTAAAGTTCATTTTTGCTTGGAAGGTCATGTTATGAACCCTCTTAAATTTATTATCGACTCCTGTGCTAGTAGTACTCATGCAGTCATTGTATGTTCATAGATTCTCCAAACCATTGAATAATGAGTTCTAGTCAGAAGCAGAGCTAGAAAAGAGTATAAGATAGACAAATATATTATATACCAAAACCTTTATGTAGTGTGCTAAACAATACATTCTCGGATCACACAGCACGCACATATATACATTTTATTCCTAATGCATCTTCATATCTTGAATCATTTTACATAAAAAATCTCTCTTTCAACTGTTTGAAGTAGCTTGTTTCTTTCTATGCAAATGCAACTAAAAGCAATAATTTATTCAGTAGTCTCCAATTTGGATGGCCAATCAAAATGTCTGAACTGGAAAAAGAAATGAACTCCGGACATGGGTACAAGCTCTCCTGTGTGATTTCTTTGTTAATATAATTGATGATTGAGAAAATAGGCAAGAGGAAAGAACAGATACATGTCTTCTGTCATGTAATGTTTGTTAAGTCGAATTCAGACAATAACCTTTATTTCACATCCTTGTATATACTATTTATTATGTACTCCATTGATGGTAATCTATATAATAATCTTCTCCAGGATGCATAGCGTCGAAATGGAAGCTGCATCTTGAAAAAGAGTTGGTAGCTAAGGTCGGATCCTTTTTGCTTGCGCGAGCCCAGCCTTGGAGTTTACCTATTTGTCCATAAAACTAGGGAAGTTTTCAGGTTTTGAAATGCCTTATACTTTCTGTCTTGAAGATTAATAAGGTTGTCTTGTTTGGGTGTAGATGTTTTGATGATCGTCATGTTATAGATTATAGAGCCAAGGGGAGGCTTGTTTTAGAGAATGGATACATACATGTCCTGAAAGGGGAAGGATGTGATCATTCCTTCTACTGTGCAGTTAGTTCCAACTAAATTGCTTTTTATTCAGATTTTCAAATCACTAAAATTTTAGGTTCTGTTTACGGAAAATTTTCTTTCTCTCGATTTTTTTTCTATTTTTTAATAAAAAAAATCTAATTCACTATTTAAATAAAGAATTACCAAGTTAACAGTTTTAAATACGCCTTTTATGACATTTTTTTTTTATATACCCGAAAGTGTGCATTGGGTAAATTCTTGCAAATTTTTTAATTTTTTTTTACTTTTTGTTTATAGCAAGATTTTATTTATCTTGTATTTTAATTTGATGTGATTATAATAATGTAAATGAGGCTAAATTTGTACTATTTTTTTTATCAAATAAAAACTAATACGATTCAGTCAATAAAAAAAATTTATATAAATTTTACCATTTTTATTATTATAAAGATAAAAATGCTCAATTTTTAAATGGTTTTCAAAGTATTTATTATATTTTGTATTTATAATTATTTAATAATTAATTTTTAAATATGATAAAGAATAATTTTTACCTTGAAAAAAATACAAATATAGAATATTATCTTATAAGTTAATTATAATGTAAAATGAATACTATATAAAAAATAATTGATACTAATATAACATAAATATATTTGTTAGATGAGATTTGTTACTTGCTCAAAACATATATAATGGGCATGCAGGAAAAAAAAAAAAAAAAAAAAAAAAAAAAAAGCAAAAAAGCTTCAACGCTGCGTAACAAACATAAAGAAAGAAAAATATGCATCGATGCACTATGGATTTTTAAATTTGAAATATTGGACCATCATGTATTTTTTTTTAGCAAGGGTTGAAAAAACTTCTATATAAAAATGGAGGCCGTCTAAAAGGTTCCATTGTATATTCAGATATACACACGATTAACACAAATAATTTTTAAATTAATTATGTAAAAATTATTTACTATATTAATATAAATGATAATATATGAATAGAAATAACATATTTTTACTTGGAATTGAAGGAGAACATATTTTTTATTTGAAGCCAAAATAAAACAAAACAAAACAAACGACATAATTGATTTGCGTGAAAAAAGTAAAAGGTACCATACGAATGTTTATCGTTTTACTTTTACCCTATTCTTGGTAATTTTGTTAGTATTTAAACAAATTAGTCGAAGGGCTTCCGGAGGGGTTGTGCGCTGTGTGTGTCTGTAAAACCCTTCAACCCTTTCTTCTTCGTTCGTTCACTCACCCACACTGTATTCATCCTGCAATCTCCCCACCTTGGATTAATTTAACAACAGTTTTCAAAGGAGATCGCATTAGGAATGCCTCCCAAAGCAGCGAAATCCAAGGAAGCTCCGGCGGAGAGGCCTATCCTTGGACGCTTTTCATCTCACCTCAAAATTGGAATTGTAAGATTCGTTTTTACCCCCACCACACTTCGCTCGTTTATTCATTTCTGGTTTAAATTATTGATCTTGGTTCTTGCCGATGCTATAACAGTTATGGCTGACTCTGTTATGTAACGGAATGGTTCTTGTTTGTTTCGAAAATTATCGATTTATTCTGGAATTCATGTTCTACTTTTTTGAGTTTTCGATGCTTTTGAGTTATTTGGTGTTGGATTTGAATCTTGCTAATATCTGTTAGGCTTTCCATGGGCTGAAGATAAAGTCATGAATTTATTTATTCGTATGCTATCTCTAATAGAAGAAATGAAATGAATGTTTCATTAGTAAAATAGCAGGAAACAAAAACTAGTACTGCTTCACAATACTCAGTATCTTGTGTTAACAAAGTCTTTATTGTGATGGGCTTTCAGGTTGGGTTACCCAACGTTGGCAAATCCACCCTTTTCAACACACTAACCAAGTTATCTATACCAGCTGAGAACTTCCCTTTCTGTACCATTGAACCCAATGAGGCTCGAGTTAATGTTCCTGATGAGCGATTTGACTGGCTCTGTCAACTCTACAAGCCAAAGAGCGAGGTTCTTGATATGAACTGTTGATATAATATCACTTGATTCATTATGTCTGTGTAAATTTTAAAGATAATATACACTTTTTCTTAAACAATGCAAGGATAGGTATCAGCTTTTCTAGAAGTTCATGATATTGCTGGACTTGTTCGTGGTGCTCATGAAGGACAAGGATTGGGAAACAACTTTTTGTCCCATATCCGTGCTGTTGATGGGATTTTTCATGTTTTACGTGAGCTTATTCTTTCATGTTTCTTTTATTGGTTAATAAATATGCAGTTGGTCTAATGTAGGTACTTTTGTACTTATTCGTGGTGAATTGTCTTATGTTATTCAGTATTTTCTGTACTCTTGTAGTTAGTACGAAATTCTGTATTAAGAGTTTAAACTTTATGCAATGATATTACCAACAAAGTTGAGAAAATGATTGCTCTATCCTTTCTTTTGTTTTTTTTTTTAATTTTATTTTGTTTTAAGTTGGAATGCACTATCTATTATACTTATCATGATTATACTTCCTGCAGGTGCATTTGAAGATCCTGACATTATCCATGTTGATGATTCAGTGGACCCTGTTAGGGATCTAGAGGTTATTTCTGCAGAGTTGCGGCTGAAGGTAAGTTTGGATTGAGTATTAGAGTCTAGACATGTACCTCAATTTAGTTTCAAGAGTTCAGTAATTGGTTTTGTTTGTTAAAAATCTGTTGCTATTCTTGTTCCTTTCCGGTGATGTGTAATGATGTTTTGGAGCATGTGGAGTTGTTCAAAACTTTGAATGCTCTTGAATATCATGGGTTTGGTCCTGGACAGAAATTCTATGTTGGTTTTATATGGTGGCTATGTGTTGGTAGGATCTTGAGTTCATGGCTAGGAAAATTGAGGACCTTGAGAAGAGCATGAAGAGGAGCAATGATAAGCAACTGAAAATTGAGCTTGAACTATGCCTTCGGGTATGTATTCTATATAATTATTTCAAATTCATGTTATCAGCAAACTAAATCAATTTAATTTGCCTTTCTTTGCCAAAAGTTATCTGTGTATACATATTTGATTGGGGATGGATCTGAATTTCAATTGGCAATTCTCATTATCTTTAGACTACTGCATTAATGATTGTATATCAATTTCTTTTAAAGCAGGTTTATGCTCACCTAGGAGTGTTTATATCAGTTTTCCTTGTTTATTGCCATACCAGTGGCATAGTAGGTAAAATAGATGAAAGTAAGAGGCTGCACCTCGGTGTAGTTGGTAGAATATTAGCTACTGAATAGTAACTGATGTAAATTGATAAAAACACTGCTCAGTTAATTTCTATGATATAAGGAATGCGATTATAGCTTATTTAATTTAGCAACTGTTGACACCCAATCTCAGATTATGTAATAATTGCACCTTAACTGCTGACTGCTGTCATGTTAAGGAAAGTTTTGATTCTGAATCTCAATAATTTATGGTTATTATTAGGTCAAAGCATTTCTGGAGGAAGGCAAGGATGTCCGTCTTGTAGATTGGAAAGCTGCTGATGTTGAGATCTTGAATACATTCCAATTGCTCACTGCGAAGCCTGTAGTGTATTTGGTGAGCGTCATTTACTGTTGTAAACCTCAAGTGGTATTTCTTTGCTTTTCCTGCAAGATCTATGTACCTCCTTGAAGGGAAAAACTAGATCCTTCAAACTTGCTTGATGCTACCTTTGAGCGACAATCAAAGGGAATGCCTTTCTAAAGAAATACATTTACTTTAACATTGAAAAATTTTAATCAAGTGCACCCTGCTTTTTTTTAAAAGAAATTGAGATAGTTTCTAGTATCTTAGGATGTAAACTGGTTATTGTAGTTTCATTTATAGATATAGTATAATTTAAGTCAACCCAGAGAATCCTCTGAAAAATATAGTAGGCTAAATTATTCATGTAAAGGTTCACGTATCTTAAAATCCAATGTGTAATATAATTGACTAACATAGAAGAGATGTATCCAATCTTACCCCCAGCTTCAATCCCAAACTATCCACTGTGGAATATGTAGGATTTTGTAATCTTTCATGCTTATTTTAGTTCATATAAAGTAAACTTGCTCGCTTATTTGATTGTGTCCTGAACAGGTAAACATGAATGAAAAAGATTATCAAAGGAAAAAGAACAAGTTTCTCCCGAAAATCCATGCTTGGTATGTATGATCTATGAAATGATACAGTTCTTTAGTCTTTCATTTTTGGAAATCTTCTGGCATTTATGATTTTGGATAGCACTTGTGTAAGTATGGTTTATATATTTACATGAATCATAAGAAAGTTGAACCAAACCAATTCCTTGTATGTCCGTTATAAAAGAAATTTCTCATTGCTTCTTCTGGATATTACATCTACCATCATTTTATCATAGTATATATTTAATTTGAGAAGTTTTTTTTTAAAATTTTCAGGGTGCAGGAGCATGGCGCCGAAACTATAATCCCCTTCAGCTGTGCGCTAGAGAGGAATCTTGCTGATATATCTCCTGATGAAGCTGCTAAGTATTGCGAGGAAAACAAAGTTCAAAGGTTGGTTAGTCTAGTATCTATGATATTGCATTTCCTGGATTTGGAAAATAATTGGATTTGAACTGCCTCTGAATAAAAAATTCACATGATAATCAAAGTCTATTGTTTTGGTGAGGAAAATTATGTTTGTGTGTGTTGTATGTATTGATCTTGTTAACGCTGTATGTGGAAAGTAGTAGATTTCTTGACTAGGATATTTCTTATTCTTGTAACATCTCGGATATATTAGATATTGTGCTTGAGAAGAACCCTATAAATATTGTAGTATGCTTGGAAATTTTTATTTCAAGGGTTAGTAAAATTAAGAAAAGAAAAAATAAACTGTTGCAGTGCCCTTTCAAAGATCATCAAGACTGGATTTGCAGCCATTAATCTCATATACTTTTTTACTGCTGGACCAGACGAGGTACGCCACAGCTATGCTCCGTTGTCATATATATATATATATTCCATTGATCAACTTTGTTGTCTTTTGGTATTTGATTATGTAATCCCACCAATGATTAAAAACTATGAAAAAGGTTCTTTGTCCATATGGATATGCCATGCTGGACTCCAGGTATCAATAAGTTAACTGTAATCATTACTTATATGTCTTTTGAAGCAAAAGGGGGAAATGTACTAATGGTGTGTTTGGTACAAACAAATGAGAGTGGAGAAATGAAAATTGCCTCATTTCTCTTGTTTGGCTGAGCAGTGTTAATATGGGTTAATTTAGCCTATAGATTAGCTTCTCATTAATTGTAATTAGCCTATCCTCTCATTAATTGTAATTAGCCTATTAATTATAATTAGATTGTCTAGCCATTAAGTTAGCCTATAAATTAGTCTTATTAACTGTAAATTATCTATAATTTAGCATTTCATAAGTTTCTTACCATATAGATGAGCCCTTCTTAATCCTATATATACTTTGTACTGTAATCAAAGAAAATCATCAAGTTTTGGAAATGAAACAAATTGTTAAGCAGAATTGGTCAATATGACTTTTCCTTTCCTTTTCTTTTTCGGATGGTGGTTCACTTTCTGGTTGAAACCATTGGTGAATTAAGTATTAGTTTTAGTTTGATGAAATGTAGTGACAAGTAATACTAAGTTGATTATGATACTACTGCAGATTGAGTCTAGTGTGGGAGCATTCAGTTTCCAGATTTGTAATGCAGATTGTTAAGCAATGCCTGTTTTGCTCTAGTTTGAATGATGTTCATAAGAAAATGATCATAATAAAAGGGAATCAATTTGAACCATAGCTTTGCTAAATAAATTAGTAATTTTTCTTTTATCTGTAGATAACTTTGTGAAGTCAGTACTCACAAACCATTAACATCGCTTTGCTCTCTTTCAGGTAAAATGCTGGCAAATTCGTCGCCAGACTAAGGCTCCCCAAGCAGCAGGGGCAATTCACACTGATTTTGAGAAGGGTTTCATTTGTGCTGAGGTACTTTCCTGGCCTTTCCGATAATGGTTTTGATGCATTCATATTACCGAGACTCTCCACTGTTATACTTGTTCCCTTTTTATTGATGAGATTATCTGCACAGTTTTTGCTGTCTTTTCTGTTTATGGATTAAAGAATGGGATTGTGGATGTGATTTTTTAAATTCAATTGTATTGGAGTCTGGTTTCGACATATAGTGGTATGTGAAGAACCTTCAAAAAAGGAAAAAAGAAAGAAATATTTGGTCCAGTTGTCTCCTTGTTTGTCAAGTTGCTTGAATTCCATTTACCCCTCTTTTACCTCACCTGGGATACCGTTCTCCATCATAGGTTATGAAATTTGAAGACCTCAAGGAACTTGGAAATGAGGCAGCAGTGAAGGTAAAAAGCATTTATCCTTTGAAAGGGTTATTATTCATTAAATGATAGGCGGTTTTACTCTTAATGTTGCTTTCTTGACATCTAATACGAGTAATAAACTAATAATAATATCACACTTGGTGTTTGTGCAGGCTGCCGGCAAGTATCGGCAGGAAGGGAAGACGTACATCGTCCAGGATGGAGACATTATATTCTTCAAATTCAATGTTTCTGGTGGAGGCAAGAAGTGAGGTTTTTTCAATATACATACATTCTGTTTCTCCCTCAATTTTTGCGGATCGTTTAAGTGATTTCATGATTATTGTTGTAATGCATAAATACTTGCTTGGAGTATGTGTTTTTGCTTTATAATCTAATCTATCTATTGCTTTAGCAGAAGTATAAAATGGTACATTTTAGGAATGAAATGACTTTTCTCAACTCAGATTATGTAAAACTCTCTGGCACTTACCATTTACCAATAGCATCTGCACCTGACTTTGTTTTGTTGTTAGTTTGTTTTGTGTTTAAATAGAATGCTATACTTTGCAAGAAAAAAATAGTATATCTTACAAGAATTTTGAAGATTGCAGGGGGAATAGAAAAAAAAAAAAAAAAAAAAATCTGAAAAAGAACATAGCCAGTTGTAAACTTGTAATAGGGAAGGGCATCTGAGATTGGGTAGAAAATTCAGGTGAATACTTTACTAGTAATGTAAGTTTATGAATTGTTTTTTATTACAAATATTCAAAAATTACTTTTCACACTATCTATAGTAATATTTGAAAACTACTTCTCTATTTCTTTTGGCAAGATAATTTTGTATACTTTAAACATATTTTAATTAGTGTGTTTGTTTTTAATTTTAGTTTTAAAGACTAAATTTTGAATTTAAATAATTTTTTAATATAACATAAATAAATCTTAATATGGTATTTTAAAATAGTAAAATAAAGTTTTAATACTAAAGAAATATTATTTAATTGATGTTTTTGAAGACAAATAAAAGATTCCTTTTTATAAAAAAACCAATCAAACATGTCTTTAAGATTTTGATTTTGATTTATTTATTATGCAATGATTTTCTATAAACATGCCGTTAGCTATTAAGGAAATTTTAAATCATGTTGTAGGGTATAGATTAATTTTTTTCTCTTCAAAATTTCGAAACACAACCCGAATATATGAATCAAACAAATTAGTATTAAATATATTTTATTTATAATACAACAATAAATTCATTTCTTCAAATATCTATTAATTAAACAGTCCAAATATATTGATTAAAAGATGTGTTTTTATTGTTTCTAAAAAGTTATATATCTGACGGTTAGATTAGAGTATTAACTTAATTTAAAAATTATTACTATTATTATTAATTTATAATATTTTAAAATTTTTATTATTTTATTTATACATATATTATTAATTTTAAATAAAAATAAAATTAAAACAATAAAAAATTATTCAAATTGTACGAAATAATTTTGAAAAATAGGCCATTTAGTATTAGGATTTATTTAATTTTTATTTGAAATTACTTTCCGAGTAATTTTCTACCATTTAATCCAACATGTAGAATATTTTTTTCACAAAATAATTAAAAAAAATATTTTAATAGTACTTCTATTCCAAAAGAATAGGCGTGTTTTAACATTTCTTTAAATAATAATTTTATTATCATAAATAATTATTCATTATAAAACAATATTTACTTTATAATTATTATTAAAAAATATCATTATTTTTTACATTTAAATTAAACACATCCACAAAAACTAGTTTCTTATTCTATATTTTCAACTTACTACAAATATAAAATAAATACCAACATTATATTCTTTAAATTCTTTCGATAAAATAAGCCTACTTGGGACATAGTAATATTCTTACCATTTACAATAATTAATAATAACAACTAAAAAAAAAAAATAACGCTTACGTTTTTCTTACACAAATATTTTAGCAATTATGAATTTAAATGAGTATTTAAATAATTTAGTCCTAAACGGTAAACCCCAAACCCACCCGCCCACGCTTTCTCTCTGCTTCGAGCTCTCTCAACCGGCGCTCTCTCCCGCTCCACTCCTCCCTCCACTCTCTCTCACCGATCGTTTCGGCGGCGCAACCAACCAGAAGATCCTACTCACTATCGTCGACGACGCTCGTTCGTTTTTGCTCTGTTGTTGGTTTGTTCTCATTCTTTGTTGTTCATCACGCTGCTTAGCTTGTTAGAACTTAGAACTGCCGCCGATTGATTTCTGTGCCACCATTGCACACAATCTAATCTCTCTGCACTTCGCTCGCTAGAAATCTCTTTACTTGTTACTTATTCTGCTATTGTGTAAATGATTAATCTTGAAATCCGCCGGCTTTCACCACGCTAAAAAGATTCCTTTTCTTTTGTTCTGTTTGGACCCCATCCCCCACTGCACTCGAATCAAACTGTAATATTAATCTTTTTCTTTTTGTTTGTGTTTTTTTAGTCTATTGGATGATCGTACTGTATTGTTTTGTTTTTGCCTGGAAATGGTTATGCAGATGTGAAGTCCACTGAGATACATTAAACGTCATTTTTAAATTCATGTTTACCTGAGGCATGTAGTTTGTCGATATTTTCCGGTCTTTCCCTGCATGTTATCTGAACGATGAGTTTGCTCTCACAGCGAGTTGTATTTCTTTTCCATCCCAGAGTTAGTGATATAATCTTGATTTGGTATGATGCAGGTAGCTTGGGAGCTGGTTTAAATTCTTGATAACGTGTGGAGATAGAGATTTTTCCTGTCTGTATAAGTTGTGTTCATCAAATATCCTAGTTCTTGAAAAATGCTTGAAACTAGAGAATCCCTAGCTAACACTCCTAAGAAACCATCAATGACTCCCAAGGCAATGATACACCAGAGGTATGGTAACAAGGCCTGTTATAAGGTTGAGGAAGTGCATGATGCGGCTCAAAATGAATGTCCTGGACTGGCTATCTCACAGAAGGGGCCTTGTCTTTATCAGTGCACTTTGAATCTTCCAGACATTTCTGTTGTATCTGGTACTTTCAGAAGGAAGAAGGATGCTGAACAATCAGCTGCAAATATGGCTGTAGAAAAGGTTTCTAATTGTATTTTCTCCTCTAATAATTGTTCTGTTTTCTTTTACTCTATGCAAATGATTTCGCTACATGATGTCATGGGTTTGCCAATTTGTTTTTCACTACCTTGTCAGTGCAAATACCTTTTGATTAATTATATGAAGCAACAAGAATCAGCTTCTGGACACTCGGATTCACATTCAGAAGCTTTATTCTGTTTATCCTACACATGGTGTTTGTTGTTTCACTGGAGTATGAAAATATAGTAGCGCATATTTGCTTGCATGAAAATAATATATGATTCGATCTTTCTCTTTCAAAATGGTATCACAAATCCAGTGGTTAGCAAGTGTAATCAGCTTTTTTAATACTTAAATAATTATTTTTTCCTACAGTTAGGTCTCACTCAGAAGGAATACAATCCCACCGTTGAGGAAGCTTGGGTTGATTTGGCTGATCGCATTGGTTTTCTATTTTCAAATGAGGTATGCGCTGGTTATGATCATGAGTAAGAATATAGCCTCTAGTCTTGTTACCTCTTCCCTTTAAGAGATGCATTCTTTTCCCTCTATGTTTCTTTGGTTTTAGGTGATGTTCTAATTTTCATAAAAGACCATAACAGAGCTTTTCAGATATATCATAGTTTTATAGTTTATGTTTGTAAAATCAAATGCTTCTTTCTTATACTCAAATGTCAAGTTCTTCTGTTTGTCAAACCTAGGAGTTTTCAAGTTACTGTAAACTATTGCCTCTAGCAAATTCAAGATAGTGATTTACTGGCTATCAGAATCAATTGTAGTCAGAATGCCTTGTGCACAATCTTAGTTCCTTTATTATAATATAAAGTTATACTTATCTATTATGCGTAGCTGATTTTTTTTTTTTTTTTGTTTATGTTTTTGTTTCTGTGGCAACAATGAAGTTCCTGTCATCTCTCCACCCCCTCAGTGGTCACTTCAGAGCAGTATTGAGAAGAGAACGCCTCATGAATGGATGTGTTCCAGCTGTGGTCTTTGGTGCTTATGATGCGAAGATTGCTAATATTTGCAAATACATCATAAATGAGACTGAGGTGAATTCACAGGTAATGATTCCCCTAATTCTCAGGGCAGCAACTAAGGTGACAGATTTGGAGTTGATACCTGATGAGCAGCTCTCTCTGAAGAGGAGAATACCTTACCCATCAGAGATTCTATTGGAAGCAATCCATGAATCAGGCTTGCAGGAAAGCATTCCAATTGAAGTGATATATATTCCTGCTTCATTCAGTAATGCTGTTGTACCGTTGACTCTTAACATTGCTGCAACTGATTATTACCTAGATGTTATTGCTCATGAACTAGACCTGAATGAGGCTTCCGATCTTTTGATATCTAGGTAATATATAACTTCTGTGCATTTTATGTGATTTCATAATATAGTCTTTGATGTTCTGTTGTATTTGTATTTAAACATGTTGGCAATAAACATTTCTAGTCTGCAAATTGAGGTATTATTGGACTATTATGTCCTTTACGTTTGTTCCACATCATATTAAACATCTGAGTCTGTGGGGCCCTGAGAATGGAAGTTTCTTCATATTTTTGTCAGGAAGGTTTCAGCAAGTCAGAGCCTGAACAGTTTAATGTTTAATTGCTTCATGCCTAATTATTATTATTTTTTTTTTCCGAAACTCAACTTATTGAATATAGTCCTTTGTATCCAAGGAGTTGGGTGTGGGGTCCCTTTTGTGTGTAATTCTTTCTTTGTATTTGTGGATTGTGATATCTCATAGTGGATGACTTTCTCCGCGTCTCATAAATTGATGCACCATGCCATCCTCCATTTAACTTAAAGATTTGTCAATTTTGTAGAACAATTGGGAAGTCTTCCTCTGAAATGAGAATGTATTCCCCTGCTCCCAAGAAACAATTTTTGGACACATTTTCAAAGTGGAAAGTGGAGCAAACTATCCATTTTGAAGGGCCTTCAAATGTCCGGGCAAGTTACATTGTTGGCCAGGAAGTATATGGTGATGTAATTTTGGCTTCAGTGGGGTACACATGGAGGTCTTCTGAACTTTGGCATGAAGCTGTTTCTCTGAGGTCATACTATAGGTATTGATGCAATTCGTCTTCATTTCATTCTGAAAATATTTCTCTTGTCCAGTGAGAATTCTATATCAGAGCATTTATAGTTTGATATCTTGAGAGTTTTCTTTTCAGTTAATTTGATACTTTTTAACCTCTCTGTGAAGGATGCTCATTAACATGATACCCAGTGGAATATACAAGATATCAAGAGAGGCACTACTCACTGCCAAGTTGCCTTCATCATTCACAACAAAAGGCAATTGGAGGGGTTCCCTCCCCAAAGACATACTTTGTGCGTTCTGCCGTTTACACCATTTGTCTGAACCTGTCTTTTCTACACAAAGTAAATTGCTGGTTTCATCACTAGATATACCTGGATCCTGTAAGAAATTGAAAGTTACTCAGTTAAGTAAGGAAGAAGAACAAGAATCGGGTCTTTCTACAGCTCAAGGGAATACAGAGGAATCTGTTGAAGTTTTTAATTGTGAAGTAAAGCTACACTCCAAAAAACAGGAACTAATCTTACAGTGTTCACCCCATGATTTGCATAGAAGACAGACAGATGCTATGAACAGTACCTCATTGAAGGTTCTATCTTGGCTGACCATAGTTTTTGAAGAACCGGACAAGTCCATGGATAAGTTGACCACAATGGCAGAAACATTTGAAATTTGCTTTCTTCATCAGTTCTTCTTTAACACATTGTGCAGTTCTATACGCAATGTCTGGGGCGTCAGGAGTAAAGCTTGCAGTGTTAATTCAGAGGGGGATGAGGTGTTCTTAATTGATCTTGGAGGTAAAAACACTGGAGGTACTCCATCCAATGGTTCTCTAGCATGCATAACTTACACAGTTTCATTGTTCCGAGAAGATGCATGTGTGAAAGAAAGTCTTGAAAGCTGTGAAGAGTTTGAGTTTGAGTTAGGCAATGAAGGTGTTTTGCCTCATCTTGAATCGGCTGTTGCCCAAATGGCTGTTGGTCAGTCTTCATATTTTCGAGTTGATTTGCCTCCTGATGATTTTATTTTGGCTGCGGCTGGAGATACTGCTGCAACATTATCGTTGTTATCTACAAGTAAGCTATTAGTTTGCATTTCATATATTACTAAGTTAATGATTTCAATGCCCTTTCTCCCTTTAATGGATACTCGGAACTTCATTTAAACTAATCAAACATAGTTTGATCAGATCAACATTTTTTTATCTTGCTGTATTCATATTCTTTCCATCAATTTTGCTTTCTTATGCAGGAAGGTGCAAATTGGAGTATTGTGTAACTCTGTTGCGGGTGACAGAACCATTAGAAGAGAGAATGGAGCAGGCTTTATTCAGCCCTCCTCTGTCGAAGCAGCGTGTTGAATTTGCAGTTAAGCAGATTAAAGAATCTTCTGCTCTCTCCTTGGTAATACCTTACTTTCTTTATAATGTTTTCATAGCTGAGATCTGGGAACTGAGACTAACATTAGCACATTACTTTCATCTGTAGGTTGATTTTGGTTGTGGTTCTGGAAGTTTATTGGACTCATTATTATCATATCCTACTTCTTTGGAGAAAGTAGTTGGTGTGGATATTTCACAGAAAAGTCTTGCAAGAGCAGCTAAGGTTAGCAGCTTTCAGCTATTGTGCTCAAGGATAGTGTGAATTAAGGATTAATAAATTTCAAGTGATTGATTGATTAACCATGATATGTCTATCTGTGTTGCCATGAATGATCATTTTTTATTTTTTATTTTTGTTATCAATTGCCTGACCATAACATTTGCACTTTTCTCTCAATTTGGGGACAAGAATTAGTCAACTTAGGTGAACATTGTGAATCCAGTGTGTGATCTTTTGAGGCAAACATGTGCTTGCTAGTTTAAGCTAATGACTTATGCCACCATGACATCAAAATTTTCGAAGGCATTGGTGGAACAAAATATCTGGCCTTCCCTTACTACTCGATAAGCTTAGCTTGTTAATTGATTGGTGATTTTTGTTTTGCACTATGTGTTGTAAATTGTATCCACATTAGAAATGAATGAAATAAGGGAATTTTCATTTGTGCTTATGCAGTCATTGCACTCCAAGTTGAACAAGTTATTGGATTCTAAGGATCCAAGTAACAAAATCAAATATGCAGTGCTGTATGATGGCTCCATCACAAAATTTGATTCTCGGTTGCGTGGATACGACATTGCAACTTGCTTGGAGGTAATCTCTTCTCCCACCATGAACTAACCAACTTGTCAGAAATGTTGTTCTCACTTTGTAGTTTACTCACTGTTCATATTAATGAATCGCGGAAGTTATGATGATACAGGTGATTGAACATATGGAAGAGAAGGACGCGTGCATATTTGGTGATGTTGCGCTGAGCCTTTTCTGTCCTAAGATCCTTATTGTCTCGACGCCAAACTATGAGTATAATGTAATCCTACAGAGATCATCAACCTGCCATGGGCAAGAAGATGGCGATACCCAGGAAGCAGCGCAAGCTGCTTGTAAGTTCCGAAACCATGACCACAAATTCGAGTGGAACAGGGCAGAATTCAATCAGTGGGCATCTGAGCTTGCAGCCAGGCATAACTATGGAGTGGAATTCAGTGGAGTCGGTGGCGCTGGCGACGTGGAACCTGGTTTTGCATCCCAAATCGCCATTTTTAGAAGAATGCACGAGGAGGATATCCCGAGCAACATAGAGTCAGTAGCCGAAGCCACAAACGAATCCTCGTCCCCGTTCTCAACCATCTGGGAGTGGAATAGGGAAGATCAAGAATGCAATGAAAAGCATCAATGAGGATGATGATATCTAGATCAAACTTATCTGACTCACAATCTGGGAATATGACAACATTTACATTGCTTGAGAAATTAATGGGAAAATGGTTTCAACTTTATTGATTTCTTGATGGTTTACGGAGACAGCAAAATCAAGAACAAAGTATGGATCGAAGAATATCTAAGAAGTGGAAACGCACTCGTTGTAAGTATTAACTACAGCTACTACTGGTCTGAGAGTGCTTTGGTTGTGGTTGTGGTTGTGTTTAGGAAATTGTGAAACCAGAGGGCAGAGTGTTTAGGATATCTGCTCAAATCAGCCTTGAAATCGACATAGTTGAGCCCAAACCTGACTGAGAAGCCAGCAGACCACTCGAAGTTATCCATCAAAGACCACACAAAATATCCCTTCACATTCCTGCAATGCAATAGTCAAATCAATTAAACAGATTGGTTTTGCTTTGATTTGGAGATAAAGACAGTTTTGGGATAAGACAGACTCAATGGCTTCAAGCAGACAACAAAGATGATCACGGATGTAGTCTTTCCTCATCTCATCTTTTATCGCTTCGGATACTTCCATGCTATCATCCGCAGCCTCGTCCAGCCCTGCAAATCAACCATTACAGACCGAAGAAGAAGAAGAAGAAGAAGAAAGAAACTGAAACAGAAACAAAAGGCATGGCTTTCTGAGCTATTTGATACCATTCTCTGTTATGTATATCACCGGGTTGTCGTACTCTTTCTTCATGTGCACGAGAAGCTGTCGAAGCCCCTTTGGATAAATGTAGATCCGGCTTGCATTCCTTCCTTGCCGCCCTATCGGCTTTCCATTTCTCCTTGATGCTGCACAGAATCAATCAGGTTTCTTGATTCTGAATACTTACAAACATAAAATGGTGCAACTAGTCCTACCAGTTATGTCAATCTCGGCATCCGTCGCGTAGCTAAAGCTAGAAGAGTTAGGTTTGTTATATGCATAAATGCCGCCGTAGTAGTTTAATCCGATAAAATCAAACGATCCTTTCACCATCTGCCTTTCCTTGGGTGTGAACACCGGCAATCGACCTCCTCTAACTCGGGACCTCATGCTTTCTGGATAGTCACCTCGTGTTAGAGGCTCCATAAACCTGCAGGAAAGGATATTTTTAAGTTGAAAGCATCATCCTTCTTCAGGTTGATTTGAAACAGGATGACGATACAGCCATAACTGACCATCCTAACATAAAATCCAAGGCTCGGTCTTTAGCTTTACGATTCTCCTCGGTCTCATCATACGGCTCAAACCAGTAAGACGATAGTGTTATTCCAATCTTTCCTTCTTGCCATGCCTGCACATAAGACACACACACACACACGACTAGCTCGTGATAACATCGAAACTCCAAGAGGGAAGGCAAGACCTGACCTGATACTTCTTTCTGTACAGATTTACAGCAGCCGAGTGCGCAAGAAGTTGGTTGTGTGACACAAAGTAGGGTTCCGTGGCAGAATCACCGCCAGTGCAATGGAGGCCCTGCCAGTCCGAACACCGGCCTGGAGCAAACATACCGTATGCATAACCATAGGCACTCAAGGTCCATGGTTCGTTGGTGGTGATCCAATACTTGACACGGTCTCCATATAGATCAAACAGGAGGTCCGCATAGCCCAAAAAGTCCGCCCTGGATTCCAACCAAGATCCGATCAGCTCAGATCCATCCATCTCTGGTACTGCAGGTTCGCGAATTTTGAATAGAAAACACAGGGTGAGGCAGCCGGCTTACACGATTTGAGAGCTGAGGAATCCGCCGTATGCATCTTGTAAAGCTTGTGGAACATCAAGATGGACAAGGGTCACGAAAGGCTCGATCCCTGTAATAATCACACCAAGTTAGGTGGTGGTGAAGTAGCTAGCCCCCTCCCTCCCTCATACAACTTTCATTCATTATTCACCAAGTTGAAAGTTATTAACAAACCATTTGCTAGGAGCTCGTTGATAAGACAGTTGTAATAATTGATCCCATCCTGGTTCACACCTTCATCTATCTTTCCACCTGAATGAAGGGATGGATGAGTCCAATCATATATCCATTCAAAAACTAGAGCCTCCTACACAAATACGATTAGGACAATGTAACAGAACTGAGCAGGATGTATTTGTACCAGGCAATATCCTTGGCCACGATATTGAAATTCTATATGCATTTAGACCCAAATCTCTTGCTATCTTCACATCTTCCTATCATATGTACATGAAATCAGTGAAAGGTATTCAGCAACAAAATCCAACAAACAATACATCGCTGGCTAGTCAGTCCACCAGTGAGTGATCATACCTTGTAGCGATGATATGAATCAACAGCTACATCTCCGTTGGAGTGGTCCAATATCTTATCTGAAATTAGCAACATATAAGGAAAAGAAAGACTCAAAGTACATGCTCAGTTAATCTGGGATTGGATATTGAAACCAACCGGGATGTTCGTGGGTGAAGTTATCCCACATGCTGGCACCTTTGCCATTCTCATCAAATGCACCTTCAAACTGGAAAAAAGTGGACAGAATTTAAGAAAACATTGGGTGGGAATTCGAATGCGCTTGCATGCATGCACTCATCCAAACTGAATACGAATTGAGTTTAAAGCACCTGATAAGCTGATGAAGCAGCTCCGAAAATGAATCCCGGTGGGAAATTTCCCCTGTTGATCAATGTACTACACACGCAATTGGATGCTGTTGTAGACTCAGTAGCAGAAACAACAGAAAGACAAAGTACAAGTGCAGAACAGGTTAAGTAATTTGAAGTAGCCATCATTGATGGATGTTAATTTTAATTAATTAGTGTTCTTGGATTTTGATCTCTAGCTTGTTTTCTCTCGTACATAAATATGCGTGAAACACAAGGCTATACTAAAGCATATTATTCTACTCATTTGACCGATATATGCTTAAGCAACAAAAGTCTGACATGATTGGAAAGTCGGTTGCACTTTGAATCAGATGCTAAAGTAGTGATTTTTCTTGCTTACCATCCTAATACAGGCAAATCATCAGAGTATATATATAGCAAGTATTTTAATAGTGATGGATGCTTAAAGAGCTGACTTTATATATTCAAAAATCTTTCTTGTGCAATGACAACCAGACAAATCTGGCACATATCTTCAACAGAAAGATTCATGAAATTAATGTCCACAAGGACAAAATATCAATCTATGTGTGTGTTCACAAGGACAAAAAATCAATCTATGTTGCCCAACATGGACTAAAGCTGTGCTATCACTTGAAGTCAGAACATTCAGTAAACAGTATGATATCAAGTTCAAATAACATTTTATAATTTCATGCAGGTTTTATAGCTATTTGTATGTAATGCATACCTACAGAGCTTTTGGGGTCAGTTTTACACATATTTATCCTGTCCAGAAGGTCAGTTGAGTGAGCAGCATTCATAGAAGAAGCCACAGCTTCTGCAAACAGAATATCACCCACCAGCATAAGAATGAGATGGATAGACAAAGCTGCCATTATTGATAAATATTGGACATTGAAAAAAGAATTCAAACTCAACTAGACACTCCTGCATTGATCTATCTCAACCAAACTATTTGGTGAAGGGTGAGGGGAGGCAGGGACCAGTGCTGGTATCCATCCAGAACTAGAGCTGTGTCACTTGGATTTCGATTCTTAGATTGTTGAGGCTCGACAGAGAGTGCTTAATTAGTAAGTTATTTTTTAGCCTACACACGATGTTTGAAGTGTTATGTTAAAGTATGTCCACATCAGATAATGTTATATTAGTGTCTTTTTATACCCAACTGCTCTCTGCACCCACAAATTAATCTCTCCTCACCCACTCCTAATTTTGAGGGTCAAAATAACAAAGTTTTGGAGGCCATGGAAATAAAATTGTGCATAGAGGCTTTGGATTTGTTTGACATTGTTGAGAATGATGTTGATCCCACCCCACTCCCACTTGCCTTAACCAAATCAAGAAATATGATCAAGAGAAGACAAGGGAATTAAAAGTTCCCATGTGTATGTATTTGGAAATTTCAGAAGGAACTTTTACAAGCATAATGGACTGTTAAACTTCTAATGATGTATGGGAGAAGATCAATAAAGATTTCGACGGCAATTAGCAAAATAAAATGATGCAACTCGTAAATCAAAAAGAGCATTTGAAATATAAAATGCTAAGAATGAAGACCTCCCAATGTGTCAAGAATTCTTTAAGTAAACTCCAGGCCATTGTAATGATTTACAGCTATCGAGAGAGGAGATGAACTTCCCAGCCAGCTACTTAAGCACTACTTCATGTTTCTCTTCCAAGAAGGTATGAAAAAAAGGTTTCCTACTTAAATACTAGAAGAATCTATCAAAAACAATTTGAAGCAGAATTCATGAGTTCTCTTTAAGTTGTGGACCAAAGGTGATCAATGGGAGAAGACAAAGGATATAGCCATAAAGAAAAAGATTGATGCCATAAAGGAAAGGCACAATGTTGCCCTTCGCTAGTATCTTCAACTCTTCAAGAAAATCCCACCTCCAGGCTGCCCTTCGAGGGCTGTCTGAAGGTGAGTCATCCCAATGACAGAATCCACAGGGTGCTGAGCCCTCTGGAATTTGGAAGTGAAGGCTACTGAATAAGAAATCAGTTACCCACTCATACAACGCACTGATTCTACACTGCATGTCCATATCTACGCATTAGATCGTTTCAAATGTAAATAACCTATCAAGCAAATGCAATAGAATTGAAGGAAGATGTGGTAATGTATGGTCATGCTTACCAGTGCCCTGGAAGAAGAACTCCAGCAATGGAAAACGCACAGAAGTGTAGATGATGAAGGGATAGAGACTCCATGTTTGTTTTAATCCATGTCCGCTGAACAAATTCCTGCCTTGCACTTGCGCCTCCTGCCCTGCCACAAGAAAAGACTGCAAAGAGAAAAGCACAATGAGCCCTGCCACAAGAAAAGACTGCAAAGAAAAAAGCTCAATGAGCCCTGCCACAAGAAAAGACTGCAAAGAAAAAAGCTCAATGAGCCGACATGTGCTGTATTCACATGTTAAATTTTCCCACAGTATAATGAGTAAGAATTCCTTTCTTGGATTCATAGATTTTGCACAACTTAGCTATCATTGACATTTCAGAGAACAACATAATACAATGGCAGAGAGAATCATGACAATCCCATACGTCCTTCATGCTCAAGATGGACATCAAAATGATACTAAGATAATCATCCACCATCAATGTCTTAATATCTAAACAACAAATGACAATCATGGTTCAAACAGAATTGGAAACCATATTGTTACATACATCCCAAATAGGCACTAGTCATACCCAATACACATCCATTTACGGCATTATCAATCTAGTTGATCTCACAACCCTTTTAGCACAAATCGCACAGAAAATAGTAGAATAGGCAAACCATGATAATTGGACAAGCCACATAGATAGAAACAGATATAGATAATACAAGTTTTCAGGCGCCAACTCCATCTTCTTCATCCTCATCCCTTTCGTCTTCATAATCGTCATCTGCAGTGGCATCCTGGTATTGCTGATACTCTGCTACAAGATCATTCATGTTGCTCTCAGCCTCGGTGAACTCCATTTCATCCATGCCTTCCCCAGTGTACCAATGCAAGAAAGCTTTGCGCCTGAACATTGCCGTGAACTGCTCACTGACTCGCCTAAACATCTCTTGAATTGAGGTTGAGTTTCCAATAAAAGTAGATGCCATTTTCAGCCCCTTTGGTGGGATGTCACAAACACTGGACTTCACGTTGTTTGGGATCCACTCAACAAAGTAGGACGAATTTTTATTCTGAACATTAATCATTTGTTCATCAACTTCTTTGGTGCTCATCTTGCCACGGAACATAGCTGATGCAGTCAGGTAGCGCCCATGGCGAGGGTCTGCAGCACACATCATGTTCTTGGCATCCCACATCTGCTGAGTCAGTTCCGGTACTGTAAGAGCCCGGTACTGCTGGGAGCCTCTGGAGGTTAAGGGTGCAAAGCCAACCATGAAGAAATGAAGTCGAGGAAATGGGATGAGATTCACAGCCAGTTTCCTGAGGTCGGAATTCAGCTGTCCGGGGAACCGAAGACAACATGTGACACCACTCATTGTGGCAGAGATCAGGTGGTTGAGATCACCGACTGAAACACAGACAATAAACACAAATCAATCAAGTAATTTCGCCGATCCACAAACAGCAAAATTAAGATGGGCTTACAGGTAGGAGTGGCTAGTTTCAGCGTGCGAAAGCAAATATCATAGAGGGCCTCATTATCCAAAACCATACACTCGTCTGCATTCTCAACCAGTTGATGAACGGACAAGGTTGCATTGTATGGCTCGACAACAGTGTCTGACACCTTCGGAGATGGAAAAACTGAAAATGTCAGCATCATGCGGTCTGGATATTCCTCCCTGATCTTGGAGATCAGAAGGGTGCCCATGCCGGATCCAGTGCCTCCACCCAAAGAATGACACACTTGGAACCCTATTTTGCCAAATATCCAAGTTAATTATCACAATCCCACTCCAGAAAAACCCTAATCCTAACATCACAGAGAACTGCAGCAATAATCTTGCATCCCTAATGGTTAGAGATTACAAGCAAGCAATTACGAAGAAGACGTCACTGCAGAACATTAATCGCACACAAATCATACATCGGGCCAGAGATTATGCAGATCTAGTTTCAAAATCGAGTGAAATATATCGCAGATTGGCCTAAACCCTAGTGAAGCAATCAGAGTATGGTAGATGACAGATCTATGGAGGTAACAAGAGAATATGAATAAGGGCGAAACTTACCTTGCAAACAGTCACAATTCTCGGCTTCCTTGCGAACAACATCGAGGACAGAATCGATCAGTTCTGCTCCCTCGGTGTAATGTCCTTTCGCCCAATTGTTACCCGCGCCAGACTGGCCGAACACAAAGTTATCGGGGCGGAAGATCTGGCCGTAGGGGCCGGATCTGACGGAATCCATGGTTCCGGGCTCGAGGTCCATGAGAACGGCCCGGGGGACGTACCTGCCGCCGCTGGCTTCATTGTAGTAGACGTTGATGCGCTCTAGCTGGAGTTCGGAGTCGCCGCTGTACTTTCCGGTGTGGTCGATGCCGTGCTCGTCGCAGATGACTTCCCAGAACTTGGCGCCGATCTGGTTGCCGCATTGGCCGCCTTGGATGTGCAGGATCTCTCTCATACTCACTCTCCTTTGTTCCTTCAATTACTGTTCAAAAGATAATTGTTCTTTAGCGTGTGTGGGGATGGGAATTGGGATATTATCTATCTTTGATCTGTCTATCTAATATTTTGCAGAGTTTTCGTCACTGAGAGAGAATGGATTGGATTGGATGATGACGACGACACTGACATTGACAGTGACATTGGCGTTGAGTGGGGACCTTGAAAATTGTGGGGCTGCCCAGCCCAGGGCCAGGAGGAGTGTTTGTCTGTAATAATATCCATTGATTATTCCTCGATCTTCTTCTTCTTCTTCATTAATTAATTTCCTGAAGTAATGCAGTTACTCACAGGTGTTAGGCTGCCCATGTTTGTCGCCTGCAAGTTTTGCCATTGAAAGGGATATATATACATGTTTGTCCCTGTTCTAACATCGATCATCATAATAAGTATCCCAGAAAAACAATAAAACTATATAAATAAATAAATACAAGTTGAAATTAGCAGCGAGCGAGCGAGGCTCTCCGATCCTATCCTCCAGGTGATCCCATCTCAGCACCATTGTCCTGTACGTTCTCTTTCACCTCCTTCCTTCCTTCCATTTCTGATATATAAAATTTCTTTCAAATCATTTGATCCTTGTTGTTGCAGGCGCAGGCGCCAAGATGGTCAAACAGGCATTCGCCGTGGATCTCAACAAACCACTCGTCTGGCAGGTCACACCATTGATTAATTGGTTTCTATTCATTCTATCATATCCATTATCAATCTGTCATGCTTTTAAAATCTCTAATTTGTAGTATATATATTGCAGGTGGGCCATCTTGGTGAAGCTTATGATGAATGGGTTCACCAACCTATCGTCACCAAAGAATCCCCACGCTTCTTCCACAATGGTGCTCTTGAGGCATGTATCCTCAAATTTAAATTCAAATTCAAATTGGTTGATCAGATGATCAATAATGTCTCGGGTTGATTGATTGATTGATTGCAGTTTCTGACTCGCACCCCTTGGTGGATGATTCCTCTGGTGTGGCTGCCCGTTGCTTGGTGGTTCGTTTCATCTTCTTTGAACTACACAGATATTATTTCTCCCTACCACGTCGCAGCAGCCACCGCCGCCGGTGTTCTTGGCTGGACATTGCTCGAGTACTCTCTCCACAGATTCGTCTTCCACATGAGGACCAATGGCTACTGGTATATCTATATCTATATCTATATCTGTAAAAGTGTTTGTTGGTGAATATATATATATATATATTCTGCAGGGGGAACACGGTGCATTACCTCTTCCATGGGTGCCACCACAAGCACCCAATGGACAACCTCCGCCTGGTTTTCCCTCCGGCCGCCGCCACACTGGTGCTTGTGCCTGTATGTATCTATATATCGTCTAACAAACATTACAGATGAACATCTTTGATTAATTTAATTTCGATTAATTACTTGGATTGATCATCGATGTGGCAGGTGTGGAATCTGATGAAGCTGATTTTGCCTGATTGCTATGCCCCTGCCTTCACCGGCGGCATCTTGGTGGGGTATGTCATGTACGACTGCACTCATTACTATCTCCACCATGGCAAGCCCATTCAGGGCCTAACTCACGACCTCAAGGTAATAACACTAATAAATAAATTGATGATATATGATGAAGATTGATGATAGTCTAAGCTATAATTTGCAGAGATACCACATGAACCACCACTTCAAGCTTCAGGACATGGGATTTGGAATCACTTCAACTTTCTGGGACAGGGTGTTCGGGACACTTCCTCCCACCAAGCCTGCCAAGAAATCTAACTGATTGATGATTGATTATATATTAATTGATTAATTAGGGATCGGAGGCCACAGCTTCTTTGATGCACGGAAGACAGTTTTGTCAACATTCACTGATGAGATATGTCGTCGTCGTCGCTGTAGGTTTTGCTGTTGTTTTTATCAATATGACTGACACAAAGATCAACACACAAGGAATTATTGGTATAGTTTTCTTAATACAAGATGGATATATATATATATTCATGATTCATTGCATTCTTCAATTTGTTATTGATGGATATATATACTTGATGAGATGAAATCAGGTACAACTAACTAGTTCAGTTTATTTACATTTCAAGCTATGCAAAAAAAGGAAATGTAAGCAAGATAATTCTCATCACAGAAAATTAAAGGTGTTCTACACATTGAACTGAGAATGACAGTAAATATGCATACAAACAGCACTAACACATTTTATTAAAATAATTCTACAAATTAACACGACATTGCTAATATGAGGATTATTATACATCATCAATATTTTTTACATATATTATTCAGAAAGGTGCACATGCTTGATTATAGTAATGCATAATAATATATATATATATATATATATCAGGATCTTACAGGGATGCTCTGCTCGTGCCTGAAGAAATTATCAGGATCCACCATCGTCTTCACCTCAACAAGCCTGTCAAAGTTGTTCATAAAATATCTCCTTCCCCACAACCTCGCCTGCTCCAAATTCGACCCATTATTATTATTATTATTATTATAATTATTATTCCCATTCATCCCTAAATCAAGATCTCTGTAATTCACGTAAGCTTCTCTAGGGTTTACAGAAGCATAAGCACCCATGAAATCGTACACCCTCTTCATCCACCCCACGTGCCTCGCCGCCGACTCCGCTCCGCCGTCGTTCCAAATCGTCACGTACTGTATTTTGTATATCACCCCTTTCCGGTGGGGGAATGGACTCTCCGATTCCGATATTCTGCCCATCATCCCGCCGTACGGATTCCATATCATCATCGGAGAATCCTCCTCCATCATCATCTTCCACAGACCTTCAAGCCCCTTCAATGGAATCGCCCTTCTCACGAAATCTGATTTCGCCTTGAAGTAGTTTCTGAACAAAGACTTCCCCTCCAGCAGCGCCGCCGGCGGAGTATTCGACGGGTAGCCGGCGATGTACAGAACTGATTCGATCCAGCTCATCTCGATGCAGTCGTGACGAGTTAACCCTAATTCAGGGAAGCTCGTTTCCATTAATTCCAGCAGACTGTCGGCTCCGCCGAGGAAGACGGCGTTGTATGAAGTCTGGATAGTTTTCCGGCGACGGAGTTCTGCAACTTTTATAATTACCCTAATGAAGATGTCGTCGGCAAGTTTATCGGCGATCTGTTGCCATTTCTGGAGAATTCTCGTCGCGCCTTGCTCGAGAGTTCTTGCGACGGTGAAGACGGTGACGGTCGCCGGGACGGGGACGAGCTTAACTTTCCAGGCGAGGATAATTCCGAAGCTGGCGCCGCCGCCGCCTCTGATGGCCCAGAAGAGATCCTCTCCCATGGATTTTCTGTCGAGGATTCTGCCGGCGGCGTCGACGATCCAGGCGTCGATTACGTTGTCGACGGCGAGGCCGTACTTCCTCATCAAGGTGCCGTACGCTCCTCCGGTGATGTGGCCGCCGATTCCTAAGCTGGAGCAGAGGCCGGCGGGAAAGCCTAGGGTTTTACTTTGCTGGGAGATTCTGTAATAAAGCTCGCCGACGGTGGCGCCGGCGTGAACCCAGGCGGTGTTGCGGCGGAGATCGACGGTGATGGATCGGAGTTTGGAGAGGTCGAGGAGCATGAAGGGATGTTGGAGGTGGGAGACGTAGGAAAGGCCTTCGTAGTCGTGGCCGCCGCTGCGGAGGCGGAGGTGGATTTGGAGGCGGCGGGCGCAGGCTACGGCGGCGGCGGCGTGGGTTTTGGTGGAGGGGGTGAAAATGAGGATGGGTTTGGGGAGGGAGGGGAGGAGGAACCTGAGGTTTTGAGCGGTGGATTGGAGGGTGGAGGCGAAGGAGGTGGCGTTAATGGCGGGAGCGGAGAAGAGATCGCCATTGGAGGTGGTGTTGAAATCGGCCGGCGATTTCAGATTGATGCAGCGGCGGAATCTTTCATGGAGTGGCTGTGGCTGTGCAGAAGCAGCAATTAGAAGAAGAAGAAGAAATGTGGGGTTTAGAGGGGGAGCAAAATGGCTACCCATGGTAGGCTGGCTGGTTATATATACATATATATATATATATAGAGAGAGAGAGAGAGAGAGAGAGAGAGAGGAGGATTAGCAATAGAAGCTGTGTAGACATATATATATAGAGGGAGAGAGAGAGAGGTTGGGAGGTTGTGTCTTTACTGTTTAAGTGAAGTAGTCTGTTTTTGTCTTCAATAGAAATACAAATATAAGTATAGACAATATACGAAATATGATCATATATTAATATGGCACAATTTTAAAATATACTAATTGTAAGTAGGGTAGGGTAGGGTAGGGTTGGGGTAGGTACCTCGGAATGAGGTAATTAGAGAAAGGATAGGAGGAGCTGGTGGTTGGTATAATTTGAGAGCTTTTATTACATTACATTTTACATAATTAGATATTAACGCAAATTGCGCAGCTAACAAGTGCAAATGCAATTCGACTGAGATTCGCACTAACTAACTTAATAACTAAAAAATCAACTAATAGTTTGTTTCTTTAATCCTAAATCTTAAATTTTTATTATTTGAATTTTATGTTTCTAAAAAATCAATTAATATTTTTTTTTCTTCTAAAATATTCTATGCTTATATTATTTTAATATCAAATTTAAATAAAAAAATTTCAAACTACACGTACCCTACGATGAATAGATGAGACGAGATGGGATGATGATCATTATACATACATATATATATAAGTCTTGTCAAGATGAACCAACCTAAAGGAGCTTTTAGGAGATTGATTGACTGATTGATTACTTACTTCACTCACGACCATAATCAGGAACATCTGATATGATATGATATGATCTGTGTGCCTTTACAGGTCAAAATTATACAACCATAATCATCATCCTTGACTCAATGATTAAAATGGCAATCAATATATAGTAATTTTCGATGATAATCCAAAAATAAAATAAATATAGATTTAAATGATGAAAAGAGTATAAAATTTGGTTTACCGACTATAGTATACACAAAGTAAAACCATAACTGAGAAGCAATTAAGTAATATAGAGATGCGATCATCATGTGGCTTGATCAATTGTGGTCCTAGCCTAGCTATATATATACTTTCACAATTACTTAATATTGGTTGGTTAAGCATGGATAGTGTTAATTATTTTAGCATAATTGAATTTATTCGAAATCGAAAGACATTAACCCTAAGCAAGTACCGAGATGGAAACGCATGAATTGAGCATAAGGTGATGCTACTTCACCGTTGTAACCTACAATAATTTATAATAGAAAATATACAAATTATGGTTCATGTTTTGGTTTATTTTAAAGGTGTTTTTTTTTTGTTTTTTTTTTTTTTTTTTGTGTGTGTGTGTGACAAAATTTTTGATACCATGACAAAACATAAAGTATAATTATTGTATTTGAAAAGAATCTACAATATAATTCAAAAAACTATTCAATCATTTTTTTTCCGTTGCCCTACAAAACATTTTACTTTCCCCAATAGCTATTGGCAAGATATATATAATTAGGCAAGTTTTGTCACCAATATATGATTAATTTCAAAGAGTACAAGAAGCACATGATATATATATATATATATATTAGGATTTCAATAATGAGCACATATATATATATATATATATATATATACTATGATCATAAGAACAAATTAATTAAGATCAAGGTTGTAGCTTGATGATGATGATGATGACGATCATTATTGGTATCACCTCACTGAGGTTGTGTATAATTTGTTAGAGGAATTATAATTATTTAATTTCTATTAATGATTCGATTACTTGCAAATATGCAAGTATTTAGTATTTGGAACCAAACAAATATGTGAAATTGTAAATCATATTTGGATTGAAAATTTTGACAAACTGAAATTATAAATAATTTGAATCGAATCAAATCTAAAAACAAATACATTAAAAATTAACTGAAATTCCAATTAACTAAAAAATATTTGCAAATATTGCAAACCAAATCGAATCTAAAAATAGGTACATTAAAAATTATCTTAACTTCCAATTTAAGTAAAAAATATTTACAAATATTGCAAATCAAACTGAATATAATATAATTATTAATATTAATTTTAAAATAATATAATAATAATAATAATAATATATACTCGATTTGGCTCGGTTCAATTAACCGAAAAAATATCAAAAAAATAAAAGGAACTGCACCGAACAAGTATTAATATACAATAGTTGTATAGGATCTGAATTTGTTGAGTAAATTAAAACTTAATTTCGATTCGGTTCGGTTCGGTTCAGTTGCTAGGTGGTTCAATTCTGCACACTCCTAATTCCTATAGAATAAAGGTAATTTAATTAAGACCCTTGCCTTGCAAGAACTCATCACTAATTCATGCATCTCCATTTCTTGCTAGGGTTGTCTGTATCATGTCATATTAATCTTTTATTGTGCATAATGGATAATACTCAACTCAACATATGTAATGTATATGGTTATTGAATTGGATAGAGCATGCATACCAAAATTAAAATGCATGACCTAATTATAAATGTTCTCAGGCGGCAGCCATGGATGCTCAGACTAGAGGTCCGACGGACGCAGAAGAGGAATGCTCTGCTCGTACCTGAACACGTTCTCGGGATCCACCTTCGCTTTGATTCGCACCAGCCGCTCGAAATTTCCCCTGAAGTATTTCAATCCGAACACCTTCCCCTTCTCGTAGCTGTACCCGCCGTCGTTGACGCCGATATCCAAATCACGGTAGTTCAGGTACGCCTCCCTAGGGTTCTTCGCCACGAACGGCTCCATCAGATCGTAAACTTCCCTCACCAGTTCAATGTTCTTCTCCGTATCCTTCGCCTGATCCTCCCCCCAATTCGACGCGTATTGGATTTTGAAAATGTTTCCCGCCCTGTGGGGGAATGCCGTCGCGTTCTCCGGAATCCTGTTCATTGCGCCGCCGTAGCTGTTGAACGCAAGCCCTACTTTCCCGAGCTCCGCCACTTTCGCGAACAGCTTCTCCATCGCCGATTTGGGGATTGGAGTCTTCACGTAATCAGATTTACGTTTCAGGTAATCTACGGATTTGGGGATTCTGTTGAGCAAAACCCTAGGGGAAGTTTTGTTGTCAAATCCCGCCCAATTGAGGATCGAATCGATCCACCGCATCTCCAGGCAATCCGATTTTTTCAGCCCTAGCTCCGGGAATTGGGAACCGGCGACGGAGAGAAGCCTGGTGGCATTGCCGAGGAACATTCCGGTGAACTTCGCGACGGCGCTTGGTTTGGTGTTGTTTGTTTTAATCGGCTGTACGTAAACCCTAATGTAGAGATCGTCGTCGATTTTGTTGTTGAGCTCTTGATATTTAAGGAACGTATCTATGGCGGCGTTGTTTTCCGATCCTTTCTGGACTTGGAAAACGGTGACGGACGGCGGCACCAGGACGAGATTTATTCTGAACGCCAGAACGACGGCGAAACTGGCGGCGCCGCCGCCACGGATGGCCCAGAAGAGATCCTCCCCCATGGTTTTCCGGTCCAAAATCCGGCCGCCGGCGTCGACAATTCTGGCGTCGATCACGTGATCGACGCTGACGCCGTATTTCCTCATCAGATTACCGTAGCCGGCGCCGCTGATGTGGCCGCCGATGCCGAGGGTCGGACAGACGCCGGCCGGAAATGCAAGCTCGTTGCTTTTCTCCCAAATTCTGTAATAGAGCTCGCCGAGGAAGGCGCCGGCGCCGACCCAGGCGGTCCGGTCCTGCAGGCTGATGTTGATTGACCGGAAATTGGCCATGTCCAGGACGACGAAGTTGGGCTGATCGGAGACGTAAGAAACGCCCTCGTAGTCATGGCCGCCGCTGCGGATTTTGAGCTGGACGTTGCCGTGTTCCTTGGCGCACAGCACGGCGGCGCTGACGTGGGACTCCGCCGTGGGGACGATGATGGCAGCGGGTTTCTTAGTGGTGGAGAGATTGAATCGGAGATTTCGGATGTTGGACTGAAGGATCTTTGAGAAGGAATCGGCAGTTTCGTTGATGCCGTAGAGGATACCGGAGATTTCGGCCGGCGGGATTTTTTTCCGGGCAAAGCAGTCGGAGAAGCTCTTGTACAGAGAGGGGGAGGGAAATGCAGAAGCGAAGGAGAAGATGAAGATGAGGAAGAAGATCCGCCATGGGAGAAAGGTTAGAGGACCTCTATAATCCTTTTCCATTGTTGATTAATTAATTAATTATATAATTATTTTATGTATATATATATATATATAACGTTTGAAATGAATAGAATTGATAATAAGATTGATTGTATTTTAATTATGTACATTATCTCTTGTAATTATTACGTCAATCTTATTATCCACTTCTACATTCAACTTATATTTTTAAATCAATATCTGCAATTATTATCTTTTTCATTCTATGGAATTTATTGATTTTTTTATTATATATTTTTATTTTTTGATAATATATAAATCGTATTATTAAGATGATATAATATTTATATATATTGGAAATTGTATAGGATTAAAAAACGAACAAATAAATCCTATATATATTGAATAGAAATAACAAAGTAAAAATACAATGATAAAAAGAATAAGAAATGTAATTATTATATAAAGAATGGTTTATGCAGATTTAAGAATTGCATTGCATTGCATGCATGTCAAACAAAAAGAATATCTTTTATTATTATATAATTATTGCGGATCCATAATTTTTACCTACTTAATTATTGCATGTGTAATAACCACATTTGAGATTTCGCTTTTTTGGTAAAGATTAATTATTTGCTTATCTATGACTATAATTGGGCATGTTACTTAATAAATATTATACACTCTCTATATATTAATAACTCTAGTGCTTATTCCTTGTGCATGCTTACTATTATAAAGTCTTTATATGTTTACACATGGTAATTGGTATTGGTGGGATTAGGGATGAGATTAGATGCAATTAAGTTGTTACTATATTTTTATTTTTTATTTTATTAAAATGACAAACTAAATAAATTGATTTTGAATAAATAGAAGTATACAATATTAGTTGAATATACATAAAAATGGAGTGCTATTTCCATCATTTTATTATATTCTAGATATTATACAGTAAGCAAATATATATATATCTAAATACGTAGTTATAGTCATAAATAATAATAATAAATAAATAAATACATAGTTATAATATTATTATTTCAGGGTGATTCAAACATCTAAATACTTTTTAACAAATATTCCTAAACTTGATATGGATGAATTATTCCATGTTGGTAGTAATGATGCTATCACTAGTGCTATATATTGCTAGCACTTGATTTCTCATAAAAACAGAATTTACTACACATGCAATTATCGATCACTATCAACAGTATAACTCGATGGAATACGTATATATATATATATATATATATTCAAAGATATCATCATCTTCTTGGCTTCAACTTCCATGTACATTATATTCCACCAATTATTTATGCTTGACTTCACCTAACAGATATATATCTACTCTATCATGCATGGATCCATCACCATTTTAATTACCACAAGATTAAAAACAACAACAACAACAACAAAGTCATTATTATCCCATCATTCCTGAAAAGAAAGACAACTTCAATGGAAGTATGTAAACTTATCATCCTAGCTACCACATGAAATTCTCCTTAGTTAAAACAGACAAAGACGAAACAAAATAATCCGCGCTGCCACAGCAGGTTTCCGAAAATATATATGTATGTATGATGTAAATAACTACTTACTTTGAGCATGTGGCTTTCCTCTCCTCGGCCTCTTCTGTGAGGGTTTCGATAGCCACTCTCCATGCGGTGCTTGTTGATCCCTGCCTCATTATTTTCTGCAACGTGCCCATCTCTTCACCATCAGCCTTTTTCATTAACCTCCTCATTACGCGCCTTACCTCTTCCTCCTCTTCTCTGCCTATTAAACAGGAGGAGGATTCACCCTTCCCCAACCCGGCTTTCGCCTCCTCTTGTTCTGGTTCTGCTTCTTTTCCCACTCCTTGCACACCACCATTCCCCATTTCCAGGCCTTCACCACCCCTTGTTCCCAAACTGTACTTATTTCCAGCTGCAGAAGTCAATTCCTTGTGGAGGAACTTGTTGTTCCAGTATTCTGTGCAGTGGTGTTGCGGGTCCAGAGCTTCGATTGCCTGATATATAAATATATGTATATGTTATACGAGGATTCAAATCAATCCCTTCACAAGGAGCTAGCTAATCAAGCTATAGCATCAAGCACTCTCCAAAGACTTGGACAATTGGTCGAGTCAAAACTCAAAACTACTGTATTTCAGCTGACACCAGACAAATGACCAAGATTAGGAACATGGATGTATGGATTTGTCTGTTTTATATATAATAAACCACATCAACATGACGAAATTCGGGAGAAATAAGAGCATGCATCCACTATATCAAGAATTTATCTTGATCAGAGATCCTTACATAGATATTAGTTTTCAAGGACAAAAATATGACGTTTACCTCGAGAATGGCTGGAGAGAGAAATCCAAACATTTCAAGCCCATTGATACTAGTCTGCAGAGGGGGTAACTCTTGATTCCCTGAGCGCCCCAGCAATGCTATTTCATGATTAAGTCTGTGCAGCACCATCTCCCAGCACTTCTCAGCTGAGGCACTCACAAAGGTCTCATGTGGAGGCTCCTCTAAACTAACCTGATATTAGCTTTTCAGGTCAGAACAAGCTTTCGGAGTGTAATGGTAAAAAGATTAAAGAGAGAACTAACAAATAATTAATAAAGAGTTTACATTGGAGCTCCTATCACATAGAGAATTATAATAATCATGCACTTCGTTCTTGCTACAATGAGATGAAGCAAATACATGATCAAGTGCCCACGAAGGCAAAACCGCTGCTAAGACCCTTATCAGATGAACCACAATAAAGGTGTACATGAATGGACTGTCAATTAAGAATGTGGCCAAGCCATGCAATTACCTTGAATATGTAACCTAGGGGCCCGGCATCAATGATTTCTGATGTATAACTACTCTTCACAAGCGGATTGCAACAGTTAAAGAACTTCACTTGGCTTTTATATCCTGTGAAAGTTAGTCAAAATGGAAAATTTGATAAAAACCCAGAGGAGGGCAGTTATATTCATTGGAGAATTCTCAGTTTTCTATGAGTGATTTTATCCATACCTCTTGGGAATATGGCATCCTTGCGGCACATTAGTTTTCCTGCTACAGAATCAACAGACCCAAGATTTATGGGCTCAACTACAACATCCAGCCTCTGTTCAGCATGTGGATTACTACCTGCCAGATTCTCCACATTTTCATTTTCCGAAGGTGCTTTCAGTGGAAAGCCTGAAGGTGAGCTAGGAGGAAATTCAACCCCGAACGACTTACTAGAATCAACCAAATCAATCAAACGTGGGGAGGGACTATGATCTGATGCAACTCCGGACATGCTTGAGCCACAGTCACTCCCTATTTGTTTTGCATCTGTTTTTGGTTTAGCACTTTTTTCACTTGGGTCGTCAATTCCGTATCTATCACCTTTTTCCAGCATATCAAAACCATATGATACACATGCTTCTAGAGCATCCTTGCAATCTTCTAATGCCTTGATCCATGTGTTCAATTCATCTATTGTGTAACGCACAAGAACAAATCTGTTCTCTACATCACAGCGACAGAGGCGATTGGCATGTTTAAGACATGCAAATTTACCCTCAGAACAGCAGCAACAAGCAGCAGAGAGGTGTAGATCATAAAAGCAATAAAAGCACTCCCTCTCCATTTTCGGATCAAAATCATTATCCATCTTCTGAAAACGCATGAGTAGCGGAAGATTGTCATATCTTTTCTCCTCTAAGCCAACCCTAGCCTGAAATTCAAAGAAAAAAGAAACAATGATCTATGTTATGGGCCTTAATCTTAGTCTTAGATTTAGATGCAAGAAAATACAAATATTCTTGACCATTCACTTATATAACAATGAGCATAATATGAAAATGTGACTGCAGATGCATCAAGACATTAATATAGATGTCTGTTAATTATTTTTTATTTGTATCTCTGTTTCTGGAAATTGTCTACTTTGATTTTATTGGTCGACAAAGCCAAGATTTCACTGAAATATATATATATGTGACTGTACCTTAACTATGTTGGTGAGCATCCCATCCTTTCCACAGACATTTTTCCATCTCAGATTTTCTGAATTTTCTTTCTTTAGAGCAGAGATTTCCCATAGTGACAGAACAGCCTTCCCTACTGCAGCCAAGAGCAACTTATCATGAGATAAGGATGTCTTACGACGCTGTGTACTGTAGAGCTCAACTGCACCTAGTCCATTTTGTAGCCAATCAACAGGGGCCACATTAACAGCCTCAGCACAATTGAAGCCGCAATTAAATCCAGAGTGATAGCCTCTTGGAGAAGTAAGAACAAACTCCCCAGAATTCTGAACAACTCGATACACTGGCACACCTTCTGACTTGAGAACTGTAGGTGACAGCTGAGTGACCTGTCAGCAGTGATGATTGTAAGAGGCAGCACAGTACAGAGGTAATTAATGAGCAATGTTGAAATTACTCTTCAAGAAGAATGGATTACTAGTAGCATAATCCTAACTCCGAGGGCTAAGTTTGGATATATGCTAAACTTTTTAGCACAGTTGCAAAACAATTGCATTTATAAGTACCCTATGAAGTGAAATTAATCATGCATTAGTCATTACTATAATGGAAAAGGTTTGGAAGGGTGTCATCACTTTGGGAAATGAGATATTTGATATGCAAGATCAAAAACAAAACTATAGGGTGTAACTATCTGTCAAAAATTGCATCAACCATGCGATGCCCCAAATCAGGTTTTATTGCATGTATGTGAGTGAGTGACGGATAGTAGAGGAAACCATTGAAGCTGACACAGCCGCTTGCATGAAGTTGACAAAAAACTCAACGCATTTTTTGTATACTATAAATGATAAACAGGATTTTTTTATGGACAAACAAATTAATACATCAGGCATCACTAAACAAATAACTTACCAATTCATTTAATAAATCAGGTTGTTCTTCAAACAGATCTGGCAAGTGTTTCCTCATTGTGCTCTCAAATTCAGATGCACGACGACCTGGGACACCATACCAAACTTTTGGCTCCCCCCAATGCATATAGTTCATTGAGTATAAATGATGGTCTTCAACATGCTACATAAACATGAGAAATAGATTTAACAGCATGCATCAGATTCAGGAACCTAAGAAGTTAATAATTAAGCAATGATAGAATAAGATGAAAATCAGCGTAAGCAGTTGACTAAAGATAAGTATCAATGACATGAAAAATTACACAATATAAGAGAAAACAATTGTAATTGGAAGCAAAGAGTTTCAAGAAAACTTGAAGTATGCACAGTTTCAAGACTCTAATGATTCAAATCTTGGGTAGCTAAGCAATTCATAGGAAGTATAAGGAATAAGCTTAAGTAATTGAGGTCTTCTGTCTTCCGTCAGAGTGACCTACAATGACAAATCTGTACTGGAAGTCTGGAACTGAGATCTGAATATGCCTCCAGATAATTTTCATATGTGAACAGACTAAGCTTACCCAACAAAAGGATGAGAAGCACATCCCTATATAAAGCCATGGTACAACTACGCCAGAGATGTCAACTTCTTCAAATCTCAAAACAGAACCAGGGAGACGGGAGAGGTTATTTAGATTCCATCCAGATTTCAAGTATTGATTGATCTCTGAATCAGTAGGTGATGACGATTCTTTAGGAAATCCACTACCCCAGGTTCCAGTTTCCAGATCAGCTCCATAGTATACCTGTATCACCATAAATGAAGGGTTCAATAAATTATACACAAGAAAAATAACATACTTGAAAAATGGTCAGGTTCTCAGGTAACACCTCAACTTCATCAGTTGGTTGCTCAACTATTCTCCAATACTCTCCTTCAATGTCATCCACTGAGGGCAAACACCACTTATCTTGCCTTGTCTCAGTACAATGGTCTTGAGGCCCTTCCAATCTGAAGTAGGAGTTTTTAAATTCATCAGCAAATTGCTTAAAAGTCTCAAGTGTAAAGTTTGGTCCTGACTTAAAACCAAACTTCTCTTCACTATCAGATGCATTATTTGATTGTGAATGTTCAGGATGAGCACGTCTCCTTGATTTTGAATTGAAATGTCTCCGACGTTTTCTTTTACGTTGCTTTTTCCTTAGTGGCTCCCTATTTTGAAGGAGATCAACATACTGAATCCTTGTAGAAAATTCAGTTTGTTCCCATACTTTCTTATCTTTTAGGGGACAAGGTGGAGCCCAAGATGGAGGAGGAACAATTTTACAGATACCATATGCCTCAACTATGCTCCGTATGCTATTGATATAAGCAAGGGTGTCTTCAAACTCCTAAAGGAAGAAAGCCACATTAGACTATAAGTGTTACAACTACAAGGGCAGAAAAATATTTTCTTTGGGGATGCGCACCTCAGATGTTGGATAGAAGACTGGAGCCTCGCCAACAAAGGGCCTGCATGCTTCAGAAGGAAGCCATCTTGGTGGTGCCTAACCAATTCACATTCAACCAAAAAGACATGTAAAAAGGATAAGCGGCAGAGACCATAAAAAGCAAATTTATACATGTCAAAAAGAGGGGAAATGTAAAAAGCTACCAAGTAAGAAACTAAATCAATTGAAAAGGCGGGATATTACATGCAAAGTACTAGTCCGCCAAGAAATATCACTGCAGTTGTGAGGTTTTGGTATTTCAACTCGAGAAGGTATTGTGCAAATAGAAAAACTATCTTGAACCTTTTGAATCTGTATACAGCCTAACACTTTTGTTTGTCATTCTTGAGTGACAAAAATTATTGTGTTAGATGATGTAAATGACCGTCTCACCTAAAAGTTTAAACTTGTAGGGATACGCATCATTTATTTATTTACGGGAGTCAACCAATACTTTGATTGCACAGCCAAGAAACTTAGCCACAAGATATAATTGAAGAAAGATCAACACACTGAAACCTTTTGTAACTGTTGTGCTTTGTGTTATTCAAAATAGGAATGACTGTTCTTAAAGGAAATATCAAGATTTCAAATGCATAAATTTTGAAGCAATTTGTTAACCTAGTTATTTGGTAAGAAAATATTACTATTTTCCATTAAAAAAAAATTTTCAGTCATCTAGATTGGAATTTGTGAGGAAATGTCATGTGGTATTGCTTAGTCAACAAATAATTACCATACCACAAATGAGCAACAATACTATATATGTTTTGATATTTGAGTCAGTATTGGTAATTTACCTGCTAACACAATTTCAAGCCATAGTAGTCCATTTGCAAGTTCATAACATAGCTTAAAGATACATAGACAACCATACCATTCCATGAGCCTTAGGGAATATAAGAATGGTATGCCTGCTAAAAAACTTCCAATCCTAAGACTAAATTCAATTGTAAGTTCAGAACATAGTTTAAGCAAATGCATAGAGAAGCATGCTAATCCATGAACCTTAGAAGGAGAAGATTAGAATGTAAACGTTAAAAGTAGAAGATGGTGTTTTCATCAATGCATGTCGAAAGTTGGAGCAAGTAAACTATGTCTCACTCAAGGTGCATGATATAAGGAACTGAACCCACTTAGTTACAGTGACACAATCACAATTGCAGACAATATGGCCAAATTAATGCATTAGAGAAAATTATGTGCTAAAGATGCGAACCTTCATTTTTAGGACGATGAGACTTGAAATGCGCAGATTGGTTTTATTGCACCAATGGATAGCAGATTGGTTTTATTGCACCAATGGATAGTTCGATCTTTGTTGTTGGAAGAATTCAATTGCAGCACATCTTGTCAGAAGCTACCAAACAGCATTACTCTCAATGAGAAACTAAAGCCTGAAGAAATAAAGGTTATAGATAAATTCTCTATTATGTACAACAAAAACTACTCGAAACAAAGTACGGCACTGACACAAGTTGGTGAAAGGAATGTCAAAAGCCACAAAACTGACATAAAATAAAAATTCACATGTTAAAAGGGCTTAGGTCTTCCAAGAGAATGGAAGTAGGCACTAAACATCCAAGCAAAATAACTACATGTCTATGTAAGCAAAAAAGGACGATGGTTGATGGTGAGAGTGTCTTTTTTGCTAATGTTTTCTGATACAATGAATTAACAACAAAGCACCTACAATCAAGCTTCTTCAAAAGTCCAAAATTGTAGTATATAATAAACTAATCTACTTCTTCAAGAAACTTGTCAGGTTTACACTAAAAAGCACAATGTTTTCTATACAGTCTAGAGTAGTTGATTCCATATAATGCAATTAAATATTGGAGAAAAATAATGAAATAGTAGTAATCAAATTGTCTGAGGCCTAATCAAACACATGGTGACGGGCATGAACATCAGATTCTACAGGATCAGTTTCCTTCACAATGAAATCTTGAAAATTAAACCCCTAGAGATATATTTAACCTCGATCTTGCAACATGTTTTGTAAGTGAAATTCTAGTATGAAGCGGATCGAGAGCCTAGAATGCAACAAATAATCTATATTGGCACGTCAATGTAGAACCTTCATCGTAGAAGTTTTTCAATCATGAACACAAATTTCAAAAGAGAATGAATCCATAACTGAATTCCATCCCGTGAAGCGTTGTGTCTATCTCAAATTTCTAGAAGAAGAATTAAAAAAAAAAAAAACCGACGCCTTTTTTCGTCGCCCCCGTCAAGGGGCACAGAAAACACCCATCAAGTGATTCATATCGAAGAAAAAAGGCTAATGAACAACACAATCATCATCAAAAACCCTCCGTAGCTAATCAAGGGGAAACTCACAGACGCCAATTGTGGTGTATGTATCACATCTCATCATCTCACACATATAGATAGATAGATTAACATTAGTTCAGCGGTGAGAAACGGAAGCAGCAGTGTAGCAGCAATGTAATGCCATGAATGAAAAAAAGAGTAAAACAAGGGGCGAAAAAGAGAAAACCTTGGGAAGGGAGGCAGCAGAAAGAAAATCGGCTGGTGGTGATGCTGACGATGTAGGCTAGGCGAAGATGGATACAAAATGGAGAGAACAGCTACTATTTCTTTATTATGACGGTATTTAATTGATATAGATATCAAAGTGATTTATACTTACGCTTTGCTTTGCTTTGCTTTGTATGTGAGATTCACACGTACATATCAATTTCCAATCCTACACTGCATATCACAAATATATATCTATATCTATATCTATATCTATATCTCTATATATTTATTATTATTATTATTATTATTATTATTATAATATAATATATATATAATATAATATATAATTATAACTGTATATATATATATATATACATGCGCGCGCGAGTATATTGTGTTGTTGTATGAATATGATGGAGCAGAGGGGAGACGGCGCAACGCAACGCAAGACCAGCAATTTACCACAACGGTAATTATTGAATGAACGGAATAATTGACCTCACCCTGCAATTTATTACTGAGCCGACCCGGTTTAATCACTCGTTAAATTCGGCAACTTGTGAATGTTTTAAATTAATTAGTAGGTTGGGGTTTGTTCTTTCAGTAATTTTTAAAATAAAATAAATTTATTTTTTCAATTTTTATAATTTTTAGAAATTATTATTATTATTATTATTATTATTATTATTATTATTATTATTATTATTATCAACCAATATATATAATTATTGAAGCGATTTCTTATTGTTAATATTAAAAAATTATAATAGTGCGTTTTAGTGGCAATATTATTCAGCATTATTGAAGTTATTATTTTTTTTTATTGATAATATAAAAAAAATTCTGATGATTATATAAAATTAAAAAAAAAAACTAAAATATAAAAGAACATCTTTTTAAGCTTTGTATTATTTGAATTTTTTCTCTTATTTACTATACAAAAATATGCTATTATTATTTCTATTGAAAAAGAAATCAACATATATAATAAAAAAATAATAAATTACATAATGATATGCAACATCATCTATTTATTACACATTTTTCGATCAAATTAGCATCAATAATTTAATTCAATCAATAAATATAAAATACACATAAATGTAAACACAAATACAAACCAAATACATAGTATCAATAATTTGAACAAATTTGATTTATTTTGTATTGATTGTATAAAAATAAACTTATCAATCAATAGTCACTAATATAAAATAATATAGTTTAGTCAAAATGTTATTCTTAACTACATTGACATTATCCATATTCATCCTCTAGTATATGTTCCCATTCACAAGAAAGGCATCTTTTGTCATTAAGAAGCTAGACACTCATGTCAGAAGTATAACACAATAATTTTGATTAAAGAATATTATAAATAAGAAAATATTTTAATAATCTATTTTAGATTGGAAGATGATGCTAATGAGAATGAAAAATGAAAAAAGAGTATATAAATTCAATATGTTATAATAAAAATGAGAATACTTTAAACTTCAAAATAGTTTAAATATTTTTTTACCAATACCAATACCAAATCCACATCCAAAATCAACATATCAATATCATACAACATATTCAATCACAAAATACAATTAACTTGCGTAATTATATATATATATGCATGACAAATTTAGTTAAACAAATATTATGTCTACTCCGTCTAGCAAATAATAATCAGTCTGTTCACTCCGCCGCATTCTCAATGAAACAATTCATCATACATATTATTCAAAAAATACAAACATAAGCACATTAATATAATATATACATTATCCACTTATAAAAAGTCACAAAATATTATTTTTTATATTACCAACACAATTTTTCATACTACACATAAAAAAATCAATTCATCTAAAAACGCTGAGTGAACAGACTAATTATAAACAACCTGATCCAAATAATTTGTTATTAATTAATTCAGGCCATATCTATGTCCATCTGTAAAATTTGGTAGCACATTTCACAGAAGCAGGCACAGAAAAAAGACACAAAATACCCACAATTGTTGCCATGCAGCATCACAAGTTTGAGTTATTCACCAAGACAGTAGGCAGGTAGTCCCATTACCTTTTCAATCAGATCACCATACACAACATATTTCTGTTCTTTAGGTAGAGCTTATAATCCCTCTCCTTCTCTTCACCCAAAGCTGCACAACACTAGTAGTACAATTGTCTTCTTGTAATTTACAAATTATTGCTCTTCCATATTAAACATTGCCACAATATGCACAAGGTTTCTCTCTATAGTCAGCCTTGAACCACCAAGACTGATAAGTCGGACCGTCAATTTTTTTTTTATAAACATTCTATGTTGTGACACCAACCACCACATTGCTCACCTGCATAAACAATAAACCATCTCAGACTTTGCCATTTGCACACAAAAAGACTACAGTCACAGCAAATTAACCCAACTCTCACCCTCTCTTGCTCTTTCAATATATATATATATATATATATATAATTTTAAAAAGTTATATGGGAGCTCACCAGTTTGCCACTTTCATCAACAGTCATAGGATTCTGCACCACAACTGTTTGGTTATGGGAGCTGGTTGGTACCTGTAGCAAATAACTCCTTCAGATTAATGGCTGCAAAAAACCACAACTCTAGGGTGGCAATAGCACAGAGGAACATAAGGAAACAGGCTTACAGTGGATGTTGAAGCTGTCGATGTTGCCGAAGTAGGATTCCCTCCAGGTCTATGTACAGGAATGGGAACCCTTGCGTCAGCCATCTGCAGAAGAAAGTAGTAGATCAAGACATCAGAAGATTCCAAAAAAAATACTAAACCCGGATCTGTTTGCTTACTGCAAATGCTTTCCCAATGGAATCAGATATTTGATTTACGTGTTGTCTTGTTGATAGGAATCTGCTCATCGGCAACCATCATTCTAAAAGCCTAGTAATTCATCATTTACTCTATCTATCTACTTCATAGCCTATGAATGCGTCATCATAACACACAAGACGTTAATCTGGAATCTCAGTTAGGAAAGTATCATCAGCTTGATTCAGGAAAGAAACAAGAAAGCGGTGACGCCATCAATCAACCATCCTCAATGAAAACAAAATCATATGCATATGTTTCATTTGGTGTATCCAAGTGTCCACGTTAAAAAATTGAGCACGACAAAAATACCTACGTATCTGCAACTATGTACATGATATTTGGTCAAAGATCGATTTGTGTAGATATCATATAAATTAAAATATCTCGGTAATGTTCTTCTAAATAACTAGGAATGATTGAAGATCATATTGATACCACATTAAGATTCCTAGGCGGCACCTGAGTTGTTTAGATATTGGTCTAACATGCGAATGTGTCAGACGAAGATTTCTCTTTTGGCCTGTACGTGCATAGGGGACAGCAAAATCCCAAAAGAATAAGCACAGAAAGTGAGAAACGATGTTACTGACATTAACGTTTGTGATGAAGTGACAGATGGCACATTTCACAGACGGGGCTCCAGCTGGATACATCAGCATAGTATGGCAGTTTCCACAGTTGATGTGGGCAACACTACTTGGGGGCGGTGCTGCTGCATAATCAACGTCAAGCATTAATAAAAAATTTAATGCAATATAACAGAAAATTTAGCATACCCAGCAACAAGTATCCACAATATTTTATCAGGATGAAAGGATGAACATCTTTACATCAGGTGAATATAGGAAGAAGTTAAAGAAGCTGACAGTCAGATAAAGCATCAACCATGCAAGGGTAGTCATCATCACCTGGAACAAGGTTTACGGTGTGACAGCAGGAACATCTCACACTGGTTGCCCCACGAGCATGCATAAGCAAGGTGCGGCACCCACCACAGATCAGCTGCGCCATATCCATCCCTGCATATAGGAAAGGACAAAGGATGACGCTGCCACTTAACAGAAACACATTATCAGGAAGCTTATCTGAAGTAAATGGTTAGATATCATATCAGCAACATTTGATCATTACACTCGTAATCAAGGTCATTCCTAAACAATTTTCATTACTATATTGAGCTTTAAGCTAATTCTATCTCATGTCCGAATGGGTATTATGTATGGTATTCAGCATGCCAAACACAACTTAATCAGCACCATGAGCCTAATATCATTTCTACGTAACGGAAAAAACGAGAAATTGTCGGTGACAGTGGTAGGTACTAATGCAAATACCCATCTAGTTTATCCAAGAACAATTATTAGCTAATATATAGAGATGATGGGAAGGTGAAAAAATGCAGTAGCAAATGCTTATGCCTGTAGAAATACAAAATAATAACATAAAAACTTGAGGATACTCCTTTATTGGGCTGATGGTTGTCGTTGAATATTGTACCACATTGGAAAATATCGGGAAACTCCCGGATAAGGCTATTCCACTTAATATTGGAACCCCGAACCCTACTTAACAGTTGTCTCATCAAAATAAACACATCAATTCCTAATAAACATACAACATAAGTGCCACAAGCAAACCTGCAGGTGGGACAGGAGTCACCATATTGCATATGGCACAGCAAACATTTGTTGCTCCGCTGGGATACAGGAGAACAGTTCTACACCCACCGCACACGACTTGGCTCTGCATATCTGCGAGGGAAACTTGATTTATTGATAACCCTACCCACCCAGAAAATTCTCTATTTCAGAATCAAAAGGTCATGTGAATTCATGAAATGTAAAGAGACAATCCTTCACAACGGCGATGCAGGAACACCATATGCTTTTAGAAAAAATAAAGGAAAAAACGAACTCAAAAGCAAAACCTTTTCACCGGCAAATTTTCTAGCAACAAGAAAGAAAAACTTCCTCCAGCTAAATGTTGGCCAATAATCAGTAAGTTCACAATCACGGTATCACACGCTCCTCGAACGCAAGAATAAAAGGGGAAAGCAATCAAAGCGGTAGATCTTCAAAAGGAATTCACAAATCTTAAGATTCTGGGGCAAGGTTGTGGAACCAAATCATGAACTAAAGTGAACCCTTCGTACTGTAACCGACAAAAAGCAGAGGAGGAGAGTTACTCACCACAGGGAGGAGAAACCAAAGAGCCAAAATTGGATTTCCTGTAAATGCGAAAAATGGGATGGGCAGTCTATGCCAGCGTGTGCCTCTCTGATTATATATGTACACACTACACACACATATAATATATATATATATATATATAGAGAGAGAGAGAGAGAGAGAGAGAGAGAGAGAGAGAGAGAGAGAGAGTAATCGGGGCGCTGGGGAAATTGGGGATTGCAATTGGATTAGATGGGATTGAATTTTGTTGTTTTGTTCTCGGTTGAAATTTTATATTACGATAAAAGTGGAGGTTGAGGTTGACAGAGGTAGAGACTGTCTTCAGTCTCCCGCTGGTGTTGCTGCTGCTACGGACTACGGTGGCCTGCGAAAAGCATATTCCTCATCATCATCCTTCTCTGCAGTCACCCTCAACAACAGCCTCACGCCCACTCAACTCAACTCGAGCGATTCCAAAATAATTGAAATTGAATACTATATAATTACATATATCAAAGTAGAGGTCGAAAATTGCTCTCCTGGTTGCTGCGGCTGTCTGTAGTAAAATCCACCGCACGCCATGCCTGATCTGCTGTTACTATGCATCCAAGCTCAGCTCCTACTGCTTCCGCAATGCTGCTTTCAACTCATGTTTTTCGGGGTTGTGTTTTTCTGTTCTTAATTATTTTTAAGTAAGATCAGCATAATGACTTTGATATCATATCTATAAACGCCTTATTATAAGTAATTTTAATTATTTTTTCCCACCTTTAAAAAGTAACTACAAATACTAACGTGGTGTAATGAAGTCCAATGTGATTGTATTTAAAAATATATATATAATAATAACACGGTTGTTTATCTAATTGTTTTCTACCTGCAAATTTATAAAAAAAAATAATAATATAATAGAGTAGAAAATGTATTGAACATTATTGTTCCATGCAAAAAAAATTTAGGAATTTCTTTTTTAATATAAGAGGGAAAGACTGTTTCACTAGATACAATGAATTTTAAGTTATAATTCAAAATCATTTTTAACATAGTATTGATATTTCACTTAATAAATATCAATTAATTATCGACTTAATATCAATTATTTATTTATTTATTTTTTGTAACTTGAAAATCCGCAGTCGCTACCCGAAAGTGCGCACTGTGTAAATTCTTGGTCGAACCTAAAATGTGTAGTGTCATTGAGATACTATTTACCTTAGACAACTGAACACGTTATGTGTATTTACGGTGATTGTAGATCATCTTTCTTGCGATGACTGTGCTCTTCATGCCGCTCTACGTTTTTGCGTGGTCATTCTTGTTATTGATCAGCTAGACAATGGCTATACGAGAAGCCACCGGAAATTTTGCATCTTGGATGATTTTTCAACTGTTCATGTACGCATTGAGTTTTTCGATCGAAATATACAACTGTATTTTCTTAAACACACTCATATATTTATACATGGCTATTTTTTAAAATTACCATCATGTTCAATTATAATTAGATACCACATCAAATTCCATTATCTTAGTGTTTGTCATTATTTTTTCAACAGTATAATAATAAATTATAAAGTCATTTCTAGTTGCCTCTAAAATTAATTATGATTAACTCATATAATTTTATTGTTATTTAATTTATATATATATTATACTTTTTATAATATTTTTGTAGAATAATGGAATAATAAAACTCTATTTTAAGTTTTGAATTTTTATAATTCTATCTTTTAAATTTTACTATCTGATTCTTTAATATTTTTTGGAACATATATATTGTCCTCGTCCTATATAAAATATCTATTATTTTTGTTTTTCGTTTATTTTTTTAACTAATTATAAATTTTAATTATATTTTAAAATTTATAATTTTTCAATATTAATTAAATTATTTATTTATCTTAATTTAATCTAAATTTATATTATATAATAATTATTTTTATTGAATATTTTTTAATTATTTATTAATTATATTTTTTTATTATGTATCTACGATGATATGAATAATTTTTATTGAAACAAAAGTATATATTTTTTTTATAAAAAATTAAATATTATTTTAATATAAAACTAAAACCAAAAAATTTCAAATCCAAACTCAAAAATACACTAGGGTGTGTTTGTTTGGGGGGTTGAATTTTGAGTTAAGATTTGAATAGTAAAAATTTTGAATTTGAATAGCGGTATGATGTGATATAAATATGTGTTGATGTGATATTTTAAATATAAAATTAATTTTTAATATAACATAGAAAATAAAAAATAAAAATAAGTATCTAATTTAATATTTTTAAGAAGAAAAAATAGAATGAATAATGTATTTGGGGGAGAATATGAACAAACACAGCACCCTATAATCAATACTCGTAAAGACAATTAATCAAATTCAAGATATCCGGCAATTGGCTGAGCCCGGCCCGCTAAAAGGATTTGGGTCGGATTCAACGTTGGGTCTGGGTTTGGGTCTCCTCCAGCCGGAGCGCACCAACAGGGTGCTTCTTCATTTGGCATCTGATCTCGCGTCGCATGGTCTGAGAGGAGAGATCTGCCCGGGGCAAGCAAGCCACTCCACTCTCCACCCCACCACCCAGCTTCTTCATTTCATGTCTTCCTCCTTCGTCTGCTATTCTGATTCAATATCTCTTCTTTCCTTCTCCTCCAAGCCCCTTGCCGTTGGGATCGCATCAAATCACATCACATCGAGTCCCGCCTCCGCCTTCTTGTCTTCTCAAGAAACCCATTTGGGGTTTTCCGATACATCATCTTCTTTCTCTGTCTCTCTTTGCATGCTCTTTTCCTCGATTTCGATTTCGATTTCTTGGATCAGCAATGGATTCAACGCCTGCCCAATCACCGGGAAGATCGCCTGAAGTTTACTCCAAGAAGCAATCCAATTATACATCTGCATCCTCATTTTCCAAATCGATTTCCGATGTCAGCAGCCAGAGCTTCTCCTCAATCCTCAACAACCCTAACCCTTCCTCCTCCGTCGTCGGCTGGTGGTCCTCCTCCGCTGCCGTTCCCGCACCCGAATTCGCTCCTCTTCCCGCCGCCCCCAAAGCTGGATCTGAAATTGCCCGATCCGATTTCCAGACTTACCTCTCCGCCGTTTCTGAATCCCACTCTCGATTCGTTGACATTCTCAGACAGCATGACAGGGATAACCAGGGGCACGATGGCCCTTTTACTGGTGGCGCCGCGGGGGAGGCATTGGTGGCCTGCCTGAGGGAGGTTCCCGCTTTGTATTTTAAAGAAGATTTTCAGTTGGAGGATGGTGCCACGTTCAGAGCGGCTTGCCCTTTCCAAACGATGTCGGAGAATGTCGCATTGCAGGAGAGATTGTCGCAATATCTAGATGTCGTGGAGTTGCATTTGGTGAGGGAGATTTCCATGCGATCGAGCTCGTTTTTTGAGGCGCAGGTGCAGTTGGAAGATTTGAATGGCAAGATTGTCCAAGGGTGCCGGAGGGTTAAGGAGTTGAAGGAGACGATCAGGCTTCTTGACTCTAATTTGGTTGGTTCGGCAAGGAGAGTGCAGGAGCTGAGCATGAAGCGTGATGATTTGCTCAAGTTGCAGAATAAACTAAGGCTCGTGTTATCTGTTAACCAGGCAGTCTCCACTCTTCAGTTAGTAAGTTGCTGTTTTTCGTATTTTCGTATTGTTAATTTGATGGGCAGTAGCATTTTACTTGCACACTCTCTAGTTGTATCTAAGACAGAGTTTTTGATATCGAGGTCTGCAATTTATATTTCGAACTTTTATTGGACTATGGTTGAGTTCCCTTTCGTGAAGAGGAATATGTTCATACATTTTAACTTATCCTATATTGGATGGCTATTTTCATATTAATTTACTTATACATGAGTATGATATATGAGGTTTTGGCTTATAGTCAGTAGCTAGGCGAGTGCACGAGTCCATATTGATTTACCCTTTATTGCCTTTTTTTCAGCTTGTTGCATCTGCAGATTGTATTGGAGCTTTAAAGATTATTGATGACCTACAGTGTCTGTTGGTATGCTCATTACATATTATGATTCTTTATTTCATTTATGAGGAACTATTTTCATGCATGCAGTACTGCCCACGATAGCTAATTCATCATTGAAGTTCTTGATCTCTTTTTTCTTTTCTCTTTTTGGGTGTTTTTGGCTTTCAGATTTCTCTGTATGTTATCTTCATTTGTCAAGTGCAAAACTAAAACTAAAGATGAGTACTTTATTGCGGTTCTTACAAAATACTGCCATTATTCTTACCAAGAACTAGATCAAACTTGAAGTTGTTTCGCTAGTGTTCGAAGCCAAATCTATTATTTTGTATGTCAGATGATATCACTTTCTAACTTCGGTTTTTTCTTCATCTTGTGCTTCCCACAGTAATAATATAATCATGTGATGGACGTGGAGGTCTCTTTGGTTTAGATGTAGAAAGAGCATTGTGCTCCTTTAATCTTATTTATTTTTTGCTAGAGATGTTTGAATTATACTGTGAAATTCTTTGTCCATCTATCTGTAAGCTGTATTGTTTTGACAGGAACGAGATGAGCTTATTGGCCTGCATTGTTTTCGTCACCTTCGTGACCATGTAATTGCTTCAGTAGATTCAATTAACAGGTTGGTCTACTTGTGGTTTTCAATGGAAGCTGTATTTATATTCTTGTTACCTTTGCCATATGAGAAGATATTTAGCTTCAATGAAATGTGAAGTTCTCTGTAAAACAGTGAGATTGTTTTCCATGTAAAGTCAAGCGATCATCTTTTCTCACTCTTGTCTTGTTCTATTTCTTACTGACTTTATTGTTTTTGTACTGTGGGGTGGAAATATGCATTTAGATGGCACAAACCTTGTATGCCTGTGAAGGCTATCACTGATACTAGAAATAAATAAAGCTTCCTGTCGTATCTACCTTTTTTTCTTGATTGGAAACCTACTTATTAAGTATATACTTGACTATGAGACCTACCGTATGTGTAATTCATAAATAGGGTGATCCCAATTTCCTACCTTAATTGTTTAGGTAATACATTAATTGAAATGTAGTAGTATGACTATTTGGATGGTGGATCTGTTAGGTATAATAAGTACTAATGGAGTAATGGTTTCTTTTCTTTTTCGTTTCTTGCTAGAAAAATACAATATCTTAGAATGATCAAATTTAAAGCAATAAAGTTAGGAAACAAACGAAGGGAAAAAAATAACAAAGGATAATTACAATGGAAACTTCTTTCTAAAGGTCACAATGGAAACTAAACAATAAAAAATCTGGAGAAGAGATAGGGATCTTATCTCATTCATTGGTTTATTTTTATGCTATGCTACACTCAATGGGAATATATCAGGAGTCCTATGGTGAATGTAGACCTTGCTTTATGATAACATCTGCTGTTCTCCTTTGGAATGTCTGGTGTGCTTAGGTATGCTTAATAGAGTGCCCAAGGTTTTAGAAAGTCATTGAGGAACTTGGAAGGAAAGGGGATTATGCGCCTTTGCTTGGCACAAGATCACTTGTTACTGAGATTCTGCATTGCAGCAATTTTATTTATTTATTTATTTATTTTGACATACTACAGATTAGAAAGAAATTGCAAAAAGAAAACAAGATCTTCTGTTTGATATGAAAAATCTCACCTGTTGATTGTTCGAATTGCAATATCTTGCTTCCTCAGCATTTTTCCTCTTCAAATTGCCTCCTAGGGTTTTGTATGTGTCCTGTATAAGAAAGACACCCTTAAACCCCACAAGTATCGTGTCTTTTATGAAGGAGGCACAAAACACAGACCTGCAGTTTCCCATATTCTCTAGATTCTTCCGACACAAGCATTGCCATGTTATTCTTTCCAGCGATATCATGAGAGTTTCTTGGCCAACTCGACACTCTTTAACCCACCAACATATAGTTGTCTGCGTAAATTTTTGAAGTCTTGGACATTGCTTGTATGTGCATTGTTGTTACTAATTTGTGAGCACCTACAGTGAAAGAAAGAAGTCATTAATGCCATGCCAACATGCAACTGAAACTGGATAAGACATAAAGTTAGGATATATTAAAATAATATCTGATAAATCAGTCATCATCAACTCCCACGAAAACTACAGTCACTACTTAATTGACTTTTAATTGCATTTTTTTTTTTTCCCTTTTCTAGTGTTTGTGTCTCTGTTGGTTATGAAATACATAAGTTGCTTTAGTAAGCACCCGTGCCCCTTAAGTTGGCAATGGGAGGACTGCACATGGTGTTTGGTACAATTTGATGAGTTGATATATGGAGATGATTATTTATGACTTTGAAATAGACATGGTTGAATAAATTAATCCAAAAAGAATGTATGGCAAGTAATGTGGCTTGAATGTGTTATTTTAACTTGCTATTTCATGCACTATCAACATCACTCCTTGTTTCCTGATTGCAAATAATAGTGATGTTAAAAGAATGATGGGTTTGGTGTACCTGAAATAAATAAGAGCTTTTCTAGAGGCTTGTATGCATAGTAAAAGTTTCTTCTCTTTCCTCTTTGTTAGGATCTGCTATGAACTTTTCAATATCTCCCTGGTACTGTGAAATTTGAATCTACCCGATACGACTTTTTGAGCTTCTAGTGACGTTTTACTTTCTTGGTCTGCATGATGTGGCTTCAATTTCTTAATTTTATCTGGATTGCTAATCTATAATTTTCAGTTATTCCAACATGCTTTTTTGGCTGTGGAATCACACTGTATTTGCCTGATGTTTTGACTTATGGAATTTATTCTTGTAGCATTCTTGCAGCAGAATTTATCCGCTCATCTCTGCGTGGGTCTGAAAATACAGATGCATCAATACCATCTGCATTCACTTCTGATGGGCTATATGATGAAGTATGCTTCATGCTCTCTTTCCATTTTTACTGATGCTTCCACGCATTCATGGAACCTGTCTATGGTTGCATTTTTTGTTTTTTGTTTTTTGTTTCCTTGAAAGTAATATGTTTTTTAATATACGCTGGATTTTGTATAAAGTAAACTAAATGGATGATCTGATTGTATAACACTAACTGAATGTTTTAGAGCATAGGGTTTTGTGAGTATGAGCGAATTTTAATTTTAGTAATTGCTAATGATTGAGTAATTAATTATAACTGTTGTTTTTTCATTATATATATATATATATATATATATATAGAGAGAGAGAGAGAGAGAGAGAGAGAGAGAGAGAAAGAGATGATAGTTTTCTGAAAGATATAATTGGTGAGTTGTGTTTTGGGGAAAGTTTTGTCTCCCTGGTCAACATCCAAACACCGCAATTATTCTAGTTTTCAGTACATGTTATGTGTCTTTATAAGTCTTTCCCTTCCTGTGCTTGGGTGGAAGCAGAAATTGAGGCCACATCTGTTGAACAAATTTGGCCCTAATGGAATTCAAAAACATAGTCCAAATCCAATCCTCTTTGTGTTTTTGAAGGATTTTAAATTCATTGACTTTAGAAGTTTAGTGTTTGAAATCCATGTTTAAACCTAGTCATCTCTAAATCCACTCATTATCTTTTGCTTAATGTTGCTCATTAGTTATTTAACATTTTCACTTATTACTTATTAGTTATGTGTGATGTGCTTGGATGCCTTATCAATAGATAGATCTTATATTTAATTATAAAGTTTGACTAATATAGCTATTTTATTGTTAATTAAAGAATTTTTATACATTATTGTAATGACATAAATATATAGACATACTTATTATATATATATTTTTATGAATTTCCACTACATCTATTATTCAAAATTATTTTTAATACTATCTTAAATCAAATAATATTCAAACCATGGATTTTAATTTTTTTTGCATTTCAAGTATGAGGGAATTCAATCCCATTCCTCTAAAATCCATTCTCAAACCAAATGTATGCAACCAGATGTCCTGAACTTAGTTGGAACACTCAAATGTAATTTTCTTTTCATAATTGGTTCATGTTGTTGATGCAGACCTTATATTAGAAGTGTTTTAATAATCCATAGTTTCATCTTATCTTCTGTGATAGTAACCTTTTTTATGATCAACTTGCATTGTCATGTTTCATCTTTCTGGGAACTTCTAGCAATTATTTCTTGTTCTCTTGCTTTTAATGACTGAAACCTACTGTGAAAAGCCTTATGCATGCCATATTCATCCTTTTCTTGATAGCATTTTATATGACTTAGCTACATATTATAAATTTCCTTTTTGAAACCTTCTAGGCTTCGTTCATTCAAATCCTTGCTGTTGCAGGTAGATTATTATGTATTGCATCTTCCCACTAAAATGCATCTTGCATTTTATGTCTTTCCCCTTTAAGTGCTCATGTGTAGTATGCTTGCTTAGTTATCATCATTTGATTTTCTTACTGTGCTGTATCTTTACAAACATCTTTCGGGTTCGTTGCAGGATAAATTGGAGGAAGAACGAAGGTCTAATTTTCAAGATCAGCTTCTTCCCCTTGTCATTGGATTGCTGAGAACAGTGAGTCTTTGTGTTATGTTCTCATCTTTCAGCAATGATTATTCTTCTGTTTTGGAATTTTGAACTGTGGTCTTGTGTGCATTACTGGAAACTAATTGTGGTGTGGTGGATGAATTTAGAAGTTTAAAGGGTTTGTTGTTTGGAGTTTGATTTCAGCTTTTTACCATGCAACCATCGCTATTCTCTATAAAAGACAAAACGTAACTCCAAATAGTACACACCATAATAGATTGAATTATTATAGGGAAAATTGTAGCATTTTACAATTGTGAATGATAATCATGCGTTCAGAAATTGAATGGGGTTGAGGGCTTGAGGCAGTTAGAATATAACTGGTACATATTTTCACTTTTTTTTTGACCTGCTACTTGTACAGTTAACATCATGGAAGATTTGCATCCATTTATTGGTACCAGTGGGATCTTAATTGCTGATGGTTCCCATATGGTGTGGATTACCTTTTGATGATAACTTTTTGGATCTGTTAGCTGGTTAGAATTTGAACTTAACCTGTGCTTTGGTCTAAACTTAACCTTAGTCTTGAAAACTGAAAATTTCCTTTCTCTAGTTGAATTTTGTAATCATTATTGAAGAAAAACATGAAAATATGCTTGTTGAATCATAATCACTGCCTTTAGTACTAGGCAGACTATAATTTGCAACCTAGTCTTTATGCTTATTTGTGCTTGATTTGGTTGTATTGATTATATCTAATATATATATATATATATATATTTAAAATGAAGGGAGGGAGATTTATCAATCTTCTATTAATATTTTGCACCAATATTATCTTGTAAATTAATGTTTTGCTTACAGGGAAAATTACCAGCTGTATTGAGAATGTATCGTGATACACTGGCTTCTGATATAAAGACTTCTGTCAAGGTGACAGTTTTGAATATGCCACTAGAGTCAGGTTCTTTCTCTGGAGAGGGTATAGTGGATAATGATGGTGGGTTCACCTGCAGTTCATTTCTTATGTATTTTGAATTTCTGTTGAAAGCTAAGTTCTTTCTTACTTGATGATCTGCATACAACATGCAAATTTTCTCCTTTACTTACTCTTCTGTAAGAGTGAAATTCTTAATGGAAATTTAAGAGACTCTTGTAAGAAAATCCTATCTAACTTGTATAAACTCCTCATCTGTTAAATCTTTTTCATTCTGCATTACTCACTCAGGTGGAGGCTCGTCACTTGGAAGTAAGTTGAAAAGCCTGTCACCTGATGGCTTCCTGAGACTTTTGGAGGAAATTTTCAAGATTGTACAGGTAATGTGCATGTACAAATTTTGATTGCCCTGGTGTACTTCCAAATTTTATAAGCCAACAATTAGCATGTGAAATGGTAATTTATCATTGATTTGTGTTACATCTGCACCATTGTTTACCTTTAGTAAGGGCTGCATGCAATCTATTATGCTTCCTGAACCATGGGTCTTGATCGGGAGTATCCTTTTCTGATATAATGTTAAATTCTTAACCTAAACTATAACCTGGTATATACTTGTGTTTCCATTTCGTACTCAATTAAAAAAACTACCTTTCTTTTTTTTTTTTGTTTTTTTTGTTTTTTTTTTTCCCTCTTGCTTTCTTGGTTTAAGTAAGACTTGATGGATGCTTTGTGGTTTGCCTCACTGCCCTGTATTTCAGTTTTATCTGCAACCTGATTGTGTCCTCTTATGCAATGTGTATAATGTTTGTTGATCTGTTTATTCACACTCCACAGTTTGAAGTTACTATTGCTGTTTTGCACATAAAATTAGGATATAATCCGTTTGAGATCATTTAAATAGCACGTCAGACAGTGAATTCTTTCAGATGATGCTTTGTTGCAAATTCTATTATTAGTGATAACTAATATGATTAGTACCTGTAAATATATCCCCGGATCCAATGATGATCCTATATGCTGCCTTGGCTTACATTCATTGATCGTAAAGCTGGAACGATGTAACTTGATTTTTTCTTTTAGTGAATGCAGACTCGCTTAGTGCGAGCTTCTGAAGTTAAAAGAGCTATTGAAGGGATTATGGCCAATCCCCATGGGCACTATGCTGCTGCTTCTGTTGCTGCTGCCATTGCTCATGGAGCAACAGCTACAGAAGTGACCAATGATAAAGATAGTCATGCCAGTTTGTTTTCACCACAATCTTCCCAAAATGCTAGCATGGTGGTACCCATCCATGGAGGAGGATATGATACTGCGAGTCCAAATCTTTCCAAAAATTTCAGGTGAAATTCTCTTTCTCCGGTATTATTGGAAATTGTGTTTCTTGATTATCTATTTGGTGGTTGGCCAATGAGAATGTCTTCTTGATACTTTGTCCACAGTATGCACGTTTTTCATCATTATCTCATGATGTTACCATCAAATTAATTTGGATATTTTATTTAGCTTAGTTTACTGGAGGCTTTGTTAGTAATTGTCGCAGTGGAAGGGAGAAAGCTAAGCTTTAAGAGGGGAGAATGGATCTGATTAAAGTTGGTTCAAGGAAGAAGGCTGACATTTCTGTGTACTTATATTTGGTTGTGCTTAATCCATCGTGAGATGTTATTGAAACTTGGCTGAATGATGACTAAGCTTGATTCCTTCTGCCATCTGCTTAAATTGGTCTATTTTACTGTTTCTGCCAATGTTCTGTAATCTGTACCCATACTTGATCTCCTCTCTACAAAACTAAAGCATTGGAATTTTGATCAAATTCATGTTCCATGATGACCTTGTACTTTCTTGAAGTTTATTGTCAGATACACAATTAGTGCTTTCATTACTTAATTGCCTATGGTAACAAAAGTTATTCATAATAAGCTTTTTGCTACAAGGATCTGTGGCAGGGCCATTTGAAATCTACTGACATTAAAATTTTCCTTCTATGTGAACAGAGCTGATATTTTAAGAGAAAATGCAGAGGCTCTATTTGCAGCTTGTGATGCTGCTCATGGAAGATGGGCAAAAATTGTTGGAATTCGTTCTCAAATTCATCCAAAACTGAAGTTGCAGGACTTCCTTAGTGTTTATAACATAAGCCAAGAATTTATAAGTTCCACAGAGAAGGTATTGTGACAATTATTGTTGTATGATGTTATCTAATTATATTGAAGCAACCTTTTATTATTCTTATTGTGATATGGTATAATGCCTATGCAATCAGATTGGTGGGAGGTTGGGATACAGCATTCGTGGAACGATCCAATCACAAGCTAAATCCTTCATTGAATTCCAGCATGAATCTCGAGTTAGTTTCTATACAAGACAGCGTTTGGCATGTACTATGTTTCTGTTCTCAAGTAACCAACTAATTTTCCCTACGGTTGTTGCAGATGGTTAAGATGAGAGCCTTACTTGACCAAGAAAATTGGGCGGAGATAGATGTACCTGATGAGTTTCAGAGCATTGTCAACTCACTTTTTTCTTCAGAGCTTTTGGTTGCTGGAGAGACTGATACATCTTCTGATGATACTGCATCAGGTTCTAGTCAAGTAGCACCACATGGTGATGGTTCCTTGGTGGAACCTGGTTCATCAAACTCATCCCAGCCTAATGAGCAATCTGATTCTAATGGGACATATGCTGATCATATGCCAAATGCTGATTCATTACGCTCTAATGCAGCGGCAGAAAACAGCAATTCTGGTGTTAGCACTTCTTCTCATGCAAGTGGCAGCATGAAAGAACGAGGAAAATCTACTCATAAAATGCTTTATTTTAAAGGTGTTGGCTATCACATGGTGAACTGGTTAGCACTTTTGCTTACAACTTGGTGTGTGCATTGCTGTTTGTTTTCATATTTTCATCACATTTGGTGGAAATATTTTTTTAAGCACTGATGATTAGATTTACTTATTTCGTAATTTAGATTTTGTTAGATTTGATATTAGGTCTGGTTTATGGCTAGTGATGGAGTTTCCCTGGATGTGTTCGGGGGAGGAAGTTGGATTGTAGTTATTCCTTGGATTCATGCTTTAGTTTTCTTGCCTGGTTATCTTTGTTTTTTATTTGGAATATCTTTCTTTTTCTTACCATCCTGAATATTACTATGAAGACTAGATTTAGTAACTCTTTCTTCCTGCTTCAGTGGCTTATATTTGGTGAAGATGATGTCAGAATATGTGGATATGAATAATTGTTTACCCACACTCTCTGCGGAAGTTGTTCATCGTGTTGCCGAGATTTTGAAAACTTTCAATTCAAGGACTGCTCATCTTGTTCTTGGAGCGAATGCCTTACAGGTACTAATTCAAAAAGGAAAGTTATTAAGTTATTTTTTAAGGATCTAATCTCTATTCTTCAACTTCTTGCTTTAATCCGGTGGGCTTTTACTCAAACATCTTCTTGTCATTTTGATATTTAATTAGTTGTATATATTTGAAATCTTGGGAACATAAGAACTTATGCTTGGATATTTTTGACTGAAGAAGATCCGTTTTACATGACTTTCTGGTTGAATTGTCCCTGGAATAACTGGTATCTATTCTTTAAATTGTACATTAGGTCAAAAAATGGGCTGGACTATCTGCACTATTCAATTATTTAATAGTTTTCCTGCTGGTTATTGTAATATGCCATTCTCTAACCTAATTGACTGCAGGTATCTGGCTTGAGGTCAATTACTGCTAGACATTTGGCTATGGCCAGTCAAGTTATAAGTTTCATGCATGCCATCATACCTGGTAAGTGGTTATAGAAGTACCTAATTGTCTCCTTTAATATCTCATCACAATCAGTTTCACCGTAGCGAAAAGAATACTTTCATCTAATCATCTCTTTGTTTACGTATAATGGGGTAGCTGATGCAATCGGTTTTTCTATTAATCTCTGGCTCCAGATTTGCAACTTACTATTTTTCATGTTCTACGATGTTGTAATACCATGGTTGGTTTGATGGGTATTCTTATATGATGTTGGATTTCTGAAGTCAGATCATATATGCTAATAAACTGTAACTGAAATTCTCAATTATGATAAGCAATAGGGAACAAGTGGTAGAAGGAAAAGCCTGCAAGCGCTATATAAAAACTAGGAAAACAATACAAGCAAAGATAGCCAGAGAGAGAACTCCTGGCCACTCCAAGATTTTACTTGGAGTATATTAGTTGATTTAGTTCATAGTGAAATAAAGATTCTGTTTTTGTTTTTGTTTTTTACTATACAACTTTCATAATTTTCAGTAAAAATATACTATTTTTCTATACAAAACATGACATCTAACAACTATTTCATCTAAAAACCAAAATACACACATAAAAAAAAAACCCAAAATATCACAAAAACATGTTGCATGGGTGAATTCTATTGCAATTTATTCATTCTTCATTTATTCCATTCATATGTTTTTACATGGTTTTGGTTATGAAGTGCACATATAGCATTGATTAAACTTTGCGCTCTGGATGTTTCTTAACCTGAAGTTGGCATTTTTTATTTCACATTGCGAACCAACTAATGCAATCCATTTACTTCTTTTATTTTTTCTGTCAAGAAATTAGGAGACTTCTCTTGCTCAAAGTGCCTGATACGTACAAAGCTTTGTTGCAATCAGAGCTTGATCGAGTGGCAATGGTAAAATAATTTTTCTTACCATTTTTATGTATTACCTATTCAATTATTACCCAAGTGAGGATATAATTTCTAGGGAAGTCACAGTCTGTGATTCTGCATCTATAAAGTTAAGATAATTTGAAGTGTTTCTTTTCAGATTTATATGGGATAATTTTTGCTTTGATTGATTGATTTATTTTTTCTTCAATTAATTAGAAAACATGACACTATATTGACATGTCACTTGCTATTTATTTTTATGATTCAATACTATTGTTTGTTCTGATAGGATTATAAAAATCATTGTGATGAAATTCACTCCAAGCTGGTTCAGATAATGAGAGAGAGGTTGTTGGTTCATCTACGTAGCTTGCCTCAAATTGTAGAGGCCTGGAATAGATCAGAGGAAGCAGATTTACAGCCTAGTCAGTTTGCTCGGTCTCTCACCAAGGTACACTACATAACCATTATTTTGATGATGAATGTTCATTACCAGTTTGAAAAAGAAAAAGATTTTTGAATTCCCTGACACTGTACATTGTTTTTGTTTTGACATTATTAAAAAGAGAACCAAATATAGTGGGTTTATAAGAGAAAGGATATATATATATATATAATCGATATATTACCATGCTCTAGGCTTAGACGATTCGCTATATTCTTGTGATAATGCTTTAATTAGTAGTTCTTGATGCAATAAGTTAGCATCAAAAGAAAGAAAAAGAAAAAGTTAGCATCTACACCTTATTCTGTTTCCTTGTTTTATTTAGATATGATTTGATTTGATATGCTTACAATATAGTTAAACTTTCCTAATCTCTAGAATACTTTATGTATACTCTATAATCATTTCTCATGATATATGAAAATATATACTATTTGAGACACTCTCTAATTTAGTATCAGAATTCAGAGCTGAAGGAAACATTTTCTCCACTGTTATCTTTCTTTAGTTAAAAACCCTTGCCGTAGCCCTCTTTTTCCCCTACTTCCCCTCATCCTTGTTTGATCTTGTCCGAGAATGCAGAGGTGTATTCTTGATAGGAAAAACCTAGCCGTAGCCCTCGATATAAACTACATCAATGATAATCTTGACTTTAGCAAGACGAAAAATTCAAGTTCATATCAAACAAACTGATGCAATGACACGAGGAGTTTCTAGTGGTCTATTCTATATGGCATTGTCCAAGTTGGGGATGCGTGATATCTATGTACCAATTTTAGGGGGAGAGTTAGCATCTACATCATATTTTGTTTCCTTATTTAATTTATATATAATGTGATATGTTATGATTTGATTTACTTAATCATATATTTAACTGCCTTATTACTATAATAGGCCATATGCATTCTTGATTAAAATTCCTCATGAAATATGAAAGTATATACCTTTTCAGCCAATCTCTAATTCAGTATGATTATGGAAATACTAAAATTTTGTAATGAGTTACGATCTTTACTTCTTCAGCCTTTTATATGCTATATGTGATTGTAACCTTTTCACATCTGGATCATTCTGGAATCACCATTGTGCAAAGAATAAAATTTCAATATACAAAAATATTGATGGTGCGTAGACATTTCTAGACCTGTAGTATCATGAGCTTTATTTGCTTGACAACATTCAGGAGAAGGACAACCCATCTCTGGGTAGACTGTGTATTCTGATAATGCTATATATTGACAAATAAATATATAAATTAAGGTTCTAATGTCATGTGGTATGGAGCTAGAAACATGAGCTTGAATCCATCATTAAATGCTCATGATGGTAATGTTGGATTCAGAGTCTATCACTGCTGATAATTACTGTTTGTTTGGTGGCAAGAAAGTTACGAAATCGAACTGCGGGGTGGAGACATCCAATAAGCTTATTGTTTCAAAATTTAACTTCCTGAAGCTTTTGATTACTTCCATCTTTGAAATGCTTATGCTCCATCTTTTTGGTTACTTGTAAATTTGTAATGCAGAATGGTGCATTTCCTCCTTGATGGACTTGTTTTTTGTGATTTTACTGTTATGGGCCTTCTGATCTTAGCAATCACTCTTCTTTTCATTGATTGTTTTGTTCCACTTATTACAACAGGAGGTTGGATATCTTCTACGGACTTTATCTAAGCACCTTCTCGAAGAGGATGTTCAGGCTATCTTTGGGTAATATATGTTGTCAGGAGTGAACTTTTGGTGCTTTGTTTATTGCCTTTACTGTGGTTGGCCTTATGCATGGTCTCATGCAAGCAACTTGCATGTGCAAATATTTTCTCAAACTCGATTATCCCTTTCAAAAAGATTTTCATCAAATTATCTGCATATTATTTTGCATATGATATAATTGTTTATGTATCTATTAGCTCAAATGTTTCCCCTAAAATGATCAAAGCTTTAGACACCGTTTACAAAGATATATTTAGAACTTTTGGCACTATTCGTCTACAATAAAATTTTAAAAAATATCACGTCAAATATATTTTCTCATAAAACATCACATCAAATATAACTTTTTACTATTCCCAAAATTTTTCTAATATATCTAAACGGAGCCTTAGTTCACCACAATTTGACGTTCCACCTCTTACTTAGTGTGGCAAGGACGCCTGTAACATAGATAGATCAGTTCAATTGATTCATTTACTCAGGATACCTTCGTTTTTCATTTGTTTCTTATTATTAAAGACATGGGCTGGATTGGTTACAATCATGATTTTGTCTTAAATCTTTTGTCTACTTCTAATCCATGTCAGTAATTTGTGTGTGGTATGTCACTCTATTCTCAGGTTTATATCAAACTCTTTTATTTTAGATTGTTGTCAGTGGCGCCTCTTTAGTAGATGTCTGCACATCAACTAGGATTCGGTGTTCATAATAATGTAGAAAGAATTGAGTAATTTGGTTGGTTATTTGTTGATGCTGTTTTTTCTTGCATGATTAAGAAGGATGCCATGCAAATTGATATTTCCTATTACATATGATCTTGCTTACCATGATTTTGCAGGCAAGTGGTTGTAATTTTACATTCTCAAATTTCCGATGCATTTTCGCGTCTAGAGATAAAAACGCCACAAGCAAAAAGCAGGTACTGATATACCTTACCTCCATAGTTTATGGGTTATGAGATTCCTCACCCCACTCTACAAAAACTAAAAGTAGAACGCATGTAGATAAATCAATCTCTATTGGGTGTCTCACCATCCTCCGATAACTAACTCTACATCTTGTTGTCTTCCTCCCAGCCTTCTGTGTGACGTCCAGCATTTACTTGGATGCATAAGAACGCTGCCGTCTCAAAATTCAAGTAAATCCAGTCCACAAAACTGGGGGCTGCTTGATGAATTCGCACAGAATTTTGGCCCCGAGCCTGTGGAGTAAAATTGGCTGAAGTTTATATGCAATACACACAATTTGATCTATCTTTTTTCATACATATAATGGGGTGGAGAGGAGATTGGGTGTACTCGATGGGATTGTATGCAGACACTGCGGATGAACCGAAGCTGTTTTGCGCAAGGAGGTAAGCGATGATGAGGTGCCGTGGTTTTGGAACAAGAAGAGCCAAAAGGGAGGGAGAGCTCATTGTGAATTTGGCCTTGTAATCTGAACCAAGTAACCACCTTTGATCTCTCATTGTGTTTGTAATTGATTTTTTTTTTTTTTTTTTTTTTTTTTTTTTTTTTTGTTTTAAATTCCCAGGGTATAAGTTGAATCTGAGCAGTCACTGGGGAGGGAGAGGGAGAGGGAGAGTGATGTTTTGGACTAGGGTAGTTGTAGAAGAAGATGGAGTTATAATTCTTTTTGTAACGTAAACAAACGATTCCTGCTCTGCTGTATTATTATTATTATTATTATTATTATTGTTATTATTTTTAATATGTCTCTTGCCTTGGGAGTTCCTTCTATGTGTTAATTGAAATAACGTGTTGTATGTTTATGTATAATATGCTAGTTGGGAGATTGAGACCCTTCTTTTATCAAAAAATTTTAAACATATGATAATGTCTTAGAAAATCAATAAAATAATTAAAAATGCTTGAAAATAAATAAAAATCCTAGATACTCTCCCAGCCCTTACTTGTCAGACTTTAGACTTTACGCTGATTTTACAATTTTTTTTTTTTTTTTTTCAAAAATATCAAATAACATTCAATTTTTATTTATTTTAATATAAAAAAATTACCTTCTTACGGTAAACATAGCGTAAAATTGAAGAGGCTCCTCCGTGTCCCCTCCCGTCCACCTCATCATCTTCATTCATTCATCTGTCTTCTTCGTCCTTGCTTCATCATCGATCGTCTCCCTTCCCTTCCTAGATCAAAATCTGCTCTGCCCAACCATTTACAATATCAAATCATGCTTACCGCTTCATCTTCCATTTTGTCCGCCTTCCGGTTCTGTGCTGGTGCACACTCCACTTCCCCTGCGATATTATTGTGCCCCTGCCCTCGCATGTACCACACTCTCTTATGCAGAGACCCTCTTCTCAGTCTCACTTCGCCCAGAAATAATACTTGTTCTACGACACTCAACCACCGCTCGCATTTCCATCCTTTCATTTCTGCTGCTTCCTCTAGAAACGACACTGAAACCAGTCCGCCTCAGAAATTCGCCCTTCTCCTTGAAGTTGAAGGGTCTGTATTTATCTTAAATATTCCTATTATTCTCGCTTTGCTCATGCAGTCATTGACAATTTTCATTACGAGCGCCTTGGCTTGCTTCCGGCATTTTGTTGTGAAAACTTGTTCACGGTTGCTTTGAAATATTCTTGACTAGAAGTTTTTCTTTTTTTTTTTTTGGCGCTGGAGATGGATTTAGGGGATCCTAGAAAGCATAACAGTTGGTGTTTCTGTTCTTAATAAGTTTTTCATTTCAGGGTTTTGATTGATGTTTCTCGCGTGGGCAACCGCCAAGCATTCAATGCAGGTGCATCATACACCTTAAGTTTATATTAATCGAACTTGGGCTTATTCCCTTTATCTTGTTGATCTTGATTGACATGCTTTCATTGGGGTCTCACAATGCTTGATCGGATGGATTTAGCATTTAGAAAGCTGGGGTTGGACTGTGCAAATTGGTCTCAACCAGTTTATTCAGACCTTGTAAGGTATGTTAATATTTCCAAGAGTTTTGTATAGTCACAGATAGAATGATGGATGGAATGCAACTACGTTCTCTACTCTTTTATTTAATTATTTTGTCCTTGTTCTTTTCTGTTCATTGGTAGCATAATAGAAAAACCCGGATCCGGCTTGAATTAGTATTAATGACAACTCATTTTGTTACATATACATTTACATTTACAATGACAATTTCAACTTAAAAGACATCAGCACCTAATTTCGTTAATTATGTAAGGATAACTCTCAGACTGATTTATATGGAGGTAGTAGAAACTAGAGACTGATATTTCTCTCGAATCATTACCTTATCTCATTTTCCATGGACTCTTGCTGCATTCCTGTATTATGAGTTTTTAAACAAATGACAAATGTAAATGGTGACTGACAACGCAACTCAACATGGGACTCAATGGCACTACAGGGATTCCTGCATTCTAAACTTATAATGACTTGCTCCTTGATGCTCAGGAAGAGTGCTGGAGATGAAGAAAGGATGCTAATTTTGTTTTTTAACAGGGTGCGTTCACCTCTCTTAAGATCATCCCAGTGTGATTGATTATACTCTTTCAATACACTGGCTTTTCATTGCTTTATTATAATTATTTGCTCTCATGGCAGATTGGTTGGCCTACCTCAGTTCCCACTAGTGAAAAGGGAGCTTTTCTGAAAACTGTTCTTCGGGAGAAGGTATTGATAAGAGATGCTGTAGATGCAACTGAGGTTGTTTATTTTGGTTGTAGTTGAGGTCGTATACTTTACTCTCGTTTCATGCATCTTATGCTTGATGCCCATGGCTACTCAATAAATTGCTCATGTTTTGGATTTATATAATTCCATTGCTGTCTTTCTCTCACTTATGTCTTGCTTTGATGCTCTATAGTTCTTTGCAATAATTTTTATGTAAATTTAGTCTATGGAGGCATTATGTACCCTGAATACTTGATATTTTTAGGTCTAGAGGATTTGATCTTCTGTAACATTTGAAAGATCTCTCAGTGCCTCTCCAATGATTCTATCTGGAGCATATGTTATGCTGACTTATAAATTTTATGCTTCTCTTCCGATCGCAGCTATAGTTTTATTCACTTTGTTTTGCTCATGAAACCATTAGAATCATTTTCTTTGTTTGGAAGCATGCACTCTTATTTTATTGTAGTATGAGACATGACATTTGGATACTTATTTTGCAGAAGAATGCCTTGGAAGATCTTGTCATGTCAAAAGCTTTTTCCTTGAGACCAGGTGCTGAAGAGTAAGTTTGTTTAATGTGAATTAACATGGAATATGATCCTACCAAGCATTTATCGTGAATTCTTGATTCAAATCTTTTTTTTCGTCCAATTTCATTTCTTCCTTGTTGTGTATTGGCATTCTCATCCTGCTAACAGCACATGGAATACAGGAGATGTAAATGCTCATGTAAGGATTATATAATGTTTAGTTTGTTTTGGTTTGCTTGTGAGTACAGAGACAGAAATCCTTGGGAGTCAACATAAATTGTTGAAGTCTTCCCTTACTGACGACAAGGCGACATGATATTACCTATGCCTTATAGTTGCTTGAAGATTGGATGCCTTTAGTAGCATAATAAAATACTAAACATATATGCTGGTGGGGTAAGATACTAAGATATGCTAACAAGGATGATGATATTGCCTATGAGTCGTAGAATCGATGACTATGCTACCTGCCTCTTTAATTTACGACAGAGTATTAGCTCATTGAGTTTCATTCGTGTTTAATTTTCTATTGTAATGTGTAAGTTGACTCTCATTATAGATTACAATCAGAACAAGATGAATATAATATCTTGTATAGTATTATATTACTATATATTGAAATGCATTTTCTTACTTGTAATTGATAATTGATCTTTGTCTTATTGATTTCTCCTGCTTCGCCTTAGGTTCATTGATGATGCTTTTAAAGAAGAAGTACCTGTGGTTATCTTCACAGCATACAGTGGTGGTGGAGAAAAGGTTGCAAGGTTTGTTTCTTAATCATTGGATCTGATCATAGCATGTTTGGCGCTATTCAGATGGTCTTAAGGCAGAAATAATAATCTTTTTGGAATAGAATTAAAAGAGATTTACATATGTAACATGAAGGACACTGTAGCTTGTAAAAAACCAAAATCATTGAAGGAGCAAAAATTTGTTTGAACCAAAACATATGCCCTTCTTCAGAATGCATAGAAAGTAGCAAGACAGACATGATTTTTACAATTTGTTGATATGTGAATTATGCAGCAGATATCGATCTTCAAAATTCATTGTTAATAAAGCATATAACACAATGGAATTGCATATAATTTGATGGTGGATCTACACGATGTTTTCCATTGAAATGTCATGTTAACAGAAACTGTTTACAATGCTTGGAGTTGAAGTCCATGTGATTGAAGATATTGTGGCTTCTGATATAAAAAATTATGTAACCGAAAGCGATGTGCAAGATCTCCTATTGGGTGTTGTGATTTTTGTTATTTCCCTAAACTGAATTGTTATTGTCATATGTTTCCTTGGAGAAGTATAAAATTTTTCTTCTTCGTATGTATCTTCATCTTCACATTATCTATCACACACAGAGAGAGACTATACAGATTGATAGGAAATAATAAACTTATCAGCTTCCTAATAAAAGTAGATATTGATTTTCTTTAATTCCCTAATCTACAGTCTACACACACTATTTATGTATTAGTTACAAAAAGATCTAAACAAGTGTCTTATAGCTTGGCATGGGGTGGGTGCATTTTCACATCAGCTGAAGATTTGCAGGTGTATGTAGTCTCAATATCTATAATTTAACTGCTTCATCCTTGCACTGAAGAATAGGTGGGTCAGGAAAAATCAATTAGGATGAGGAAGTCTTGTACAAGGGTGAATGTTACACATGTTTGCAGTACTGTGATAACTTTTCCAGTTCCTTGACTCGAATCTTTCTGCCACACCTATGCTCCTAATATGTAGCATTGTTTATCATTAGATCTATTGTTGAAAAGCTTGGAAGTGATAGAATGTCTAAGATAAAGATTGTTGGAGATGATGAAGTAAAACAAAGTTTCTATGGCCAGCTTGTATTTGGCAAGGGGGTGTCTTCCAGTTTGGATGAGCTGTTAGCTGAGGAAGTGAGAAAATCAGGTAAGAAACCTGTTTTCAACCTTACGTCCATACTTTCTACTGCTTACATGTATTTAGGAAAGCTCAAGAAGATCTTTAATGTCTATTGTGTCAGCTTCTGCTGAGAAGCAAAAAATTGCCGAGGAGGTTGCCTCCATGCTGAAACTGAAAGTTGACCTTAACACTAGTTCCAGTGAGAGGTTTTTCTTTTGTTTTTTTCTCCACTCTTGAAAGTTTTGGACCTTAGTGTTGTTACGTTCTGTATACTATGGCATATTATATTAGTGTACCAATTGAACATTAAAAATCTTACATATACAGTTTTTTTTTCTATGTTGAAGGTTTAATGTCATTTGTATGTAGGTGTTTTTTTGATGCTTTGATTCTATGTTGCTCTGTGCAGTCTCAAAAAAATTGTTGCTGCACTAAGAGCAGGAGCAGAATATGCTGGTTTACCTGTCAGCAACTGCATTCTGGTTGCTGGAAGCCAGGTTGGAGTTGCGGCAGCTGCACGAATTAGCATGCCTTGTGTAGTTTTGCGGAGCAGGTACAACTAATTTACGGTCGCTATATTGTTGTATTTGTTACGGGTGCTGAATCTGATGAAAATTAGTTATGACTCAAGTATTTGTAGTTTTCTATAATGTAACTCCTTTAATTTCCAAAAAAGGTATTCTTAGTTTTCAAACCTTTCTATTAGAATCTGATAGGAAAGTGTTCACCATCTAAACAAGCTGTCGAGTCCATGAAATGATGGTCAATTGAAACACTTAATGAGTAACTTGTTTGAATGTGTTTGTAGATGTAGATTGCCTTCTTGAGCTTTTCCCTTTGAATCTTGAGCTGTGAATAATGTTTGTCTTGTTCGAGTATACTGATTATTGATTTTGTTCTAACTTTTTCAATAATATATTGGTTACGGCTGCGATCATGAAGTTCAACATCAAGAGCTGAGTTTGGTTCTGCAGTATCTACAATGGATGGATTTGGTGGTGCAGATTTGAGCATTTCTAGACTTCGCAGAAAATTTTTACCTGAAGATTAGTTGTCCCCAGTTATAAGTTTGGCGTGTATTTGCATATGTGGAATTAATTATTTCCTGAAACATGTTGTTCTTGCTGCTGCCTGCATATCTTTACTGGTGTAAGAAAACTTGATGGTTCATGTACAATGTTCTACTAGCTGAACTGACTAATTTTCTGCATAAAGTTGTTTGTTTTCGGAACTTACTCTTCTTTGTTTGGTGGTGGACATACAGAGCTGTTAACGATCCGAGCCGAGTCAAATTTTAAATGTTCGTTAATGTTCGCGAACAAGGCTCGGGCTCGTTCGTTAAGCTTTCGAGCTCGTTCGTAGTATTCGAGTTAGGCTCGTTAAGAATTTTTGTTGTTTGAGCTCATGTTCGGCTAGATTAACCTCGTTCAAGCTCGTTTGTCTTATAAAAAAAATTTAAAATTATTTTATTTATATATTTTAAATTAATATTTTATTTATTTATAAATTATAATTTTATATGTATATATAATATTTATAATAAATATATTATTTAAACGAACGTTCGCGAACAAAGCTCGAGTTCGTTCGTTAACGAAATGAGCCTGTTCATGTTGTTCGATTCAGCTCGTTAACGTTCGCAAATGAGCTTTAATTCAACCGAATCGAATCGAGTTTACGAATGGCTTGGATCGTTTAACATCTCTAATTATATACTAAATATAAAATTTTATTAAAAATATAATATTATAATTTTTGAATTTAAAAAATAAAGTAATATATATTAATATTAATAATTATGTAATATGGTAGTATTAAATAGTTGTTTTTATCAAACTTCCAAAATTGATGTAAATGCAGAGTGAGATTTAGTAACTTAGAAAATAAAAGGGAATAAACGACAACGTAGGTAATAGTAATAATACTTACAGACGGTGAAATTTCACTTCATTCAGGGTTTGAAGGGAGTCGTCTGCAACTACAACTGACTATTGTTTTGTAGGGTAAATTCGTTGAGCTTCATCCTGCGCTCGGCTGTAAAAGCAGGGGCGGAAGGCTGCAGACCACTGATTCTGATTTTGGAGGCTGCCGGAGACAATGAACTCTCTCTGTCTCTTGCGGTGCGCCTTCTCTTCTCATGTCCTTCGCTTATTTATTTATTTGTCAAATTTTCCAATCTCTCAACTCTACTACAAATTCGATCATCTTGATTTACGATGTCGTTGTTGAGGCAGGAGTTCGATCTCAGTGCCCGTGCGGCCACTCGCACTCAGCTTTTTCAAACCAGCTCATCCGACTTCCCGGAATGTACTTTTCCCTCTCCTACATCGTCCACTTCGGTTCCACAGGTACATAATTCGTGACGCTTTCTCTTCTTTCTTCTCTGAGTCCTTTGCCGTTGGATTTTTGTTCCCGGGTATGTTAATTTGAAGTATATTTTAGGTGAAGATATTATTTGATTTGTGAAGGATTAACTCAAATTGTCAATGCATGAAATGCTTAGGTTATAAAGTTTATTGCATTATCTTATTGGCATGGCTTCTTGTTTCACATACCAATGTTCCTATTAACTTCTTTCCCACTTTTGAGTATACTGAGGATGAACTGGAAGTGTAAAACGTTTATAGTTATTTTCTTTCAGAAATTTATCAAACGTAAGAGCTACAAATGATGAAGAGAATGCTGCAAGAGCTGCTGCTGTCAATGCTGATACTGAAGCGCCAACAATGTTTGAATCTTTTTCTGTGACCTTTTTTTCTTTTTTTTTTTTACAAATAAACCTTCTTTTCAAGCCATCAAACACTTCAATGTTAACAACTCAGATATGTTTTTATGGCCGTTTCGGTTCATTTCTTCAGTTAAAATTTATGCCCTGCAGGCCAAATATCTTCACCAATAAATTTTTCCAGCATGTCAGTGGTTAATACATCACATGAACTGTCAACAACAATCTATGCGCCAAATCATTTTTCATCTTACATTATTGACTTTATATTGCTTTATGAGTATCTGTTTCAGATTTTTTTTAATGATTATTTGAAACCAAGCATTGTTTTGCTACCTCACCTCTCCCCAAAACATAAGGAAAATGAGAGAAAAAGAAGGAACTGCTCAACATAACTTGGCATAAATTGAAGTTTCAGATAAAAAGTACCATTCTGGCATGTTTGCTTTTGATTCTTATAGTTCATTTTAATCCTAATTACAATTTTATTTATTTTCTTTACTAGATTTGACAAGATTATTTCTAGGGAGATCCCTTCAGCCATTGTTTATGAGGATGAAAATGTCCTTGCTTTTCGAGATATTAATCCACAGGCTCCTGTTCATGTCCTTGTCATCCCAAAAATACGAGATGGTTTGACCAAGCTTAGCAAGGTGATTTTCAATTATGTTTGTAAAAATGTGTATTCAAATGCAGTATGAATAATTGTTGCTTATGCCGGGGATGAAGTTCTTTGCACATGCAGGCAGTGGTTACTCAATTAGAACATAAAATGCTCGTGAACTTCTATTGTACAATATTTGGCGTGTTAATAGTATACAACCAATTTGCCAGCTTGTTGTTTCTTTTGTTTTGTTTTGTTTTGCTTTCAGTAAACCAAATTTTTGCGATGATAGACATTGAGCCATGTGCCATGTACTTGATTAGTAAATGGTTTAGCTATGGTTCCGCATTGTTAAATTTTGTAATATGTACCGGCTCATGTTTGATAGGCTGAACAAAGGCATGAAGAGATATTGGGGCGCCTTCTTCATGCTGCTAAAATAGTAGCAGAGAAAGAAGGAATCGCTGATGGTTTTCGTGTTGTCATCAACAATGGTCAATCTGCTTGTATGTCTCTTCTCCCTACCTCTTGTTTTTTTGTGCATGTGCATGGCTATACTAGCCGGGAATGAATACTAAATCAAGTAAGATGATTAAATTGGTTCGTGGTTAGTAAGTGATTCCAGAGATATTATATATATATAATCTCTTAACAATCATTCATACTCTTTACAAATAAAAGATAAGGGATATAGCTAAACTTCTGACCACCCTTTGGTGCTCTCATTGCACAGGCCAATCTGTTTACCATCTTCACTTACATGTACTTGGAGGGAGACAGATGAAGTGGCCACCAGGTTAATAATATGCAAGAAAGGTTTTGGGTTTTGGCACTTCAATTCACTTGACCAGGGTTTGTTTATTATCCTGAGAAGTATTCTGTGTCTGTACTCTCTTCTCTTCTACATGGTTCAATGCAATTGATGAATGGAACTTGAATTGAAAATAATATGGCCTTTGTTATTGCTACCCTGCTTAGCAGTGCAGAATAGGACCTCTTTCTCTACATAGAATGCTTGTTAACTCAAAGAATTGTTATCAAGAAAGAGAATTGAGTTATAGGAAGAATTAAGAACTGTTGTGAACGAGTACTTGGAAGAACATGGAATACCATATCAGGTAATATCTCAGGGGACCCAAATTAAAATAATAATAATAATAATAATAATAATGATAACAGGTGGACAGACTACTGTTTGTGAAGTTAGTTTGTTTGTTAGTTTATATATTTATTATATGTAGGGGTTGGAGGTATTGCAGGATAATAAAATGCCAGCAGGTCACACACACACAAATGACATACTTTCGTGTTGTGCATAATGTTAGGCTCTCCTTGATGGGTCCCATCTGTCATTTTGCCACCTTGTAATGATCTCATCGCCAGCTGTCATTGGATTTTTATTCTCCCTTCCTTCCATGATTGACATATAATAGTTTTTTCCTTATTTAATTGTTATTATTTTTATTAGGAGATAGGATTGGAGTCGTCACTGTCCCTGTCTGTCTCTGTCTCCCCATAATAGCTGCTGCAGCTGCTGCAATAATGGAGGTTGGAGGGTGGCGACTCCCTCTCTCTCTCTCTCTCTCTCTCTTAATATGCTATTATATTCCTTTTTAATTAATAATTCTAGCTTCCTCCTGATTCATGTGTGGTGTTTCTTCAGCCAGCCTTGCCTTGCATTGCTGCCTCGCCTTGATTGACTCAGTGCCTGATTGCTGTACAGTGCTGTGAAGCACACAACCATTGGCTTTGCCATTAATAATTAAATAAAATCATCATCATCATAGCTATTCTTTGATTCTTCTTCTTCTTCTTCATATTGAGTGGCTGGCAAGATTCATCGCTTGTCCTCCCTAACCACCTAAATCCTCTGTTCTCTCTCTCTCTCTCTCTCTCTCTCTCTCTATCTTGTTTTCTGTTTGCAACACGATGGTGAACTACTGGAAATCCAAGGTCCTTCCAAAGATCAAGAAGGTTTTTGAAAACCCGAAGAAGGTTGCAGCTGCCGAAGCCTGCAAGAGCTTTGATGAAGCTAAGGTAAATTACAATTTTGTCTGTTGGCTTATATCTTCATGTTTTCTAAATCTCCTACATCTGGATGATTAAACTTTAAGTTAGCTTCTATCTATTGTTTGGTGTTCTCAATATGATAATCGAATTGACGACCTGCAGGAAGAATACTCAAAAGAGTTCCAAGACAAAAAGACAGAACTTGAGCCTAAAGTCATCGAAATCTATGAAGCTTCCTCTGCTGAGGTCAAGGTGAGTAACTATTTTAACTTTTATTCTTCATGCTACAATCCATCGGTCCTTTGTTTGTTTGTGTTTCTATACATACATTTATATATAATTGAAATTTGCTAATTACGGAGTAGAGTTGTAGTAATTTATTGGAGCTTAGCTTGATATCTCTTATGAACTTGAAAAACCAGACTCTGGTAAAGGAACCCAAGGACTCAGGCTTAAAGAAGCACTCCGCCGCAGTTGAGAAATTCCTTGACGAGCTATCTAAGATTGGTAGGTATCCTTACAGATCCATATCTAAATATCATCATATATCTAACCAGACAAGCAGCATGCTGTGTGTGTGCAAATGATTGATTTGGTTGATCATGGTTGAAAATTAAGGATTCCCCGGATCGAAGCAAGTCTGCGAAGCAGCTACCAAGGTTGGAGCAGGATACTTACCTGGTCCAGTGTTCTTTGTGTTTGAGAAGGTGTCCACGTTTATAGTTACAGAGGAGAAGAAGGAAGAGGCTGTCGATGTCGAGAAGAAGGAAGGAGATGCAGAAGAAGTGACGAGTAGTAGCGCTCCCCCAGAAGTTAAAGATAAAGAGATTGGCGATGTCGAACCCAAGGAGGAGGTGAAGGTGGAAGCAGCGCCTGAACCTGAGCCTAAGGTGGAAACTGAGCCTGCAACCACGGGCAAAACCGAAGAACCATCGAAGGTTGAAGAAGGTGCACCTGCCGAACCCCCCAAGCCTTGATTGCTGATTGGATTTCTGCCTTGATATGTATAAAATCTTCAACTTTCTTCTTCCTGCATCGATTGGGCAAAACTGATGCATATGGTTGCTGCTTGTGTGTGTGTTTCTCATTTGTTTATTTGGCTCTCTGTGTCGTCGTTTCTTATTTACACCCCACCACTTTTTATTATTTTGTGCATTGTTGTAGTCGAATTGTATGTAATTGGCGTACAGTACGGTACGGTACAGTTTGTTATTTATTTATTGTGTGTATAAACAGATTATAATGAAAAACATCTTTGTTTCAAAGTATACTTGGTTTGAAGCTTCGTTGTTACCTTACTAGAATTCTCTCCAGGACATTGCCAGCAGCAGCAGCTCAGCGTATGATCTTTCTATTCTGACATTCATTTTTTTCAAATATTTTTTAATAAAAGCTTGGATGAATCTTCCTTATTGCGGATCATTGATTTTCTATTTCATGAGAATTGCAGATCTGCGCTGCCAAGCATCGCATCTGCAGAGGAGTAATCGATCGAACTAGCCTGCCTCCACAACTCGTTTTTCCGGTAAGAACTGGAAACGAGCGCGATCAACAAATTAAGTACGTCGTCGTCATCTTCAAGGTGAATGATTATTCCATTTTTTATAACACTACAGTTCTCCAAGTCGAATTTATTTATCTATTAGATGATAGATAACCGAAGGGAAGAGGAGCGATTATACATCAAACGAGTGGTTCATGAATCGTGATCTATATCTCCTTCAACCATGGGAACAGAAAATAAGGTTTTTGCAATTGGAATTCAATTGAACGAAGACAAAAATAGGAAAAACAAGTGATGCATCGTGTAATATATTATAGCTTGGCTGAAAAATGGCTGCCTGTGCATATAACAGGATCAGGATCTGAAAACTTAATTCGCATTGACGCGGTTGCAGTTGAGTCGAACTTCACCGTCGTCCTCATCAGAATATTCCAGAATGTTACCAAGTTTAATCATAGACGCGGTAAACTGATGCCTGAAGAGCTCCGGCTGGTTCGCAAAGGCATTCACAAGGGGACCTGTCCTCGAATCGGAGTAGAGCATTTGATCACTGGACAGTAGCCCCATCTTTTTCTCCAAATTTTTGTAGTACTGATTGTCGAAGTCCTCCGGCGTCCTGGCGTCGAGCTCCACATACTCCGACGCCCACCGGCACTTCCTCCTCAAAAAGTTGAGATACTTGGGGTTAACGGTGGGGTCAGGCTTGCCGGTGCCATTGCAGTTGAACAACCTGTGCTGCAGAGCACCGCAGGTGCTTCTTCCGATGGTGTGCGCCCCGAGAAGCGCCACCAAGTCGAGTATGCTAAGGCCCTTCGACTGGAACAGCTCAATCATATCCGTGACTCTCTCGTGGCCGCTCATAGGAACGGCATTCGCCTCGTCGGCGCGGGAGACTCTGCCGTCCTTCCTGCCGTAGGGAACCTGCCAGAATGGTCCTCCGGCTGCCACCGTGGCGTCTCTGGCTGCAGCGGTGAGGATGTCGGCGCAGGAGACTGTGCGAGGACAGTGCTTCTCCAGTTCTGCCTTGATGTCGTCGATTACTTCGAATCCCCTCAAGGATTTGCTGGCGACGGCTGTTCGCTCGCTGCCGGCGTGATCGAGGAGGACCGAGGCATCGCAACCCTGTCATGGCACACATTTTACAGGTGATCAAAATTCCAATATATATATATATGTTTATATATGATGTTGAGGAGGAGAGAAGAGAGGAGTGTACGGACTCGGAGAGAGCAGTCGTGGAAATGGAGACGGATGAGTGCAGGGGCGAGAGTGGAGTCGTTTTTGAACCATTGATGGAGCTTATTGTGGATGATTTTTTCGAGCTTGGGGCAGCTGCTATGGTAGTAGGAAAAGCTGAGAGAATCATCGTTGTCGTCGTCATTCTTGCTGTAATATCTGTTGTCCGCAGGCACAGCAACCGCAGCCATCATCAGCAACGCCAACATGTAGACGACGAAGACGTGGCCCGACATCGAGATTTATGGATGTAAGTAAGTAAAGGTATGTCTTCCTCTCCTTCCCTGTTAATTTTGTCTACCAAAATTGATTGTTTGATGCAATTTGCTTCAACTCCAATGCTCTGATTTGATCATATTTTTCACCACCAAGAACATGTTTATATATATAGATATAGATAATAGATATATACGTGACACGCACAACCCTATTGCAATGATACAATACTTCAAATTACGACGTGCAGGCCATTTAATACGTGCTCTTTTACCTCATACATGTATTACCTGAATTGATTAATTAATTAATTAATTAATCACTCAGTGTGTCAATGATCCTTATTCTAACCATAGTATGGACTTTTTTGTATGCTTTATTTGAAATCATTATTTGAATACAGTTTGACTTATTCGTAAATGGTTATATGGATTTATCTAATGAATAATTCACCACAGTATTTTCTATTTACTAACCCTTTGCTAGTTTTATTCCTTACAAACAAGACATTACATAGCAGATATGAAAGGCACAGCATATATATAACATAGACATATACATATATATCACGGGGTGGATAGGTTTTGAGTTCTAGCAAATGATTGCTGAGAAACTTATTATACACGAAAATGGAGTATCATTAACCAAACTTACTTATTATCATATGAACTTAACTATTGTGTTTTATTGTGTTGGTGAGGTAGTAGCAGATGCAGATATCATCCATTACGCAGGAGCATCGTTTGCCGAGGCCACAGTTCTTAGGACAAACACAGGATCTCCAACTTTGATCATCTTTCCTGTCCCTTTATTAAGTGAGTCACTACATACCATGTTCTGCCCAAAATACATCTGCAACATCAATCGTTTCGAGATTTTCTTATGTTCGCAAGATAATTAATTATGATACTTAAAAATGGACAGTAGTAATGCAAGGCAACCGTAGCTTGTTTCTCACTACAGGATTTACCTTTCCTTTCTGTGATTTATTTTTTTGACGCAGATCCTTATCAGACCGGAAGGTCAAAAGAGTCTCCATAGGCTCGGGGCCTGCTACTGCAGTTTCTTGATTAATTGTCGGTACCTGTTGCTCACATTAAGGGATGTTCATAAGAGTGATCATTTGGACAATATGTGAAATGTTAAGGTAACAAGCGTTTACCTTACATCGAGAGCATAATTTCACACCTCGGAATGTTGACTCATTGATTCGAATCTCGGCCCACACATCCTCCATAAATGGCTCACATCCATCCACCAGAATACTGCAGGCAAGGTACGCTCTCACATACTTATAGTTGATAATCAATTCGAAGCAAACATGGTTAGACTTGCATTAGATAGATAAAATATTTAACAAACAAAAATTAATTAAAATCCATTCAAATATAAGGTATGGTTAGAAAATAGCGTCTAAGCTTGCACATGAATATCTGCGAATTATTACTTGGGTCTGAACCGGTTGACAGGTACAGGCTCCTTGAGAAGAGAATTTAAGGCATCCATAGATCCCTGGAAATAGGAGTTCAACAAATATTATTTTGATGATCTTATCTTGAAAAAAGAAAATTATCGAACTTCAAATGTTAGACTCACAGACCTGTGACACCAATAGGAATGGATACCCATCTGCAAACATAACTTTATATCCTTGTGCATAATTGGAATCCACATTCCTCACCTCCGATGCTGGTTAACAAACACAAATCCAATACCATCTAGTTAAACTTGTTTGTCCGGTACAATTTATAGTAATACTCCTACAACTCCAAAAACCCCATTGTTACATTAGTAAGAGTTTAAAGAGGAGAGCTAGCTAAGTTTATCAAAAGCATCTACACTACCCGTAGCATCGAACAATTAAGAAAAATATCTTATATCAAATGGACATAATTAAGAATTTAGGATTCAGCCTCTTACCGTCATTAAATCGCACTAGCCTGCTAGGCTTCCCGAGATAAGAAGTGAACCATTCTGCTGCGGCAGCTCCTTCATCCACTGCAGATCCGGACCATTCCCACACCGAGACACCATCCACTGTTTTGGTTGGTCTGATTAGTGGAACCTTAAGGTCACTCATGCCAGGAGCCTTTATCACTGAAAGACGATGCAGTTTAAATTTAATCATCACTCACAGTAAGAGATCATCCTAATTACCAAAAGCTTGTGCACTTCTATTTCCCCCTCCAGATTTTCATTTTTTGATTGAATAGGGTAGAATACACGTAAAGATCCCCTGCTGTGTAAGTTCTTAGACTAATACATTACTTCTAGAACACAGTAGAATTTTGAGATTATAGGCTTGATAGTATGGGAAATTCCATAAGAACATCATTGAAGATGAAATGAGAATCCATTGAAGAAGAGTTGGAAAAGGTTGTACGGAATTCGAAAACTGCAATGATCTGTAAATTTGACGGTGATCATACCTAAATATGAGGACTTGTCTGGCTTCCAATTCTCAGAGAATGCTTCACTTGGAAGCTCCACTCCAACTAGAGCAAGCCTCGGTTCAACTCTTTGCGTGTATGCCCTGCCTTTGGAATTCACCACTAACCATTGCCGATCCCAACGGAAACCTATATATACAGAGAGACGGAGAACGAGAAGTTGAACAGCGAAAAGAACAAGGATCATCCAGATTGGAGGTTAGGTTCACTTGTTATATCAAAATTGGAATAGAGCATGCTAGTTTCGAATAAATGATAGCACAAAGTAAAATAGAATGAGAGAGGTACCAGTGGAAGAGATGGGAACTCGACGAAGGGAAATTCCTTGGCATGATTTGATCGGGTAGACAATCAGTGACCTGACCGTAGCAGCTACAAGACCACTGTACGCCTCCGCCATGTCTAGTGTGGTGTGTGTGTCTGGGTCTCCTCGCTTCTGTCTTTGCCAGCGACGAACGAAGAATATAGGAATTACAGCTTCCTATATATATATATATATTAAATGACGTAGTAAATTTGTACGCTTTGGAAAGTGACGTTGATTTTTTGTTGTTGTTGGCTAAATTATCTAAATATTATGAAAAAAATATCATATCCATATTAATGAAATGCATTATACATATAATATATTATTATATTCGTTTATAAAAGGTTAATTGTAAAATACAAAATATTGTTTTTATATTATATTATTTATATTTATATTTATCATAAAACAAATATAAAATCAACCCATAGTAAAAATTGACGAGACAGTATAAGATTGTTAGTCAATTTTTGTAAAATTCTGATTTATTAGCCTATATTTGACTGATTTATTCCAACCAATAAATAGGATCCAATATTATTTAATTCTATAACCAAAGTAAAGCATCCTTATCGCTTTAAAATCAATAGATTGTCATTTAAAATTATCAATTTTACTACACTGGCTTAAATATAATACTAATGCATGTCTATTGGAGTATTAAAACAACATTGCAATATATTTCATTTATTATTCCTTCCATTCTAATTTAATATCTACCATGACATTTTTTATTAGTAACATAAAATAATAATATTTAATTAATTAATTAATAATAAATTATAATATTATTTTATTAATTTTTATGTAATCAATAATACTATAATTTCAAAATAAATTTAATACTATATAATTAAAAAATTTAAAAAATACTTAAATATTTTAAAACTTATATAGTAATAATATAAATTTTAAAAACATATTCAATAAGAATTATTTTATAAAATTAATATTTAGTTAAAAAAAAATGTTTATTCATTTATTGATTAACATAATGTAGATTTGTTTTTAGGAGAGAAACAAAATATAATATTAGTTAATTCATTCATTAATTTATATTTATTAAATATATTTCGATTTAATAAATTTTATCTAAAATAAATATATGTCAAACAAATAAAAATGAAAAAAAAAAAAAAAACAATTAATATGGATTGAGGAAGTACAATCTTAAATCAATGGAAATACTGATCAACACCCTAATTCCTAGCACAAACTTATGGACGCCGAATGAGGACAATTTCAAAATTCTCATTTTCTTTATTCTTTTACCTTTCAACTTTTCAGATTCTTAACTATCAGCATCAGATATGAATTTCAACTTCATGCCAAAACTCCGTATAAAGTATATCTACTTTACAGCTTTCTCTATGTATCTGTATCCTCTTCATTGTCTTTACATTAAGTTTCAATTTTTTTAAAAAAATTAGAGAATAATACTCTCAAAGGAAACAAACCGTTAAGATGTCAACACAATCAAATTCAAATTAATATAGTAGTGATCCAAAACACATAAAGGAAGATATTTCAGTCTTCAGGTTTCAATATCTCACAAGAACACAAAACTAGTATACTTCTAGTTCTAATGTATTAATCGTAGCACTCATAACAGAACCTGTCGTCTTCGACAACTGCATTTCTTCGTGCGGATGCCGACCAAACTGTGGTGTATCTACTCAGTGCACTCCAAACTAAATGATACTGCAAGGGGTGTCCATATCTTCATCTTGCAATGTAATTTAAGTTCAGCAAATATGGAAGCTCTGATCTGAACTTGGTTAAATCGAAAGCACATATAGAACAAGTTACCAATCCCAAAAAGCCTCGACTCTATTTTATAGACTAGAAACAAAAACTGGTTCACTTTTGCTAGAGGGGCGAAAAGGTTACAATGGTGGTTGGAACAAAGAAGAGTCATTACGAATCAACAACAATGAGTTTGCTCATTCCACAAACTATCTAAAATCACTCATTAATGTCCTTCAGTCATGAAGGCCATTATCAAGTAGCCAAAAAAAAATAAAAAGAGAAGTGAAACTCAAGTACTTCCTTCAGGTTCTTCCGAGCCCAGACATGTCAAAAGTGGATGATGTGGTTCACCAAGCCCGTTCCCTTTGCTGTTCAGAAACCCAAATTGGGGAAACATGGGTGAATAATGATCCGGGATAGCAAACAATAACATAATATTGATCCATGGCAAAGAATGCTTCATCTTTAACTAGTAGATTCATTTCTATGGATAAAAATAAGGAGCAGCCAAGATGTGTTGTCAAGAAGTTCCTCTAAAATTAACCACGCTTTATAACAAAGAAAAAAGCACTGGGAAACAGCACACATATGAAATTTGAGGGATCAAACAACACCATCTCACGCTAAATGGAAACCTTGTGATGGGATATAAAGAGAGCAACTTACTTGCATGTTTTCTTATTATGCCCCAGTCCCTTGCATTTACTACACTGGAGCTGTCGTTTGATGATATCCACAGATTCGACCAGCTTCAACTTGGGCCTGCCTGGCGGGCGTTTAGTAGGAGGTGGATTCACAATAGTTGCTTCTTGCAACTCACTTTGCTCTGGTTTCTCCACATTTGGCATAGGGTTGATTGACTCGGTGTAAGTTAGTTGATAACTTTCAGTCATGAAAAATCTAGAGCAATAATCATAAAGACTCCTGCCATGGCATTCGAGAACAGCAATAGCATGACAGCAAGGTAATCCAGTAAGCTGCCATCCCTTGCAACAACAGTCCCAGTGATCTATGTCAACTAGGTTAACTGATTCACCACGGACCTCAAATATACTACCATGTGAGAGTAGCACTTGAAGTGATCTTGCTTTTGACATCTCATGCTGAAGTTTATCTTCCATAACAGGTGTTAATCTTGTAACCCATTGGCTGGATTCAAGTCGTCGTCTATATATGAGTTCCATAATCTTTCCGCGCAACACATCGACCATCTGAGTTATAGGCAACTCGTCAACCTCAGACACCCAACTGTAAAACTGTTGGCCGAAGTTAGATGTCATATGGTTATATCTAGCCCCACCAAAAAATGCATTCGCCCAGTGATCTGGTTCGCTGTTAACCACCCAATTATAGGCGTCAACAGAGATAGCCTTTATATTATCAATACACCTTTCAAACACCTGAAGCTTTGGTGCATAGGCAGCAGCATACAAATCCTGAACCATGAGGCGTCTTGCATCATGCGAAAATTGTCCTTTGAGGTCTTTAATAAGCTTCTCTGCAAGACAACGTAAACAGTAACCATGATGGCATTCCTTGCCAAATATATCAAGCAAGGACTCTTTTATGCCTTTCTGAAAATCAGAAACAAAAGTAATTTGTTCCGATGTTGACAGAGCAGATTTCAGTTGAGAAAGAAACCAATGCCAGTTATCCTCAGTTTCTTCATCAACCACAGCAAAAGCAACAGGAAAAAAGTCATCATTCCCATCTGCAGCTGTTGCAGCTAATAATGTTCCTTGATATTTCGAGTAAAGAAGAGTGCTATCAAGAAATAGAAGCGGACGGCATTGGTGAAAACCAGCTATTGAAGCATGAAAGGATACGAAAAATCGATGGAAGCTTGAATCTGCCTTTGTGCTGAAAGTAGCCCGACTACCTGGATTTGTCTCCACTATACTCTCACAAAAATATGGCAATTGAGAGTATGCTTCTTTATAAGACCCCTGAAGCTGTTCTCTTGCAATCTCCTTGGCACGCCATGCCTGCGTATAGTTCAACTGAATTCCATAATCACGCTTAATATCACTGGCAATATCCTTTGGTTTGTAATTTGGGGAAACTTTCAATTTTTCCTTTATTATATTCCCTATCCATCCCCTAGTGGCCCTGTAACCAGCTTTCACAGTGGCCCCTTCACAAGTATGCTCAGGATTCATTTTTTTGATACAAATTAACTGTGTAGTTGCCAACCTAGATGCGTAGATTCGCCATGGACAGCCTTCTGTTTTGCACTTGGCAGTAACACGGTGGCTATCATTCTTTTTATATTTGTATGTGAAACCATGGGCAATAGAGTACTTATGAAGCGCTTCACGGAATTCAGCAAAGGTATTGAATCTCTGGTCCACACCAGTTATGATATTCTCCCATTGAGTTGCTGCTTTTCGATGCTTCTCTTCATTGCCAAAATGACAAATACCAAGTGAAGTAGTTTCAATGGGCTCGTCAAAAACAATTGCATCAACCATGGGGGCATCAGAAGGAACTGCTGTCTCAGACACAGTTGTCCTGCTGGACCTGTACAAATCATAAGGTTCACTGTTCAGATAATCAATAACAACAAAATGCTCTGATTAGATATATATACATTAAATTATTTTATTATTTCATTAATTCTTTTAAAACATTTATACCTATTAATTGTCTGATTTGTACTTCTCCCATTATAAATATTGCCATGGATCATTAAAATACAACAGAACATCTAAATTCTCTTAAAATGGACTTTCAGTGTAGATTCCTTCATCTATTTCTCCTAATGAGAGGAAAATAATCAGAAACTCAAACTCTTGTCTATAGGGCATTGCTTATTTTGACCATTACCACCAGCTACACACATACATCAATGTCCAACTAACATGGACCAGAAACTTCCACTTTGTGATGGCCTCCCTAAAGAGAGGCCCCATACTAGGTAGTAGATACTAAGCTTAATGAAAGTGAGGGCAAAGAGCTAGCATATGCTTGAAGGCTCTGGTGGGCAGCAGTGATCGGTTTTCTCCTTCATACTGAAATCAAACTAGGAACTAAGCCTAGTGACAACTAGAGAGAAGGCAAAAAATTCACAGTGGAATCACCTAACGGGAAAGTAATCCTTTAACTCCCGTTCCTTGCATCCAATATCGATTCATGGGGAAGTTGGCAGACTCCATAAATTACCAGAAAACTTCCTTATAATAGCTAACACAAGAAGTGGAAACTTCACCCATAGTTATGAAGGTAATAACTTCAGCAAATCAGTCCAAGCTAGGAAATGTTTTCCACAGGCTGCATTAGTCCAGTTAAAGGAATCTAAAACCCAAGCCAGACCAGCAATAATAAAGCTTGATAAATAGCTCCAGTTATTAACAGGTTCCACCAACATCCTCTCTCAGTCGCATAAAATGCACAGCCCACTGCGGCAACATCTGACGTTAGAGACACAGTGCTTCTCTAGCTACGAATGTTTCACTTAATGGCATTCTCGTCTTTGTCACACTTCTCTCTCATGTAGAAATCAACCTTTGTGTCTAACTTAGAATGTAAATGATGAGTTCGAAGAACCAAGGTTGTCCCGACGCCCTTTTACGGCCGTCATACCGCCATAGCAATAAAATGGTGAATACGGCGCACATGTATAAAAATTTATATATATTATACTCCCTCCGTCCCACTTACCGGGTCTATATTGCCGTTTCTGTCCGTCCCACATCTCATGTCACTTTTCTTTTTTGGAAAATGATTACCCATCTTAATCTTATTTTAAATTTTTTAATTTAATTTTTTTTAATTTTAATTAAACTAATTAGTTATTTTAATCTTAAACTATAATGATTTATATTATAGGTTAATTATTTTCATTGATACATTCTTAATTATCTACTAATTATACTTATCCTAAATTCTCATGCCTACAGTGACCAAGACACCCATTATGGGACGGAGGTAGTATCTTATAAGAAATTAATGCCTATATTTATTTATTAATTTTATAGTAACATGTTAAAAAAATACAAAGTAACTAATAAATAAAAATAATTAATTAATTTAAAATTTTAAAATAAATAAATATACAATAAATAATAATGTAATACATCAAATACTAATACTAATAGTATCAATAAATAAATAAATAATAGAGCAGTGAATTAGATAAAAAATTAGAAAATATAAGAAATAGTGGATAAAAACATCAAGATGGGATGACTCTGTTATACAAAGGGGCTGCACAAAGGGATTACACCAGGAGAGAGCAGGGGAGAGAGAGGATGACAAGTTAAGGTTTTGATAGGTTTTCCAGGTTTAGAGGTTGATGTCGATGCTGTTTTGGGGCTTGGGCTGGGCTTTACAAGGCTCTGGGCTAGCCTGCCCAGTGCCATGGCATTGCCCTAGCATCGTGAGGTGTTGCCACGGCATTCCCTAAAGCATCGCTAACCAGCCTTCTTTAGTAAGGCAAGGCGAAGAGTTGCGGCGCCTCCAAAAGGCGCCATGGCGACGCTGTGACTACAATGCGAAGAACACAATTCTCTCCTCTCCATCTAGAAAGGATAATAGGTTATATGCGTATTTGTCTTCTCATCTGTACTCGTCCAATATAAATTGTTATGCCATAGTTTAATCATATAAAATAGCAACAGTTTTTTCTTATTATGGTAATAGAATATGCATCCTTCATAAATTTTCACCTGCTGTAAAAAATAAAAGAGGTGGAGGGACACCCAGAGAGTCTTTTTACTGTATTTCATTGCTAAGGTAGAAAACCATACACCACATCACCCCCAGCTACACATATAACATCATTGTAAACCAACATGGAACTAGACCTAGGGAAACATTGCAATAGATGTTAAGTTAGATATTCATAGTAGTAGTCATAATCATCTAAACAAAAAAAAAATATCCGGATGTCTTGTGGTTAGATGGGTTCTTAACTACTAGAGGACTGCTGGCAGTGATTAGAAATTAAGTGGAAAAACCTCAGAGCATTAACTGTGATGCTACTCTAAAAAAATCGCAAAACAAAAATGTTTTCTTGGAAACGCTTTCCTAAAGGATCTATGGTAGAATATGCACTGCGGAAGGCAATACCACAAGACTTAACAACTGGTGTTAGATACTTACACTGAGACCAATATTTTCCTTTTTTTCATCATGATAAAACGACAACCATTTAGTAGCAAGTATTACAATATTCCATGCACAAAAAAATCAATACATCATTCAGCCCAATTTCGAAGCATAGAAGTGTCGGTTACGCCATTGAAAGTGAAACATGCTAAGAAGCTCCAATGTGATAAGTTGAGTATAATTGATTAACACACTCCAACTTCATGGAGTGTTAGGAGACTGACAAAATATAAACAATCAAAATAATATATATGCATGTGTAGAACTTTTCTATTTTGTCCAGGTTATTTTTCATACTTATAAATGCATATGAAACCGTTTTGGCAGAGTAGGGGATGTGAATTACCTACTGGTGGGCATGTAGGAAACATTCCGGGCAGCAGCGTCTTCAGCAATTACAAAGACCTCAACTTGATCAGAGTCCTTGAAGAAATTAACCATGCGCTTGAGATCTTTATCCTTAGATATGGTAATCAAGGTCTTTCTGTTTCCCGGAAGAAAATATTTGATTGCCATAGCATCAATATTGCATTGAAAAGTTTCAGCAAGTTCCTGCTTGAAATCTTTCAATTGGGTCTGCTGATCAAGGTCCAGAGCATAAGCTTCTCCACCATTATAGAATAAAGATCCATCATCTTTGTGGGTCACAAACTCCCCTCCAGATTGGCATATGGCTATGATTTTCTTAGTGGCCATCACCAAAAGGACAAGGGATACTAAATGAATCCACTGCAAAGATCAAGCAGCACTCTATCCTGGGTTAGTAACTTACATCCAAAACAACTGAGTGAAGTGCTGCTACTCATCAAATTTATTGAAACAAAAACAAACAAGTGAACTTAAAGATACAAAAAAAAAAAAACAAAACAAAAATAAATCTGTAGGAAAAATATTTGAAACTTATCAAAAGATAAGGTGAAAGAAGTGACAGCAACAAGAAGCTAGAGCACAATAGACTTTCAGATCCAGGTTCAAGATTGTTATAATAAAGGAAAAGGCAGATATGAAATTCCATGAATAACAAAGAATGAACAGATAACCCATCTTATAATTCAAACCCAATTTCAAACCAAAATTGAAGAAACACAAAAGAGGTAAAATTGCCCAAGAATCACCCACTGAACCCACAATTCCACAAGACAAAAATACCACAAAGGAAAATTGACAAATAAAATTTTTTTATCTTCAATTGGCACACAAATTTGCAATTTAAGGATCATCAATTATCGTTGTTGATAGGATAAAAGGAACATGGGGTTCAACAAAGACAGAGAAAGACATAAATGGAGGCAGGGTTACAGTTCAGGGAATAAAGGTCCATTAACTCAACAGCAGCTGGTTTGATTAATGCTCACTTCCTTTCTTCTTTGTGCAAGTAATTCATAATCAAACCAATGGGCAGAATGAGTTTTTTAATTGCAATATGGAAGGGAGATCACGATACTAAGGGTTAGTTCTTTCCCCCAAAAGCAATTTAGCCAATTCAAACGCATTTAATTAATTCCTGGAAATAACCTCAAATGCCAAAATTCAGCATACTCCAGAAGTACATTCAGAATTTCCTTCAGGACAGCGTATATCCTATATGAAAAACACATCTTTGGAAACAAAAAAGTAAAAATCTATGCTTCACCGCAGAAGGAACCAGAACCTTTACAGTGACAGCAAGATACATGTATTGATCACCCAAGCAGAAGGAATACAACAGATGAACTAAAAGAACCTACAAAATGGTGCGCCAATTTCAGAATAAACTTCATAGATATGCCAGTAAATACAGAACATCACTTTAAACTACAGATTTTCTGGATAATTTACCTCTTTCCTGTCCGCGACCCCAGAGAAGAAGATGATAGGCGGAGCAATAACAACAGCAAAGGCAAGACCACACGGATTGAGAGAGAGCAAAATAGAAAACGTGTTCTACAAACTGCACGACTTGAAATGCTTTCACAAATAGAAGGGAGATCAAGATGCGTAGGGCTAGTCCTTCATGACAAATTCAGCCAATTTAACAGAATGCGATTCATTCCTCGAACGCCTAAATTCAGCATAAACACGCAGCACATTTAAAATACCATCCCTCAGGACATCATAATCCCTATATGCAAAAGCACTGCACAAAACATCTTCGAACAAAATCTATTCCGCGCCAAGAACCATGCGTATTCATTACAGGCAGCCACGCGGAGAATTACCACAGACAAACCACAGATGAAAGATACACAGAATGGTGCACCAATTTCAGAGGAAGCCTTTCTTAGTCGTAGTCGAAGGTACCCAAGCAGAGACACAGAATATCACTTAAAATTACAACTGATTTAATGGATAATTTTACCCCTTTTTGTCCGCTGCTGCAGCCTACCAAAGAACGATGAATGAAGAAACACTTTTGGGCCTGCGGGCTAAATGGGCTCAAACTTGTCTCGTTTCAGCCCATTAACTACTAAATTAAAATAATAATAATTTTAAAAATAATAAAGATATATATTTCATATGTAAATAAATATATACTGAACGTAATAGTTTATAAAATAGAAAATAAAAAATCTTAATATATTATTTTAAATAAATAAAAAAAAAATGGAGTGAATACAAATATATGGTTTAACTTTTAAGTAGATGATAGTTTCGTAAAAAAATTTATGAAATTTGGAATGTATAGAAGTAATATTTTTTTTAATGTAAAATACTGCAAAAAATATATAAAAATAATAAATATATATAATATATTAATATTTAATTTTTTTTTCTTTTTCAAAAAACCTTCATATTTAGGATCATAAAATAATCTAAAACATATAATATAATATAAAAATAAATAAATAAAAAATTTAATTTTGATTACAATATAATTAAAATTTATTAATTTGATTAATAATCAAAATTGATTTGAAAAAAAAAAAAAAAACGCTCAGAATAATCCTCTTCCTTGCTGGTGGCACCGTGGAAGTTCCCGCAAGGCACAGCACAGAGGCAGAGAGGTTGAGAATGGCCGCACTGCGTTATCTCCACGCCCATTGCGTCATATCGCCTAATCCTTCCTGTAATCGCTGTAGCTGCAGCTATCTCAACCGGGGGATTGGAAATTTCATCCAATGCTCGGCTTCTGCTTCTCCTCCACCCAACCGCGGTTTTGATCCAAAACCAAGAAAGCCTGTCAAGAGGTATGCCGGCTACTTCGTTTATATCACCTTCACAACCACCTTAATAAGCAATCTTCTGATGATTTTAATGTTGAGTTTGTAGCAGGAAGATAAAGAAATCTTCCCCTTCGCCATCTTCCACTGTATCCAACCGTAATTCCAATTCATTATTCTTCTGTTGTGCTGTCTATTAACTTCCTCGTGTGGCTATATTCGTGTTAAAAAGTACCTTCTTTTAATTCATTGCAGAGGCGCTTGGCTTGGATTTGGCTACTAGCGGAGACAGGAAGTTCGCGTCTTCTGACGATCTTGAGTTTGAGCAGCGTCTCCAAACAATTAGAAGGTAGTGTTACTTTATCAAGTTTTCTCTTGGTTATTTGTGTTTCAACACACCACTCGCTTCAAGCGGGTTACTGCTTCACAAAGCCTTACAACATAGCACTTTTTCATCGCTGGGTGACTGAACAGTAAGACCTTTCTGTTGTGATAACATGCGAATGAATTGATTACCTCACCTCAATCTTCAATTCGTTCTTCCAATGGTAATTATACTGACTATAAATTTCTACCTGCTTCACAGGTCGGTTCTTGAGCAGAAAAAGACAGTAGTTGAAGAAAATGGAGCAATTGATTATGATGCTCCGACCGAAACAAAAGACAGTTCAAGCGGACTGGGGGTTAAGGTAATGCCCCTAATTTTTCTGTGGAATTTTCTTACTTATCATTTAATTGCTGATTTTGCGTTGCAATTTAATATAGTAGGTTGGAGTTGGAGTTGCGGCTCTTGCATTTGGTTTGGTATTTGCTTTTGGAGATCTTGTCCCTTCTGAAAGGTAGCCAAATTCCCCAGACCATTTTCGTTGCTTTTCTTACTGGATTGACCGAATTAGCAAATTGTAATAATATACACAACACATAATTGTTGTTGAAACAACATGTGAGGTGTATATCATTAGCATATGCTGTTAGTTATATATTGTATATTGTGTTGTGCTAACATGTGAAATGGGCTGAGATCAATGGTAACATGTACTGTGCGGACATTTTTCGTCAGTTTATATGCTGCATTATATTATATTAGCATAAATTGTGTGTTGTTTGTGATATGAGATGAGTTCAATGGTGACATGAGTTGTATGGACTATTGTCATGTGTTATCCGTTTATGTGTGGCATTTGGATTATATTAGTATAAACTGTGTGCTATCTGTCTATTGTCATGTGCTATCCGTTTATCTGTGGCATTTGGATTATATTAGTATAAATTGTGTGCTATTTGTCTATTCGTTATGTGTCACAGTGTATATGCTATGTACTGTCAGTAGGGCATCCTAACAGCTGCAATTTCTTTATATATATTAAGCCTCTACAATCTATTACCATTCCACAATATTGGGAAGTACCTGCCTTACCTCAGATTGGCTTCATGCATTTAGTTAATTATATTTTCTAAATATGAATAATTCTAGAAGTACAGTTAAACACAAGTCATCCCGAAATCTCCTTAAAAAGCGTCTGCCTAGGGGTCAAATAGGGCCACATAATAGGAATTTCTATGTGACCATTTCATTGACCATTTCCTGTTCAATCACAAATTTGGTTACCTCTCCATTCTCCATTAGCAATTTATATTTAATCACATTCGCTAATCTTATGTCTGTTGTGTCATATGTGTAGGGATCTTCTAAGAATAGCAGTTTCAATTATATGGCAAGTGCTAACCCGCACCCATAGGATTTTAAACAATGATATTGAATCCAATCGTGTATGTTCCCCTTTTTTGAATATTTGTCAGTGTTTATGCACTCCATTGTATGTAGGTCTTACATTGATGTGCATATATGGCTCTGCATGAAATTTAGTGCCCACGCAAATAGGGGAAACTAAGTTCACATATTACCAAAATTTGTTAATCTCCTAAACCGTCTGCATTTTATTTTGCTGGACTGATTTGGAGAATCGTCTACACTCTACATATGTATTTAAAAGTTGACATGGCCTTTGGAATCCTTCAGTGTTAACCCTACAGAGGAAGATGCTAAATTGGGTAATAACATTTCAAGGGAAGAGAGAACTAACCTTGAGGTGAGATAATATTCTTCATTTTAAGCAATGATATCCCATCAGATTGTACCGCAGATGATGGCTATTGCCATTCTTTTCGTAGTCCTTGGTGTAAAATCCATTAGCTCCTGAGATTTCAGAACTGAATGTTCACTTAAGCATATTATTGCACTTACACTTAGTTTGACATGCTTAAAGCAAAAGTGATTACCTTAAATGTTATTTTGCTTTTGTAGGAGAGGCTTAAGGAGTTTGAAGGCACACTTAGCACAGCACCTGAAGATACAGCTGCTCTTGAAGTGAGTTCATAGTTGCGATTGCATGTGAGGGGTCGTGATTCATAGTGCTGTAAAGCTGCTCATTGTAGGAAATTAATTAAATTATTATCTTCATAATTCACTAATTAATTATCTGGTATGGATATTGAAATAATTATAAATCTGATAAGTCACTCCTTCCTGAGGTTTACATTGCATGCTTGCTTGTTATCTTTAGCAAGAGTTAATTACTAATGTATCCCTTATCAAGATTCAACATAACGCATTCGTTTTACTGCATTTAGGTAGTTTATTTTCATTTTATATCTAGACTACCACAGCAGCAATTCTTAGTGATGGTATTATTCCCAGTGCATTAAACAACTTTAATCTTACTGTGCTAAAAAAATGATACCAAAGTAGTGAGCTCTCACAATCATATTATATTCATTTAATTAGGAATAATTTAGTAAGTGTTAGGGCATCATGCACATGAAGCATTCCAGAAACTTTGCCATTTCAAGTTTAATCTAACAGAATAATGTTGTAGGGAACTGCTGTGACCTTAGCAGAGATGGGAGAATATAAGAAAGCTGCTCAGTTGCTTGAAAAGCTAACTGAGGTTTGTAATTATTTTTTCTTGTTACACATCAGCATGAACATCATAGACTGGGAATTATATTGAGCTTGCGCAACACACCTGAATACACCTACTACTATGGATTGCAGAAGAAACAACAAGATCCTGATGTTTTTCGCTTGCTTGGTGAAGTCAGATATGAGAACAAAGATTATGAAGGGAGTGTTGTAGCTTACAGAAGTGCTGAAAAGGTCAGTAAGCCGAAGACTTATTGGACATGACATGTTTGTGGCTGGAGATAAAAACTCATGAGGCTGGGGTTTTTTTTTTTTTTTTTTTTTTCGGAATTCTTTGCAATGCTATAAATATACTTCTATCTTTAAATAGTTTGGCAGAATATGTGATTGGCTAATCTTATTAGTAAATGTCATTCGATTTCTTATATAAGTTATGATTGCCTTAGCTAATTGATAATGTTATTCTAGCTGCTGTGAAAGCATTGATGAATTCACTGAAGATTGTCTGACCGTGAGTAATGTTCATAAAAAATAGAGAGAACAAGATTCATTTTAGCATTGTTGAATATCAATCCAGCTTGTATCTGGAACCCCATTTTCAAATGAAATCTTATTGTAAGTATTTGACCAATTTTTCTGCTAATACATCCTTTTACAGTAGCCAAGCCAATCATAATATACAAAAAATGCTGGGTAGCAAGCCAATATAGCATATAAAAAAGCTTATGAAGGCACATGACATATTATGCAACAATCCCAACCTTAGTGAGGAGGTAAGATAATCTTACCTTCTAATGAGATACAAAATGACATAGTAATAAACTTAGCCAATCATAGGCTATGTCCTTCTCTACGATACTGATAATAAATTGCCTCAAGTATGGGGGCTTTGCATGTATAGAAGCACTTTTGTTAAGTGTATGGTTCCTTACTGTTCTAGGTAGTTTCTAGTTGAAAGGACAACCACCCCTTATTCTTCTCTTTCATTTTTGTGCAGGCATCAGAAAGTGTTAATTTTGAAGTCCTTCAAGGTCTCACAAATTCATTGCTGGCGGCAAAAAAACCTGATGAGGTTGTTTGAATGCAAACATTAAACATGGTTGAATGATTGCTCTCTAGTGTACTTTATACATACTACATTTAAATGTAGATGAAAATATGTTAAACAATGACAATATGCGATTCATATAAATGATCCCTCATATTGTGATATTGGCATGGATGATGATGGTAATGCTGGAATATATTTGCATTTGTAGGCCATTCAGGTACTCATGGCATCTCGTGAACGGTTGAATAACGAAAAATCTAGCAGTACATCACAAATGAGGTCTGGTGTAGATCCACTTCAAGTGAGTTCTTCCCCTTATCAACCTAATTTACAATTTCAAACATCAACTAATTGTTTTGTAATTATAGATTCTGCACCAGGGTTGATCGATTTTGTAATCTGTAACAGTAGAATCATGCAGATAAGTTAGCGATTAATGTAGAGAGCATCTTGATATACATAGATTATGTATAGACCTAATGCATACATATTATATACATATATGCATAGCATGGAGAACACTGATGGTTGCATGATTGCATCAGTTGTCATTGCCATTGGGCAGGGTTGTAATGATTAGGATAATGCTTTATTATATTTATTGTTAAAATTTAAATGAGAACAATTTTTGTAAATGTTTAACAAAATGAATTTTCTTTTAACCTAGTTCTATAAAATTCATAACTTTTCCACGTTAAATTGTAATCCAGATAATCATCAATTTATGATATGGTTTAATTATCTTGAATGTGTAATAAAATGAATTTTCTTTTAACCTAGTTCTATGAAATTCATAACTTTTCCGCATTAAATTGTGATCCGGACAATCATCAATTTATGATATGGTTTAATTCTCAGATTGACTTACTTCTTGGAAAGACCTATTCGGATTGTGGCCGTATCACTGATGCACTAGCTATTTATGACCAAATTATCTCCAGCCACCCTGTTGATTTCAGGGGTTACTTAGCAAAGGTTTGTATATTTTAGCTTCTATTCACTCATTCACAGGCCTAGTTCATTTTTGTCTGTATGTGATTAATGACACATAAAACACATTATTATCCATTTTCTGAATTGACGATAGGCTTGGTGGCATTGTTACCTTGATATCCTAATTCACCGTCTTCCTGGTTGACAAATTGTATACATCCTATTCTGAATTTATTTGCAATAGTTCTTAGATTGCTTTGCTTGAGATGGGATCACAGATACCAAGTTAATCCAAAGAGAGAAATCTATCCTGTAGAGAAAAACACCTAATTCTATAGCATCATACTTGAAAACTATAACCCAATTATAAGGTTGCATGCTTTGAGTTGATATATCTATACATATAGAGGCATGTACCTGTGCATATTTGTATATATGTATTTTTGTTTATATATATATTGATATGCATGTATGTTTGTATTAGTGAGAAGCATATATGTATTGAAGAATATCTACCCAATGAGTACGTAATATATGTGTGGAACTTGTGTGGTAAATAATATGATTATTATATCATGCTGAGATTTGGTGACGTGATAAACGATAAATGAACTATTGGACAAAAAAAGGTTTCTGAGATGTTTGAAGCATCAAGAATCAACAACTATGTTGATAATCAGGCTGCCACATCAATTTCTCAAACCCAACATTTCATGGCAAGACAACATTTTAAGATCAAATTCATTTTCTTAGGAAAACATAGAAAGAAGAGGAAACATCATTGATCTACTGCAGATCTGAAGATCGAGTGCTATACATTTACCAAATCCATGCCTAGAATAAGATTTGAAGGATTGAACGTTACAATGTTAGTTTGTAGGTTCATAGCCATGGAAGCTGCTGAATTGGTCAAAATCATTCAGCCTAGATGACCAATTAGTGCAGTTTCCATTTTTTAACAAGTTATTTTTAAATGGTGTTTCCTAATTATGTTCTTTTGTTGCTTAGTTGCCTCCTTATTTTTCCCAAGTTCCATTTACTCATCTTTGTACTTGAACAACTATTCTACATGAATAATATTCACTTCTCTTCCACTCTTTAAACCACTTTTTTTGGAACAAATTCTGCAGTTTCATTCATTACAGAGCCCTTTACATCTAGGTGTTATAAATGTGTCAGTGTGCTGAACAGCTGCATTGTCAATTCACAGGGAATCATCTTAAAGGAGATTGGAAGTAAAGGTGATGCTGAGAGAATGTTTATACAGGCAAGTGTATCAATGCTTTTCTATTCAACATGTTGATGTGATTAGTTGTAGGTTTGGGAGTTGGGTTTGAGTTTTGACTAGTAAAATAATATTAAATTAAAATAGTAGTTTGATATGATATAAATAGGTATTGATGTGATATTTTGATTGTAAAATAAATTTTTAGTTTAATATAAATAATGAAAAATAGATGTTTGATTTGATGATTTTTTAGGGAGAAACTCCCAAACTTTGAGGCATCAATGTCACTTTTTAGGTAGCACAGCCCATAGCAGTGTATCGCACCGGATCCCATCAAAACTCCAAAGTTAAGCATGTTTAGGCGATAGTAGTACTAGGATGGGTGATTTCTTGAGAAGTCTTCATGTTGCACAAAAAAAAATGTCACTTTTTAGGTAACAGAATAAACCTAATGTGGTTTGAAGCCTCTTTACCTCAACACTTTTGTTAACCATGCAGCCTTTTTAATGGTTGTCCCGAGTGGAGAACTATTTCAAGAATAGCTGTAAGGTTGAAATCTCCAGTGTTCTGAGAGCACTCAGGAAGGTTTTATTTCGGTCATTTGGTGGGATATAATCTTGGGATGTTTTCAACTGAAAGTTATCATCATTCTTCTTGGATTTACCCTACACAGTTTCCTTGTTAAGCTTTCATGCAATTCAATATGTTTGTATTATGTATAGACTAAATCTGCCGTTCATGAATAATTTGTGGACAGGCACGTTTCTTTGCACCTGATAACGCTAAGGTGCTTGTTGACAAATATTCGGGATGATATGATCATGTGTACATAGGGTGCCAAGAATTCGGAAGTTTGATTGATGTGGAATAATTGTCCTATATTTTGGAATCCAAGCGAAGTCACAGATGCATCGTCAGGGTTATTGTGAGGTTGCAGAGGGTTATTGTGAGGTTGCAGATTACTAAGTAGTTAGAGGATCTGTCATAGTGTGTGTTCTTTGTTCTCTGAACTTCTTAAAGTTGTGAACAGCATAATTGTTTGTTTAACTTGTATTCAATAATAGTATATATTATTGGTTGCCATTTTTAAATGCATAGAGATGGATTGAATGTTATTTGGCACCACACTTGAAGCTCTATTGCATTGCTGATTCATTCATTTTCTTTGCACATATATATCAATCTCCCCAGGCTTCCATGGAAATTGTAGAAAATAACATATAGATAATTTAACTACTATATATTTCTTAATATGCAATTCAATATAATGCTTTTCATCTATAAGTAATCTCTCATCAAAGACATTTTCTATTCAAGATATTAGACATAATATATAGTTTCCAAAAATTGCATCCAGAAGTAATTGATTATTTGAAAATAATTCAAATTTGAATAGAAAATACAAACAAACAAGTTCATGTATTGTAATTTCTTATGTTCACTTAGCTTGGGTTGAGTGTACACCAGCAGCACGAGCACAAGACTTTCAGTAACCCAGCCAAGTAGGTGGAATTGGCTGAAACTTCTGTTTGGCACAAGCCAATAAATCATAATAATCTGCTCCACACAAGCAGTCACGAAAATCTGAAAAAAGTCTCTCGAAGATTTTCCACTCAACTTTGTCAGACCTGGCATATGGGTAAGGTAGAAACACCTGCAAGAGTTCTTTTTCTGTCATCAAAAAATTGGTGCAAGAATTTCATTTGGTAAAACACAAATGATTAAGACAATAGACAATCTGATTGACTGCGCAATACATGGTTTTAGTTATTTATCATCTGAATAGATTCTCACAGTTATTTATAAATATCATACATAGATAGACAATGACTCCATTTGCTAATTAATGCATCACACAAACCAAAAGTCCTGATAATTGAATAGTAGTTTGTTTAAAATTTTTACATAATCAAAATGAAATGCATTGATAAAAGCATCCATATCCAGAAATTAGCTTACTTCTGCTTCAAATGCAAGCCGTTTGAGCAAGAGAAATGTTTGATAATTGTCATCCAAATTCTCAATAACCGCCAACCAAATCAGAGAAGCTAGCTCATGGGCCCTGTCCCTCGATTTACCACAGGCAATAAACTGATCTGCTAAATATTTATATTAGTAACATTGATTGGAACAATATGAAACAGATTTATGAGAACCTTAAACCAAGCAGGCATATTTAACATAGGAAAGGAGCTATATCAGCTTGAAGATAGCTCTCATTATCTTAGTCAACATAGGGAAGGAGCCATTATCCACAAAATTTCCAATATCCAATCACTTGCAAACCAAATGTTATTCTACTAAAACTTCAATATATATGTGGGTGTGCGTGCTTGTATGAGTTAATATGAGAAATGGCGAGTAGATGAAACACTTTTTTACTAACGTCTAGCTCTTGAAAACATGTTAGTCCACCTACTTTGTCTCATCTAATCATATGTAAACAATATCAGGTAAAACAAATTGGATGACCTTACTAATGACCAGGACTTAAGTGAGTTACAGGAGCTTACTAACGTCTAGCTCTTGAAGCATCTTAGCCTTCTCATTTGGTTATATTTTAACTGTAGAATATGAGGCACACTGATATAGTTTAGGAAGGCACCTATAATAGTCCCATGAAGTATCCCAGATGGGGCAGGCATAGTAGAAATTTCAAGCTCTTCCTTTAGAAACAAGTATGTATGGCCTACTATCTCACAGAGCTCATCGTCGAGTGAATAGATACATTTACCCGTATATAGAGCAAAGAACCTCCTGAAATATAAGTAGGAATATAAAAAGTCCAATGTCTGAGAACAGTGTCTAGTGTTAAAAGAATAACAAGACATGCGTACATATTCAAATTCATGAGCAGATAACTGTATATGAAACACACGAGCTAAGATTCACTAGTGTTTATTTGTTGGCCAATATGATGGGGTCTGAATCCCTGCCAATGCATGACATAGTGATCTTATGTTGAAGTTCCAAAACTTATGAACCGAAATTCTTCTATAATTAAAAATCTAAGTGGATTTAAGAATAGAGCCCAATGATCACACTGTCCTGTTGAAACTCTCAACTTAGGTTCTTCCTCACCACTAATTTTTAGCTCCAAACTATCAACACCAACCATGTCCCAATGATACACATGTATGTAGTGATCTTACCTTTTGCTCATCCCACGAGGTATAGGGCCTGGCCACCTTTTACCTTCACCGGCCAGCGGAAAACACCTGACAATGGCGGCATGCCATAAGCATTCTTCCCGGAACAAATTAGACCAATACTTGCTAACAGTGGAGAGCTGTGTCCACTCCAAAACAGGCACGCGAATGAAAATTTCTATCAATAGATGATCAGGAAGCTTGGCAAAAGGGCAGTCAATGGAAAGGAGTAAGATCTTGTTGCCCTCTGTATCTGCCATTAACAACACCGTGTCTGGTGGGAATCCTGTCTGTAGCATGAACGGAATTAAACAAAAATTAAGATCAACAACTGAATTAGATCAACTGAATCAGCAGATGAACATCAATATGTGCTTAATATCAAGGTAGTCAGCCTTAGCTTCTAGGGGTTGTCAAATAGGCCAAAGCACACAATTTTAATGAAGAGAAAGGTAAAACTACAGATTCTTAATCATTACTGAATTAATCATGATGCTGCAAAGCTTCCATATGATAGAGAAACAAACAAACGGAATCACACAAGTTGTTAAGAAACTTGGAGTGCAATTAGAGTACAAACTGTGGCAGCAGGGAGAGACCAATCGAACTCGGAACAACGGAAACAAAAGAAAGAGATGGAGGAGTTATATTGGATGGAGGCGATTGCTAATACTACCAATTCGGCGACTACCCAGCCTCTTATAATTAATCAATAAATTTAATGCATCATCAACAAGGCAAAGATATGGCGATGTTAAAACTAAAAAAAAAAAAAAAAAACGAAACGCCTTGCCTTGTGTTGTGTTGTTAATTGGATGAAGTAAGAAATGGTCCGAAGAAGCAACACCTGCAAGTTCTGGCCCTGCTTCCCTCAGTAGCCTGGAAGAAGACGACTGTGAAGGACTGTCGGAGGAAGACGAGCCGAGGGACCGGACCGGTACCAGTGCCGTGCCGTTTAGTTATGGCCCATTATTAGTAACTAACGTGCGCGGTGGGTTCTGTTGCGAGTTGTAACTTGTACGCGGTGCCCATGGTGTGTCGTCACGTATAATAATTTTGTTTTAGTTTTTAGCAAACTACCATTTAGGCGTTTTGGGTGGATTTATTTATTTATTTTTTTTTTTTAAAAAAAATATTTTTATTTAGACTATGTCTTTTTTATAAATTTAAAAAAAAAATAATTTAAATTTAATATTAAAATAATATTCCTTCGTCACATCTCAAAGTATCTAAAATAATCATGCACTAAATAAAAAATCCAATGGTGACAACAAAAAAAAGTAAAAAATATATTTGATATTGTATTTTTTAAAAAATAAATAATATCAAATAAGTGAAAATATGTTAATATAAACAAAGTTCTAAAATTCGAAACCTCATATTTGAAGTCTAAAGAAACAATCTCTAATGTTTATTTATTTTTATAATGTGACTATCTAAAAATACACATTGGGTAAACCTTCCAACGAATTTTTTACTCTTACTCTTGAAAATCAAGCTTGACAAACAAGTTAACGAACCATGCGTAGCTAAGACCATCTCCAAATATGCCGTTGCAGTAATTTTATTTCAATCATAATTTATTTTTTACTATTATTCTTCAAATATTCAATTTTTTTTATTATTTTAAACAACTTTTTATTTTTATAATTTAAAATAAAATTTTAAAAAATTTTAAAAAATAAAAATTAAATTTAAAAATCAAATTTATAATTTTAAAATTTTAAAGAAAAACAAAACAATGTAACAACGCCAATTTTTGGCTTTGGCCCACGCTAAAAAAGCTATCCCACCGCCATTACTAAGAATGTTTTATTATTATTATAATATATTTTTATTACTGTTCATCAATATTTTTTATTAAGAATATTGTATCAAATACTGTTCACAAATCTAAACGGATTGAACAACTGGTAACTAACTGGAACTGGTAAAGTCGGGACGACGACCACGACGGAGCAGTACGTTGTCCAATAGTGCTTGCCTGCCGGGGAATGGATTCTGCCGAACACCGCCGCCATTACTATCTGAGTCTGAGTCTGAGTCTGAGACTCGGATCATCGAAGAAGAATCTCTGAATCCTTCTTCTCCCCCTCTCTCCCTCTCTTTCCGATGAGGAAGATAATCCCCGCCTCCATCCATCTCCGCCACTAATCTCCGCCGCCTCAATACCCTCTCTCTCCTCCTCCCTCCACTAATTTCTACGACCTTCTGTTCCCCCTTTTTCAAACTACCAACTCCATTCTCCTTTCTGTTCTTCTTCTTCCCCAAATCCAATCGAGGAATTCTCCCACCCTTGGAGGTACCCAGCAGCCCGAAATCAATTTCACTCCACCCCTGTTTATCTTCGTTGTCCCAACCAAACCTCCCGCTGATTTCCACCAATTCCGCCGCCGCGTTGCTCCTGCTCCTACTACTCGGGTTAGGGCTAGGGCTTGTGTTGTCCCCATTCAATATCTTCTCCACCATCTCCCACTCGATCCGGTCTCTGTACACAGGGTCATCCAGCACTTCATCCGCCAGTCTCGCCCACTCCTCCATGTCCCCGGCTCTCAGATTCTTCGACATCCACTTGAGGTACCTCGACGGCAGGCTTCCCAGCATCTTCCCTCTGTACCTCCCTATCTGTATAACTCTGTCGCGTGCCGGGATTTGGAACGGGATCTTCTTCCGAGGAACACTTGACATTGAGAATCTGCACGGGATTACGACGAGATTCCGTTGGAACAACGAACTGGAAATCAGTGGTGGATTTGCTGTTCTCGCCGGAAACGTCATTCTCATAAATCCGATGATCTTTTGAAGAAGAAATAGCCAATGACAATGTGTGAGCGTCGTCAATAGTACAGCAGATAAGCTCAACGAGAGCCGGTTCGGTTCGGGTCGCTTGGTTCGGCCGGTCCGGTCCGGTCCTCGTCTGTTAAGGTTAACTCTTAGATCAACCTTGTGCCATTCCTGTTCACCTCCTCCATTGATCTCTGGATCCAAGAACGCGGTTCTCTTCACCACCCACCTAAGGATTCCGAAGAAAACACCAATTGCAGAGGCGGCGGCCGCAAGCCAGCCAACCCTCTAATAGTCCATCTGGAGGCAAATGAACCGAAGGTGAGGAGAACATGAGATAGAGATATGGGTAGGACACCTGTGGGCAAGCATCGGACCACCAAGTATGTGTTGACAGTTTTTGGTCTTTTGGGTACTTTTCTCATCGCCGATCTGCTCTGGGCTTCTTCCTCCTCCTCCTCCTCTACTTGGACTCTGCAAAATTCCCAAAGTTTCGTCGTTTCAAATCCTAAACGTAATAATGATGCCACCAAACGCGCTTCAACTGAGGTCGGTGATCTTATTTTATCATTGCTTTGATCCGCTCAAGGCCTACTCGTTCTTGTCTTATATTCGTGATTATCAATGTATGCTTTTCGTTCGTTTGTTCGTTCTTTATTTATTTATCTTTCTTTCTTTCATTGTACTAGCAGTCCTGAAAATGAAATGAATGTCTTGGCTTCCTCTCTCACAGGAGAAATCTGAGCAAGATAAACCTGGGAGGGTTTTGTCGGCAACCTTTGCTGACTTGCCAGCTCCTGATTTGAAATGGGAAAAGATGGCACCAGCACCAGTGCCTCGTCTTGATGGGGCAGCAATACAAATAAAAAATCATCTTTTTGTATTCGCCGGCTATGGAAACATAGATTCTGTAGGTATCTTAAACCTATTATTTGATTGATACTGCTTAGGTAGTCTTGCATTTCATCTGATACGGAAAACTTTTATATTTTTCATTCATGTTGTATAGAAATTTCTGGTTTACTGATTATGTAAACTGCCTGTTGCTGGTGTGGGCGAAAAGTATTACTTGATTACCCTAGGAGGTACTTAGCTAGTTTCTTCAAGATATTTATGACAATATCTCATAATACATGTATGTTTATTAAATGAGATGACAGAACAATGTGCTGTACATGTGTGCTAGAGCTTTTGATTAGTTAGAACACCTGAAACAGTGTATTATCTTGCTAGGGCATTCTACATATACATAAATTTCATGTTGTCCTGCCAATGTGTGCAAAAGCTAATGGAGGTTGATTGTTATTTGTTGTAAGGTTCATTCTCATGTTGATGTGTACAATTTCTCGGACAACACTTGGGGAGGAAGGTTTGACATGCCAAAAGAAATGGCACACTCACATTTAGGCATGGTGACTGACGGACGATACATTTATATTGTAACTGGACAGTATGGTCCTCAATGTAGAGGGCCTACAGCACATACGTTCATACTAGACACGGAGACAAAAAAGTGGCAGAGCATGCCACCTTTGCCTGTCCCAAGGCATGAACTGATTACCTGACTCTGTGTTCTGGTATCTGGTAGTTCTATTTAGTGAAATTCATCTGTTTGTTCTTCAAAATAAACTTTTGGTTCTTCAAATTTTGTAGTTTTTTTTTTCCCCTCTTCATTTTTTGACTGTTCTATTAACCATAGATAGGCGTTGTATTTTCAGGTATGCACCTGCCACCCAACTTTGGAGAGGCAGGCTCCATGTGATGGGCGGGAGTAAGGAGAACAGGCATACACCTGCACTTGAGCATTGGAGCATTGCTGTAAAGAATGGAAAAGCTTTAGAAAAGGAATGGCGATCTGAAATTCCCATTCCCCGTGGTGGACCTCACAGGTTTTTCTGCTTTTATCAGTACTGTTTGACAAAATCTTGTCGATATTCACATCAGTTATTGCTATGATGCACTTGGCTCTCTTATCAAAGCTCAAAAATTAATAACCTAGCACCTGTTTATAGAATCCTAACTCTAGATAACTTTGTTGATTCCCAAATCATTGTGTTTTAGGAATCTGATTTATTAATCTAGTCTTATTGATGTTTTGTTTGAAAATGTAGTGTTACCTGACATGTTTGGGTAAAAATTATTCCCTTTGTATCGTGTCTTCATCAGGGTCAGGTGCACCGTAATCCCTAATCATGCTCAATCCTATCCCCTGCAACAACCAACCTGTTTGCACAAACACATGCTTTGAAGCTGAACTTGCTTTCAGCATCTCCTTTGGAGTTTTTCTAGGCTAAACTATCATCTGAAACATTTCTAGGGATTACTGGATTCTCCGTGGAAAGTTTTGCTTCTTTAGTATATCTGTTTATGAAGAACTACCATTCCAAAAGTAATAAGCAGTTCATATTGTCAATTAATTTCAAATGTCATTTAATGTATATCTTTGTTCCATTAAAATTATAATATTCTTATTTTATTTTTCTAGTCCGTGAAAACTATATGGTAAATATTTGAATTCATTTCAAATCTTCATGTGAGTTACACCTTTATGATTTAACTTGGATGGTTGTGCTTATCAGAAATGGTCTTTTCATACATGTATTGTTCCATGTAGGGCTTGTGTTGTGTTCAATGACCAGCTGTATGTTTTTGGTGGACAAGAAGGTGATTTCATGGCTAAACCTGGATCTCCAATATTTAAATGCTCCCGTCGGAATGAGGTATCACTCTTTGCCTTTAAAAGAAAGTTAGCGTTGACTGTAGTACTAAACTTATTGTGATGGCAACTCCAACTATTAGATCCATGCAGACTATGGGTGTTTTTTTTTTTGGATGTGTGTTGGGTTTTGATGTATTTCAAGTAAAATAGTTGTTGAATGCGATAAAAAGCAATTCCTTAAGTTGATACAAAAATAAAAAGTGAAGATTTACTATCACAAAAAAAATTTACTTCGAGGATGAGGTATTTGACCACAAAATTATGTTCTCTCCAGGTTGTATATAGTGATGTATACATGCTAGATGATGATATGAAGTGGAAAATGTTACCTCCTATGCCAAAACCTGATTCTCATATTGAGTTCGCTTGGACAATTGTCAACAACTCTGTTATCATTGTTGGAGGTACCACGGAGAAGCATCCTACAACCAAAAAGATGACATTAGTTGGAGAAATATTCCAGTTTCAGTTTGACAAACAGGTATCCTTCTCAATAATTATCTGCTTTCGGTACCATGATTTGTGGTTTATGAATGACTTAAGACAAATTTATTATTGCTCAAATACATTTTACAGTTTCAAATTCTTTGACCAGCCGAGGGTCCTTTGATACCTTATCTTTCTTAAGTACTGGAACTGGATTTGTCTTGTTAGATCAAAAATTAGATGGTACATCGCATGATTTGTCTACCATTTAAGAGAAACCTGATTAATTTATTCCATTCTCACAAAGTATTTGGTCCTTTTCCCTTGTGTCAATCGCTCTGTTCTTATCCAATGATTTCTCATCAATGTGAACTTTTGTTTTCAAATCTCCTGTTTTGGTGTGGTTTGATTGTTTTTCATTTCTAGAAATCCTTGAACCAATATGTTCAGTCATGAAAGAAAGATTCCATTTTGTGTGGCTAAGTTGATTCTTCAAGCTTATGCTTTCTTAGTTTTCTGTGAGGAGCTCAAATTGCATCAACAAATTGTATTCATGGCTTTCCTCTATTCTTTGGTTCACACTATTTCAGAAGTGGTCGGTGATTGGAAAGCTCCCCTATCGTGTGAAGACCACACTAGTCGGTTTTTGGGACGGAATGTTGTATTTCACATCAGGGCAACGAGACAGGGGCCCCGATAATCCGGCACCCAGAAAAGTCATTGGAGAGATGTGGAGAACAAAGCTCATTCTGCAATGAAAATGTTGGCAAAACTACCAACCTAACCTATACAATATGTTGTAATCAATTCAATGGCTTAATTCTTTTTCATTTGATTTTTGTTTTCTAAAATTCTTATGTTTTGTTAGATCCTGCAGTGTAATTTTCAGAGAGTAGAGTTTAAGTAAAATTGTGTGTTGTTTACCAAGACATGAAGATCTCTTCATTGCTGTGTATTGGTGGCTAGATAATGCGTGTAAGCATGAACCCTGTGAAACAATGTTTGAGAGTACTAAATCAAGGCATAATAGTAATCTAATAGTAATCCGTTTTGTTTCTTTAGTACAAGCTCTCCAAGATCATCAAACTTGCAAGAAAAAGTAGTTTCACATGGAGCATAAGACAATCGTTTTCCTCTAAGAATAGGATGTTACAGCTTGACTTCATGTTAGTCTCCTTCGTCTGAAAAGGCAACAAAATCAAAAGACCGACAAATAGAACCGCTCACTTATGTGATTTTTGGTCTACTTGACCTCTATCTAGAAGTTCCCAAAGTGCATTTTTGGCTTCTTCTAGTGTTTCAACATTGTGTCGTTCTCTAAATGAGATTCTCTGGACATTATACTGCACACAAGAAAACTATGTCACAAAATAGCCAAAAGCCAAGACATTGTAAATCATTGAGGCAAGCATGCAGACCTGGGCTCCTTGCCGAACACGGATATCAACCCCCTTGCTGTCAACTGATATAAAAGCAACGTCGTCTACCTCAGTTTCTTTTGACAATAGTTCCTTCAGAGGCTTTGAAAATATTGCATTTAGTTCCTGTAGAAATGGAATAAAACATGTTATAAGAAAGCAAATGAACTTTTTTTTAGTATTTTTTACAAAGAACTAAGGCTGTGGAGCATAACATACCTTCAGATTCTGTTCACCCCCATCAGCAGCAATCTTATCAGGTTGTAGGGCTTCATATTCCTTAACATCGATCCATGCAACAGTTCCAAACCCTCCAACAAAATATATATCACTGCCATAAAAGACCAAACCATCACTAAGTTCTTGAAAATAATGGTGCTGCTCATTCAACAGTGTGCAAAATCAAGACTACGTAGTGTATAATATTTATCATGATTATATATGCACAAGCACAATTATAGTCTTAATGAACTACGAGAAATAATGTGCCAAGGTCACTGTAATGTTCTGGCATTGTTGAGCAAGAAATGATATATATCCACATCGATTCATTGCTCTTGAACTAATAGTTTGTGTCACATTTGAATGCCAAAAACTGGGGGAATATTTCAACAGAACTCTCGCAGGAAAGGGCAAACCTTATGTTCTGCATTCGGAAGTAGTGCAAATTTCCCCACTGCTGAGAAGGTCCCTGATGGTGTTTAGCTAAGTACTGTTTATGGGCCCATTCCTGGTGATGCAATGTGACATATAAAACATTATTAGAAGTATGCAAAACCTGACCATGCAAAGTATAAAGAGTACCCAAATGCTAAACTCTCAATACTTCTGCACCACACAAGCACATCAGGATTCAATATTGTAACTGTTATCTAGGTGCTGGCTTTAGGGAAACTAACTAGTGGCAGCAAAGGGTTTGAGAGGAAGAATGCTAACTATCATCCTTTCACAATATTATGTCGCTGCAAGTGAAAAAAGGAGCATCCACTAAAGGGAGGAAATAAATAGCCGGGATGATTCTTTTCACTCTTAAGTAAATGAAGCAAATCACAATAAAGCAATTGCAAAGCGCAAACAAACTTTCATAGGATGGTTCATCAAAATATATATGCCAAAAGTCATAATGACATAAGGAAATTCCAACCATTCCATTTATTTCATTTTTATAAAAGTGAAATGGAATTTATGCAAATGGATTTAATAAAGTTGGGAGCCCATTAACCACAAAAGGACTCTTTATCAACAAATGGATTCCTTCTGCAGATTAGTTCACAGATATTAAATCAGTAGAAGGCAGTCACCTGTTGGTCTTCTGGGAGGGGGTATACATCACCAAAAATTGTCACCCGTGCATTTGACAAGCTACTCCATCCAGGAATCTAATAATTTTTTTTAGGTTTTTACAACTCACAGATATGTAGGTAGATATAAACAATGACAGACAAAATGAAAATGCTTGTAAAAAATTCCTTACCTGTACAACTAATGTGCATCTTGGATCAGTTAATAAGTTCCTAGTGTGTATGGCCAATGGTGACAGCGAAAATATAGGATCTGCAAAGGGAGACACCAGAGGTTACTCCTCAAAACAGAAGATATCTCTAACTGTATATGAAACATACAAAGAACAGGAACAGTAAATAAAACGGCAATAGAAAAAGGAAGTCAATAAAAACATCCCTAACCCAGAGTAGTACAACTTACGTCCCATAGGATCTGGTGCAAAATCTACAAGTGATCCAAATGGATAACCTTCACGTCGGTGATGCATGCGAGACATCACAGTACACAAGTGAGCAAATCTAGCCTTCATTACGGGTCCAACAAAAAATTGCAAAAGATGTCAAAAAGTGATTTTTTAAGTCTCTGTACAGGTGATAGTTATGGAAAACGTAAAAATATTCAAAGAAACATAGAAATCTTACTTGTTCTATTAAATTCCTAACTGCTAAAGAAGGTTTAGGTAAGCCATGTGCAGAAGTTGCATTTTGAACTCCTCCTGATATAGGCGTTCTGAAAAGGCCAGCTCTTGTACCTCCACCAGCTGTGCTTCCATGTGGGACAACAAGAGGATGTCTAGCTGAATATGCATCCTTTTCACTAGTCTGTTTGAGATCTGAATTATCCTTCAGGATATGAGAAAGGCCATCACAACAAAGCTGAAGAAGCGATTTGAAATATCCATTGATGGACTATATCATAAAAAAGAATATAAAACTCAATCATTCTATGGAGCACAATCTATAACCAAACAGTAGCTTTTTGCAGGGAGTGACAAGAATGAAGGACCTCCCAACATGAGCAACAAACAGAAAAACAGCTAAAATGATGGCAATAGAAACTCCTGTAATGGTATTTTTGGCAACAGTAATGGTTTTAACATTGAATTCAATTTTTAATTAATAGTTCATGCTGCCATCCCAATCCAAATTCATGCGTTCAAAGACTATTCTTTTACTCTATTCCCAAGCATAGGGCCTGAGCAAAAGCACACAATCTAATATTTTATTTTTTAGACTCAATCATAGTAATTGTTCATCAACATATACCCAATAGCATGTTTCATATTTCCTATCATGTGGTTGAAGGTGTGTTAATTGAGAAAAGAAGGGAAACTTTCTGAGGCTGTGATCAAGCTTCAAAATCAGAATAAGGGGATGGAGCCCAAATTATAGTCCGGAAGGAAAATATCTTGAATTAAATATAGAGTAGTAGCGTAAGGTAACTGGATATATATACATATATATATATATATAGCTGCATATACACGCAAACACACACATATGTGTCTGCGAAAGATAGAAAGGCAAGGAGTGGGGAAAGAATGCAAGGAGTAAAGGACCAACTGGTTTGCTTTTTCTCCTATCGTATAATACCTGAGGAGGCGAAGAGAGTGTTTCTTCGGGCACCAAACGCAGCACACCATTCTCATCATGAGATAGACCACCACGAAACGGTTCGCCACTTCCGTCATCGGAGATATCTCTGGCGACGGCGGTAATTGGATAGGCAGATCGCAATGAGGGTGCTTTAGCCAAGTTCGGAAGGATTCGGAGAGAATCTGAATGGAAAGGAGCGGTCTTGGCGGAGTGAGCTCCAAAGGAAGCCGGGGAGAAGGCGGGCAAGGGTGAAAAAGCATCCATGGATGAGGATGGACGGATTTCTGAAATTCGAGAGCGAAGGCAGGAATGAACGATGTCAAGATTGTAAATGTATTTGTATTCTACTGATTGAATTGTCTTTCACAGGACTGAATAATGAAGAACGTGTGCCGAGGTGTAATGAAGCTGATGCCTGAATGCGAATCTGAACCTGATGCGACACAAATTAATGAGTGAGAAAGAGAAACAGAGAGAGAGAGAGAGAGAGAGAGAGAGAGAGAGAGAGAGCGGGGTAGGGGAGCACTGGACATTTGGGCCTTGGACACTGGGCCCGATGCCAACCCTAATATAGTTACTATTTTGCTATTATCTTACATCCTAATCAGACCGGTACATATAAGCAAAAATATCTCTATAGTTGGCAAAAATTTATCTCATCGGATACTCGATCTGAATCTTACCAGAAATAATTAGATTTAGTTTAAAATTTTTTTGACTCAATTAATAATTGAGTGAAACTGTTTAATTAATATTATTTTTAATTTAAATATATTTTTTTAATTTTATCAATTCAATTCAAATTATCATGATCAATTTTATAAAAATAAAATAAGATTTAAGCTAAAGTTTTAAAAAAAAATTAGGATTAAACAAATGATTGTGTTGTGTACTATTATGTAATATTTGCTAATTTAGACTCTTAGTTTTAATGATATGAATAAATATTTTTTACTATGTATATATATTATGTATTTGAAAATTTTGTTAATAAAATTTGTAATTTTAAAATTAAAATTTAAAAATTTTAGACTGATTATACATGTTAGATTAGATTGACCCGATTAATTAAAAATCCAGATAAAGTCACGAATATCAACCCATTTTTAATTAAATGGATTAAATCCAGATCAAATACTTTTTAATCGGTTTATAACTGGCTCGAACCTGTACTAAAGGCAATGACCTGATTCATTTGCCGGCCTGGCATTTGATTTTATTTTTATTTTTAAAATTAATCATATTAACTTCATACTATAAAAATAATTACTTCCTTCCGTCATTCAAAAAAAAAAAAATCACTACAGCTTCAGCTTACCTGGTACAGCTTTTACTGTTTACAACCTGCTGACATTTTCTTGATCTAACCTGTCAACTTATCTAATGTAATTTTACCCGACGATGATGATGACCAAAATTAGTGAGTTTGGTGGTGCATGCTTAATTATTTGCCTCTGGTTCGAGCTCTGGCCTGTGTCTGTCTAAGTCGATTCACAACATCTCTCATGGATGGCCTTCTGGTGGGGTCCTTTTCAGTGCACCACAATGCCAACACTACAACGTCCTTGGCTTGCTCCTTGATGCTGCTGCTGCAGCTCGAATCTATAAATTCATCCACAAGCTTTGAATCCACAATCGCCTCAATGTCCTCAGTTTCCTGCCACACAGATCTAACCCACTCCACCATATCCACTGAACCCCCAAACAATGGATCACACAATGATTTTCTCGTCATCACTTCCAACACAACTACTCCATAAGCATACACATCGCTCTCCTTGCTGCTTCTCGTAGAAAATGCCTTCTCTGCAACAATCAGGTCATGTTCGTTCTCAGGTTAGTAGCTAAACTTATTGATTGATTGAACACAATCAGATCGTATGTATATATATACCTGGAGCCATGTACCCAATGGTGCCATGAACCCTACTGGATTGTGTTACTGAAGAAACGGCGGACTCATCCAGGAGCTTGGCGATTCCGAAATCTGAAATGTGAGGCTCCATTTCTGAATCCAGTAATATGTTCATTGGCTTGATGTCGCGGTGGATGATCACAGGGTCGCAGTCGAAATGGAGATATGATAGTCCCTCTGCAGTCCCCAGCACAATTTTGAACCTCACGTCCCATTCGAGGAGAGGTGGAGGACGTGTCTTGTGTAGAACATCATGAAGGCTTCCATTCGGCATGTAGTTGTACAGAATTAGACCATGCTCCTTTCTCAACCAAAAGTCCTCCAGTTTAATCAAATTCCGATGCCTAACCTTGCCAATGGTCTGTATTTCTCGGACCAAACTCGTCCTTCCTCCATCGTACCCGAAAAAGTCAAGCTTCTTCAGAGCATAAACTTTACTTGGCTCCAATGTCACTTTGTATACTACCCCATGAGCTCCCCTCCCAATGATGTACCGATCATTTAAGTTCTCAGTCGCTTCAATAACTTGGTTGAGCAGCGAAGATGTGCCTTCCTCCACGGAGACTAACATGTTCTTCTGCTCGTGGCTTTTCCACCTTGAAAAGAAGTAACAAATTCCCAACCCCAGAATAACAACTGCAAGGAAAGATCCACAGACAACTACTGCAACGATTATGTGTTTGAGGCCTCTTTTTCCGGGTGTCTGATTACAGAGCTTGAAGGTGTTGTTGCCCTGACACATTGCCTCGCCTGATGAACGACAATTGATGCACAGGTCTCCGTTTCCAACGAAGGATGAAGGATTCAACCTTACAAATTTCATTAGGGCTGCTGGCACAGGACCAGCAAAAGCATTGAAAGAAACATTGACCTTAGTTAATGCTCGGAGCTCGCCAAAGGCTTCCAAATTCCCTGATAGATTGTTGCAGCATATGTCAATCTGCTCCAGCAATTTTAGATTCTTGACTTCAGATGGAACATGACCAGTCAGCCTATTATTGCTGAGGTTCAACGATCTCAGACTCTGCGCTTCGGCTTCAAGCCCTATTGAAGGAGGTATAGATCCTCCAAACTGATTTCCACCAAGATTCAAAGATGAGAGCTTTCCAAGCTGAAACAAATGTCTAGGGACACCTCCTCCAAAGTGGTTTCCGCTAAGATCCAAATCCGACAACTCCATCAAGCTTCTCAAGCTGGATGGGATTTCGCCATTTAATAAATTGTGACTCACATCAAGCTTCAACAATCTGTAACACCGTGATAAATTTGCCGGCAGCACGCCTTCCAGACCATTGCTTGACAGATTCAAGGACTCAAGATATGCTAGATTTCCCATCTCATAAGGTATATGACCAGTGAACTTATTGAGGGACAAGTCTACAAAGGTAATGTTAGAGAGCTTTCCTAAGCTTGGCGGAATCGATCCACTAATGCTGTTGCTGCTAAGGTCCATGAACAAAAGGTTTGGATTTTCTGTAAATTCTGGAAGGTTACCTGATAAATTATTCTGTCTAAGAATCAATCTTGTCAAAGAAGAGCAACTCCCTATATCAGAAGGAATGCTTCCTTGAAATTGATTGTAGCCCAAGAGCAACCTGCACATTTGTTTTCTGAAGCAAAGGGTTGAAGGTAGGGGGCCACTAAACTTGTTTCTCGTCAAATCCAACAACATTAGGCTACTGTTTATGCCCAATCCTTGAGGTATCACCCCTGTAAATCCATTTTCAAACAAGGAAATGTTTCTTAATTGCTTTAGCTCTGTAATTTCATTGGGTAGCTCACCAACAAGATTGTTCTGATAAACAATAACATGTTGAAGACTCTGAATCTTCCATATGCTTACAGGGATTTCTCCACTCAAATGGTTGGTAAAAAGCATGAGGATCTGCAGCTGCGTGAGGAACCCTAATTCACTTGGAATCTCACCCTCCAGCTGGTTATCATAAATCTCCAGATCAATCAAAGCCCTGCAATTTCCCAACTCCGGTGGGATTGTTCCAGACAGATGATTCTCAGAAAGGTATAGAAGGTTTAGGTTAGCGAGCTTCCCTAGAGAAGCAGGGATTTCACCACTCAATCCACAATTAACAGCAGCGAGGTTAGTTAAGCTACTGCAGTTTCCCAATTCCGGTGGAATACCGCCGGTGAATTGATTGTCGGATAAGATGAGATAGAGCAACTCTCGGCAATTACCCAAACCCGAAGGAATCCTCCCAGTCAGATTGTTATCATTGACGTACAAATAAACAAGCTCCTCGAGATTGTTCAGGCTGTCTGGTAATGTACCTTGTAAGAAATTGTTGTTCAGGTAAAGTTCTTGCAACGAACTGCAGTTTCCGATGGTGGACGGAACAGTTCCCGATAGCTGATTGTTGTACAGAAACAAAAATTCCAGGCGAGTCGCGTTCCCAATGCTGGATGGAATTGAGCCATTGAGATTGTTGTTGTTGAGATAAATTGTGCTCAATATTGGAGCTCGAAACAATGATTCAGGAATTTCACCCCCAAGAGAATTTCCCCAGAGACTCAAGTACTCGAGCTTTGGTAAATCCCCAAAACTTTCTGGAATCCTTCCAGCAAAGCTGTTGTATGATAGCTCCACCGACTGAAGAAGACTACAGTCGCCGAGCTCCTTCGGAATTGAACCAGAGAAACTGTTGTAGCTCAAATCAACAGATTTCAGGTGCTTTATGTATGCAATTTCTGGCCCCAATTGACCTGAAATTCCGAACCCCGACAAGTTGAAAGCAACCACGACGTCATGGTTGTTACAGTGCACTCCAATCCACGAACAAGGAGTGGAATCAGAAGCGTTCCAACTTAAATTGATGGATGAAGGAACCTTATCCCAGTGCCTAAGGAGCGACAAGAGCGCTGCGCCATCCAAGCTCAGAGCAGATACGAGCAATGTCGAATTAGGAAGCAAGAGAAGCAGCAAGAAACAGCTCAGAGCAATTTTCATGTCGATAATGCAACTAACCGAGCGCTAGCCTAATTTTCTTGAGAAAAAACCTCAATTCTCATGAGGAAGAAGATGATTAGCTGAAAAGGGTTTTGCCGCCTCGGACTACATGCCAGCACAAAACAGTACTGAGCAAAAGTGACAGGAATTTATGAGTCATAGTGTGAAAACTGACGACAATCAGCTTTAATGAACCAGGCACAACTGCATTTTTATAATGATTTGCAGCAGGTGTTCATATACATTGCTGGCATGGCAATGGCTGATAGACAAATTTCAACGCGGTCACACGTCAATTCTAGCTAACTGTGACGGCGACTTCGCTCCTACTGATTTTAGAGATGCCATGGAAGAAGTGGAAGTTAGTTGAAGTGGAGGTTGGGTGGGCTTGTGGTGATTTTAGCCTTTAGGCAATCTTCCTCCATTGAAATAATATATAATTCTTTGACCTCCTTTTTACCTGTGGCTGCTGTGAAGTGCTTCTTTAATCATTCCTGCCTACCATGGCCTCTGCTACTTTAGAGCATTCACATTGCAGACATAAACCTGGTGGGATCTAAAGAAATCAAGCACGAACACATCACCACATACAATTATAGGAAGCATTACCTTGTTCTACAGATCATCCCCAAATGATAGGAAAATAATAATCAACTGAGAACAGCACAAACAGCCGCTGCCTAGCTTATTTCATCAGGTCACAAAAACACCAAACTCCATAGTTCTGCTAAAGCTTAAGGAACACAAACTCTTCAACTGCAGACACCCCTCCAATCTTGGCAAGAGTCTCCTTGTCGGGCTCTTCATCGACCCCAATTGCCATGATAGCCTTGGTACGCTTCACACTCCTCCCCACGCTCATAAAGCTTACGTTGACGTTATTCTCGCCGAGGATGTTCCCAACCTGGCCAATCATTCCTGGCTGATCCACCTGCCGGCAGAGTATGAGGTTTCCCTCCAGGCTCACGTCAACGCTAAAGCCTCCGACGAGTGTCAGGTGAGGTACTCCAAACTTCACTTTCCCGGCAATGCTGATGTTTCCGTTGTCCAACAGGGCACTGGCGAATTTTGATTCGACATTGCTTATCTGAACCTGGATTGAGTCAATAGGGGCGTCCTTGGATGAGACCATTGTGATCCTTTCCTCACTGATGCGAATCCCTTTCTGCTTGGCGGTGAAGTCTGCATTGACAAGGTTAATGTGGGCATCTGAGATCGGCTCGATGATGCCCTTTGTTACCATGGCCCTCAGAAGCCTGGTATCCAAGTTTTCTGGATCCCGAGATGAATTGTAGACAACCTTAACGGATTGGATTCCACTTCCTCCGGCTACCAGTTGTACAGCCAGCCTACCGAGCTTCTCAGCTAGGGATACGTAAGGTGCTAATTCAGATAAAACCTGGTCACAGCTCCATTCGTTAGTATAGTATAGCGCAAGTAAAATGTATCAAAGGGATTGGTAAGCCTAAATTGAGTTTCACCTCCGGAGGAACCATTGGAGCATTGACCGCAGTTGCAGAGAGCTCCCCCCTCAGTGCACCAACAACAGCCTCTGCTATTTCAACTGCAACTCCTTCCTGAAATGGCAGGCATGCATAGATTAATAGGACTCGAGAAAAGATTCGAAATTTCAAGGTTAAAATGCAATTATCAAGATGCAAATGTTCGAATTATAATAAAAGCAGTACTGATTAAGCTATCATTATTTTCTATAGGTTGCTTTGCGCCGTTCCACTGCATTACACTAAATTATGTGCCTTGTTTATTCTTGATGAAATAGTAATACGCCAATCCTCAGAATTGTAAATCTCAAACATAACATTAACAACAGTGTGCAAGATTATTTCATACCTGTGCTTCCCTTGTGCTGGCCCCAAGATGCGGCGTAACTGTAACATTCTCATGTTGAACTAGTTTGCTATCTTTGGCTGGGGGCTCCTCTGTGAACACATCAAGGGCAGCCTACAAACACGTCGAGGGGAAAATAAACAAGTGACTCAGTTCTGATTGCAAGACATATTTATGTATCTGGCAACACATACATATATTATTTTAGATCATACCTGGGCAACTGTTCCATTGTCTAGCGCCCTTACTAAAGCATCTTCATCTATAACGCCACCACGAGCAACATTGATTAGGCGAACTCCCTTCTTCATCTTTGCAAATGTTGCATCATTGAATACCTTGTTCGTCGTAGAAGTAAGAGGCATGTGTAGCGAAACAAACTCCGCTGTAGAGATGGCCTGATCGAAAGATACCAAGTCAACACCAATAGCTCGTGCTCTGTCAGCAGGAGCATAGGGATCATGGGCAATGACTTTCATTCCAAGCCCTTTGGCACGTCTTGCAACCTCAGAACCAACTTTACCAAATCCCATGACAGCCAATGTCTTCCCAACAAGAGAGACACCAACATATTTATTGCGTTGCCATTTTCCTGCAGAAAGCATTTGGAGTAAATACCTTAATAATATGTGGTCGGGTTGTTCTACAGCTATGCAGATTTGCTGGAATTTAAATCTGGAAAGCTTTCTGATGCAAATCATGGAAACAGAACAAAAAAGATTTACCTATCATATTACATTAACTAAGACTTGAGAAAGATCCTGACTTTTTCATGAAAAGGTTTGACAGCAGAAAAAAACATAACCCAAATTCTGCTCAACTCGAGCAATGTTTTGATCTGAGCACAAAGCACAAAGGTGCATATATACATATATATATATATGATATGAAATTTTATGTAGTTGATTACATACCAGCTTTTACAGAAGCATCAGCCTGAGCAACATTCCTGGCCATAGAAGCAAGGAGGGCAATCCCATGCTCTGCGGCGGCAATGGTGTTCGCCGTGGGAGCGTTCACCACTAAACAGCCGAACTCGGTGGCCGCCTGCAGATCCACGTTATCAATCCCAACTCCGGCGCGTCCGACCACCTTGAGCCTCCCCTTGGCCGACTCGAACACCTGGCGAGTGACCTTGGTGCCGCTCCGCACGATCAGCGCGTCGCACTGGGAAACCTTATCGCAGAGTTCCTCCTGCGACAAATTATACAAGCACTCGACAGTTCCGAAGCTCCGGAGCAAGTCAAGGCCAGCTTCTCCGAGTTTCTCGGAGACGAGAATGGTGGGGCCGGAGGATCTGTGGAGGGAAGATGGATCTGGGGAATTGGAGAGGGAATGGGATTGATGGAGAGTCTCGACCGCATTGGAAACGGTAGAAGGCGTGCGGGGATTGGAAATCCGGAACTGAGAGGAGAGAAAGGGGAGTTTGTACTTGTGATTGTGGAGGGAAAGTGAGGACTGTGAGAAGGAAAGATGGGCGCTTTGAAGCGATTGGTGATGGTGGGGATGATTGTTGTTGGTGGCAGAAATGGAGGAGGACGCGGCGGCGGCGGCAGCCATGGGAGATCGGGTTTTCCTTACTGTTTTTTTTTTTTTTTTTTTTTTTCTGGACTCAGTTATATTGGGAGTGGAGAGATTGGATCGAATCTAAATAGAAAGAACCCCAAGAAGGAAGGAAGGTGAGAGGCAGACAGCGCCCAGAGATATTTTACCAATTTTCCACACCAAACCCCAACAGTCCTAGTCACAGTCACAGTCACAGTTCAGTGCATTCTTTCATTCAATCACACATGTTTTACAAATGTTGTCGACGGATTCGACCACATTTTTTTTCAAGATTCCATTTTTATTTTTTAATTGCCAACCAATCAATGTGTTGAACGAACGTGGGGTGTTGATTGTATTTGATGGGTGGGATCTGGTTCGATTTCAATTATGAAATCAAATACAACGAAGCGTATAAAAAAGGAAAGATGCTGCGAGGTCGGCGCTCCGCTCGTAGTCGGGTCGTGGCATTCTCTGCCTCTGTCCGAAAGGGAAAATATCTGCGTTCTTTATTGCTTGTTGCCAACGGTTCCGATTCGGATGCTAATTTGGTGCGAATTAATTCTATTATTGATGTTGCCCAACAATTCATCTTCTTGGATTGTCAAGCATTTGTCGTCGCCCGAAGAATGAGAATGATTGTCGGTTGTTTTTTTGTGAGGCTGGCACTGTCATCGGCACATCGTGGGCCTTATAAAAGGTGATGTTATGGCTGACTTCTGGGCTTCGTCTTGTTTGCCAGTCCATTTCCAAGAATGATTATTGATTAATGCCTGCCTGAGAGTGGATTGAGAACCCTTCTTGTTCCGTAAGAAACCCATTTCCCCATTTCCACAATAGACCTTTATTCACGCTCTATGATGATAAATGATAATGCAACTGTATCATTGGGCTTATGTGCCCATTTTCATTTTTATTGGCTCCTTATTGATAGGCTTCCGTAAATTCGAGTTTCTGCTGGCCAATCTGAAGAAAATTCGCGAAGAAGAAGAAGGGAAATTCTTTGAAAAAGTGACAAAGAAGTTAAACCTATCTGTCATGCGGAAACGAAAATGGGATTTCTATTGGTACGGTGAAATCTTTTTGATTCTATATATGTTTTCATAATTTTCCATGCCTTTCCTGCTTTCTTAATAACTGGAATCTTCATATACAGTCCAACCAATTCATCATCTCTATTACTGCTGAATGTAGGAGGAGGGGCTGAGTGCAGGCCCACGCGGTGAGTCGAGGTTTTTGCCCTTATGAACAGATTTTTGACACCATGCTTCATGAGCTTCGTCACAACGAATTTGATCTTCAAAGTACTGATTTTTACAACCTTAACATATTGATGAATTACGATGTGATAGATAATCAATCATGGTTTCAAGCATCAAAGCGGGATTCAAACTGCATCTTTATTTTTAAACCTTAATGTTGTCAGTTAGTGGCATGAAAATGTTCAATATGACTGTCAGCATTTGCCCATATTGTGAAAACAGCAACTGTTTCTTTCTGGGGCTTGCATGGGCAAGGGCGGAAGAGGCATTCGCTTAAGGCCTGCTGCAAATAAAGGGCTCATGTACATATATTATACATGTGTGTATGAATATAATAATAGTGTAATTATGAATCTTTTAATATTGTTAGTAAGAACAAACTCAGGTCCTACATAGTAAAAATAAAGAAAAAAATCTTTGGTTATAAGTTGGCACCTATATTCCCACAGTATGAGGCCTTCTGGGTAAGTTAAAAAAATTAAGAGATTTGTGTCTTGCCTTTTCTCGTTTGCATTGAGTAGGGTTCTCCAAATTTTGGCCGTGAAGACCTCTCTATGGTGAGAGAATTGAGAGAAGGTTTTTTCTTAGGATATTTATATATCTCTGAGAAGTTTTTCTGTGCTTTTCAAGTTTAAATGAGTGTTGGTGAAACGATCCATCCAGCCCTGGGACAATCATAGGTTAGTATGCCTATTTTTAATTAGACAATAGCTTTGCATTGTTGTTGTGGTTCTTCCGAAACAATATCAGTTTCAGTGCATTAGGTATTAGCTAAGGTTTTGGGCAGATGTTTGTAGTGTTTTTGTATACTTGGTGAAGTTACAATGAATATGGTTGAATTGAGATTCTCTAAATATGGGTCATAGATTGAGCTGGAAAAATAAGTTTCTCATTTTGTATTTTCATTCTCTGTTCGTATTATTGTTGTTACAAAAATTATTTATGCCATAAATTTTCCTTTTTGTCTATCAACGGTTGAATTGTTCCACTGGTTGCTCCCAACAACATAGCAATGAGGTCAGTTGGGTGTCAATATATTTGCACATACTATAATAATGTTATTGAAAGAAAAGAGAATGGAATTCTCTTCTCCCTTATGAGGAACTCATATCTCTTTTTTATACTTGACCTTTTATGGATGCTTTTGCTCATAACTTAAGTTTCATTCTTCATCCTACACAGATGGATATTACGTTGCAGCTGTTCACTTGTAGGCGATACAACTAGAATGTAAAATGGAAGTACTAGAAATCAAAATGAACACACACACACACGAAAGATGAGAGTTTGGTGACTGGTTCAGCTTTGGCCTCGTAACATAATATAATGAAGCCGACGATGAGCTCTGACATAGATCCATCTTGTATAGAGGATTGGTTTTGTTTGGAAATGGAAGCTATCATGTCAGCTAGTTTGGAGGACCATTCAATCTTTGTTACTTCACTTTGTTGCTCTGTAGAATAGGAGTTGAAGGACATTCCAATATTGAAAGCAAGCTATAAGCTGCTGCAGCTATGCAGAGACAAGTGATCAATGACTGATGAGCAAATGTGTTTTCTTGCCTTGTTTGTGCCTTTTCACACTATTCATTTATTTGTTTGTTTATCTACAGTTGCTTGCTGTCTATCAGTGCTTGTAGTCTGTGTGTATGTGTTGGTGGCCTTGTAATTGCACCAGTGCTGCAAAATGGCTTTTCAAACTGGAATGTTCTGTTTTTAGATATGTGGATTGATTGTGGTAATTTTTTACATTTCTTGATAGGGAAATGATAGTGTAATAAGTCCCTAAACATTTATTTTAGGCTACTTGAAATGAGAAGTTGAGGGTGTTGGGCAAGATCCAACTTGAAGGAAAGAACTTTTCTTCATTAAACCAAATCAATGTTCAATTGTATTATTATTTATTGTCTCCAAACCTTTTCCCTTAAAGCTAAGTCAGCATAGCCATGATTATGACTGTGATTTGGACGTTACATACCGACATGCAAATAATTATTATTATGGTTTTATTTATTTTAATCGTCAATTCCCAATTCCCACGCGGCTGCAGCTAATTCCATCTACCTCAAAAAATTATTTATTCATTTTATTCTGTGCTGGATATCTCATACTGACCATTTCACCACAGAGATGGATGGATTGATGAATATATACACATACATAAATATATGTGACACACAAACACAAACCCTTCTTTTAGATTTTGATTTCTTAGTCGTTATTGTTTAGTTGTCACTTTCATCCTCACCAAACAACTATCTCCATCTCCATTCCTCAACTTTGCTTCTTTCATATATATATAATTTGGTAAGTGTGTCTGCTTGTCAAGCAATTTCTTGTCTTGTGAATACCATCATTCAATTCCCTAAATGATAGAGCAACTTCTCATTAAGCAACTAAGACATGGAAATTTTCCACATTGAATAATAATCTAGAAACAAGATTTTGATTAAGCCTGTAACCCCATAAAAAAAAGGGGGGGGGGGGGGGGGGGGGGGGGGGGGGCTGGGGGAAGAAGAAACACTCAGCTGAATGATTGCATTTTGTCTTGTGTATAAAGGAAAAAATATATAATAAAAGAACATAAAATAGAGAAGCTATTTCTTAAAGAAATCACAAACACCTACCATGCCATGTCCATTTCTGGTCCAACTTATATATATATTATTACGAGTGATGAAATAGATGCAGAGGTGGGTTGGTGTCATTTTCTATTCCATTTTTTTTTTTATTTTATTTTTAATCAAAGTGCCACCGAGCAACAACCTTGATAGTTGTTTTGTCCTAATGGCAATTATTCAACCACCGAAGGGATGATACAGTTGAGAGGAAGAAGAGACAGGAAATTGATTTAATTATGTAATAGGTTTGTATATATTTGAAAGCGGTGCAAATACAAATGGAAGTGATAATGCATTACAATTTATGTAATGATGTAATGAAATTATTGATTATTCATTCAACGATCTCTTTCTATAGCCATTCTATTCTATATTTGGATGCCAACTGCAAACAGCCAATGTATGAATGTAGGTGAATCTTGACTCCAACTTTTAACTCTTCAAACTTTAGATAAAAGTGAAAGAAGTCTAATTTGAATAAGTTTTGAATGAATTCTATATGACAAATTCACAGAAGTAGAAATAGCCCTTAAAAAAATGAGTTCGATGTTGACCAAATTTTGCACCAATTTGATGTTAAAAAACATATCTTTACATGATTGCACCAAAAATTTTATAAAGTTCAATGTATTTATTGTATTGAAATGGTATTATTGCTAATCTCAAATAGTGTGAGATGTGGTAAAATTAAGACCATAACTCCATAAGCCATGCCAAAAAGAGATGGGTTGAGATGAGATGTGTGGTGGTGAATTTTTGGAGGCTACAAAAAGCTCACACACATACAGAACAGATACATAAACAGTCAAAAAAGAGAGCTTTGGCTGCGACTCCCGTGACTGAGTGAGTTCTTGGGTGGGTTCTTCTTCTCACTCCTACAACGGCTCAAAAATGGATGGGGCCAGCCAGGTACAGTGAACAAAACAAAATTCAACTCTTTACGAGAATGAAATGTCGAAAGCAGCAATCATGGTGTGAAAGCTACAGCTACCTCACTTCCCTCCCTCTCAAAAACCCAACCATTTGATTTAATTTTTAGTTTCTTCGATCCAGGTATCTTTTTCATAAATCCAGAAATAAGAAAGAAAGAAAGGGATAAGGATTTTCCTTGCGTCAAAAGCGCGTTCATCAATTCACAGGTGAGGTGGGGTGATGTGATCTCCTCTATTATCACGGTGTTATTCTGATAAAGTTAATAATAAAAGATCTAATGAAATCGAAATGTTGAAAGGAGAGTATATAGAGAGAGAAAGAGGGCTCACCACTCACCGCTCTTGCTGTCTACACTGCATACATAAATTAAAATAATAAATCATAAATGCCACTATTACTTGTTACCAGTGTGTAAGAGAATTTTATTAAGGCGTGTTAAAACAGAGGAGAGGAGTGAGAGAGAGAGAGAGAAAGCAAGAGAGAGAGAGAGAGGGAGAGAGGAGAGAGGAATTCTGTGGCGTTGGATTCTTCTAGCAGATCGTGCCTGCCAGCTTTTGTGAGAGAATATGGATACGCAGGAAGTGTTGAATATAGATATATAAAAATTCTTGAGATTTCATTTTAACTATTTATCATTCCGATCGGAAAAATAGAAAATTAGGCCAGAAAGGTGAGAAAAAGGGCAGGGCTGTCTGCCTGAGCATTCAAAAAGATAAGGCCTTTTGTTTGTTTTGTGTTGTTTCCCTCTGCTTGGTTTTTCTTCCACTTTTTTCCTTTGTTTTTCCTGCTTCAATAGTTGGGGTTGAACAGTTAGGGGAAAACGAGATGAGGGCGGTGGAGACGGCGTCGGCGGCGGCGGTGCTGCTGCTTCTGGCCATTCTGAGCTTCACCTTTGCAGAAACAGATCCAACTGATGGTCAGCCCTCTCACTTGTTATCCTCATGCTCCCACCCTATTCATTTTTCCTTAATCACTTTCTTCTATTGTGTTTGGGGAGTGATTCTTTATGTAAATGGATTGATAGATATTTCTCTTTCGACTACTAGGAATGACACTTTGGTTGGTTTTGAGTATGTGTGCAGTAAGTTGGGGGAGGGGGGGGGGGGGGGGTTAGAGTTTCTTCTTGCATTGATTTATGTTGGAAACAAGAAATTTGTAGATGAGCTGTGTTGTGTTTGGATCGTTTGATGAATGTATAAATGCGAATTCTTGTTTTGATTTAGATCAATCGACATGCGTTTTGTTGTTGGAATGTTTTGTTTGTTCTGCTTTGTCTTCAGAGTTATTTATTTAAGACAGTTGAATTTCATTGGGGAGATCTTCGGGGCAGTCAAACTTTGATATATGAATTTTTTATGTTCTGGAATTATTCTCCCCTTAGGAATGATGTTTACTGCCATTGTTAGCTACTGTATTTTCTCATGCTTATTATCATCCGTATCTCTTGTTTGTCATTTGCCTTATTCTTCATTGGAATGTCCTTTTACTGTAGCAACCTTGCCTGTTGCCATTGATCATCATTGCAAGTACTGAAACTTGATTTGTTATTGCATTAGATCCTTCAATAAACACACAATGGTATCATATCGATATGGATAAAACATATGATTGCCGAACTGAGTAATTCAATTTCTAAGAGATTTTACTTGATGGATATACAGCCTCTACACTCAACAAGTTGTATACAACTTTGAATTCTCCTCAGCAACTTACCAATTGGAAGGCAAATGGTGGTGATCCATGTAAGGAGTCTTGGAAGGGAATTTCCTGCTCAGGTTCAAAAGTGACAGAGATGTAATATGATATGGACTCTTCATGGTATTCTCTCTATTTGAGCATTTCGTGGAATCTGATTTCCAGTTTTATGTTTGTTTTTCTCAGAAGGATTTCTGGACTAGGACTCAGTGGGAACATGGGATACGAGCTAGATAAATTGGCATCCGTCACTACTTTGTAAGAAATACGTTCTCAAGCTCTTCAAGTGCCAATGTTAATTCTGATAACTATCAGCATTTCACCTTATCTTGATGATATCTTGTTGTCTGTTTTCAGTGACATAAGCAACAACAATCTTGGAAATGATCTTCCTTATCAACTTCCTCCACATCTGCAGAGACTGTAAGCTTCCTTCCTTCGAGCGGGATCCATTCATTTTTTAGTTTCCTTCTTTCTTCCTGATCTCACTATTCTCTCACAAAGCAGAAACCTTGCTGGCAATGGCTTCACTGGTTCTCTTCCATACTCCTTATCACTCATGAATTCGTTAACATACCTGTTAGTCATCCTTTGAACTTGTTACTTGATTATACTCTGTCCCAAACCCCAAATACTATAATATATAAAATATCTTGAAAAATTCTTGTCCTGACAAAAAGACACACTTTGCAATGGCAGTAATGTAAGCCACAATCAATTACATGGCCAAGTGACTGTGCAATTCAATTCACTTACCTCTCTCTCCACATTGTAAGGCTGATCTCTTCCTTTACATAGTTCTTATTTCAGATTCTTCATTAAGGTTATCAAGTTCATTTATATTTCTCCGGCCATGGAATTTTCATTCTTGGTTTAATATTTGCTATAATTTTCATATTCACATTAGGGATTTCTCTTTCAACACCATGGAGGGTAATCTCCCTCAGAGCTTCCAGTCCCTGACGAATATACGTGACGTGTAAGTGGGAAGTACACTTTCCCATGTGACTCAACATCCTATTTGAATGTTTGGTAATGGCATTCTTCTTGCAGGTACTTACAAAACAATCATTTCACAGGAACCCTTGATGTTCTTGCGAATCTCCCACTTGACAATTTGTGAGTTCTACTAGAAATTTGCTATGCACAGGACATACTAATTATACTGTACTCTCAAAATTTAGGCACTCTGTTTGCACTTTTCAGGAATGTTGAAAACAATCAATTTACTGGATGGATCCCCGAGCAACTGAAAGGCATAAACCTCCAGTGAGATCTCACAACACAATCTAAATTTCTTCAAAGAAATAATATTTCCTTTAAAGCAAATTCATAATCATTGTCCCTTTTTGCTTTGCTTAACACTGACAGTTCAGCTGGTAATAATTGGAACTCTGGACCTGCACCTCCACCTCCGCCGGGCACTCCTCCAGCAACCAAGCCAAACCGAGATCATAGATCAGGAGGTGGTAGCTCATCAAGTGGTGACAATGGAAGTGGAGGAGGAAAATCTGGCATAGGGGGTGGTGCTATAGCGGGAATCATTATATCCATCTTGGTTGTTGGAGCTATCGTAGCTTTCTTTGTTATAAAGAAACGATCCAGGAAGTCAACAGACATTGAGAAGCATGAAAATCAGCCTTTTGCACCTCTGGCTGCACAAGAAAGCCACGGTACTTGTATTATCCTCACTTGTGATTTCATTTAATTTTTAATTTTTTGAGGTAATTGATAAAATACTGATGTGCTTTACCATGTCTTGTTTCGCAGCTGTAGAGGTTAAACCCGTCCAATCATCATCCACAACCATGACAAAACCTTTTGAAGCTCCTGCTGTGATAAGTCTGAGACCTCCTCCAGTTGATCGTAGTAAATCATTTGATGAAGATGATGTGTCTATGATTCCTGTCGTTCCACCTAAGAAGATCAATAGAGCTCCAATAAATGCAAAGGCTTTTACTGTGGCAGACCTGCAAATAGCTACAGATAGTTTTAATGTTGAAAATCTCATTGGTGAGGGAGCTGTTGGACGCGTTTACAGGGCTCAATTAGATGATGGAAAGGTGCGCTCGTTCTGACTAACTGTCTATGCATTCATTCATGTGTGCAAGCTGTGAAGTTTATCAGAAATTACTTGTACCTTTACACCAACAGTCTAACTAGTTAATAAATTTAGCTATGGAAATTTGTCGTATGTGCGATTTCAACCACCTAATCACCTGGCTTGTGGAACATAGGTTCTTGCTGTGAAGAAAATAAATTCATCTGTACTGTCCAATTCTGAAGATTTTCTGGACATAGTGGCAGAGATATCCAGGTTGAATCATCCAAATGTAACCGAGCTTGTAGGCTATTGTTGTGAGCACGGACAGCATCTCCTTGTTTACGAATTCTACAAAAATGGATCTCTGCACGAATTCCTGCATCTGTCTGATGAATTCAGTAAGCCTTTAACATGGAACAGCCGTGTCAAGATTGCATTGGGAAGTGCAAGAGCACTAGAGTAAGTTAAATGCAAGTTCCCTAGGAATTAATTTTACTTGACGGGGTTGCTTGCCATTTCTGAAATAATTCCTTGTTGAGAATTCCATCTGCTTCTGTATGGTCTTCTTATCAATTTTCTGTTTGAAGTTAGCGACTGGTTTTTATGGCCATCTTTTGCAGGTACCTGCACGAAGTTTGTGAGCCCTCTGTCGTTCACAAAAATTTTAAGTCAGCCAACATTTTACTTGACATGGAGCTCAATCCGCACCTCTCCGACTGTGGGCTAGCTAGCCTTTCCTCTGACCCTGACCAGGTAGGCTGATGAGTATCATGATTTTAACCTACCAACCATGAAAGATGGACATTATATTTAGCTTCTCGTATGGTCTGATCATTTCATGGAAGCAAGGATTGGAGGATTGATATATATATATGTATATATATGTATATTCATCATTTGCAGGCATCTGGTTATAGTGCACCTGAGGTTGCAATGTCTGGTCAATACACCATCAAGAGTGATGTTTACAGCTTTGGGGTTGTGATGTTAGAGCTTCTCACAGGACGCAAACCATTCGATAAGTATGAGAACCAATCCCCTTTCACTTGCACGAGACATGAATAGAATCACCATTGATTGCGATTGTGTTTTCCGTTAACAGTTCAAGGGCAAGATCTGAACAGTCTTTGGTTCGATGGGCGACTCCTCAGCTCCATGACATCGACGCCCTTTCTAAGATGGTTGATCCAGCTCTGAAAGGACTCTACCCTGTCAAGTCTCTTTCTCGTTTCGCGGATGTAATTGCCCTGTGTGTCCAGGTATGCACTCTACTCCATCAAGTCATACTTAGGACTGACCGGTCATAAATACTAATTTGATTCGATTCTCTGGTGAATTACAGCCGGAGCCAGAGTTCAGGCCGCCAATGTCAGAGGTGGTGCAAGCACTGGTTCGGTTGGTGCAGCGAGCAAATATGAGCAAGAGAACATTCGGAAACGAAGGAAGCGCTGGGAGGGCTGGAAGTGGGGATGCTGATGAATACACTCCCTAAATGAATGATAATATGAGCTTGGCTCATGAGTCTGTTTTTCTGTATAATTGACTCAGCTGCTATTGTTGCTGTTGCTACTATTTTTTACCCTTTTCCGGCCAACACCAACCTCTTCCAACTCCCTGCCTGCCTGCCTGTATGTATCATATTATTATTGCAACTTTAGTATTTTTTTATTCTTGATATGGAGAGAGATTGCTTTGAGTCTTGCTGTTCTTCCAAATTGTTGATACTTATATGATGACATCTTTCAGCCCAACTAGTGAGTACAAAATTGTGATCGTCTGCAAGTTATTTTGTTTGTCATATTCTAACTGTTTGAAAGAATAAAAAATCCCCGGAACTGAAAAGCATAGTTTGATGCAGCAGCCTGGAAAGGCACTCAATCTATTTTCTCTTTCTCTCTATAGTGAATTTCTGTATTTGACAACATCAGCAGAGTTCAAATGGAACTTGTTGCAAATCTTGGATATGGCACACTGGCTAAGACCATGCTCCTCTCCATCCACATAGTGCAGAAGCTTCTGCAGTTCTTCAGAGGGTCGGAATACCTGTTTCATATGTAGATTTCATTGTGTCACGACCAATAGGACAATTGGAACCTCATTCCTTGAAACTTTAGTGAGCAAAAGCTGTCAGCAAAGTTGAAGATCCTTACCCATGGAGAAGAAGCAGAACTATCATCACAGCCTTCATCAGAATTATGACACAAACTCTCTCTGGTATCGGCATTTTCAAAAGACTTGTGGGAGGCATCACTAACTAAATGAAGAAGCTTTTCACTTCCCTGCAGTTTCAAATGAGATTAAGATGCACAACGCATGAGTTTTTATAACATTAACATAAAAGGGAATTATCCGTTCCAACAGTTGTCTGCTGAAAATAATACATGACAGATGCTAATTTATTAATGCACTTCTTCAGTTCAATAATAATGTTCAGAAATTCTCGCCTGTGAGGCTCTCCAGTGCGAGTACGTGCGAAACAAGATCCAAAAGAACGGGACGTTAGGCAATGGAAGTACCTGTATATAAACGATCGAATGTTTCACATCAAATTAAATTGAAAAGCTGTGAAGCTTCACATATATGTGCATCGGATAAGGAAAGTACATCATCTTCAAGAGAATTTCAAAAGCCTTTTTGAATACAGATACATACCATGAAAAAAGATGTCAAAGGCAGCAATATGGCTGAACCATAGAAGTATTTCTTGTGGATAACTGAGCCCCTGGTTAACAAATGTTATTCCAACATCATAAATACAAATTTTATTTTATGTTTTGAAATTTAAACATCACAAATATGTTTATCACAAACCACTTATCAAAGCATGATTATGAAAATTGCCTTCTTTTAAAACACATCATAGACCATGGGTTGAGTATCACTTGATATCCAGAGACAGTTCAGGATTTTGCTCATTGATATAAAAGTTGGATCTTGAGCGCCATCACTAGGCACAGCTCAGCTTTTTTGGTTACTTTAATATATCTATATAGTTAGAAGTATAACTGGAACATGCATTCATCATATTCTTGCCTTGGATCCAAATACTTCATGCATAAAAGGTAATGTAGTACAATACATAAACAAAAATACGAATTATCATGATGATAACATATCCCAACTAAGTTATTAATTACCTGAATGCTATATGCCGTAGTCTTCTCCGAACAAGCCGCGGATTTAAACTATGATGTATTGTTGAAAAAACAAAAAAGTTCACCAAAAGAAAAAAGAAAAGAATTAATCTCCAAACAAAAAGGGTTTATAACCTATCCATCTAATAATCAGGGAAATCATTTTTTTTTTTTTTGCCATAGTATTTCCTCTAGGTACCTTAATTGCATGTTAAGAAGAATAGAAGTATAGAGCAACATTAAGGAGTAATGGAGTGCAACAAAATTCCTTCACACAACTTGAAGGCAGTGCTTTCGTTATATTTGGTTATAAAAAACATATTTATAGATGGACAACTTCAACATGAATAATTATTAGAATGTCCACAAATTACTTGGACATTAATATCACTTTGTAACAGAGTATTATATATCAAAATATTTAAGACTTGACTACCAAAATTATAAATTTGAAGAGAAGTCTTGAGGAAAATTAGTTCCATTCTAGTTGAAGATGGAAAGTGTTTCCAGGTCTTGTCTTGAAGAAATGGAAGAGTCAAGCAAGTTGATAGTTTGATATTCTCATCCTCGAAATTAAGCTGAATATTCCACACAGACCCCACAACAAACTTGCATACTCAAGCTAATATCTAGTTCCAATACATTCATTCATATTTCAACCAGAATACTAGACCTTCTTGAAAACAGAAATCTCGTGAACATTGTGATTAACATAAATGTTTAATCATTCAACAAATTGGCATACCTATAGAGGCCGCATGCAAAACATTAGTTTATGGATTATCCGCTTTTCTTTTGGGCAGGAATAACCAGAAATGCATAAGGTCAAACAAAAGATTATATTATATTACCTAGGAGGGTATATGATCTCCACTCCATTAATCTCCTTGGGTATGGATTTGAAGAAAATTTCTGAAGGTTTAACACGTGACAGCAGCTTCAATCCGACTCTACACAAGAAATCATCACTCAAAGTTTCAAGCTTCATTATAACACAAACTTTTTACTATTGTTTTCCCAAAGCATGTAAGATGACAACAAAATTAAATCACAAAGACAACCAAAATGCATATAACAAGGCAAACATAATATATCATTTTTCACAAAACCATACCCATGAATTTTATTCTTCACTGTTCCTTGCGGTGCCTTCTCTAGATTACTCCACGCTTTGTTCATCTAAACATGCAACATGCTATTAAATATATGGACATACACACGCAAAAATAAAATTAAAAAGTGCATTGTAAAGTATATCACTATTAGCTTGAAAAAATATAGCCTTTTTATTGATCCATTCATGCCATCCCAAAACAAGCTTTTATACATTGCTCCGAAACAAGTGAAGTACTGTACATAATAATATAGGCATAAAATGTATAAATATAATTATCTATATATATACATATATCACTGCATGAAAGAGGACAATGGAAAAATGTCATGAACCTTGATGAGCCACTATAAGCATGCACATAACGTCTGCTTAGAGTATGCACAATCTAGTAAAGGATCAATCAACAAGAAGCCCATCATTCAGAAACACTAGAAAACACCGGTGCTCAATACGGTTCTCAAACAACAAGCAACAGAATATGCAATCAATTAAAATTCAATCACCAAGCATTAAAGTAAACGAAACCCAAATTGCATAATATCGTAACAGAGTATATCGTAGAGCGTGATCCTTAGAGAGCATTTTTCCAGTAATAGTCAAAGATGGAAGTTGGGACCTTGTTCGAGACAAAATCGATCACAAGCTCCAGTTTGGAGTAGCGGCTGAGGTCAGAAGAAGAAGAAGAAAATATTTTAGTGGAGAGTTCGTTGAGGGTGGAGGGAGCGTAGGAAGATTGGGCGTCGGGTTTTGAAGGGTCAATTGATCGGCTGAAGCACCAGTTTCTTCCTCTGATCGGAAAGACCACAACTTTAGCCCTCATTTTCTTTCAAAAGTGGGATTCGAATTCGATACTCAAAACCTCCGCGGCACAAAGACGAAATGAGAACAGTCGAGTCGAGGGTATGCATTCACAGCTCCTTCCGATCCTGAGAATGACAAAAAAGGAAGCAGAGCGGCAGCGGCGGGTGTGGTGGCACTCACTCGCCAGCCCATTTCCAATTTTGACTGACACCATGAATAAAATAATTTTCTTTGAAACGGTAAAAATCTTTGTAAATAAATTTATTACATTGTTTTGGGTTGCGTTAAAATTATAGTGTTAAATCTTTTTAACTTTAAAATATTTAAACTGAAATCGAAATAACTCTTGTGAATTGAGTTTTAAATTATCACTATTTACGATTTTCAATATATTCTTGTTTTGGAATAATCCAAAGCTCATGCATATTTCATCCACCATTTCTTCTTTTTTACTCTGGGCCAAGTAGAATGAAATGTAAAGTTGAGCCACTTTCTATTTGCAAAGAGCAGCTCTTATTATTATTATCATTATTATTATTACTATTCTCAAATACAGAGCTGTCACCGTGTGATTTCATCCCTAAAATTATTTGAACACCTTAACAACAATATTTACATTCACCACATTCTAATGGCATAGAACAACAACAACAAATGCAATTATAATGTTTGCATCAACATTGAAAGATTTGGCACTTTGAATGCATCAGTCACTCATCTTCAGCAATAATATTGGGAACTCTTCCCTGGCACAAGTACTCGTCGCACGACGATGCCGATCTCCAATCTTTCCGCAGCCGTAGAATATCCTCAGTAAATGTCGATCCAGAAGATCCAATAAATACCGACGACAAAGCACATATCGTCTTATCCAGCATTGCTTCAACCTTCATGATCAGATCCAAATGTATATTCAAATGTCAGCAAGTTCACAATCAGAGATTCGATTCAAACAACAAAGTAAAAACAAACACCTGAGGATCTTCATCCAGTCTATGTCTGTACAATAAAGCATCCCACTTTTCAGCAGAATTGCGAGATGGTCTTCTAACAATCGATACAGACTTCCCATTCCACGAAACAAGCGACTGCAATAAACCTGTTTCACTTTCTGCAGCATCCGTCGAAAGATAAACTATCGGAGTATTTGCCTTTTCAACCACTTGATTGATACAACCCGCAGCCTGAGGAACAGGGTAAAAACAGCTCGGCCGTTTGGCATTGCTGAAAACCATCGAGATAATTCGGTTAAGGTTAAACATCGCGCATGATATAACAGAATAAGGAGTTACAAGACCTGAAAAGAATGATGTAATAATACCAGAATTTCAAGAAACCATGACGCCGGAAATGAAGGGCTACATAGTCCCTCCCAAGGAATGTCTGAATAAAACGTTGAGCCGTTACCAAAATGAGTCGGCTCGGCTCAATCAAAGTCCTACATTTGTGAGCAATAGGCCCTCCTGGCTGCATAACCCACTCCCTCTCCACATTAGCGAAGAACACATCGCCAATCGCTATTACATCATCATCTGTCGAAAACTTCGCCAACACATCCTTGGCTGTCCTCACCTTCGGATGTTTGACATCTTCTTTCCAGACAGCAGTAATCTTGCCCACAGAGAGCCCCAAACTCTTCAATTTCTTGACATGGCTGTCATCTATAAAGCACGGCTGTGGTAACGAGAAATAGCACATAAACTTGTCGATGTGCAAATGATGCTTCCTATTCTCAGCAAACTCGTCGAATGTCACCACAACTTTCCTCCCTACACACTTGTTAATGTGATCAATATCTAAAACTCGATGAAACTCGTAATCTACTTTCGGACTAGGTATCACCAAGATTCGATCAAACAATGCAGCAAAGAACATATGCTTCTCCAAACAGATCAGGTGGTTCGACATTTGTCCTGATAAACAAATTGTGAATAGATACTTGTTTGATTTGGGCTTCCACTCCATTGTTCTTCTCTGTGAAAACTTGGGATCAGCCTTCCTACATCTGCTGTTCCAACCTGAAAAACTCACATTTGAATCGAGAGACACATCACCACTCTCGTGGGAGGAGAGTAGAGAGCCTTGGATCTGCTCATTCAATGAAATTTGCCTAGCAACTCGTGCTTGCAAATCTGCCAATGTTGAAGAAGAAAGTGAATGAAGCCCATCGCCATTGGAAGAAGAAGAAGTATTGGTCAAATTAGCACTATCATTTATCAGAGTAGAATTTTTCAGCATCTTCAAAAGCTCAAGCTCCTGCTGCTTGAGCAAATACAGCGCCCGCAGCTCTGCTTCGCGCATTCGATTAATTGATGGATTGTTGCTATCTTCGACATCTCTGGGCACTGGCAAACGAATCTGGAACAAATTCTTCGCGTCGGTGGTGAAATAGAGCAGTAAAATTACCATAGGCAGAAAAATCGTTAACAGATACACCTTGTTGAATCTGCGGACGCGGCTCCTGAAGTCATCGGCAATTTGGAAGGCAAAGGGGCTGCGGTGGTTGGGGGACTTGACGGCGTCGTTGGGTCTGGCATTTTGGGGAATCAGATTCTCGTGATCCCCCTCTTCGTCAGATGACTCTCTGTCCGTCATCATCGGCAGCCTTCCCTTCCGCTCACATTAGCATAGAACTGAAGAAGTGGGCATGGAGAAAAAAAAAAAAGAAGCTTGCTGAGTGGGGTTGGTTTCAGAAATGGCGATTAGGGTTTTGTGGGGGTGAGTGAAAGAGGAGAATAAAAAGTGTAAGAGCAAAGGAAAGAGATTCCACACCAAACCAATAATAAAAGAAAGGAACACTAGAAGAACAAATGCTCCATCTTCGATCCTTCTTCCTAATTCTAATTCCATTGGATTATGATCATCGGAGACGAAGACAGTCAGTCAGTGGACAGCGACGCTGCACCGAAGCAGCCAAGCCAACTCAAATGGATCGGACCCATAGATTGATTACTTAACAATGGATGACTTGACCTAACTTGACTCAGTCGGGGTGGGGCTGGGTTCGAGTCTTGTGGTTCTTTGATATCTAACACGTCTGTCTGTCCGTCTTCCTTATTATCCTCGAAGACAAACATCTGGCACAAGATTGCAGCGGCCACGTAGCAGCAGCAGAAGCATTCTGGATTCATCTGGGTGCTGATCAATCGATTATATATTATGATCCAATTAATCTGGGAAAGGAGATTTGAGAATGGGGATTAAAGTATTTGGGGGTTTTGGGAAAGAATTGGTAGGTCGTGCAGTATTCCTGCGATGGATGGCTGCCAAAGCTCCCAACCGTGCGGCAGTCCATGGCTTGAAGCTTCCAGCCCCAGACATCGTCCCGGTACAGATAAAAAAGCTTGGTTTCATAATTTACATAATATTGACAGGCCTGATGCGCTGATCTGAATTACTGCTTATTGTAGAGGGAGAAAGTGGAGAGGGTGGAGATTCAGAGTGCGATGGAGGAGAAAGGGAGAAAGAGGAAGGAGATTGAAGATAGTGTTGATTCCCATCTCAACAACTGGCGATCGCAGCTGCTCTACGTCGAGGAATTTCTCTGTGTTGTGCCAGGAACTTGCAGAATCATGCTCCAATCGGAGAAGATGATAAAAAAGATCTCCGTATAGACAATAACACAATGGAATACTTATCTATATAATTAAATTCGTTATTTCAATATATTAATTAAATCTTTGTCCGTAAAATAATAGTCCTAATAAATTGATTATTAACAAGTAAAATAAAAATAATAAAATTATAAATCAATAGCCGACTTAAACAAGTAAAATTGAATTGAGGTACAAACTTGTTTGTTTGATGGGCGTGGCTCTAGTTTCATATCAGAAGCTATGGTCATGTACATATTTTATTATATTATATTATATTATAATATTGCAGAAATGGATATGTATTAAAGTTATTTGTGGATATTGTCCCTTGTACACACCTCCCTCCCTCCCTCGTTGCTATTTTGACCTGTTCTGAGCTGTGTAGATAATAAATAGTCCGCTAATAATAGATTAAAACTAGAGTCCGATTGTTTTATGCATATGGCGTTAAAAGTCGAGTCAAAATGGTGTTAGTAACTTTGTTATATAAATATAGTTATTTAGTGCTGCTAATTATTTAATAAGTTGTCAAATTTCAAGTCAATAAAATGTTGAAGAGACGTGGCGTGGTGGTGGAGGATGCTCATGTTCAATACACTACTTGAATTGATGTTGATAAGGATGACCTGACCTGACCCGACCCTAAATTCGAATTTCCCATGCCAAAACCAAATACAACTTTAGGTCCTTTTTTTTTTTTTTTTCTTTTTTTTATTACAACATTACAATTCTAAAATGATACTTTCTCTATAAATAGGAGGAAATATGTTCGAAATCGCAGGATAAACACAACCCTAAAATACGTGTATTGACTTGACGATGAACACGAACACCAACTCTCCAATACATTATTTCCCTTCAACTTCATTTATACCACCTTCTTCTTCTTCTTCTTCTTCTTCTCTTACTTACAGTAATTTATTGATCATTTTGGCAACTGGGATTGCGATGGGTTGTTGATGATGATCATGAGTGTGCCACTCGTTTTTCAAGCATTCATGTTCATTTTCTCCTCTCCTTCCTCATTTTTCCCTCGGATCTTCTGTTCCTACTTGCTACTTTCATAAGCTTCCATTGTTGTCTATATAAAGCAGAGAGCATTCAATGCTACTTTTCTCAAACCCTAATTTCACTGCATAAGCTGAAGCTCGCAAGTGATTTTTGAAGAGGAAATTGAATATGAGTGGAAAGGTTGGGGGGGACGCCGGAATGATTGAGGTCACCGGGAAGGCAGTGGTGGCGGCCATTGTTATTCTTTTATTTCTCGTCGTCTTCTTCTTCTGCTTACACTTCTACGCCACGTGGTGCTGCTACCACCGCTCCTCCATCTCCACCGCCACCGCTCGGCGGCGGCGCCGCCGCTTCGATTTCGCTGGCGGACACCAAGAAATCACGATTTTGTCGGCCCTGCGCCGTGGACTGGATCCTTCAGTCCTCAAAACCCTACCGATACTGGTTTTTGACCCTGAGGAATTCAAGGATGGATTGGAATGTGCTGTGTGCCTTTGCGAGGTTTCACATGGGGAGAAGGCTAGGGTTTTGCCCAAATGCAATCATGGATTCCATGTCGACTGCATCGACATGTGGTTTCAGTCACATTCGTCATGCCCTCTCTGTAGAAGTCCTGTGACAGCCAATCACAGCCTGCCAAATATTGGAGCTGAATCAGCACCGCCATTGCAGACAACTCTTCAAGCTTCCCTTCCAACAGCAGGGGATAATTCAGGTACTGATTTCTTAGCACAAGAGGTCCCCAATTTCCCAACCAACGTGCTGGTTTGGGGCAGGGAGACTGAAGTGAGCACCTTTGGCCCCTCTGCAGAGGAAAGCCATCAGGAAAATGCTGCAGCCGAACCATCCAGTTCATCATCAACTGATGGTGTGCCATCAGTGATCATCGATATTCAAAGACAAACAAATGAAGATGAAGAACAGAATTCCTCTGTGCCGACACGGCTTAGATCGCTGAAGAGGCTGTTAAGCGGCAATCGAAGAGTTAATCCTTCCAGTGGAAGGAAAATGGATCAGCTTGAGCAAGGAAGTTCTTGATTCATTCATTCATTTTGATCCATTTTAACGTGATGATATGAATGGTATGGATCACAAGTTTGCATCTTCGATTGTTTCCCACAGCATGATGATCAGATTATGCCATCAAATGTATTAAAATCCTTGGCAAATTTGGATTGTTCCTATGAAGTAGTTTTCTTTCCCTTGTTTTGGTTGATGAGTCAGTGGACCCGACTCTTGATGTTTGGTTATGTATAATTAATGCAATCCGAATTCCCCAGTTTGGAATTTCTGGATGAATGCTTCTGCCTAATTTATTTCCCTAATAATCACGACAAGATCTTGGTTTTCAGATTCAGATTGTCCATGAAAACATCATAAGGACCTCCCTCATCACTCATAAAGACAGTAAGACACTTCTTGCCTGTCCCACACTCAATCCACGAATTGTGTGATCATAGCATCACTACCGGAAAGAAAGAAAAAAAAAAAAAAAAAAAAAAAAAAAAAAAAAACAACAATGAAAATTCAGTCAACAACATGAATGGAATAAAATTAACAAGCAAGCAAAGAGTCGGGAGATGGATATAAGTAAATGGCAGAAGTAAGCAATGCTTCTCCTATCAAATAACCAGAAAACTCGGGTTTTGTTTAGATACCCTTCATTCTGCAAAATAACAATCTTGTGTAGAAAGGAGAACAACCATGAGATGGAAAATAACTTTCTTAGTTTCAAGCATTTTCAAATGCTTTACTACAGTTAATTCACTTGCAAATATTATCTGTCTCTAGATAAACAACAGAAATAACCTTTGTGAACTGTAAAAGAATAGCAATTGGAGTAAAAAGAAGTTTAAGCATGAATAGGAGAAGATCGCAGTTATTATGAACATTGTCAATCCATGTCATCAGAAGTCGAGCAACCTTACTTTCCATAAACATCAGTTAAGCCACCACCTTTGTATCTCTTATAAACAAAGTCCTAAAAGCACCACTAAGCAGCCATATCAGTCCATTGCAGGGTACTAAGTTCATAATACTGTGTGGTTCAAATAACCTCAAAGTTCCTATGCAATATGCAACAGGCCTTCTGAAATCAGAAGCAAAAGTAATATAAGTTTTCATAAGAGTCTTTTTAGTAATCATAAACAAGAAATTCATATAAAGCAAGAAAATAAATTTATTAATAATATAAATAACTAGTCAAAAAATTAATTCACACTATGTAAAGAAATCTCAGCCCTTGTTATGTCATAAGAATAATTCACCCCAACATTTGTCAATGACTGCTCGAACTTTCTTTGGCCTACAGAGCTCCCGTACCACTTTTTCCCAAGTGGAGGGCTTTGGGCAAAGATAACTTTCAAGCATCACTCCTATAATTTTGCATGCCCCAGCTATCATTTGTCGCCTGTACAGCCTTAGCACAAGCTCATCTAAAAAATCTCTACCATCTTGTGGAGGATCAAGCTTCTCCTTCAATGTTCTCAAGAATATTTGACATGTAACAGAATCAGGATCACACCCTTCGTTTAACATGTCATTTAACATATCAATAGCATGGCTTATATTGCCCTCTTTGCACAAAGCTTTAATAAGTATGTTGTAGGTGAATACATCAGGTTTGGCATTACAGTATTTATATCGCATCTCAGTATATAAGCTTAACCCCTGTTTTGTAAGTCGAGCATTACACAGACCTTGGATCATGGATGTATAAGCCACAGCATCAGGTGCCAAACCTTTCGCCAGGATGCGCTTCCATATTGCAAGGGCATCTTTCACATTCCCTTCCTCACATAGGCCATGAATAACCACACTGTAACAAACCTCGTCATCTGGGCAATCCTTCTGAGCCCTCTCTTTCCATAAAAGAATTGCCTTAGCTGCGCTTCCAGCCTGAAAGAAACCCTTCATTAGAGAGCTGTAAGTGAAAGCATTTGGCATGCAACCTGAAGCAATCATTTTCATAAAAAATTCTTCAGCTACATAAGGCTTCCCTTCTCGACACAAACCATCTATGAGAGTACTATAAACAACAGTATTGGGCTTGCACCCCTTTTGGATCATCCTATCCCACAATTTTATCGCCTCTTCAGATTTTCCCTCCCTAAACAATCCACCTATAAGTGCTGAGTATACATACTCATTTGCTTTGTACCCCCTTTCCTCCAATGATTCCAATATATGCACACCATCAATAGACTTACAATTCTTAGCAAGCCCGTACATCATGGTCCCGTATGTAACTTCATTCGGAATGAGTTTATCAGACAACATTCGGCTCAAAAGACTAACTGCCTTGTCAAGCTTTCCTTTGAGGCACAGCCCATGTATGAGTGTGTTGTAAGTCACTTCATTCGGAGCACAGCCTTTCAGAAACATATTGTCAACTAGCTTGGATGCCCGGGACAAGTAACCCTTCTTGCAAAGCCCACTAATCAACACATTAAACGTCGCCACACTCGGGTCACAGCCCTCAATTTGCATCTCATCCAACAAGCACAAAGCATCCTCCATCCTATCCTCTTTACACAATCCATCCATCAATGTGCAGTAAGTGTATGCATCCGGCTTACATCCAAAGCCGGGCATTTCCCGGAACAAATCTACTGCCCGGCCGATTAAATGCAACTTACACAGCGCTTTGATCACTAAATTAAATGTCAAACCATTTGCAGAAATATTTCTTCTATTGTACTTGACATAATCATAGAACTCCAAAGCCCTTTGGTATAAGCCTCCTCGAATCAACACGCTAAGAACTGAGTTGAAAGACCTCACTGTTTGCTTACATTGAAACTCAGGCACCATTCTATGAAATAAATCAATAGCTTTATGCGGCAAATGGGCTTTCCCATAAGCTCTGAAAACTACTATGAAATTCTTCTCAATAAGAACTCTATTTTCCCGTTTCATCCGTTCGAAAACCATCTCCAAGGACCTGAAATCCCCGGAGCCGGCATGAAAATCGATAAGGGAGTAGAATGTGGAGTCTCCCTGCCTATAAGAACCCAGCGTCCGTGCACCTCTGAATATTGAATCAGAAATTGGAGGAGCAGAAACATCAGGAGTAGCGTCGTGGGGAGGGGAAATTTGGGGTTGAGAATTTCCATGGGCAGCGGCGAGCGTCCTGGAAAAGAAGAGGCGAGCGAGATACTTACCAGGTATAGAGAAGAGCTTGACATTTGACTGCTTCCCCTGGAATGTGGAGAAGGGCATTCTTCTATTTACGGAACAAAAACCCGAACCCTTGCAAAGAATCCATTTATTTCCAACTATGAGCTTCTGATGGATTTGGGTTAATCAACGTTGGAAAGGGGCGAGTCTGAACTGTGAAGCGTCGATGATGTGATCTGCGCCACCTGCGCGGCGGTTGCAAGGAAATCATTCCGACGGACGGGAAATTGGCCCACGGGCCTTTACAGACCCTTCCAGAAGGATCTAAGATTCAAGGCCCGACTAGAAAACTCAAGTAAAATGGACTAAGGCTCGACTGTACAGGTCCATTAAGCAAGAGGGCAGGAAAGTAAAGTTAGCCCACGAAGAAGAAGCGAAAAGTTGTAAAATTTGGGTGATCAAGAAATACAGAGATGCAGCTTTCAATGGACATGGCAGACTGCTGCACTTTCTCCATTTCGTAGGTTCTTTTCTCATTCCGGCTTTGACTTGCAATTTCTTTTATGCGTTTTTCTTCCATCTGATGGTAGCACGGTTCCGCAGGCATGGGAGCGGTCAAGAACCAATCTTTTTTAGGGTGCAGGAATTATTTCCTGAAAATCTTGATCTTGAAGATAACCCTCGCTGTCCGTTGCCTATTTTATTTTCCTTTTTCATCAACAAAGGCCTATAGAAAACTGTGTTTTTCTTCAAGAAGAAGCGTCTTTACGATATGCAACAGTGTAGGGAAACAGTAAACATAAAAACCGATTAATACACTGAAGACAGTCCAGTCCAGTCCAGTGGAAAAGCTTTCGAAAAAGTTTCAAGAAAAGAATCCGTTTCAGGAGTTTGGCAGGAGGCCTTGTTTGTTGGAATCGATATATGTCACCTCACCTGACACTCTCTCTCCTACTTGCTGTGAAATTAGGTCCCCCTTCCCAATCAATATTAGAAAATTTGCAGAATCAACTGCGGTCCTAGTTCATTTGCATCACCTTGGATCAATACTCTCTTTCTTGATTGATGTGTGACACCAAATTGAATTTTCAATTGAGTATTTCTTGTCCCCCTTTCCATTGATTGATGGAGCTCATTTCATGGTATATAAATTGTTCTTCATCTACCGGTTCTTAGAGCAGCATTTAATTTGGTAGCCAGCTTGTACACTAGGCATACAATATTACGATTGGCATGCTTTTCAAGCATATTTATAGTGCAGGTAAAAAACTCTGCTGCGCAATCATTGTGGACAATATAATCATAAATAGGGAGTTAATGCTGCTGACTTCGTTCGACATTAAAGAAGCCCAGAGGTAACATGAAACTCTGAATTGATTAGATAAGCATGGAAACAGTGTTCATTAATGCATTTGTCTGTCTGTATATCATCCAGTAACCCTGGCCTGATAAAACTTCTTTTTTTTTTTTTTTAAGATTCACCAATCACCATTGCATGCATCTTGATATATATGCGTGTGTATGTTCTGTCCAAGCACCCATGAAAATCACCTAATTGGCCACTATTTCCAGATCATTCAGTGAGTATATCCTATCCTAGTTTTCATTTATGAGAAAAATCAAGGCTAAGGCAAGCCATGGACATTGTTGCTCTTCAACCACAGGACATATATCCTCATTGCTATTTAAAAACGTTGTCTAACCATAACCATCTGTTTCAGTATCTTAAATAGCATAGTTACTGCAAGGGAAGCAGCCGCATGACTTGTGCCCCGAGAGGTGAGAGTTGTTCTTGTTAATGGCTGCCTTGCGCGCCGGCTGCCCAATCCCAACTTTCCGAATTTGTTCCGAGTGCTGAAACTGTGCTGCTGCTCTCCATTCTTCAGCTTTCCGGTGCACATCGGCCATCCTCTTCATCAGCTTTTCTTCCAAATTTGATCTCATTTTCTGTATCTTCACCTGAAATAATAAAGAGCCAAACATATATGTTGGTTATCTTGTAAACTCCTGGAGTCAGTCCAGTGAGAATTTTCTATTGGATCACATGGGCTGTGTACTAAACTTATTTGCTCTTTACAAGGCCTTGAATTTTGGTGGTATTCCGGCAGGGAGACGAACAAGACAAAAGGCCAATTAAAATAAACACTGTACAGAATGCAGTGCTACTGCACATGGGGGGACATGACTTTGGAAATTCCATGCCTAATAACTATCTTAAGTAAAAGATAATGATCTGCAAACCATCTGACATCTCATGCTTCTCTCTTACTTCTTCTAGAGCAATTAGGACCACATTTGTTACTACCAACTATTTAAAAGGGATTAGGAACAACACAGCACAGCAAAGGGTATTCTTGTCTGGCGGGTGGCTCAATGTGGATGAAGCCAAACCTGAGTTTGAATAAGTCTACACATACGGCCAACAGAATCCCACCAAATCTTTAATAATGATATATAGACTCAAGTGGGGGGGTGTGTATTGCTTCCTGTGTTTCTCAGATTTCTTATATCTATGCCATGCCATGCCATTCTATGGTCACATCCAAATGCTTACTTATTTTGTCTTCATGCCAAAAGACTAGAGACACTGGTGTTTTTAGTACATCTTTTACCGCAAACACCGAATAGGGTCAGTCAGTAAAAAGAGTCTAAAAACTAACAGTTGGCAGTGGCAAGGATTATCACAAGCAAGAATCAGTAATTCTGCAGCTAATGAATTCATTACCAGTATTAGGAGTGAATGAATTAGTACCTCAAGTTTTCTTGACTCGGCTTCTGCTTTTGCACTTTGGAGATTCACCCAAGCTTGAATTTTTGCTTCCTCCCTTTGATACCTGAAATTAACAAATTCTCCTAATGTCACAATTAATCGAAGATCAAATTTAACTAATGCTGTTCTAGTTCATCACCTTAGGCAGCTCTTTGTTTTGGTTTCTTCTTCCCAAGCACAAGCTTTTGTCTCAGAGACACTTCTCCGGCACTCATTGCTCACCTCATAGTGTCTAAGACTCTTGGATATCTCCTCCTCTTCCTCCTCCCTGGAACTCCAATTGGCTGTTAGAGAGTCAAATTGTGTTCCAATTTGCAGCTTGGCCATATGGCACTCTTGCAGTTGTGTTATGTCAATGGTGTAGTTTGAGCTATCAATACTACTTTGGGCTAAGGGACCAGACCGATCATTTGGTGTGTTATGGCGTGCTGGAGAAGTGCTCTTGAACGGAGTTGGACACCTTGAAGTGGTGGAGCTGCCAAGAGGAGTCATATCTGTGCCAACATCCCTGAGTTTCACCTCGTGCATACTCTGAATGGTTGCATCATTCATGGATCTTTTGACTGTGTTTCCGAATAAGAAACCTTCTTGCATAGGCTCCAAGCACCCAAATTTGGGACTGGTTGCTTGATTCACCTCATTTGGGAATTTATCTGTGCATTTACTCAAACCAAGTGAGTATGATCTAATGGGCCATAGGTAAATTAATGTTACCATGAAAGTGAAGGCAAAAGAGAGACCAGGTAGGACTTAGGAGTAAGATACTTATTTTGAAAAGCCTCAAACCTTTTAGAATTACTTCTGCAGCAGGTGAGAGAGAAATCCCATTGATAGCTCCAGCTGAAGTATGATGCTCGAGCACTGAAGGCTCCTGAAAAGTTGAGATCATTTTTGAAACTCTCTCTTCAGTGAACCTGGATTTTTCAGCAAAGATGTCGCCAATCTGAGGCCTGTACCCAGCACTGCATTGCCTGGAAAACATTTTAGAAGGCTCTGATGGCTTCAAGAGGCCATGATTATTTGCTGGAGATTCATGGCAAGAACTTCCGCTAACAAGCCATTTCTCTGCATCGTCCCACTTGGAAGGGAAACTCTTCCTTGAAAAGCTCCCATTGGTAAAGCTGAAAATAGGCCTCCCTGGAGTGGGAGGAGCTTCCGGGCATCTTCTTGTGGCTGAGTTTTCCTCATATTCACAACTCCTCGGTTGCAGAAAGCCCCGGCTTTCCATGGTGCCATGGTTTGGCACTGGAAATGAGTTTACTAACTCTGAGGTTTCTCTGAGAGTCACCTTGCAAATGGGGTCGGAGAAGGAATCCAAAAATGGGTTCTTTAAGCTTGTCTTGGATAGTCCACCGTTGATGTCCACAGTTGCTCCCTTCATCAGCAGCAGAAACATCAAAACCCACATTTATGAAAGAAAAAAATACAGAGAAGGAACACCAGAAAAATGGCAGAGCCTAGTATATTACTGAGGAATAAAATAATATAAAATACCATTTGAGAGGAAAACAAGGACGGAGGTTCCAAGTACTTGCAGCTGCTGGAGAGATCCATGGCAGAAGCAGGGAAGAAGAAGAAGAAGAAGAAAAAAAAAAAAAAAGAAAGAATTTCAAAATCTGTAACTCTGGTGTAGGACAAGCCTAGGATGGGTAGAGGTGGGTTAGTTACTTGTGGGATTTCATTTGGCGTGGCACATACATGACATGATATGATATGGAGTGGTTGAATTCTATTTTCCAAATGAGAGAATAATCTTTGATGCAACACTTGTGGATACAGGAAAGTGATTGAGAAGTTTAGTTAAAATAGGAAGCACTGTTTTCCCCGGAGCAGAGAAGAAAAAGGGGCAGTGGGGGGTAGGGTGGGGTGCTATGGCCACTGCCAGCTTCCAGCTTTAGTCTAAATTCTAAATTACTTATATTAACATATAGCATGCAAATGCAGTTGAGGACAAAAACTTGCAACAGCTCTCTACCTCCACCTCTACAGAGTAGTGACAGACAGACGCTATGCGTGCAAGTCTGCAAGCCTAAGACTTAGCCTTACTCCCCACAGGGTGGAATCAGGCCATTATACATTACACTTTGAATAAAAAGTTTTGTAAGCATACATATGCATATACATATACATATACATATACCAACAGTTGTATTTCTTATGTTCATCTCATTGGATAGTAAATGACTACTACACACTTATTAGTAGTGTTTAATGATGCTATTCTAAGAAGAACAGCGCCATAATTAATAGTCTTGAATTATGTTGTTGGTTCCAATTGGAACCCACCATACATCATGTGTTTGTTTTCCCTTTTTTTTTTTTTTTTTCCTTCTTGGTGGGGATTATTACCACAATACAAACTCCAATAATTTTGATGTAGCTTAGATACATCATTCTCCAACAAGATTCAGTTTAGTTTGGAAAACAACAAACCTCATCACCATCACCATCGCCCTTGGCCTTTAAAGCTGTCTCTCAATTCAGCTTCTACTGTACTGTGAGTGCAACTGTGATTGCTGCTGCAGTTGAAGGACAAAGAAACAGATGAACAGTGATTGTGCCAGCGAACTATCAAATCTTATCAAGAACAAGGTACTTGAGCATCTAATAACTAATAATTAGTCAAACCCTCCAAGAATTTTGCTTGACTAATTATATGACTTCTTTGATGGATGATGAAATGCATGTAGAGGGAACATATATAGATATAGTGTGTGATGCTACAGGAATGAAGAGTACTGGAGAGAGGACCTGGGATGAAGGTCCTCATTTTCATGCCTGCCAAGTATCAAGATCTGCCACCACCTGTGACTTGAGGTACACATGTGATTCAAAGGAAGATGGAGATGGAAAGAAGTAAAGCCAAGGCAAGTGTTCATTTTGAAACTTCATCTATACAGAATTTTCTCCATGTGTTCCAATTCCCTCAAGGAGGAGATAACAGCAGCAGCATGATAACTACAAACATTGAGTGAGTACAAGAAAAAAGGTTTTCTTCCATTTTGTCCCCCAGTCATTTTTGGATCAAGGGGGTTGCAGATATAACCTTCCGATTCAGGGAGTACTTACCGGCTTCCTAATCCTAAAGAATAGAGAATTAGGAGGAATAACAATGCATACATACATACATACATACATACAAATGTATATGTATTCTATAAACAAGATGAGGTAAAAGTGAATCCCAGAACTTGATTCCCAAAGTGCTCTACTCACCAGTTTCCATGTGCTGCTGTGTGCTCTCCTCACATAAGTCAGACTGTGACTTGCTGCTAGGAATGAATTTAGGAGGTGACCATTGATCTGGAACCATCAAAAAATAGGTAGTCATGGCCTTACGGAACCTCTTCTTGTATTGCTTTGGGGATATGACCGTTGGTGAGGCATTTTTGGGTCCGCCAAGAATAGATGCTTTCACCCATGTTTCAAGGTGCTTATCCCATGTATATTGTCTCATAAAGTCAATGATTCCAAGGACTAGTTCTTGCCTTTCTTCATCAATCCCTACTAATAGAGAGTAATCCATCACATCCTTTGACTGCAAAAAATTGAAGGAAAGAAATGTGATCAGCTTTGTGGAACCTCCTGCGATCATTCATTGGAAGATAAAATGTCAGTAAACTTACAGCCAGAAAGGCAGTGTCATTCCAGACAGCTCTTTCTAATAGTCTTTTGGCTTTGTTTCCAACAAATATTGGAGAAGTTGGCATGGCTTCGATCAAGTTCTGGTCCAACAAAACTTTATTGCTTCCTGAAGCATCAGCATTGTACCGGGACCTGGAAGAGCCTTTGAGATCATAAAGCCGTGTCAAATTTCTTCCAAACAGAAGATTCTCCATAACCAGGACATCCATCTTTGTTTCCTTCCCTCCTTTAAGATGCTTGGATGTCACCTTTTTCAACACAATGCCAGAAAAATTATCAATAAATATCATGTAATGCCATGGCAGGAATAACTTTTTAACCCACTATAAGATCTACTTCAGATGGCAAAGTGATGAACAGGGTAGCTATCAGAATGTTTATACTAAGGAACATCTATTAGAAGCCTAATTCTTGTTTGCATCAATATGACAACCATATTCGATTCAATTAGTTCACATTCAATTCCAAGCATTTTTACCTGATAAATTCCAAGAATCTTTGCCAGGCATGTGGGGCTTCCTGTGCTAATTGATTCAGAAAGATATTTAAAATAATCCGGAGCAAATTTGATAAATGATTCCAGCTCAGTCTTTGTCACTTGCTTGATAATAAACCGATCATCCAAAGTTTTTGCAAAAAAGACATTGCTCTTGCCACCTTGAGCTCCCCACTTCTTACATCGGCTAAGGGATCTAATAAAATCCACCTCTGAAGGACAACATATCTTCCTCAAGGCTTCAAAGCGCTTTGCATAATAGCAAGTAACTGAGTATTTGACTTTCCCAAGGGGTCCATCATCTGAAAATGACACTCTTGCATGCAATGCTTTATCATAAGACACTGGATCCAAGGACAATGAAGTACGAGAACTTGTTGACGACAACATGTTTTCATCTACAGATCCAAAGCTTCTGAAGGAGTCCAAAGTTTCGTCCAAAGAGAAAAATGATTGATAAGTGCTCCCATTAGATAACTGGATAGAAAGAACTGAGTCTGTACCGTCCTTTGTTCTGTCAGACTCGCTACCCATTTGCGCAATATAATCAGGAGAAACAAGTGCAAAAGATATAATACTTGTAGGTTCATCATCATACACAGGAACAACTGTGTCATCAACTCCCACATTTAGAAGCAGTCTGGCTCCACCTTGGACTTCCGACTCCCTCAAGGATGAGATGTACACTGGATTATATTCACTCAAGAATTTCGGAGCATTCCGTACAAAATATGTGTCTAATGATTGGTAGAAACTTAGAAATGGTATGCCCAGCCAGTTCAAATTGTCTTTGTCATCATCCAAACCTTTGGTAGAAATTATGGAAGGTAATTCAGACATCTTAGAGACATTAAGATTTTCTCTGGGGTTTTCTGAATCAGACTTGTCGGGTACACTAACGCAGGGAGAATCGAACTCAACTGTTCCAGGAAAACTCTTGTTCTTGGGGATTCCTCTAACTGGATAATTTTCACCAGTCCATGCTGCATCAAGTGTATCTGATAAACAAATAGGTTCTTGCCCTTCAGAGAGTGCTCTATGAACAGTAACACCAGATGCTACAGGATCAGATCCATCATCAACCTTTGTCCCAGGATGAAGTGCAACCAAATTTTTATTTTCCTGATCAGATTCTATACATTCATCGTTTCTTTGAAGAACCACAGCAAGGTGATTCATGATTTCATCACTTGTTCCGTGATCAGGACTTGGCATTGCATCCGTTTCAATGGTGGAAACATTTATGTCAAGAATTTTCTGTTGGCCTAGAATATTTTCAGTATCATAAACCAGTTTCTTAGTGAGCTCTGGAGAGGCAAGCCCTGTGTCTTCTGGTCGGTTCTTAACATCTAGGCTAGATGCATGCTTCAGGCGCTGATCCCACAAATAAGACTGGAAGACCAATTGTCTACGAAGTTGATTGAGCTCAAGAATATCAATGACAGGTTGACCTTTTCCTGCCTCCTTGTTCAAAATTTTCTGGATCAATTCCTGAAAAATTGCATGCACTTTTTTATCAGTCATGTTGGAAAATGAAGATGAGCTTAACAATAATGACTCCTAAAATTTTACTTCCAGAAAGGTACTATTTTCAACAGACTGACTAATTATTACCTTCCTAGAATCCAAAAACATTACTCTATGCCAGACAGGACAATATTCTACATTGCTAATGCCTAATAATCAATAAGAAACTCCCAGAAACTCACAAGATTATGCCACTCTAAATATTCCAAGGGACTCTCTAGACCGATATCCACAAAATGAGTTTGTTACGAGGAAGTTCAGTATGGAGTTCATGGACCAATACTACAGTCTTTTGCTTCGGTCATTTTGATAATGAAATGTAAACATTCCAATCACACTTAGTATGGATAGGTAAATAAGACAACGATTCCAAACCTCAAATTCTATCTTCTCTTTCTGCAGCATATCTTCTGCCTCTGCTATTTTGCGCCTAGATTCTGGAATGCTGATTCCGCTGCTCTGCAGATTTAGACCAGAATGTCTTTCTACCAGAAGACAAATAGCATTAAGGACTTCAGAGAACAAAAGCTCAGCTCTTCCAATAACCTGTTGATAGACAAAAATGAAAATGCTGAAACATTACACATATACTGTAACTGAAACTAGGATATTATATATCATATACCTCGTTCAACTCTCTTTCTAGCCATTCCTGTCTTTCATAGCTGAAACCCAGTTTTGACGGAGGAAGGTACACAGAATGAACACTAATTGGTGCGTACCGAAAGCAAGCAACCATGTTCCCATACCTGCAAGCAACTCTTTATCACAACAGATGCAAATTGCAAAATGGACACCTACTGGAATAACTCACATGAATTTTCAAGCGAAAAAACAAAGTAGAAAATTACTACCAAAACCCACTCAGCAAGTAGGAAATGGAATGGCTCAGCCCACTCAGCTAATTGTTACCACAAACCCCAATTATTATCCATCACATCACCAGATACAAACATAGCAAGTATGTGTGGCCCAAGTAACTGTACAAGGTTAAAAAAAAAAGGAAAAAAAAAAGAACTACCATAATTATTATTTTTTTTTTTTTCAATTGTTAGGCTTTCTGGAAATTATACCTGCCTAGATGAGTAATAGTCCATGATAACATCTGAAAACATGCAAACATACCCGTAAAACCGAAGACAGTCTCTATGCAAAGAATGGCCACAGCTTGCCACTCTGCTTGCAGCAGCATGGTTCGAAAAGCTTAGCTCCAGAAACTTCCCAAAGGACAATCCCCATGCTGCGTCAGACATCACTACCCTTCTTATTGCAGGTGGGAAACCGTTAATTTTTGGACATCTCAAGCAGCGGTGCCACATCCAGATCTTTCCATCCTTTTCACCACGCAATATAGGCTTAGACAATTTTTTCACAGAGATTGTTAGGGTACCTTGTCGATGAGTATAACACTGAACATGAGCTTCAGCAGGCATCTCACATGAGCGGCATACATAACTCTGTCATGAAAGTTAGATGTTGTCAGCTTGGTGGAAAAGACACCTTGCAACTATAACAACATTGAAGTTTTTATGTGATTTCACTACAAAAGCAGAAAGAAGAGTACCTGATCAAACAACTGATCATGCAGAAACCTACCCAATGGCTTATCAAAACTGCCATAATATTTTATTCGAAACAGATGAGATCTTTCACAGACAGTGCCCTTCCACACACATCTTGATGATAAAGAAACCAAAATGCTTTGATGGTCTGATGGAGAAGGCAGAACCTCTTCCTTTAAGGCAGGTTGTTCCTCAAGAGCTGGTTTTGCACCAAGTTGCAAAGATAATGGGTCTAATACATTTCTATTCGTATCACTATCAAGGGAATAACTTGGCAAGATTTGAAGGTCTGAATCTCCTTTGACACCAACTCTGTTACCTTCTAAAAAATTTCCCTCTAAAGCCCAAGCCAGATTAACAATGCCTCGATCTTCTGAAGACATGTTTAAAGCAGAATGCTGGAAATCCTCTGCAGAAAAAGGGACAAGAGGGTCCACATACTCTGAGCTCATTGGAGATGGAGGATTATATGTCTGCAAACGTTCTGTCTGGCAACTAGAAGCAACTGCTTCCTTCAGCAATTCTGAAGTGGGTACACTATTAGATCTATGTGGTTCACCAACAGATTGAGGCCCAGGAAATATTTCACTGGCAGGAACCACTACATCAGGTACAGTTGAGATGGACCTGCCAATGGTTGATGTCTTATCTGGAAGTGCTACTGTAATTGGAGAATTCAATGGAAATTCTGGCAGTGAGGCACCTTCATCTGCTAGAAAAGATGTCTCCAGAGCCAAATGATACGCTGCAAAAACACCATATTGTACAACATGCTTGACTTTCTTCAGCTCATCTCCGTTGGCACCTCGAAGTAATATCTGAACAGATAAGAGTCCCGCTTAGAAATTAGTGCAAGAAGCCTCAGAGCACACCTTTTTCTTTACAGGATACATAAAATTGCACATGAAGAAAATACAATGAAACTTATTTACAGAAGGACAAAAGAAAAAAAAAAAACACGGAAACATGAGAATTTGGTTCTCTGGCCAGCCTCTGAATCCCCACTAATTTTTCACGAGTTGGATCATGGTTAGAAAGTTTTCTTTAATGAGTATACAAGGACCTTTCTTAATTAATGGTTAGAACAGCATTTGTCATCTCAACATGGCACTTGAAAAGATAGAATAATCTTTGGACAAACTTACCGTGCAGCCCAGTGGTTTTGGACAGCCTTCAAAATACATCAATGTTTTCACAAGCTTCTTTCCAGCCTGACCAGCACTGCCATGCTCTTCCAAATATCTTTCTACATGGATTGCATCACAATATCCTAATTTATGTGATGACATATGGTCAATTGAAGGGACAATTTGGGCACCAGTGCAACGTGAAATCCGCTCCAACAGAGGCCTTTTAATATTTAGAACAAGAGATATATCTTTAGCAAGAAGGTACTCCTGCGCGTGTCGAGAAACAGATTTCTCCACAAGAAGAATATCAGGCTTTTGTGCACCTATCTTTGCAACAGCCATCTTAAGATGGTCCATTTCCTGAGAACAAGCAATTGATGTTAGAAGAAAACCACAGAAATATACGCATATGGATTTATATATAAAAATATATATGTATCATAGTGGGGCATTAAAAATCTCAACCTGTTGCAACAAAGTATCAAGGCTTGAGAGAGCATTTGAAACCCGTTGGTATTCAAGAGCTCCGCCAAGGATCATTAAGCGAGGTTTCTCTATTTTTGATGCCATCCTTCGGTGAGCAACATTTTTTTTGCACACTATTCCTTTGACCACCAAACTGACAAGGATCAAAGATATCATCAAAAACATGAACAGGAAACTTTCAAGTATTAATGAGAAGCAAGATCATAAAGGGTAGATAAGAAAAGTGAAGAATTAAATGATACTAAAAATGTATATGAAGCTTAATAACAAGTAAGAGTCTGAATATTAATGTAATGGAACACATTGAAGGAATTAATTTTAGGTTTATGTGAAGTTATCAGGACAAGAATCAGCTCACACCTTTATCCATCAACTTATTTATTAGATTACAATTTTTTTTCCCCCAATGCAGACTTCAATGATCCAACTGTAATGATTCAATAACATCTCAAGCCAACACACTTCCATAAGCACCAAAAATCCACCAAGATTAAGATAAATGGTGAGTTAGGAAAACATGATCACTAAATCTATCACTCCATCAAATTCAACCATTGTCTCATCCATTCCAGCTGATATATAATCAGAAACAGAATATCTATGATGGACGAGTCACACTCGAGAAATAATTTTATCAGAAATTAATGAGAGGAATACACAGTATGAACAGTTAAGTAAGCAATTACCTTTCACTTCGAAGACCCGAGGCTAAACATTTTACCTTCACATATCCACCAGGGTCCATTTGCCCACTCTTGCTTGTATCAGGCTTTAATAATGTCGCAGCCTCCCATGACAGAGCTGTAATTATTTCTAACCAACTTTCTTGGTCGTTCTCATCTTCACCCAGAAGATTCTCCACCTGCAAAAGCTGAGCAACTAGACCCCGAAAATGACCATCAACCACAGTCTTCATAACTCTCTTGTGCTCTTCATTGGATCTGTCCCTATTTCTGGACTCCCCACTCCCAAAACTGCTTGAATTTCGTAAATATCCCCAGTGTCCAGCAGCATATGTATCATCATCTCCCTCAAATAGAAGTGCCTCCTTTTCATCGTCCTCTTCTTCTGGTTCAGGGGGCAGCCAAAGAAGTCCATCATTTTCGAAGTCCACTGGTTGGGTATCAGCATCTTCAGCTCCATACAAAGAAGCAGATGCCTCATATTCATCAACGACATCACTTTCAACACCTTTCCTGACAATGCGCTGGACTTCTTCTGAAATAAAGGAATCAAAGCTGTTTCGAAATGGAGAGCTGCTCAAACTTTTTGAATCACCAGCATATCCATCAGGATGAACTTTGTGTGATTTATAGGTACTGCTGACATCCTCAAACTGCTTGTGCTCATAATAGCCACTCAACTCGGGAAAATGTCTTGTTCCAGGATTTAAATGTGGTGATTCAAGATCATCATCTTCGTCACTCCTGTTCACCAAGGTGCAAGTAATACTTGGTTAATAAAATAGCCTATATGACTAGTTTAATAAACTAAATTAACAGAGCAGTTTCAAACCGTAGCATAGCCAAATTATGTTCTACATTGCAGAAGCTCGCAAGTTGGAGATTGAATAAGATTCCCTGCTTTGAGGAAAACTAATAATTTATGTACTACAAAGCTTCATTAGAACTCACCTAATAAAACTTAGCCTTTGCAATACAAATTCAGAAAAAAAAATGATTCATCATTATTTAAGCAGCCTAAGGTGTAACATGAGCTACATAGCAACAGTCCTAACCAATCACCGGGCAAAGAGTCCATTACAAGGGAAGTAAACTATGAAATAGTCCAATTAGCAAACTAGTTGGGTGTCCAAAACTGTTTCTTACATGGCAAATTGTGCTTTAAGTTTGGTCAGCTCAGTGTGTATATCATACAAAACACAAGACTTGAGGACACAGTTAAAGACAAAATTTTGGGAGCACTGAGGTTGCCAAACCAGGTACACATGCTTAAGTAATTGATTCCATAACTTGCCACCAAGTTGATAAAATATAAAAGGGAGATTCAGAACTAACCGACTTTGGAAAAATTCAAACTCCTTTTGAGACTGATTTTGTTCTTCTCGGTCCACAGCATGATCATTAGTTGTTGCTGGCATGACATTCTGTCTTTCGACGGTTGTTTCCATTATTGCAGATTGATGTGGACTGAATCCAGCAGACTGTGGCAGGGATGCAAATGTAATGCTACTGCTGCCACAGGTTCCACTAGACTTGCTGCTAACGAAACTGGTTGCTGACGGCGAAGCACTGCTGATCTCCGAACCAGCAACCTGGTGACCATTATCAACAACACCTGCCTGACCTTGTTCCTGCTGCTTGAAACAGTAATTACAGACTCTAATCCTATCCCACTCTTCTGCTATATTCTTTGGTTCACTAGGCTGTGCAGGGATCCAATTTGAAGTACACTTGCCACAGAATATTCGACCACAGAGTCGACAATGGTGTCTGCGGTTAAACAAGGTGAACTGCGAATCACACTCATAGCACACCCTGCAGCTCTGATCGGGCATCCAGAAATCCCTGGACACATTGGCCGGTTCCGACCGCCATGGCACCCAAGATTTAAGTAGGCCTAGCACATCAGAATACTGCTGGTTTGTTTCATCCATCGAATCGACAGCCCTGCTTCCCCTTTCATTGTGATATTCTCATTTCCTTACAACTCTAGCATTCATTTCTAACACCAAATACAGATTACCATAACAGAACAATGGTGCAAGCCAGATTTCCAAATAAGCCTATTTACAAGGTACAACCAAACGACCAAATCACTAATCCCGTTCTCCTTCCGCCGACACTCAGCGTCAACGGGGGCAAGAGTTGCAGGAAGCTTGCTCCTCCACCCAATTAACGTAAATCCCCAATTTCTCCACCGCTACCAAATCAAACACGCACCGGAAATATTCTGCAGCCGGTGGTCAATTAAAAAAATTTGCCGAAAGTAGCAGATATAAAAAGGTCGAGCTCAGTTAAATTCTGGGAGCAACCCACATTCAGCCATGGACAAATAAGACAGAAAGCAATCTAAAGAAGCAAGGTAAGAAGCAAAATATGCACCTTTTAATACATACAACACTGAACAGCTGAAGAAGCGAAACCCCCCACAAAAAAAAAAAAAGTAGGGGAGATAGAAAGACGCGATCACTGGGCAATCGATCAAAATCCAACTCAAATCCAACTGTCAGACAGTTCACTAAGAACGCGGAAATTGAGGTGAAGTCTACTACTATTATTACTCCTATTCCCACTCTCTTTTAAGTTTTAATCGAATGAATTTGACTCACCGCATGATCATTTTCTTTTCCGTTTTCATTATCATTTTCATTTTCTCCGTCTAAAATAAGACAACCCACATACAGCTGATGTGATGATGAGCATCATCAGAGATCCATCCGATTCGATTATCCATTGTAATTTATTACAAGCAAGTATTAATCGAAAGATTAGTGGGTTTGACAGAGAAAGCATAGTATATAATACTAATATAATGTTGAGCTGAATCAAAGGGTGAATAGCTGTGCCAATCATCTCGGTGCGCGTGGACGTGGAGCAGTTTGAAGTTTGAATGAAATCCTAAAATACTAAATTAATTAATGAAGCTGTCAGGTAAATTTATAGCATAATTAATTATTCCTTCTTGATTTTTCCACGGGTCTGGTTAGGTCAGCGGTTCCGGTTAGCAACTCGGACCCAAACTAGGACTTGACTCAGACAGCTGTACAGTAGCTGTCCAATCGCCGGCGCCGGTGCCGGTTAGTAATGCTGAATTCCGACAACCTGCGGGTCTTTCGTCATATGGGCTGGCCCAATTTAACTAATGGGCGGGCTATATTGGGCCGAAGGATACTTGTGTGGGCATCGATGCCTAGAGTCCATTCTTGATCATTCGTCGCCGGAGACTCGCAATCGACCGTCCCGATGATCGCCGCAGCATAATCACGAAGCGGAATCGAATAATTGCTGATTCCGATATACTATTGTTCCTCCTCCTCCTCCTCTTGCTATTAAGATTGAAGAGATGTGGCATAGGTCGGCCTCCTTCATTCTCGACAAACAGCACCAAAACGACGACCCCTTATCAAACCCTCCTCAATCTGCCATGGCTGCCGCGCAACCCGAAAACCCTAACCCTAAGATCTCAATGTACTACCAGACACGCGCTGCCCACCACGGCGTCATCACCAGTGATTGGCTCGCTCAGGCGCAGGCCGCCGTCGGCGGGTTACCCGAAGACTCTGTCTCCGACAATTATGTATCCAGTGGGGAAGAAGAGAACAGGGGTTTTAGCGTGATTGATGAGTTCAATAATTGGCGCAAACAGCCGGACTTGGCCGAGGCTGTTGCGGCTATTAGGGCTTTGGCCTCCGTCATCCGTTCGAGTCAAGCTACCACCATGATGGAACTCGAAATTGAGCTCAAGAAAGCCTCTGATTCCCTGAAAGTAACCAACTCTTTCCAATCTCTTGCCCATCTGCTTTCTATTTTCATTCGTGATTTTGGAACAGGTTAGGGCACCATTGAAATTTGAAGAAAATCAATTTTTTTTTTTTTTTATATCATGTTCATCTATTTCGCCTCTTTAACTCAAAAAGTTTTATGCTTGATCACATTATGAGAAATTATCAAAGCTAAAAGTGAATCAACATTAAATCCATTTCTGTTTCTAGAAATTTTGTGGTTTCTGAATTTTGATAGCTTTTGAGAATCAACTGCATTATGATGATTATTTATCCATTTTGATGACAAGTTTTGGATTTTATGGAGTAGGTAGCTCTAAGTTTACGGCCTCCTTCATTTTGCAAGTGATTATGCCCTTCTAAAGTTTTAAGGTGGGGATAATAATTAATGACTTGAGCATCTAGAATTACACAAATGGAGATATAGGTCTAGGTAATGTGATTATGATTGGATTGCCTGCACTTTTGTTCTGCAATATTCGAATTTCTGTAATGTTGAATCAATAAGATGGATGATAAAATAATGATTAAGATGTATTCATAACTTTGCTTAAGATTTGGATGGCCATAAAACTACTTCTATGAAAATTTTTAAGACCTTCAATGATCTGTGCAGTCATGGGACACTACCTCCATCTCTTTAACAGCCGGCTGTGATCTTTTCATGCGCTATGTGACAAGAACTTCAGCATTGGAATATGAAGACTTCAATTCGGCTAAGTCTCGACTTCTTGAGCGTGCCGAGAAGTTTGGTGAGATATCATACAAGGTATGCTGTAATTATGGATTATGAATTGTTCTTATCCTTCATGTTTCTATTTGCTTTTGTTATAGAATCCTTGAATGTTTTAAGTATTTTTTCTGTGTGCTAGGCTCGGAGAATAATCGCCATGCTCAGTCAAGATTTTATTTTTGACGGCTGTACCATTTTGGTGCATGGCTTCTCTAGAGTTGTGCTTGAAGTTTTGCGAACTGCTGCACAGAATAAGAAGCTCTTTCGAGTTTTCTGTACAGGTCCGTAAGTTAGGAAAGGCTTCATCTTTATTCATTAGCCTGATTAAGTTTGCATCACCTTTACTTAATGAATGAAAGGCTTCATATTTATTCATTACTCCCTTTTCTCTAACTTTATTGGAAATTACACTGCTCAGAAACAATTGAGGAATCCATATCATGTTTTCAGAAGGAAAAAAATTACTTCATAGCTAAGGCATCTGAAAGCGTTAGTTAAGATACTTGATTATTCATTTAAATGATACTTTGCAAAAATGTAGATACTTCCTGTGATGGTAGCACGTGATATATGTAATAAGGATGCAAAGTTGGGAACGGCTTGCATTATGTGTGAAGTGTGAACACTACCCTAATAGACAATCTATTTCACGTGATATTTATTCAATTTTAACATAGTTGATAGGGTGAGCAAGATTATGCTACTATCAGAGCCTCAAAGCATGATTTTAATACTATCTTTTGACTCTGAAATCCAGAGGGGAGACCTGACAGATCAGGACTCCGGTTATCCAATGAGCTGGCGAAACTTGATGTTCCTGTTAAGCTCCTAATTGACTCTGCTGTAGCATATAGCATGGATGAAGTAGACATGGTATTTGTCGGAGCAGATGGAGTTGTTGAAAGTGGAGGCATTATTAATATGATGGGCACCTACCAAATTGCTTTGGTTGCTAAAAGCATGAGTAAACCGGTTTATGTTGCTGCTGAAAGTTACAAGGTATGTCCAATGATTATTCTAAGTAGAAAATTGAATCACCATGAATTACAGAATTGAGGAATAACCCATTTCCTTGAATTTGGTTCGTCAAGTGACAAGAATTTACATTTTAATGTGCTGGCTTTCCTTCAGTTTGCTCGACTCTATCCGTTGGATCAGAAGGACATGGAGCCTGCGCTGCGCCCAATTGATTTTGGGGTACCAATTCCATCCAAGGTTGAGGTTGAAACATCTGCTCGGGATTACACACCTCCACAATACCTGACCTTGCTCTTTACAGATCTAGGAGTTCTAACACCATCTGTGGTAAGCGACGAGCTTATCCAGCTATACCTGTAGCATGGCATGTCTAACAGATCAAAATTCTCTAGTCATGCTCAATTTAGTATAGTTACAAATCTTTGTTTTGCTCTTTGCTTTCTGACTTGCAAGAAAAATGCTTAATTATGTAATGTGTTCTAAATGCCAGCTAGTTATTATTATACTTCATTCTTATCCATGGACATATGAGGTTTGAATTTTGATGCACTTTACGCCTTAACCTGATATCAGCATTATGCAATTATAATGGTTTCATAGCAACATTTGAGATTTATTGATTGATTGATTATTTAGTAGACATAGACAGGATCATGGCCAAGCCAGTACTATTTTTAAGTTAATTTAACTAGCAGCATTATGGTTGTCTGTTCTTTGAGAGAAACTTAGCCCTGAGGTCTGCAACATCAAGCTCCTGATGCCCAAATTGGCTCTCTGGGATCCAATTCCCACTCTTGGGATCTTTCATCCAAAACACTTGCTTCCCGATCGCTGCAGATTCATCACCTACTTTTCCCATCAACGGGACTATTTTTGCTGTCTCGACTGCTGAGGTGGCAGCAGAAGCTGAAGCTGAAGCTGAAGTTGAAGTTGCTGTGTGTACAGCATATGCCCTCCTGTTTGTAGCCAAGACCATCAGCAGCAGTTGCAGATATATGTGCAAATTGGGAATTCATTGAATCATGAATGAACCTGATAAAGTAAAGGCATTTGAGGCTGCTGCTGATTTGGAGTGTGCTCCTCCTGCAAATGGGCATGGCCATGCTTGTCGATAATCGTGGATGAGATGAGATGAAGTGAGAGAGATTTCTAATTTATAGGGTGGGTGAGTGTATGATTGATTACATGTAGATGTAGGTATGGATGATTAAGTTTGAGCAAGTAGAGGTTGCTCACAGAATCTAACTGGACTACTGTAATCAGTATAATATTCTTCCTAATTGATTCACCCTTATGATTATTATTATTGTCATCCTACTGCTACTACTACATGAACATGGTCAGCAATTGGGAATATATATGAAATGGGGGAATATTTCTATCTATGTGTGAGATTGGATTGGACTGGACACCACTAATACTCTCCTGTCGCTCACTGACAACAATCATGTAATATTAGCATGCACATTTTCCATTTCAACCACATGAAAACCCAAGTCATAGCCTCCAAGTTGATGCATCTTCATCTATAAGAATTTCGTTTAAATATATACTATTTCCTACTCATGTAAACAAAAATATTTTTATTAGTTTTTTATAATACTAATAAAATTGCTGCATGGCATAATCTATTTATTAAAAATCAGGTAAAAAAAATAAATAATTATTTTTATTTAAATAGAGCATGTTTGAATAGACCGAACTATTTATTATTTTTATAAAAATATTTTTTCTATTATTATATATTAAGAATAACTTTATATCTAATAATAATATTATTAAATAATTTCAAATCATAAAATTATTATAAAAAATATATTTTTTAACTTATATATATTAAATAATTATTTTTATGGCAAAAAATCAATTTTGGTCCCATATAAAAAACTCATCAATTTTGGTTCAAATATAACCAAAATTTATCAATTTTGGTCTCAATATAAAAAAAAACTCATCAATTTTAGTCCCAATATAAACAATTTCAATCAATTTTGGTCTCATTATAAACAATTTTAATTAATTTTGGTTCCACCGTTAAAAAACTAACGGAAATTGCTGACGTGGACACGACGGATGTGATGTGGCAGTTGACTTGGAAAATATACGGCCATGTACAATTATACACGGCCATGTATATTTCAGTGTATAATTATACATTGCCATGTTGTTACACGGCCATATACAATTATACACGGTCATGTACATTTTTGTTTTAGTTTAAAATTTTATTTTCTTGTTATATTTTTTTTAAAAAAAATTTATTTTGAATTTAAAATAGTTGATATAGTTAAAATGGACAAAATCAATACTAATTATAATATAATTAAAATTTATCAATTTTAATTCAAATATAAAAATTTATAAGATATATTCTTTTGAAATGTTTTGTCTAAAATTTTATTATTCATAAAAAAAAAAAAAATATCTTACAAACATCCAATTAGACAACTATTTTTTTAATTTTGTATGTTTGTAAGAAAGGTTTTTTTTTTCTAAATAGTAGAATTTTAGACCAAATCTTTCAAAAGAATATACTCGATAAATATTTATATTTGAACTAAAATTGATATATTTTAATTATATTTTTTTCCATTTTAACTATATCAACTATTCTAAATTAAAAAATATAACAACAAATTAAAATTTTAGACCGAAACAGAAAGGTACACGGCCGTGTAGAATTATACATGGTCGTGTAACAACATAGTTATGTATAATTATACACTGAAATATACATAGTCATGTAAAATATACATGGTCATGTAACAACATGGCCGTGTATAATTGTATATGGTCGTGTAACAACATGACCGTGTATAATTATACACTGAAATATATATGGCCCTGTAACAACATGGTCGTGTATAATTGTACATGGCCGGGTAACAACATGGTCGTGTATAATTATACACTGAAATATATATGACCATGTAACAACATAACCGTCTATAATTGTACATGGTCGTGTACTTTCCAGGTCAATTGCCACGTCACCTCCGTCACGTCCACGTCGATAATTTCCGTTAATTTTTTAACGGTTGGACCAAAATTGATTAAAATTATTTATAATGGGACCAAAATTAATTGAAATTGTTTATATTGAGACCAAAATTGATTGAAATTGTTTATATTGAGATTAAAATTGATGAATTTTTTATATTTGGACCAAAATTGATGAATTTTTTATATTTGCCAAAATTAATTTTTTCCTATTTTTATTTTTTTTTTATTTTTTATTTCTAGTACTAAATTTATAAATAAATAAATAACTCAAGCTTTTAAAATATTTTTTCAAAGTTTATAAATAGACTTATTTTAAAAACAAGTCACCCTTATTTACCCAAAGTCTATCCGGTCTATTTTCACTCTTAGGATTAACGATTGCAAAGTTTTACATATATATATATATATATATACATGTATATGCCATGGATAATATTGTGGTGGGCTATGGATCTGAATATGGTTCCATGATTAAATATTATTCTCTACCAGATTTGAATGATTTCATGTTATTACAACATATGCTCTGCATCAGCAAGTTCCACAATTGCATCTATATATACATCCTAACATACATATACATATATCATCGTCATCACAGCTGTTCAACATTCTCATTACGATCTCAGTGTTTCAAATTAGACATATGTTCTTTTATTATTCTCCCGATGCAATAAACTTATTGGCATTTTATGAGATCTTGGCCCAGTTATTTGGACATCCAGCCAATCCAATTGTGTCGTTAATATCTGTTGTAGGGCTTTGGGGATGACCAGTTTTGATAAAAAGAAAAATAATCAAACATGGTTATAAAATCATGTGATTTAGAGAGGACATTACGCTTTAAAATGATCAACCTTGATATACTTTCATTGCAAGTTCTTGTTCTTTAATCCTTAACCATATAACAGAGCTCATTCTTCATTGCTAACTGCAAATTTTCAAGAAAATGGTTTTACTGCAGTTTTCATATAAATTTCCGAAACAAAGAGGTGAAACTGGATAACATGAAAGTAGAATTCACCACAATATTCCGCCACGAGATCCCAGAAAACTCTTGAATTACTAAAATTAAGTACAAAACAATAAAAAGAAACGATTTTATCATCGGGGACGAATCAAACTTCTCCATTTGGAACATGAACAGGCATGCGATTTATTGGTTGGCCAAGAAAAAGGAGATTAATGCTGGGTTGTGGGGTGGGGTGGGGTGGGGTGCCCTTTGACTTGGATAATTGGGAAACGTTGGAATTGAATTGTTACCACTTTGAAGCTGACACAATCTCCTAATACTTCAAACTAACGAAATTCATTAACAAAAATTATTGTTTATTACCCGCATTATTGTAGTGAGATTTAATTTGGATGGTGTTGATTTAGATGGGAATAGTCCATCGCTTGTTCCAAAATCTCAAGATCAGCAGCTGACAAGAGGGATTCTTGAAACACACGGTTTTCTTTCTTTTCTTTTTTCTTATTTTTTTTTCGATTTCTTTTTCTTATTTTTGGGTTTTGATTTTTATTGGGTCGGGGTGGAATTTTAAAGTTGGCTGCATTAGGGTTTCTTTTCTAGCCTCTCTTCTTTATTTGTTTTTATTGTTCAACAATAATAGATTTCGTTTCGTTTCAAAGCCGCGGTCTTTGTTGATTTAGGGGTTGTTGGGATTTGCTCAATTTCTTCGTCTTCGTGGTGAGTTTTTTCTTGATTTCTGATCTGGGTTTCGTCTCGCTGTTAATTTCTGCTTATTCGCGGGTGTGCCGAGGTTTTTCTGTTAGAGAATACGAAGTTTTTCCCCCTCTTTTTGTTTCGACGTACTTCTGATATCCGGAAGTTGTTTGGGTATTTCTGATTTTGTAATGTGAAGTTCGTTTTCGGCGGATCAGGCCTTGAATTTTGCGGGTATTTTAGGGAAAAGCTCCAACTTTGGTGGAATAATTGAAGTGAACTGCATTCATCATGTGCGTATCATGACGCTTCAATTTGTTTTTGAAGTGAAGAGGAGAAGATAAATTGTTCAAAATTATTCTAACTATAAGGTTCTTCTCTCCAAGAGCAAGAGGAAGTAGTATTTTTTGGATATGTTCCACACCCAAGGAGCTTTGAAAAATACTTGCAATCTCCTTGCCGTATTAAGTGCTGGAACGGCAGAACATAAGCAGAAGTTGCAGGATGTTACAGAGAAGGGAAGGTTCCCATTCCCTGAGCTTGTTTCTTCGGGGCGATTGGAGGTGCAATCTGATGCTGATTTTTGTTCATTGTATTTGAAATCTGTCTTTCCTGAAGTTGTAAAGGCTTCAGTCCCACATTCTGATTTTATGCTTTTGTTTTTTGTGAATTGTTTAGGTCCAAACACTGAAGAATCCAACTGGGGATGAATTTTGTAAAGTTTTGGATTCATGGCAGCCGAATCTTGTGTACTTACAAGGAGAGCTGCTCAATGATGAAGTTGGATCCCTTGTTTGGGGAGGGCTGGATTTATCTTCTGCTGAAGTCTTGTCCGGACTTTTCTCGACAATGCCAACTACAGTATGTTGTTTCTAACAATAAGTTTTTAATGTGTCAACCAGCACCATCGGGAACAATCACCACTGCACATTGTTGTCTATGCTTGAGTATACTTTTTGCCAGTTTATCTTTCATCTGCATGCTTATGGACTTTTAGCTCTGCAATGTGTGTTCCCTCAGTTTCGATAAGGCGGTTGTTTCTTATGATCATCACCTCGTCAACCAAGATTAGAAGGCCTTTGAGGATGAATGTTTTTGTTTTAAGTGTCTTTTACCCTGTGATGGCACTCAACATGCAGTTAGTATTCTAATACCATATCTCGTAGAATTCGATTCTGTTACTACCTAAGAACTGTGGGCAATAGTATGTAGGATAACACTCTAAACTTGTAGCACCCTGTTTGCTAATCACATTAGTTTGTGTCCTCTAGTTGCTTTGCGTGGCCATTTATTAATATATGTACCTCTCTTCTTCATGGCTTTTATCTGATTGAATTTGGAATGTAACTTTATTGAAGGTTTATTTGGAGGTGCCAAATGGAAGAGCGCTGGCTGAGTCTCTTCATGCTAAGGTGAGTGGTGAGGATAACTTCATAATTACTTATGAGAACATTTCCATTTTTGGATCAACAAAGAATGCAATGTATGTGTGGACTTGAGTATTTGGATAATTTTTAGTTGGTCTTCACCTTCACCTTTGCAGGGAATTCCTTACGTGATATATTGGAGACATTCATTTCCATGCTATGCGGCAAGCCATTTTCGTCATGCATTGTTCTCTGTGGTTCAGAGGTTATAAATTTGACCCTTCTCTGATTCTTACTTTATTTGAGGATGATTTGATTGCAAAGTTAAAATATTGACCTCTAGAGTTGATTTCAATAATTATCTTTGGTATGGAATAGGGTCTGTCAGACAATCAAGAAAATAGATCTACAAAGTCATAGCTATTATGGACTGTAAATGAACAGTGTGTATTGTGCAATTATGAAGATATGTCTGCCTTCCCTTAATCACCTAAAAGAAGCCACTTTTTCTTTCTCATTTTATGAAGATTTTTGGTATGAGCCGAGCCAGTTTAAAGATATCTCTGATGACTGACCTGCTGTGAATTGTGATTATAGCTATACTTTTAACTGTCTTAAAGAGTATGGAGTCCCTGAAATTTGGATCGGGGCATACTCAATTTTTATTTATTAACACTCACATACTTATAAATAACCAAACATAATTTGCAGCTCATCGTGCCATACTTGGGATGCTTTTCAAGTTGCGAGTGCATCCTTTCAGCTACATTGTCTACGGAATGGTCACGCCCTCGCTGAATGCAGCCAAAATGTTGGTGATGAATTTGGCCCTAGTCTTCTTGGGGAGCCTCCAAAGATCAGTGTAGACATTCCTGAGGTGGAGCCTGCGGATGATGAAGAAAGCTCCTCTGGTTTTCTTCCTGCAATAAAGATATATGATGATGATGTGACTATGAGGTTTCTTATTTGCGGAGTTGCAAGCTCATTGGTAATAGCATTGATCTCATTTTAAATTTATTATCTCTTTAGTTTTTTCTTTGCAGAGCCTGTCATAATCTGCAAATGAATTCCTTGTGTTTCAGGATTCGTGTTTGCTAAAATCTTTGGAGGACGGCTTGAATGCACTCCTCTGTATTGAAGTAAGCAACACACACATCTTTCTCCTTTCCCTCTAAATCCTTACATTCTGTGGACAATATCGTTCACTCACAGTCACTCAATGCTAGTTGTTATTTGTTTGTTTCTCTGCAACCTGCTTCATTATTGTTTTTAACATATTTGTTTCCCTTTGTGATGATTCAGATGCGGGGGAGCAAACTTCATAACCGAGTGAGGTATGTGTTAGCTTGATGCTGATGTTATATCTGTAAATAGATAATAATATTTCTTCATCTACCAGAATCGTTGCAAATCATAAGTGGATCTCCATAAAGAATGTTTCTGTTTCTTCATTGATACATACAACTTGATCATCTTAAAATATTAGCTTGATGTTGATGGTGTATTGTTAAATAGATGCTATGTTTTTTCATCCAACAGAATCATAAAAAATCATAGGTTGGGTCTTCATAAAGAATGCTTCTACTTCAGCAATACATATAACTTGATCTAAGGAACACATCTCTGTGGGTGTGAAAATTTTGATCAATGATGCCATGCCAATTCATAGGACCTAATTTCTTTTTCTTATTTAGTTATTTTTGTTTTTTATGAGCAGCGCTCTTCCCCCACCACTTCAAGCTGCCACGTTTTCTCGTGGTGTTGTGACAATGCGGTGTGATTTGTCCACAAGCAGCTCAGCCCACATTTCTCTGTTGGTCTCAGGGAGTGCTCAAACATGTTTTGATGATCTGGTAATGCTACAATTGTTTTCATGTGTCATTGTTGGTCTCTAGTGTTTTGCCAAATGGATAACACTTGATTCAATTTTCACAGCTATTGGAAAATCATATAAAGAGTGAAATAATTGACAATACTCCATTAGTTCAAGCACCGCAAAATTCTGACGAGAACAAACCACCCATAACTGAACCTCGGCGATCTGTCTCTGTAGCTTGTGGAGCAGCAGTATTTGAAGTCCACGTGAAGGTTCCCCAATGGGCCTCACAGGTGTTAATATGATGCCCTCTCTTTATCTGTCATACTTTTAGATCTTTCAATTATAATCATGGCATACTTTCTAAGATATACTGTTCTTGCAATGATACTGTAATTTGCTCTTTCAGTGTGAGTTATGCCTTTGAAAAAATCATACTGGATGTTTTGACGGAGATTTGACAGAAACCTTAATATGTGTGCTACATATATGGTATATATACCCCCTTCGAATTGCTGAGATAGCACTTTTGAGTGTGGGTTTGTATGACAGTATTGGATTGGAATTAGGAATTAGTTTATGGGGTTTCAGGGTTATTCCATGCCTTCTCGTAACGGTGAATTGTTCTCGGCATGTACTTCTGAGACACTACTCTTGCGCATGATGTCTTGAACCGTTTTACTTGTAGATGATTGTGTGGAGATTTCATGAGAATTCATTATACTTAATTCTGCTTCTTATATTGAACTGCAGGTCTTGAGACAACTAGCACCTGATGTTTCATATCGTAGTTTTGTTGCCCTTGGAATTGCCGGTATCCAGGGATTAGCTGTTGCTTCATTCGAGAAGGAAGATGCTGAACGGCTTCTTTTTTTCTGTGGAAACCAAGGAAAGAAAGATGATTTCAAGAATCTAAAAATCAGTTCTCCTCCTCCCTGGTTAAGGCCTCCCCCTCCAAGTCGAAAAAGGCCATCTATTTTCCAAGAAACAAACTCAAGCTCACTTAATGGTTTTGCTCCAAATCAAGTTTTTCTGAAGAAGGAAGATAACGAGAATGCAGAACCCTCATCATCAAATGGGATTAGCATGCCACATTCAACTCCTCGACAAAGGATTCGAATAGCAGCCCTGAGGCCCATTCCTCATATCCGTCACCAGAAGATGCTTCCATTTTCAAGAATCTCAGATGTTGAAAAGCATGACGGAAGCCAGGTTAAGGCTACTCCACCAAATCCTGCAAAACATAGTGGTGCTGGAGGATCAGCTCCAGTAACACATCGCAAAGCAACTTCTAGTTCGTACCAAGCTAAGCAGGTCATATCTTTAAATCCCCTTCCTCTAAAGAAGCATGGTTGTGGGAGAAGCCCACTGCATGTGTGCTCTGAGGTATGTTTTCCGAATTAACCATTTTTCATGTAGCTGTTTACTTCTCTTTCTTTTTCAGTAAGCATGGATGTGATAGATATAATGCTTCCAGTTGTGTATATATTTTGCATTTACTTCCAGTCAAGAAAATCAAAGTCCTACAGAATCATGCTATATACATTTAAGAGTCGTGTGCACCTCCTAGAGATTTTTGTATGCTTTTTTTTAGCTGACTTTATTACAATTTTCACTTGTGTGCGTGAAGGAGGAGTTTCTAAATGATGTGATGAAATTTCTCATCCTTCGAGGACATAACCGTCTAATTCCTCAAGGTGGACTTCCTGAGTTTCCCGATGCCATACTCAATGCTAAGCGGCTTGATCTTTTCAACCTCTACCGGGAGGTGAGGCTGCTTCTTGTAGTTACCATTTGTAAAGTAAAATAGTGAAACAATAGTAGTTATAACCAATCTTGATGAAATATCCTACAGGTGGTCACAAGAGGAGGTTTTCATGTGGGCAATGGCATCAATTGGAAAGGACAAGTTTTCTCGAAGATGCGCAATCACACTGCGACCAATAGAATGACGGTAAGCACTGAAACTCAGACCCTGGCTGATCTGCTACATACGTCCCTTGAACATCACACACCATTGTTACTTTGTATTTTGGAACACAGGGTGTTGGAAATACATTGAAAAGGCACTATGAGACTTACTTGTTGGAGTATGAATTGGCTCACGACGACGTGGATGGGGAGTGCTGTCTATTGTGCCACAGGTTGCATCCAAAATTGAAACGAATGCATGTATTCAAATACTTGAATGTTGATCACTAACTAATTCAGGGTGTTTGTATGTTTTTTACGTGCACCAGTAGCGCACCGGGAGATTGGGTGAACTGCGGGTTATGTGGGGAGTGGGCGCATTTTGGTTGCGACCGGAGACCTGGCTTGGGCGCCTTCAAAGTAAAGAAGCCCAAAACCGTACTTGGTTCTTATTTCTGTATATCGATATATATATATATATATATATAGAAAGAGAGAGATTGATTATATATGTCTATGTTGGAATGAATGAATTGCAGGATTACGCGAAAACAGATGGACTAGAGTACATATGCCCTCAGTGCAGTGTTTCAAATTACAAGAAGAAGGTGCAGAAAACATCCTCGTCATCGGCGGCAGTGCCTACAACGGCGGCGGCAGCAGGGACAGGGAATGGATTCTCATGAGGGTTTGGGTAAAACAATGTATGTACAACAAGGAAAGGAAATACATTTGTAATGTTGTTAGAGAGAAAGAGAGAGGAAGAGGGCTTTGATTTAACATAAATATATGTAGCAAGCAAGGTAAGGAAGTAGGGGGAGGGAGGGAGCATTGAATGCCGTTGAGCAATCTGATTTATAAAAATATATATAATACTACTAGTTACTAGTTAGTTACAACTACACTAGTAACTATTACTAGTTTTGTAACGTGGTTTTTCTACAAGCACAGCACAACCTTGCATGCATGTATAGTGCTTATTTTGTCAGAAAGAGTATTAAGAGTTCAGAAAGCATTGACAGTATATAAATACATTAGAATACAAAAACAAAGGGCGCATTAGTCCACAACATACACTGAAAAGCACCGATTAAAATTACATGAAAGATGTTTTCTTTAAAGTCTTGATTGGTATTGTAAGGATTATTATTATTTTGGGAGATGGGGATGGAGATGATGATGACAGCTTCTACCCTCACTCCCGCAAAAGCAGACTTAAAGCAGACAAAGCATCAATTATTATGATTATTATTATTATTTAGTAGTTATTGCCTTTGCCTGTGTCTCCTCCCCGTGTTGTGTTATGATGAAAGTTGAGTTCCAAATAAATAACACAACCACTATCACAATAATAATAATAATAATAATAAGAATGTTGTAGCAGCAGCAGCAGCAGTAGTAGTAGTAGTAGGATCAAAAAGATTTTTAAGGAGGTTATGATTATACATACATATATGATGGATGGATGAGAATCCGAATCAGAATCAGAGTCACAGAGAGAAAGACAGACACAGATTCAGACAACAGTCCGCAGTCCCCAAACTGCAATCGCCTATTTAATTTCATTATACAGTTACACTCACCTAATACATCATTTATTATATCGGTTTGTTAACATATGTAGTAGATTTCTTGTCAATAGTTAATACAAAATTATATGAAATATTTATTTAAAAAATAAATAAATTAAAAACTGAGATTCTTTGTTAAGAAATCATATGGCACAGCAAAGCAAACGAGCGAGTGGCCCTCGTCCTCGTGTAGTCGTAGTGGCAGGACCCTCACTTTCACGTCACACTTGACACTACTCTGCACCCACGTGACTTTTAGTTACCCTACGCCATTGAACAACCATTTACAGATAAATCGCAATTTCGCTAAATTTATCCCAAAGTCGCAACACGCTTTTTCCCCACACTCACCAACAAATACAAATAAATAAATAGCAGTAACTAATTAATTTTGGATGCTGATGCACAGCCTGCCTTGGCTTCGTCGTCTTCTTCATCATCTCAATGATGGAGTCCCACCACACACAGGCACACCTTACAGCTCACTCTCCTCCTCCCTTTTCCACTTTAGTAACCCTAATTAGCTAGCTAGCTAGCTAGCTAGCTCAACTTGCTTTACCCATTCACCAGTCAGTCACCATACATTTCATATAGTCCACAGCCTGCAGCTGCTGGCAATGGCGTCAATCACATCTCCAATGGCGATACCGCCTCTCTTGCTCCTCCTCCTTCTTTTCTCAGGAGTCGCCGCCGATGACAGCCGGAGGAGCACCTACATAATCCGTGTCCAGCACGATGCCAAACCCTCGGTTTACCCCACCCACCGCCACTGGTACCAATCATCGCTTCGAGCCCTCTCTCCTGTTCCCACCGACGCTGCTCTTTCCCCATTGCTCTACTCCTACACCAATTTCTTCCACGGTTTCTCCGCTAGGCTCTCTGCTTCCGAGGCTCGGAAGCTCGAAGCCTTCTCCGGAATAATAGGGGTGATTCCCGAGCAAGTCAGGCAATTGCATACCACGCGCTCGCCTGAGTTCCTCGGCCTGAAAACTGCCGACAATGCTGGCTTGTTGAAGGAGTCAGATTTCGGGTCGGATCTCGTCATTGGTGTTATGGACACCGGGATCTGGCCGGAGAGAGAGAGCTTTAATGACCGGGATTTAGGTCCTCCTCCCGCCGATTGGAAAGGCGAATGCGTCGCCGGAGAGAACTTCCCCGCTAGTTTATGTAACCGGAAATTAATCGGAGCTAGGTACTTTTCCGACGGATACGAAGCGACTAACGGGAAGATGAACGAAACGACGGAGTTTCGCTCGCCGAGAGATTCGGATGGGCATGGCACCCACACAGCTTCCATTGCCGCCGGGAGGTACGTGTTTCCAGCTTCAACTCTCGGCTACGCTCGCGGCGTAGCGGCTGGGATGGCGCCCAAGGCTCGCCTCGCCGCTTACAAAGTCTGCTGGAGCGCTGGTTGCTACGATTCAGACATCCTGGCCGCGTTCGACGCTGCCATAGCTGACGGTGTGGACGTTATCTCAATGAGCGTCGGAGGAGTGGTGGTGCCGTACTATTTAGACGCCATAGCTATCAGTGCTTTCGCTGCGTCTGACGCCGGAATATTCGTCTCGGCCTCCGCCGGCAACGGCGGTCCCGGCGAATTAACCGTCACGAATGTCGCGCCGTGGGTTACCACAGTCGGTGCCGGTACAATCGACCGGGATTTTCCCGCCGACATCAAGCTTGGAAACGGAAGAACAATTCCCGGCGTCAGCGTGTACGGAGGACCGGCGCTGGCGCATAATAAATTATACCCTCTAATCTACGCCGGGAGCGTAGGGAGCGATGGTTACTCTTCTTCTTTGTGCCTCGAAGGTTCATTAGATCCTGATGTGGTGAAAGGTAAAATTGTTTTATGCGACAGGGGAATCAATTCGCGAGCTGCAAAAGGCGACGTGGTGAAGAAGGCCGGCGGAATTGGGATGATTTTGGCCAACGGAGTTTTCGACGGGGAAGGCTTGGTGGCGGATTGTCACGTGCTGCCGGCGACGGCTGTTGGCGCGGCCGCCGGAGATGAAATCAGGAAATACATCCAGTCGGCGGAGAATTCAAAATCTCCGCCAACAGCCACCATTATTTTCCGGGGAACTCAGCTTCACGTCGTCCCGGCGCCGGTGGTGGCTGCATTTTCAGCCCGTGGCCCGAACCCAGAAACTCCGGAGATTATGAAGCCCGATTTGATTGCTCCAGGTTTAAACATCCTCGCCGCGTGGCCGGATAACGTCGGACCAAGCGGCATTCCATCGGACAAGAGACGAACAGAGTTCAACATCTTGTCGGGGACATCCATGGCCTGCCCTCACGTTTCCGGGCTGGCTGCTTTGCTGAAGGCAGCTCATCCCGAGTGGAGCCCCGCAGCCATACGATCCGCATTAATGACGACGGCCTACATCATCGACAATCGAGGGAAAACAATGCTGGACGAATCGACAAGAAATTCATCTACGGTGATGGATTATGGAGCAGGGCACGTCCATCCCCAGAAGGCCATGGATCCGGGGCTCGTCTACGACATGGATTCGTACGACTACGTCGACTTGTTGTGTAATTTGAATTACACGAGGAAGAACATCGAAACGATCACGAGAAAGGCAGCTGATTGCAGCGGGGCAAGAAGAGCAGGGCATGTGGGGAATCTGAACTACCCTTCGATGACGGCAGTGTTTCAAGTCCAACAGAACGGGAAGCACAAGCTGTCGACGCACTTCATTAGGAGAGCGACGAATGTAGGGAGTGCGGATTCGGTGTATACGGTGAAGATCAATGCGCCGGAAGGAGTGGTAGTGACGGTGAAGCCTGAGAGGCTGGTGTTCCGGCGGGTGGGGCAGAAGCTGAATTATCTGGTTCGGGTGCAGGTGGAGGCGAAGCAGCAGCAGCAGGAGCAGCAGCTATCGCCGGGAAGCTCGGTGGTGAAGAGTGGATCGATCGTGTGGTCTGATGGGTTGCATTTGGTGAGGAGTCCGATAATAGTGTCGTTGCAGCAGCCCCTCTGATGGTGTTGATGAAATCAAAATGAATGGAAGTAGTTTTGATGGGCAAGTAAAATATAAATCTCGATGTTTGCTTGCTGCATTTGGATTGGGAGGAGGGAGAGTTTTGAGGTGGGAGTGGGAACACCCAAGTTGTATGTAGGGCGTGAGGTGAAAAATAAATTAGTGAGAGAGAGAGAGAGAGAGAGAGAGAGAGAGAGATCTGAAATGTGGTCACATAATGTAAAAACATGGGATGGGATGATGGTGGATTTTGTTTGAAGAAGAAGAAGAGTAATGGTGTATTGTGACGTGACAGGTATTAAGAGCAGAGAGAGGCACAGAAGTAGGGTATGGTGTGTTGTGGTGGTTTTTAATTGAATCGAATTTAAGTGAAGGGGTGAAATGAATAATGAAATGGCAGGGAGGACAGACATCCACATTGTCATGACATGTGAGCGACTGAGTGAGTGTAGTAGACTAGTACTAGGTCTTGTGAACCTTGATAAAACTCCATCCGCCAATCCTTGTTACTACTGTTTTAACGTTTTTTCGCGGGTGGGGTCATCTTCATAATTTCATCTCGTCTGCTTTTGACCAGCGAAAAGAATACAGTTTGACGATGATGATGAGTCCCGTGATCAATACTTTACCATCATCACTGCACTAGAATATAGCATAGCAGCCGATGGATGAAGGATACTTGAGATTTTACTACTAGTAGTTTTGAAAACTTAACTTTGTCTAAACATAGGCAGGCATGGCATGGCATAGGTTTATTGGTGATGTGATCGATCATTCAACATTGAAATGAAATTGATTGATCCCTATTCCATTCCCATTCCCATTCCCTGCACAATAACATAACCGACCACAAACAAAACAGGTAACCCCAGCTTAGTTTAATGTTGTTTGGAGCCTAGCCTAGCCTGATCATTAATAAATAACACGTACTAGAAGAGTAGGGCATCATCCCACTTCTCTACCTATAATTGATAATTGTGTTGTATGTAGGTAGGTGTGCAAATACAATACAAATCAAGGAAGACGAAGCATTGGAGGTCTTAACTCAGCAGCGGCCACTTGTATGTAGTAAGATGATAAGAAGAAACATATTGATTGATTGATTGCTGGCTGGCTGGCTGGCTGGCGTCTATATTTGCTATCTTAGATATATATATATATATATATTTATTTATTTTAACTGGAGAATAGAGTGGACAGAGTGATCAGCTCAACCATACCATACCATACCATACCTTTAGTACTGCACACCACACCACACCACACACATGTACATACAGTCCAGCCTTGTCTATTCTCCTGCTGTGGTCCAAAACTCCACTCCTAAAATATCTATCCCTCCTCCCTCCCATCCACTACATAAATACATTACATTTTGTTGCCATAGAATGGAGTGCAGTGCCTATTGTTAGTAATTTCCTATTATTATTACTATTAATGTTGTTGACGACTTCATCCTTATAAGTCAAGAAAATTCTCTCACATTATATCTCCCGATAATAATCTCGAAAATTCCTAATACTCAAGTGGCTCTGCTACTATACTAAGAAGAAATTTGAATTTCCAAAATAAATCATTCCTCATCCAGTGCCATTTTGCTGCTTAGTACTACTACTACTTACTTCCTAATTAGTAGTATTACAAGTAGGAGTCGACTAAATACACAAGAGTTGAGATCATCATCAGCCGTACCCTAAAATTCATCACCCTACCCTACGCCACTATCACTATGTCTATGGTTAGTTACCCATCCAACTTCTTCTATTCTATTGCTGCGGGTTAGACCCGACCCGACCCTCCCTCTAACGGATAAGTCTAAGCCTCAAACACGTAGACTCCTCCTCTTCCTTTAGATAAGAAGAGATTTCTCAAAATAGTTACACAGTTTTGAAATTTTCGTAATAATTAAACTACTAGTATTAATGTCGTAATGTTTTTTTTCTTAAAATAATTGAATAATATCATGATCCCACAAGTATTGTGCAACAGTGTCTATACTTTCTTGAATTTGTAACTCTCCTAAAAAGTTTACAAGAGTGAGTGTGTTTTCCCGGATTTTGATTGATAAAATTTGGGTGGATTTTATATATAAATAATTTGTTTTTGACAATACATTTAAATAATATTTCATATAATAAATACATTATGAGATAAAATATATATTCGAAAAATACAAAGTCTAAATAGTAAAAATTAATAAATTTTTGCTATATATATATACACACACGCATAAATTTCTCAAATGTTTTAATTAATATCCTGAAATTTATATTTTTTATTTTTCAAATATGCTCTGAATAAATCAGAGGTGTCCTTAAGCAATTTCTCCAACACTTGTATATATACATTGTGTTGATATATTTTTTTACGAATTAATGTTTAATTAAGTTATATATCTTTTAATTTAAACATGTAGATTTTTATTATTATTATTTTATATTGACTACCTATATAGAAAGAATTAAAGTAATAATAACAATTTTATAATAAAATATAAATTAATGTTTTAAAATTTCATTTTACATATTAAAGATTTTCATAATATACTACTATATTGTAATGGGTTTGGATTATGAGTTTTCACATCCAATCACAGCTCAATTGTTTGTACATTGATATATCGATAGATAATCTGAATTTACTCAGAAATATTCATTAAATTAAAATTAAAATTGAAGTCATGTAACAAGTTTGTGATGCATTTGTATATTATTCCTAGCCCCTTTTCCCTACCACATTGAAAGTTTGCTCCCATCCAATCCAATCCAATGCATTTAATCAATTATTTATTTATTAATTTAATTAGTGAGTCACGCCTTCCTACAGCTACAAATTTGATTTAATAATTTCATAAATAAATAAATAAATAAAAAACACGGTACAATTATAGATGGCCGAGAATCGGGAGAAAAGTGTGCGTGTGCCATCCACGTGCCGACTTCTACATGCAAATTCTGTTACAAATAAAAATAATAAGTAAGTAAATTCAACAAGAGCATATGAATTATCATTTGAAAGAGGAAATATACAATGTATGCATCCATTATTGCATTTCTTGATTTGAGTGTAACAAAACTATCAATAAACTATTCCCCAACTTGTTGTTTGGAGCTGTCCCCAATTTTTATATTAAATCAGTGTAAACTATTTCCTTTCTTGTTTCACTCATGGTTTATTTTATTATTTTTAGCATCATTATTTTTCATTCTCATCTTCTCATCAGTCATCCATTCCATGTATTTTAAAATTAAATAAATAAACTGGCCCAAGGTAATATTTAACAAAAAAAAAAAGGAAAACTTTTGTTGGGATCAATTTGCTATTGACTCTTCTTCTGTGTCGCTGATTACTTGTTACTGCCTTCCAACCATTTTCCTCTTCCTCTTCATCTTCCACCATCCGCCTGTTTCTGAACTGTCTTTGGACTCAACAACCCTTCTTCCATTTCCCTCTAACTACCTCTCTCCAAATTGCTTGCTGCAAAAAAAAGCAAAAACTACAGCTTTATATGTAATCTGCTGCCATGTGCGGTGGAGCTATAATTTCCGATCTCATTCCGCCCGTCAGCCGCACTTCGCGCCGCCTCACGGCCGATTTGCTCTGGGGCACCCCCACCTCCAAGAAAAAGAATATCCCTGGTTATTATCATTCCAAGCCCATCCTTCATCTCGACCATGATTTCGAGGCTGATTTCCAGGAGTTCAAGAATTACTCCGACCATGAGGAAGAAGACGACTTCGGTGATAAAATGCCCTTTCTCTATGCTTCCAAGAATACTTGTTTGAAAGGTAATAAGAAGGGGACAAAAATTATATTAAAAATTATGATCAGTTTGTTTCCTACAGCAGCTTCGTTTTCTATTTGATTTTGTGAGGCTTTGTTGGATCTCATGTTTTTTATCCGAGTTTATGTATTTAACCATTAGATTCATCTGCAAGATAGCACCCTTCTTTATTCAGTCCATGTTTACTTGGCAAATTATTGAATTTTACTGACGGTGTTTTTGATGCTTCAGATTGATTTAAATTAAAGGAGATGATAGTAAATCAATTATAAATCATTGGTATGAAATTTTGTATATTTTGACAGCTTGATTGCTTGGTAAATTTTTTATGTAAATTGTGAAGATTTGGTTTATCTTGGTTGATCCAGTTTTTAGATGATATGTGTGCAGTCAAGGTTTTTCTTTCACCTATAAGCATATTGCCTATTGGAATTTGGAAGTATATGCCTGTGTTTGGAATTATTGGGGTTTTCAATTTATTTGCTGGATCAAGTTTCATTCATTGGCATCAGACTTTGAACTTCTACTGTCAAGATTCAACTTCTCCAAGATCAATCTAGTTATTTGTTCGGTTGTTTTTTTGCTGTCTTGACTTGATTCGTCGATGTAATACTTGTCGGTCTGGAATTAGAAAAGCAATGAATCAAACGACTTCGATATATACTTGTCAGTTTTACGTTTTCATTCCTTAATTGATGTTCTTGATGCCAGAAGAAGACTACAAGGCTCAATATTTTTGCATATGTATTTTGCTTTGTGGGGGTTCTAACTCGCTATCTTGATTAAATCTCAATCTATTCAAATCAGGTCTCAGATCCATACTCAGCTGAATAATTTGTTTCTTTCCTTTGAAGGTTTGAGCTCAATAGATTCTGATGAAGATGCTGAAAACTCCTCAAAGAGAAAGAGGAAGAATCAATACAGAGGAATCCGTCAGCGCCCCTGGGGGAAATGGGCTGCTGAGATTCGTGATCCAACAAAGGGAGTTCGTGTATGGCTTGGCACCTACAACACTGCTGAGGAAGCGGCACGAGCTTACGATGCTGAGGCTCGAAGAATTAGGGGGAACAAAGCTAAGGTTAACTTTCCTGAAGATACTCCCCCACCGGCCTCAAGGCGAACAGTTAAGGTGAGTTCACATAAAGTGCCTCATATGGAGAATCAAGATTCAGTTCGCCCCAACATGAATGAAAATATGGATTTCACTAATGTACTGAATGGCGAGCATTATGATTCCTTCGATTTCCTGGAAGAGAAACCCCAACTGCTGCAGTATGGGTCGAGTGATGCATACAACAAAGCTGGAAATATCACGATGAAACCATTCGCCCCCAACGAAGGGACAAATGTTTACTTTAGCTCTGATCAGGGAAGCAATTCTTTTGACTGCTCAGACTTTGCTTGGGGCGAGAATTGTGCCAAGACTCCTGAAATATCATCCGTTTTCTCAGCAATTGTCGAGGATGATCAATCCCATTTCATGGAGGATGTTGTCCCTGCGAAGAAAGCAAAGCTAAGCTCTGAAGAGGGAGTTCCTGTCAACAACGAGATTGCCATGAATGAGATGTCTGACAATCCCTCTGCATTAGACTCCCAGATGAAGTTCTTTCAGATGCCGTATCTTGAGAACACCTGGGATGCTTCAATTGAGGCCTTTCTTAATGGAGATGCAACTCAAGATGTCTCCAATCCAGTGAATCTTTGGTGTTTCGATGATGTCCAGGCTATGCTTGGCGGTGTCTACTGAGTACGTGTACATGTTACTTCTCTTTCACTGTCGATTGCTTTTAGGCAAGCCATGTTTTCTGTTTTATGAATTTATGGCGTGTTCTTGAATGCTGACAGTTAATTCTATTTTCAGGTGTGTTTGCTGCAGCGATCATTGTGACAAACAATAAGATAATAAAGAATGCTCAAGTTTGAGCCATGGATGGGTTTCCATACTATATCTCAGGTTATTGAGCAGAATCCGTTTGGTGATTGTGTTTGATTTGTGATGTAGACTCTTTTTAACTTTGGGAGGATAATGGAGACGATGATGATGTGTGTGTGTGTAATGTTGTTGTATGAGAACATTATTATAGTACGCTTCTGTGAAATCCTATTATTATTATTATTATAGTTTTAAATTAGACTTTACTCGTCTGGTGTGTGTGTTTCTTTGTTGCTGCTGTCTATGATTATAATCGAAGAAGGAAGTCGGCATGGGGAAGGGCAAGAAAAGACAAGGCGATGGATGATGGGATATTATTGTTATTCATATATCTAAAGAGGAGTTGGGTCACAATCATCATCATCATCATCATCATCATGTCAGCCGATTCTTACATCGAAGTGGCTGCTGCTGCTTGTGACTTGTCAGCAGCACCAACAGTAACATAGAAAAAGGAAAGAAACAATGAAAATCAGAAAATATAATACTCCCTCCGTGTCCACGTATTTGTCTGTCCTACACGTACTATGTTATTTTTATTTCTTTAGAAAATAATTATATATACTTTAATTTTATTTTAAATTTTTTAATTTTAATTAAATTAATTAATTATTTTAATTTATTTTAATTTATAATTATTTATATTATAAAATAATTATTTTTAATTATCTACTGATTACACGCACGTGGAGGGAGTTAGTAGGATATAATGAAGAGAAAATTGAGAGATTTGATGAGCAGAAGAAAGCAAAGCCGGGCCTTGTAGTCCTTACACCATTGCCATTACAGTCCATAATCTAGTCTCAAGTGAAATGATTGTACTATATGTATGCTTTTACAATCTCAAACAATCTTCATCTGATCATAAGTAATACTAAGTGCGTGCGTGCATGCATCAGCATCACAACTCTCAACTCACTCTCCCTATCTATTGCAATGTAACTAAACACAACTATTTAATTAATTAATTAATTTGATAAGCATGATGCTATCTTTGTCAAATCTGCTATCAAAATGCCTGCCTGCCTGCCTGCCTGAAACAATATGGACTGGTCTGAGGCAGGCCAAGCTAAAAAAGAAGAAGACGACGACTGGAACAAGCAAGCAAGCCTAGCTATGGCGAAATGCAGAAGCGGGGCGCCAGGCGGAGGCAGTGAGCAAACAGAGATCCTTCCAGCCAAGCTTGAGAGCTCCATTCTCTTCCACCAGAGTGTACCCATCGGAGGGGAACATTCCGAGCAGGAGGCTCGCCTGAGCTGCGGCGTTCCCCGCCAGCGACACCCCCTTGAACCCACACTCCTCAAGCTTCTCCCTCCAGTTCCCAAACTTCACCTCACCTCCACCCCCACCATTACCCCCCACCCCCAACACGTTCCTGATCTCCCTCGACAGCAGCTGCTGCTCCACCACATGCCTCTCCTCGCTCTCCTCCCCGTAGCACGCTCCCAGCGAGTCGAACAGAGCCGAGTAATAATGGATCGCCTCCACAAACCTCCCCAAGAACGACCCCGCCGCCTGCCTGCTCAAATCTTGCTCCACAACCGTCACCACTTTCGGACACAGCCTGCCCACCCCACAACAACAATGCTCGATTAATACATACTTACATGCATATATATATATGAGGGCGTACATACGTACCTCTGCAGCAGCCACAAAGTGTTGGTGTCAGACCCAGTGACGTCATACAGAGAGTGCTGCAACCAGTGAACAGCAACAGCCTCCCTCTTGCTCACATTCAGCTTCTCCGGATTCAGATTCCCAACTTTATCAGCCAGAGCCATGAACTCAAACGGCAAACCTAATTTCTCTGCAAAATCCGACAGCCTCTTCCCCGTCGCTTCCAGAGCCTCCGCGGAATTCCCCAAACCGGTCAGCCGGACGAACGGCGGGCCTCCCGGCCTCGACGCCAGAATATGGAAGAGGCCCGGCCACTGTAGGCCCTGCATTATGTCCAGATCGATTATGTGCACTCGATCCTCCCTCTCGAATGCCTCCTGAATCGCCTGGTTCGCTGTGAAGTGGGAGAACTTGACGAAGGGGCTGATCCCGTTGAAGACTTGGAAGGCGGTCGCCATTTTCGACTTCTGGCTGCTTGGCAGAGGCGGCAGCGCTGCGTAGATGCCCAAACAGGAGCTCACTATTCTTGCAGACATGGCCTCCGAGAAGTAGGCGGCGACGCGCTGGGCGGATGTTCCGAAGGGTGTGGCGAGTTGGGAGATTTCTAAGAGGATCGTGTTGGCCTCTTCCAAGTTGTCGGCGGAGACTGCCTCTGCGCATTGTAGGAGTAGGGTTAGGAGATGCAGGCCTTCTTCGTCCTTCTGCTGCTGCTGCTGCAATTCTTGTCTCCTTTCTCTGCAGATGGCGTTGGCATTGATGTTTACATTGATGACTGGTGGAGAGGCTCCCGTCGTTGTGGTTGGCTCTGCGGATGGACTCTTCTGCTGCAACTCTTGGGGGCGGGTGGCTTCCGATCGGGTGACGGACTCGTCGGAATGCGGCGCCGTGGAGAAGGAAAGAGCGGCGGCGGTGGTGGGGGACTTTGCGGGGGTTAGGGTATTGGTTTGGAGGTAGGTGGGTGGAGAGGACCACTGGTTCAAGGGCTCAATGTTGGGGCCACCATGGGAGAGTACGTGCAATAAGGAGTTGTTGTTTTCGGCGTGCAGTCGGAGCGGCGGCGGCGGCGGAAGCAGCTCCTTTCTGCGGCGGGTGGTGTCGTCGTCGTCGGCGGGGGCGCCGAGAGAGCGGAGGCGGTATTCGAGGAGGGCGGCGAGATTAGGGTTGCAAGGGTAGATGATCTCTCGTACGTTGAGGATAAGCTGCGGTACGGAGACATGGTTGGAGCTGTAGATTAGGTCTTTTATGATGCCGTCAATCCACGCCGTGGTGTCGTCCATGCCGGAAGAACTGGAGCTGCCGCCGGCGAGGAGAGGAGGAGGGGGAGGGGGGAGCTGCAAGGCTCCTCGGTTTCTATCCGGAGGGAATAACGGCATGCCGGAGAAATCGCAGACGGCGGAGGAAGATTGGTGATGGAGTTGGGTGGGGTAAGAGGTGGTGGTGGTGGTGGTGGAATCCATGTAGTTTGCAGCGGCGGCGGCGGCGGTGGCTGTGGAATTGGAAAAGAGGGGAGGGAGAGTAGCATCTGGTGCAGACGTCATTATTATATTGAAATTGGGGGAAGGAGGAAGCATCATCGTCATCGTCATGGCGGGAGTAGTGGAGTAGTTGGGAGAAACTGAGATTTGATTAGGACTGTCAACCACCCCTCCTCCTCTGGCCCAATCGCCATTTTTACCGTTCACCGGCCGTCGGAGAAATCTGGAGACGCCGTGGAGCTCCGTATCGGCGGCAGCCCTCTTTCTACTGGCGGCGGCGGCAGCAGCAGCCGCAGCTTGGGGAGGATGAGAAGTGATTATGGCGGTGGCGTTGGAAGGGTTTGGATGATGAAGGTGGTGGTTATCGAGATTAATCTCAATGCCGGCGGTGTAGTTGTTGGAGTTTGAGTCCCCGGCGATACCGAGCGGAGGAAAAGCTTTAGCCGCCATAGATGATAGAGGAGAAGAATTAGAAGATCGATGTGAGGAAGTGAAGATGAAGGAAGGGTTGTAATTAATGGTTATAATTAGTTGCAGGAGCATCGAACCTCCATTGTTGGATAAATCAAAGAAACTGGAAAAGGTGGAAGGATCCAAGGGGATGAAGGCGAAGCGCAAAGGGTCGAGGAGGATTAGGAGGAGGAGGAGGAGGAGGGACTCGCTTAGACAGACAGCATTGGGATTCTGCGGTCTTCGTTTAAGCCAAGCCTAACTACTCCCTTCACCTTTGTTTTCTTTCTCTCTCTTGGTTGCAGTTGCAGGGCAGGGAGAGAGAGGGAGAGAGAGAGAGAGAAGACAGACAAGTACAAACGCTTCAAGACACGGGAAGGGAAGCACAGCGTAGCGTTTGACATTTTGCATCGTGATTGAATTCCATTGAATTGAATTGAATAGAATAGGAATGCTCCTTCTTCGCCTCGAAAACCTAGAAAACGCAACGTAGTGTTTGACATTTTGCTTTCAACGGCATCATCGCCCACAGCTTTTTACCATTTTTGTCGTTCCTATTTATCTCGTTTTATCTGCTTTACTTTCTTTGTCTCCTTCCACTCACATCTCTCTCTCTCTCTCTCTCTCTCTCTCTCTCTCTCTCTCTCTCTCTGCAGACACAACGTCTTCTCAACTCAAACAATAATAATAATCATCTACAACCATGCATACATACATACATACATACAGCAGCCTAGCATGTTCTTCCTATTTTTTTGACTTTATTTTTTCTCTGCATGGTAGTATTAATTGGTATGTGCAAAGGAAGCGGATTCGTTCTGATATGGGTGTAGAAAACAAGAGGAACACTTGGCAGCTCCGCTCACTCTCCTTGAAGGAAGAGAAGAGAATTAATATTGGTAATGGTATCTCCATAGCTGGTACCTCTCAGATCAGATCAGATCACACAGAGTTGGATGATTGAACAAGCAGCAGCGGGGGGAAGAAGAATCGAATATTAAAGCAAAGTGATGAGAGCAAAACCAGGTTGATTAGTTGAACTTGTTCTTTGATATATATATTATTGGGTGGGTGTGAATGTGATATACATACTATTATGTTTCTCATCTCATATCATGTCATCTCAGGTGCCACAGCCAGCTGCCAAGTTAAAGGAGAGGATTCGAGACTGAGTTGGCTTGGTTTACCGATCCATGGATGGATCTAACCTAGCTAAATTAAGCAAAAATCTCACATATATACATACATACATACTGGATTAATAAATAATAGTATCTGATTAATAAATATGCATGCATGGTATAATACCAGTACACCAGCAGCAGCAGCAGCAGAAATTAAGGACAAGAATACACTTGGGAAGCGCGCACCCTCCCCTCCCCTCCTCTCTCATGATCGATATAGATATATAGATGTTAGTTGTGAATTTTTGTATTTTATGTATGCATATGACGAGTATTGTGGTCCTGGTCTTTTTTCAATTTAAGTAGGAGCTAGCTAGTAGTAACATGAAATGTCATTTATATATGTTTTGCAGATGGATCGGATCGGATCGGATTGGATATATTTATATATGCTTAGAATAGATAGATAGATAGATAATAAATACAGATAAGCAGCAGCAGGTCAGGTGTGGGATTGATCGATCAATTAATATTATTCCCAAAGACAGACATTGCATGCATGCATGTGCATTTTGTGCGCTCAAAAATTAAATGATATGCCTTCTCTATTATAGTAATAGTATATAAAATTCTACTGCTAGTTTTTTTGTCTCTTCTTCGTCAAATTCCCACCAACTGAATTAGTAATAAAAAGTGATATGAAAGAAATGTAGTAACTAATAAAGTAGCTGTGGGTGAATGAATTTGATCGTATCAAAAAATCAATTTAACAGACAAATCTCAATCTCATGCATCTACGTACTTAGGCTGTGCATATCCTATATGTATATGTTGCTTGCTTTTCCCACACCTACAGCTATAATAGTAGTAATAATAATAATAATAATATAATATACTTAGCTTCTTCAGATCAAATTTAGTGAGTCTGACTGACTAACTTTGTGTTGGAAACTTCCTTCTCAAGGAGAAAGGAAGCAAGCCTTTTTAGCATCCTCCACCACCACCACCACTATTTCACGAATCGCGATGCACCATATACATCTATCTCCACAATTCAATTCCTTTTTACTTTTGATTTGGATTTGTGCTCGTGTGGTGCTGTATGTATGTATGTATGTATGTATTCGTGTGCAGTGTCCCACTCCACTCCCACGCATTTCAAGGGAGATGGACTGGAAGGCAGGCCTACATCTACAACACCACACCACTTGTAAATATTAATACAAATACAAATGCACCCTAAGCCTACTTATCATATACATAAATAAATATTCATCAGAAATTAGACCACAATTAATTCAAAGGGCTGCCCAAATTTACATAAATCCATGTATAATAATGCTAGTACAAGAACAACAGCAACAACAATATTATATAAATATGCTACTTATTAGAGGAGACCGTGCATGGCCGTTTTCCAAGAAAAAGGCTACATATAATAAATAATGTTGGCTGCAAAAGTCGAAACGCTTTTTCACATTGGATCCATTTTAGACTATACTCTACTCTGCTCTACACTACTTTTCTGTATACCTTCCCCTCCCCTCCTCTCCTCTCCTCTCCTCTCCTCTCCTCTTTACTGCACTGCACTTTTTACACACACACACACACATATATATATATATATAATCTGCCAGCAATGAGAGAGAGGAAAGGTTGACCGCAACTGCTACGAGTCAACAGCAACAAAAATTAATTAATATCATCATTTTCCTAATAAATGTTTCCTCTCAATACAGATGCACTTGTTTCAGGCGTTTGTTTTATATCTACATCAGATATGCATCTAATCCCATGTATTTGGGGCCACCCGTTTGTCCTGCAGATTCCCCATCTTACCAATGTTTGATTGTTTGTTTGGCTGGCACCTTTCTCAGACCAAGTAAATCCATATTTCTACCACCAATCCTGATTAACCATCCACATGTTCATTCTACTAGCTGAAAAAAGTTCAAAAGAGGGTTCACTTTTTTATCAAAAAACTACCCCACATTCACCAAGTAGATTGAATGCTAACAATCATCCAACTACACATAATATAAAGGCATCATCAACATACTCTACACTTGATCCTCTCTTGAATACCCAAGGGGGATTCTTAACTAAGTGCATAATGCCAATTCCATGAGCAACACTTGAGAAGAATTAAAGCATTACAAAATAACTATCACTGTGTCAACAACTCCAAATATTGATGCCCAATAAATTATCAAAAAAAAGAAGAAGCTATTTCTCCCCACATAATACAGTGTGTAAAGATAGTATCTTTACTCCTACCCTTCATGTGTCTTAATCAAAGCCGAAAAAATGAGCCACTATCTCAACAAAATCTGGTATACTTTTACCAATAATCGTTGCAGTTGCACCTCCCATCTTCAAAATGATGAAACCTCTTGCTATCGCGCATGATAATTGCCCTGCCAACAATCTTCGACATGATCTTAAATACATTATGGCAATCACAACAAACACGAAGATTCTTGATTATACGCATGGACGACCGAGCTGGACTGGTCAGGAGACCTTGGGCAGCCGCTAATCTCTCACTGTGCCCCATAAGTGCCTCTTCTTTCATTTCTGGGTCAACATCGTGGAGAATAAATCTGATGTCTGGTACATAACCAGCCTCTTTCATGTGCTGCTTCAACACCCATAGCAATTCATATAGCCTTTCATGGTTTGGGTGAGATCTGTCACCTGCTCTGTACTCATGGGCTCCCCTGGTTGTATCTAAGAGATTTACGCTATTTCCTTTCTTGTTTTCTCTCTCTCCCACAATGTCACAGGGCTTTAAGGTTACCAGGCCTGCCCTTGACTGCTCATTGCAATGTGAGGCATCAAGAAGGTCGATAAGTTCCAAACATCGATCCCCAAGCTCTTTGTTTCCATGGATTCTTGAGAACTTCATCAAGGTTTCCCATATACCTACTGTCGGCTCCAATGGCATCTTTTCAATGAATTCCAATGCTTCATCCAACCACCCTGCATTTCCCATCATATCAACTATGCTAACATAGTGTTCCATAGTAGGGATGATGCCATAACCCTTCGTCATAGACTCGAAATGCAGCATTCCCTCAACAATATCACATACAACACCGCAAGCAGAGAACACTCCAATAAACATTTGTCCATCGGGTTTTAATCCTGATGTTTTAAATTCTGTAAATAACTCGATTGCTTCTTCACCAAGGTCATTCTTGGCAAGTCCAGTTATCATGTTGTCCCACGATGTCAGATTACGTTTAGGCATTTCATCGAACACTTTGAAAGCATCTTCCATGGAACCACAATCAGAATACATCTTTAAAATTCTATTGAACGACCTGACTTCAAGGTGCAAAGTGGACTTCAAGAGGTGCTCGTGGACAGCTTTGGCCGCATCCAAATCTTCTTTGTCACCACAAGCTTTGATCAACATCATGTACCTAGGCAGATCAACCTCGACACCCTCGCCGTGTAGCCGTCCTAATTGTTCCACGGCTTCCTTCAATTTTCCTTGCCTGATAAATTCATCTAAATGCTGTAGGCTGCTGGTGGTGGTTTGAACCGGAGTTTCAGCTTGCTCCACAGTTAATTTCACGTCACTCGGCACTGAAGAATAAGGGACATAAGTTTGCGGAGCAAATTGTCCAACTGAATTCTGCAGCTCTACTGCACCGTGATTCCGAGGCGGCATCCCAAAAGTCCCCCCATCGCCACGGCCACTGAAGATTGAATTCACATTGTGCTGGCCATTTCCCCCATTGGACCCCTGAAATCGATCCTTCACGTTTTGATTTCGATGCATATTGCCGCTATGTAACGCACTACTCCGATGAGCAGGACTATCACCCAATTGAGTATTCCCATCCCGGTCATTGTGATTGTAACTTGTGCTGTCCTCGTCAACACGACGATATTCGTAAGAAGGATCGGATGTTTGAGCGAGGGTGGTTCCGAGATATCTTGCAATAAGAGGAGACGAAAATTGAGGGGTTGCAGATGCACGTAGCCTGTGCAAAAATTTGAAGTATTGCGGAGCAGCTCTTGCAGCGATCATGGCAGAGAGGAGCGTATTTAACTAGGGTTTCGAGGGAATAGGTCGACTGGAGACGAAGCCGCCGTACAAGCAAACGATGTTCCTTCAGTAACATAGACTTGCCCAGGCGGGTTCGACCGGCGGTCCAACCGCCGGTTTGCAGTTCGAACCGGCGGCTTTTTTTTTCTTTTTCCCGAGCCTTGGCTGAAGTCGTGAACGGCGGCGAAATGTGGCTGATCGGCTGTGATTGGGAAACAATAGCAACTCTGGGCCAACAGCAGCGATGGGGTGAAGGAGAAGAAAAAGGGGAAGAAGAAGCAAAAAGAAGCGGGTGCAAGGATTGGGAAGAAGAGGAAGATGCGGCGGCGGCGACGGCGACGGCCGTAGTTAGGTTTAGGTAAGTAATTTGTTTTTAAAATATACTCTCGAGTAAATTTATAGTACTCTTTTTTTTTTTTAATATGACGTCTGTAGTCATATCTGTGTGTAAAAAATGTTTAAGGCCCATCCCGGCCCAACCAATCTCATCATACTATAACTCTTATGTCGTAATAGTCTCCTCCATTCCAAATAGATGTCAGCTCCAACAGAACAATATACAAGTCATGGCCTAATGTTTTTTTTTAAATAATAATTTTACTTTTTTCTTTCGATATAATTTATCTATATTTTTTATTTTCGTTAATTTTTTTTTTCTTACTTCACAATATGTCAAGAAGTGTTCAAACTTTTGAACTATAATTTTTTGAGATACACAAACTAAGCTAGATAGAGAGCTATTCAAATATCAATTGTTGATTGAAACAGTCTATCAACCACACAAAAAGTCAATGAGGAGGCATAATCTTGAATTGCTCTCATCAATCAAGTCGGAAATTGAAAAATTGATAAAACTTGATCTTGTCGCGCTATTCGCTATTTGAAAGGGGCATCTAATATTGTCATCAATCGTAGCAAGGTGTTTTTGGTAAATAGAATTTTTGAATCAACATGCCAATTCAATGTAGTCGAAAATCATCATAGCAGATCATTGTCTTTCAAATAAATTCATTCAATAAGTCTTTCGTTTTGTTGATCAATGTATGGATATAATTAAATTGTCATATTCAATTTCATCAACAAAATTGGGTGGATTCCAAAGAATTTTAACCAACCGGATAAAATTAATTTAGACGAATCCAACATGATTTGGTTAGCATCGAGCCTAATCATCCATATTAATCCAACCTCACTAATAAAATGATGAATATTCCTCGGCCCAAAATCACTTGATAATAGATTAAGCTAAAAGCAACCCAAAAAAAAAAAAAAATACAATGTGGGATTGTTAATTGATTTAAAGAGACTTAATTGGGTAGAGTCAATTGATCATGATATTGCAATGAATGAGATTTATTGAGACAATGTGGGAAAGAGAAATGCAAGAAGAAATGAATTGGTTGCAAAAATGGATTCAATGGAGGAGTTATATGATTTTCAGACAAACACATAGTAACAAATATTAATTTAAATAACAACCCAATTCTTGATTTTTCATATGTGTGTTTGTCCGGTGGTTTGGATTTTGAATTGAAATTTGAATAGTAAAAATTTTGAATTCTACATAGTTAAATACTAATTATATTATGATAGTTGATAGTATTTTTTTTTTGTATAATTTTTTATAATATATTTTAATTTGATATAATAATATTAATATAGATAAATATAAATATAAAAATACTTATAATATGAAAGCATGGTCCAATATATTTTTAAAAAATAAAAGATATATTTTCTCGTAAAACAGGCAAAGTATAACAAAATATATGCAGGGGAATATTATTTTACAGGTCCATCTCAACAAGAACAGTAAATGAAATGCATCCACTCATCCCCTGCTCCAATGATTGGGGCAATTATTGAATAAGGCACGTGGCTAATAAATAGTACTCCACTATATGTAAGTATTTTTTTTTTTTGTTTTTAAATATACATTTTAATATAAAATAAATAAAATTTGATATTTTAATTTCATACATTAAGAAAATACAAAATATATATAACCATTTAAAAACATGAAAATAGTAAAAAGAGTATTTTACATTATTTAATCAATTTCAATCTTAATGTATTATTTCAAATTTATATATTAAAATAAACTGTTTATATATACCTTTTAAGTATCGTAGATACATTTAATTATTAATGACAGGTGCACGTTAGTGGACTTATGTCTCCTTCTTGATAATCTCAACATGTTTATTTATTTATTTATTTAATAATGTAAATTTGATGTAACTTGTCGATAAGACGACAAAGTTGGTGATAAGAAGGAAGATCATACTCTCTCTCCGTGCACAAACTAATGTGCTACTTTTCTATTTGGGACGTCCAACGACTATTGTCATATTTTTTTTTAAACACAAATTTTATATTTTTATCCTTCATTCATTTATTACTTTTAATCTTTAAGGGCAAATTTGTCAATTCATAATAAAAAGATAATTACCTAACAAATCGTACAAATATATTTTAAAACAAAAAAAATTGGATGGAGGGAGTATATATCTGCGCACAAAAAATCATCATTATTTTCTCTTACAAATAATAGTCTATCTCCTTATAATTCAAGTAGGTACTTTTGGAATTTCACATTAATAATAATAAATTATATATTTAAATATTTTAAAAGAAAAAAAATATATCGGATTTATGCTTTCTATTTTTTTCTATATTTTTTTTAAAAAAAAAAAAGATTAATACACTACATATATTCAATATTTTTATATTTCATACACAATTTATTATGTAATTTTTTATTTTTTTTCCAAAAATCTCACAAAAGTGAAGATGTCCAAATAGTCCCGTAAGAGATAACTCGATGGTGTAGGGGTTAAACTTGTGATCATATGCGAAATTAAATTTTAGTATAATGTAAAAAAGAAAAAAAATATATTTATTCTGATATTTCGAAAAAACATTAAGAAATAATTCACTAAAATCCTTGGAACAAACAATTGTCCCAAATCTTTGTATTAATATAATTATATACTGAATTTTTTTCTATTACTACGATTTTATATAGGATTTTGACCAACATAGATTATATGATCAATATTTATATATTTATATTAAAATTAATAATAAAATTACAGTCAAATTAGATATTATAAATATACCCATTTGTATTTATTTTTTGATTTCATTTATTCAAAGTAAAATTATATTATATATATATACATAATATATTTTAAAAAATGTAGAGTGTTTTTCTCTTTAATTTTAATTATAAAAATATATTGATAATATATAAGGAGTATATAATATTTTATATTGAATAATTGACTTGTTTAATTAAATAAAATAATATATTTTTATTTTATAATATTCATTCAGTGTATGTTTTATTAGGATTTTATAATAGATTAAAAATAATAATATTTTATTATTTAATTTATATAAAATAATTAAAATAATAATGGTACTTTATGCATATATATACAATAATATATACTTGTAATTTAAGTAAAAATTAAAAGCATTTTGTTAATAAGATATATATTTTTTTATTATAATAAAAAATATTTTTGGATGAGATATGTAAAAATAGTAAAAATAAAAATAAAAATTAAAACAGAGATAGTATTAATTAAATAATGTATCCGTGTTTTTTTATTATTATTATTGTGTGAATAAACGAAAAAGTAAACAAAATCCCGTGGTGTGGTTAATAAAAATTGCTTTAGCCAATGATTAGAGAAAATGTTGTCTCCATCATCATAGTATCCAATTAGAGTGTAAACCCGTGCTATAATATTGTGCATAGCACGGAATTATTATATTTAAATTTAATTATTATATTATTTTTATTTAATTGTCATACTCCTAAACCAGACGTGAAATTTCACTTTAATTTTTTATTTTATTTTATTTTTAAATTGCAAAGTTATTTAATCAAAATTTGGTGAATATATGTTAATCATATCATATTTGCATGTATATACAATGCTGATTAAATATTAATAATTTGTTATTTATTTATATATATATTTGTTTACATTTTATAAATTATTTTAGCAAAATGCGTTGAATAAATATTAATCATTTTCTTTATATACTAAGGATTATACATTAGCAATGGATTATTCATATTTAATTTATAGTAAAATAATATCTATATTATTAATTAAATATTAACCTTATTGTTTAATTCTCTTTTCTATTGTGCTGATTCTCACTATTTATTATTAATAGTTTTTTATTCCTTTATTTCCCGTTTATCACTTGTAATTTTTGTTGGCTAGAAATTTTAAAGCCAATTATGGGATGTGTCTTTTTTTAAAAAAAATTTATTAATTTTGTTGTATTTTTTTTATTAAATGAAATAATATATTTTTATAATAAATAATAAAATTTAAACCGTATAACTTTTTAAAATAATTTAAAAAACCAAACCCATGTATAATTTGTATATGTGTATGTACTTTCGTCAAATTTGTTAATTTGATGGTCACATCACATTTGATTCAATGAATTTGGCCCCATTATCGATTAGTGTTGATATTACATCTCATAAATACATAAAAATAGAAATTTTAAATATATCAAATTAAATTAGATATGAATTTTAAATATTTGTCTGCAATTACCAAAAATAATAATTAAATGAATTGTGGTACAAAATATTTTGACTTGTGGTATGTCATACTACTACAACTTGCAAGGATACGGCTGTAACAGCTGGCAAGCTGTAGTGGCACCACGTGCTGCCGCGTAATTGGCTTACCTGTTTTTTTTTTAATATAATACCTCTCTGTCCACGTCAATCTATTTATTTTGTCATTTTAGTTGGTCCATCGCAAATGTATTTATTTTCTTTTTTAGTAAATATTTATTCCGCTAAAATATAAAATTATCCCACTATATATATAATATTACACAAATGTCATCAAATAACATCACTTAATACTATAAATATTAAGGGGTATAATAGTCTTTATGTATATACTACTAATATACTAAAATCTATGTGCAAAAAGTAAACGGATAAATAGGTGTGGACGAAAGGAGTAATCTATCTATCATTTTTGCACAAAATTTAAGATATATTAGTATTATATTAATATTTAATATGAATGAAAAAAATAACTTTATTAGTATTATATTATATAAATGTAATGATATTTGTATAATATTATTATAAGTAGTAAAATTATTTATAATATTAAATACATAGTACAATTATTAAAAAAAATGAATAAATACTTCGTTACGAGACAAATCAAAATAAAAAAATAAATAGTTTGTCAAGGTACAAATGTATTTGTTACTCGCTCCGCCTAGCCACATATAACTCTTTACTTTTTTTTTTGTCTGTCCCACAAAAAATAACTTATTTTATTTTTAGTAAATTTATCAATTTTAAACGAACATAAAAAAGATATACTAAATTAATTTAATTAAATTTATAATCTCTTATCCGTACTACACATTCATAATTTTTTTATTTTGATATTTTTCTTCAATTAACAAATATTTTTTGGGTTTGTTTGTTTAGTATTTTGATTTGAAATTTTTATTTTGACGCGAGGTATAAGGATTTGTGTGGATGATATAAAAAATAATATTTTATATTGAATATTGACTTTTGTGAGATGATAATATATATATATATATTGAAAATAGTGTTGTAAAAAAAATTGTGTGAACAAACTCTTTATTTACATTTAAAATAATAACTACTTTATGGTAATGATAAATAAATAAATAAATACATTTTTTATATATTTGTATTATATAAAATTTTATTTTCTACCAAATAAGATCCATAGTATATATATTTTATTTAAATATACTGTTAAAAATATTTAAATATATATTTTAATTTTTTTAATCTTTAAATAACTAATCCTTACTATCTAAATAACTAATCTATACTACTCATATTCAAGTGCCCAAACAAAATTGTTCATCTTTGGGAATGAAAAAGTATAACATAAAATATATACACATTGTTATTCTATAACATACTTTCACAAATCTTTTCTAAAATATCTTCAATATATTTTCTCCAAAACAATAATATTATATATATATTCACTATTTTTATATAAACGATATAATTTCATATATTTTACATTAAGAAAAAAAAAAAATTCAAATCAAAATATAAAACAAACAAATTTAATTAGGGGGTTGGAGTAAACTGTAGCCCAAGCCTCAAATTATATATATTTTCTTAGTTTAAAAATAGAAAAAATATATATACATTTTGCTAAAATGTCCCACAAACTCAAGTTATTATTTATGTTTTTTTTTTTCTTTGAATTTTTTTCCCTATAGAATAATCACATTTAATTTACAAAAAAATTATAAAGAACATATTGCAAAGAAAAAATTATAAGAAAATATAAAGTAACCGCATTTTAAGTTTGTTATAAATATATAATTTTCAAACACCATATTATATATAAACCAATAAAAACATACACGCACAAATATTACTTCCACGACCCCACTTTATTTGTCTAACTTTTTTATAGATATGAAAATTTATGCAATAGTATAATAAAAAAATAATTAAAATATATATTAATAAAGTGTGTCAACTGTGTTTGGTAATTGAAATAATAAATTTTATAAAAACTAATAAGGTAATTATAGAAGTAATGGAAAAATAAGTATAACAAATACTCTTATATAATTATTTAACAAATATGATCAACTACAATGATAGCATTTACTCCATGCATGTCTGTTAACCATGTTCCTATAATTTTATTATTTAATGTAACCATTTTGCGTTATATAATTACATGATGTGCTTAATATAATACTCTACATCTTTTAGGTTATATTTTTTTAAAAAAATGTTTTATAAAAATATACCATTTTATTTGTTAAAATTATTATTCGAAAAAACTAATAAAATAATAAAAAAAAAATCATCAAATAGCACATTCCTCCAAAAAAATTGATTTATTTTATTTTTTATTTTACGTGGATAGATAGATTAATAATAATTATAAATCTATTCTGTATAGATAACATATACATGTATAAATTTTGCAATTGGTATAAAGTGGTAGGTGTAGGCAATTAGTTAAAGATTCCGTGAGATAAGTATTAGTAAAACGTTATCCTCAGAAAACACTACTGTTACTTACTGCACAATAAATTACATTAACCACTAATCATAAGAAATGTTATTTTATTCTATTTATATTATTATTATTATTATTATTATTATTATTATTATTATTAATTACAATTATTATTTTATACAATGTCCTTATACTCCATTAGTTAATTAATTAATTAATTAATTAATATATATTACACATTTCTATATCGATCAGGTTTCCGTACTTGCCCCTCTTCTCCTCAAATACGCTACATTTTTTTAAAATGAAAAAAAAATAAAAAATAGTGTTAATATTGAAACACGCAATTAATTAATTAATATATATATATATATATATATAAGGAAGCTGAATTATTATTCTCTCTCTTCATACAATTTTTTGTGGATGCAGACGGCGGAGCTCTGTCCCTAAATCTCCTCTTCGGATCTTAGCGGTATTTCGTCTCCTGTGGTTCTCGCCATTGTAGATTTAGGTTTATCACAGGCGCTATTGTTCGGGAAGTTTGTGCTTTTCAGTTCAGAACCAGGTCTCATTGTAGAGGTAGTTGTCCACCTCGAGTTTCTAATTCGAATTTTGATGCAGTTGACTAGCAGTCGTTGGGTAGAGAATTGTATGCGCTAATAAGGTTTGAGGAGACCGGGCTGCGACGCTCGGGAATGGTAAGCATGGATTTTGAGAACCGCAACGTGGTTGCTATGAAGGTGGCCTTGAGTTCTGCCGGCGACGGCGTGGGCAGTTTTCTGCAGAAGTTCAGGCTTTATGAAACTCATTCGGTATATTCTTGTTTCAATCTATCTTTTTCGTGCTTTTGGTTTGAACGCGAGTGTTGTTTGTGTTACGTTTTATCTATGGGTTGGGATACAGAAAAATCGCTGATTTTGATTTGTTGGGGGACTAATTTCGATGATCAAGGAGACGCTTTCAATCTGGTTTGTGCTAAGAAAAGTCGATCACATATTTTAACCAGAGTTTAATCGCTGTACATCTTCTCGTCAAAAGGAGCAATTTCCGTAATTCAAAACCTTTTGCTTCCTTCTAATTCATGGGGCATATATTTCTCCTCGACTCTTTTGAGAAATCTCTTATATGTATATATATTTAAATTTCATGACATTAATGGAGATAAGGAAGACGGTGACCTGGTTATTTACATTTCTTTCACTTGATATATCCATGTAATTTTCTGGTAGACTACTTGATCCTCGTTGTGAGATTGTGTTTGAAATTTGTTATCTATAACATTGTAAAAGGATTATGGAAAGGCTCTAGGTGACTCATGGTTCTTGCCAAAAACCACGCTACACTGATTTGTTGCTCAAAGCATTTTTATGGCTTAAGTTGAACCGAAATGATGGTGTTAGAATTGAGAACATATGATAAATTGGCCAGTGGCTGTAACATAATGTAAGTGCAAGCAAGGTCCTGTTTCGTGCATTTGTGCAAGGTTTATTGAATGTTTTTAAACAATCATTCTTGTATGTTTATCCATGTATACTTCACTTTGATTGCTTCTTAAATTTAGCACGCCGGCACTAACTAGGAAATGTGTCTGCGGTTACAATTTGATTCTCCTCTGTGGAATAATCGTCTTTGTCTTTAGCGACACGTGCTTGTTTAGCTGCCATGATTTTACACCTGGCACTTTACATCTACTAATCTAATTTTATGGGAAGTTGATAGATATTAAAGGTCCGCATTTTACATCCAACTAAGGCGGAGAATTTTCTTATATTGGAATTATGGAATTAAAAATATTGCATGTGCTACTATGTCTTTATGTGCTGCTTGCGTAAGCGAGATTTGCCAGTTGGCAAAAAAGAAAAATGGTGTACCATTAACTGAACTTGCTCCTTTTATCGTGCAACAATTTCTGTTCTTTGGGAGCTATAGAGCTAATCATAAGGTTTAGATTGAAATTATGGGTGATTAAATGTGATATGAGAAGAAATATGATAGATTATATGACGCTGTTGAGATAGTTTAGATCTAACTATTTGATACATCAGAAGAGGAATAAGAAAAGTAAGTGGAACTAATAAGAATGTGAAAATACGTAAAATGATTTGATGACGTGTACAGGATACCCCTGGATAATGCTGTATCATGTCATACTAAAAGAAGAAAGGGAATCCTCGAAAATAATGAATATAAGCTATTGTAAAAGAAATGTTATATTCAAACCTAGAAGCATTCAACAAAACACAATGGCCGCGATCCATATATGGCCCCACATTGTGCATTTGAGACTTTTCAAATCCTTTCCTTCGCAGGAAGCAGTTTTACATCTTGGGAAGAAATTATTGGATGTGTTGGTAGGACTAAAGAATGCGGGATTCTAGATTACTGATGATTTAAGTGGAATAGATAAAAAAACTCACACTAATGGATTGGTGGGTTATTTCTTGGTTTACTCTTGGCTCTCTTCTTGGTGGCTTAAAGAATATTCATGTGATGCTGTTTCTTTTTCCTAGGTTACGAGTCGTTCATCAACTTGTTTATTACTTTTGTAGAACTTTTATATGATTGGGCGGGACAAAAATAGAACTTTTTGGAAGGTCTTGAAGATCAGCCGATCAGAGCACCCAGAACAGTCAGAACAATCAGAGCTAAGCATCATTGAAGATTCAACAATTTACTCAGAAATTGAATGCTATGACCTCCTGAAACGAATTCATGAAGGAAACCTGTCTACAGGAGGACTGAAATTCGTTACTACATGCTATGGAATTGTTGGTATGTACATCAGCAATTTCTTTCTTTGCATATTAATGGCATGTAAGGCTGAGAAGAATTTCTCTTTTTTACTTATTAATTATGGTTTCCTTCTGTGATTATAGGGATCATAAAATTTTTAGGACCTTACTACATGCTGCTTATCACTAAAAGAAGGAAGATTGGAACAATATGTGGTCATGCCATATATTCCATTGCCAAGAGCGAGATGATCCAAATATCCAATTCTACCGTGCACTCAAACATGACTTATTCTAAGAACGAGAACAGGTCTATTGACTATTCTGCATGTGTATGTAAAGTTGTAGGGGGGGTGTTGCAAGTGGACTGAGCATAATATTGAATATGCTTGTTCTTTTTGTATCTTGATTATTTGTGATAAATATATTTGTTCTTTCAGCTATTTCATTTTCATTTTGTTACAGCCTCTTTCTCCAATCTATATTGTGCGGAGACCCTCTAAAACTTTGCGAGGCACTCTTTTGTCGATGCCAGTTATATGAGGTTAATGAGAAATTTGTGCTCACATTAGTGTCTCCTTATTGCTTTGGGTAAAGGAGAGAATGCATTAGTCATATATATCTTTTAGATATGATGTGTAACTTTCTTCATGCATGATTAGTAGCTGTATTGTTCTTAGTGGTCACTGGCAGTGTTTCCCAGCATACATGCAGGGACAGCTGATATTGGTGTTCTGATGTTAGTTTAGCACATTTTATGAGACAAGGAATCATCAGAATTTTCAGGGGGTCATTTATTGCCTTTATTTATTTTATTTTTACTCAAGTTTTTGAACCCAAATGTTCATAATATTTTACTAGGGAGTTGTATTCACTTGTTTTTTTTCCTTTGTCTTTTCTCTTTTTGTGACAAGTAGATACAAGAAGCTCTTACGTGCTGTGGATCTTACCAAGGACTTCTATTTTAGCTACTCCTACCATGTCATGCATAGCCTTCAGAAGAATCTCAGCAATCATGAAGCAGGACTAGTCCTCTATGAAACAATGTTTGTCTGGAATGAGTTCTTAACTCGTGGAATTCGCAAGCAGGTTAAAAATTCTTTATGGACGGTGGCATTGGTGTATGGGTTTTTTAAGCAGGTGATTACTAATAGCATTTTCCCTCCAAGAATTGTTCTCATACAGCTGTGTTTCCATGTTACTTTTGCTCCTATATTCTTTTCAGATGTTTTTTGTTTGTTAGTTTTTTCTTTCTTCTCCTTTTATTTTCTGAGTGCTAAGAATGGGCACATTCTTTTTGTTTTGTGAATTTATGTTTTCATTGGCATTATATGTAGATGTTTTGCCACATCTTATCATTTATCTATCAATCTATATAGGAAGATGGTTTAATATCCCATGCTTGTCGTGTTTCGAAATTCATATCCTTATTATTTAACTTGTTTTAGTGAATACCCCTGCATTGTGTAATCTGTCTATTTTGATGACTCATATGAGGTTATTTTTGGATTGTTAACAGGTTAAAGTTTCTGTAGCAGGGCGTGATGTTAATATAATTCTCATTGCTAGGCGATCCCGTCATTATGCTGGAACAAGGTTGTTCCGATATCCAAGACTAATGTGTCTTTGTTATTTATTGATATGCTCTGTTTTCATCATGCAATGCTTAAGTTACATTGAAAGAACCCTTTTTGTACTGGACATGGGCGATTTCTTGATGGGGTCATAGATTTCATGGATTGGAAGGGTCTGTCTTCTGCAGTACAAAGCTTCCAGTATTGAAGGACCTAAGCCAATCTTGTCATTTTGCACTGCAGGTATTTGAAACGGGGAGTGAATGAAAAGGGCCGTGTGGCGAATGATGTTGAGACTGAACAAATTGTGCTTGAGGATGTACTTGAAGGAAGTCCTATACAAATATCTTCTGCTGTGCAGAACCGGGGTTCAATACCCCTCTTTTGGTCCCAGGAGACGTCGCGTTTGAATATTAAACCCGATATAATATGTATAACTTGCGACTCATGCCTATTTTAGATGCTAAATAGTAAATACTCAGTTTTTCATTGACTATTTCTTTTGTCCAGTATCAAAGAAGGATGATAAGTATGAAGCTACCAGACTTCACTTTGATAATCTTGTCAAGAGATATGGGAATCCTATTATCATATTAAATTTGATTAAGGTAATGTTATATTTTTTCTTAACAATAAAAATTTAATAGATACAGGATCTGATTCCTATTTAAGCTGACATTTTCCTCCTGATTCCCAGACTCGTGAAAAGAAACCAAGAGAAGCTATTCTCCGATCAGAGTTTGCTAATGCTATTGAAGTTATCAATAAAGATCTTCCACCTGAGATGCACTTGAAGTTCCTTCACTGGGATCTCAGTAGACACTCTCGAAAGTATAAACTGCCACAATTTTCTTTTCTTTTCTTTATTTTTGCTTATTTTGTTATGACATGGTTGTCTCAAGAAATGCTTCTGGTTAACAGCAAGGCGACGAGTGTGTTGGAATGTTTAGTGAAAGTGGCTTCTAATGCTTTGGATTTGACCGGTTTCTTTTACTGTCACGTTCTCCCATCTTCAAGGTACTGAAACATGAAAATGTTCCGGCCCCATCGTTTACTGATCTGCTTTTGTCAAATCATTGGCCTATGTAAATCAAGTTGGTGTTTCCATTACGTCTTCTCATTTTCATAAAATTAATGTTGGCCCTCATTTTCATAAAATTGATGTAGGCTAGATACCCCGCTTTTTTAGCGGTGTTTTATCCTCATTTAACTGAAGTCTGCAAATTTGTTTTATGTGTGTACATGCTTGTATATTGTTTTATGATGGTGCTTTTATTCATGCCAATGACTAGTAGACATTGGTTTAGGGTCTTTTGATGTGGAAATTTCACTAAGTTCTGTAATAGTTCATTTGGCCATCAAATTTATGTTTGAATCTTTGTTTCGAATAATATTGCTGCCCTTATGTTTATTTCTTATCTAATTTTCTTATAACTCTTTTACAGTCGACTTCCATGCCACCAGAACTGCAACAGTGATGATGAACTCTTCAATGCAGCAAATGATGTTAATAGCAAGGATAGTGTTAGTGATTGTGATGTCAGTGGAATTCAATTTGTCCAGCCTCCAGTGTTTCAGAAAGGCGTTTTAAGGACAAATTGCATAGACTGTCTAGATCGCACTAATGTTGCGCAATTTGTCTATGGCCTTGTTGCTCTTGGTCACCAGCTCCATGTTTTACGATACCTTGATGTTCCGTACATTAGTTTGGACTCCCCTTTGGCTGATGAGTTAATGAAGATTTATGAAGCTATGGGTGACACGCTTGCTTTACAATATGGTGGATCTGCTGCACACAATAAGGTAAGCATTTGTTAGATGTTTAATGCATCTTTGGTTGTCCTTCCATGCTTATATAAAGCTAGTTTTGGCTAATTTTCGTTCTAGAAAGTGTAGGTTTTGAAATTATATTGGTAGCCTAAGTTTGGAATCTGAACATATGATTTTATAACTGTGTGCTCAACATGATGTTTCTTATAGTGTGACTAATATGTTTTTGTTCATGCAATCCACTTGAGCTTATATCTTAAATCTATGTTTACATTTTTGGTTGTTGCATTTCACAATTACTGATTGATAATTGGGTTTGCATTCAGATCTTTTCAGAGAGAAGAGGTCAGTGGAAAGCAACAACACAGTCCCAGGAGTTTTTTAGAACTCTTCAACGATACTACAGTAATGCTTACATGGATCCCGAGAAACAGGATGCAATAAACGTGTATGACATTCCTGCCAAGGGATTTTATTATTCTAATTCCTTTAAGATTTCTTTGCCAAAAGAAGTCATTATGGCTTAAACTGATTTGTAGTTTTGATTCCATGTCGTTAACTCTAGTTGTTCATGTGTAGGTTCTTGGGGCATTTCCAGCCTCAACTGGGTAAACCAGCTCTTTGGGAACTGGATTCTGATCAACATTGTAATGTTGGGACAGGTGTATCTACCAAGGAACATTCAAGGTAACTGAAGGTGTATTTTGTGAATCATTTCCATTGCATTCTCAAATATAGTACCTTCTATTGAAAGGTTAATCATTAGTAACTTCTTGTTGTTTTGTTACTGATGTTCTGCCTTGCTCTAAATTCCAAGTTCATGGAGCCGCATTTCATTGATGCTCATCTCTTTATTTGCTGTACTCTTCTCTCCGCAGCATACTTACTATCCGAGAATTTCACATTCTTTTGTATATTTATTCCCAGTAATTCTCATTTGTAGAATGCCATATCATCCCTTCTTTGTGCTGCAAGTGAAATAGACATGAGAAATCTTCTTAGAATCCAAGTTGAGTGGAAGGATCTGTTCCATGAATCATGATAAATTGCTGATTCGTGTACTTGTGCTGGAAATTTTCAGCTTTGGTTAGACAATAATTTGAGGTGTTTGGCACTATTTCAATTTTTTTTTCAAAAATATCAAATCAAATATTTGTTTTCTAATACTAACTTCTTACTACTGCATGTCTTCTCTGTTGTATTGCTGATTTGATGAAAATCGGAATTTGCAGGTCAATAATCAAAAGATCTCTTTCTGATGGGAGCATTCTTTGCGAGAGCATCTCAACTATCGAAGGTGCAGGGGTTCTACCCATGGATAACTCCAGGAGGCCGTTGCCTGTGAAGATCCAAGACAATAATATCAATCCTCTGGAATCAACCCCAGAAATCCCACCTTGTGAAAGCAATGCATCTTATTACATGTACTTTGGATATACCCGCTTACTGAACAATGCCGCTTCCACTTGTCGGTGATCCATTGATCGCTCTACTATTTACTAATTCATAAATACGACCTGCCTTTTGCCATTTGTAGGCACACTCCATCCACGTCTGGTAAAAAACTTTTCCCTGACGCTACTCCGCCTGAGCAGAACCCAGAGACCGACAGTGTTTACTCTGTTGAACGTGGAGATTCATTTGACTGTTCGAATTTCTTTGATTTGGATTGGCTTTCATCGGGAAATTCATGTGAGGAAGAGACGTATGAGAGGTAAATCTAACTCTGCAGCACAATGCATGATCATTTATCAAGATAAGAACTGGTGCGACTATATATATATATATATATGTTTGTTTGGTGGATGCAGATCTCTCAATGGATCTCCATCCACTGGGATGTCATCAGGCGAATTGAGAATGGAATGCAGCTCTTCATCGTACCGATCTGGATCAAGCCTGACGGTGAGTTTGTGTACTTTGTGAATTATGTTAGGAAATAAATTTGCAACCATACGAAACCGAATCACCACGTTAGGACTGATATGCAGCAGCTCGCGAGGGAGCGGCAGGGTAGCAGCTCCAGCAATGTGTCGGGTTACTCGGATCAATTCGCGCACTGGGTTGCCTATGGAGATGTGCTTATGCCTTGAAGACCAACCCCAGATTCCTAGGCTCAAGACATTGTTAGAAGATATTCTTTCTTGCTGCCATAACTTGACTCACTCACTCACTCATTCCTCCATCACATCCCAAGGATGCTATGGTGAGACTGCTATTGCTATTGCTATTACTATTACTATTATCTTTAACCAAAAGGAAGAAAGAAACAAGTGAATAAGGCAGCAGAAAAAAGTTATGGAAGAATTTCTTGTGGATACTGACCGACAGTCACTGTCTGTCATACAGACTTCATAGATTCAGATTCTGATTCTGATTCCAGATTCAGATTCTGATCCATTACTTTCGAATTTGTACAGAAGAGAAGAGAACAAACAACTAATTTAATTTAATTTAAGTTGATTTTATCTATGTGATTACATCTAATGCTATTCTTCCTTCCTTTGTAAATATTCTTTCTCAGACAGTGAGATGATCCTGATTGACTCTTTCAACACACTAGTTCTCAGATGCACATGTACATATAGGGATAGAACTTGTTTTTTCAAAAATTGTTCTGAACTTCTCTCTCTTTTTTATTAAAAAAAGGGGACTCGTTCAACTTTAGGGTGTGTTCTTTTACACACAATTTTTCTAACATTTTTTTATAAAAAAATTAATATATTATACAGATATTATTTTATATTATCTATATAATTATTTTACATAAAAAAAAAATATCCCTCCATATCAAAACACAACAAATACTATTATGTTTTGTATATTCATATATATAAATTTAATGATTTTTATATCAAATTTCATAAAATTGAACTTTTCACATTATTTTTTTCTTAAATGACTTTTCATACTATCTATTTATTTTTAATGTAATTATTTTTCTAATATAATATAAAAAAAATATGTGATTTAATATTTTTGCATTTATAATTGAATTTTTTCAAAAAATCCAACCAAACACTTACAAAATTTCTTAATTAGTGTAGTAGTTAAGGATTGGCCTAATATTAAATTTCGAAACTATAAAATTTGGGCCCAATCGAACAATCGTTTTCACTACGGCCCATTATTGTTTGTTTCGTTTTCTACCATCGAAGCAAACAGCTAAAACCCTTTTCTTCGTCTTCTTGTTTCTTGAAACCTTGGCCAGGCCGTCCCTCCCGTTTTCCGGCGGTGGCTGACGTCTCGTTTCATCTCTCACTTCCGCACATTTTCTAGTCTATCAACACAACCAGAAGAAGCAGTGTCAAGTGCAGGATAATGGTTGCTACTAAAAACGCCAAGTCTCAACTTGACCCTGCTGCTCTGCAATCCGATGTTGCATCTTTTGCCTCTTCCCTCGGCTTTTCCTCCGCTCCTTCCTCTGGCTTCAACGACTCCGATTTCCGGAAGACCGGCCCCATTAGAACCAGCGCACGCCCACCCTCTAAACCTCCAAGGGATTTTAAGGATTCTAAATTTGAAAAACGTAAGGACATACCCGTTAGAAAATCTAAACCACCACAAAATCGAAACAATCATCCCGGAGAAAGTGATCCAGTGGTTGAAAACAGCAACAGATTCAAGAACCTCCCGAAGCTGCCGCTTGTAAGAGCCAGTGCATTGGGCGTTTGGTACAACGATGCGGCTGAGCTGGAGGAAAAACTGATTGGTAAAGATAAGAAAATCGAGTTCAGTAGCGTCGATGAGTGGAAGCATTTTGTGGAGGAAAAGAAAGAGCTGGGAGAGCGGTTGTTGGTGCAGTATGCGCAGGATTATTTATCGTCAAGAGGGCAGCACGGCGATATTAAGATGCTTCTTGCCACGCAGAGGTCAGGCACAGCTGCCGATAAGGTCTCAGCGCTGTCCGTGTTGATCGGGGATAATGCTGTTGGAAATTTGAGAGCAATTGACTCACTTCTGGGTAATTTAACTTTTTGAAAAATTTTCTCAAGTCGAGTTAAATTTGTCGTGATGCTATGTATGAGCAAGTTGTAGCTGTTTGTTGGGAATACTCAGTCTGCTGGAAGATGATGTAATGATAATGGTTCTTGCAGGGATGGTAACATCGAAAGTTGGGAAGCGACATGCATTTACAGCCTTTGAGGCTTTGAAAGAAATGTTTTTGATGTGAGATACCTCCTTCACATCCTCATAATTTCATGCTACATGTTAAAAAATTGAAACCCTAAAAGCCATTGTTTGATTATGGAAGGTCTTGGCTTTTAGTTAGCTATGTTTCTTATTCTGTGGGAAGTTCATTTTTGTAGTCACCCATGCATCTGCAACATATATTATCAGCATCACTGTTTGTATTGTACTTGATATTGCTTAGACTCTTCTGCCAGTCTGCTCCCTAATCGTAAGCTGAAGACCCTTTTCCAACGGCCGTTAAATCACCTATCTGATACAAAAGATGGTCATTCGCTATTACTGTTTTGGCATTGGGAGGAATCTTTGAAGGAGAGGTATATTCTATTTATCTGCTTTCTTTTTTGTTGGCACTGCCAGCTCTTTCTTTTTTTTTTGTAGGCAGTGAGGTATAATAGTAAGTTAAATATATGGGAGAGCTGTTTTTATCAGTAATTGAGTATATCTTGTTGTTACTGAATGCTGGACTTGTAAACCATACCTGTTTTGCAGGTATGAGCGCTTTGTCTCTGCACTTCATGAAGCTTCTCTTGATGTAATAGTTAAACTTAAGAGTATGGCATTGAAGGTTAGTGATTCACTGATATCTGCTATTTGTGGTTCTTTCATACTTGGAAGATTCACATAGGTTGATTGCTCATGTCAAGTTTAATTTATTTTTAAGTTTTACGACTCATTGGGTGCAGCATGTTATGCGATGTGCATTTACCCATGTATGAGTTAAATGTAATGTAATTCATGAGTTGGCATTTATACCTTACAAAAGAATGAAATGAACTGAATCCAATGGAAAAGTGTGGGTTGTAATATGATTTTGTATCCTGATGACTCAGATTATGTTTGTGCTGCTGAAAAGTAAATCGGAGCAAGAACGCCGGCTTCTCTCTTTTTTGGTGAATAAGGTATATTTGCATTCAACTGTGCAACGGATACAAATAATTTGGTTAAAATCTGGATCATATTCTTATTACTGAGTCATGTACAGCTTGGAGATCCTGAAAACAAGGTTGCATCAAATGCTGATTATCACTTGGCAAATCTTTTAGCTGAGCATCCAAATATGAAGGTTATTGCTTATATTATCTCACATTATGCCTTATGCTATATCCTAAATTTTCTTGGTCATATGTGCTTTAAGAAAGGTCAGGACTTTTTGTAAACTGAAATTTTTATTTGTGGTTATTCATATAAAATTTGATTTCTCTAGAATTTTCTAATTGTTCTGAGTATGTTTCAGATTATAATAAAAAATGTAAACTGAGAAGCTTTTCTCTCTCTTTACAGGCAGTGGTGATTGATGAGGTGGATAATTTCCTTTTTCGCCCTCATCTTGGATTGCGAGCCAAGTATCATGCTGTATGTTTGAATAATTTTTCTCATGCTTCTATGTTTGTGTAATTATCTTTTCTACTTGTTGATCAAGCATGTACTTCTTGATTCTATTAAGTTAGCGGTCACTTTGGTATTTTTGGATTTTCCTTTTAATATGTTAACTTTGTTGTGACTAATAGGAAACAGACATTTATCTTTCATTGGCTTCTACCATAGTTCAGCTTTTAGATTCATCTTTTGAACATTTAAAATATTTCTGAGATAGCTTTGGACCAAACGTTCTCTTTGAAACTTATTGGGATTTGGGTGTGCTGGGAATCACAAATGACATCTGATCTCTGTTAGGTTTAAAAAGTTGTAAATCTTTGTTTGGAATGAGCCAATTAATGACTGGCTATTGGTTCTATTGTTGGTTGGCTGCTCATGTTTTGATTTTCATACTTTGTAGTCTTATTTCATTTAATGCATACTGATGTGTAGGTAAACTTTTTGAGTCAAGTTCGCTTGAGTCCAAAAGGTGATGGGCCTAAAGCAGCGAAACGATTGGTTGATATTTATTTTGCTCTATTCAAGGTAATTTATGAAGAATTAATCCTTCTTTTGCTTATCTATTGTTTGTTTCTTGTTGCTTAGTTTAGACTGTTTCTGTACCATGTTTATCGCTTTATATTGATTGCCTTCTGTAGAATAGTGTGTCTACTCTAATAGGTTTATTTCCAACCTCTGAAAGCATTAATGTTCTTTTCATCAGGTTTTGATATCTGAGGCTGGAGCAGAACCATCTGTTGCAAAGCATGGCAAAAAGGCTTCTAGTTCTTCAAAAAAGGATAAAACAAAAGACACATCAGAATCACACGTTGAAATGGATTCTCGGTTATTATCAGCTCTTTTAACTGTCAGTCAATTCAATCCCTTTTTCTTCCCAAGATAATGCTATCCATGTTTGTCTTGAATGCACTTTTTTTTTTTTTTTTCTTCTAATTGTAATTTTTAACTATTTCTTTATATTTTAAAATCTAATCAAGATTACCTGTATGAAGTGGGTCTGTTGTTGAAACTGTGAAAATCTGGATTTTATGGAGCATTGGCATTTTTCATCATGTTTCCCAGCTAAATATCTCTTCTGAACATTTTTGTAGCTGCATGCAAAATTTCTTTGTTGCTTTAAACTCGGGAGTCGTTGCTACTGACACTACTAGGATATCTATGTCTACTGCTGTGTTGGACATGCTTCTTAAGATGCTGTTTTTAACTGTTCTCTTTATTCTGATGCAGGGTGTTAATAGAGCTTTTCCATTTGTGTCCAGTGATGAAGCAGATGATGTACTGCAGGTTCAGACTCCTTTGTTGTTTAAGCTGGTAAATCTTTTTTGCCCAAACTTTCATTGGCTATTATATGGATATGAGTTGGATGGTCACTTTACATATCTTATATTTGAGAATTGTGCTATATTCAGGTTCATTCTAAGAACTTCAATGTTGGGGTTCAAGCCCTGATGCTTCTTGACAAGATCTCATCTAAAAATCAGATTGTCAGTGATCGCTTTTACTGTGCTCTGTACTCAAAACTTCTGCTTCCTGCCATGATAAATTCTTCCAAGGTCGGTCATAAATCTTACTTTATATGTTTTGAAATTGTGCACTTGGATTTTTTGCTCTTCCTTTTTTATTTTATTATTTTTTATACACATTTCCTGGCAAAAGCAAACATTTCACATTGTATGTCAAACGATTCAAGTTCATACACTGATGCTTTCTGTGTTTAGTGCAGATTCTTGTTATATGCTTTCTACTTACCCCACTGATTGATTAACTTAAATAGGCATTGTTTCCATGACTGCCAGTGCATGTTCAAGGACTTGAGAATTAGAAAATTGAACTGCTTGAGTTACGATTTTTTCTTGATGATTGTGTACTCAAGTTGGATTGCTCTGGATAACTATATATATATATATGTATGTATGTATGTATTATGCTTTTTTGACCTTATAAGTAGAATCTCAAGGCCCTTCTATGCAAACTCATTCTACACATAAAACTCAATGGCTTCAGACATTTAAGCTGTTTTTTTAATAAAAACTGGACCAATTTAATTGATGGGTTTGCTATGTGCTGTGTGCAACATCAAGCTCACAAACAAGTATAAATAATTACTAGTTAGTTAGTTGCAAAAGGCACCCAATAACTTAGGGTGTGTTTGTTATAGGATGTTTTAATGTGTTATTAGATTTAAAACTTGAAATGGAAAATAGGTGTTGGATGTGATGAAATTTATAGGGGAAAATTATTTTAATATATATTGTACGTTGCAAAAACAAAATTAAAAACACAAATGCGTTGAAAACACAAATGCGCACACATGTAAGACTTGATACTTAAGTTTTCACAATACGCAGCCTAATACTCCTTTTTCCGTGTTGGTGTTAGAGCTATGATGTGAAAAGTATGTCAGTTTATTTTCTTAACTTGGTTTATAATTTTTTTTTTCTTCTCGCTTTCATTGAACATGCCTACTCATTTCCTATTTCCATTCTGATAAAATTACCATGTTATCTTACCCTTTACAGGAGGAAATGTTTATTGCTCTAATATTGAGGGTGATGAAGAATGATATAAATATAATGCGAGTTGCTGCATTTGCCAAGCGTTTATTACAGGTATGCATTGTAAGCATTTTAAGAATATGATTTGAGGTGACAGTGATACTTAGCAGGTTTGATGACTTGAAAACACTCAATTATGTCTATTAATTTTTTGCACATTAAGTTATTGGGCTGAAAAATATCGAAGTTCACTTTTTAAGGTGTAGATGGGATGATGATAACTACGAGCACTCCCCTAAGTAGTAGTTCAGGCTTGAAACAAGCATAAGAATTCTTTGAGCAGCTAATCTCTTAGATCTTTCATCTTCGTGTATATGATGGACGCCTCCCTTGATGATTGTGATCTGGCCTATTACTGCACTGTCATCATTATTAAAATATGAGGCAGTTTAATATTTTGGCACCATACTAGTCTTATGCACTGTGTTTATTTTCCATTAATAACCAAGCAGGTTGCCCTACAACTTCCCCCTCAACATACTTGTGGATGCCTTTTCCTACTTTCTGAAGTCCTTAAAGCACGCCCTCCACTTTGGTACCCTGGTTTCTCATTGACATTCAGTTGTGTAGATATGAATATCTCATAATATGCTGAACTCGAATTCTTGTGTCTTTTAGGAACATGATGCTACAAAATGAGGCCGGTGATGCCAATGAAGATCTAGAGCATTTTGAAGATATACCAGACAATGATGACAATCAAGCAGGAAATGATTTCAATAAAGATAAAGCGACTGACACCAGCAGTGAATCTGACAATGATGCTGATGATTCAATTGATAGAAGTAACTTTTCGAATTCCGATTCTGAAGAGAATGGTTTTAGTGAATCAGATGATTTACTCGGGGTAGATGGTCTTGATAAACTTGAGGGATCTAAGCCTACTTCTGACCAGGAAAAGCACAATACTCAAGCGCGAACACGACCAGGAGGTTATGACCCTCGACACAGGGAGCCTAGATACTGGTATAAACTTTGGTTCTACATTTTTAAGCATTATTGGTCTAAAATAATTGGTGCATCAAGTTAGACATACAATATCGATTTTTCGTTGATGCAATTTTTTGGAAAGTTCGTTGTAAACCTCCTTGAGATACAGAAACAGATTGTTCTCACTTCTCACTGAGTTAACTTTTGTGAATAACAGCAATGCTGAACGAGTTGGCTGGTGGGAGCTTACAGTACTAGCACAACATGTGCATCCATCAGTTGCTGCAATGGCTAGAACTCTTCTATCTGGAGTCAACATCGTATATAATGGAAATCCACTTGCCGATCTTTCACTTGGTGCATTCCTGGACAAGTTTATGGAAAAGAAACCAAAACAAAACATATGGCATGGCGCTTCCCAAATTGAGCCAGCCAAGAAGGTTAGACAGTTTTCCTAATTTATTTTACTGTTTTATTTCCAATTTGCAGTATCTTAATGTATATATATATATATATGTATACATACAATTTTTTTTAAAAAATGTCATAATCTGGGTGATTTGGGTAAGAATGCGCAATATCTTCAAGTTCTGAACCCTGTCTTATATTTGTTGAGCTCAAATTGAAGAAGAAAATGTCAGTTACTGATTCTTCAATTGGAATGATAAATTTGAAGTTGATTTGGTAGTAGTAACCTTCAACTTTGGCCATTTGTTGCAGATTGACATGAACCGCCAGATGATAGGAGCTGAAATCTTAAAACTGGCTGAATCGGATGTGGCCCCCGAGGATGTTGTTTTCCATAAGTTCTACATGAATAGAATGAATTCCTCTAAGAAGCCCAAAAAGAAGAAGAAGAAGACGGCTGAGGATGAGGCTGCAGAAGAGTTGTATGATGTTGACGGTGATGATATCGACGTTGATGGTGATGATATCGACGTTGATGGTGATGATGAAAGTGACAATGAAGAGATTGATAACATGCTTGATTTTGCTGCCAATCCTTCCTCAGAGGCAGAGGACCATGATTATGATGACCTGGATGAAATGGACGAAGAGGATGATGAAGATTTGATCCGTGATGCTAGTGAAGATGAACTAGGTGACACCCTATCAGATGTTGAAGGTGAAGCAAGTGAGGATGGTGATGTTGCAGTGGGAGAAGCAGACGATGATGGTGAGTTGGATGAAACATTTGATCAAGGAAGAAAGAATACAAAGCGAAAACGTAAACGTGGGAAATCTGGAGCTGGAGCATCTCCATTCGCAAGCCTTGAAGATTACCAACACTTGATGGAAGATGAAGATGAAGGTCCCGAGTCAAACCCATGGAAGAAAACGACGAAAGCTAAGAAGCAGAAGCAAAAATCAAACAAGAAGAGGAAAGCATCATCTTAGTAAGAATAAGAAGAAGATATCAATTGTGCCTCTAAAATCAAATTTGTTATTGTTATAGCCTGTGGCATTATGATAGAAACCCACAATAGAATATGATCCATCATATCACAGTTTTGAAGAAATCAATACATCTTGTTGCTCACCTCTGGAATGTAACAAATTCTTCATTACGATACATTTTTCTGTACCAGTATGAAAATGTTTAAATGCGTTGAGAAAGGGCGGATGTATAGAACCTTTCAACGAGAAGGATTGAATAGAGGAACTCCCGATCATTTGGCGATAAGGTTTCAAGTAAAAGGTTATATTTGATGTAACGTTTTGATGTAATGTTTTGAAATTAGAAAAAGATATATACTTCGTCTGTCCGTTGTCATTTTTATTTTCGTCAATTCCATTAATTATACTATTTACTTAATATAATAAATACTCTTTTAACTTACAATATATTTTTTATTTTCGTCAATCCCATTAATTATACTATTTACTTAACATAATAAATACCTTTTTAACTTTCAATATATTACAAAATTTTTGGGAAATAATCAAGGCAGGCATAAGAAATGCTAACGTAATACTTTTCTGGTTCATACGTCGTCGTTTAGGACATCGGAGTCCACAGTGCGCGGTGAACAAATATCGGTTAGCCTGGATTCATCTTCATCCCTTCTCTTCTCTACCCATTGCAGGTTTTTTTCCTTCCTTTACCTTAATGATGTTACATCGAATTCCACAATGGATGAATTTATCTACCTATTGTTGCTTTCAGCTCTTCTCCCTAAACACTGTTCAGGATGTCCAGGTTCCGCTCCTTGTTGCAAGCTTCTCTCAATGCCACCAAAAAAGGTCTTTTAAGTTTTCCCTTTTCTATCTAAATCTATCTCCACTTCATCATCCATCAAATCTTGCCCTCTTTTCGTCGTCTGTTTCGATCGACTGTTGCTTCTTTGTGCGTGTTAAATTGTTTAATTATTTATTTTCTAAAGTTTCTATATGATCTTTAATTTGTAAAATTGTCTGCTTTTCTTCTTCTTGGTGGGTTTTCAAATTACTGATTTACTTCTCTGCAAGCGCAAGATTTCAAAACTTGTGTAGTTCGTGTTTATGATCGAGATTGACCTCGGCCTTTCTTAGGTTTGGTATATTGATGTTAAAAGAAATTTAATGTGGCCAGGCGACGCGATAACCTAGGGTTTAAGGTCATTCAGTCTTCAGTTCCATATGTTGTCCAACCCCACCTGCTGTTCGCCTGTTGTACATTCATATGCATATTATATATATATATATGTGTTGATATAGATATAAATGCTAATTGCCTTTGTGACCCCCATGTAGTCTAAAGAATAAAATCTTCCAAACAATATGAAAACTCCCACTAGAAAAGTGCAATGCTCTCTTCGTCATTTCTCCCAGTAGAGAAAATTGACTACGATGAGTTTTGTAGGATAGTTTTCTTTGTAGGAATGCATATGCCAATGAGCAATGAAAACAAAATGAGGAAATCGGACACTGTATATTATTTTGAAGCTCAAATGCCAATGGAATATGTTGTTTAATTGGTTTCTTTTGCAGCGCTGACTTGGAATCTTGAGGACTTGGTTCCTCCCAGCGAAAGATACATCTTCAAATTTGATTCAAAAGAGGAGCTGAATCGGTGGCATCTATACTCCGATTCTGAATATGGAGGTATCATTCTTCATGTTTGTTCCACCAACTAATAAAATCCTTTGGTTCTTCATGTTCTCTGTGGCTTTTCAGAATATATGAATACATTACATTACTTCGAACTTCTGTGGTATGATTGTTTGTTGATATTGATATCTTTAAAGAAACATTATGTTTCTGTTTCTTTAACCTGTTATTGAAGTAATTACAGCTGAATGGCTATTTATATGTGAGCATTATTTATGCCCAGAAGTAATTTTGTTTTCTTGTAATTTAAATGAGTAATTAAAATTTCGGATCTTGTCTCAGGTTTGTCATCAGCATCTCTGGAGATAAAAGAGTCCTCTGATGGATCAAATAGTACCGGTCGGTAGAATCTCCTCTTTCTCAAGCTACACATTGATTCACTATTTCAATTTATAGTAATATGGTTCAGAAGAGAATGCTGGGAAATATCTGAAGAATTTGTAATTACATCATTCAAGATCATTTAATCTGAATAGCAGGGAACTTTGTTTTGTAATTGATATGTAAAATGATAACCCGGCCTTGCTATTGTTTTAATGTATCGTTTATTCTATGATAAGGTATCATAACTCAATTCACCTCGTAATTTACCCATCAAATCACTCTTGTAATTGCCTGCCTGCATCAAGTAGTAGTTTGTTTCATGTACTTTGAAAAGTTAAATTTGCTAAAAGTTTTGTATACGTCATAGGTATATTCTCTGGCAACCTTTCTTTGGATGTCGATGAAGGTTCAAAATGGAATATGAGTAGAAGTGGCTTCTGTGGAATGAGAACTAAAAGGGTAAAGCATCTTCTCCTAATATAGGCAAATGTGTAGAGATCAAGGGGAATTGAAAGTAGGTCAATAAACACATTTTCATTCTTTTGAATATGTATGATATATTGAGTGCATTTGGTTCAATTCCTATTCATTTAACTGTTCACTGATATTGCAGTTTGATGGGTTCATTGATTTGGAATCATACGACACATTAGCCCTAAAACTGAAAGGAGATGGGAGATGTTACATATCTACTGTGAGTAATTGAACCTTGTTCCTGTCCATGATCATTAAAAAGTGTGCTATGGTGCTCAAGTGTTTTGAAGTTCCTAGTGATCCTGCGCTTTCAATTTATGGCAGAATATCATACTTGCATAAAGGCAGTAGATGACAATGCCATTTTCAATCTCTTTGATGCAGATCTACACAGAGAATTGGGTGAACTCTCCTGGACAACAGGAAGATAACTCATGGCAGGCATTTGTGTTTGTGCCGAAGGACAACTGGTATATTGCAAAGGCAAGCTCTTTCTCTCTCTCTCTCTCTCTCTCACACACACACACAGAGACAGAAAACCTTTTATTACATATAATTTAGATAATTTAATGCCATTAAACAATTTAAACAAATTGATCAACTTCGTCTGGAGCTTATGCCGAACCATGTTTCTGATGGGGAACAGCTGTGTTGATGTTTATTGACTGCATAATGTTTCCGTGGAACCTTAGCTTATTGCTGGAAAAAAAAATGATATTGCCGGTGAATTTTATGGGTTTATAGCTACTGATTAACTTTTGCTGCACTAAATTGCAGTAAGACTGAGCCAACTAGTAATGATGGTTTCGAATTTCAATTTGATTAGCATTTAATTGCAGCAACCATCTTTCTGTATTCATCAGATTCCTCTTGCTCGATATCTGCCAACATGGAGAGGCAATGTAATAGATGCTCAACTCGAGATGAATCCATCTCGGATCGTTGGTATGTCTCTAGCAGTCAATGCACAAGGCGGAGTTCCTGGTTCTTGGTCAGGTCCCGGAGATTTTCGAGTGGAGGTTGACTGGATAAAAGCTCTGAGAGCACAAAGCTAAATAGGTCAGAGTGAAACAAGAAAGAATCAAACATTGAACACACTTGTTCTAACTGATAACTGAATGCACAGTGGCAATCGGAGGTATAATGATTTGTGATATCGAAATCAGTTAGTGACTTTTTTGAGCTGCTGAAGATTATATTGTTGGGATGGTTTGCTTCAATTACTAAATAAATTGTTGTTTGATAACACTATTTGATCTTTGATACTTTGGGAGTTTCATTATTAGCAAGCATTAAATGTGAATCATTTATATATGAAATGTCATTTTGTTGAAAGTGCAATTTTAAAATAAAAAACAAGAAAGAAAGGTTTTATGTTCTATATACAATTGATGGAATGTTATTGTGCTTAGCCTAATTATAAAACTGAATGCCTATGGTATAGGGACAAATGTCCTATTAAATATACTCCCTCCCTCAACTGATATAAATATAGTATATAACCTAACACTAGAATATATCACAATAATTATAATATAGACATATGCCACCAGATATACAAAAATATACTATATATATATATAATTGTCATAATCATAATCATCATCCTAGTTGAATGTGAATTGATCTAGTAGCTAGCTAGGTAGGGTCTACAAATAATAGACAATCATATATATATAATATTTTTTCCATCCTTGCGAACTTCTCCTCAGCAACACCACAAATCAAAGATCAGGGAAGAAGGCCCATTCACAACCACAACCACCAATTTTAAAAATTAAGAATAAATGCTCTCTCGCATGATATTAAGTTTCGCCGGGATTTTATCCCTGCGGAGTATTTGTAGTTGATGATATATATTATATTAATATGGGTGTATATATATTTGTATTTTTTAATAATATTTATAAAGAATGGTTCTATTAAAAAATGTCCTAAACCCTAAACATACTGTTTATATTTATTTAGGGTGTGTTTGTTTGGGGGTTTGGATTTTGGATTGGGATTTGAATAGTAAAAATTTTGAATTTGAATAGTTGTATGATGTGATATAAATAGGATTTGATGTGATGTTTTGAATGTAAAATTGATTTTTAGTATAATATAAAAAATAAAAAATAGGTGTTTGATTTGATGTTTTTGGGGGGAAAAAATTGGATGAATAGTGGAAATCCTTCAAACAAACACACCCTTATTCTACTGGCCTAATTTGTAGAAGGTTCAGGGTTTAGTGCAAAATTGATTTATTGATTTTGATATTATTTTAAAAAATAAATGAATAAATGTCATCTCCCTCCCTTTCTCCTGGTGGGATCGGATTTAGTGATATTTTGAGTTCCAATTATAGAAATAAGGATGCCATCATCATATCCATATATACGTGAACGATAATTTACATGGAAATATTTGACATCAAGAGACATGTATCGACAAATTAATTAATTATATATCAATAGTAGAAATGATGTGGAAAGGAGAAGATAGATAGATAGATAGATAGATAGATGATCCAACAACAATTTCAATTTCAAACTAATGATTATGATTGTGTAGAGTGTAGTAGGAGACATGGGCACCCCCATGTGGCGTCGGGGGGCACGTGATTGCAAGCACTAAGTACCTGAATATCACGTGGGCTTTCTCGGTGGACCACTGAGATGAGCTTGAAGCGGAGGGACCACTACCCTACCCTACCCTACCCTACCCTGCCCAATCAAATCAAAATCAGTCATCCAGTCTTTAGGTGAGATTTTTGTTGATCCCAAATGTTACCTACAGCTCCTCCTCCTCCTGTTGCTGTTGCACGATCTGATTTTGATTTTGATGTTGATTTTGAGACACAAAAACACTCTCTCTCTCTCTCTGGTCTGACGATATTTTATTTTTTTTGGCCAATTAAGTCGCCTTTTCCTTGATTGTAATTTTGTAAATTTTTGTAATAATACTAATATTTTTATTAATAATAACAGGGGCGATGGTGATGGTGATGGTGATGGTGATGGCGACGGCGACGAAGATGGTGATGGCGATGTGATATTCTTTGAAATAAAATAAAATCAAACAAAGATTGAAGAAATTCCAGCAAAAGTAGAGATATATTATATGAAAGCTCCTCTCCTTCTCCTTTCCCAGAACCAGAACCAGATTTAGATTTTTTTTTTAATTTTATTTTATTTTATATATAATCAGACAAGAAAAATTGGATGGTTTGAATAAAGAAACATTTCTCCCATGTTTCAAATCAAAGCTCATTTAATTTAAAATAAGCTCCCCTTTTCATAATTTAATTAAGTAGTGTTACTAGATTCACTGTGTGTGTGCGCGCTTCTCTACTCTTCAGACATAAAATGTTAAGACTATTATTATTGTTTTTGTATGTTGTATGTATTAGCTTTAATATAAATTATTATTATTATTATTATTATTATTATATGATATGATATGATATCCTAGGCTGTCTGTCCCCTGCCCTCAGCCAGTCCTTCCTCCATCACAAATCACAAGGCAGCATCTAATCTCAACACACTCAATACAAACATATATATACAAATGAATCACAATCACAATCACAATATAATATATATACACATGAGAGGTTGGGTTGAAACTTGAAACTTTGATACACACTGAATATTTAAGAGAACCTTCTGGAGACAGACCCCATCACAAATATCCCACCTCAACCTCCAATCCCAACCGTTCATACTCAACCCCCCTCCCTCCCTTTTCTGATTTAATTTCTTTATTGCAATAACAACAACAACAGCAACAAAATATACATATTCTTTTCTCAATTATTTTAAAATCAATTTCCATCCTTTCACTATAAGAAGGCAAGCCCAACGTGTAGCTTAATTTAAACCTGTTTCTGGAGACTTCTGACCAGAGAGTGAGCTGATCTCTATCTCAACCCAACCCCCCCAAAAAAAAAAGGAATGATAAGGTTTCGTCTTGCAGCAATCTTTTAGCATTTATTCATTTCCCAAAGAAAAAGAATTGGCCTTGCGTTTCTTGAGAAGGGTTTGGTGTCACTACAATCACACAGTCAGTTACAAACAAAAAAAGCCGACAAGATTGAATCTTTGAGCTTATACATATATATCTATATATCGAGAGTGAGGAATGGCAGATAGAAGCAATGATTTTTACGCCGTTTTGGGGTTGAAGAAAGATTGCACAGCTGCAGAGCTCAAGAATGCCTACAAGAGGCTTGTAATGGTCAGCACTTCAAAATATAGTTCCTTTTCTCTTTATGTTGTTAAAATTAAATGTTAGTATGTTAGTCTATTGATAGTTGATCATTTATTTTAGAAATGATCTTCTTCTTCTTCTATAAATTTGTTCTGTGTGTAGGAATGGCACCCTGATCGTTTCTCTGCTTCTGGGAATCCAAACTACGTCCAAGAGGCAACCCGGAAATTCCAAGCTATTCAGCAAGCCTATTCTGGTGATCTGCATATATATAGATATATAATTCATGTGTGGTGAATCATACAGTGTTGATGATGATTGAGAATGCAATTTATTACTATTAGATTGAAATGAATGGATGATCAATGATGATGATGATACATATATGTATTTGGGGGGGGAGTTGAAGTTACTAATGGGATTTGGTTGCTCCTAGTGCTTTCGGATGCCAACAAAAGATTTTTGTACGATGTAGGAGTCTACGACAGCAACGACGATGCCGATGAAAATGTAAGGTCCCTTTACAGCCAGCTCTGTGTTTCTTGATTAATTGCCACATTTCATTGATATCTACTAGATTTGGAGCTTGATTTTAATGGTGGAAGATATATAAGTAGTAGACATTTCAAAGGAATGTGGTCCCAACAGAAAATATGGATATTCCCTGTTTTATTTTGTTGAGAAATGTGTATGTATATATGCAGGGGATGGGTGAATTCTTGAATGAGATGGCAACAATGATGAGCCAAGCTAAATCCAATGTGAGTTTCTTTGATGTTCCTCTTCTTGTTTGTCATTTTCTAGAGACATAAAAACACTGTTTCTTGAATGCATAAATAGTAGTATTTCTTTTATGTTTTTTTTTAGGAGGGACCCTTTTATTCTTGTCAATGTAATGTGGTCCTCCACCAGAAATTTAATATATATCCATTCATCAAGAGTGTGGTCTTATGGTTGCAGGAAAACAGAAATGAGACATTTGAAGAATTGCAGGAGCTTTTCGATGAGATGTTCAGGGGCGACGTTGAGGCCTTTGAGTCGTCTATGTGCTCAACGTCGACTTCTTACAACAACGGAGACGACAACAACAACAACAACAAAAGAAACTCCTCGGAGATGACTTTTGCAGGCGATGCCGCCGGATCCCATTTCGAAGGATTCTGTATGGGGACAGGGGAGAGCAGTAGCAGTAGCAGTAGTAGCCGGAGAAAGAATAGTCGAAGAAGCCACTCGCATTCCCGGAGATAATTAAGTGAAAGTGATGATGATGATCAATGGAAATAATTTCGAGATTTTGTTATGTTTGTGATCCTTTTATATCAATTGTTGTGTTCCTTCATTTCCATTGAAGGAAGAGAGGATTTTATGGGATGATCGAACAGAATAGAACAACCTGTGCCTCACAAAAAAGTTCCTATTTTTCAGCTGTCTGATTTTGTGGAAAAATCTATAAAAGCATCCATACGTGAAAAGCCATAGCTTTTCTTCTTCTTCTTCTTCTTCTTTCTTGTATCCTTTTGTGATTCACTCTGTAACAGTCGTATATCTGGTTGGTGGTTCTATCCATTCTTCTCCTCCTCGTACGTACGTAGGTTGTACTGTAGATAGATACAATAAGAGTTCCATCACCTCTTTTCGGTTGTTACAAAATTACTAACTAGTATTCAATCAATCTATCTCCATTAATATTCATCATTCAACCATGGGATTTCTTCACAAGCTTTGGGATGACACACTGGCCGGCCCCGCCCCCGATTCCGGCCTCGGCAGGCTCCGCAAGTACAGCGCCACCGCCAGGCCGCCGCCGCCGTCCTTGGAGATCCCGGAGGCCCCCAATGAGATTCACATCAGCCGAGCCATCACCGTCATCCGCCCCTCTTCCATGGCTTCCCCCACCCCTCCCTCCTCTCCCAGCTCCCCATATTCACGTACGAGTTCAAAAAATTTATGGTTTTGATTCTCATGAAAAAAATCGTTGCCATCAACAACCCCATCTAATTTTGATTGATTGTTGACAGCAACCACTCCTGGAGGGAATTTCAAGAAATTCACGAGGAGAAAACCCAAATGGGAACCAACATCACCATCACCATCTACACCCCATAGTTGGGATTCAGAGAGATCTTAATTCAAGCAGCATCTTTGCATACAGTCAACAATCCCTGGAGAAGAAGACACAGTGTAGTGTCTGTTACATAGTAATTCTTTTCTTCCTCCCTCATATGGGAAGTGAGGTTGAAGTAGTTCTTTTCAACCACTAGACTCCACAGATACATGTATATATATACATCTTGTTAATAGAACCCCCATGCTTTAAGCAAAAATCCCAACAAATTATTGCATAATGTCATCACAATCTGCTAGGTAGGAAGAAATAGCCAACAATTTGACACAGGTACTTCTACCAGTACAAACAAAAACACACCAAAGTGCAAAGGAGAAAGCTTTCAACTGCAAAATCAAATTGAATGTTCCGCCAGTTGAGTAATCGTCTCATGACAATATACAACAAGACTACAAGAAATAACTAAATCTCAATCAATGGCATATATGCATAATATATAATATATCCACCAGCTATATGTGTACAGCATCATACCAATCTCATATTCGCCACCGGGTGGATTATGACACCAGTTTTGTTCCTAGTACAGCATCAGTTGTCTGCACTGATAATGAGCCGGGACACATGCTGTAGGAAACACTTATCTAGGTTTCGATTCGCTTCCCTTGCTTCTAAATGTTGGTAGTGAGAAAAATGATCTTGGCGCTGTAATAAGAGAGCAACATGTAAGTAACCGAAAAACAATATATTGCCAGATACAATTTGTAAGAACAACAAAGCTGTCAAGTCACAAATCAGTAAGAGACTAAAGAAGTATCAACTCAAAAGTTGAAGTCTGCGAGAGGGCTGCGCTCATACACTCAATAAAATACATAATCGATCTATAGAAACATAAAAGGATTTAGGTTCACCTTTAATTGAGCTTCCAGAAAGATGATCCTCTCTTAGTTTAAAATTGGCTGGAGGTGCTGGGATGGAACTCTCTGAAGATTGGACTGTCGGAAGAAAAGGAATTCAACACATCAGCATGCAGGCTAGGAAAACTCAGCCTTTAATCTAAATATAAACCAGGAATTGCAAACCATAAAAGAAATCAAGTTGGAGGGAATTATATTAGATAATGCAACAAATCATCCAAATCTACCAAAGTATCACAAAGAACCTGATTCACCGAAAACCTCATGTTCATTGAAGCTATCATCAGAAGGTTGAGCTTGAGAAAATCCCATTCTTGATTTCCTGAGGTCTTCTGAAGACCGATTTGCAAGATCACGCCCATCTTCCATATCATCATCTCCTTCAGATGTGGTAGCAGAGATCCAGTCTACCAAACTCTCTGAGCCACGATTTTTCCTTCCAAATTTCAGCAACCTTTTAAATCCCCTAGTCATATCCTTGCGGGAATTATTGGTTGAATGGGCCACCAGCATTGGCTTCTGGGCCATTCCCCACTTCTTCCTCATTCGAGCAGCATCAGTATCCATCTGATTCAGAGAATGTGAATTCCATGAAGCAGGACTTGCCACTGGAGAATCAGCAGAGGCATCGACATCAAACATCTCATGGGGATATGAAAAGGTATGCTGGCTATGAGAATTCCACGACATTGGACTTTCCGTTGTCCAATCTTGTACATCAACAGGAAGATAGCTTGACGATATTTCACTAGATAACTGAGAACCCAAGACCTGGCCTACTCGGGAAAATGTGAGAGTGCCATCACCATTTTCAGATCCAGAATTCAAAAACTTATCTGACTCCAGCCTGGGTGTTGGATCCTCCTCTTCTAAAATTGGATTTTCCTCGGGGCTTGGGATCTTGAATTCCTCCTCTACTTCTTCTTTAACTATATGCCCAGGTTCATCTTGTTCAGATGTCACATCATCATTCTCATCCACAGTATTTGCAAGTTTAGATCCCATAGAGGCCCTCTGCCTCTGAATACTTGCTTGAGAAACAAAGCCCGCACGACTACCTTTTTTCAGAAAAGGCCTGGGCCCACCACTTTTTGGAACCTCTTCGTCAAGTTTTATCGGTGTCAAGTCAACAACATCAGGATCCAGAGAAGACATTTCCCTGAACTCTCTTGGATTTGCAGAGCTTTTTCTTGTAGCATGCAATCGGCGTGATTTGTCATCCTTAACATTAGGAGTATCTTCATTGGTGCTTTTGCTACGCGCATAGTTTCTTACCTGCGATCGAGTTCCTTTGCTGCCTCCAGAGTAAGGTTTAGTATTTTCTTTTCTTAAGTCAGAAAAGTTTGGAACAGATTGTGCAAGTGGATTTTCAGGTTGCATTCTTCGCTTACCAGAATAGGTGGAAACTTTGTTAGCAGACCTTGGAGCAGGTTCTGCTGAGGCACGAGGAGTGGATGATGACACATTTCTGTTGTTGGGTAAATGCTTCTTCACCTGAGAGCTTCTAGAAACACCCTCCCCAGAAGAGATGTCATCAAGAGCCCTATCTTGACGATGATCCTTCTCTAACAAATCTAATGCATCTGCATCATCTTCACTGTCTTCAAAATCCAAACTTGGCTGTCAACAAGGAAACCTTTATGGTGTTGGTTAAAAATTCATATAAAATCAACTCTAATAAAACATAAGAAGAAAGCATATTATATCTTCTATGTAACATTTAGATATTGCCATAACCTAAGAAATCTACCTGCTCCCTTTTCACACTTGACCTACTATTATATGATCTCAGTCTCTCAGCACGCCGGGATGCGCTTGATGCAGAATTCTGCCTGTCTGTAGAAAGAGAAAATTTTGCCTTCATCTCAGATCTACTCCTCTCTAGGCTATCCTGCATAGACTTCAATCTGGCTTCTTTATCTGCTCTGTTGGAACTCCAATCTTCTCTAAGCTTTGCATCTCTTTTCTGAATATATCTGTCATATAATTTCCCCCGGGAACTGTCAGATACAGAAAGGTCGGAGAACTTCTTATTCAAAGTATCACCATAATTCTGGCCGTCAGTTGTTTTATTGAGAGAGGAAGAATGAGACTTGGCCTTGTTCTTTGAACTCCCAGCGGGTTCAATCGAATTATAAGATAATAAAGGAGAGACATCTGCCGCTGGTTTGGAGTGTAGAACACTACTGGGCTGCTCATATTGTGTGTCTTCAGATTTACCTTTATAGGTAGCATTTGATTGATCACTAGGGACTCGCAGTTTATGCTCAGCAAAGAGCTTTTCAAGTTCATTTGCTTTCATCTTTAACTCATCATTAAGTTCTTGATTTCCCTTTGACTGCCTTACTCTTTGAAACTTCTCTGGTGGTGGTGTTGAAAAAGAATCAAAACTTTCAACAGCCTCAGTTGTAGCTTTACCTAAATATGGCGCCCTGCTGTTCTTTCCACTTATATGGCTTTCATCTTGCTGGACTTTGCCCTTTTTGCTCTGGTCAGTTACCAAACCTCGTCTAATGGATTTTATCTTCTGAGGTCCAGAACCCTCTACTTCTGAAATAGAACCACTTGATACCTTTTCTGAGGCAGGAGACTCCTTTTTTTCAATTGCTTCAGTTTCTCCGGATTTTATGTCTTGTTGAGCAGAGGAAAAATCAGATTCAGCCCCTTTATAACGAGCAACAAAAGCATCCCGAATTCTTGAACCAGGAATATCTTCAGACACCCCTGACCCTCGCCTTGTCTTCAGAGTGCTCTTCAAATTTCTTGGCACAGAAGATACATCCAATGCTTCAGAATATTCTCTTTGACTCGAAGAATAAACCTGGCCACCACCTGGGGTTTCAACAGGCTTAATTTGTGGCACTGGAGAATCTTGTTCCTTGATTCCAGAAATTTGTGACTGGGCCCCCTTACGAGATCCAGAACTTTGAGAACCCTTCAGCTTCCCCTGATCCCCAAACACAAAAGCACTCTCCGTCTTACCACTAAGCAAATTCTTGAACTTCTCTTCAGAGTTCTCTAGGTTGTCAGCAGTGCTAGTCAAAGGTGTTAACTGGGGCTTCCCAAGTATTTTACCTTTCAAACCATCACTTTCACCAAGTGCCAAATTAGAGTTCAACTTACCAGATTCGAAATATAGGTCAGGCTTGTTAGAACCCTCTCTGAAATTGATATCATGAATAGGCTTAATCCCTGGCTTGATAACAGGGGAATTCTTCGCAGTGTCATCATTTGCATTAAGAACCTTGTTCTCCTGGGATATGGATGCAGAGGATGGGGTGCACAAGGTGCTTTCACCATCCTTCTTTTCAGCACTCAAGTCAATGCTCATATCACTTGCTCCACTCCACCGCCTCAAGACTGACTTGTCTGCAGCTGCTGCTGTGGAGACATCTGATGACATCCTCCGCAACTCAACAGATTTTACCACAACAGACTTCGAACCAGAACTCTCTTTCTGCTTGTTCTCAAACAAGTTTATCCTGTCCTGAACACTGAGTCTCCTGGCTGGCTGACTTGCTTGAATTGTGTCCGTTTGCTCAGGTGTAGAGGCCTCAAGTTTCTCTCCAGAAGCACCATTCGACTTGCTCTCATTGTCCCTCTCAACACTGGATTCTCTGCTGAAAGTACAATTTGAGAAGGTAACAGGCGGAGGATTGGGCTGCTGACATGTGGTGGGTTCTTGGCGAGGTGGGGGTGAAGATGGGTCATTGTCAATGGACATGTCAGACTCGCATGATGACCTGACTGTCCGATCCCCAGGTCCTGGTTTCCACTGACTGATGATATTGGGTCGCCTCTCACATACTGATATGAACTGGCTGCATGCTTCACTGCAAATGTGTCAAAACTATCAGCATACAAATATCTGACCAATATTTATCTGTTCATGTTTATTTAAACTGAAGCAAAGGAGCAGTAAAAAACTTCAAGACAGTGAGGAAACAGTAAACGTATCAGCAGCACTTGTACTTTGCATTTAGTTTCTCGCAGTCTGGCTTAGTGATGTTAAAGATTTTGACATTATCAAAAAGCAAATTGGGATGCATCCTCAATGGAAGAATGATGTATGGGAAGCAGAATCCTGGTCAGTCAAATATTTCACAAGTGACACCTAATCAAAATCTTCTATGCCCGGTTATTTCAAAAGTTAAGGGGGGGGGGGGTGGTGGGAATGAAGTTTTGTGGTGACAACAATCACACATATTATGGTGATAAGGTTGTTACATGAGTAAAATCAGGTTGCAAAATTCTTACTTCAATCGGTGCGCGCCAAATCTATCAGCAAAAGTTTGAAGTTCTGAAACAGTGTCAACATTGAAACCAGCAGCAGCAGCACGAGTACAGGCTGTAGATAGGTCCTGCTGCACTGCCATCAGCCGTACATCAATAGCTCTCAAAAGCTCCATCCTGTATTTTAAGAAATAATTAAGTGCCACAGAGTCGAACAGAAATGGGCCATTTTCAATTGAAGCTAGCACAAATGGATGCCAGCTTTATCCTATTAACAAGGAAGAAAATTGCCTCAGTTTATATCAGGGAAAACAAGTAAAATATCTTGCATTATACAACCATTATTTACAACTTATATGGACTTTTGGCCATCTACATTCTGCATCGATTATGTTCCAAATATACCTGCAGAGGGAGTTTTATGCACCAACAATTTTACAGAAAAGCACTCATCTCATCAATAAATCTCTATACATATTAATTCATTCTTTGTTTGCATTTTGAAAATATCAAAGCTCAAAACCAGCCAATGATTCATGGCGAACCAAATGTAGCACATGCTAATATATAAACCAACATCAGCAATCATGAAAGTTTCAAATATAAATTAAAATAAGATATATATACTTTGTGGCATCATCCGTAGCTGTAGCCCCAGATCCACCTCCACCTGCAACAATTAATACATCAAATAAGCTTACTGGTGTAGAGAATCCATCAAGAAGCATCACTGTTATTAAGTAAAATCTTCACCAAGATCTCAATAGCCATTAAGGGATTAGCGGCAAACAAGCGAGAAATCATTTGAAGTTACAGAACTTGATAAAAAGACTCAGTTCATGGCTTGTAAATGATCTTTATCATATGAAGTGAGCAAAAATTTGGGTTAATCCCCTGTTATCATGCAAAATTGAGCATATGATCAAACAATACTGACACACCCAATTATAATCACAGTGTTTAATCTCATCTTATCTATTCATTTAATGTTACAGAAAGAACTTCCACAATTACAGTCACCCTGCATTAAAGCATAACTTAAGCTATTGAGTTTACCCATCCGTATAGGAGAACGACCAGCAATATAAGATTGGTTTCGGGTACAATGTCAATTCTAATAACAAGAAAGTGTAAAGATGGAATGAAGTTATGCATTTTCTGGTAGAGCATGTTTTTCTGTGATAGTTATCACATGCAACCAAACTAGATAGAAAGTGACAATAGTTTCAAAGAAGTAATCGAAACCCACCAGAATGTTGATCTCCTCCTCCCTGAAATAATAGGTGAAGACATTTAGTCTTTTGTTCAATTGCAGAACAGCCACTCGAAAAGTATCATCATAACCCATTAAAATAATACCAGGGAATAAATTCTGCGGGCTGCTTCCAACTGAGACATCTCAGCATCAGAAGAATTCACCAGTTCCAACACTTCAGGGGTGCTTACAAATCGGACAAATCTATCAACAAAATTTTACACATATTAGAAAATGGAACTAGTAAGAATGGCCAAATTCCCTGAGAGGTCATCATGAGTCACTACCTCTCAAGTGTTCCCTTGGTGAACCACACCTCGGCATTTTTTCTCCGTCCAGCTTCAAGCTTAACTGATTGTGCAGCAGAGGCAACTTGCTCCTCCACAACCTTTAAATGTGCAACAAATGGTTTAACGAATCCAGAAGCAAGTTTCTCTGTGCTACCACCGCTAGAAACAAACAGTTCGCATCTGGTGCAAAGAAGCTTTTAGTAAATAATAAGTTAACCTGGGAACTCTAACAAAAAGTGCATTACGCAAAATGAAGTAAATATTGACCGTGTGCGCTTTGGTGAAAGCTGAAAAACAGCATAATCAAGAGGCACATCAGACTTCATCTTTTCCATATTCAGCAAGGGCACTATTTCTTTGTTCTTTTTATGTATACAGTCCCAACGCCCATGGCCTCAATAACTATCAGAATGCAACCATTCTTTGCATCAAACACACAATGGATTATCGGTAGGAACCTGTATTGCTGATCAAGAAGTTAGATATTAAACATATCCGAATTACAATCTGCATCATGATTATTCTTACATTCTAATTTAAATCCGCACGAAACCAGATATGCACATCAAAAGCAGGCATTTATTCAAATTAAAGTAAAACCAATAACACGATTAACCCATACTTAAAACGGAAAATTAAAATGCACTTGGTGTAAACCAAATATAAAACACAACAAGATCAATCAGAAAATAAACACAGGGTGGGTATTCATCTAGATCTGACAGTATACAATCAAAATTCATACAATTTGCCTCATCCTCGTTCCAGCATCATCACATCCCAGAATCAGCTCAATCTAAAGCAATGTCTAAGTATCAGAACAGGTTCCCCAAGAACTAGTTTAAAAGGCCGAAAAACTCAAGTGAATTCACATTTCTACAAAGATCGAGCAAGATTAAACTGACCTCAACAATGCCAATGCGGAGATCTTAAATTCTTGAACCCGATCGTATGATTCAAGCCCAATTCACCACCGAATCTCCAAGTACAAGTAACTTATAGCCGCAAGGGTTTGCGGCCTCTCCCCAAAATTTAGAGGAAAAAGGAAAACCCTACAAAAATAGACTGGTTCTCACTTCTCAGTATACTCATAACCCATTTCTTCAGTAAAAATGTAGCTAGCGTAAATACGCCTATTGTGCTTCTCTTCGTAAAATACAAGATTGTACGTATAGAGAGAGAAAGTGGGAGAGTAGAGGAGTCGGGGAGACGAAGAATGATATGGGCTTTTACCTGTTTTCTTCGATTCTGATTTCAAACAAAATTTGAAGGAACGCTGTGATGTTTGCTGTGCATCCTATTTAACCTTTTTTTTTTTTTTTTCACTTTTGTTGTTCGCTGTAACGTTTGAAATCACTCAACTTTGGTGGATTAAAAGACAAAAACTTAATAGTAAGAGGCAGAACTCATCCATGGTGGAAGCAATGATTCTTGTCCACTCCCAGGTTCTCAACTCCTGCTATGATCAATTGTACACGCTACGGTGTGGATCATTTCAGGTGTTCTGCTCCCAGGAGTAGCAATATAATTCTTTTCGTAGAACTGCAGGTTGATGTAGTATGAAATTACTGATATGTCCCTGAGTCGTCTCCTCTTACGCTAACGAATTACGACCTCTAATTACAATTAATTATTAAAAGATTACTAATTATATAAGATTAAATGGTAGTTATTAGGTGTTGTTTTAAAGCACGTGGTGATTATAGTCCACCTTTTTAGTTATTTTCCCTTTTTATTAGCCAAATTATTTTCTAACAAAAAGGAAATTTGAGTTTTTGATGATTTTTCAAATAGTACTATAAATGGAAGAAATACAAAGATATACATATAGTATTTTTATTTTTGATTATTTATTATGATCTATGTAAATATAGTGGGCATGGACCAAATAGGAATGATATTTTCTTTTCCTTTTTCTTTCTTTTCTTTTTGCTTAGTTAAGCCATTTTTATTTGAAATTTTAAATTTAAAAATAACTAAAATAGATGTATTAATTTCACTTGCCATACTGATTCTTGTTGAATACTACTCTCTCCGTCCCATATATTTTGGATGTCTTATATATCAGTAAAAATAATTATTATTTAGTAAAAGTAATTATAGATTGAGATTAAAATAAATAAATAGTTTGATTAAGATTAAAAAATTATAAAATTTAAAATTTAAAATGCGATTAAAGTGGATAATCATATTTCCAAAATATTAAAAAATAAATTACGTGGGCGGACGAAAATTAAAAAAAAAAAAAGGGACAAAAATTATGTAAGACGCAGAGAATAATATAAATGGTAATAGATTTATTGAACAATGTAAGTATATACTCGTCTTAATCATTACTTTAGTACATAGTACAATAATTGGTGTATGGTTCATTTTATACTAACCAAATCGTGTAAGGTAAATATGTTATATGTGTAAATTAAAAGAGATTTTTTTGTTTTGTAAGAATTTTTATTTGTATGGTTTCATTTGGTTTATTATTATTATAACAAGTTCTATAGCTTTATGTATATGTGTATTATTTTATTTGTTTATCAAGATTGAAATATTGGACCACTTAAATCAATTTCTTGGATCCCTATAACAATTATTCAAGGACTATTTTGATTAATAACAAAATTGAAAGAGACAGCCATATCATCATCACAAAAAGGGGAAAAAAAAGGAAAGTCATATTATTATTATTATTATTATTATTATTATATGCATATATATATATATAATTGGATGAAATTCAAATTTACATAATTGTAGTAGAAAAGTAGATGGCTTCGAAGTTTCTTTGATAGATTTGAAAAAAAAAAAAAAGAAATTTAAATTTGATATTAAAATAATATATGATACGATATTTTGTAAAATAAAAAATAATTTTTTTCGAAAAACGTATAATACAAATAATAAAAATTTGAAAGGTTTGGACTTTGGAGTTACAAAAATCTGGCAACACAATTATAAGTGTACAAAATTTTGTGTGCGCTTATTTTGTACTTCAGATGTATTTTTTTAGTGAAATTGTTTAAAACGATTTTATTTTATTTTTTAATATAAGATATATATAGAAAATTGCTTAAGTAATAATGCTTGAATTTTAATTTTTTTTTTAAAAATATAATTTTTAGAACTGTTGGAAGAACACATCTTCCTTTCTCCTTTATAGGACTATACCATGTAATTTTGTATTTCAACACTAAAGTTTAGGTGTGTAGTATTATAATATAATTTCAAAATAAAATGATGTAATAAGAGACAAAATTATATATTTATTTTTTATTTGAGTGATAAATATAATGTAAATAGTTAATTATTTTCTATTTTAAAAATATTTTATTATATGTGTGTCAATCTAAAGAAAATATTGCAAAATACTCTCTGTATTATTTAATAATTTATCAATTTTTTTTTGTTTTGGTATGTAATATTCATTTTCTTTTGTAGTAATTGTATACTATTTATCTAACATTACAAATATTCTTTCAATTTATAATATATTACACAAATATAATTAATTTTATATCATACAATACATTAGTTTAGTTTTTTTTTTTTAAAAAAAAAACAACGGATAATTGCAGGGAGTACATGAGAGAGTATTTTATTCTATTTTTATTTTTTCACAAACTATTATACAAAATACTACTATTCTTTAAATAAATTCTCAATCTCGAACAAAATCCAAGATATATCACACTTGGGCGTGTTTGCTTTATAGTTTGGAGTTTTAAACAGTAAAATTTTTAATTTAATATTTGAATATAAATTTGACTTTAATATAATATATATATATAAATATTTAGTGGATTTGTTTTGTAAAACCGCTTGAAAATATGTTTTTTTTTTTACATGAGGTATAGATAATTGTATAATTAACATATTATATTAATTTGTTTTAGAAAAATATATATGTTTGATATTTTTACAAAAAGAACACATAAAAAAATCTTGAAAAAAACCTTCTTATTCACATAACGTTTTTAACGGAATGAGTTTTCATAAATATTAGTATTTAAAAAATACAATATACACATATTAATATAATATATATTTTATTATTCTGTTAACAATTCAATGTGAATATTATTTTTTTATATTACCAACGCAATTTTATATACTAACATAAAAAAAAAATTACATTAATCGAAACACAAAATATTAATTTTAGTATGCATGAACTCTATAAACATTACAAATACTCATGTATTTATACTTACTTATTTACAAACATTCACATCAACTTTACACATCATAAAATAGTTTTTGTCTAATAAATTATCATAACAATCATTAAAATACAATATATATTAAATTCCCTAAAAAAAAACATATATTTCCCAAATGGACAAAAAGAATAATATTTATATTATATTAATATACATAATATGTTATATGTAATTATATTGTGTATTGGTTATAGACATAATACGTTATCAATACTGTTTTAGATTATAAAATTGGAAACAGTAACAACTGGCCTAAAATTTTTAATTACTCCCAAACCATGCCATGCAAAACAAACCCATGCACGTACCAAGATAGATTAATTAATATCCAATCCTTAAATATGTGAAGTAATGAAATCCAACCTTAACCTTGTCCATAAGACAAGAAATTCCGCCCCATCTCATCTCATCTATCATATACATCACAGCCAGCCAGCCAGCCAGCCAGCCGGCCTGCCGAAATATATACATACATATATCTATATATATTCGGATCATTTCATTGTCGTATGTATGTATGTATGTCTGTACGTGTATATACACTGCACATCTATCTACTATGACTATGAGCTTTGACGACGATCGATGATAATGGCGATTACTTCAACTCCCCTCCTCCACCTCTATCTGCAAACTCCATAAATTAAATCATTCTCCATTCCATCCTTAATTACCCTTACACTTACATATTCCCTCACCTCCACCTTCACCTATGTCGTCGTCCTCGTCTCACTCTCTGTCTCAGTCCCACCACCATTTCTCCACCTCAACCTCCTACCTATTACCCCCTCCCGCCGGCCCCTTCGCCGTCGACGACGACACCTCATGGCAGGCCCAATTGTCATGGCAGTTCGAGCCACAAGGCTGGCTCGACAATCACAATCTCGGTGCAGCTCTCAGTCCCTGGTCGGCAAGTTCAGCAACCTCTCAATCCGGCGTTCACAGCAGAATTTTCCGGCGATCCGCCAACGATTACTACCTCACACGCGCTTCCGCTTCCGCTTCCGCCTCCGCCGCCACCGCCGCTGCTGCTTCCCAAAGCTTCGGCGATTCTCACTATGAGGATTCTCAATCGGGAATTTTGCCGTCACGGCGGCGCCTGGAGCTCCAGAGTTTTGTTGCTCCTGCAGCTAAAACTGCAGGAAGTTCTGGTTACAATGGCCATGTCGCCGCCGACCAGAGTTCAGTCCGATTCCGACAACAAAATCAGGATCCACGGTGGCTGTCGGTGTCGCACGCTTATATGGAAGACAATGGTAGTGTCGATTCCGGAAGCATTACAGATACAAACCATGGTAATCATCACCATCATCATCATAGGGTTAGCAGAGGGCACGAGGCGTACAATGGTCATCTTGCCGATGATAGCCGTTGCTACAACAGCCACCATAGCTACTCTGGTGTTGATTCTCACCCGACACTTGTGGAAGTATTGGAAGAAGAAGATGAAGATGAAGCTGCCGCACCAAGGTCGGTCGGGCTATTCGGCTTGTTCAGATATTCGTCACCGTTGGATATAGTACTGATCATGTTTGGGTGTTTTGGAGCTTTCATCAATGGAGGTTCCCTCCCATGGTATTCCTTACTTTTCGGTGAATTCGTCAATCGCCTTGCCAGAGTACAAGATCTTGAAAAGCATCAGATGATGAAAGATGTAAACCAGGTACTCAATCGAATTTCAAACAATTTGGATATATCTTCTTAACCTGTCTTCTAAGTTCTAAGTTTGATAATGGCTTTCAGATATGTCTGCTTATGGCTGGATTGGCAGGAATTGTTATGGTGGGGGCTTACTTAGGTAAGAAACTTATTACACCTAAGTTTCCCTACCATTGAGTTTACTGAATTGCAGTGTTCTTCAACTGATGACAGAGATCACTTGCTGGAGAATGGTTGGCGAACGATCGGCACACAGGATAAGAACAGAGTATCTAAGAGCTGTTCTACGGCAGGACATAGGATTCTTCGACACACAAATAAGCACAAGCGATATCATGCACGGGATCTCCAGTGACATTGCTCAAATTCAAGAAGTCATGGCAGAGAAGATGGCACATTTTGTTCATCATATATTTACATTTATCTGTGGGTATGCCGTTGGTTTCCTCAAGTCATGGAGAGTGTCACTAGCCGTGTTTGCAGTGACTCCATTAACGATGCTCTGTGGCTTCGCCTATAAGGCCATATACGGCGGGTTAACTGCAAAAGAAGAGGTAAAAGAAATCACTCAATAGTTCTTTAAGCAAATATGTGTCCCTGTTGGTAACTGGTCTCTTTGTTTTATAAAGGGCTCTTATCGGAAAGCTGGGAGCCTCGCGGAACAAGCCATAAGTTCGATAAGAACTGTGATATCTTTTGTAGCAGAAGACACTTTAGTGGAGAAGTATGATGATTTTCTTGGACAATCAGTGCCTTTAGGAGCAAAGCTTGGCTTTGCCAAGGGAATAGGAATAGGTGTTATATATCTTGTTACATACGCGACGTGGGCGCTGGCTTTCTGGTATGGATCAATTTTAATTGCCAAGAAAGAGCTCACCGGTGGCGCTGCTATTGCCTGTTTCTTCGGTGTCAATGTCGGGGGCAGGTATACATCTTCTGTCTTTCCCATGAAGTATTAGCCAAGATTAGTCCTCATTGTTTCGATTACATGGTTTTCTCTACAGGGGATTGGCATTGGCACTGTCATATTTTGCACAGTTCTCACAGGGAACTGTGGCAGCAGGCCGAGTGTTCGAAGTAATTGACAGGATCCCAGTCATTGATCCCTACAATCTCGAGGGAAGAAAGCCTGCGACTATGAGTGGGGAGATCGAGTTTAGAGGTGTTTCTTTCGCATACCCGTCACGTCCAACTGTCCCCATCTTCCAATCCTTGAATCTAGTGATCCCAGCTGCCAAGACTCTGGCTTTAGTCGGTGCTAGCGGAGGGGGAAAGTCGACAGTTTTTGCGCTTATAGAAAGGTTCTATGATCCAAATCAGGGTAAGTTTACCAAGTTTTTTTACTAGAAGAAATTCCTGCTTGGAGGGACTAATGATTTATACAAATCCTGTTGTATCTTTGTGTCATCATCCTCAGGCTTCATCACTGTTGATGGTAATGATCTGAGAACACTGCAAGTGAAATGGCTTAGAAATCAGATTGGAATGGTTGGTCAAGAACCAGTTCTGTTTGGAACAAGTATACTCGAAAATGTGATGATGGGAAAGGAGAATGCATCCGAGAAAGAGGCAGTTGCAGCCTGCGTCGCAGCCAACGCTCACAGCTTCATCGCCGATCTCCCACTAGGATACGATACTGAGGTTAAGCTCGGCTTTTCCCATGTCATACTTCGAAAAACTTAAAACCATGTAATAATATTGGAGATTACTTGCAGGTTGGGGATCGCGGGACTCAGCTTTCCGGAGGCCAAAAACAGCGTATAGCGCTAGCTCGTGCTATGATCAAAGATCCCAAGATCCTCCTTTTGGACGAGGCGACAAGCGCCTTAGATCCGGAGTCTGAAGTTGTGGTTCAAAAGGCCATTGATAAAATCTCTGTGGGCAGAACCACTGTGATCATTGCTCACAGGCTAGCAACAGTCAGAAATGCTCACATGATCGTCGTGCTTGATCGTGGCTCGGTTGTAGAAACTGGTAGCCATGAGCAGCTCATGGAGGAAGCTGGTGCCTACTTTGATCTTGTCAAGCTGGCCTCTGAAGGGATCTCACAGCCTCAGCTCCATCGCGTCGATAATAGCCATAGGAACTTCTACTCAACCGATGAATCTTCATGGGAAATGTCGAGGCTGCAACAAATGTATGACATATCAAGATCCAAAGAAGAAAGCATTGAGATGGAGGAGAAACCAAAGGATCAAACAAAGTCGGGAGAATACAAACTTATGGATGTTTTGAGACTGCAGAGACCAGAACTCGGTTTACTGATGCTTGGCCTTCTCTTAGGCATAGCTGCCGGCGCAATTTTCTCAGTCTTTCCCTTAGTCCTCGGCGAAGGTCTTAAAGTCTATTTTTTCAAAAACTTGCATAAATTGAAGCAGGATGTTGGATACCTCTGCTTGGTACTTATAGGACTCGGAGTCGGCTGCATAATATCGATGACAGGCCAGCAAGGCTTCTGTGGTTTGGCGGGGACAAAACTCACTAAACGTGTTCGACATTTGTTATTCGGAGCTATACTGAGACAAGAGCCTGGCTGGTTTGATTCAAGTGAGAATTCCACCGGTATCCTCGTGTCAAGGCTGTCGGTTGACTGTGTAACCTTCCGATCAGTTCTTGGCGATCGTCTATCCGTCCTGCTCATGGGAGTGAGCGCAGCAGCAGTTGGATTAGCCGTTTCATTTTACCTGCAATGGAGGCTAACTTTGGTGGCTGCTGCTGTTACACCATTCACAGTCGGGGCTAGTTATCTCAACCTCATCATCAACATCGGGCCAAAGTTGGATAACAGCTCGTTCGCCAGGGCCAGCAGCATAGCTGCAGGGGCGGTATCCAGTGTAAGAACTGTTGCCACATTCGGTACGCAGGAGAGCATTGTCCAATCCTTTGATCAAGCTCTAGCGGAGCCTCAAAGAACATCGATGCAGAAGTCGCAACTTCTTGGATTGGTATTAGGCTTTTCTCAAGGAGCCATGTATGGAGCTTACACTTTAACTCTCTATTTCGGCGCTGTTCTTGTCAAAGAACAGCACACAGACTTTGGAACCGTGTACAAGATTTTCTTGATACTTGTCCTCAGCTCATTCTCTGTTGGACAGTTGGCTGGCCTTGCTCCGGACACTTCAATGGCAGTTTCTGCTATACCTGCAGTGTTCGACATTCTACACCGGCAGCCATTAATAGGGAGTGATGATGAGCAAGGCAGGAAGCTCGACACTGCGAATCCAGCAGATGTTGAGTTCAAGAATGTAACATTCGCATATCCATCCAGGTCAAATGTGTTTGTTTTGAATAACTTCAGCCTCAGGATTGAATCCGGGACGATGTTGGCCTTAGTAGGAGGCAGTGGATCAGGAAAATCGACAGTCATATGGCTAATCCAAAGGTTCTATGATCCTACAAGAGGAAATGTACTAATGGAAGGGGTTGATTTGAGAGACCTCGACTTGAAATGGTTGCGACGACAGATAGCTTTAGTCGGCCAAGAGCCGTCCCTCTTCGCCGGCAGCATCAGAGAAAACATTGCATTTGGCGATCCTCGCGCCACATGGGCCGAGGTCGAGGCAGCTGCAAAAGATGCATATATTCATAAGTTCATCTGCAGCCTCCCTCAAGGATATGAAACTGAGGTAACAACTCTGTAATCTTACTTCTATATATATATATATATCAAACTGTTAAATAATCATCTAATCTAAAAGCTTAAATGTAGGTTGGGGAGAGTGGTGTGCAGCTTTCAGGAGGTCAGAAGCAGAGGATCGCCATAGCTCGAGCGATTCTGAAGAAGTCGAAAGTGCTTCTCCTTGACGAAGCTAGCAGTGCGTTGGACTTGGAGTCGGAAAAGCATATCCAGAATGCACTCAGAAAGGCCTCGAGACAGGCCACCTCCATAGTTGTGGCTCACCGCCTGTCCACCATTAGAGAGGCCGACTTCATCGCCGTCATGAAGGACGGCGGCTTGGCGGAGTACGGCGACCACGACACGCTCATGGATGCACACCTTGGTGGCATTTACTCCAACTTGGTTCGTGCAGAGACAGAAGCAATGGCCTTTGCTTGATGATCAAATGTTATTGTAGTATAACATTCATGGTGCAGTTCTGTGTTGTTTGTAATCTGCAAATTTGAACATTGATTTACAGAGGAGGAAAGATATAAGAGTTCATTTTGTATGGCACAAAGGTTGGAAATGAGAACAGAGTTGTTATTCTGATATTTATTTAATTAATTTAATATTTACGTTTTTTTGAGAAGGAATAGAAATAAATAAATAAATAGGAGTGACGCAATACAGCCAATAAATGCGTTCGGCAGCTGCCTATCTATGTATGGTTTCAGTCAAAACTCTCTCCATTTTCGTTTGCCCCAAATCTAAAGCGTCGTGATTTCCGATTCTTATCTTGATTCTTGTTCAGATCGTTTGAGTTTCAGGCTTGGAATTCGCCGCCTAATCGAGGATCGGGAAATTCAGGCAGTACGAGAAGCGGGGCTCACATACGAATGCCCTAGGTATCTGGTTTACGGCGTGTTTGTTCGTTTGTGTTTCTCCATTTCTGATTCGAGGGGAAATTTTGGTGCTTTGTTTTGCTTTTGTGCGGGATCAGCTTCCTAGATGGTTGAAACTGGTTGTCAGTTTGGTTTGTGTGATTTTTTGGTGGATTCGAGCTGAATTGATGTATCCTATACGAGAGTAGTTTTCATTTTCATTTTCATTTTCATTTTTTTTAAATAGCTAACTAGTCTCTGTGATTGGGTATTTCCTGTTATTATCGATCTCCTCCCAGAATCTAGGTTATGGAACTAGGAGAGAAAGGATAATTAAATGAACATCGATGCACCTGCACGAGCATTTCCCTTGGAACTCTTATTTTGACGACAAGTAATCATGTTCTGGCATTTTGCCATTTCTGGGACTCTGAATTGCGTACTCTCATGAAGATTCAAGTTTGTACACAGGATTCTAATTAACGCTGAGCCATTTGCTTCCACTCAAAGATGAACAACAGAATCAGAAAATGATTGCTTGATCTTCTAACTTCTACTCAGTTATTGCCATTGTAGTACCTGATCTATTTTGAATCTTAGGGGCCTTTTGGTGTTGCTCGTATTCAAGCCGGATGTGTTGCCCTTCTGTCTTGATTCACATGTTTTCTGAGATAAATCAAGGGAGATTTTCCTAAACACACAACTCTTACTTTGTCAATAGGGATAATGTTTTCAGATGATGTGGTGAAACTATTGATTAATTGTTTCATTGGCGATTGAATTATGCATGCTTAATAATTCTGTGCTGTTAAATAGGTATACTACATGTTTCTTTTCCATTCCATCATTGCAAGATGTTTGTGCTCTTGATCATCAAACAGGAAACAAATCATCTCTTCTGGTTATTACTAATTCTGTATATGTTCTCTCCTCGTGCTAGGTTAATAAATGTAATTAGAAGAGATTATCTGTTCCATGCAGCTTGACATCTGACAGCAACGAACTATTTGTTATCTTCTAATTAGAAGTGATTACATATTTACACTTACATCTTGAGCTTCAAGTTTTTCTGTTCTCTTCTAACCTGTATTATTTATATGTTCTCATAAACCCCTAGAAGGTTTACATTGATGCTAAAGATTGGCAACAACGTAGAATGTATATATGATTACAACTAGGCAAATTAAAAGCTGAGTTATACTAATAATAAGCTAGGATACTGAATACTGAGTCAACCCTAAAGTAATCATTTCCATTTTTCCTCATTATGATTACACTATTTGTTTTAGGGCTTGTTAACTTTCAGATCAATGTTAGCTTTTTTGGGGTGTATATGAGGATGTTGCCTTGATATAAGGATCAGTTTTAGTTCTCTCTGCAATATTATTAAATGTGTAAATGGAGGCTATAAATTTGCATTAGATAAAAAGTTCAGATGTTTCTTTATGACTAATAATTCTTAGTGAATATATGCAGGTGTGAGCTCGTGAAATAAAGATGGTAAAATTGACCATGTTAGCTAGGGTCATTGATGGCCTTCCTCTAGCAGAGGGATTGGATGATGGTCGTGATGTCCAAGATTCTGACTTTTACAAACAGCAAGTAAAGTCGTTATTCAAAAACCTTTCAAGGGGCCAGAATGCACCTTCAAGAATGTCTGTAGAAACAGGGCCCTATGTATTCCAGTATCCTTTTTCGTGTTTCTAAGTTTTTTTCTTGATTTTCTACATGTATGGAAAATGGAAATTTACACCAAGGCACTGATTACCTGCAATGAATTTTGTACAAGTGACTCCTAGATGTCTTTATATTCTTCTTTGTAAATAGAAATAAGAAAATAATTCTGTAGTTTCCAGAGCTCCATGAATTTTGTCGCTTCTTTCAATGGTTGGAAAGATAATGCACTTTTTGGCTTCTGGCTAATTTTCGCATGATATTCTATCATTTAAAGCACTCTTCTGTCCCATATTGTGGTTATTAATCACATCTCAAAGCTCTTTTGCTTCATAGTAAGGTTTGAGAGACACTGAGCAAGCCTTCGGTCATCAGCAATCTGCATGCCTTCAAAATTCAACTGAACTTTGTACTACTGTTATTTTCCTTACTCCTCACTGTTGGCTGCAACCTTAACTTGGCTGTGTAGTTATATTATTGAAGGGAGTGTTTGCTACTTGACAATGTGTGATCGGGCTTATCCGAAGAAGCTTGCATATCAATATCTAGAAGACCTGAAAAATGAATTCGAGCGTGCATATGGAAATCAGATCGAAACTGCTGCAAGACCTTACGCTTTCATCAAATTTGGCAAGTTCATTTACTTTTATGACCTTAACAGAATTTTTGTTTTGTCTTCTTAAATGTTTGTGCTACCCGTTTATCTGACTACCTGTTTTATTTGCATTGTTCAGATACGTTCATACAAAAGACAAAGAAGTTGTACCAGGATACAAGAACTCAACGGAATATTAACAAGTTAAATGATGAGTTGTATGAAGTTCATCAAATAATGACTCGCAACGTGCAAGAAGTTCTTGGTGTTGGTGAAAAATTGGACCGTAAGTTGTTTATCTTCAAATTTTTCTTGCAGCTTTATGCAACATGATATTTATAGGTAAATTACACCTGTCGTTTCCAGTTGCTTTTACTTGATGAAGTTCATTCTCCTTGGAGTCCCAATTCAATGCTGAATATTCTGTGTCATTTTTGCATTTGGCGACTGTTATTATTATATTTTTTATTAAAAAAAAATAATTTCTTGGTCTTTTTGCTTATGTGATCACTACATAATTCTAAATCAACCATTTGCAGAGGTCAGCCAGATGTCCAGTCGACTGACGTCAGAATCTCGCATATATGCAGAGAAGGCAAAAGATTTGAACCGCCAGGTTAGTAAAATTGTTTTTGTTTCCAGTATTCAGTTTACTGATTGACTTTGTAAGGGCTCTTTTAAGGCGAGAACTTGGCAGAACATCCTTGCATTTAGCTGGCACATAGAAGTTCTTTTACCATAGTTCTGTTTCAAACCTACACTAATAATATTCTTCAAATGGAACAACAAAATTCTATTTTGATTCTTTCCTCTCTGGTACTCAAAACCTCATATTACCCATTTGAGATTCTATTGTGTTTTCGAACTTCACGTCTTTGAGTATCTGTTTTTGAAAAAACCTAGACGATAGATAGCTGATTCTATCTGCTGCAAACTAATTATTTCTACAATAGCTCCTTCCACTACTTCAGTTTGATGTATTTTCTGAAGAAGATTGACAAACACAAATACTCTGACAAAGGTAACTGGTCCATTGTAGGCTTTGATTCGCAAATGGGCCCCTGTAGCTGTGGTTCTGGGAGTTGTATTTCTTGTTTTCTGGCTTAGAAGGAAGTTTTGGTGATGCTGCTTCAGCTCGACTCAGCAGTTTCCCGGTTCTCAATTGCATTCACCTTCGATTTATGAGTATAACTATCACAATGACTAGTGTATTTTTGACAATGCAAAGATGTTGGAAAGTGAGGAGGTTATTGGATTTAAGAGACTATTGGTATCTCCATGATCTTATTATACACATGTTTACTTTCTTATATACTCTTTAATATAGTTGATACTATAAAAACACATTGTGTTGAACGTGTTTAAGAACAATGATCGATCTACCCTTGAATTGTTTATCTATTATTATTTTGGGGACTGTATATATAGCCTGAAAATTCAACTCTGCTTGCCAATGCTGAATATAAGCAAACTAAAATGTAGAAAATGCAATTTCGAAGCTACTACTTGTAAAATCATCTAATTATTTTGTTTGCAAACTTGTGATGAAATGTTGTAAGTGATTTATCCATCCCTCTTTTGCCAATTTGATAACAAATTACCAGCAGTTGGATTTTAGAGGGGCCAATCAATTTGGGGTGAAAACCAATCTTAAGACTTGCTATATTAATAGTGATTATATATTTTGAATTATATATTTTTTTCGTCCTTGAATTTATTTACATTCTATTTATAATAAAATACTATCTATTTACAATTGTATTATTATAATAATATCATTATTTTCTTTGTCCTAGAGAGTTCTTTGAGTACATATATTATTTAAGTGTTAAATTTGGAAGTAGACTGTGCAACGGTCACTTGCCTAAACCCTAATAAAAAAATATCCACATTATTTTCAAATTTTGTATTGGCTCAAAACACTACCTGTATATATAATACATGAATCGAATTCAACGGTAAGTTGTAAAAAAACGCTTCAAACAAAGATATCAGTCGAGATCTTTCTCTCTCTCGAATGCAACGATGAGTTCATCCGAATCAGAAATCGTGGATGTAGACTCCGATGATTCACAAGAAGATCCTACCTTCCGCCTTCCTTCAAACCCGAAAATAATGTCAAGGTGAGTGGTAATTTACTTTTCAATCTATACGACCTGTTTGTGTGCCGATTTTCTGTATCTCCAAGATTAGTGTGTTTCTTTTGATTTGATTTGTGAGGTATAAAGAGTATGCGGCAGACAGCGCCTCTAAGTTCGACGATGTTTAATACGCATAAAAGAATCGATTTCTTCAGTTCTATTTAATTATGAGACATTCGTAAACAGGAAGGTTTAATTATCATTCTTATGCGGAATTTAATTGCTGTCTCTAACTTTTTTTCCTTTTCAGCATCATCAATGTCGATTCCACTTCTGAAGATGAAGACGACATTTCTGACGTGGTTGAAGTGCCTGCTATACCAGAGCTTGACGAGGAGGGCAAAAAAAAATATGAATCTATCAAGAGCATCATTGATGGTTAATTTACTATTTTATTGTGCAATGACTTTCTTTTGGTTTGTGTGTTTGTGGTGGTTATGTTTGCAATTTTTCATGTACTTACTATGTTATGTTATTTATTTAAATTTTTTGCGGGTAGCTGGTAAGGTGGAGAACTTAAAACTAGACGAATGCAAGATATATCTAAGGAAACATGGATTGAGATTGACCGGTAAGAAAGATGTACTGATTCAGAGGATAAAGGAACACATAAGGTAATACTCCATTCACTTGTTTGTTCTGGTTACAATGCACATAGTCTATTTGAATTAATTTCTTCACGACACTTTGTATTACAGCATAATGGATGAAGGCGGGCAACAACGCTACCCTCTTTCTAGTTTTGTGCTGAACTGTAAAGGTAGTTTCTGTATACTTTTATGCATTTTTGAAGTGATGGTTCCATCTCTAAATACTTCAAGAGGTATTGTTGGTCGTCGGTAAACTTGATTTATGTTTTGTGACTGCGATCTCAATTCTCTACTCCTGCAATCCTCTAGGAAAGTGCAATTTTTTATTCCTAGTATATCTAATGAGTCTCTAGTGTTGATTTACTCAGGGACTGTGAGTAATTGGGAAGTACTCTTCTTATGATCTAGACCACAGGAAAAAATTACCAAACTAAAATTGGGAAAGTTGACAAAAGTTGTAATTGATCTGCAAACATAAAATCTAGAGATGTCGAGGATAGGAATGAGTCTGAAATGACCTGGAATTATTTCAATGTACTGACTGGACCGTGAGAATTTCTAAGTAATGTAAAAATCTATCTCAAGTTTATGAACACTTAACATGCCACTAATTGCAGTAGATCTCAAAATCTCTCTCGTTTAGGTTTGATCCTATACAGAATATGTCAAAAGGGTGCCTGATCTTGATTTGATAATAATTTGTTCTTATTACTTTTCCATCGTCCATGTTTCATTTGAACTATTAAATAATGCAGGTGATGCTTGCGTAGGAGATACGGTCATGTTCGTCCAGAAAGTTAATGAAGTGTAAGTCTAAGCTCCTTGGAATAACATTAGCTAATGAACTTGAATATAAATGTTTTATGATTAAACACTATTGGAGGGGATTTGACCCTGGATCCCTAGTAAATGAAAATATTCAGTACTGCTTTAAGTCTCAGTTTGGTGTTGATTCTGACTGGTAAATGAAACTACAAACTGATGAAAACAAATTGGCATTTCTAAACTTTTGACATCTCACCTGGTTTATTGTTGCATCATGTAGTGGCAAATGCCCTGGTGAAGTGAGGCTTATTGTAGGGCGGATTGTGAAGGAGAGCTATGGAGCTGCGAAGCAGCAGCATACGTTTACGGTGAGCAAAAAACACTTAGTTTGGTTGCACGAGATGGATTATTATTCTTATATGTTTCTCATGTTTCAAGTAGGCTCGGTTAATTAATCAAGATAATATATATGGAGCACCAAATGACTTGTTCTTTTATGGCTCAAGATAAAATGATCACAACAGGTTATCTCTACATTAGGAGAATCCGAAAAACTAGATATTCAGGGTCAATTAAAGCAATTTCACATCATTCTTCCTCCACTTTATCCACTAGTCTCCGTTTTTTCAGATCTGAGTTATTATGAACTTAGATTGAGTTTGGAATGACATTAACATTTTTTACATGATCGGAGCAGATTGAAGTACTGTGGAGCAAGGGGAAGAAACCATTGCCTCCGCTTCACCCATTACTTATCAAAGGTCGAAATCTGTACAAATTGAAAACAATGAGACAGGTGTGCATCCACACATGTTTTTGTCACCTAAATCTCTATTTATCACATAATGATCCTCTTCCTGTGCCTGTGATTCAGAAATGGGATGACGAAGGAGAAAGACTGAAGATCTTGTCCGAAAAGCATGCTCGAGGTAATGCTGCTCGAATGAAAAGAGACATCCGCATAAGACAGAAAGAAATGAGAAACATCTGCCGGCAAACTAGGTAATAAAATCTACAAAATTAACATTTCCTACCTCCAAAAATGACATGAGTTGGTTCAACCTTAAACTTATTATTCTACGTAGAAATATGCATATCAGGGAATCAAGGAACGAACACCCAACAAATACTCGGCCAGAGCAAGACTACATGCAGAGAACAAATCAACAACCGAGAACGCGTGAAGCAAATGAGCCAAGAATTGTACCGCCGCCCACAGTACCACCACCTTACCACAGGCGGCAACCTCTAGCCGACACAGATTGCAACTTCCGAAGGGATCATCATGGAAGAAATCACGAAGGACAGCCACATCTGAACTACCATTCTTCATCAAGCACTATTGCATACCAGCCGAGTACTTGCAAAGAAAACACGAGTTATTCAATGAGGACAGCAATGCAAGAAATTAGTCATCCAATCTACGTACAGTCGCTGCCACCGCCAAATCATGCTGCTTATCCTGACCCAGCAATATGCCGGTACTACAAGCAAGGGAGATGCTACTACGGAGACCGGTGTAAGTATGTGCATAAATAACCCTCTCATTCATGTAAAGGAACGACGAGAAGAATTAAACTGTGTTGTCTAGTCTAAGTCCTCCATTTACTGGAGCAATAGTGTCATGCATAGACACTATAATAGCTTACATATTTTAATCCATGGCAGTGTTATGAAACGGATCATTTTGAATGAAATTCGTATAACGGAAATGGAGTTTGTAAACTCAGAAGTGTTTCTCATTTCTCATATTGTCTTCCTGAATAAATAGCACTGGCTTCAACAGTTGTATACATATAAGGAACACTCTTCAGGTAAATACTAAGGACAGACCTATGCAAGCAAACTAGTAGTAGTCGACAACAGATTAAATGTTCGCTCCCGAGCAAGCAGGGCTTTCTTTCCTCGTGTAGAAAATGTTTAAAGAAGAACAACTCCAAGGATGATGATCAAATCAAATGACTATCGGAAAGAAAGTTCAGATACTAAGCATTATTAACAGAGTTACTTTTATTTGCTCCTTGCAGCTCCATAGGAGAATTAGTGATGCTACTGACTGATCCCATTGTCTGCGAACTGAGCTGGGGGCTTGCCGGACAGGCTTCTGGATTAGCAGCAGCCATTGGATGAATAGCACCGGAACTTAGTTGGGGGCTCATCGGAGTTCTCTGGCTCATCTGCTGTGGACTTGCTTGCTGTTGTTGTGACAGTTGCTGAGACTGCTGCTGCTGCTGAGGTTGATTCATTTGATGGGGCATTCCCATGCTTGCCGGAGAACTGACTTGTTGAGGTGAAACTACAGCTTGTAATGGTGATGTCGTTTCTTGCTGCTGTTGTAGCTGCTGTTGCTGTAGTTGCTGCTGCTGCTGCTGTTGCAGCTGCATTTGTTGCTGTTGTTGCTGCTGCTGCGGCTGAAGTTGTTGCTGCTGCTGTGTCTGAAGTTGTTGCTGCTGCTGCTGGTTCATGTAAAGATTCATTCCAGGCATCATTTTGGGAGGACCCATCTGGCCCATTGCCGTTCGCTGCATCTGGTTGAGATTGGCTCGGTTAAGAGCAGGGTTGAGCATCGAAAGATTAGGAGATCCCGGGTGCATCTGTCGAGCTCCCGGCATGCCTCCAATCCCAGATTGAGAGTTCCCCAGGATATTTGATCTGCTTGCCATCTTCATCTTCATGAAAGCAGCTTGTGCTGGTGTGAGTCCCGGGGGCCGAATGGAATTGCCGAGATTTGAAGCCGTGTTCAACATGGGATTTTGATTCAGGTTCCCCATGCTTGTGATAGGCCCCATCGGCGCAGAAATACCGGCTCCAGCAACACCTCTAGCACCCCCCATTCCCATGACACTTCCCAAGCCATCGAGCCCTACCATATTATTGCTCATATTGCCCATGCCGACAGATCCGAGCCCGGTCATCATTTTTCTCTGAATCGCCGCTGGTTGCTGCTGCTGCGTCTGCTGTTGTTGCTGGAATGATTGCGACTGCTGCTGTTGTTGCATCATCTGGATCTGGAGAGGACTAAGTTTGTTTGCCATGTGAGGTCCCAACGGCATATTTGCACTCTGTGTCATACTGCTCAGGTGTTGCATTGAATTCGCCGGTAGCCCCATAGAAGATCTCTGAAACTGCTGCTGCTGATGATGTAGAGACGAGAGTGCTTCGGGCTGCTGAGGTCTAGCCTGCATTGAAATCCCGGGCAAGTGCCCTTGAGACATCTGCATTGCCTGAATACTTCCCGGAGGTAGCATCCGTTGGCCTTGAATGTTCTGTGCCGTGTTCATAGGCGCATTGCCATTGACACCCGGCTTAGCCATTTCGCTGGACTGTTGATTAGAAGATCCTTCAGAATATTGATGCATTTCAGGACCTGAGGGGATTCCTTGAACATTAACTTGGCCAACAGTGGTAGTATTCATCCGAACTGGTTTTGGTTGGACATGATCTTCCACGCTGTATCCTTCACGTTCCATCTGAAGTGGTGTATCTTACTATTAAATAAATGTCGTCGCCAACAGAATTAAGTGTTTTCAATGATTTAACATGAAAATGAGAACATACCAGTGTGCGGAACTGTGCTGCAAGTAGGTCGGCTGTGTGCTGCAGGAGTCGAGAGTCACAAAGTAAGCAACGTTGACAAGAGCAGACAACATAGATGTATATATAATAGAAGGGAAAAGAGGTCGTGCATATAATGATGATGGTGAAATTAAGCAAAAAGAATTGTTTCTTAATTATTGAAGGACGAGAACAAGAAGAATCTACCTCAATTATTTCATAGATCAGTAAAGAGAAGCAAGCGAGCAAGAAAACTCACAGTATTTGGCAATGTCGGAAGGTAATCCTCTACGGCCAAATATTCAGCATTCTCTATTTCTCCAATATGAAATGCAACAGAACCGTCGTTTGGCTTCTCCGACATGATCATCCTTGTTCTTGCCTTGGTTACATACTGAAGGCTATTACCTGGCAGATAAGATTACAAGTAATGAGGATAGACAAAATTTACATCAGGTGATGTCATCCAAAGCATATGATGTCAACACACCTTGAATAATATGCTCAGACTGAACGAAGTTCATGATTCTCGTCCGGTTTGCATTCACATTGCCACCTATCAGGGATTTCGACAGAGGCATCTTACATGGTTCCTCTTTCAACTCGTCATTGTTTGAATCAACAGAGAGAAGAGCAGCTACAGCTTGAGTAGAAAATGAGTTTGGCTGCTTCCTGATGGGATACTCCTCTACTTTATTCTTTCGGTTGTTGAGTTGACACCTGAAACAGATAATGTAAAACTGATGAATAAAGAGGTGAATTATGTATGTTCAAACAAGAAGCCGTTTCGGGTAACTCGATGAAAGAATCTTTTTCATCACTTAATACTAATGAATGGGAGTGATTAAATGTTTTTGAGGATGGAATTTGAAAATTAAAATACTGAAGTTGCATGGATTGATGGAAATACCTCATAGCCACAATTTCAATTTTTGAGAATCGCTCAAGAATGGATTGGTCACCCGATGATTGAGTACCGACAGGAGGGCTGCTTGCATTTATTGGTAGGCTTATATTGCTACCACTTGGGGAACCAACTCCACTAATCGATGGTGTTTTAGGAAGAGAGCTCATTCTGCGCTTTGCAGCCGCCTGTGCCTGATTTTGACGCTGCATGGAATCATTCGCATTTGAAGGGAAAGAGGGATTGCCGCCAATGCCAGCAGAAGCAACAGATGTTACAGTTGTAGATTTCTCCTTTTGAGACGATACAAGTCCACTAACAGCTCCAAACTGAGGTCCCACAGAACCACTAGAAAACTCTCCAGATTTTGATGACAGGGGAGACTGAGGCAAACCTCCGGCAGATATTCGAGGGCTTTGAGCTAGTTTTCTCTTCTGGAATGAATCCTCCTTTCTAGCATTATTATCAAGAGGTTGGCCAAGATTATTCCAAGGTGATTGGGGGAAACTCGATCTCATCAATTGTTGCTGCATTCTTTGCTGCAATCGGGACTGAGGATCCATATTGGCTAGTTCCGCTTCTCCCATTGTCATACGATTAAACTCTGGTTTGTCCAATCTCTCTGTCTCGACTGGTTCTTCCTTTAAGTTGTATCTTATCCCTTGTTGTCCAACAGAGAATGGCATCTGTGCCCCGTCCTGGTTTAAACCTCCTTCAAACATCTGCTGTGAAAATTTTTGTACGGTGTTATTACCGTATGGAATCCCTCTTCCCATTGATTGCTGCTGCTGCTGCTGCTGCTGCATTAATGTGTTCTTCCAGTTCATATCAGATCCATGTAAGTTGTCCATTTGTTGTCCGAAATGTTGAAGATTCCCATCTGTACTAGCATGTGTGAGCCTAGCCTTCTTGTTGGTAAGAGGAGACGACTGCCCGTCTTGACTCTCTCTCTTGCCATGAATAGAAGAAGCACCATTATCAGTAAATGGAATCATCATATCCTGTCCACCAGGAGATGCAACAGATGCATTTGCAAGAGCTCCCGATCGCTGTTCCTTCATCATCTTTGGGCTTCCAACCCCAAGTTGATATCTAGATTGGTGAGAAACCAGAGATGGCTGCAAAAGAGAGCCATCCGATCCAATGCTGTTGCTCCTCATTTGATGCATATTGTTTGAAACATTATTTTGAAGGTTAAAATTCTCGAAGGCCGGTTGTTGCCCCAATGATACCGAATCTCCCAACCTTGAGGTTTCTGGAACCCTATCAAGAAAAACCTTTTTCCCGTTGATATTATGTGAAGAAGCAGCAACATCTGGAATTGCCCTCAACCTTTTTCTCCGCATGGTACTCAGAGATAAATTTAGCTAGGCAATAGAAACAAAATAAACGTCACATGAAGAAATACCATACCAATAGCGAAAACAACGAAGTTTCTTAAACAAACCTTAGTGGAGCTAGGAGTGTCGCAGAGTTTGTCCAGATGTGGGGTTGGATCAAGGGAAAGATCTGGTTTTAAGGCCTTCAAAATGCTGGACTCCACTTCCTTCATACAGAGATATATAATCTCGGGTAAGAAAGAATATTTTTTTTAACGGCTAGATTCATGCAAGAGGACCACTTACCATTAAATCACCATATGTCCAACCACTTTCTGAAATAGCTGGAATATCTTTCACTATGTTTTCCAAGGACATTCTAAGAGTTACTTTGTTAATAATGGGTGAAGTGTCCCCAGAAACAGCATTAGGTCCCTCAGAAAAGCACTTCCGATAATCCCGAACCTGTAATGTGAATTTTGTAAAAACCAGACATCATAAGGTTTATCTTTTCATTTCAACTGCCAAGATGTACAATAAAGAAGAGAAGGCATTGTATAATCAGAAATTGTCAATATAACTCTTGACATCAGGATACTGATTTCCAAAACCTCGAGCAGATATATATGGAAATGTATTAATAATAAAGAAAAGAAGAAACTTCAAGATTCAATTAAGATACAGATTCAATGAATGCCGGCAGAGTGTCGATTCGTCATTAAATTTATAGGTCAATTGCTCGTGCTTTTTTACGCTTTGCTCAGTGGTTTTCCAAGAAATTTTGACAAGACATAAACTCAAGTATTCCAGGCTAAACATCAGAATCTCACCTCACAAAGAACTGTTCCATCAGCAAATTTGCAGGGCAAATCATTCAAAATATCTCCGGGCAGTCTTCGCAACTCAATTGCCTTCCAATGAATAAAGAAATTTATAAGATAATCTAATCAACACTGAAATTTATAAGATAATCTAATCAACACTGAAATTTATATGGAAAGTCAAAGGATATCACAAGCACCAACATGAACCTAGAAGATGAATAAAAGGCTGTTGGTTGCGCACAAAAAAAAAAAAATTGCTACTAAATACAAACATCAGCCATCATTCCAACTACAGCTACACTACTCTGTAAAGTCCCTTTTTACCAAAATATAATTCTCATCATTCACCGCCAATAGTCTAAGAGCAGCTTGCTATGTGACACACTCGATTCATTGTTGCAGATTATTTACCAAGAAAAACTATGACATGCAATTAACTATAGAGAGCAACATAAAGAAAAAACTAATTAACTGTAATTAAAAAAAAAAAAGAAAAAAAAAAAGAAGAGGTTAATTATACAATAGAGACGAACATACAAATAACTGCGCAAAAGTATTGAGGAGTAAATAGAAAGTCCTCTAACATAAATTACCGAATCCAGTAATGAGGATAAAAGAACAGGTTAGCAAACGGGTTAAGACAAAAAATCAGAATGGAGACCAATCAACTTGCGAGTTAAATTTTTAAACATGGTATTGTGACACAAATACAAACATCATTGTTTCAACACAAGTTCGACCACAAGAAGGGGAAAATAAAGCATAAAGTATGAAGTGCACAAAATTCACACTGAAATTATACAAACTGTAACACCTACAGAGAATAGAGGCTCAGATGCTCTGTCATATGGATGCAAAAGTTTTGGAACGTCAATGGAAGCCTGGTGGCCTGGTTCATTCTGGAAAATCCATATAACACAAAGTTAGAGGAAACTCCTAAATTTAAAACCTTCCCAAGAAACAGTAACAGATTTTTACTATCTTTCCATCGACTTGAAAGTTGATGCGAAACAAACCTCCGCAGGCTTTGCAATTGAATATCCATCCGGATAAAGGCTTAGAGTGAACGAAACTTCATTAGCTGCAAAGATAAAGAGGAGGCACAAATTACTTCAAACAAAAAGGAAGTGCTAACAGTACCTTCCTTACCCATCAAAATACTTAAAGAGAATTATGTGCAAATTAATTCTTGTCCACATAGTCAATGGAAAGTCTATTTACCAGGGATCTTTTCAACTCCTTTATCTTGAAGAAGCTTGTCCTGAACAATGAGCGATTACCCGTATAAGAAAAATTAAAATTGAAGGGAAAAAAAAATGACTTCGATTTAACAAGATAAAGCAATAATCACTAAAATCAAAGAGCAATAAAAACAACTCAACTGCATTCCTACAACGCAATTTTTCAATATTAGGTATTTGCGTAATCGAATGAACACTCAAGCGCTCAAAGAAAAAAAATTGAGTGCAAAGAAAAGCCGTTCATCCAAAGCACGTAAAAACACCACATCCAAATCATTGAAGATAAATTTTTTTATCAAACCATGCGTCACAATCTTTCGATTCACATGAAAACAAAGTAAAATAATGTTAATAAAGAATCAAGCTTTATAATTCATGTACTGCAAATTTCCAAAATAAAAAATTACCAGTGTATCCTTAATGCGGCGATCCCGATTCGCATCACTGGACTTGCTGGAAGCCGCAATTACATCGCCGGCGGGCTGTTCCTCTACGGCGGGTGGTGGCGGTTTGGGATGAAATTTCCTACCAATCTTGGAAACCCTAAAGGAAACCCCCATAGCTTGGAGGATCTCTAGCGATCACCAATTCTGATTCTTGAATCGATTCCCAAAATCAGAAGCAATGCAGAGAGTACATGCCGATAGGGTAAAACCCGTCGGGGAGGGGATGGAGGAGAGGGAGAGTGACTTGGGTCAAGTTGTTCGTTTCATTATTCTCTCTCTATTTTCTCTGTTTTCTTTAGTTAAATACTGCAAGTAATATTGCGGTCAAATATCTGTAAATTAATAAAATTTTCATGGAACAATAATATTTTTTATAAATTAATATAATTGTTACAAATATTACTGTGCAATATTAATAAAAGTTAATAAAGAATATTAGTTGTTTTTTAATAATTAATTTTGATGTATGATGACTATGAACAATATGTGTAAATAGTTACATTTTGTGTCCAGAAAGTTTTACATTTGTGCTTAGCATCATAACAAAAAATTTACATGTGACGATAAAAATAAACAAGTGTTAATAATCATATGTTTGTATAAATGCATATAATTATTAATTGGTGATATTTAAATATTCTAAAAGTATGACAATAGCATATGGATTGTGCAATTGTGTTAAATAGAAAAAACCATAGGCAGTCACATTTTTTAATGCATACACAAGGACAAAATTGAAATTTAAGAACACCCCAAAAGAGTGTAAAACCAAACCAATCCAATCCATTCATGATATTGATACATAAATCTGATCGTGAATACCAAAAGGTAACAATAAACTAGAAGGAAGCCACTCACTTCTTCATTCCAACAAGAAAACAACACTCACATACATCATCATAATACTACTACTAGACCAACACAATACACCTCTCTCTCTCTCTCTCCATCTCTCTCACTCTCCAGCACAAATAGATAGATAGATAGATAGATAGATATATATATATTCAGCAGTGAAGGGCGAGCCTTCCCGGAAAAACCATAATGTTACAATAATAATCATAATACTATTTCTATTACTAATAAGTAGCAAAAAGAACAAATATAAGTAGGGACGGAGGGAGGGAGATCGACGGAGGTCTTACGGATAGTACATGAGCTGCTGTGCAGCAGCCATATTCTGGAAGCTACCATCGTACATGGCCGGGGCAGCGCCAGCACCGCCCATCCCCATAGATGCCTTGAGAGCGGCGGCACTATGCTGCCCTGGTGGGTGGTGCATCAGGGAATGCATGCCGGCCATTTTGCTCATTGCAAGTTGTCGCTCGTATGCCAAAAATTCTGCTGAAGAAAAACCTGTCAGGGAGGCAGGTACAGGTGCTGGTGCTGGTGCTGGTGCCGGGGGCGGGAGAGGGTTTGAGGCTGTTCCGGGTGGTGTTGGCTTGCTTCCCCATGAGCACTGTGGGCAGGTGGTGAGCAGAGCAAGTAAAGTTGATTTGAGTTGAGACAGAATGAATGATATGTTGTATGTAGATAGTAATAATTATTATCCATCAACACAAACCTTAATTGGTTTGCCACACAGGAATGGCTGTGCATTTCCCATTGAAATAGCCATGGCGGCGTCAGCATGGGTGCTGTATCTAACGAAACCAAACCCTTTGTCGCGCTGAACTCTCACTTCTTCGATTGATCCAATGCCAAATGAATGGAAGTGGCGGTGGAGGTGAACCTGGGTTACCTGGACGGACACCAACCCAAGACAAACGATTTAGATCAGGATCTGCGCATTATTCAAACAACATATATGGACAAAACCAGTAGAAGGGGGCTTCAATTTCTGCTCATTTATAGATTGGGGAAAACCATGTGCTGGGAGGCACCGTACAGAAATCAGTCAAACATTAATACACTAGTGCAATTTACACTGTTCGGTAATAAAAAAAAAGGTCAAAAACAAAAAACAAATTAATACAAAACTGTAATAGAGTACTCCAGAGAACATAACTTCAGGAAGCAAAAGAATGCAATGCAGAATAGAAATTGAACTTACCTCTGGGGCAAGATTGCCGACATAAACAGTGGTGTATTGAGGGTTGTTCTCAGGAGCATCACTACTTGCAGCCTCTTTAACTTCTTCTGTAAAAATGATTTTCAGTTATCACAATAGGCACATCCTACAGATAATAAATGTCTTTTTTCTATAAGACATCAACTTGGTGCTAAGGTATAGAAATTGAAATCCTCTTCTCATAAGAATCAAAACTATATTTATCTATGCAGCTTAAATCTTTCTCTGGGCTAAGATCATCAGTACTCTTAAAGATCGATCAAATATATATAATTCAACAGTCTAAGGACAAGATTCAAGACTTCAGCAATATTTTGAAGAGTAATAAAATACTAACCTGATGAGGAACCATTTGTAAGCTCAACAACACTTCTGGTCTCCGAATTTGGCTTTTCATCACCGGTTCCCGCACCTTTTGTTGCCCAGTTGCAACGAATCTGCCTACTGCCCAGCCATTTACCTGGGAAATAGTCATAATAAAGTCACGACACAATAAAACATATTTCAAACAGAATTAAGAAAACTGCACCCACCAGTTAAATCATTTATTGCACTTTGAGCATCCTGAAAAATCAATCAAGTGAATCCAATTTAAGTAAAGAAAAATGAAAGCTCTGAATTCAATTCAAGTCAACATTCACAAGGATATACCTGCTGGTTCCGGAAGGCAACAAACCCAAAACCCCTGGAACGGCCAGTCTTTTGATCCCACATAACCCTTGCATCACTGCAATCCATGGAGAATAATTTAACTAAAATCTACAAAAACCCAACATTTCTGAGACGCAACAACAGAAACAATTAATTACTCAGCATGAACATCAAGGTCACTAATTTCTTTTGTTCCTTGAGCCAAGATCCAAGAAATTGGTAATCCAGGTAAATGTGCACACACACACACATAGAAGACGGGGAGGGGGGAAGGGGAAGCTGGGTTGGGACAGGAGGGAGAGAGTGAGGAACTTACGAGCAACTAGGGTAAACAGAAAAGCATGCATACAGCATGGCATCAGTAACCTCTGGGCTGAGATCACCAACAAAAATGTTATAGTGACCTAATAAAGAGAATGAAGAAACCATGAGACAGAACACCAGTATAGGATGCTATAAGTATAGCAACGTATCTTACATGAATGCAAGTATGAGAACAACTTACCAGATGTATCCTCCCTCTGACCAGTTGTATATGCCCAATTAACTTTAATAGGCTGGCCAAACCTGAATACAAAAACATATTTACATATATATTATAAGTTCAGACTGAACTGTTGGAGGCATTGATAAATATATATGATCTATTGATGATGGCAAGTTCAAGTTTTTAGGCATGATAATCACTTAAAAAAGAATTAGTGAATAGTGTATAATCAAAATTAAGTTGTTCCTACTCACAGATGTCTTCCATTGAGGGTCATCATTGCAACCGTAGCTGATCTACGGTCAAAGTAATGGACAAATCCATATGATGACTGCACAGAACAAAAGCAGAAACATGAACACAGATAAACTACCATCAAGAGCTATATTCAAAGAAAGATACAATTGTGGATAAATATTTGTGTACAAAGAAATTTTAGAAGAACCAGACCTTTTCTTTCCTAATAAGTTTGCAGGACTCCACAGGACCAGTACTAGAAAAAACTTCCTGAATGAGTGGCTCAGTGACCTGTGTATGAACGTTCCCGACGTACCTTCATTTTCAAAAACATAGAAGGACCAGAAGGTTAAAAAGATAAGCAATGGATGGATTTAGGACATAACCAGTTTCATATAAGAGCAAATGGAAGAGAATTGATGAGGACCAAACACCAGCACATCACATATAGATAGGTTTTAAAGTATGTAACTTATAGAAAATGTTAAGTAGAATTGATTTACACAGATAATATAGTGCATTGACAACTACCCAGACAACAGGTGTCTACTGAAGATTTTAAAGACATGACTAGGCAACACAAGGAATAATGATCCTTTTATTCTAGAAAAAGACCAAAGAGTATGAAGAGAGAAAAAAGAAACACAAAATTGTCCAAATAAAACTCACACACTGCGGCATGTACTTGCATCAAACCCAGGAGGTAGATTTCCACTTGGAAATGGTTCAATCTGCAAAATGGAAGGCTAAAAATAAAAATAAAGAAAAATAAAATAAAAAATCCTACTTCATGTTTTCCTAGATCAATGCTAAAAAACCTAAAATACTGGATGAAAGAAGGGGGAGATCTAACCCACAAGCTACAGGAGTTGGTATACAATCAATCTAACCAGACAACCCCAAAATAATGCATGTAAAAACTAAAAAGCAAAGTGCATTTATAGAATAGAACTTATGGGAAAACTAGTATGTCATTTGAATAATGACAGTTAAAGACCCAAGAAGGTTTTGCCTTTTAAAACATAGCAAACACCAAAGCATTAATTAAATTTAAGCCTGTCAAACTCCATGCTAAACTTGAATTTTTCAAAATAACAATTTTACATAGTAACTAAAAATTTTCAAGATAACTGATATAATGGGTTCTATGTACAGGAAACCTTGCATGGTTTAAGTATGTTCATCTACATAAAGCTAGAGTAAATCCTGAATCTATCGTAGCGGTTACAGCACAACTATGTAGTTCAACTTGTACCCTATAATCACAGGCCTATTTCTTTCCAGTTTACAAGGTATGCTTCTTTCTTTGAAAAACTGGATACTGATAACCAACGGGCAGACATCAATATACTCATCCAGCTACTGTTCTTATTATGCGTACATGATGTACAGCCAGATCAACCAAACATAGAAGAAAAGTTGAAGCAAACATCCAATTTTCTCATTTCAACAAGCATAAAAATAATGCAAACAATCATGTTCTACAAAAGTATTATCACTGCAATGAGCACTCCCTCACATAAGATTCAAAAAGTAACCTGGCATACACCACTCAGGTCACCAACTTCTATTTTACCATTGTATCTAAAGACAACATCTTAGCGAACACTAGAATGCACTAAATTTCCTGGAATCTAAAGTAAAAAAACTGGCCTTCTTGAAAAATTCCATGTGAACAAACAAAAAAAATGACTTTAAAACATGAGATCTTTTAATCAATGGCCCTCATTGCTTAAGCAAACAATTATAAACATAGAGCATAAGGATGTGCAAAAAAGTTTTACACAAAATCAGGCGCACACCCTGGATGGTTTCCAATTTACTAACGGTGATTATCTAGTCTCTGAACAAACATCTCCAATGAGCCAACCAAGCCCTTACACCCAAAGCCATTAAGGAATTGCACCAAAGAGGGGTGCTCGGAAACATGAAATCGCTACATAAATAAGCAGACAAGGAAACAAAGCTCTCAGTCACAACCAACATGCACCGTAACATCTAAAGATCATACAGCGAGAGAGGAAAAAAAAAATCACTAGCAAAAAGCATATAACTAGCCATCAGTCTACTCGAAACAGGAAAATAAAAATAATTCAATCAAACCTATAGAACGAACCTGCGGAGCAGCGAGAAGACCAGGGTGATAAATCGACTGCTGCTGAAGGAGAGCTTGCTGCAACAACGCCTGATGCTGCTGCTGCTTCATCCTCTGGTTCTGCATATTCAAATGAATCTAAACCGACAATCGGAACGTACGAACGATCGGAGAAGATTCTCGAGTCTTAGGGTTTCGAAGAAGAAATGGGGAAAATCTACAAAGGACTAAAAAAACGAAGAAAAAAAAAAGAAAAAAAAGAAAAGAAAAAAAAAAAGAAAGAAGATGAGACATATTACAAGAGACTAAGGACTATTTATAGTCGAACTTTACCGGTCGTACGCACCATTCCCCGGTATAATGTAATGGGCTAAGTTGTATGGCCTAAAATTGTGGGCCTGGCCCAATAATAATGATATACTACTGTCATATAAGCAGCACAGCCACCTAATTTTGTATGTAAATTTAATTCGAAGAGTATTAACTTTTCATATTAATAGTTTTTCATTATGTATATTGGGCTTTTTTGTAAGGCCCATTTTTGGGCCTGGCCCAATAAAATGATAAAAGCAAGCACAGTCACCAATTTTCTATGTTAAAGTTAATTAGAAGAGTCGGACTTTCCATACTTAAAACTTTTTTTATTCTTTCTGTCTTAATAAACGAGTCGAAGGTATTGTTGGAGTGGCTCGCTCATTGTGTAAGTATATTAGATTTAATCATAATAAATAAGAGTTTTGAACAATTTTTAAAATAATAAAAAATGTAAATATTTAATGTGATTTTTTACAATAAAAAATATTCTATTCGTCTCAATACAATAGTCTTGTTTACTATTTTTGTTTGTCTTAAAACAATGGTCTTATTTTCATAAATAATCATATCACTATAAAACTACCCTTATTTTTTCATTTTTATTACACAATTGTCACTACTTTTTACACTAATACACTCATAAGGACAAAAAAGTCTTTTACTCATATTTTTTACCAACTAAATATCGTGTCCAACTCAATTAAGACTATATTTATGGGACGGATGGAGTACTTCATTTAATAGTATCTTTTAAAAAAAATATTGCTTATAAATAGTATCAAAATTTTTAAAAAATAAAGGTAGACAGTCTTTGGTCACTTAAATTGTTTATTTAAAGTTTTTAATTGATTTCCTTTTTAAAATAAATTTAACTTTTAGGGTGTGTTTGTTTTGGAATTGTATTTTGAGTTGTGATTTGAATAGTAAAAGTTTTGAATTTGAATAGTTGTATGATGTAACATAAATAGGTGTTGATGTGGTGCTTTGAATGTAAAATTAATTTTTAGTATAATATAAAAAATAAAAAATAAGTGTTTGATTTGATATTTTTGGAGAGAAAAAATGAGATAAATAGATGTATTTATTGTTCATTTTATTATAAGATATTACTTTTTTCGTACATTAAATTTATATGCACTATATGATCGAAGGAAGGGAGTAGTAATTCATTTGCTATTACTAGTTTTTATGTACTATTTATAATTTTTATAAAAGTACGTCAACATAATATTATATTTAATTAATATTCAAATATAAACACAGTCCAAATTTTTCATATTTTAATACTCCCTTCATTCCATATTGTATGTTAAACATGAGAATTTATGAGAAGTATAATTAGTAGATAATAAAAATGTATTTGTAAAAATAATTTTTTTATAATATAAATTATTATAGATTAAGATTAAAATAACTAATTAGTTTAATTAAAAATAATAATTTAGAAAATTTAAAATGAGATTAAAGTGTGTAATGATTTTTTAAAAAAATAAAAATAATATGAAATATGAGACGGACATAAATGACAATATGAACATGGTGGGTGTTCGGAAAGAGTACTATTTTAATGATGATATTTGTCATTATGCACTATTTTTTTCTGTTTGTGATTTGAAGTTATCTCTTTTCTACCTCATAGATTTTGTTAGTTTTAATATTCTTACATGATTTTGATGTTTATTTACTTCACTATTTCATTGCATTATTCTTAAAAAAATGTTGGATTTACTCTTGTCATATATTTAGGCTGCAATTAATTTTTGGAGTCTTAGATAACTTTTTTTTTTTAAATAGTAAAAAATAAATAAAAATGAGTTCTTAATTAATAATTCAAATAATATTAAATTTTTAAATAAATTTTGATCTAATATTTTATTAAAAAATTAATAATTTTTTTTTAGAAATATACAAAATATATAATAATAATAATAGTAATAATTTATGTGGTCGTGTTTGAAATACAAACATATCTAAATAAATAGTACTTTCTCTGTCTGGAAAATTTAGCTCATTCTTTTTGTATTTAAAATAAAAAAGTAGAATTAAATTTAAAGGAGGGAGTGGAATGTAAACGGATATTTAAATGTGCAGTGTGTCGGTAATCACACAAAGTATCAAGCTCATTTTCCACATGACTTGAAAGGCCTCTCCACTTCTAATTTTGTTTTTATTTTTTCAAATAAAAATAAATACAAGTGGGTGCCCTAGTGGGCTTGTTATATATATATATATATATAAGTTTTTAAATTGAGAATAGTAAAGATTTTATTTTCCTATTTTAAGTGATGTCCATGTGATAATTTTTTTTATAAAATTTTAACTATTTTGGAGAAAGAATAATAAACAGGGAAAGACCAGTTTGGACCGAAACAAATAGACCCGAATTTTCCACCGTTAATTAGTATATGTCCATTACACTCCACTTTTCAAAACAGTGCTCTCTTGTGTTGAACCCTTTTTTGAAAATGCATATAGAAAAAAATATATATATATATGAAATCAAAATACCATCAACATTTAGCCCAAAAAAATAATAAGAAGAAAGAAGAACGACTGCAGAAATATTTAATTTTGAAATTCAACTTGAATTGAACTAACCAAATTGATTACACACTCGCGCAAAATACAAGTCCAAATATAGACTACTAAATCATAGTATTATAAAATGAAGGTTACAATATAATACAAGAAAATAGTATCACATTAGTAAGAGATAGGAATTACTGAAACCCTAATTTCATTTAAGCATAATAATGGCTATAAAGTGAGGTCAAGGTGTTCATCCCCTTTCGATGAAGAACCAGCAACACCCTGTTCTGGATTATGGTAAGGCCCCCTTGCAGCAGCCCTATATTATATATATAATTAAAGAAGAAGAATAAGAAAAAAAAAATGTGGTGGTGGTGGTGATATGTAGTTAATTCCTAGTGGAATTTCTATAATTGCACGTTCCAAACATGTGAGCAATTATTTTAACGAAGATATTTCAAGAATTGGATAAAAAGATTCAACCTTTATGTACCAGAATTCATCATGTTTACGTTTGAAGAAAAAAAAAATGGTTGAGAAGCAGCGTACCTATCCTTCCTCTTCTCAAGAAACCTGTGCAGAGATGACCTTCGTGCAATAGGTAAATCTGGAAAATCCCCAAGTTATTATAATCACAAATGAAAATAAAATCTGTCGAACAAAAAATTATGAACCAGTTACCTGATCCACTAGCCTCAGACTGTGCAGATGAAGCCTGTTCCTCCACTGCTTTGGAGCTCGACGCCGCCGCCGCCGGAGCCCAAACGGCGGTGGTCTTGGCTTTCTCTGTAGGCTGCTTACCACCAGGAGGTTGAGGCCGTGGTGGAAGCCCTTCCCTTGCGCTGGTAGGATTTAATTTCTCCTTACAAGGGTGAGACAAAATGGCTACATGAGGTAGCTTGGAGCTGCCAGAATGGGGACGCGGCGGCAGCCCTTCCCGGGGGGCGGGTTTGGGTGGATTGGGCTTTTCTAAATGAGGGGTATTGGCGAGAATGCCATAGGACATTTGTGAGCTGTTCTTTTTGGCGATGGAGACGAGTTCTCTGGCCTTGTCCGCAGGATAATCATCAAAAACCAAAACGCTTCCCGAGTAGAATATTGTCAGTTGTGGATGTTTGAGCTCAATTGTTGTCGCCTCCTTGCTGAAATTAGTCATCAAACACACAAAGTAATCTCAAACTATATTCGAAGATAGAAATGAAAGATGCCTAAAATAGCTGCAGATTTGCTGCTGTAATGATTTTTTGCAAAATTAAGGGGCAAAATGGAACAACCTTGTGCTGGTTTCTGTTGAGGAATCATCATCTACTAGAATAATAGGAGTTGAATTAGGTCTGGAGACTGGCTGAGATGGATCCAAGGATGGAGGCTGTTCGTCAGGAGAGGTTTGTTTAGCTAATTTTCCAGGATTCCTTGGTGAGGTGTTGGAGTTTATAGTTGCAGAAAGAGATGATCCAGGCTTCACTGAAATTAATTAACCAGAAAGATCAGTAACTAATTCATCAGCGAAGATGTGGTGAAGAATCAAATATCATCTTGTGAGCATATTCATTCATATACGCTGCTTCAGTGAAATTAATTAACCAGAAAAATCAGTAACTAATTCATCAGTGAAGAAGTGGTGAAGAATCAAATATCATGTTCGCGAGCAAATTCATTCATATACACCGCCATAGAATCACTAGCTTCCAAATGTTTCATCAATCTGTTTCTAAAGTCCTTCAGATCTATGAATTAACAGGAAAATATGGAAACCTATCAGCAAAAATTCTCAACCTCAAGCAATTTTGACAACGACATAGCAGCTAAGCTAAGGCAACAGCGGATTCAACAGAGAAGAATTGCACAAAAGCTAGCTCTCCTAAGCATTGAAAATCAATCCAGAAGAAGAATATATCCACAGAGAAGCAAATTAAAGCAAAAGAAGCGAGCGGAAATCATACCAATAGCATCGAGGCTCTCCACTTTTCCCCCAATTTCAAGATTCAAATCCCTAAGACTACCTTTCTCCTTAATATACCGACTCAATAGGTTACAAGTCTGCAGGAAATTCGATTTCTCCGGCGCCTTCCCCGCCGCCGCCGCCGGTCTCAGGGCATCGGAAACAAGCCTAGAATTCGACATCTTCGCGGAAGAATCCGCGCAAGATCCTCCCTATGCAGAAAATAGTTGATGCACTGAAAAATAGTACGAACAATAATAATAAAAAAAATATATTATTAATAGATTGAGAAGCAAATTAGGGGAGAGGCTTTATCAGATTTTCAACGAGGGTGTATTGGGCACGTGTTAATTGCCTGCGAAGATAGGGATAGTCCATTTGTAAGAGATCCAGGACTTCTGCACCTGCCACTGAAGTTGAGCCGTGAATCAGTTCAGGAGTAAAAATCCCAAGACTTGGTTAGATGAATCTAAAGACAACACCAGGAAATGGTGGGGAAGGAAGAAAAGTGTGATGGAAGAAACACGAGGCTCAAATTGTGGCCTTTCTTTATCCATTTAATTCTTAAATAATAACTATATTTTTTATTCCCTAAGGATGGCCTATTAGTACAAAGTAAACAGGTGACAGTGAGTTTATGAATTCAATAAATTTGATCCAAAACTTCGTGGGTTTCATAAGTTGGGAGTGCGGATATCTATGTCATAAAAAAACTTTATACTCCCTTTGTCTTAAAAATAAATATTCATTTGCTTTTTGCACTTAAAAATATTAATATTATATTGGGATATAGTATGAATAAAATAGAAATGACTAAAATAACCTTAGTATGTGTGATATAAAGGTAATGACATTTGTGTAATATATTGTAAGTTGTAAAGGTATTTGTAATGTTAGGTAGATAATACGGTTATTAAAAAATGAAATGAATACTTTGTTATGAGACGGACTAAAATGAAAAAATTGATACTTTTTATGGGACGGAGGGAGTATATATTTTTATTTATTTTATTTTTTTATCGTAATGATTTTTAAAATTTTAAAAAAGAAATGATTAAATATATAAATAAATGAAATATTTTTATAATAAATAATGGTAGAAAATTGAGGAGTTGAGAATAATATTTATCTCATTTTTTATGTTTATATTAAAATATGTCTTTTAAAGATAATAACATTACAACACAAAAGAGGAAGCTTAAAGCTATAGTCGGAATAAAATCATAGTAGTTTTACTTCAATTTTTTTAGAAACGATATTTGATTTGAAATACAATCTTTATTCTCAAACGACAAACTCTAAAATTCAGCATGACAACATATGATATATTTATAGATAATATATTTTTTTATATTAATATAATATAAATAAACGCTTATATTAACCTCATATGATATGATATAATTTTATACAATATATATTGCATTAAATTAAATATATATATATATATATATACTATATTGTTTGCATATTTTACATGTGTTTATTAAGGCAAATTCATACTATGTTAATTTATCTCAATCCAATTTTAATGGTTACAATAGATATACATTGGCTATCAATGTTTGGGGGTGGATTTGAATTTTGTTAGCTTAGGGTGTGTTTGCTTGGAAGTTTGGATTTTGAGTTGGGATTTGAATAGTAAAAATTTTGAATTTGAATAGTTGTATGATGTGATATAAATAAGTGTTGATGTGAAGTTTTGAATGTAAAATTGATTTTTAGTATAATATAAAAAATAAAAAATAGGTGTTTGATTTAATGCTTTTGGGGAAAAAAAATTGGATAAATAGTGTAAATCCAATCCAATCCCCCAAACAAACACACTTTTAGTATTTTTAAATGGTATGATTCTTATAAATATTATTTTTAAATATATATAGTCTCTGTTCTATTAATATTATTTTTTAACTATGATTTTTCGAAAATAACAATAAACAATATAACATACTTATAAAAGTCATAAAGTAAAAAAAAAAAATCAAATACTCATTGTAAAAGTTAATAAATAAATATTAATTTAAAATAATACTATATTTTATATTTTTAACACAATTCTCCCTACTATACGTAAAAAATCAATTTATATATAAAAATATTATGGAAACGAAATGAATATATACATATTAATTTTAATATATATAATGTACATTTTTTATTCATTAATAAAAAGTTAACAATTTAATATAAAATACTACTCCCGTTCCAAAACTATTGTCTTATTTGAGTTGGATGCGAGATTTAAGGAATATTGATATTATATTGATAGTTAATAAAAAGTCTAAATAAAAGATTTTTTTGGCCTCGTAGGTGTATTAGTATAAAAAATAGTGACATTTGTGTAATAATAATTAAAAAGTAAGAATAATTTTATGGTGATATGAGTTTTTATGAAAATGAGATTGTTTTAGAACGAACAAAAATGGTAAACAAGACTATTGTATTGAGACGGATGGAGTATTTTTTAATTTTTCATATTTAACGGTACAAAATATATACACCAAATAAGACAAAGTGAGCAAACCTTTTCTTAATTTGAAATTATTAAAATAGAAGTGTGTATTTTTATTATTCTTACGTGAATATCACCTTCCTTGATTCTTCATTCATTTTTTGTTGTCGTTTTTTTTATTTTATTTTATTTTATTTTTATTTTTTATTTTAATGTTTATAGTTTGGAGTTTTTTAGGTTAGATATAACTGTAATATAAACAAATAATATATATATATTTTTGTATCAATTTAATATATCTATTTTATTATTTAAAATATCAATTTTTTATTATAGTATAAACATTAAAATATTCTTATTAACTTCTATAAAAATATTTTACTATTTTTTCTTTTTTTTTGTATTTGCAAGAAAAAATATCAATATCATTCTAAACATTTCTAATAATAAAATACTATTATTGTCACTTTCTTCTACTGTGACTTGACTTTGATAATTTGTTAAGGAACAGATAAAATATTTATTTTTTTATAATTTTAATCAAGAAATATGTTTGTTTTTTATTATTATTAAACAACTACTTGTATAATAATACAAGCTATTATGTTCGACTAAAATTTCATCTAGAAAATGTATCTATTATGTTATTAAAATCAAACTAATAATAATAATAATACTTAAGGTTTGTGCGTTAGTCTTTACGACATTATTATTGGTCCCAATTTAAGTACGGTTGCATTAAGTTCATTGTGTGTTTTCAACAATAATATCAATCAATAATTCCGAGTTCACATTTAATTTAAACTACTTAGAAAAATTATTTACATTTTTTAAATAGATTGTGAAGAATTTCAGAAAGTATTTTAATTTATATTATGAATAAAATTTTACTTCTAAATACAATATTTTAGATAAAAATAAATGTTAAATAGTATTATATATATAAATATCTTAAAAAAGTACTCTCTCCGTCCCAAACAACAAGGTGCAATATTTACTTTTGGCACAAGTTTTTAAGTGAGTAGTATTAAGTATGATAATTTAGAAATTAGGTGATGTGATGGAGAGAGAAATATATTTTTTATTTTTTTATTTGAACGATGTAAGGGGATTGTAGGTCAGAGATAAAGTATAATTAATTATTTCTTATTTTGAAAATGTTATAATACATTTGAGACATAACAAAAAGAAAATGTTGTAGGGTGTTTAAGACGGAGGGAGTAATAAGTATAATAAAGATTGGGAGCAGAAATAATCGGATTTTTATTGTTGATTCGAAAAATTGAAAATGATTGTAAATATTGAGAAGTTTTTTTTTTTTTTTTTTTTAATTATGTTAAATTTATTTTCAATTTTCTTTTTAATCAGTCTATTAAATTTAGTCTATTACTACATATTAATAAAATCAATATTTCAATATTTAAATATTATCTTTCATTCAATATTTAGTTACTATAATTATAATTATATTTATTTACATTTTCTTTCATCATTATTAATGACTAATTAAAATTTAAAAAATGCATTCAACTATTTTTTAATTATTTTCTTTCATCATTATTAATGACTAACTAAAATTTAAAAACTGCAATCAACTATTTTTTAATTATTTTAAATAAAAATATTTATTTATTTTTAACTTATGAATCGGATCTAAATATATTATTGTTACGAGACTATGGGATTATATAACTATTGTATTGTAAATTCAATAAAAAAAAAAAAAGAAAAAAAAAGAGAGTAATAGAATGATATTTTTTCAAGGGCATACTTATTCATCACAACGAAATTACTAGCGTTTATAATTAAATAAATTAGTGATTAAAAACCTAAACTACTCATTAGACAATCTCTAATCATATTAATTATTAAAATATAAATAATTATATTTATTACAACTCGATATCCAATGAGTATAATGTTCTATGAATAAATTTAAGATGCATTCAATAAAAGCTGGTGATAACAAAACATGCTCAATAACATGTTTTTAAATATTTTATCATTGAAATTGCATTTTAAAAAATAAAAATAAAGATAAAATTGAGATACATGATCAGGTCACGTGACACAGCTATGAATAGTCCTCCCTGAAAAGATTGTAAAGCTCAGGAGAAGCCACGTGTACAAGTAATAAAAAGACCACATGGTAATTTTGACAATTCATATCCAATACTTTACTGTATTTAGGAAGCTAGCCATAAACAATTTTTTTCTTTAGAATGTATTTATTTAATATTTTAATTTAAAATAAATTTTAATATATAAAAAATATATTAAATAATATTTTACAGTATTAAAAAATATATTAAATAAACACATCTTAATATTGCAAAAATATATTTCCTCCGTCATTCAGAAGTGTTCTCATTTGATCATGCACACGTTTTAAGAAAAATAAATAAAAATATAAATATTTTTTTTAGAATAAATAAAAAATAGAAGAAGTGATATTTTTTATTAAAAAAATGAGAATAAAAAAAATGAGAATAAATTTTGATGTGAGGGAAGTATATATATTGCACCTTGCTTTTATAGCTAGTTTATTATTAAAAATATTATTTATGACTAATTAACATATACTAAATTAATATTTTTAATATTAAAATAACTATAATTATACTTTTATTTTAAAATTATACTATAAACTTTTATTTATATATATATAAATAATAATTTACTGTTTAAATAATAAAGAATACTCACCAATGTCTTGTAATCTTCATATTAAATATCTTATTTAAGAAGTCTATCATAAATTATGGGTATGTTTGCTTTGTGTTTTTAAAATGTACTTTACATTAGATACGAAAAATTATACTAATAATTTGTGTTAAATTATTATTTTTGTGGGTAAATAAGATATATATAGTATATATTATACATATTAAAAAATATATTCCATCTCATCCAAATATATTTTAATTTTTTTTAAAATTTTCATCCAAATTTATTCTCGTTTTTTTTTAAATAAAAAAAAACTATTTTTTTTTACTTTTTTCTTTACAAAAAAAATTATTTTTATCTTCTTTTTTTTTTTAATTAATACTCGATCAAATGAGCACAAAATTGTATATTTTATAATAATTACATAGAATGTTTCACAAAAACTAGGTTGAAAGAACAAACCTCATCGTATTAAAAAAGTCTTCATTAGTACCCCTTATCAAATACTACTACGTTTTTCTCGGGTGTATTTGTTTGGAGGATTGAATTTAAATTCAACTATTCATTCAATTTTTTTTTCCCAAAAATATCAAATCAAACACCTATTTTTTATATTATACTAAAAATCAATTTTACATTCAAAACATCACATCAACACCTATTTATATCACATCATACAACTATTTAAATTTAAAATTTTTACTATTTAAATCTCAATCCAAAATCCAAACCCCGAAACGAACACAATAAATCTTAAGATCATCAAACATAAGATAGTTCCGTTGCCCTCTGTAGGAGGATTTCGGTATAACAATAGTATTTACAATGGTGATTTTTAACTCATCTAATAACCCAACTATTTAATTATAACGATTGTTTTTCATTTTTGTTTTGTTTTTTTTTTTTTGTTTTTTTTTTAATAACTGTTCATTACAATGTTTGATGTAAGAAATGGATGGTGAGATAATGTTTTCGAATTAAATTAATAGATTTAATACTTAAAAAAATAAAAAATAAAAAATAAATAAATAAATTATTAGTTAACCTACAAAACCCGATCCAAACACACTTTCCTCGCACATTATTTTCTTTAAATTATCAGAGTGACGGAGAAATTAGTTAATTAGTTAATAATTACAGTTGCAAATCCTATGTTTAGCAATAGAGCATAACCTTCATTACAACAACCAACGGCTATGAATCCTCTTTGGCTCAAATATCTCCACCAAATAGAAAATAAATAAATAAATAAAAATAATAGAAACAAAATTTAATAATACTAACAAAAAATAAAAATAAAAATAATCAAATTTAGAATAAGAAAAAGAAAAAAATACGAAATACAAAATACAAAAACAGACATGCAAAATCAAATCAGACATTACGAAAACCAGATCCACTTTCTGATTTCTTAAACTTCCTTTCCTTCATCTTCTTCCTTATGGCCATCAATCCTATCCATGGCCGATTTCTCTTTTTCTTCATCGCCATTATTTTCCCCCAAACAGCAGTCCCCAACCCTGATTCCGAAGCTCTTCTAAAGCTCAAGCAGTCATTCACAAATGCAGGTGCTCTCGATTCATGGCAGCCAGGAACGGAGCCCTGCGCCGGACAAAACTACTGGAACGGCGTCCTCTGCGAAAACGGCGTCGTTTCGGGGCTCCGTCTCGGTCAAATGGGGCTATCCGGCAGCATCGACGTCGACGCCCTGGCCTCCCTGCCGGGCCTCCGGAGTGTCGCCGTCATGTCCAATTCCTTCTCCGGGGAAATCCCCGGCTTCAATCGGATCGGAGCTCTCAGAGGATTGTACCTTTCCGACAACCAATTCTACGGCGAGATCGCGCCGGATTACTTCTCCAACATGGACGGATTGAAGAAGATTTGGTTGTCCGGCAACAAATTTTCCGGCCAAATTCCGGCGTCGGTGTCCGAATTATCTCAGCTCATGGAATTGCATCTCGACAACAATAGATTTTCCGGCGCGCTACCCACCCTAGACCAGAAGAGTTTAATATCTCTCAACGTGTCGAACAACAATCTCGCCGGCGAGATCCCTCCGACTCTGTCCCGATTCGGCGCCGACGCTTTCTCCGGCAATCCGGGGCTCTGCGGAGGGATCTCCGGCAAGCCGTGCGGGGGTAAACCCATCGCCGGAATCGTCGTTGCCATCTTGTGTTTGCTAGCATTCATAGTGTTGCTAGCATTGGCGATCGCCGCAATTCTACGCATCCGTCGACAACCTCGACCCGGCCAGACTAATAATGTCGACAATCAACCACGGCCCGTCAAACAACACGTTAGCATTAGCAACTTGGTTGAGGCCAATTCGCCGAGAGTAGCGAAGAAAAATGCCGGTGCCGGTGTCGATACAAGAAAGTCAAACTTGCCGGAGTCGAGCAAGCGGGCACCGCGAGATCTAGTGGTCGTAAACAACGAGAAGGGGGAGTTCGGATTAAGCGACCTAATGAAAGCGGCCGCGGAAGTTCTCGGGAATGGCTCGCTCGGCTCGTCGTATAAGGCCACGATGCTCAACGGATTGTCCGTCGTCGTTAAACGGGTGAAAGAGATGAACAAATTGAGCCGCGACAAGTTCGACTCCGAAATGAGACGGCTCTCGAGCTTACGGAACAAGAATATCTTGCCGCCGTTGGCTTATCACTATCGTAAAGACGAGAAACTCATCGTGTCCGAATATCAACAAAAAGGAAGTCTAATGTTCGTTCTGCACGGTAAAACAAACTCATAAAAAATTTAAACTCGTGATCTCACGATCGATCGTAAACATCTGACATATCCAAAAATCAATATAGGTGATCGCGGGATCGCGCACGCTGAGCTAAGTTGGCCGGTGAGGCGGAAGATAATACTCGGGATAGCTCGAGGACTAGGCTATCTCCACACCGAGCTCTCGTCGCTCGACTTGCCACATGGCGACCTAAAATCGAGCAACATTCTATTGTCGACGGATCACGAGGTGTTGCTAACGGACTACGGGTTCAGTGCATTCACGAACGCCGGCCAGGCGGCGCAAGCGCTGATGGCCTACAAGTCGCCGGAGGCCGTCGTACAGCAACACGTGTCGCCAAAATGCGACGTGTTTTGTTTAGGGATTGTGATACTAGAAATTGTGACGGGAAAATTTCCTAGCCAATATGGCGGGAACGCCCAGGGCGGCGCGGACTTGGTCCAGTGGGCGAGGTCGGCGATGGCGGAGGGGCGGGAGGCGGAATTAGCCGATCAGAACGTGACGAACACGGCGGCGGGATCGGTGAACGAGATCGTGGAGTTGCTTCGGATCGGCGCAATGTGCACGGAGAACATTCCCGATCAGCGTTTGGAGCTCGGAGAAGCGATTAGGAGGATAGAAGGCGTAGAGAAGCGGTTAGGAGGATAGAAGGCTTATGCATGCAAGGTAGGGTTGTAAATGAGTATAATAATTTTGATTTTTATGGATTCGAAATTCGATTCGAAATTTTGATTTTTGTATTTAGAACTTTATAATTTGAATTCAAATACATATATTCGAGTCGATTTAAATATGAATCCAATACAAAATAATAATAATAATAATAATAAATTCGATATTCGTAAATATTTAGTTTGATAATAATGACACCCCCGCCGACAAAAGTTATGTTATTTTGATATAGTTTAAAAAAATTTGGTTTGAATTTGATATTAAAATAATATTTGATTAGATGTTTTTTTCGAAAACAAAATGTATTTTTTTCCAGTAAATTTAGTGTCCAAACAGTAAAATTTTAAAAAATTGACGATTAGGTAAAGTGTTAATTTTCTTTTTAAAAATATCAAATAAATTTTTTATATTTTTTGAATTCAATACTAAAAACTAACTTTATTTAAAATATTTATTTCTTATTTCATACTCCCTCGGTCCCACATATCATGTCCATATTGTCGTTCGTCCCACATTCTATGTCACTTTTCTTTTTTGAAAAATATTACACACTTTAATCTCATTTTATATTATAGGATAATTATTTTCACTAATACATTCTTAATTATCTACTAATTACACTCCTCTTAAAATACCGTATCTACAGTGTAGCACACACGGTATGTAGGACATAGGGAGTATTAAAGAATTAATTCAATTTTTTACTATATAAAAGCCTAGATCCAACTCTAACCCAACGAATAATTAAACACAATTTTTAGTACTCCCTCCGTCTCATATATTAGTATTATACTGAGATTTAATAGGAAAAAATAGAAATTACTAAAATAACCTTATTAGTATTATGTGATATAAATGTAATGACATTTGTGTAATATATTGTAAGTTGTAAGGGTATTTGTAATGTTAGGTAAATAGTATAATTACTAAAAAAAATAAAATGAATACTTTGTAATCAGACGGACTAAAATGAAAAAATTGATGATTTGTTAGGGGACAGAGCGGGTATTTTTCCGTTTCACATATAATATCATATTTTTTATTAGACTAATTAATTAGTTTAATTTTAATTTATAATTTTATAATTATATTTTAATTAATTTATATTATTAATGATTTATTAAGCATATTTTTCCAAAATTTTTATATCTACAATGACCATGACATAATATCAAAAATAAAAAAATACTACTCCTTTCGTCTCGCAAGAAGGTTGTTATTTTGTTTTTGCGTCATTATATTTAAAATTAAAAATATCATTATATTTGAATAATTTACTCGATAAATATCATTGTATTTATATTATAAAAAACTAATAAATGTATTTTTATTTTTGTCAGTTTTTTCTTGATTTCTACTGCGTATTGATATAATAATTAATATTCAAAAGATCAACATGAAAAAAACCATGGCAACCTTCTTGCGGGAACTATGAAGTATTAATTTTTAATCCCCGATAAAAATCAAAATTAAAAAGGTACATTCCATAGAGGAAGTGTGAGTATAAATCATTAAAATTAATTAATTTACATACAAAATGGACAACGAAAATTGAGTAAAAATTATTTTTGATCTCATTCAATATCAAAATTATCAATTTTGGTCTCATTTAAATTTTTTTTTATCAATTTTAGTCCAACTCAAATGAAAATTTATCAATTTTAGTCCCAAAATAGTTGACTGAGACTGAACACGGCCGTGTTGGATGACTCAGAAGGTGACTGGGTGTCCCTGGCAACCAACACGGCCGTGTTGATTACCCTGCACTTCTTAACACGGCCGTGTTCCTACCCGTGTTCTGAACACAACCATGTTTCTGCCCATATTCTCAACACAGTCATGTTCTAGGCCATGTTTACGACCATGTTTTCAATATAATCATATTTTAGTTCATATTTTTTATTATTTTCACTTTTTGGTTAAAATTATTTGATATATATATTTATAATTTAACAAAAATATTATTTACAATTATTTTATAATATAAAAAATAATCAATTTTTAATATTTTTAAAATATATAAAAATAATAATATATTAATATATATTTTTTAATAATACTCCCTCCGTCCCACTTACCATGTCCACATTGCAGTTTATATCCGTCCCACGTCCCATGTCACTTTCCTTTTTTTGGAAAATAATTACACACTATTTTTTAATTTAATTTTAATTTTAATTAAACTAATGAGTTATTTTAATTTTAATTTATAATTATTTATATTATATGATAATTATTTTTACTAATACATTCTTAATTATCTACTAATTATACTTATCCTAGATTCTCGTGTCTACAGTGACCAGATATCCAACGTGGGACGGAGGGAGTATTATTTTAAAATATTATTATTTTTATATATTTTAAAAATATTAAAAATTGATTATTTTTTCTATTATAAAATAATAGTAAAAAATATTTTTGTTAAATTATAAATATATATATCAAATAATTTTAACCAAAAAGTGAAAAAAATAATAAATATGACATACAATATGATTATATTGAAAACATGGTCGTGAACATGACCTAGAATATGGCTGTGTTGAGAACATGAGCAGGAACATGGCCTAGAACATGGCTGTGTTGAGAATATGGGCAGAAACATGACTGTGTTCAGAACACACGGCCAGGAACATGGTCGTGTTCAAAAGTGCAGGGTAATCAACACGGCCGTGTTGAGACCAACACAGCCGTGTTGGCTGCCTGGAACGCCCAGTCACTTTCTGAGTCATCCAACACGGCCGTGTTCAAGCCAACACGGCCGTGTTCAGTCACAGTCAACTATTTTGGGACTAAAATTGATAAATTTTCATTTGAGCGGGACTAAAATTAATAATTTTTTTTTAATGGGACCAACATTGATAATTTTGATATTGAATTGGATCAAAAATGAATTTTACTCAAGAAAATTATATCCATTAAATGAAATATTTGACATAAAATAATAATAATAAAAAGGATAAAAAATGAGTTTGTTTCCTTAGTAAAATTTCTTCAAATTTTATTGTTTGGACCATAATTTTTAAAAAATATATATTCTCTTCGTCCCAATACAATAGATATATTTGTCATTTTTGTTTGTCCCAAAACAATAGTCTCGTTTCCATAAATAATCATATCACTGTAAAACTACCCTTATTTTTTTATTATTATTACACAAATGCAACTACTTTTTACGCTAATACACTCGCAAGGACAAAAATCTTTTATCGATATTTTTTATCCACTACCAATATAATATCAATATTCCTTAAATTTTGTGTCAAATATAACCCAAATTATAATTTTGAAACAAAAAAAATATATATATTTTTTCTCTAATAAACATCTCATCAAATATTATTTTCGGGTCGAAATTCAAATCAAGCTATTTCCAAATCGATCAAAAGAAACACACTGGGGGCGGGCACCCATCCAACAAATGAGTCAACTCGATACTCATTACAGCTGGATATACATACACATGTATACGTAGGTACAAACATGCATACATACACGCATAAAATTAATCAATAAGAGTAATCACTCCACTTTTTGTCGCAGTTTAAATATTACTTCCGTCTTCAAATTAATGTTCTACTTTTCTATTTAGGACGTTCAACAATTATTGTTCTATTTTTTTTTTCAAACATAAATTTTACATTTTTACTCTCAATTTATTTATTATTTTTAATATTTATCATATAATTAAAGACAAAATTGTCAATTCATAATAAAAAGACAATCACCTAAAAAATCCTACAAATATATTTAGGACAATATAAATTGGAACAAGGGAGTAGTATTTTATTAGTATATTTTAAAGACAAACACTTAATGAAGGCAGCAAACAAAATCTTGCAGCAGGCTTTTGTCACTAATTATCTAATCAAGAAATTAATTACCACACATTTATTAATATATTTCTTCTTATAATTATAGTAATTTATAGGCAGTATAATTCGCGTGTACGTGCGAGCGAGAAACTGTGCACGTGACTGTCGGCCTTTTTGTCACCATCAGTTGACTTCATTAATTATATTTTTGAGTTTTTTTTTTTAATAATTCTAAAAAAAATAAAAATAAAATAATTTCGATATGCTCACAATTTTTAAAGTAATAGTAATAAAAATCTTATTTTCTTTAAATAATATTTAACTCTGGTATTTTTTTTTAAGAGAAAATTGAGTTTGTTTGATTGGTTTAAATTTAATTATAAATAAATTTTTTATTTTAATTTTAATTTAAATAATATCTTGATTTGATATTTTATAAAAATAAATAAATATATTTTTATTGAAACAGTAAGTAATGTATAATATTGATTTGGATATAAAATCATATTTTTATTAAAAATCATATCAATTCACTAATAACTTTTTATTTTAAATTAAAACTAAGTACACGTACACAACCTACTTCAATTCATAATTAACCTTTCAATAAATATGACCTTTTTTTATATTTTATGTATTTAATTCCAATTTACATTATCATTTTATATTAGAATGTGCTTGTATTTTTAGATATGAGTTTTATTTTATATTTTTGAAATTTATAATATAAAAAATACAAAAGTACAAAGGGTTTGTTTTATTGTGATTTGAATTTGAAATGGTGTGTTTGATTTGATTTTTATTTAAATAGCATGTAATATGATATTTTGTAAGATAAAATAATACTCTTTCCTCCCACGTACTATGTCCATATTACTGTTTCTGTCCGTCCCACATACCATGTCCATGTTGCCGTTTCTGTCCGTCTCATATACCATGTCACTTTCTTTTTTTGGAAAATAATTATACACTTTAATCTCATTTTAAACTTTTTAATTTTATTTTTTCTAATTTTAGTTAAACTAATTAGTTATCTTAATCTTAATTTATAATTATTTATATTATATGATAATTATTTTCACTAATATATTTTTAATTATCTATTAATTACACTTCTCCTAAAATACCGTGTCTACAGTGTAGCAGACACGGTATGTGGGACGGAGGTAGTATTATTATTGAAGCAAGGCATGACATTTATTTTCAAATATTTGCTAATTGTGTCTTAACATATTTTAAAAGTGTTTTGAAATTTTAGAAAGTTTTATAAGAATGATAAAAACTTAAAATATATATACATATATTTGATGAGACGAGTTTTTCTAAGTATTTATTTAATATTATATTTTATTAAAATAATTGTTCACGAATAGCTTAAAAAGTAAATTGAAAATTATGTATATAAAACTCACCCCACCCGCATATCCCTTAATTTCTCAAGCTCATTTATGCAGTTGCTAATCCTGTCTCGATACAATAGTCATATTTATTATTTTTGTCTGTTCTAAAACAATAGTCTCATTTTTATAAAATTTTATATCACTATAAAACTACATTTACTTTTTCATTATTATTACACAATTACTATGGCTTTTTACACTATATACTCATAAGGACAAAAAAATCTCTTATACGTACGTTTTGCTAATTACCAATATAATATCAATATTTTTTAAATTCCGTATCAATTACAATTCAGACTATACTTCTCGGATATTATTTATTTTTGCATTTCTATAAAAGGTGCAACCACTAAACTCCATTACGAGACAGGCAAATTATTAATGTGATAACAACATCAAACGACGTCGTCTAGGAATACTAAGACAGGGTTATGAGAAGCTTCCAGAAAAAGTGCAATCAGAGATACCCATTGAAACTAGTAGTCCATCTATCAATTGAATTTGCGCTCAAATTTTGGCACAAATTCGTGCACGTTTTGTATTTTATGGCAATATATATATATATATATATACATATTATGATTTTTATTTAATAAATAAGTTTTTTTTTTTTTTTTTTTTTTTAATAATAGAAAAAAAAATGTAAAGATAAAAGAAGTAATCTGGTTGTAAGTGTTCAATGTGATTTTAATACTTATTAGTTGATATATTTTTCTATCTCAATAATAATTAGCATACCATAATTTAAAAATATTCTATTGAATGGCCTTAAAAGGAAAAAGTGGAAAAAAATAACTGGAAATATATATATATATATAATATATATATTTTCTTAACGTATTATTTGAAATTATATATATTTAAAATATTTTTACAATCCCTATCAATATACTAATTTTAAACTTTTCGTGAACATGATTTCCATGCAAATAATAAAATATTTTTATATATAATTTAAAACTATCAATATAATTTATCTTATTTTCAAATTTATCCTAAACATTTTAATCAATTCACCTTTATGTAAGTACTATACTGAACAAAAGCAAACAAGACCGAGATTAATAAATAAACAATAAAAGTAATTAAAAGATAAAAAAGGTGTATTATTTTAATATTTAGAAATTTTTAATTTTTTATTGTTACTTAGAAAAATTTATTAAAGAGTCTCTTAGAAATCCTAAAAATGTGTTCCACTTTAAGATACAGTTTTTTTTATGAGTGTATGCATTTAATTATTTAATTATTTTTGTAATAAAAAAGTAAAAATAATTAATTGTACAATGGGATTTATAGAAAAAATAAAAATAAAATAATTTTAAGAGAAAAAAGTATATTTTTATAAAAAAATATCATAAAAATAAAAAAATCGAAAGAATTTGCTCATATCTAGTCCCATAATTATTTTATTTTTAAAATGTTAAAAAAAAAAAGTCCGAAGAGTAATTTAAGTAGGTCATATGTAGTAATAAAAAAATGAAAGTGGAAATCTATTGGCTGTTTGACAAATTGGGAAAAAGGGAAAGAGATAATACACGACTGGGCCCCTTTTGGGAATTTCCAATCCAATCCATTGATTCCGCTTGTAATTTTAATTTATGCATTAAAAGTTTTTATACTTTTCAATTTAGACCCTCAAATCACAACTAATTCGATTAAAGCCCAAAGAAGTTATCAAATTAAATCCAAACCCGATCAGTAGAGACAGACAGACGCCTGAATCGTTCCTCCGTAGTTAATAATTACTTATAATTATTGAGTCATACGGAGCCAAAAGCATCTTCCTTCCATGGAGTCGCCGGAGTCAACCGCCGCCGAGAAAATCATCCTCCGTTGGGACTCAGAGGAGTCGCGCGACAGCATGATCTTCGCCAGCAACGACCGCCTCGAAATCGACAGGTATCTCGACGCCGTCGATGAGCTCCAGAAATCCATGTCATCCACAACCATATCCGATTCCTCCTCCTCTTCGTCCTCCTCCACCTCCACGCTTCAGATCGCCATGGCTCGCCTCGAGGACGAGTTTCGCAACATCCTCCTTTCTCATACTTCGCCCATCGAAGCGGACTCGCTCAGCGAGTCGACTCACTCCGAGTTCGCTTCTCAGGAATTCGATTTGAAGGAAGATCAGGTTGCGGAGACGATTCTGGATAAGAATTTTGAGCATCAGGAGAGCAATAGCAGCACCACCAGCAGCTGCTACAAGTCGACCAGCAGTATCCGAGAAGTAGATCTTATCCCAAGCGACGCTGTCTATGACCTTCGCTGCATCGCAGAGCGGATGATTTCAGCCGGATACTTGCGCGAGTGTATTCAGGTGTACGCGAGCGTGCGCAAATCGGCCGTCGACGCCAGTTTGAAGAAGCTGAATGTCGAGAAATTGAGCATCGGCGATATTCAGCGCCTCGAGTGGGAGACGCTCGAGACGAAGATCCGACGCTGGATTCGCGCAGCTAAGATTTGCGTTCGCGTGCTCTTCGCCAGCGAAAGGCGCCTCTGCGAGCACATCTTCGATGGCTTAGGAACTTCCGTGGAGGATTCGTGTTTCATGGAAACAATAAAAGGTCCTGCAATTCAGCTCTTTAATTTTGCAGAAGCAATTAGCATCAGTAGGCGATCGCCTGAGAAACTGTTTAAGATACTTGATTTGCACGATGCCTTGTCTGATTTGTTGCCCGACATCGACACCGTCTTTGAGTCAAAATCAAGTGAGTCTGTTCGAGTACAGGCTGTTGAAATACTCTCCAGATTGGCAGAGGCAGCAAGAGGTATATTGTCAGAATTTGAAAATGCAGTCCTTCGTGAGCCTTCAAGAGTTCCTGTTCCTGGAGGAACAATTCATCCCCTGACCAGATATGTGATGAATTACATCAGTTTAATTTCAGATTATAAGCAGACTTTAGTCGAGTTGATTGTGTCGAAGCCGTCAACAGGACCAAGATATTCGAGTGATCCTAATCTACCTGATATGGATCTCTCTGAGTTTGAAGGCCAGCGTTCAACTTTGGCACTCCATTTGATTTGGATTATTGCAATTTTGCAGTTCAATCTTGATGGCAAATCTAAGCACTACAAGGATGATTCTCTGGCTCATTTGTTTATGATGAACAATGTTCATTATATTGTTCAGAAGATTAAAGGCTCTTCTGAGTTGAGAGAGATGATTGGGGATGATTATTTGAAAAGGTTAACAGGGAAATTTCGATTAGCTGCAACTAGTTATCAGCGGGCGACTTGGGTGAGAGTTTTGTATTGCTTAAGAGATGAAGGTTTGCATGTCAGTGGAAGTTTCTCATCTGGTGTGTCTAAAAGTGCTTTGAGGGATAGGTTTAAGGCCTTCAATGGTATGTTTGAGGAGGTGCATAGAACTCAGTCGACATGGTTAGTGCCCGATCCTCAGTTGCGGGAGGAGCTGAGAATTTCAATATCAGAAAAAGTCCTCCCTGCTTACCGATCCTTTCTTGGAAGGTTCAGAAGTCATATCGAGAGTGGGAGACATCCAGAGAATTACATCAAGTATTCAGTTGAGGATCTTGAGAATGCAGTGTTGGATTTCTTCGAGGGACACCCACCGATGTCTCAACATTTGAGAAGGAGATCGCAGTGACCGAACTCAGATTGAGTTTTGCCATGTAGAACTTAGCACACAATTCTTTCAATTTTTTACTCTCCAAATTGTTCAGGGTATGTCTGCCTAAGATGTTGGATGCGATCGAGCAGCTACAACAGCAGCAGCAGCAGCCACCGCCGCTTCCCGAGTGCTTCTGCCTCGTAAGCATGTGTTGTTTGTTTTCAGATTTAAATTTTTGTTTCATTTGTTGTTTATATGGGATTGCTGCATTTGATTGTCTCCACGTTAGAACTTTTAACATATATAATTATTATGCTCACAGAAGAAAGTGTTTAGATAATAAGCCTGTCCTCATGAACTGTGATTATCAGCTTCAATGCAAATTGATGATGCAAATAGGATATCATATGTCCCTTTGATTCAACCTTACTGAAATATTAAATTATTTGTGGAATTTAAGATCTTCGGTCTTGCCTTTCCAAGAACACTCTAGAATGTAGTCTATGAATGGTCATCTTTGTAGGTAAAAACATCTTTGTAGAATTATCCTTATGTTTAGATAATTGGTCCACTTTATTGAAGGAATCGAACTTGGGATTGTGACATGAATCTTGATTTCTTTATAGGAAATTTATGCTAATTAGACTACATAAAGTAGTTTTCAAAGTCACATTCATGCTTAGCTAACACTTAACATACTTTGATTGCTCGAAACAATTCTTGGCACACAAATTGACAACTCAAAGTATAGGCACGGTCCAATGCCCAAAATTGACTCTGACCTGCTGCCTTCTATATATATATATATATATATATACTGGACGACATTTCTATAGTCAAAACAAGAGATTAGTCCAAGTCAACAAAAGATGCAACGTAGACTCTCTAAACTTGTTTCTAACTCTGCAGGAAGTTCACAGCAATTAAATGATGTTTAAGTCTGTCCATCTTTGGACAAATAAATGCACTAGTATTCACTACTTATCTGCTACTGTATTTCTGTATACCTACAATAATCGACTGATAGAACTTGTGCTTATGAATCACCAACACGATCTACCTAATCCATAAAATTCTAAGTAGTTTGGTTCTTTATTGGTTGTAATTTAGGCAAAGTCAAAAATAGGACTTAGCTCCCACATATAAATATTCAGTCATGAATTGGTAGGGAAGAGATGAAGATGGGCCAGCAGGGTGGCTTGTCAAAAGGGTGGAAGTTGTGTAGGTGTCTCTTATTCTTGATAGGGATGTTTCATCTGCCATATGAAAATCGATTCAATGATTTTTTTGTCTAGGAAAAGGACGTGGGTATAGGTTTTTCAAGTTTATCTACCTTTGCAACAAAGGGGAAAGTGAAATCGAATTCCAGGCCAGCAAGGTTTGGGGGGGGAACCCTCAAGGGGGTCATAATTTATTCCTCAATCTTCTCTACTACTACTCAAGTGTGATCTCTTAACTTATTTGGTAATTCGTCACTACTCTTAAATCTGGATTTTTGCTACTTTGGGGCTATTATAAATCTGGTATGCATTCCGCGGCAGTGATTAATGTTTTTGTTTTGATTCAATATAGCTTAATTGAATTACTCAGCAACATATTCTTATGTAGTTATGCCCATCAAAGGACCTCAAAATGCTAATCCACAGAAAACGATCCGAAAAAATTCCAGAGAACTGGCATGAGAGCGACCCGTGGAAATTCCATTGGGTTCAAGGGCAATCCAAAACATCCCAAATTAAATATTTTAAATTTAAAAATTATTAATTATGGTGATTCATTTTTAATTCCTGTCACATTAGTACAATGAATACTGGGCAGCGGAAAATAAAAATAAGTTCCAAAGAAACAACTCGGTTGACAATACGAAAAATTGGAAACTAAAAGCCTGTAGAAATATCTAATTGGATGGTTGGATTCCAATCCACACATGAAAATACTGTAAAAATATAATAGACTGTAAAATATTATCCCTAATTCCCATTATTTGCCATCCCTAATTCCCATGACTTCCACCAAGAAACATCTTTGCTAAATAATGTTCATATTTGGCAACACAAAGCATAGGAAGATTATTAATGCTAAGTGTTGAATTTTGCAATTCAGCATATAACATAACTTTTGTAATTCCATGCATAGGAATGTATTATATTTATACCATAATTCAATTTAATTGTAAATATGTATATATAATATAAACTGTACTAGACAACAAAAGGGATAAAAAAGACACTCTTCTTCATGCCTTTCATAATATACAGAAAACAAAGAACATAAAGTGAGAAATTCAATATCATCAAAGAAATGGACTTCATACCTGCATTTGATTCCTTTCTCTTATGCAGTTTTCTCCTCTTCGACATTACCATTGCCTCTCTCGGCAAGTCCAAGTTCGGGACTCCACACATCCTTTGAAGCCAGAGGGGATGATTTTATAAGTGCCACTGTCTCATCCTTTTCGAACTCTTCAGCCTCATCCGAAGTGTATGCATACCTATTGCATTGGTTCCAAAACCGTAAATTCGGAAAAGAGATCAGAACAGTTTATTGGCCGATACATGATCCATAATCAGCTAGCAAACTAAAAGCAAATTGCTTGCCTCATTGAGTTTTGGGATGGAGCCCAAAGAGCACATATGACGCACAAGAGTGAGAAAGACAACACTTGCCAAAAGGCAGGGATGATCCAGGCGTTACGCCATTGCTCGTTGTACGCATCGTGTGACTTGAAATGGATCTGCAGAGTGGCTCATAATTCATAACATGGTAATGGCTTAAGTGTGTAATACACAAAACATAAACCCGACAAAATATATGGTTAGTGTTTAAGATCAATCTTTTGCCATATCTGGATTCTATGAAACTGTTGCTATGATAATAAACAAGAATTTAATGGTCTATATACTGATTTGCAGCATCACCAAAGCTTCATCCAATTATTTGCTTTCACCTCTTTTGAAGCCCTTATGATAAAATGTCCACAAATTTTAAAAATATATATCCATTAAACCAAAACAAGAAAAGAAAAGGAAAAGCATCTCAACATACAATTCTGATATTATCTCACGAAAAACAGAGTCTACAGTACCTCATAGCAAATCCAGCCAACTGATAATATTACTGAAACTGCTAATGCATTAGTGAACTTCCTGTAAATATCTAATTTTGCCGTCAGTTTCCTAGCCTGTCAGAATCAAAGGAATATGAAAAGAGCAGTTTTTAGTTACATGTAACACTAACTGAATAAAATCATGGAAAGAATGAAACACGAAGAATGCAGTTTGTCACATTGAAAAGAGAGCATGCATACAGAAAAGTAGTGGGAAGAAATGCATCCAATTTTACATCAATAAGGTGCAGAATATAATTCAGATAATCATATCCCTATCGAATGCAAATATAGCAACAGAAATACTATGATGTATTGTTTTTAATTCAAATAAAAACCAAAGAAAACAAAAAAGGCTTAACTACAACAATGAAATTGGGAGGGATATTAAGCATAATTTATTTTGCCACTATTACATTCATGCTCTAATATGTTCACAAACTGTGTGCCAAGTCAAATAGCACATTATACTGAGGTGTAGCAGATTATCGAGGGAATGTAATTTCAACACAAGCAGGTTCTGAATTGATTGTAAATATTAGTAAAGGATAAATAAATAGATCAAAATGCCAAGAATGGCTTTTGTTTCATCTGCTAAACATATATGAATAAAAAGAGAACTACACACCTGAAGCTTATTCAAAGTCGAAGAAAGTGAGGTAAATATCCAAATGATAAAGAAAGCATCCATAATCGCCACAGGAAGGACAAGGAATAGTCTAGCTTTTCCTGAGTGATCACTCACGGCACCAACATTTTCAATCAATTCCAGAACTTCTGATGCCACAAAGAAAGTCCCTCCAAGTAGAAGAACCTTCGATGTAAGACCACCTAAGGTGGGCCTGACTACACCATAACCCATAGACACAATCAGGATAATCAATCTCGATACAGTACGTTTCACAGCTCCAAAAGTAACTGCCCAGACAGTGGTTGAAGTTGGTCTTACTCCACTTCCATTGAACTCAGCATAATCATAATACCACAAAGCCATCTCAAACATTCCAAGCGTTATCACAACTGTAATAGAGTTCTGCAGTGGAAGAACTTCTTTCCAGAATCTTGCGTACTGCGAAAACCAAAAGATTCCAAGCACCACAAATGCTAGAGACATGAACCCATAGAACTTCATGAGCGGCGCCATTCTACCAGGGAGGTAACCGGTAGGATTTTTCCACACAGTCATCCCATCAACAGCAGCCTCCTTCAGTCGTTGATCACAGTGAATGAAATAGACATTATACATTCCTGTTTTTGTAATTTGTATTGATTTTGGATGCAGAATAGTTTCCGTCATGTCCATGCCAAACGAGGTTCCAAATACTTGAGGCCAACCTGGATTATCAACTGAAGGGCGGTGAATTATTTCACCTTCCTTGCAAACTCCTAGTTTTGCAAGATCTGCTGTGCAACACACAGCTCTCTGCCCCCCATAGGCAGACCCCCCTATAGTCTTCCTATCATCTACCTCAAACACAACTGCATGAATTGATCCTGAGCTGAAATTAGAAAACTCCATTGGCCTCCGGAATATAACCTTTTCAAACCTGTCATCGAATGGAGAGCATAAGAAACTTGTAAAAGAAATGTACCATAAAACACAATCAATGTTCTTCAGCAAGCATGGATCTCAAGAGATAGATTTATAAAAAAGTAATCTCACTCTTCAAAAACTGATGAAGTGAATATATTAAGCAACCTAAAATTTCAATTTCCTTATCACTTTCTAACAGGAAACTGCCATGAGGCTTACAATTCAGAAAAACAAAAGCCATTTCGTAGGTATACTTGAAATACAAAATTAGCAACACTTGCACACAGAACTAGGTTACAATGCAAACCAACATTTATCTTCTCAAAATTTGATCCTAAATGGCCTACCATTGAAAGGAAGGCATATTAATAAAACTGAATGGTTCCAGCTACCTAAATACTGCATTTAAGGCTCTTCAGCCAATTTTCATGTGTGACGTAGGTTCGAGCTGATATCTACAAATTTAGCATCATTGCATCAAACTGTTCGCAGAAATTCAGCAATGGAATAAGTAAGATTTAGCGACGAAATCAAAATCAAGCAGGCATTATTAGATATACTTCAACATAATGAGCGCTTAGAAGCACAATACTAATGATATTGAACGCTACATTCACAAGCAAACAAAACAACCTTCGCGCGATCTAATCCTCACCGACGGGAATGGATACCGAATTTCAAAGCCAAATTCAACACCACTCTCCATAAAAACATACCTTTTAACAGATTCAAACCAAAACCACACAGCTACACTCATTACCTTAAGCAAACAGACAAAATAAACTCCATCAAAAAGAGAGTACCTAATAAAAGATCCCCCGGGGTATGACTCATTGAGTTCGGGTGCCGACGAGTAAATCCCCTCGCTTCCGCCGTGTACAACAAATGCATTGCCCTTACTGACGAACTTCTCCCCATCGTACTGATGGACGGATGCTTCAATGCAAACCGACACCAGCGACAGGATTGCGATTACGAAGCTCAATCGAAGCATTTCCGCCGCGCGGAATTCGAATTGAGCTTAAGATCTGGTGTGGAGATAGTCAGTCGATCCCGGCGAAGGAGACCACCACCAGCGGCACCTCGACACAGAATTAGCGTCGTCGAGGTCGAGCACAGTTTATCTGTGGCGCTATCATCACTCTGGGCAGGTCACCTACCTAATCGTCACCGCACATCTTGCTCGATTCTACGCGATCACGCCACGTCAGCAGATTCAACGCGCTACCGGTCGTAGCAGATTCCAATCGACTTATCGTTACTTTGGCGCTGTCGGCGACTTCGGGTTTACTTGTTAGTGCATCTCCAATCCCAGCGCCTCGCATTTTTAGCGTGGGTTGTCTCCAACCCATACCAAATTCAATGCGTTGCTTTATTTGTTTTTAATTTTTTAATTTTTTAAAATTATAAATTTTATTTTTATTTTTAAAAAATTTTATTTTAAATTATAAAAATAAAAAATTATTTAAAATAATAAAAAAGATTGAATATTTAAAAAATAATAATAAAAAATATAATTATTATTAAAGTAAAATTAATGTACAACTGCATTAGTTAAAAGTGAATAAATATAGATAATGGATTGGAGATGCCTCACTGCAAACTATTTCAAATTGAAGTAATATTAATTAATTCATTTATGGTTTCTATTATTTTTATTTTTATTTTTTATTTTTATCATTTTAATGTTTATCCCCTAAAAAGTATACATCGAAGAATTCAATAAATTATACTCCTTCCGTCCACACATAAAGTATACAATTATTTTTAGCGCAGTATTTAAAAAATAATAATATTTTAATTATAATAGATAATTAAAAATAGTGTAATGACATTTTTGCTTTGCTTTTTAATATATAAGTAATGTAAAGTAAAGATATTTGTAGAAAAAAAGTAAGGAATTTAATAAAATATTTACTTTGTAATTGAACGTTCCAAAATAGAAATATGTATACTTTATAACCGGACGGAGGGAGTATTTTAATGAATCGAGATGTATTTAAGAAAAACTTTCTGTTTAGACTAACAAAAATAACAAAAACTTTTGAGGTAGATTGTTCCTTTTAAGTTTCTCTTCAATTTATTATCATAGTCTTTATGGTTCTATTTACAAGACATATTTTCAATTATTTGGTATTATTTATTTTTCAAAAATTATTACATCAAATATATTTTTTTCTCACAAAATATAAAATCAAATACTAATATGTTTTTTTTTAAACTTCTAAATTTCTAAAAACCTCTGTCATGTGAAATGTCTATATTTAAATGAAAGACAGTATTCTTGTGTTTTAATTTGATACTAATATTCATATAGATAAATGTAAGCTTAAAAATATTTATAACTTATAATGCCTTCAAACTTACTAAAGATATATACATATATATTTTATGTATAGACAATATATATATATAGTTTTTATCGATTGATAGAAAAAATATATTTTTTTATAAAATATTAAATCAAATAATTATTTATTTCAAATTCTCAAACCCCGAATCCAAAAAAAAAAAAAAAAAAAAACTCACAAAGAAACATAATTTGTTTATTTAATTAGTATTTTAATTTGAAAAATTCTGTGAAACTCAAAGATCACTAGCTGAGTTGAGCTGGTGAGTATTTTCCATAAATACCAAATGAGCAAACTACAATGTGTCTGTCTGTCTATACATACAACCCAACAATAGTTCCAGCATCCTTCCAAACGACAAAACACCATGGAAGGAAGGATCATTCAGACACATCAATTTACTTCCAAACAACCAAGACAATTCACAGTTCATAACTTACAAGTAACTTGTCTGTCTTCCAATTTCCAAAACAAAAAAAGACAACTAATAATCTATTCCAAAACCTTCTCGGACATACCATGTTTCCGATAAATCGATCATTTTTCCAAGAAACAGCTCTATAACAAAGATCAATCCATATCGAGGAAGTCCATCCTCTTCTTCATCATACCTTTGAGATCAGAAGCTTCCCTGTCTGCTTTCTGCGCCTGCGCACAAATCAAAAGCATAAATAACGCTGGCGAAGATCGATACGGAAATGTAGCATGAACTAAGCTCACCCTTTTTATCTCTGCTTCGGAAACACGGGTCATGTGGGGAGGAAGCTCCTCCTTGTCCAAATCCTGACCAAAATCGAATCAATGGATAATGCGTGGTAAGGAAGAAAGGGATGCAGTAAGTTACGATAATAATTCTCAGAGTACATACCAGCTCCCCGATTAAGACAACATTTTCCCCTCGGATTATATAAAGACCCAACGGAATGTCGCAATAGAGTTCGCCAACAATAACACGTTCGCAAGCGCTTTCTATAACAGCATTAGCTATGGAAAAGAAAAAAGATATCAACTCGTGTTAGGTAGACAGTAATTACGATTAATGGCCTGGTCGGTATGCAATAAATTCAAACTCGTACCAAATTGATCAAATGAACGGAGAATCCCTAATAGCTTCCGGCCATCTCGAAGTAACACTAGTAGTTTCTCTGCAAGAATACGGACAACTTTAATCACAGTTCCGAAGGTAATAAAATTAGGTAAAAAGAATTGTACTTGAAATATGAAAAGACAGCCATCACATTAACACAATTACAACTGCATTATCTGATATGATCAAATGTTCGACGATCATTACAATTTCATAAAAACATATATAGAGATCAATCAAAGTCTATTGTGATCTAAATACACACACAGTTACTTCATTCATCAACGATCGAATCAAATACCTGCAAGAATTCATTGCTTATTGACTAAAAATCCAGAAATGCAAAGAACTCTAGTGAACTGAAATTACATGTAAGAGAACATTTCACCCCCAAATGTCCAAAAAATATTCGATGAACTCTCAGAAGATTAGCAGACAGATTTAATAGAAACCATATATTTAAGCTCGAAATACTGATTGCAACAGAGGCTCCAAATTACAAAATACATTAAAATGATCCAATCACTAATGGCAATATTCAAATTCCAATAAAAATGGAGAAACAAAACCACCAATACATGTCGATTCCAACAGCAGGAAATGCCAAAAACAAGCACATACAATTATCTAAACTATCAACTTCAATAGCACAGTCGTCAAGCAATCAATAAAACCTTACTGTCGAGATAGCTGGCAAGAGATGTCGAGAGGTAAATATCTTCGGGGCCTGCCCACGACATGGATGAACTAAAAACAAAAGATCTTCTAAGTTTTCGGTATTACCAAAAATTCCACCGAAAAATCCAACAATTCCAATTAATCAAATGCACTAGCAGCTCAAAATCGCTCGCCCAATTTATCACCCATTCACCCTCCTCTCAAAACAGGAAGGAAAAGCAAAAAATGAAAAATAAATAATAATCCTGAAACTTCGACAAATTAGCGAAATCTGAATTCGAGAAGGAAAAGGTTCATCTGCAGAAGAAGATCTATAAATGAAGGAAATTTTTGTGTTGACTTTCTGCCGCGCAGATCTGACCTCGGAAAACCCTAATTTCTCACGGGTTCAGCCTGCCCACAAATTCCCGGGAGGAATTCCGAATCGATTACGATCGATTCAAGTGTGCAAAGCCCAGCCATTAACGTACTGGCACCAACTAAATGTGTTCAATCCTCACAGGGATTTCTCTGCAATTTTCTGCATTTCCTCTTATTTCTATCTCAGGCCTTGATGTTTTAGAGATTTGTGTTTTGAACCATATGGCATGATACTACGTTGTCCAAGGGAAGAGAGTTAAATAACATGAATTTATATGCTGATAAATTTGGCAGATTTTCGATTTTACTATTTTAATTATTTTTAAAAAATATTAAATTAAATATTTTTAAGATTTTTTTATTTATAGAATTTGATTTTCGATTTTATTATTTTAATTATTTTTTTAAATAAATATCAAATTAAATATTTATTTTTTATTTATTATAATATTGTACTAAAATTAAATTTTATATTCAAAACATCAAAGCAAGTATGATGGGCTCATACGAGTAGAAGAGTTCATTAGCGGCAGATCACGAGGGCTTTCAAACTGAGCTCTAATACTAGAATTGATATTCGGCCAATTCAACTCTAAATATGATATTGTCGGAGAATTTGGATTGACTCCACATAATTTTTTTTAAAAAACTTACTCCAAAAGTCTTGTACTAATGGAATTCATTTAACACTTTCAAAGAGTGAAATTTTCACTTCTTCCAACGTTCGAATTTAGCTGACACTCAACAAAAAATCAAAATCAAAATATTATGAGGTAAGACAAAAATGATTTGTTATGTAACTAATAGAGTCTATATATATTTTTTAATTTTTATGAAACTTAATAATTTAATACAATTTTTTTACCTTTCTTTTTTTTAAAAAAAAATACACATTAAACTAGTACACTGTACACTAAACAAAAGACACCGAAAATTTCTTAGACATTTCCGGTCCACGCGTGAACAAAAGTCTCCTTGATCAAGTTATCATTCTTCTTCTTCTTCTGCAATTTCTGCTAAATACACATCGCACGAAATGCACCCCAATTTCCCCAACTCTCTTCTTCTCAATTTCTCCTAATCCTAATCTTACATATATATTTATATATATACATATGCTCATTCGCAGCCTCAATCCGATCAGGTTCGTTTCCCTGCACTTGTGTCCAATTACAGACATAAGAAACCTCGCGCAGCCATGACCGACGCAGTGATAACAGTAATCCTGACGCAAGTCGTCACGATTCTGGACGAACAAATCCGGCAAGAGATCCGATTAGTGACCGGCGTCGGGAAAGAGGTCAAGAAGCTCAAGACCGAGTTCGAGTCCATCAAAGCCGTCCTCGTCGACGCCGAGAAGAGACGGGTCGAGGACGAAACCGTCAAGGTATGGCTCGACAACATCAAGGACGTTTCCTACGACACCGAGGATGTCCTGTCCGAGTGGCTCACCGCTATCCGCAAGGCTCAGATCCATGGCCTCCAAAACCCTTCCAAGGTCCCTTTCCCTTCCCTCACCTATTTTAACCTAATCAACTCTCCATTTACTAATTTACCTCATTATTACAACATACTTTACTTACAATTTTATTTTAATCTTCAATTGTTCCGACAGATTCATTCCTTCCTCACTCTACCTTGCGTCGGTTTCAACAGAGTCGCCCATCGTCGCGACATAGCAATCAAGATAAAGAAAATCAACGAGAGGCTCGCTTCGATCGCTACCGACAGATTAAGGTATAAATTCAACGTCAAAATACCTCGCAATGAATACATTGATAGGATTAGGACAACCTCATATGTAGACATATCTCAAGTCCAAGGTCGGGAGTTAGACAAGAGCACTCTAATAGCCAAATTGATATCTCCTAGGAATAAAAAAACCAGTCTAAACATAATGTCCGTGATCGGGTTAGGAGGCATTGGCAAGACAACCTTAGCACAGGTAGCATACAATTCGAGCGAAGTTATCCGAGAATTCGATTTGCGGATTTGGGTGTGTGTGTTGGAGCATTTCGATGAGGTCCGAATAGCGAAAGCCATATTAGAAGACGTGGAAGGGAGCGCACCGTATTTGTTCGAGCTTGAAACAGCTGCGCGAAGAATCAGACAGTGTATACGAGGGAAGAAGTTCTTACTTGTGTTGGACGATGTTTGGACAGAGGATTTTAGGAAATGGGAGCAGCTTTGGAACACTTTGAGCACGGGCAGTCCGGGCAGCGCCGTGCTCGTGACCACTAGAAGCGAGAGGGTTGCGAAAGCAATGGGGAGTAGCTACGATCTGCGGTTAGAGGAGTTATCGAGGAATGATTCTTGGACATTGTTTGAGAAAATAGCGTTCCACGAACGGAGTAGGGAGGAGTGTAAGAGATTCGAGGTTGTCGGAAGGCAGATTTCGGACAAGTGCAAGGGGCGGCCCCTTACCGTTAGGACAATAGCCAGTTTGATGAGGTCGAAAACATCCTTACAAGACTGGTCCGAGGTGTTGGCGAGCGAGATTTGGGCGTTGAAGGAAGCCAAGGGGCTTTTCCCACCGTTGATGCTGAGCTACGACGATCTCCACCCGTCCCTGAAGCCGTGCTTTTTGTTCTGCGCTGTCTTTCCTAAGGATCATGTAATAAAGGCGGACGATCTGATCAAGCTATGGATGGCGCAGGGGTATCTCGAATCGAGTGATCCGAGTGTTGCGATGGAGGATTTAGGACACGAGTACCTCCAGAACTTGGCGATGAGGTCGTTTTTCCAGGACATGAAAACCGAGAAGGACGGGAATAGGATCGTAAGCGTGAAAATGCACGATATGGTTCACGACTTCGCGCATTACCTAACGAAGAACGAGTGCTCGATTCTCGAAGTCACCTCTGATTTAGAGCGAAAGATCGAGTTAGGCCACGAAAGGGCGCGCCATATGACACTGATACGATCGGAAGACGGGCCTTTCCCTAAAGTCCCGAATGTCGAACGCCTGTCGACGTATTGGGTGCAGTCTTTTTACGATTCGCCACCGATCGTGAGCAAGGATGACCGAGTCGAAGCCGAGTTCTTCGATCGATTGCCGCGTCTCAAGGCTCTCGATTTGAGCCGTAACCGTATAGGCGAACTTGCTAAAGAAATCGGGAATTTGGTACTGCTAAAGTTCCTAAACTTATCCCACAATCCGATTCACGAGCTACCCGATAGTCTCTGTGAGTTATACAATCTGCAGACGCTGAAGCTTTCCGCCTGCAGCCGATTACGAAAGTTGCCGCAAGGAATCGGGAAGCTCGTGAACTTAAGACATGTCGAAATTGATCGAACGGACAGCCTCAAGACACTGCCTAAAGGGATTGGTGAAATGGAATCGCTTCAGACACTAAGCAAGTTCGTCGTAGGTTGCGGGAAGGACACGATAGGAGAAGCGACGTGCAAGATCGCAGATTTGAACAAGCTTAACGATCTCCGAGGATGTCTGAAGATCGAAGGGCTGGGGTGCGTTACGAACGTCGACGAAGCTAAAACAGCTAAGCTCCACGAAAAGAGCTCGCTCGTCGACGTCGAGATGAATTTCAGCCCCGCGAACAAAATTGAGCGGCAAGAGGAAGTGATCGAGGCCCTCGAGCCGCAGAAAAACTTGCAGTGCTTACAGATTAGTTCTTACAAAGGCTTGAAACTTCCGAAGTGGATAATGACATTAACAGATCTGCGGAAACTGTGTCTGAAGGACTGCCCGAGCTGCGCGGATCTGCCGCCGCTGGGGAGGCTGCCGTCGTTGGAGACGCTCCACATCGAAGGCATGAGTAGTGTGAAGGTTCTTGGGATCGAATTCTTGGGAGTCGGCGCAGAGAAATCGACGGCATTCCCGATGCTGAAGCAGCTGAAGATGTTGAGAATGGAGAGCTGGGAAGAGTGGAAGATAAGTAGCGACAACGAGAGCGAGCGATTCGAGATGATGCCACGCTTGCGCTGTCTGAAAATCGTGCATTGCGCGAAGCTGAAGGCGCTGCCGGTCGATATCCTGAGGAAGCGATCGATCGGAAAGCTGCGAATCGAGCAGTGCAGCCGGCGGCTGGAGGAGGATTATTACAGAGAAACTGGCGTGGAGTTGAGCAAGATTCCACACATTGCCAAAATCCGAGTTTGTTATTGAGCGTGTGTAATGTTAATATTTTACGAAAATTGAAAAATTGCATTGTATTGATTTTCAAAATAAAAGGTCGGACTCAAATTTAAATAATTCATATCTACGATAAAATCAAATCTCAATCTATTAAATTTAAAACTGAATATTTAAAATATGTCAAATATTTGATGTGTATTTATGTGTAAATTCATCAGTTGATCCATTCCTTCCTAGGGATGGTTAATGTTGTTGTTTGTTAGTGATCGATTCTATTTTCTCCTTCTTTAATAATCTTTTTTTTTTTTAATTTTAATCTATTTCATAAAAAAAAATTGTCAATTTGTAATTGTACTATTTACCTACCATTATAAATACTATTTCAATTTATAATATATTACACAAATGTTATTACATTTATATCATACAATACTAACAGGGTTAGTTTAATTTTTTTTACTTTTATTTTACTACATCTTAATACTAATATTTGTAAAAGTTACATGCAAAAAGCAAATGAATACATAAATACGAGAACGAATGCAATATTACAGTGCATGCATTAGAATTGATCCAAATGATAGGAAGATTTTTTAACTATAATCATTCAAAATTTTAACACAGCACTTATCGGGATGGATTAAATAAATGTTTGTAGTAACGTTGTATTAATATATTTTGTTAGGTTAGAAATCTAACTTATAGTGTATGAAATTATAACATTTGATATCAATTATATGATATATTTATATTATATTAATATAATTCATATATATATATATATTATATATCTATATATAGTGCAGTTATTATAATACTCGTTATATGTACAGTCAAAATGACAATAATAGATATTTTATATATATATAAGTTTAAATATAATATGATGATAAGCCATTGTTACAGTACTATCTAAAATTCACTTGGACTAGGTTGATGAAATATTGACAAAGATCACTCCTAAATTTTGATAGCTTTGTACATGAAAAAGGAAAAAGGGACTCTTATTTAAATATTAATATAAATAACATAAAATAATAATTTTATATTATTTATTTTATTTTATAAAATTGGTTTTTTTTATATTTAATAAAAATATATTAGTTTTTTTTGCAAAATATGATTAAAGATACATTTAAATCAATTAAAATTAAAAATTTAATATTATACTATGTAGGTCTTATAAATATGAATATTAATACTATAAAACAATTAAAGATGTAAACTGTCAGCAAACAACAATGATCCATACAACAGTTATTTATCTATTAATTCACAAGCAATTTATATTTTAAAGAGGCTATAACTAAATATACGTTTGCAATATAATCTTATTGTTTCGAATTCTAGTGGAAGTATTGTTCCATGATGAATAAATTTTATTTTATTTTTTTACAGAATATTATATATAAATATTATTTAACAAAAATTCGAATAAATATTTAATTTGAAACCAATTACTTACCAATCATTTCAAAAGAATAGAAATATTTAAACCCATCATGGTTTTATTGACTAATCAAATAAATTGTTTTGTTTGATATGCTTTGGCTTCTTTTTTTCTTTTTTTTTTTAATTATTTAAATAATAACTGAATATAAGATCTTATACTTTTTAAATATATTTTAATAAATAAAAAAATAAATATTTAAATATAACATAGACATGAAATATGCTTGGCATTTTGGATTATTTTGAAAATCGTAATTTTAAATTAAAAAAATATAATATATATTTTATATAAATAACATAAAAGCAAAGTTTAAAACATATGTAATTAAAATTACTGATTCTGCATGAGGCTAATAAATAGGGATGTCAAATGGGCGAGGTTGGGTTCGGGGCAGGTTATGGATTTTACTAAAAACCCGTCCCAACCCGAACCCGGATATTTTTTAAAATTATTATAACTAATATATATGTACATTTATATAATAAAAATATATTATTTATTTACTTAAATAATTTTAAATATAAAATTCAATTAGTCGTCTGCTCCAAAAAAATTTTTAAAATTGTTATACCTAATATATGTATATTTATATAATAAAAATATATTATTTATTTATTTATCTTATTTTTATGGATTGTTTTTAAATTTTTTTTTGCTTTTAATGCTATTTGTTTTAGTATTCGATTGTTAAAAAAATATTTATTATTATATATTTTTTTAAAAAACGGGTTGGCCCCGACGGATCCTGGGGCCGGGTGGAAGTGGGGCGGGGCGGGGCGGATCTCAGAGCCTAATATTTTCTAGCGGGACGGGTCTCGGGCCTGCAGAACCCGCCCCGAACCCGCCCCGTTGACATCCGTAATAAATATATCAATTTTGGTTCAAAGTGAATTGTAAGATATTGCCATTAAAAACACCATTGCAAATTGCAATATAAAGCCTTTGCTTTCTATCACCAACAAGGATGTGTTTCATTTTGCACTTGTGGCCAAAACAAAAAATAAATAAATAAATAAATAAAAATTAAATTAAATTAATACATAAATGAATTATATCAAAGCAGTTCCCAGATATACTGAAACATCAATTTTAAATTTAATCATCAATTGACAATACAAAAATCATCAATTTTCTTCTATATTAAAATTATTATAAATCTTATTTGCAATTGGAAGTGACTGACATGCCTGTTTGTGGATGTACCTCTGCACATACATTTTGTTCACAAATTTCTGTGACATGGAAATAACAAGAAAATGACTTAATTGTCTCAATTTCCTATAATATATATTTCTTAAAATTAAAATAAATTCATTTTTCTATATTCGTAGCCAATAAAAATAAATTAGCAGGATTATTCATTTTAATGAAATCATTTCACTATGACAAAGAATATAATAAAACTTAAATAAGAAATGAACAAGTTTTGTGTTGGGAAATAAATAATTAATTAGAGGGTTTTCGGCCACACTTTATGATTGGATTACATTCAAAATGGCCCACAAATATATGATCAAAAAATAACATAAATTACTGGTCATAAGTTTAAACCTCCGACGCCTCAGGTCACCGGCCACACATGGATTTAATTTGCAAAATATTAAAAAATAAAAAAAAAAATTGATATTTAGATAAATTTGTACTTTGTATTTAAATAGGAGTTGAATGAAATATTTTATATAAAAATAATATATATGCATATTTAAAAAGAACAAAGCTTAAAATTTTTCTATAAAAAAAATAAAAATCCGTGGAGCATCAATTTTATATGTAATACTTACATTTTATTTAAACTTTTTATTCTTTTTAAAAATAATATAAAACATAGAACTACTTCTAAACATGATAGTTTCATTTAGATATTTCTTTTTAAGTTTTAAAAATTTTTATTTTTGTAAATATAAAAATAGTTGAGTATTTCTATGATATTTTACAAAAAAATAAAATTTATTTGACATAATATTTTTTAAAAAATTTATTATTAATTAATAGCATCAAAATATATACTATATATTATGTCATTTTTATAAATATATTTTGATTTTAGCACGATAATCAAAATTTTAAAAAATATATATATAAATATATCTAAATGGAATCGTAATCTTCAAAGGATATTCTGAAATGGGAAAAAATCTGGTTGCTTTCAAGCATTAATAATCCGTGAGTGGAAGTAACCAATCCTTGATCCTTTCAATACAATGACGCAACTATTGAATTATTATATATTTATATTCTACTTATTAATTTATTTATGTACCAAAATTAATTAATAGTTATGTTAATTTTAAGAGCCATTAAAATTTCAAACTTTGTAATTAATGTTTCTGTCGATGAACAATTGATATACTTTTATTTTTAAGTAAATTTATCAATATTAAATATATTTAATAAATATAAATTAGTTTAATTAAATTTTTAATATTTTATATTTAAAAATCATTCAAAATCTTTTTATTTTTATATTTTTTTCAATAATTAAATATTTTATTTATATTTAAAACTCATATTTCTTTTATAAAGTTATTTATATTAATTATAAATAATTTATTTATTTTAATTTTATTATAAATATAATATTTTATTCTTTTAAAAAAAGTATTGCATTATATTCCCTCCGTTCCTCCAAAATTAGTGACATTTCATATTTAAATAATAAGAACTCTGAATCAAACATTAAATAAACAAATCATACAAATTTGTCTTAATAAATAAGAGTGACAATACTCACTACAGTGTTGAAAGCACACAATATAAACACAGACAATACACAATAGAAAAATATATGTTATATGAATTATGTTAACATATGATATAAAAATAAACAACAAATCATATAAAGATATGCAATATATAAATTATTTTAACATAATACAAATGCAACGACTAAGAAGTGCTCCCATAAAATTCAAAGTGCTCCAAAAGTGATAGTAGTGAGCAGTGGCAGAACTGGCCACGGAACACCGGGTGTAGAATATCATCTATTTCTGCATATCCAAGATGGTGTTTTTTTTTTATTATTATAAATAAAATAATAAAAAAAAACCCTTACAATTTAAAGTACAAATTAGTATAATTATATAAATATTTTATATTTTATCCTAAATAGCATGCACTCAGGTATTGCACAACCAAAACAGAATATGATGATTCTTATTGTCCAAAATTCTAAATTGACAACATAATCTTCAATCGAGAAGTGAAATCTACAATCACAATTGGTTCGGTAGAGGAACATGTGACAAAACAATTAATTTACAACACGTCATAATTTTATACCAATGAAAAAAAAAATTATAAGTTGCATCTAAATAGTATAATTATTCCTAAACAAGATAACAGTGATAAGAGAATTGACATTCATACGAATCCATGTTAAAAAGAAGAGAAATAAATAATCAGGGTTTCAAGATTACAAACAATGTCAAATATATACGAATCAGATAAAGAAAAAATTAAATATTATTTTTTTTTTAAAAAAAATGTAAATAGACAAAATTCAAATAATAAAATATGAAAAAAAAAAAAAAAAAAAAAAGACAAAAAGCCATAAAACCTTGGCTGCTAAACTAACACACCATTAAATAACCATCCATCAGCAGCTATGCATACATATTACATACGATACGACACCAACACTGAGGCGATGGGGTTTAGGCACCTGTCCCTTTCCAACTCATACTTTCCCATCTTAATTTACTTTATTACATGCTCCTCCCTCCGTTCTAAATACTGTGTAATATTTATATTTGATATATAAATTTAAAATAAGAGTATTAAATATGATAATTTGAATGAGAATTTAGACGGAGACTATTAAATATGATAATTTGAAATAATTTGAATATAAAATGATATGATTGGAGAGAGAAATAATTATTTGTGTTTTTAGTTGAACGATGTGATGAGATAAAATAAAATATATATTAATATATATACAAACAAAAATAAAAATATTGCAGAGTGTTTGAGACGGATGGAATAATATTTTATACTATAAAATTAAATAGTGCCGAAATTTATATAAATAGAGTCGATATTTTGTTGCATTTTATCCCCCTTTCTCCCTTTTTCATTTTTAAGTAAAATATATATATATATATATATATATATTTTTAAGATCACGGATTCTCTAAGTCTAATAGAAATAATATATTCTCAAGAAAATGACATTCTTAGCCGTGCATTACAAAAGAATAGTATTGAACTATTCCTTCGCATTGTATTGTTTGGGATAATGACATCATTAGCAGCGTAATCAAACTTAATTATTCTTACACCTCATCTACCCGCCCAATTAAAGAAAGATCCGGAAACTTGCTCCATCAGTATTGCAGCTAAAACATCAATTAACTAATTAAAAAGAATATACCTAACAATAATCACCATTAATATAGTAATTAAGCAAACCAAATATATATTTTTTTAATATTTATAATAATTGGACAGCTCAGCCAATGCTGAGCTGGCAAATTGACCCGGGTCGACCTGAATCCGGCCAATCATTGACCCAACTTTTTCCAACCAAACAAGCCCTTATATTAATTACCACTTACAAATACATACACATATACACACAGTCTCCATCTCTCTGTTCTTCCTATTTCAGTGCAATTCAATACCGATTCAAGAACATCGTCGATCGAGTTCAGAGTTTCTGTTGTGGACGTCAAAAGCTAATAATCCATCTCGCCCCTTTTCGGCTAAAGCTCACTGCAATTGATTTGGATTCGATTTGGGAGAGGAAAAGGAAATCTAAATTTGTTTTCTTCGCAAAATTAGGGCTTTTTGTTTCCCCTTTTCCTTCCTGAAATGTGTTTAATGCGCACATTTTTCATTCCTGAGGAAGCTAAGGTTGGAGAAGAAGGCGAGTGGGAAAAGGAGAGATAGAACAATTAGTGAAAGCGACGGATTGATTCATCGTCACCGCTGTTGTTCTTATTATTAATTTCAGTAAAGCTTATACAGAATATACACAGCTAGCGTTTACACTAGGAATTGGAGATAATATTCCATCGTACAGCTTCGATTTTAATCTGCTTTACTAGGTAGGGTTTCTTTTCCTCTTGTTCTTCTTCTCCTTCGCCGTTCCTTTCTCCTTACCGATCTGGTTTTGGATCTAAGGTTTGGTATTTTGATTGTGATTTAGTTTGATTTGATTTCTTCTTCAGAGATGTCGACGAGCTTAATTACTGATTCGATGGCGACCAAAATTTCTGGTCAAAATGAAGTCGATTTCGCGAAATGCGATTGCTGCGGGCTTACCGAGGAATGCACTCCTTCCTACATCGAAACAATTCGCCAAAGGTGATTACAGTGGACTGAAATTCTTCTTTTTCATTCAATCTAGTTATCTTTCTTCACTCTGTGTTCTTTCGATTCCTTACAGAGTAGCTTTGATTAGAATTCTTCCTTCCATGGTGCCATTGATTGCTTTCTTTTATCTCTCTGTATTGATGATGATTTTTGCAGTATTCTTGATGAACATTGAATCTTATTTATTTATTCCATTAGAGTTCTTGTTGGGAAATTTGTCTCTTGTAATGTAATTGCTGGCGATATAATCCATGGATGGATTTGTTGATAGTTTAGATCAGTTTCTTGTTGTGGCATTTGTGAATTAAGAGCTTCAAATTTAAATTCCTTATCAGATATGGTGGAAAATGGATCTGCGGCCTATGCGCCGAGGCAGTTAAAGATGAAATCGTTCGTTGTCAGAAGCTGATAAGCCCTGACGAGGCGATAGACAGGCATTTCAGCTTCTGCAACAAGTTCAGAACCTCCGGGCCGCCACAGGATCCAACGGCTCATCTGATCCGTGCGATGAGGCAGATTTTGATGAAGAGTTTGGAGAGCCCGAAATCTCTGAGATCAATGCCGAGTAGCCCGATGAACAAGGGCGGGGAGCTCAAATTGAAAGGCACGGTACTGGCGAGGTCGGAGAGCTGTATGTCGAGCTTAGCCCTTGTCGATCCGTAGGGATAATGTCGAAATAATCGAAGAGGAAACCGGAGAATGGGTAGTTCTTGATCTTGATTTAATACATGAATTATGTAAGATGTGAAGAGAATAATAACAAATAATGTTTTATGGATTGACAGCAAAATAGAAGCAATTGGTTAGTACTTGATTTTGTATAGAATGTTATTGTCACTCTATTCGATCTATTGCTTGTGAATCCATAAATATTCTTGAGTGTGTGTGTGTTCTTGAATCTTGTAAGTGAGAATATTTGTTAAATGAATCATTGCATTTTGGTGATATAAGTTAGTTTCTTGTTGCGTTCAATTTTTTTTTTACTAAGTAAAAAATAACTAAAATATCACATCGAACTATTATTTAGACGCGAATCAAGAACACATATCTTTCTTGATTTGAGCATATTTTCTTGTTACAAACTATTTTCCATTGGGACCCAAATCTTGTTGGAAGTATTCAAATGTGAAAAAGAATACAAAAGTGTTGGATGATGCTCATGTCTTGTGGGTTGGAAGCATATGTTCCATGTGGGACAATGACGACGTGGATGATACATATCCACTCTACACATTGCTAAAAGAAAAGAATATCTAGTCCTGTAAGGATGACCTGGTGGTGTAGGAGTTGGATTTATAATCGTAAGAACCTGACACACATAGTTCGCCTAGTGTAACTTTAGGTAGCGGCTACGGATTCTCACGTCGTAAAAAAAATAAAAATGTAGTTGCGATAGGACAAGTTACTAACGTTAGGTAGGTTATAGATTCAAACACCGAACGCTTATAAATTTTGTTGTAAAATATGATGCCTCTAGTGTGATTTTCTTCGTTCAAGGACGTGTAAGAGCTGCAAGTTTGACATGTAAGGACTATTGCCCTGACGTGGAAGGACTGTTAAGTTGGTGTGGTAGATGAACTTGTGACAGTGAAATTGACAAATTTTGTTCTTTTATTATTGGCCTAATTTGCATGTTATTATGATCGGTCAGAATTACCCAATGCCCACTTTGGAAGTAAAATATATATTTTTTACACGGGCCAAATCCATTTATTTATTTATTTATTTTTTGTTGCAATTATAAGTGTTATTCGAGACAAGGGTTTCAATTTTTATTTGCAACCAACATCAATGATGATGTCCCATTGCAAATAATGTTGTTATTTGACAATAAGAGAGTAGGGCATGTTAGTTGCATAATAAGGTCAAGACCACGTAATATCTCTAGTGTTTTCTCCATGAATTAATATGATCAAGATCCGATTTTTTTTTTTTTTTTTTTTTTTTTTTTTTTTTTTTGTGAAAAAATAAAATCCCTACCACTATCTCAAATGTCCTCACTATATATTTCAATTTAATTCAATTAATTTATCAACTAAGCATATGCTTACTTTCAATAAATAATTTAAATATTAAAACTAGTTAATATCAATCAAGGTAGAAGAAAAAACCACTTGCTTCATCTTCACTACAATAATAATAAGACAAACAAATATGAGTTGTTTCTATTAAGACATTTTCTTTAAAAAGTTATTGTTTTGATCCAACACTTTTTATTGCAACTTTTATCATCTAGAACAATCAAATCAAATATTTATTTTTTATTTAATATATTATATAAAAAAAAAATTAAAATTTTAAAACATCATTTCACATTCTTGTGTATATTAGGGAAAACTCGAACCATAATAATATTAGTATAAATATAAGAATAAGATGGAAAAAGCAATCATAAGAATGGCAATAATTGAAAGCAGTTGTTATGATCAATTTTGGCATTTGTTAATACAACTGATCTTGTGCATTTTATATTTTCATTTTTATTTTTCGTATTATATACTATTATTTTTTAACATTAAACCATCATTTTTTAATTATATGTCAATCTCGTGCACATACACAATCAATAATTTTTCTATAAAAAAATAAATCAATATATATATATTTATTATATGCAATTCAGACTTGCTTCTCTAAACTATACAATTATTTAGTTTTAAATAAAATTATCAAATTATGACTGAATTCAATCATTTTAGTAATTTATATTTATTATTTCCCTCTTTATTTAACTAGCAAACACAAATTGTATTTGTTTTGTGAGATAATTTAAAATGATATATTTTTTTTTTTTACACAAGTTATAAGAAATTATGTGAAGAATATTAAAGTAATGAATATGTATAATATATTAATATTTTTAGAAAAATATATATGTATTTTTTATTAAAAGAAGACGATCAAATCTGTTTTTATTGAGTTTAGTTTCTTCACAAATTTCTACAAAAACTCATTATAAAAAAAAAAATGAGGATTCTAGGAGCACTTAAATAACTAGACATATGCCACTAGAAAATTATCCTAATTTCTAGCATTATATTATTATTATCATCTATAAAACAAGTATTAAAAATTGGGTGTGTTTGTTTTCTCAGTTCAAATAAAAAAAATATTGCTTACACTATTTTTCTCACAAAAATTTAAACCAAATAAAAAAATTTATTATTTATTTTGCACATTTTTTCAATAAAAATATCATTCATATTAATCCACTAGTATGTTTTTTAAAATATTTTTATTTAATTTCACAATTAATCAATATAACATTATATAGGCCCATAAAATTCTGTGTTTTAAATTTTGGATCTAATAGACAAATAGGCATGAAACTGGATTAAAAATGAATATATTTGAATTATTTATATTTGAAAATTTTCATTATTAAAATTTATCATTTTGTTATAGGAACTATTCAAAATGACATACTTTAAAAAGTACTTAATATATTAAAGAGATTAATTTGAAATTCATAATGAATTTGGAAATTGAAAATCCATCGCAAAAGAAGCCAAAAATTTTGTAGATCCAAACCATTCCAATCAAAGTGGATATAAAGGTTGAATTTGGATTTATGTTTGGAAATAATCACATGTTGAAAATAAATTATTATTTGATAAGATAAATATATATTTAACATACTATTTTGAGTATATTAAAACATTTTTTATATAATATATGTAAATAAAAAATATATATATATATACATATAATTTAATGGTTATTTCAATCGTTCGTTACATTCCCCATTCTACCTATAGATGTGTTTAGAAGACTATTTGATTGATTGATTAATTAATTAATTTAGATATAAATAACATGGTTCTTCCCTAGTAAATAGTTTATACAATATATATATATATATCACATTTCAAATATGTCATAATTGATATTTTTAATTCCACGTATTATAGCAATTCACATAATTTAATTTAAGTTAGTTGATAATTAATTGTTACACACAATAATAATTACGAATAATCAGCATGGAGCTCTACCAGTGTCACTCACTCACGAGTTTGGTGCTTCGTTTCTTCATCTACTCAATTTCCAAAACATTACCTCCTACCTACCTACCCCATCTACCCCCCCTCCCATTTAATATTATTAATAATAGATTTTTTTAAAAATTTTAATAAAAAAAGAAGTTTGGGATAATTTTAATATATATATATATATGTATATATATTTATTGAATACACATAAATAAAGATCCGGCAAGTAAAAAGATCCGATAATTTTATAACCTACTATTCAATACAGTGGTGCAACGTATCTGGACAATTTTATGGACTATTGTGCCAGTATCAAGTAGAACAATATACTATACTACTATCTAAAAAAGCAGGATTTCTATCACCCAATCAAATCACGACACGTGTGTCCAATAATATCGCACTAACCCCACACCGCTCCCACTTTATTTCCTTTTTTTCCGCCGCCGTCGTTTATTTCTCCTTTGTCACTGCTCTCGCCGGAAAAGATGGCGCATCCGCCGATCATGGCCTTGCTGGGATTCTTCCTCCTGTTTATCCTCCCTACTGTGTTCTCATCCGACGGCCAGGACACTTTCATCGTCCACGTGTCGCAATCTCAGAAGCCCCTCATGTTCTCCACCCCCAAACATTGGTACTCCAGCATCCTCCGATCCCTCCCTCCCCACCACCGCCCCGCCAAGATTCTCTACACCTACGACCGCGCCGTGCGCGGCTTCTCCGCCAGGCTCTCCGCCGCTCAATCCGCCGCTCTCCGCCGCGTCGCCGGAGTGGTCTCCGTCATCCCCGACACAGTCCGCCATGTCCACACCACTCACACCCCCAAATTTCTAGGGCTTGCCGATTCCTTTGGCCTATGGCCGAACTCCGACTACGCCGATGACGTCATCGTCGGAGTTCTGGACACCGGCATCTGGCCGGAGCGATCGAGCTTCTCCGATGAAGGCCTCTCCCCTGTCCCTTCGCGCTGGAAAGGCAGCTGCGTTGACGCCGCCCCTGATTTTCCGGCGACTTTATGCAACCGTAAAATCATCGGCGCAAAAGCGTTTTACAGAGGCTACCAAGCTTCCAGAGGTAATAAAATGGCGGAACCGATTTCCCCGAGAGACACGGAGGGGCACGGCACCCACACGGCGTCGACGGCCGCCGGAGCGAGAGTGGCGAACGCTAGTTTGTTCGGATACGCCATGGGCGAAGCTCGAGGCATGGCGGTTAAGGCCAGAATTGCAGTGTACAAAATCTGCTGGAGCGCCGGTTGTTTCGATTCCGACATATTAGCGGCGATGGAGCACGCAATCGACGACGGCGTGGACGTGATTTCACTTTCCGTCGGCGCTAGCGGCCACGCGCCGCCCTACGACAAGGATTCCATCGCCATCGGAGCTTTCGGCGCGGCGGAGCACGGAATTTTGGTGTCTTGCTCCGCCGGTAATTCAGGTCCAGATCTGTACACGGCGGTCAACATCGCTCCATGGATCCTCACCGTCGGAGCTTCGACCCTCGACCGTGAATTCCCCGCCGACGTAATTCTCGGCGACGGCAGAGTATTCGGCGGCGTTTCTCTGTACCAAGGCGATTCTCTCGGCGATACATTGATTCCTCTGATCTACGCCGACGATTGCGGCAGCCGTTACTGTTACTCCGGCGAGCTCGATCCGGCAAAAGCCAAGGGTAAAATCGTAATCTGTGACCGCGGCGGCAACGCCAGAGCCGAGAAAGGAAACGCCGTCCACCTCGCCGGCGGCGCCGGCATGATAATGGCGAATCTCGCCGACTCCGGTGAGGAACTCCTCGCCGACGCGCACTTCATCCCCGCAACGATGGTCGGTCAGATCGCCGGTGATCAAATCCGATCGTACGCCCGCTCGGATCCAAATCCAACAGCCACGATCAATTTCAAAGGAACCGTTATAAGCAGCTCTCCATCGGCGCCACGGGTGGCTTCGTTCTCGAGCCGCGGCCCGAGCTTCCGAACCGCCGAGATTCTCAAGCCGGACGTTATTGCCCCCGGCGTGAACATTCTAGCCGGCTGGACCGGCTACATCGGCCCGACCGACTTAGAATCCGACACAAGAAAAGTCGAATTCAATATAATCTCCGGCACGTCGATGTCGTGCCCGCACGTCAGCGGCTTAGCCGCTTTATTGATAAAGGCTCATCCGGATTGGTCGCCGGCAGCCGTCAAGTCGGCCTTAATGACCACAGCCTACAATATCGACAATTCCGGTCGCAACTTCACGGACCTCGCCACCGGCGAGGAGTCCAACCCGTTTGTACACGGGTCAGGGCACGTGGATCCGAACCGGGCGCTGAACCCGGGTTTGGTTTACGACCTGAAAACGATCGACTACATCGCGTTCTTGTGCGGCATTGGGTATGATTCAAGTCGGATTTCGGTTTTCACCCGACACGCTTCTTGCGAAGCCGCGGGGGTTAAAACCGTCGGCGATCTTAATTATCCGTCGTTCTCCGTCGTGTTTGACGGCAAAGAAACCGTTGTGAAGTATACCCGCACTGTGAAAAATGTTGGGGAAGAAGCGGATGCGGTATATGAGGTGACGGTGAATGCCCCGCCGGGCGTAGAGGTGAATGTGTCGCCGAGGAAATTGGTGTTCGATAAGAATGTGGTCAAATTGTCATATGAAGTTACGTTCACGAGCCGAGCGGAGGGTGTTGGATTGGCGATCGGCGATAAGTCTGCGTTCGGGTCGATCGAGTGGACCGACGAGGGGAGCTGCCACCGTGTCCGGAGTCCGGTGGCGGTGCTGTGGCGGCGGAGTTCGGCTGTGGCTATGTGAAGAAGAAGAAAGAGTTTTGATTAGCATTCGTTCCACTGTAGAATAAAGGAACTGATCTGAATTGGCTCTACTCTGCTCAGCCATGTTTCAAATTCTCCCAACTCTGAGGATTTTTATGAATTGGGAAACACAATTTACGGTTCTAATCCTAACATTTGGAAGGTTAAAGGATTGTATTTATTTTGAAACTTTATTTCAACTTATTTACTTTTACAATTGTAGTAATTTTTTATTATTTTTTTTATTTTTATTTTTTCTGACATGGCATTCTTAAGGTGCTGGTTTTTTTATAATGTTAGATTTTTCAAATTAAGCTATATATATACAAACAACACACAATAGTATTACAGAGTTAAAATTAATTTTTGTGTGTAAGTAATTTTTGCTGGGCCCTTATCGTTTTTTTAGGTTCATTAGGATTCTTATTGGCTGGAACTGCCAGTTAATGTATGAGATTATAACATGTGTTGTTAGTTTATGTGTTGTATTTATATTATATTAACATATACAATACGTTGTCTGTAGTAATATTGTATGTTGTATGTTGTTGGGATTATAACATGCATGTTTTGTTCATATGTTGTATTTATATTATATTAACATATGATGTTGAGAAAATTTAAGCACCGTAGCCGCATGCCACCTAAAACATACATCATATAATATACGTTTATAACATGGTTGAGTCTAGTTATTTTTGTTTCAGTTAAACTTAATAGGCAGAAAGATCATCAATGAAAATGAAAACAAAATAAGCAAAATGTAATTTAATAAGATATATTTAAATATAAAAGTTACTTGGCAAGTTGTCGCTTTGGCCGAGTGGTTAAGGCGTGTGCCTGCTAAGTACATGGGGTTTCCCCGCGAGAGTTCGAATCTCTCAGGCGACGACGTCGTTTCTCCTAAGTTACATTTTTATTTTTTTATTTTTCTCTACTGATTTAATTAATAGTACAATTAATTTATGACAAAATCATAACTACATTATTTACAAGTGATGTCAACGTTATACTTTCCGACACCATGACTAAAATATTTATTTATTTATTTATATTTTGTCTTGCATTTTCTCCACTTGACAAGCAATGAATCATTAATGCTACCTTCCTGTCCCATCTCGTTTAGATTCTCTCTCCAACTATTATTATTATTATTATTATTATTAATCAATGAGTCATGACTTATGAGTCCTTTCTTTATTATTATTATTATTAGTTTACTACCATTTGTTTTATTTCTACGTCTGTTTATTATTAGCTATATTGTCGGGGACCATTAATCAATTATTATATGTTAAAACAATTTATTTTCATAATCAATTAGCATAATTTATTCATTATTTTTCATGGGTGTAGCCTGTAGGTAGGTAGGTTTGTTATCTGTCCACAATACCAATTTCGTGCCCACATTTAGGATTGTTTCGTCATCATTTTTAATTTAAATTATCACTATTTATTCTGTATATTTTTCGACAAAGATGTGTATTTTTTATTTTATAAAATATTAAACCAAAATATTATTTAAATAAAAATTAAAATAAAACACTAATTTCAAATCAATTTAAAACTACAACAAGACAAATTCAAATTCTATATATTTATCTGAAATTATTGAACCATGTTTTCAAATATTAGCTCCGGACAAGAAATTTACGAGAGTTTTGAAATATTGAAATCTTAGAAATAGTAAAATATTAGTATTCGGTATCATATTTTACAAAAATATATATATAATTTGATATTCTTTAAAATAAATTCTTTAATATTGAGTCATTTTCTTCATTTAAGAAAAACAAATTAATATTATCAATTTACGTTCATCAAAAGACTTCATAATTCTTTTTTATTACTAAGATTGTCTAATGACTGAGTTATCCGGCCGCAACTTTCAGTAAGGCTAAATAAAATAGATTAATTATTAAAATAAAATTTCTTATAAAATATTATACAGTATTTAATAATTATTTTATAAAAAACCAAATACATATGCGTGACTATTTGTTTTGGTGATTTTTTTAAATGTATAATATATAATATTCAAATCACTATTAAATAAAAAATAATAATTTTCTGATATATTTTTTAAAAATATTATTAAAAAATAATATAAATGTGTTTAAATAAAGAAGAAATTCATAATTTTTTTTATCCAATCAATTATTTTCTGATATAATTTTTTAAAATATTAATAAAAAATACAATATATACATACATCTATAATTCTACCTAATATAAATAATATTCATATTATATATTTTTATAAAAGATTAATAATTCAATAAAAAAATATTATTTTTTTATATACTCTCTCCGTCCCACAATAAGAATAATATTATTTTCTACTTTTGTTTATCCCAAAACAAATGTATCATTTATTAGTTGTTGTACTAGCTATCTAATATAATAAATATCCTTATAATTATCATCTACCATTACGCAAATGCTATTATTTTTACAGTACACTATACTAATATGATATTTTTGTTTATTTTACTACAAATTAATATAATATTAATATTAAAAAATTTACATATAAAAAACAAATAATGCTCTATTTACGGAATGAATATAATATATCTATATAATTCATACTACCCCGTAATAAAAATAAAATTAAAAAATTTCAAACATACACATGCACTTGTTTAAGATAACCTCCAAACAAATTAAAGTAGAGTTTAGCAACAAGTAACATTATATAATATATATATATATATATAATTATATATTTTCAACACCGCGAATCCGGACAACTTAAACAAATCGAATCTCTTACACTTGATTTTCCGATAATATAAAAACGAGGAGCCAAACACGGCTTAACGAAATACAAACGATATATATCAATCAGTGGAGTCAACTCTCTCCCTCCTCCCTTCCCAAAAAAAAACAAAAAAAAAAATGTCTCCATCAGAAACAACACCTCTGGCCGTTGCCAAGCCCCACCGCCAGTTCCGGTGGACGCTCCGCCGCGGAAGGCGGCGCCTGCCGAGCGTCCGCCTCGGCGGGAAGAAGCCTGGCCGCGGATTCTTCCTTCTCCGCGTGTGCCGGCGCGTGAAGCTGAGGTGGCTGAGACAGAAGTACATGAGGCTGCTGAGGAAGCTGAAGGAGTCGTACTCGTCGTTCATGGCGGACGTGATCGAAGGCAGCAGAACCGTCGATTCTTACCAGCAGAGGATGCTTCTAGAATCTTCCTTCGCCATCCCCGTCATGGGCCTTTCCTTCGCTAGCTATCCTACATCGTCTTATGGAAGAGATAGGCCAGTATTTTAATTAATTATTTTATTTTTATTATTATTGTTATTATTTATTTCAGTTTTTATTTCTCTGTTCATCTTTTCTTTTTCTTTTTTTATTTGAAAATAGTATGAATTCTATCTGTAAAATGAAATGTATCAACGTAATAAACTGCTTGTTTACTTGAGCTTTTTTTTTTAGGAATTATATTTTAAAATATTAAAGATAAAAGAAATACGGTATATATATATAAACTCTCGAGGAAATAAGTTAAATTTTACAACTTATTTTTGATAATATAAAAATTCGCAGCCGCTAGCTCTATTGTCAATTTTTTTTTTTTTTTTTTCCCATTATTGCATGAGATTGTTGCTATGTCAAGAAAAATCAAAGAATGCACCATCCAATCAGTAGAAATAAATCGGCATTTCGTCCAAAAAATCGAAACCTAATTCCGTGGTCGTTAAAAAATACTACTAAGCAGTAATAATTTTGATTTGAAAAAAAATAAAATAAATCATAATATGAAAAATATCTTAAAATACAAAAGATTACTCGCTAATATTGCTGGAAGTGAGTTGTCTGATCACATAAATCTTTTGTGATCTATTGGTCAAACTATGCAAATAATGTACATTTGTGTGAGCTGCAAGTAATGAATTTTATAAATTTCTTTTTTTTTTTTCTTTAACCTAAGTAATTTATTTTTTTATTTTTTTAAAATACCAACCATTAAGCTCATCATATGCATGCATTTGGATAACCTAACATTATTTTATTTTATTTTTCTTTAAAAAAGACAAACATCAAGGTACCCACCTCTAATTGATTTAATTTTGATGTTAATCGGTTAAATTATTTTAGCCAAGTTCGTCATTTTTTAAGAATAGTAAAATTACATAATATATATTTTTTTAAAAAAAAAAAAAAAAAAAAAAAAAACACGAGGTGTCAACGTGTCATCACATTTTGGCACAACACGTCCATATAAAAAATGTAACACATACTACGTTGTATCATAACATGAAAATATGCTCATATTAATAATAATTAAAAAAAAATGGAACATTTATTTTCATACTTCGTGTAAAATAACGAATCGTTTTAAATAATTTCAACACAAGCAACTCTCTAGCTTCTTATATAGATTTTTTTTTTTTTTTTTAATTTTGAAATTTTTAGAAATAATAATATTTATATATTTGATATAATGTTTCATGAGATAAAATAAACATTTGAGGTCATTTTTTAAAAGTATTTATTATACTATATAGTCTATTTATAAACGGGCCTGATTTATTATTTTATTTAATCATAATGGCATCAGTGCATACGTCACCTTTGGCATGAGGATGATTATTCATTATTCCCTTTTATTTATTTATAATGGAAATAATGTAATTAGTAATTGGCACATGCATGTGTTTTTTTTAAATCTGATTTTTATTTTTATTTTTTTGTTTCAATTCCGGTTTTTGCATGAAAAGTAATTTAAATATAATACCCTTTAAAAATAAAATTAAATAAAAGATGATTAAATAATAAAAAAATAAAATCATGACTTCAAATCCATTAACATGTACATGTCTTTATAACGTGACTTCTCCTTACACCAACTGATCTTTTAAAATATAATACAATATTCATTTAAAATTGATCAGTATCTTAATTTTTTTTTATAATATTTATATATATTTACTTTTTAAATATATTGTATTAAAGTATTTCAAATAAAAAATAAAAATAATATAACAAAATACTATCAACATTAAATTATATAAAAATAATTTAAATTAAAAAAAAAAAATTATGAGACGTTGGTAATATTTTCTAGTTTTTAAAAATTAAAAGAATTAAATCTAATTATTTTTTAAAAAAAAGATTAAAAAAAAAAACCCCATAAATAAATGCACTCCAGCAGTTGATATATTTGCTTTATCATAAAAAGGCCCATTTCAGCATTTAAAGCAGTGGGCCCTGAGTTGGACTGGCCTACTTATTTAGTGCATGTGGAAATTTAATTTTTTGAAAAAAAGAATATTTACTAATTTTGAAGTAGAAAATCATGTATGTAATTTTTTTTTTTATTTTTTAATTTTAGTTTCAATTATTTTACTGTACAAGGAGTGCATGAATATGTACATATATTTGTAAAAAATAAAAAAAATAAAAATTAACTTTACGAACCATTTGAACAAGTATATATCATTAGATTTTATATGGTTTATTATTAACGTGCTTATTATATAATTTTTCAACAGATTATTATTATTATTATTATTATTATTATTATTATTATTATTATTATTATTATTATTATTATTATTATTATTAAATAAGCCAAATATATTTAACACTAATTAATTCAACATAATATATATGGGAAATTATTTTAGTTTTATCACTAGTTATTTGTCAAACTACGAAGTGTAAAAGTTTAGACCCTAAAAGGCTATAATAGAAGAGCAAAAGAGTTTGGTAAAATTCCAACTAAATGGATCACATCGTTGAACAAACACAAACTATTTTCGTATTGTTCATATTGTGTTTTGAATGTAACGAATCTTTCCACGCAATAATTACATATATATTAAGACAATATTTAATTTTAGATGATTATTTTCGTCCGTCCCATTTTCTTTTTTTAAAGTATAATTATATACTTTAATCACATTTTTAAGATCCATAATTTATAAAAAAAATTATTTTATTTTTACTAGTACACTTATTAATTACAAAGCTAAATAACTCTATAGTGATATACAGGTTTGTTTGCTTTGAATTTGTGTAAATAATTTAAATTTGTGTAATAATAGTTTGATTTTATATTTTGTAAAACAAATAATATATTATTAAAAAAAATGTATGTTAAAATAATTACTGATTAAAAAAAAATTAAAACTGTAAACACAAACACAACCATATTTCATTAAATGTTCAAACTTGTGTTGAAAACTAAGTACCAACATACGAGATGAGACAATCTATTGTGAATGGGAACACAATAATAATAATGAAATAATCTTTATTTAATTAAATAAATATGTGGGTTTTGACTTGTACAATTTTGGGCTTTTCCCTAAACCATGGAATTGTTGGTCGGTGTGGTGTACTAATGCATGGCAAACTTAAAAGGTGGCGAGCTAAAGTCGCACTTGACGAATGACTGAATAAATTAAAAATCGTGTTTTCAAAATAAATTGCAGCGAGACTCGTGGTTTCATTGTTTGGCGTAAAATATTTAAAATTGACTGGTGGAGTTACGTGATTCACCAATTTTATTTTTTTTTTCAATATTCTTTTGCTTTGACTCTGGAATTAATCAGTTGACTGCAAAAATTTAAATTCTTTATTAGAACTTTCAAATGTTGAATATTAAAGAGGTTGGAAACTATGACCTCAGTTTATATTATAATAGATATTTAATTTTTAAATATATTTAAGCTATGTTTACTCCTATATTAAATATTGAATACCTTACTTCGTCCGTACCTCTATAATAGTCTTGTTTATCATTTTTATTCGTTTTAAAACAATAGTTTTGTTTTTATAAATAATCATATTACCATAAAACTACCCATATTTTTTCATTTTTATTATACAATTATCACTACTTTTTACATTAATACACTCACAAGAATAAAAAAGTTTTTTATCCATACTTTTTACTAATTACTAATATAATATTAATCTTTTTTAAATCTTGTGTTTAATTTAATTAAAATTATATTTATGGGAGGGAGGGAGTATTATTTTTAATTTTTTCAAAAAATCCAAAAAAAAGCTCTACGTAAATGAGCCGTATTTATTTTATTAGTTTGATTAATTAAAGGAGGCGAGAAAAAAGGTTAATTAGGTCAAAGAAAGAACTTTGCAGCTTATGTCTGATTTGTCCGTACAAAAATTTTAGGCGACATTTAGTTGATTGCAATCCAACCAACAAGAAGACGACACGTCTGTGTACGAATTTATCCGACCAAAGCTTTCATATCCTATTAACATTCATCTTTGACAATGTAGGAGATATTTTATTTTATTTTTATTTAAAACATTTTATTTAATATTTATTTTTAAAAAATTAATTTAAAATGATATCGACATAAACTAACTAAACGTAAATAATTAGGTGGAAAAATTGTGATCATTTTGGTCATTATTTTTTTTAATTTTCCCGTCCATTTCTCTATAGTAAGTATAAAAAAATAGTTAATAAAATTAAAATTTGGCATGATTTTTTACTTTAAAAATATAAAATATACTTCCTCCGTTCCATAACAAAATATCAATTTTTTCATTTTAGTCCGTACCATAACAAAGTATCAATTTTCTTTTTTTAATAACTCTACTATCTACCTAACATTACAAATACCCTTACAACTTACAATATATTACACAGTGTCATTACCTTTATATCACACATACTAATAAGGTTATTTTAGTCATTTCTACTTTATTCCTACTGTATCTCAATATAATACTAATATTTTTAAAATTATGTGCAAAAAATAAATGAATATTTAATTTCAGGACGAAAAAAGTATATTTTTTTTTATAACAGATAAAAAAAATGAATATATATATATATATATTTGTGCACAAACTGTAGAAAACAATTCTAGATCAGTACAGTAATTATTCCCTGCATTAATAATATATATTCTTTTATTTCACATAAAATATTTATTTTGGTTGTAATTTATTTATTTTTTAAAATTATAGTTATATATTTTAATTATATTTTAAATTTTAAATTTTAAATTTTTAATTTTAATTAAACTATTTAATTATCTTAATTTATAATTATTTTTTACTAATTATAATTTATAATTATTTATTAATTATTTTTACCTAAATTTTAAATGGTAGCGAAGAGAGCACTATTTATGTTTGATATTGACAATCTGTAAGTATATAAAAAAAAAAGAAAAAATGCAATATTTTAAAATTGTTATGATCCATATCTATTCTCTAATAAGAAATGTGTTGAAATATATATGTATATTTTGATATTTTATGTGAAATAATTAAAATTTTTTTCTTCTATTAATATTATGAACTTTATGTTCATTAAACATAGAAATATGTTTATTACATTTGAGCGTTCTAAATAACAAAATTTAACTAATAATAATATATCATAGAGAATTCTTCTTTTATTTTTAGATTCATTTATTTGGTTTTATTTTATTAATACATAATCGTTGTAATTTTATATTAAAAAATTACATTCAAATCGCAATTAAACAAAATATAATTACATTGTAAAATTATATACACCACATTCTATATATTTTTTTGTTAACGAAGAATTGCAAGATACTGAAAAATGTAATGAATGATAGAACGTACATAGCTTAGACATTACAAGCAAATAATATATTTGTAATAAAAATTAAAGACGGCTAACGATAACTATGTAAACTTTATGGATAAAGTTAATTTAATTTCGTTTATAATGTCGTTAGTAACAAAAAAAAAAAAAATTAGAGATCTAAGAACAAAAAGATTTTATTACAAAAATACTATTCTTTTTAGTGAGATTGTCAATTTTTTGTTTCTAATTTTATTATTATTAATTTTTTTTAAAAAAAATGTTAGGAAAATTGTTAATTATAGTTAAATCGCTGAAAGAATTTTGATCAAATGGTGGATGTAGGGCTGCTTAAATCTGCCGAACAGTCTGCTATAATAATAATATTAAATTATTATTATTATGGTCAATTTTGTAATTCAACATTAAATTTCCCGCACGACATTGCTTTTAACTTTTTTAGTAATACTTTTTTTTAATACTTAGGCTTCTTCTTTTATCCATAAGCAGAACAAGTTTCCCTTTATACCCCTGTGTTAGATTGTTTATTTAGTTATTTCACGTAACTTACAACAACACTTAAATAACATTAAATTGAGTTCACCTATACGAAGTATAAATCGATAAAAATACCACACAAAATATAATAATTTAAATAATACATTGTCGATTTATATTTCATATATTGATTTGTAATGTAACAAGAAAATTGGTACAATCTTATTATTTGTCCACTAAATTAAAATAATTTAGCAATTGGTAAAATACTATTCGATAATTATTACATTATTGGTTCTTTAAATAAAGTATGCAATAATACTGAATATTACATAAAGAAATGAAATTGACATGTGGTCTCACAAGTTACGAAAAGATGCAATTTTTTTTTTTTAAAGATATATATATATACCTGGCAAAAACTGATACGATACGACACGAAATAATTGGGTTTAGGTCAAAGATTTCAACCCGATTATGTATACAGGTTGACACGAACCCGACACGATAATAAATGAGTCGGGTTAGGGTTGACGGGTTAGGGTTGAGGCTTTCAACTCGAATCCGATTATAATATATTAATATTGATTAATATATTTATTATATATATAAAATAATCATAATTTAATAATTTTTTCATAAATTAATTTAAATTAAATTAAATTTTAAATAATTCAACCAAATTTACTCTCAAACCAATAAAAACTAACATAACACGACAACAAAACAACAAATTATTTAATTTGAATCAAGAAATTAGACTTAATTATGTATACGGGTCAACACGAGTCAACCCGAACCCGACACGATAATAAACGGATCGAGTTATGGTTGAGTAATTTAACCCGTTTAAAGTATTCAACCCGACACGAATCGACCAATTGCCGGCTCTCTCTCTCTCTATATATATATATGTATATACAAATACGCGCACATGTGAACCTTTAAGTCCCATAAGGGATGATCTGGTAGTATAAGAGTTTGATTTGTGACAGTGAAGTTATAGGTTCAAACCCTCGACGTTTCGGCCAAGGGTTTACACAGTGGGTACTTTCGGAAAATACTAAAATATATATAATAAATATACGTATATTTTGGAAATATAAAGTGTAACGCAAAGGAAAATCATAAACATTCCAAATTATATTATATTTGAGAGAATGTAGAATGTTTACCACATAGATAGTATTAAATACTACTTATTAAATTACATTAAAAAGAATGTTAAATTGAGATTTTATTTGTTTTTTATTTGATACCATTTTTAAAACAATATATATAGTGTCCAACAATTATTTGGTCTCAAAAATCAGGAAATAAATACCAAAACAAATACAAAATCGACAAAACTTTCAATGTGTTTAATTTGTGTTTCTATTTATACTTTTGCTTAAATAGCAGTTTTAGATATGATAAAAAAAATATATATATATATATATTTTTATATAGAATAATAAAAACTTAACAAAAACTCCAACATAAATATATATACATAAATTGTATTGAATTATATATAAATTGTTGTTGTTGTTATTTTTATTATTGTTGCTGATTTAATAACATCAAATTAGAACAAAAATTTGAAATAATTGTCTCGAAATAATATAAAATTAACAGTTGTGTATTGTATGAAACTATAATGTATATTGTGGTTCATGTGATGTATTTATATTATATTAGCATATATAATATATTGTTTGTAATAATATTCCATACTATCAGATAACACACAATGTGTTTTTGAGCATCGTATTGAATTTTAAATTCAGCACTGTAATTGCATATATATATATATATATTTGTAAGAACAAAATAAAAAAATAAAGGAAATTGAAACATAAAAATCTACTTTAATATAATGGTCGCAACATTATTGGAAATGTTCCAATCGAACTTTTACATCCACTATGATGGAATGGGAATTCGAGTGAAAGCACAGGGGCAAAATGGTCCACGTGGCTACAAAATGACCCCCACACTCGCACTCTTCAGTCCTATACTATTCTATGCCACCGCGTTGAATCGGAGAAATTCAAAATATATAAATAATTTAATAAATACAATTTTACATAATAATAATAATAATAAAATATTTAATATTCTACTTAAAAACTATTCATACATCAATATAACACACTCGTATCATTCATTCATTCATGAAAATTCTAGGAAATACGTAAAATCGCTTTTCCAATTATTCAATGATCCAAATAGCGACTTCTATGTTTAGTCACAAGGCCAAAATTGAAAACGTGTGGCCGGTGATCTCTCACGTGGAAATATTTATAAACCCCCGGGACTCCCCACACCAGACTCGCTCTAAAAGGCTCAGTTCGTTCGTATGGTCTTCAAGTCCCGGGAGCTTCCAAGAAGCCTTTCTTCTCCACTGTTACGACTAACATGTTCGTATATAAGCACCCTCAAGCTCATAAATTTCAGTAATTACCGATCCCTTCTTCTTCTGCATCACCTCTAAACCTCCAATCTCTTCTCCCTCAACAAAAGGGCAATCCCAAATCGCCGAAAGATCCAATCCTATCTTTGTTCTCAATTTACAAGAAATAAAACTTGCAAAGCCATGGCACTTGCTAGAGAAATCATGGGCACATCTTTAATGGAGAGATCTTCATTTCCAGGCCTGATTCTGAGCCAGAGAAAGTGCAGATTTTTCCTGCCCTGCGAAGGGAAGAAGGAGGTACAACAAGTGATGCGTAGAGGGGTCAAGAGTACAACCCCTGTTGCAGCCATCAGTGAGGATTTGGATTTGGTCAAAGTGGTGCCTGAAAAGGCCGTGAAGTTTAAGGTTAGGGCAGTGGTGACTGTCAGGAACAAGAACAAGGAAGATTTGAAGGAAGCCTTAGTTAAACAATTGGATGCTTTTACAGACAAGATTGGTAGAAATGTTGTCTTGGAACTCGTCAGCACCGGTATTGATCCAAGTAAGAAATTGCCCTAATTTTATCTTTTTAACTGGCTGCAAAATAAAAACCCCTTTTCTAACTGTATTGTGGTAATGGTGATTTAGAAACCAGAGCTCCAAAGAGAAGCAATGGAGCTGTACTCAAAGACTGGTCCAAGAAATCGAACCTCAAAACTGAGAGAGTGAACTACACAGCTGATTTCATGGTGGATTCCAATTTTGGGGTTCCTGGTGCAATCACAGTGGCTAATAAACACCAGCAGGAATTCTTTCTTGAGAGCATCACCATTGAAGGGTTTGCCTGTGGCCCTGTCTACTTCTCCTGCAATTCTTGGGTTCAGTCCAATAAAGATCACCCTGGAAAAAGAATCTTCTTCTCTAACCAGGTATAGATACATACATACATACATATATATATGTGTGTGTGTGTGTGTGTGTGTAATCAATCCTTCAAGAATTTCATAAGAGTTTTGAAGAAATGAATCATTGTGTGGTTAAAGGCAGCAACAAATCTGTATGGGCTTAAAAGCTTCTTTGAGTGACTTTCCTGTTCCATTTTGTTGTGCTGTGAAAAGTTAATTCTGTCGACTTTTCTACATTCAAACTTGAATATTATACTCAAATTAACTTCATGTGTTAAACGCAAAGGGAATCTAATCTAAGGATAATTATTTGCTATTTCTTAATAATCTATAGGACAGAGACTGATCGCCTTTTGCATTTTTTTAGTGCACTCTATAGTAGTTTTACAAAAGTTAGTCTCAGATTTGAAGATATAAGCATAAAGATGCGATCTTTCAGCCATTTTTTATCACTTAAAAAACATGTGTCTTTTATTTGTTTCGAATCATTGTCTTTCCTTCTCGTTTATTTATTTCATTTAATTTTTTCGACACAGCCATATTTGCCGAACGAAACTCCTGCGGGGCTGAAAGCCCTGCGAGAAAAGGAGCTGAGGGAGCTGAGAGGAGATGGCAAGGGAGAAAGAAAGCTATCCGATCGAGTATATGATTTCGACGTGTACAACGATCTCGGAAATCCAGACAAGGGTATCGACTCTGCTCGACCCATTCTCGGAGGCGACAAAATCCCATATCCGAGACGCTGTCGAACAGGGCGTCCTCCTACGGACACCGGTTTGTCTAACTTCCCCTATCCGATAATGTTGGATCATATTTCTTTATTACATGGCTGTGTGTCTTATGTATTATATGATGCTCAAATCAGACATGTACTGCGAGAGTCGAGTGGAGAAACCGTTGCCGATGTACGTGCCTAGAGACGAGCAATTCGAAGAGTCGAAGATGCATGCTTTCTCGACAGGGAGGCTCAAGGCTGTGCTTCATAACCTCATACCGTCGTTGATGGCCAGCATTTCCGCGAGTAATAAAGATTTCAAAGGTTTTTCGGACATCGACAGCCTTTACAGCGAAGGACTTCTCCTTAAACTTGGTCTGCAGGACGAGATTTTGAACAGGATCCCGATGCCGAAGGCCGTGACCAAAATTCAAGAAGGCGGCCTCCTTAAATACGACATTCCGAAGATCATATCCAGTGAGTTCTCTGTCGAAAAATCTTCGAACAGGGGAGGTTGTCCGAGTAGCTAATGTACTAATTTGTGTTTACAGAGGATAAATTTGCGTGGCTGCGCGACGATGAATTCGCGCGCCAAGCTGTCGCCGGCGTGAACCCTGTTAACATCGAGAGGCTCCGGGCTTTCCCTCCCGTCAGCGCACTCGATCCTGAAATCTACGGGCCGAGAGAATCAGCCCTGAAAGAAGAACACATCACCGGACAGCTCAACGGCATGACCGTCCAAGAGGTAATGAGTCGTCTATGTATCTCGATGCGCGAATTCTGTTTTCGTTCTCGATACATATGTTGACAAAAAAATTGACAGGCGTTGGATGCGAACAAGCTGTACATCATCGACTACCACGACATTTACTTGCCGTTCCTCGACAAGATAAACGCGCTCGACGGTCGAAAGTCGTATGCCACGCGCACGGTGTTTTTCTTGACGGATGCTGGCACTCTCAAGCCGGTAGCGATAGAGCTCAGCCTCCCGCCGACCTCGTCGACTTCACGATCGAAGCGGGTGGTCACGCCTCCTGTCGATGCTACGTCGTACTGGATGTGGCAATTGGCGAAAGCTCATGTTTGCTCGAACGACGCCGGTGTCCATCAGCTCGTCAACCATTGGTATTGTCGTATACTTGAATCGAATTGAATCGAATTATACTTCTCGTACGATTACAATCCGTGGATACGAAATATCCTTACGATTCTCCGTTGACGGTTCTAGGTTACGTACTCACGCGGCGCTCGAACCGTTCATTTTGGCGGCGCATCGGCAGATGAGCGCGATGCACCCGATTTTTAAGCTTTTGGATCCGCACATGCGATACACGTTAGAGATCAATGCGTTGGCGAGACAAGGGTTGGTCGCCGTCGATGCCGTGATCGAGTCTTGCTTCACTCCCGGCCGGTATTGTATGGAAATCAGCGCCGCCGCCTACAAGAACTTTTGGCGATTCGATCAGGAAAGCCTCCCAGCCGATCTCGTTCGAAGGTACATAGGTTGTATAACATATGTTAAATGATATAAATGACCGTCTTATCTAAAAACTTAAGCTGATAGGGATACATATCATCAACACCATAGAACCTTCTAATACCATATTAAATGATCATCTCACTTAAATATATGCATCATCAACAGAGGAATGGCGACGCCCGACCCAACGCAACCGCACGGGATCAAGCTCGTCATGGAGGACTACCCGTACGCGACGGACGGGCTAATGATATGGGGCGCGATCGAGAACTGGGTCCGTAGCTACGTGAACCATTACTACCCCGACTCGGCGAACGTCTGCAACGACAAGGAGCTCCAAGCGTGGTACGCCGAGTCGATCAACGTGGGCCACGCCGATCTCCGCCGCGCCGACTGGTGGCCAACGTTAGCCACTCCCGAGGATCTAATATCGATCCTTACGACCATAATCTGGCTCGCCTCGGCCCAGCACGCCGCCCTGAATTTCGGGCAGTACCCGTACGGCGGGTACGTCCCGAACCGGCCGCCGCTCATGCGTCGTCTGATCCCCGATGAGAACGACCCCGAGTATTCGGTGTTCCTCTCAGATCCGCAGAAGTACTTCTTCTGCGCGCTGCCAAGTTTGCTGCAGGCGACGAAATTTATGGCGGTGGTGGACACGTTGTCGACGCACTCCCCCGACGAGGAGTACCTCGGGGATAGGCATCACCGGTCGATATGGTCAGGCGACGCGGAGGTGGTCGAGGCGTTTTACGAGTTTTCGGCGGAGATTCGGCGGATTGAGAAGGAGATTGAGCGGAGAAATGAGGATGCGAGGCTGAAGAACAGGTGTGGGGCGGGAGTGATGCCATACGAGCTTCTTGCGCCGAGTTCGGAGCCCGGGGTCACGTGCCGGGGCGTGCCTAACAGCGTGTCTATATGATTATGTATGTATGTATGTATGTATATTTTGTAGTTTAAGATTGTTGCAATGGTTGTTTAACACAACCTAGGAAATTAATGAATGTATAATATTGCCAAGTAATAGTTTAAATTTTAACTTCATATTCAATATCCAAGTATTCGTTTTGTTTTGCAACAATTTATGTAAATTGTCTGTTCTATTGTCATATATGTGTAGTGGTGATGGTATTTTTATTAGAATTTAGAACCAACTTCCCGCGTTGTATAATAGAAACAATCGTACACAAACAAAACTTGCAATCAATGGTTAAAGAAGCGAACGAGATCCTCGAAAACGTACAAGTTGGAGTAATTATAAAGCATTGTTCTCAAGTAACCTCCCTCCGAAGAAGAATCTGGCTAGAGCGACACCAAGCACATCTCCATCGTAATTATAGCCATCGCTAAACCCCCCGGGGACTCTTTTCGAATCTACTAGATGAAAGGGAATAGTGCGTACTCGGCGTAAAATAAATTCCATATGAAACGGTAAAATGCCGATATGGCTTCCTGCAAAATCAAAACATCCGTATTGAAGGAAACACATGAAACAAATTATCATATAGAAGATACATTTAAGTCACGAGGTCGAAAATACGTCCAAATTTATGGAAATAATGAGTATTCGATACGATGAATTATTTACCTTTGTGTAGTTAGCTCTTTCAAGTATCCATGCCTAAAGAACAACAAAAATTACATTTTCAAGAGAAATATTTCAAACCAATTCGAGTGCAATGTCGAAAACCAGAAAAATGCAGCTAGCGCCGTGGTGCATACCTGGAAAATTAGACCTATGGCCAAGATAGTATGCGAAGGTATCATCAAGCTTCTCCTAAAGGCCTGCAACACAATAAAAATTGAAAGTAATATAATCGGGATCATCACAAGGATAATGATTTGCCCGAATAATTAAGAGGGACAAGTACCTGAGGGAAATATATAGCTGCGAGAACAGAACCGACGTAATTCATCAACAGAAGCCCGGATGCAACCAATGCAATATTTCTTACACCAAGTTTTGTTGCCAGAGTCGATATCTGAAACCTATGTAGTTTTCCAAACCATAACTGTTTTAGAAATTTAGTAGGCTCTCGTTGTCTTCGCCAGAAGAAAATAGATAAGGTAATAGCAAGAACAAAGTGCAAAATAATCGATCAAATAGAGTAATTGAGCAACGTACTTGCGATCCCCTTCCACATCGGGAAGATCCTTTGTTATGGCAATAACAAGAGCAAACAACGTTACGAACGTGGTGATGAATGCAACGGGGAAGCTGCAGCATTTGAATCATAATATCCTCAAGAAACAATCGAAAAATAACCATCACAAAGTACGACACCAACAAGTTTTCAATCCAAGTGTGTGTTAACGAGAAACCTCCATTGAAATGTAAGACCAAGAGCTGCCCTGGTGGCATAGTAGACGCCGTAATTGAGGAGGAACCCTCGAACCTGAGCCGAAGACAAGTCATTTAGAACTAACCAAATAGGGACATTTAATTACTCGAATGGAGAATATAAAATCATACCGTGGCGATTATGAGAAATGCAACAACGGGATACCGTTTCATTCGGAAGGGGGGAACTGAGTAGATGGTGCCGAGGAAAAGGCCGAGGCAGTAAAGCGAAGTAATGAAAGGGCCGAAATTCATCCCAACAATTACTAGACCAACGGCGGCGAGCACTAACACTAACAACCACGCCGATTGAATCGAAAGATCTCCTGCAGCTATAGGCAAGTAAGGCTTGTTCACCCTACAATTTACGATTCCACACACACAAATCAAACAATTCCCGGTGTTAATTACGACTAGAAGATATAATAAGCGCACGAGCTAGAGCTAAGCATTCTAACTAGAATATCGAACCAACCGGCATTCCTTACTTATCTATACCAATGTCGTATATCTGATTGATTCCTACTATATAACCATTTCCACATATGAGTGCTAAAAGCCCCGAAAATGCCTTTAGCAGCAACGACCATCGTATCAATTCTGGATTTTCGATTAAAGCTCGGGATACTAAGGAGCTGTGGAAAAAAGTATACAGACATTATTGAAGTTAAGTCATATGTTAATCCTAACAAAGATAGTGTCGATTTCGTAGTTGAAAACATCGCTTACATTGATCCGATTGTCGTTCCACGAATCGTGTGAGGCCTCAGGAATCGCCACAATGCATCCCGGAATTGGAAAACTTTGGTGAACAATGGATCAGTTCCAGCAGCATCGACTTTAGAGCAAGCCTGAGAATTCAATCTTACAATGTGAAACCTGTTAATGAACTAATTACATTGCATTTCGATTAATGAGCTATTCATTTTGATTAATGCAGTAATTGAAACATTTCTGAATTAGGGAATGCTCGAATTTGCACAGCAGCATACAGTCCTATCGAATCAATTGTATTCTTGAAAAGCCCCAATCCTTTTCCGCCGTGATTGAACAGAAGAGCTTTTTGATTTAGCAGAGAACAGTTAAAAAGGAAAAGGACAAGTCAGTTTACACTTGCAGACACTATTCTATTTTACCCTTTCTTCATTCGTAGATTCTCTAAAGATAAATCAGAAATTGGAATGCTATGAGTGAATAAATTGGTTCATTAAGCTTACCTGGATGAAACGGTGGCCGTGACGGCGAGTTGCGGCGGCGGACGAGAATTGCGGAGTGGTGCGAATCTCTGGGAAAGAAGGATGCTTCTTGGAAGGATTAAGAAACGGGAAATTGGAGAGAGGGAGAAGCTTCTTGGAAGGAGAAGTTAAGGAAGCAGAAGAACAAACAGAAGTAGCGATGGAAGAAGGAGATGAGATTGCAAACTCCATAGCCTCCGTTCGAGAACGAAAGTGTGACCTCCACAACAGTTAACGATTACTTTATACAATGGCTCTGTTCATTTGAGTTCTATTCATTTTTAATTTCTTTTTTTAAATAATTTATTAATATAATATTTTTTATTAAAAATAATACTAACATTGTTAAAAAATTTAAAAAGGATAAGAAAATCGCAAAAAGCTAAAACTATTATCCTTTCTTACCCTTTTTTAATTAATGTTTAGTGCTTCTTGGCAAAAAAAAAAAAACCGACAAATAACAATTCTGAATTTAGTGATGGACTATCGCAGCCTATGTAATAAATAATTATCCAAATTTCTTGGAGCGTATTTGGTTGTGGGTTTTGCTCCAAACCCTCATTATCTATCATTTTTTTTTTAATAAATATTTCATCCGTTTCATATTTATTTATCTATTTATTTTTTACATAATTTTAAAAATATTAGTACTTTATTCGTTCTTGATTTATTTATCTATTTATTTTTTTCACAAAGTTTTAAAAATATTAGTATTATATTGTGGTATGGTACGAATAAAATGGAAAAAACTTAAATAACATTAGTATTGTGTGTTATAAAAGTAATGACATTGGTGTAATATATTGTATGTTGTAAAATTATTTTTAATGTTAATAGAAAGTAAAATTACTAAAAAGGAAAATTGGTACTTTATTACGAGACGAATCAAAATAGAAAAATAGATAGATTATTAATGAACAAAGAGAGTATTATATTGAGATATAAGTAAAAATAAAATTTAAAAAACTAAACTAACCTTATTAATAATGTATAATATAAATATAATGGTATTTGTGTAATATTTTGTAAATTAGAATGGTATTTGTAATGATAGATAAATAGCACAGTTACTAAAAAAAATTAATATTTTGTTATGAGACGGACCAAAATAAAAAAAATGAATAAATTGTTAAGCGAGTGAGGAAGTATAAGTTTTGTTTGAAATGAGATTTTTTGAGAATTTTGGAAGTACAAAAAAATAAAAATTAGTATTTAATTTTATATTTCGTAAAAAAAATAAATGTGATACGATATTTTTCAAAAATAATAATACGAAGTTAATTGTTTAAACAGAGCCTGTACTCTCATGTCATCCAATTAATATGTTTTTTTTCTTTTTGGACTAGATGACTTTTTTTTAGGTTTTCATTGAAAAAAAATATATTATTTTATTTTATTTTATTTTAACTAAAAAATAAATCTGTTTTCTCTTACTAAAAAGACAAATTTTTTAACGTTTTCTTTTTATTTTTCTTTGTTGGGAATGAATTTGTGATATGGGCCTGGAATCATAGCTTAATCTTTATTGGGTGAAATTTAAAATAAGGCCCATTTTATTTGGTTAATAGGGCCCAAATATATTGAAGGCCCATATTAAAAGTTGGGATCGCTAGGAGCACGTGCATGAAAAGGGCACAAGAAGACACAAATGGACGCGTGCAAGTTTTGGTCAGCTCGTGCACGACACGTGACCTGCACGCTTTCGAAAGCACTATTCTCACGCAATGCATCAGGTTTTCCACACGTAGCAGCACTACAACTAACTAGGAGTGGACAAAAAAAAATTGAACCGAACAGCCGAACAGTAGAACCGAACTTAATCGAATCGAATTTTCGGTTAACCGAGCAAATTCAGTTCGAATACAAATACTACATATTTGATATTTGCTCGGTTAACCGAACCGAATATATTTATATATTTATGTTATTATATTTTAAAATTTATATTAATAATTATATTCGATTCGATTTCGGTTCGGTTTCGGTTCGGATATTTGAAATATTTGCAAATATTTTGATTTAATTAGAATTTTAATTAATTTTTAATATATTATTTTTTAATTTCGGTTCGGTTCGAATTATTTACAAATATTGCAAATATTTTCGGTTAACCAAAAATTCGATTAACCGAAATTTTCGGTTCGAATACAGTTCACGGTTTCGGGTATTTGTTTAGTTCAATTCGTATATCAAATACCTGCATATTTGCAAATATCCGAACCGTGTCCACCCCTGCAACTAACATACCAAAGAAATTACGAATAATAATTTATGGCCTTTTTTTTAGCAATTTTTTTCGTATAAAAGATTTTGGCTTCTTTTATACAGCAGTGTTTTGAATTTTGAACTTTTAAAAAAATTTAGAAAAAATAAAATGGTATGCATTTAAAGTGATGTTTTATTTAAAAATAAAAAATAAAATAATGACTATTACATAGATTTTTTAAAATTATTTTTATTATCTCAGTCATTCCATTCAAAAGTATAGAAATTATTAATTAAAAGTTCTAGTACTAATTTATCAATAATAGGTATTTAATTTTAAATATATATCTTATTAAATATTTATTTTATTACTATTATTTTATTTTTTGAAGCTTAAAAAACTTCCATATAAATAAAGTTTTTACTCTTTTTTATTTAAAGATAAAATAATTATTAAATAATTAAAATAAAAATAAACAATATCCACGCAAAAGATGTAATATAAATACATACTATTTTATATTAAATATTTATTTTTTGTGAATTAATAAAATATATATTTATATTATATATACATATATGGTATAAGTTTGTATATATTTAATTTTAAAATGAAAAATTTATTAGTCATCACGTTTTTTTGGGCCTTCAAAATTCAATTGAGTTTACAAAATAAATTTGTCCCATTGAAAAATGAAAATCATATATACTCCTATAAATTTGGCGATTCTAGAAACAAATATGCATATATTTGACTTTATTTTTTTTTATTTTTTTTTTTTGAGCTCTAGTAAAGAAAAATTGAATGTGTTTGGTTTGTATTTTAAAAATAAATTAATATTATTTAGTTTGTTATTATTTTATAAAAAAATATTGTGTTTATTTTTTTTAAAAAAAAAAAAACAAAATTACATTAGAAATTATTAATCAAAACAAAACACTTTACTATAATTGAAATTTTGTTAGGCCAAAATATTAATTGGAGAATAAATAATCCAATTTGGAGTATTTTAAGTTTTGATTCTGAGTTTTATTTTAAACAATTATTTGGAAGTGATAGTTATAATTATATATATAGTATAATTTTATATGAAATTGTAAAACTGAGGCATAATAATTTAAAAAATACAAAATAAATCGAATTCATACATCACATATACAATTTTGTACTAATTTCATAATTATTTTTTTTTTAAAGTTTCAATCTCTTATTTGAACAGAATTTAATTTATTTTAAAAATATATTTAATTCAATAAATATTATACCGAAAATTTGATTTGAAAAAAAAAAATGATTTGGAAGAGAAACAGGCATAAAAAACCATTAGAGTGGTCACGAGTGGGAGCTAAGTGTAGCCGCCGTTGCTGACCACGTGGCGGCCTCCTCCGTCCATTGCTCTCCACGTGGCTCCTACACGTTTCCATTTTGTGCTTCGCCTTTCAAATACAAACAAACAAAAATTAAATTCAAATTAAAAATGAAAATAAAACGTTACTGATATTTATCATTTCGCAATTTATTTATTTCCCTTTTCAATTACAAAATTAAGATGCAATGACCTTTCTATCCCTTACATAATATTCACATCACTATAGTTTATTTCTTTAGATAGATATATAATACTCCCCCTCTATCCCCATAAATATATTGTATGAATTATATCTAAAAAAATAAAAATCTATATATATATTTCAAAATGGACAAAAAGAATATTGTAGTTGCACTTGTGGCCGTAAGTTTATGAGTTCAAATCTCTGGCGGTCATCTGTCACATATAGTTCGCTTAATATGACTTATAGATAATGAAAAATTGTGGTCCGCCTTGTTGCTAAAGCTTGCCCGAATGCCTAACCAATTTCGTCTCTATAAAGGCAATAATCACTTCCACGACGTCGTTTTTAATGAAATAAATAAAATGACATGAATTTAAATAATTTATTTTACTCTAAGTCTGCCATTCCATGTGACAAATCCACTCAAATTGCATAATGCACTGTTAAATAAGATATTTTAACTGGGATATATTTATTATTTTTAAAAGTCAAAATTGTTATAAATGTGCTTCTTATAAATTGTCAACTCAATAATTAATTCTGAAATTTATTTTTATAACGACTGTACCTTTATGAATTCTACTGAATCATAAATAAAATTTAAGTCTAAGTATTAATAGAAATTAAAAAATAAGTAGCTTCGATGAATATGTATATATTTAAATTACAAATGTTTAAATACTTCTAAGTAATTAAATCGGTGCTAATTTGCACTTGCTTTTATTTTTATTTTTATTTTTAATTATAAATACATAAAATAAAAAAGACCTTTAAAATAAATTTAAAATCAATATTAATAGTAATAATAACACTCTAACCTACGCCAATAATTGAACCCTAGTATAAGCAAAGTAGACATCCCTATGTAGCTTTTGGAAGAAGCTTCTAATAATATTTAATTTTTATTGAAAGGAACATTCCAAATAATTATATAAATTATTGCCGACATTATACATAATTTATATTTTAATTATTACAAACAAGAAGAGGACCTTTCGTATAATACTACTTGCTGGCCTTTTAAAAAAGGTTTTATCAAACATGGTTCGCTTAGTGTGACTTTCTTGTCGGACCTGATTTGCAGGGTATTAGGTTCAGCCGAGAGTTTATCCAATTGGCACTTTCGGGTAGCTGCGGATTCTCACGTAATCTAAAAAAAAAAAAAAAGTGCATACATTATTGAAGCATATAAATATTTTGAAAATGTGTCTAAGCCAATCCCCTTTTTTTTTTTTTAGTAGTTTAAATTAAAATTTTATTTTAAACTTTCTAAATTCTATGTTGGATACTTCAAATATTTTTTTCTCCACCTAAATAATTTTTTTTTTTTTTTTTTTTTTCATATAAGATCTTTACACCAATTATTATTTGTAAATTTTTCACTGAAAAATGACATTGTATTTTATATAAATAGGTACTTGAAATTACAGTACTAACATCAATATAATACTACAATACTCAATATATGATACAATAACAAGTAACAAATAAATATATATTATTCCCTCTATCCCATATACCATGTCCATATTGTTATTTTTGTTCGTCCCACATACCATGTCACTTTTCTTTTTTGAAAAATGATTATACACTTTAATCTTATTTTAAACTTTTTAATTTTTTTTAATTAAATTAATTAGTTATTTTAATTTTAATTTTTAATTATTTATATTATAAAATAATTATTTTCACTAATATATTCTAATTATCTATTAATTACACTTTTTCTAAAATATTGTGTCTACGGTGTAATAGACAAGATATGTGAGACGGAGGGAGTCCTGTATTATAAATATAACGATATAACAAATTTTTATACAATATATATAATCAATGATGTCATAAAAATAAAAAAATAAAAAAAATGATGTCATCGTACGAAATGTCCACATAGTACATCGCATACATTACTGGGAGTATTTGTTTGAAGATTAATTGAAATAGTTGTACGATGTGATATGAATAAATTTTGATATGATGTTTTGAATGTAAAATTAATTTTTAATATAATTTAAAAATAAAAAATAGGCATGTGATTTGATGTTTTTGAAAAAAAAATTTAAATGAACAATAAAAATTCGGTGAAAGCCTTTAGGGTGTGTTTGTTTGGGGGTTTGGATTTTGAGTTGAGATTTTAATAGTAAAAATTTTGAATTTGAATAGTGGTATAATGTAATATAAATAGGTGTTGATGTGATGTTTTGAATGTAAAATTGATTTTTAGTATAATATAAAAAATGAAAAATAAGTATTTAATTTGATTTATTTTTTAGAAAAAAATGGAATGAATAATATATTTAAAATCCAATCCTCCAAACAAACACACCATTAACCGAACAAACTATGATTTTGATTAATATATAATATATATTCTCTTAGTTAAAATTATATACTTTTTGTATGGCTATTTTTATTAATTTTGATAACTTAAATTTTAATTTAAATAATAATTTAATATAATATTTTGTGAAATAAAAAATTATATTTTTATTAAAAAATAGGAATTGAATAACAAAAATTTGAAAAAAAAAATAAAAATTATTATTATTTCCATCTTTTATAACATTTTCAATAAAAAAATTATCAATATTTGTTTATAGTAAAATATTTTAAAAATAATAAAAAAGTAATTCATTGAAAATAATTTGATTATCTTCAAGAATAAGAGTTGGAGTAGCATTGTATGGAACCCAGCTAGGGCCACTTTGATTATTTTAATCCCTTAATAATAATGACACCCCAACTGAACATTGCATTCTTATCCAAAACCAATGGGATTAATATTTTAATCGATTATGAATATAATATTATTATAATAAACACAACAATGCTCCAGACAATAATTATAATACTTTATTTTATCATGTATCAAAATATCTATTTTGGATAATGTCTAGTTGCATAAGTTAAGATTCGTTCATTTGAGGTCTTATTTAATTTTGTAAGTAGTTATTTATTATTATTAATCATTAGTTAAAAGAAAATTATTATTATATATAAATTTTTAACTGTGAACGCAGAAACAATGCAGTACTAAATTGGTCAGTGAAAAAATGTAGTGTGGAAATGCAGCTTTTCATTGGGGGTGTTATTGTCTTTTCACAGATGAATCAGAAATATAAAGGAATATTACTATAATTTTATTTATTTATTTATTTTTCTTCTGAAATTACTTTAAAAATTTATTGTCTTATTGACTTTTCCTTTTCTTTTTCTTTTTTCTTTTCCAATTTATAAAATCTGAGGGAAAAATGAGTTCTTGAATTTCTGGACTTGTTTCTGATTTGAGGGTTTTAAAAATCTTCCAGACGCTACTGTTTCTTAGCTCTCGCCAATCCCTACTTTCTTCTTCGTCCTTTCTTCCTGCGTCTTTGATTTTGGTTTCAGGTTTGGATTGTGAAGCAGGAAGGCGAAGAATTGGGGGCTGAAAAAGAGCTGCAAGGGATTCAATCTCCGTTTTCTCTTTTGTGGGAGTTGGAATTGTGTTGAAGAAAAAGCTTGAAGGTATTCGTTAATGGCGGTTCCGACGATTGCGCTTTACGCGCCGCCACCGAGCAGCATGTGCTCCGCGCCGCACCAGATCAGCCCCCACGCTTCATACGATTTTGACGTGAACGGGCGGTCGACGTCGTCGGCCTCCGCGACGTCGTCGCAGAAGAATTTAATTGGCGGCCTTTCGTGCCTCTTCTCCTCTGTACCGGTCAAATCGGCGAGTTACTCAGCCGGAGTTGAGGAGTTGAGCTCCTTATGGCACGATAGGACGGAGGAATTAGGATCCTCTTTCCGATGCTCTTCCTTAAGCCCTTCGAAACGGGATCAGGCTCAGCAGAGTCCGGTCTCCGTGCTTCAAGGCCCGAATAATTCGATCGGCGCGCGTTCTCGGAGCCCTACCATGAGAATCAGCGCGGATTTCAGTTCAATTAGGTCTGGAAGCGGCGGAATGTTCAACGGATTCGCCAGGCATGCTTTGAGTTCCTGCGTTGATTACGAATCGTCGCCTTTGACTTTAGATGATAACGACGTTGATCTATCTTCCTCGTCTACGGAAGAGCTTCCGTTCACCATGGAGGATCATTTCGTGGAGCTGAATTTGCCGCCGTACGCGAAGGATTTACTTTCCGATGCACAGTCGAGACATCCGATTTTCAGGCATGATCTAGTCGTCAAAGCTTTCTTCGAAGCAGAGAAGGCTCATAGAGGGCAGGTATTCAACAATTCCAAAAACAAATCTATGCTAGATTGATTTGAGGATCATGATTCATGAATTCACAATTTCTTATGCTTCGATCTGTGTATGCAGATGCGTGCAAGCGGTCATCCTTACTTGCAACACTGCGTGGAGACTGCAATTCTGCTAGCGAATATCACCGGAGTCAATCCAACCGTTGTTGCTGTAGGTCTTCTGCACGACACCATTGATGATTCATCTGTCACTCACGGAAACATAGCACGATCATTTGGCGTTGAGGTCGCAGATTTAGTGGAGGGGGTAAGGATTAAGCAACATTCAATTCATTTCCTGTTAGATTCAACATTCACTAATTAAATTCTGGCATCTTCCTGGATTTGTTTGCTGAATAATGATATGTTCTTGGTAATGGTATCGATCATTTGTTGCCTTGAAAATTGTGATCCAGACAATCATAGAAGTAGTTCTTAGTTTGTCTTATTGGCTGTTTGATTTCTGATTGAAGAACATTCTGAATGTAGTTAGGGAACGCCATAGTTGATTGAGATTGACTGTTTCTTGGACTTCTATTGATTAATGGAGAATTTGAACCATAATGTTCTCGCCAGGTGTCTAAGCTGAGCCAATTGAGCAAGCTTGCAAGGGATAACAACACAGCCTGCAAAACTGCCGAGGCTGATCGGTTGCACACCGTATTCCTCGCCATGGCAGATGCTAGGGCTGTGCTAATCAAGCTTGCCGATCGATTGCACAACATGATGACACTGGACGCGCTTTCTTTGACAAAGCGCCAAAGGGTTGCGAAGGAAACTTTGGAAATATTCGCCCCATTGGCGAACCGGTTGGGAATCTTCACCTGGAAAGAACAGCTTGAAAATCTCTGTTTCAAACATCTCAATCCGGATCGCTACCAAGAACTGTCATCAAAGCTTGTGCAGTCGTTCGACGAGGCTGTGATCACCTCTTCTTTGGAGAGGCTGGAGGTAGCGCTGCAGGTCGGAGGAATTGCTTACTACCATATGTCCGGACGACATAAAAGCTTGTATAGCATCCATTCGAAAATGCTGAAGTATGTTGAGTTTCTTGTGCTCAAATCGTACAAATTGTTTCACATTTAATTGTTTCACATCATTTTTTGGCGGTACTTTCTGTAGGAAGAAGCTGCGGATGGATGAAATTCACGATATTCACGGGTTAAGATTGATTGTCGAAACGGAAGAAGACTGCTATAAAGCTCTTAGGATTGTCCGAAAGCTATGGCAAGAAGTACCCGGGAGGTTCAAGGATTACATACGCTGCCCGAAGCTGAATGGGTAAGCTACAGCTCAAAATAAATGTAGTGTACCTACCCTTTCATTCATCACATCATATTCTTGATCGAAATTTACTTACATTTGCAGGTACCGGTCACTGCATACAGTTGTTACGGGTGATACTGTAGTTCCTTTCGAAGTACAAATCCGAACGAAAGAGATGCATCTTCAAGCTGAATATGGATTCGCCGCGCATTGGAGATACAAGGAAGGAGACTGTAAACACTCTTCCTTTGTTCTCCAGATGGTCGAATGGGCTCGTTGGGTTATGACCTGGCAATGCGAGGCGATGAGCAAAGACAGATCGTGCATCGGATTCGTCGACTCCGCTACCCCTTTCTGCTCGTTCCCGATCCACTCCAAAAACTGCACATTTTCTTGCAAGCCCCGCTCCGATGGACCCATCTTCGTCGTCCTGATCGAACACGACAAGGTCAGTGATTTTTTCAACAGTCTTCCCGAATTTACAATTAAGTTTTTTACAACGGAACACCAATCCGACCCCTTGAAATCTAATGTGCAGATGTCTGTGCAAGAGTTTCCGGCAAACTCAACGGTGACGGATGTGCTGGAAACAGCGGGTCGGGGTAAACGGGCAATGTATGGGTTCCCGGTGAAGGAGGAGCTGCGGCCACGGCTTAACCACGAGGCGGTCACTGATCCCTTGTGCCAGCTGAAGATGGGGGACGTGGTGGAGCTAACTCCGGCCATACCAGACAAGTCGCTGACAGAGTACCGGGAAGAAATCCAGCGGATGTACAACGGGGGATTCTCGGTGCCGGCGGCTCCCATGGCTAACTCGAGAAGCTGACGCAGTAAGAGTTGACTTCATTCTTTGGTAGAAAGATTATCATCGTGTGGTTTCAGAATAGTGTAGTTGTAGTGTAGTTTGTATTGTGTTATTCATTTCGTATAATATTTTGTTGTACATATAGAAGAGAGAAAACATTTTAGATTAAAGAAAAAGAAGTGCTCCCTGTCTTGAGCAAATCTGGAATTTGGGAGGATTTAGGAATATATATATATATATATATATATGGTTATGGTATTTGCTTACAGCTTGGAAGTAATGGATTGTAGCTATGCTATATGTATTCTCGAAATTGATTCTCAACATCTTGTCATTTACATGAAAGAATATATTTTTAACTTACAGGGATGAAAGGTTACTTTTCTTTTTTTTTTTTCAAAGTTGGAACCTGAACTCTTTCTTAACAATATAAAAAAACTATAATTATGTTTCAATTGATGTTAAAGTTAATTATAATTATAATTATTTTATTCAAAAGAGAAAAGAAAAAGAAGTTTATAGAAAAAAATTTATAAAATAGAAAATAGAAAAATAAATAATAATTATAATTATAAGTACAATTCTCCAAGTCCAACCCTAGAAAACAAGTGCATCCGCCGCCGCCCCCAACACCTATCTTCTCTTGTTCCTTTTTTCTGTCTTTCCCTTTGTCGTTTTCACCCACCGGATATTTAATATCTGTCTCAAATAATTTGTTATTTTTTTTAAATATAATTATATTTTAATAATATTTTAAATTTTATTATTTTTAATTTTAATTAAATTATTTATTTATTTTAATTTTAATTTATAATATTTTTATTATAATATAATTATTTTTATTAGTATATTTTTTAACTGCTTATTAATTATAGTCTACTTAAATTACTGCATTTGCGACGTAGGGAGTACATAAACCGCAGGTTCGAACCGGAAGTTCACGGTTTTAATAGTGTTGAAATCCAAACCGAAACCCGAAAAAAAAAGAACCGCGAAAAAACGATTTTAGTTCCGGTTTGACGCGGTTTCGATTTGAACTTGAACCACCGGTTCGAAACCGGTTGATTAATTCGAAGTTCGACGGGTCTCCGTCTTCGGGTGATTCGGAGTGGTTTTGCGGAGGTTTGAAGTTCTTGATTGTGGTTCTTAGGGATACTCTTTTTACTACTGAGGAGCTGTGGATTTGGTAGGGGTTCCTATTTTCGTTTCTACTTTCTGTTAGTTATTTTTAAAGAGTGGAGAGATGACGAAGGTTTTTGGCGTTGCAGAATGGCTACTGAAGAAGACGAACGAAGTGAACCGAGAAGTATAGTCCAAATATATTCCGAATTTATGACCAGGTCTCAAAGTCAGCTCTTGTTGTTTCGTTAATTTTACTGAAAATGGTGTATCATTGATCGATAGTGTATAAATTTCCTTTTGCAGGTTGTCATTATTTGAAGAACAGTTATCTATCGGAAGCAAGTTTCTTATTGGCTTCCAGCAGGCGCTTGGTGAGTGTGTTAATTGCATATTTTTTTAGCAGCACTCATATTTAGATGCTTGGGTTTATTGTTAGGGTTGTGTTTGATTCAAATTTGGAGTGTGGAGAAGAGAAGTAGAATCGGTAGTTGCGTATAGTTGGATTAGAAATTGAATTTAGATCTGCAATTTGGTATTCTCAGCTGTAAGATCACTGATTCAGCTATTGGTGATTAGGGTTCTTAGGAAGGCCCCCAATCAATAAGACATCTGCTTTGGCTGATCGAATTATTAAATCTCATGGCTCCAAGTGGCTTCTTTCGTATACGGAAGCCGGATGTATGAACTCTGAAGATAGTGCACAGAATGTAAGCAAGTGTAAGTCTGTTCATAATCTACTTTGAGTGTTTAAACACATGGAACATCCTTTTTCTCTCAATATTTATGCTGTCAATAAATTGTCTACAATGCTTATGCTTTATTGTCAATATTGATATTTTGTTTGTTTTTGTGTGCTCCGTTGATATATTCTGTTCCTTCTGAAATGATTTTAAGATCCTTTATTTGTATGCTTGAAGATATGCACATAAATGATGATGTATGTAATGTGTATATCTGGCCGCCGTGTTTTGCTATTATGATAGATAATAACCAAGAGATGCAAACTTCGTATTATCCTCTTTATAAAATGTTGCTTTTGCAAGGCGGTCCTGTACCCTTTTGTGCCGTGCAATTGGTATTGTCAATTGCTAAATTAGAGAGTTTTTTTCATTTATACAAAACTTTATGCTTATTATATGTATGCTGTAATATCTGAACCGGAAAAGTTCATTTGCCTCGTACAGCATGATGGACTTGATAAGAGTTCTTTTATGGACGTGGCATTGTTGCTTATCTAATAAATTGCAAAGCCCATGTGCTTGCAGTTTGAGTGTTGCTTGTGTCGATACTTGATATTTTTTAGAGATAGGGAAGAGTCTTAATCACTATGTCATTTCAAGATTAATGATTTTTATTATATAAGTTACAAGGGTGGAAGAATTCGAATCACTATATAAAATGGTATTCTTACATACTATCGTATATCTGAACATGTGCTTTATATCATTGCTGAACCTTTTTTTCGTATTCTGCATTTTAATTGTGAGAAACAAAAGGAATGATGTCTGACATACTAAGATCTAGATAAGCCTTCATTTGATTATGGAGACTTTTAGAATTAAGACTGATGTTTGGAGTTAGTTAGGCGACCCTCTGCATTACTTTGCTTTGGTTACTATTTGTTTCTGTTTTCATGTGATTCGAGTATGGATTTTGTCATCGGCTCTAATTTCTTGTAACTCATTCTGTCATACTGAAGTGCATACTTGTCATCGGGGGCTTCAAGATCACATAAATGGAGGTAATTCTCAACTTTTATTTATTTATATATCACTTTTTTCCTTGCTCGTAATACTTCTATGATAAATTAAATTGCAATTAGGTCTAAGAAATTTGAGCTATTTCATATGTAAAACATTCACAATGATTAGATTCACATTTTGTCATATCTGGAAGTGACCTGTGAAAAAGTTTATGCATTAATGTCAGAGTAATTTCTGAGTCGGCATTGCTCTTGTTATAATTTTTTTGGGAAAATAATGGCAGTGTCTTATTGATCGTCGAAATCAGGAGTCTGTATATAGTCAATACAAAATAGATTCGATAGACTCAAATCTAAGTAATCTAATATATGTATAAGATGAAATTTAAATATAAATCTACATCAAGTTTCATGCCATGATATATTGCCAGCTAAAACACTCGTCGCCGAACTAGAACACCTTCTTGATGACGCAGCATCGGCAGTGGAAGCTGCAGATGCTAAAATTAACCAAAACTTCGATTTCTCTTGCAATGAGGTAAAATTTCTTCATCCGCATTCATTAATCGTGGGATTGCCAAATGAAGTATCATCTGATGATCCTATCGCTTACAGGAAAAGCTATCGACTCCAAACCTTTCGGAGCCTAGAGTAACCGACTATGCTGCTATGATGGCTATTATATACAGCATGGTTAAACAAGATTACTCGATGCAGGTACAAAATAATCGTTATTTTCCGTTATTTTCCATCTAGTTCGTCTCTGTACGTATGGTTTTAAAGAGTGGCGCGACGAATGCAGGTGCGAATTGTTTCCTCTATAAACTTCAAGACTTCACCCGAGCAACTGGAGACATACTGCCAGATGTGGTCATTACGACCCTTTGTCGATGATGAGGTAATTCGCGAAGCTTGGGCACTCGTACCGTAGCAAATTATTTTACATCCCTTTTGTTTTGCAAGATAAGGATCGGAATAGGACAGTTTTTTTAACACCTCCAAATTTTCGAATTTTTACTGCTACATGTGTATACTGTTGTTGTACATAACAAGAACCTGAATTGAATGGTTTAGCATAAATATATCAATTTTTATTGCTTGACTTTATTCACTTACACCCATCTTATTTAGATGATGAACATCTTAATAAAATTTAAATTACAATTTCGGGTTCTAGATAAATTTGGTTGGACTGCAAGTTAAAGCATAAAAATTGGCCCTCAAATATAATTATGGGCTATAAATTCAACAAAATAAATAAGATGGGTTTGGTTTTTCTTTCATTTACTTTCACAGCCTTGTACATTTATTTATTCATTTCATTAAACAAAATCTATTTATTTATATATCTTTTCAACAAATAAATATATTTATGTATATACAAAAAAATGAAAATAAAACTAAAAATCTTTTTTATAATATTAATTTATATTAATTATATATTTTTATTTATTTATATTGTGTAAAATTATGTTGTCTTAGAAATAATATTTATATTATCATAAAATATAACATTTAAAATATTTAAATAAATGGCAATTAAATAAATCTTCTCCTAACAAACTTCTAACCAAACACACTTAAGTATTGAATTGAAAATGAGGATTTGTAGCATGTTTCAACAATTAATAATACTATACACACCCGCTCTGGATAAACCATGGTCGAACTTAATACCTTGCAAACTAGATTCGACAAAAATAAGTCAAGACAAATCATGTGTAGCAGATGGACATGAAGGCGTCAGACTTTAAATTCATGATCCACCGTTACAAGTTTACTCCCCACACCGCCACGACATCCATTGCGGCAAGGGACAAAGCAAATACACTATTGCATTTAAATATGCTGGTTGAATATTGATGATTTTGGTTTCAAATAAAAACTAAACACACTCTTACATTTAAATACTATATTGGTTGAATACTAATGCTTGCTATACTTAAAATAAAAATATATTTACTTATGTTTCAAATTGTTTTTTGAATTATTTATTATATTATTTTTTTCTTTACAAAAATATACTTATAATGTATGATCCCTTCCTTTAGAAAAAAAATAAAAATAAAAATAAAAATTCATTGTTTGTACAAGTGTACAAGTATGTAAATAACAAAATATTTTTATATATTAATATTGTAAATTCGTATTTACTAAAAAAATATGACATTTCAATTTTTTTTTTTTTTTGTAAATATAGCTCTAAATAGTAAAATACATCTATTATTAATAGACAAACATGCATTATTATTCTCCCACCTTCAAAATACACACACAAAAATAAAAACACACACATATATATATATATATATAGATAGATAGATAGATAGATAGATATAGTTTCATGAGTGTTGAAACAATTATTAAAACGTCTCTTCTCTACTGAGTTCATATATGTTTATATATATATATATAATATTTATTAATTAATGGCCTCTCCCTTCCGCAGCTGTATCTGAAGCATCACCCCCAAACTCACCACTACCTTCTGCGTTCCAATGGCTCCTCGTCTCCATATGACCCTGCAACACCAGTTTCATCATCATCATCCAAATTAGTACAATTCAAATTTTAAAATTAGGTCAAACTAGCTAAGCTGCAATTGCAATTTAAATTGGAATTAGAATCAATGAATTAATCACCTGTTGTTGGTAAGCCTCAAAGGAATGGAACCCTCCGGAAGAAGAAACAGCAGCGGAAGTAGCAGGAGTATTAGGGTTTCCCATTATCATCATCATCGACGACGATCCTTGAAAGTTCTGCATCAGACAATCCATTTCCGGGATGTTAAAGAAGTCGTCCGCCGGCGTCGACGCGTGCTGCGGCGGCGGCGGCGGCGGAGGAGGAGGACGAACATTGGAGGAAGACCCGCCGGCGCCGTCGTGATGCATAATTAGGCCTTCGTAATTGTCAGGGGCAATCTCGTCATTTCCTACATTCACTGTATCATCGTTCTCGTTCACAGTCTCGTTCGGATTCGGGTTCGGGTTCCCGTTTTCCGTTTCAGATTGGGTCGACTTGGCGGCGCCGTCGCCGGCATCCGTCGAGTTAGACTTCACCACCAAGCGAGGCATGGACCCGAACCTCCTAGCTTTGGGTAGGCCGCCGGCGACGGCGCCGGCGCCGGAGCTGCCGCCTTCGGTGTCGGAAGACTCTTGCGGAACGGACGGGCAGCTCGACTTCCTCTCTTCCGGAGATCTCCAGTTGTCGTTCCGACATTTCTGTAAGAAAACACCATCGAAATTAAAACAATATATACATATATATATATATATATATACATAATATGTTTAGAGAGAGAAAGATGTGTAAGAAATTACCTGGAGATGACTTGCTACTTGCATTCTTGTCAATCCAGGCACATTCATTAGGTCAAGAATTTCTTTGGGGAAGCATCCTACATTATATCAAAATCAATCAATCTCTTTATATATATTTATATATATATATATCACATTCAAAAGCCTACTTAATTTTAGGACATCATTGCCTACACCAAAACCCTAATTTTGATAATGCTACAAGAGTACCAATATCAGACATGTAGAGTATTTAATGTGCTAAAATCAGACGACTTTCACATAAAAAATTCAAAACGATAACAAAATCTACTTACAAAACTTAAAAAATTATAATTTCATGCATATATATATATATCGAAGAAACTAATGAAATTCATATACGATGAACACTTACTTCCTTCCCCAAGTTGTCGAACCGAGGCCATGAATTTCTCATGCAATTCTTGAGTCCATTCAGTACACACTTTTCTTCGAACTCTACCACTGTTCATATGATCCGAATCAAATCCATCTTCTTTTCTTCCTCGGATCTTTTTCTTCCCCTTTCCTTTATCGCCCTCATTAGGAATAGGCACTTGGATACCTTGCGCGCCAATACTCGGTCCCATCATAATTCTTTCCCTCTCTCTCACCATTCGATTCTTGGCCTTCAAGACATGTTGCCAAAGTGCTTTTATCGCATCAATTTTCACCGGCTTTGGTATGAATTGAGTCGCCCCCATTTCAACTGCCCTCATGGCTACAAGTATGTTTTCATCGCTTGACATTGCTGGCAAGAATTATTAATCTTTTTGTGAGTGAACGATTCTACAACTTAGAATGTAATAGCTGATGAAAAAATGAAGATTTAGTAGATATTGTTCATGTAATAAACATGATTGTATGTACAAGATAACTTACCAACTATGGGAATAGACATGTCCACCGCTTGTTCCAAAAGCTTGAATCCATGAAGGTCGGGGGAGTTGATGTTAGCCAAAATAATGTCGAATTTTATGTTCCCATTTCGAAGCATTGTTATTCCAGCAGAAGCGAGTTCCACAAGAGTAACTAAGACAAATAGTGTAAGAAATTAGTTACAAAGTATAGATTTCAACCTAAAATAAAAGAAAAAAAAAATTTTATAACGTTTATCTTTTCCTTGAATAAAAAAGACATAAAAACAAATTATCTATGAATGATTGGATCTCAAATTCAATTCATGTGTCCATGAGAAACAATTATATAATCACATAAAGTACAATTAAAAACATCTTTATTCATAAAAAAATACACAACCAAATTTATGCCCCCAAAAAAACCTAAAAAAAATCATATATGGCTAAATTTATAAAAAGATTAGGGCATATTTAATTGATTGATGATTTAGGGTATTAAAAACATTAGTTAGACAACATAAAATTAAAGTATTTAATAATTACTACTTATAAGAATATTTAAAATTTACTACCTCTATATTGGCACAACTCGAGCATTTTCCCAGCGTTAAGGAGACTTTCAGATTCATGATCGATCAGCAAAACATGTATTTCAGACATTATCGATATATACGACGCAGAAGCCATTGAAGGTCCACCGCCAAACTTAAAACCTTCTCCCCAAACATTTCCCATTTCCCACATGTTTTTTGCGAAGAAAAATATATAATTTTCTAATTTCGAACAAAAACCTCGACACCGCAAAATTCAACAAGAACAAGATTGTAGGAGAATTATAAGAAATTAGACATGCAAATTAAAATGAGACTAGGCATGTATTTATAAACTTCTCTAACCTGTTGAGATAATACCATTCATACTTTTAATTAATTAAAAGTTAATTAGGATATTTTATTTTAGTAACGCTTAATTTCAATTCATTATTGCTTTTCATATATATCAAAAAGTAAAATTATGTAAATCTCTTTATACTTGTATTTTATTTTATTTTTTTTGTAATTAAATTATATTTTACTTTTTTAAAAGCTAGCCTTTAAAACACTCAAAACATGCATATATATATATATTCATATATTCATTTTAATCTATTTATTTATTTATTTATATATTTATTTATTTATAGTTGTTTTAAGGGAGTTTTACCTTGAAATATGACTTACTGAGTATGAAGTCAATGAGTCAAGTCAACATCAATTGTGTTGACCAATTTCAGTCCATACTAATTTCATAACAAAGCAGGTTGGTAATTATATTTCTTATTTTGCCTAAATATTTCACATTTTTATTTTGTTTTATTCTGTGCTATTTAATATATCATTAATTGCTTGACTCAATACTATTCATTTATTTTTTTATGGGATTAATAGTAATCTGAATTTTGTTGCAAAAATAATAATAATAATAATAAAACGAAATTATATATATTTATGCAATATGGCTCATCCTTATAAATAAGGCTGCATTAATACGAATTTAATATTTACTTTTGACAAATAAATTATAGAAATTATGAATATAAATTGCAGTAATATTTTCAACTTTTATTATTATTTTTTTTTTATAAAAAGGGTGTAACTTACCAAATTTTTATATATAAATATTGTATTTTTATTAGAGAAATAATTAGATAGGATTTAGAAGAAAATATTAAACCATTTGAATAATTAAAACATTTTAAAATATTATGTAAAATTGGAATTTTAAGGAGACATAAAAGGACGAGATAATTCATTTAAAAAAATGAAGAAGATAAATATGAATAATTTGGTCAATAATTAAAATAACAATTAATATCATATTTTTCCTGAAAATCTTGAATTTTAATAATATAATGTAGATTGTTGTTATTATTACAATAATATTTTAATGTTTCTATAATACATATCGTATTTGTAAATAATTAAAATAAAAATATAGTATATTTATTTTCATTTAGAAAATAAACATTCATATATATAAAAAATAATACTACAACAAATTTAGACCGGTTTATTATATCCATATGTCTTCCATATTTCTTATAAAGGATATTATTGGGTTTGTTTAATTAGTATTTTTAAAAGAAAAAAATTAACCAATAATTTGCATTCAATTATTTGATGTCAAACTTTTATCCAATATTTTGAGGGTCTCAAATTTTATAAGATACTTGTTAAAAAAGAGGAAGAAAAATAAAAATAAAAAATAAAAAAATACTCGATATATATAACTAGTGTATTAGTTTAAGTTCAAGTTCAAAAGTCAAGTTATCGGATCTATCGAATCCAACTAGCCAATCGAAAAATTAATATTCGGCTCGATGAACATTAAATTTTTCTATAAGGGGATTCATTACAATATTAGTCTGTCCAAAGAAACTTGAAATTCACTTATAATAAGTTTAAAATTCATTAACTTTAATTTGGACTTGAAATTCATCTTTAAACCTAATCATTTATAAAATACATTCATTGTTTTTTATTAACTATATAATTATTATATTTTATTTTATTGTATTACAAAAAAAAAAAAAAAACCAGATTTATTAAATAATTAAATTGTAAAAAAATATATATAATTAATGGAATATATGATACTTCAGGTTTTATATCAATTATTTTACATCAGCTTTGAATAAGAAGATAAATTTCTAAAACTAAATTTATTTATAAACTAAACGTAACGTTGAATATTGTTTAAAATAAAATTATTTTCTTACAGTTGTATTTCTCTACATTGTTGCATTGAATAATTCGAATGCACACATACTTACATTTTGGCCAACCCGTATGACCCGGCCCTATCCGCTTGTGTGTCTGTGGTCCGTTCATATTGACCCGACCCGAACCGACCCGCCCAACCTGTGTCTCCCCAATGAGTACGGAAAAAGGTCGAATCAAAACGACGACGTGTCACGCAACGGCAACGTGGCATTTTTCCCATCTATGCCAATATGCAATGCATGCACTGCTGCACTGCACCACTTCGATATGTATGCGAAATAATTTAAAATAAAAATATTAATATTTTTAGAAAAAAGAATATACACTAACCAACACTATGTAGAGATTTTAAAATATAACATCCAAACACACCGTTTTCATAATAAATTCATTCGCTAAAATTAAGAAATGCCAAACAGTCCTTATCCAGCTCAGCAATCCATATTACTCTATATATATATTTATTTATTTATTAACAACATTCGCATCAAATTGAGATCGATCGGAACTGCCGCCCCGGAGCTGAGGATGGAAGCGCTCCGCCGGTATCTCCGCCGCCTCCTCTCTTTCCACCTCGCCCTCGCGGCCGCCATTCTTCAGTGCCTCTTCTCCCCCTTTCCCAAGATCAAGCGCATTCCAATCTTCATCCCCTTCATCGACGCCGTCCTTTCCCTCTATTTCACGTTCGCCTGCAACCTTGTTGAATGCTCCGTCGATTTAGACGACCACACCACCGTGCATTTCTGGGCGCCCGCCCACCGGAAATTCAACAAGCCTAATTTGATAATGATACACGGCTATGGAGGAAATGCTAAATGGCAATTTGTTCCACAGGTTGGTTATATTCATTCCAGTCAATTTCACCTTCATTTTCATTGTTTACGATTGGCGTTTGTTTGTTATGATTCCGTTGCCTAATTCCATCGAGTTTCTTCGATGAATTCAAATCAATCATCAACATTAGCTCGTCCTCCTAATGCAGTTTTAGTTTCACTACCATTTTCTAATATCGATCGTCGATATATTCACATAGGTGGCCGAACTATCGAAATCCTTCAACCTTTACATTCCGGATCTCATATTCTTCGGGAAATCCTACACAAGCGGCGCGAACCGCTCCGATACCTTCCAGGCGGAGTGTATTGGCTTAGGGCTGAAACGATTGGGCGTGGAGAGGTGTTCAATTTACGCCATCAGCTACGGCGGTTACGTCGGGTATCGAATGGCAGAGATCCGCTCGGATATAGTGGAGAAATTGGTGATTGTCAGCAGTGGAGTTGGATGCTCGGAGGATCAGAAGGCGGAGCAGCTGAAAAGCGTCGGGGTGGATGTTCTAGATTTGCTCTTGCCGGAGAAGCCGGACGGCCTCCGCCGTCTCGTCGAGATGTCGGTTTTCAAGTCCAGTCCGCCTAAGTGGGTCCCGGACTTCATGCTCCAGGAGTTCATTGATGTAAGTGACGATTTCTACTACTTAATTGTTATAGTATCTGTATTCTACTGATGTTTGCTTGTGGTGTTCTTTCCCCGTGGATTGTATTACCTAATCCGTTTCTCACTTCTCCTTGTCGTTTTTTAATTGTTGTTATTGTTGACATTGTAGTTTTTCCATTAATCAATCTTGCATGGTGCAGAGTGCCCTGGTTAAAATCCCTAAATTTTCATGGTGTCTCCATGAATTCAGGCTTTTCTTTTGATTTCTTTATTCTGTTAGTGTTCTTGTGATTTCTCAACACTATTATCATTTTTAAGTTTAATTTTTTTGCAATAATATGTGGTATGATTGTTAGAGTATTGTGGTGATAGAAAATGCAATTGGATAAACTTGCAAGTTTCTATCAAGATATGATTGTTGAACTAGCTGATAAGGCACATATTTTTTGTGGCTCTTACGCCATCAAACCTTTAGCTTCAGCCCATTCAAATCCCTGGTAATGATCTAGCTCCATTCTTATCTTCAACTCCTGATTTTGGTTAAGAAATATAGAAAGTTACCTGTAACAAAAGATCATCTATAATTAATTCTTGGGGATTGTGAGCTTGATTTCTTTTGCTCTGTCTTTGGTAAACTTCCAGAGAACCTAAGCACCAATTCTTTTTCATTTTCTTTGGATTCCTAGTTCGACGACGACATTGTTGAATAGTTTCATCTTGAACTACAAATGTGCTTCTCCATTATATTCTGAGGTTATTAGATAGAAGGGAAAGAATTCCGTTTTTTTTCTTGTATTGTGAATTCATATGTAAGTCTCTTGCTAGGATCATTTGTTAAGTGTATGTTTCAAGAGCTATCTCAGGTGCTATGAGCCATCTCACTCGACGTTTTCTTCGCAGGAAATGTGCAACACTAACCGGAAAGAGAAACAGGAGCTGATCGAACATCTGCTGGCAGATAATTCTGAATATTGCGTTCACAGTTTAAATAAGGTATACACATCACTCATCCTCCTTTCCATGCTAACATTCATTCATACACGGGTCTGGTTAGTGCGCTGATTGTGGCTAATCAACACACAAAAAAAATAGACAGATGGCACATGGTCTCTGTTAATATAGTACATGTTGTTAACTGAAATCATATGCCGAGTTCACAGTTCATAGGGTATATTGTATGAAGATTAAGATACTTAATGCGCTGAGTTCAATCGTATTATATGCTTTTTGAACTATTCTTACGTGTTGTCAGTATGAGTTCACATGGTGCATATAGATTATGTTAACATATCTCTTGTGCTGCACATTTCATGTGGTGTTGTCGATAATTCATCCACTATCAGTACAGTCATTCAAATGTATTTGTAGCCCTTGTTGATCAATTTTCTCATTATCATCATCCATTCATCTCCGATGAAGGAAACATTGCTCATTTGGGGTGACAAAGATAAGATCTTCCCCTTATGCTTTGGGCATCGGTTGAAAAGGTACTCCAATCTCACATTCACCACAAGATCACTAGTTTCATCTAATAGCTGCAAATTTTACAAGTCTCATTCTATGAATGCAGAAGCCTGGGATCGAATTCCCGGCTGGAAGTGATCCCGGACACCGGACATGCGGCGAACATCGATTCCCCCCATACCCTGAATGCTTTGATCAAAGAACACATCTTACCTAACTCAAACCAGTGAAATTTGTATCCTGATCAGATGGTATATAATATAACCCTTACAATGTATTTATGTTAGTGAGAAAGCCAAAGAGGAGATGAAAGGATTTCCTCCACAGCCTGCCTCAGATCCTTTGGATAATTTCTTCATTGCATTTGTCTTAGTTCCAAATATAATATGTTTGATTTAAGCAAAGACATGCAGATGGGAATTGTTTGTTTGTTTGTATATGAACAGGAATGTTGTATTGCATATTTTATTAGTATATATATATATATATATATTAGGCTAAATGGCACAAAATCCACATATGGTTTTATAAAATTGCACCAAACCCCTTTCCCTCGTACTTCTAAAATTGTGTCAAATTTCCTCGTGGTTTTATAAATTTCGCGTCTAATCCCCTCAGCGGTCCTTATTTAACGATATTTGACCTAGATAGACTCAAAGTGCAAATAAATTTTAGAATCTCAATTTCTAAATCCTAGTAAAACTGAACTCTTGAAACCTAAGAAAAATAACTATTTTTAGTATATTTACTATATTTTTTAAGATAAATATAAAAATAAATAAATATATTTGTAATTTTAAAGGTTTATAAATTGAAATTCTAATATTTATTTATTCGCAATTTGAGCATTAAATAACGTCAAATAAAGACGCAAAGTTTATGAAATCACAGATTTTTCGCATATATTTTAAATAAAAATGTTTGATTTTATATGTTTACAAAGATTTGAATGGGCTGGGTTCCATTGGTGGGCTTTCGTATAATTGGCCCAATATTAGGCCATGCTTGAATAAAGCCCATTAAAGGCCCAATTAGATACAAGTACATAGATGTGTATGTAGAGGAGATGAAAGACATTTCCGATCAGGGAAAGGAACGACCGACCGACCGAGAAATACAGACGCAATCGGAAAATCGATCGTTTACGGGAGAGATGTCGGTGCAGGACCGGGCAGCGGCGGCGCTGCTGACGCAGATAGCTTTGACGGCGGACGGTGCGCTGTTTGGATTAGGTCTTGCATACGTGGCGTACCGAAGCACCCGTAGATATATTGCTACGTCATCTGCCATCCGCAAAATTCGCCAGGCTCCGGCGGTGCAGCCGTCGGACCTCCGTTCCATCCTTCCACATGACAGTGATTGTGAGAAATCTCATCTGGAGGAAAGGAATGGTGCTAATTCGGATAGTGACGGTAGTGACTTGGTGATTGTTAGGGGTACCGTGGAGGTGAAATCTGCTGTGGAGAAGGGGAGTTGGAGGAGCTTGCTGGATGGGAATTTGGTTGTTTCTCAGGAGTCTGGAGAAGTGGGCGTTATATTGCAGCGTACGCAGAGAGTATGTCGGTACTTTTTTTTAACCTAATTTTCTTTCTGGTTTTCTAATTTGGGGAATTACTCGTTTGTGTTAATTTTGGGAGCTTTAAGAATTGCTAATTGTTTGTTCAGCTAGATGTGGTTTCCTGTGAACTGATTTACCTATTGTTGGCTTCAATTCGTTGAAACTTCCATGGAATTGCAAATGCTAGAGTTCGACTTTTGTAGTTTGTTTCTGTTCACGCAGCTTATATGAATTAAACTTTTGTGTGCTATTATCTTAGTTTTCCTCTTGTTTCCTTTGCATCTTTTCCTTGAAGTGCATATACAATGAATGGAGGGGTCTCTTTGGATGGACTGCTGATCTGCGCTCCATGCTTTCGAAATCCTGGAAAGATCAAGAGTCAACCTCAACAAGAATGGTAACATGGTGCAATTTTTTGATTCGTTGTTAAATATCACAAGTGCCGTTATTAGGATATGATCTATGCTGTTAGCTCCCAAATTTTGGAGCTTATATGGTTCAATATCTGTGTTTTATCTTTCTCACCTCAAATTCTACTATTGAGTTCCAGCTATTTTGAGGTTTGCTCGCTTGGCATGTTTTACCTTGACATTTATGTGTGTTGATTTTACATATTTGGTTTTATGCTAGTCATAATTCGCTAATAGAATATCAAACCTGTCTGTTTTCTGTGTTAGAATGTTGGTTACACATTATAAGCTGTTATTGGTATACTAGGGACTTAATAAGATACCAACAATTCAACAATTCATAGAGCTTTAGGGTAATGTATTATTCATGCGAGAAATATATTGCCACGACGATGTTTCGATGCAATCTATATCATTCTTGTGTGCTCCTGTGATAAGATGCTGTGATTGTTATATTATGACCTCTACACATACTTGTGTAGAAGTGGCTCGTATTTCTTGTTTATTTAGAAAACTATTATTTCATTCTTACTTCTGCTTCATTAATATTAATCTACTGGTGCTTGAATAGGAATTTTCTACTCAGGTCCCTTTCATTCTTGTTGAAGATGCGAAGCGGCCTCAATCAGGTCACGTTGTTGTCAACATGGAAGGATCCAGTCATCCACTGCCTCTCACAACAGTTTATCAGCACTTGCAGCCTACAAATTCATCTCCTTTCATATTTCTACAAGCTCTATTTGGTATCGACTATCCTGTCAGTCCCATATCACTCACTCACTTCTTATTGTGATATGTGTTGTTTTTTTAACCCTTTTCTCGCTTTCTGCCTCCCCCATACTTAATATTTTAATTCTTTTTCATTGCAGGTTGGACTGCTTTATGAGGAGAAAATACTTCCTCTTGGGAAGGATATAACAGCTGTTGGCTTTTGCAAATTCAAGAACGGCATCCCTGAGATTAAATCGTGCAGCAGTCTTCCTTATTTTCTGTATGTGAATTCTCCCATAGTCATATGTTGCATTATCGGACTCCAAACGTATTTCCTCGTCAGCCATTCGCAACTTTTTCTAAGTAGTTTAAAAATTTCTGGCTCACATTACAAGATAGCATAAATACGGTATACTAAAGATTAAGCTACTAGTTTGGGAGAAATAGTTTTCACGGGGTTCGGGTTTTAGTCAATCTATAAAGCACTATGCGCATATTCCCGGTGACATCTAAGTATGATCATTATGCATGTTGTTATATATATATATCATATATCAATATCATGTATGGATATTGCTAACCATTATGTCCCAAACTTGCGGGCCTCCATAGTTTATTTTCCATCTTCATAGTTTCACTATTGTCACTAATTAGAGGATTTATCATCCATCGATCTTTTCACAACTTTCTTTTCTCTAGAACTGATTGTTGGATGGATTGCATGTAGATCTGATTTGACAAAGGATCAAATTCTGGCCGATCTTTCCTTCAAAGCTAAAGTGTTGCAATGGAGCGGAATTATTTTTGGGTCGGTCGCCGTTACTCTCCTTGGCTATTCTGTTGCAAGGTACTTATCCCTACCCCAACCATAGATGATTCTCAGACAACAGAAACATCCAATTTAATTCACTCAACGGCTCATATATCATCACCATTGTCATCAACATGATGGTGTTCCTATCTCAATAGGAATTGGATGAGATGGAAAGAGAGGAGACGGCGCCAGCAACGGAGTAATCCTACTCCTACCGACGATCAAGCTCCGGCTGAGAGTCTATCAGATGAAGAGGCAGGAGACATACCCGACGGCCAACTTTGCGTGATATGTCTGACAAGAAGGCGACGATCTGCCTTCATCCCTTGTGGGCACCTGGTTTGCTGTCCGGGTTGCGCCCTAGAAGTCGGGGTTGAAGTGTCGCCCAAGTGCCCGGTATGCAGGCAGTCTGTAAGAAACTCTGTAAGAATCTATGATTCTTGAGGAAGATGGATAAGAAATGTTGTAGCTGGGGAAAAAAAAATAAAGGAATAGTAATATTGCTTCCGGTGTTGTAGATTTGCCAGCCGCCAGGTGGTTCTGAATCGGCGGTTTTTTTGGGGGGGGTTGAACCGAACCGTGAATAAACCGGAACCGAAGCTGAATTTTACAAGGCTTGGTTTCGATTCTACTAGTATGTTGCATGGAACTGTAAACGGACTGTTGAATCGAACTGTTTAGACCGGTTTGCTATCTTTTTTTAGATTATTGAATTATGATTATAATCTAAAGATACTAAATGGAGTATTTTGTAATTGTATATTGCATTTAAATTGATTTTTTTATTATTATTATTTATATTAAAATTGAAGTAAACTGATGGTTTTATATAGTTATATGTTACTTAAGTTAATTTAGATATAATTTTAGGTTGAAATATATATTGAAAATGTGTGGTTTTAATTGAAAAGAATATAATTATTTAATATATTTTTTCTATAAAAAATTAAAAATAATAATTGTTTTATTATTATTATTTAAACTTAATTTCATATATTTGACCAGAAAATTGAATGAGGTGGAAATTTTTTCTTTTTATTTAAAAATATACTATGTAGTGTTTGAAATATAGAAAAAAAAAAAAAAAAGAAAACGGAAAAAACTTGAAATGGAAATAAAGAAACAGGGCTAGGAATTTTGAATTAAAAGTGTTGATATTACAATGAGGAGTTGAAATGAAATTGAAATATGACTTAAAATGTGCAATTTTGATTTAATATTTTGACAAACTCAAATTGGTGCTTTTGAGTTGTAATTAGTGGTTTAAACTGTTTGAACAAATTTATGGTTTATGTATGTTTATAGGTGTTTGATTAATTAATTAATTTTGGTTTGATATTTTAGATTAGTTTTAGTTTCGAAATTTGAAAGGTGAGAATAGCAAAACATGAATCAAGATTTGAGTTACACAACGCATCCCAAGTCATAAATGTGTATAATAATAACATAGAAATTGTTGGAGAAGAACAATCTGAAAGTGGATGTGTTTGGAGGTATTTTGCATTTTATTTTATTTAATAGGAATGTTTTAGTAATTATAAATAAATATTTGATATTGTCATGCATCGTGTTACTTTATATATTTGGTGCAACAGAAAAAGAGAAGCATGTTGGAACTACAAACAGACATACATTACACACACACACAACACAAATACAGATACAAAAGACACCACCAATTTATTTATTAATATTTTTAAAAAATGAATAACTAAATAAAGGAGGAATGGGCTCTGTCAGGAGTTTATTTTCACATTCAATCGTCAATTCAAAACAACTTTTATTTTTATTATTATTATTATTGTTATTGTTATGAATGTGTGTATTGGAAATTGTTGCATATGGTTCCATTATTATTAAAATTATTATTGTTGAAGCATAGATACATACCCCTATTTGACTATTATTTCTGAATCAGAATCAGAATCACCCCATTCTTTTGCATGCCCATTACATTTATTTATAATATTTATATATACTATTACTATTACTATTATTTATACCACCTTCCATTCCTCCAATGTATTACTACTATTATTTATTCAACCACCTTCCTTGTCATCATCATATGTATACATACACATACATATATCAATGTCTCAATATTCTCAAACACACTCTTGTATTAACAAAATGTATATATATATATATATTCGTTACAAGTTCATTTTTTACCGCACCGAGTTCACTTGCTATACATAATTTGTCTAATGCAATTTTCTTTATCATACTTAATTTTTCGACACCACAACGTATAATTTGTCTAATATGATCTTTTTTATCGAACTTAATTTATAGGGTATTAGTAATATTTTTTATAAATATATATTAATACTTGTAGGGTGTGTTTGTTTGGGGGTTTAGATTTTGAGTTGGGATTTGAATAGTAAAAATTTTGAATTTGAATAGTTGTATGATGTGATATAAATAGGTGTTGATGTGATGTTTTGAATGTAAAATTGATTTTTAGTATAATATAAAAAATGAAAAATAGGTGTTTGATTTGATGTTTTTGGGGGAAAAAAATTGGATGAATAGTAGAAATCTTATTAAATCCCCCAAACAAACACACCCGTAGTATATTTTTTATTTATAAATCAAAAACAGCACATTTAATGTTTAACTTTTTGTTACTTATAAAAAATTTACAATAAATTTAACATCCACCAAATATAGACGCTTGGGTGTATTCATTGTGGTGAACGTGTTGAAATGTATATATCATATTTTTTATTAAATTATTCTAATCTTAAATAAATAATTATTATTTTTAAAAATATATTTTCTAATTATTCAGAACAACAAGAAAATTAAATACTAATAGTATAATTTTTTATAAATAAAAAAAAAAATCACATTTAACTACTAACGTTTTAACTTTTTATTATTTTTAAAAATTTTACAATAAGCTTAACATCCGCAGAACATAAAGCCACTTTTTTCCATTTTCAACCACTACCAAAAAAAAAAAAAATAACGACAAAAGGCATACTACAATTTTGTAAAAATTAAATAAACCAACAAACAAAAAATTCAAAATCCAACATAATAAGAAATCTTAACTAACCCCAAAATTCAAAATCAAGAATTACCACAACAAAACACATACCCAAATTTCCTCCTAATTAACAAACCTTAATTAATCCCCTAAAAATTCAATTCCACAGTGCAAACACGTGATGATGATGAGGATTATGACCATTATTATTACCATTAAATCCTCCTCCTACATTCGAACTTGTCTCCTGATCACTACCCTCATAACACCCCCCCACCACCCCCAATCCATCCTCCTCCCCCTTAGGACTTGAGCTCCTGCCGCACTGCCGCCTCGGCTCCTCACCGCCACCACCGGACTTCCACATCCGGTCAGCCAATATTAACTCATGAGGTGGAGCTGATGAAGTGTGTTCGTCGAGCACACCACCCGAGTTCTTGGGCGATCGTTTCGCTAAGTCACTAGCTATCAGCGTGGAGCTCGAACATATCCTCTTCACGTCGTATCTCGTTATGTCAAAATTCGTCACCGCGCTCGTCCCTCGGAATTTTATTGCGGCTATGTCGTAGGCCTCCGCCGCTTCTTCTTGCGTGCCTAATTTCGAGCCAAACAGTAATTTTCGATAAATCATTGAAATCCACCCTATTGCAAGAACTAACTTATGGAACTACAGTTGGTTGAGATTAATGTAATAGTAAGTAATATTTGCAGATAGTAATAAATAAATATTGCAAGATTTGGAAAGAAAGAGGACTTACTGAAAGTACCAAGGTACAAGTCCTTGTTGCCTGCAACTCTTCCAATTCTAGCTTGCCATCTCCCATGCTGGTGGTGTCTGAAGAGTTATGGGGGGTGGGGTGGGGTGGGTGTCTTAAAATCAATTTCAAGATCTATTATGATATATAGATAGATAGATAATAATACATGTTGCATGAATATAGCTAGGATGTGGTAAGTACTTGGTGCTACACGTACAACTTACATTACATGCATCGAATTCAAACCCTTACATACAGACATACCTACATTATTATTCAACGTGGTCTGGTCTGGTCTTGACCATTATTATTATTGTTTGTAAGAACAATAATAAATAAATAAATACATAAAGATACAGGTAAACACACACAGATGAAGTAAGGTTTTATTTGAATTCAATGGAGTAGCTAGTACCACCTACCTTGTTACTCCTCTGTACATTGAAGCTCCCCTCGAAAATCCACTGCTTCTCCTGAATAATTAATTATTCATCATACAGAATCCTTAAAAATAAAATAAAGTGTTCATGTATTTACTACCTTCTTAAATGGGCAACAAATTCTTGTCTATTCATGCTCTTCATCTCTTCAAGGTCTTTCTCGTAAGAGCTCAGCTGGTAAGGTTCAATTACATATATATAATAATAATAATAATAATAAGACAAGATCAAATATCTAATTGATCGAGCATCAATGTGAAATGGAACTTACAGGAAAATTAATGTGAGTGGTTGGGCCCCAATACTTCAAAGCTGCTAAATCATAAGCCCTTGCTGCCTTTTCTTCCTTGTCATATCCTCCTAATAATTCCATTACATTCATTCCTTAATCACTAATCTCTAAAAGAACACAACTGAACGCAAGAATTACTCACCAAGATACACTGTTCGTCTCGTCTCATAATGGACCACCACATTCATTATTCATTTTTTTTTTTTGGCAACAAAAAAAAAAACAACTGTTAGAAGAACTGAACTAATTAATCAGCACATTGACATTATCTCTGTGTGTATGTATGTATTTGTTACCTTGTCTTCCTTTCCTGGTTTGGCCTTCCTTCCGACAGCTATTGTCCCACAAATGAGCCTCGTATCTTCCAGTCCATCTATGCCTGAACCAGATTTTAATCAATTTCAATCTCTAATCCATCACCAAAATACATTCATACATACATATATATATATGTATTTATGAATTCAGGATACCTTGTAACTCCACGGTACTGAGAAGTTCTTTGTCCGAAAGTATCCACAGATTTACGAGGCGTAGCCTCTTTCCCGCCACAGGATTTCCCCTCCAACCGCTTTTTCCCATCGGCGGTCGCCGGCGGCGGCAGAAGCTCCGGAGGCGGAGAGCTCGGACTCACAGTCAGAGACAGCGCGTGGAAATCACAAGGACCGCCGCCTCCGTCCGCCGCTTTCTCCGCTTGATGCAACCAGGCCGGACCACCGCCGAGCGCCGCCGAGAAAACGCCGTCCGGAGCGGGGACCATGCTATATTCATACGGCGGATAGAACGGCGTCGTATTGGCGAAATCGCCGTCGCCGCCGCCTCGCTTCTCGTCGCCGCCGAAATCCGGCGTGGCGTTTACGTTGATCTCGGCGGCGGCGGCGGCGGCGTCGTTCGCCGGCGAATTCGAGTAGCAGCATCCGAGGAAATCTTCGAATTTTGGAGCTTCTTCGGTCGGATTGGGTCCATTCACATCATTATCATATCTCCAATCTACAAATATAAATCCAAAATCCTTAAATCAGTAACAAACAAACAAACAAAAACGTTAATCATCATAGTAAATAATAATTTTTTAAAAAAAAATAAAAAAGTTGTGTAGGTAGCAGAGCATACAATGCTTGGAGTCCAAAATGGAGAAGGATCCATCGGAGCGCAAGGGAGAGACTGGAAAGCCGCCGTCGGCGTCGTTTTCCGCTGCGAGTTCGTCGGCGGTGAGGCGGAGCTCCGGATTGAGCGAAAACCCTAACCAATTACTCATTAATGGCAATAGAGAGTCCCAATGTGGGGATTTTTGTGGCTCTGCAGCAGAAGCTCAAACTTCGAAGGGGGTGAAGATGACTTTTGTCTCGTATTTATACCACAGCTGCGTACACACAGAAACACGCATATAGATACATCCTGTATGTATATAATAAATGTATGAAAATGGTAATCAATCAATCAAGCGAATCGAATTGCAAAATATGCAGATTAGGACGAACTTATGAATGAATGAGTAATTAATTAAAGAAGATGAAGACGACAATAGGTGTAATCGTTGAGAAGTAGTACTAATTAATCGTTAATGGTGAGAATTTAATCTAGGATGATGATGATGATGAAGAAGATGACGATGATCGTCTCATTGTTTGTCGGAGCAGCAGCAGCACTGTGACTGAGGCAGAGGCAGGTCAGGTCAGGTCAGGTCAGGTCTGCAAAATCAAACCTCGGTTTTCGTTCCCCTCTATTCAAGTTTTTTGCAGGCTTCAACTTGGAGCTGCGATCTACTGTGCTCGGCTGCAACCAAATTCTTCCTAGCTCTTTTTTTTTTTTCAAAAAAATTAATTAATTAATTAAAAATTAATATTTTCAATAAACAATTTTTGCTATTTTAAGATATATATATATTGTTTTCACTCCAACTACAAAGTATATATATTTTTATTTTAGACGTTCAATTATAAAGTAATTATTTTATTAAATATCCTATTTTTTCCCACAAATATTGCTTCACATTACATTATTAATTTTATATCAAAAGTAAAAAAAAAAATAGCATTATACTATTTTTATATATTTATTATAATTAAAATATTATTATTTTATAATAATGTCCGCATTCGAACGAAGGGAGTATTTTATTATAAATAATATTCAATATAAAATATTATTTATATAATTCTTTATATTTAACACATTAAATTTAAAAAAAATGTATATTTATTTCAAGGAATTTGATGGTTTTTTATTATTTATGGAAAAATTAATTTATATTTAAACATTTATTTTTATATATATATATATATCGTATTAAAAAAATATTTTCATTTAAAGTTTTATTGTTTAAATATAAATTTAAATTTAAAAAGCCCAACCAAACACGTCTCAAATATACTATTGTGTTTGAACCAGGGTTGGACTTGGGAGTCGCATAACACAAGCCGGAAAGTCGCGTCTAGCGGCCCAAAAACTCACATTTTCTCAGGAACAAGAATCTCATGCTGGAATTATTTTCCAGCTAACATTTGGAAACATTTTTTTATTGTTTACATTAATCAAATAGACATTTTTCAAACCTAAGTCAAAGCTAATATAAAAGTTATCTTTCAATTTTATTTTTTTTCTATATACTAAATTATAAATATCACATTACTATTTTATATATATATATATATACAAAAATTATATTGAGTAACTATTTAATTTAAAATCGAAGTTATTGATTTTGGGCTTTGATACGTGGCTAATTCTAATTGGCTAAAGCGATAGGTGCGAGTCGGTTATTATCAAACCCCTTTATTATTTTTTATTTACTTTTAAATCGTTCTGTAGATGCTGGACCAAACTATCTTCTTAGTATTGAGTGTGTTTTGTGTTTTATATACGGAGTAATATTTTGCATTATACTCTATTCATTATTAAATTCTATATTTAAGTATTAGGGTATATTTTAATAAAAATAGATGAAATTTGATATATTTTTTTAAATTTCTATAATAAAAAAATATAAGAGATAATATAACTTTATACTAAAAAAATATTCCTTTCGTCTTATAACTGGGTTGTGTTTGACATGAGATTTAAGAAATATTGATATTATATTGATAGTCGGTAAAAAGTATAGGTAAAAAAATTTTTTGCCCTTGTGAATATATTAGTGTAAAAAATAGTAACAAATGTGTAATAATAATAAAAAAGGTAAGAGGTAATTTTACAGTTATGTAGTTATTTATGGGAATAAGACTATTATTCTGAAACGGACAAAAATGATAAACAATATTATTGTCGAGACGGAGAAAGTAAGTAAAATAACTTTTATGACAAAAAATATTCCATATATTTGCAAAAGTGAAAAAAAATATAACCTATAAGATAACATGTTAGGTAGGTTTTTATTTAATATATATCAAATATCCCATACACGCTTTGCTATCGTGTTTATTCAATCAAATAAGATGCTGATTTAATTCAATCAATATATATTTATAAAATATATATATAATATATAACATACATTTTGAAAACAGGTAAAATATAATTTTAATAGTATGATATATTATTATTTTATTATAATATAAAATATTAATTGCTTCGAGTAACTATATGTCAACTTAATCAAATTATCAAGATGATAAATCAACCTCTAACTGCACAATTTCAAGCACATAGTAAATGACTATAAATAATTTTAAAGTCCAATGTTTTAGAGAATTTTTCATTTTACTATTCAGGTTTATAATTTTCAATCAAAGTATATTATTTAATTTTATAAAATCTTATATTAAATAATTACATAAATAAAAATTCAAGCACAAATTTCAAAATTAAACACAAGATATAGAATCTGTGTTTTTATATGATGTTTATTATTTAGACTTTATGTCTTTTTTAATTTTTTTATATAAAATATTGTATCAAATATTTATATTAGTATTTAATTTCCTATAATACTACAAGGTCTTTTTAGAAAGTTAAAAAATAAATTTGTGCAAATTCAAATTCTACTGTAAAATAAAAAAGATATTGTGGGTATATTTTATTTTTTTTTAAAAAAGAAAAGTACATACATATTTTTTAAAAATATTAATATATAATAAATATTTATTATTGGTATAATTTATGTATTTACATATAAATTTTTTAAAAAGAATTATCTTACAAACAAATACATTCATATGATCTACCTGATTAAAAAATATAATATGGGGTTTGTATCTCCACATCTAAACATTCTTGCATTCTTTTTTTCTGAAGATATTTTTCGTTTCACCACAATAATGGATACTATTTTTTATTTTTTTTGTTTCATAACAATTGACATATTTCTATTTTTAGTAAAAATTATTAAATTAAAATATATTTAACAAATATAAATCAACTTAATTAAATTACATAATATATAAAATCATAAGTGAAATAGAACTACTCAAAACCCCTTTGGTTCTATCTCATTTTATAAAATTAATTTATGTTAATTATAAATAAACAAAAATATTTTTTATTTACTAGAAAATTTTATTTTCTATATAATTTTTAAATATTTAAACATATATTTTATTTTAAAAAAATTATATATATTAAATTTACTTTTAAAATTATAATATTATTAATTATACTAAATTATATAATAATATCATAACTAATACAACGCGTCTCTAATCAAATAGTTCAATTCGATGGGATAGAGAGATTATTAGATTTGCAATTACTAATCAAATTAAAAATCAAATTTTAAAATAAAATCAAACCCTAAATAATACATCAACTGTTTGAGTTGTTTAATTTTGGTTCAAAATATATACTATTTTTTTTTTTAAATTTAAATGATATTTTGACTGCGTAATAGTCCTCTATTCCAATACTACTTATTTTTGTCTATTTTAAAACAATAATCTCATTTCCATAAATAATCAATGTAAAACTACCATTATTTTTTTTATTATTATTACAGAATTAATACACTCGTAAAAGTAAAAAAGTCTTTTACTTATATTTTTTTATCTACTATATAATAATATTAATGTTTTTTAAATCTCATCCCAAACACAACCCAAACTATAGTTTTGGACGGAGACAACCTATTTTGTTAGAGAGATTAAAACCAAACAACTCATTTCATTAAAAAAAAAAAAAATCCCATAATTTACTCATTACTTTAAACCTATTGAAGATTTATCTGATTATGGGCCACTTTTGAGCCCAACAATGCCGATCATCTCCACATATCAATGATGCTCCGATCGCATCAAAACCCTAACTTTGCTAATATGGAGATATATATATATTCCGTCGGATGATGCCGCATTTGAGCTTGGTCGCCGATCTCAATCTTCATTTTTGTAGCTGAGCTACGCACTTTATGTATGTTCAATCGAGGCAATTGATTCAATTTTCTGTGTTTTAATCTTTTGCTAATAAATTTGATCTACATATCTGTACGCATATGAATATTCGCTACGTTTTACCTTCTTGAATATATCTGATTTTTATCTGGATTGCGGGATCTCAGGCTGGTTCGACACTAATTCATTTTTAGGTTTTGATTTTCAAGTTAAAGTTCAATTTTTATTTTTTTTATTTTTATTTTCTGAATTCATTTTTTATTGTAATCCTTGAAACTAAATTCAGATTCATTGAAACTACTTGTTGGTTGAGCATTGATTTACTCTCTTTTTTCCGCATATGGATTGAAAGAGATTCTCATCAATGCTTATAGTGAAAAATTGGAGTTAGTCTGGCTCATTGAACTGTTATCATGTTTTTAGAGTTTAGAAAATTACTCCATACAAGTTGTTTGGCATCAATTTGGTTTGTTTAGTTTATTCATATTTGGCTGCATATTTGCCCTTCATCATCGATCTTGTGGTCAAATACATTGGATTGGGCATTGGATGTTCTAAGTGAAATTCTTAATTGAGGTGAAAGTGCAAATTTTTGGGGGTTTTGAGAATAACTTAACACAATCTTGCTGTTAATTGCATCTTCAATTGGCTATTGGAAAGTATTTGGATGTCACTTTAGTAATTTAGGTATCGGAAAGAACTGTGCTCTTGCTAAAGCATCTTTCTATTATTTTCGTATGTCTAATTTCTTTGGTACTCTGCTTAAAACTACATTAGCACTGCTTGCATTAATCACTCTATTTTGATGGAGTTTGGAACATCTCCTACAGAACCCGGGTACGATCTTTTCAGTTTAATTTATTCGATTCACCTATAACAATTTGTTCTTGCATGTTCATTGTTCCATTTGTATTGTATTAGTTTTTCTGATTACTGTCCCGTGACTTGTGTTGGACATTTGGGCTAACAATATAGTGTGCAGTTTCTGTAATCTACAATGTATGTAATTGCATTGTGCACATGTTTTATGTATTTACAATGTATGCAATTGCGAAGATTATGCATTTGCACATAGTGAGTTATGGCAATGGTGGATTGAGATCATGTTCGACTCGGAATTAAAACAGAAAGCAGTGGATCTATGGATCGATTGAAAACATGACTTCATCTTCACTGAAATCTTGCAACCAATTCAATTCAGGCTTTAATGGGTCGATGAGAAGGGTATTCAAGTACATTAAGTTGTGTTGTAGCTCTAGCCAGTGGATCATAGTAAATATCTTTATAGTATTTGTTTTTTGCTGATAATCCTTGAGGACAGGTACTGTAAATTAAGGGATGGATTATGGTGCTGACCACTATGTTGAT